TTTCAGCTGTGTTAACTCGGTCAGGTGGAGTATCCAAACGCGTGCCAAACGCACTCATCAGATCAGATATAGATCAGAATATATAGATCTAAATGTTTGTGCTGATTCAGATTGTTGCACTGAATATTGGTTGTTGATGATATTTATTGCATTAAAATGTGCCTGACACTGTGGAAACCTGCCTATGAGGCATCAGTGACGTATGCCGATACGCTGCTGGTCTACCAAAATACCACTAGACCAGCTGCGCTTGGCCTGCGCTGAAGGCTGACCAGTTTTGAATCAGCGAGCTTTCAGCGCACTTTACATGACACCGGCGAGCACAAAAATGTCACTGCGCCAACTGATTCTGTTGACACCTCCCCCTACCGCGCATCCAAGCCCAGCTTGGCGGACCTCGGCACACCTCAGGCTACGAAAATACCAAACTGGCTGTACACCAGGCTCTGCAGACGAAAATACCATTGCACGGGGTCCGCCACCGTCTGCCGCGTTGCCAGTGGGCACGAAAATAGAGCCCATAGACCCTCCTTACTGGTTCATGTGGTTCCGGCAACGTGGGACAGCCTGCATGTGAACTGACACCCACTGCAGAGCAGAGCAGGGTAACCACAGACATAATACACACACACGCACGCACGCACGCACGCGCACACACACACACACACACACATATATACAGTTGTGGTCAAAAGTTTACATACACTTGTAAGGAACATAATGTCATGACTCTCTGGAGTTTCCCGTTATTTCTACAACTTTGATTTTTCTCTGATAGAGTGATTGGAAGAGACACTTCTTTGTCACAAAAAACATTCATGAAGTATAGTTCTTTTATGACTTTATTATGGGTTAACAGAAAAATTGACAAAATCTGCTAGGTCAAAAATATACATACAGCAACATGAATTAGCATTTTTAGTGACTTAGAAAGCTGTGTCAATGAAATGAGCTTCATAGCATGGCCTCTTAACTTCTTGTGAGTGATTGTGAGTGACTACAGCTGGTGACTTCTCTGAGGCCATTTAAATAGAACTTATTGGATACAAACGTGTGTGTAAACTTTTGACCACAACTTAAATATTTATACACTACAGGCCAGAAGGCTGGAAGTAAGGCCATTACAGGCTGAACAGTTGGGAGTAACTTCAAGTTTTTGTTAACAATACTTTTTTTTAAATCCAGCATGAGTTTTATGTATTTTGGGATGTATCTACTCCATGATCAGATGTTGCTTTCATGGAAATGCACCATTTTACTCCATTTACCTTTAGATATACATTGATGTTAACAGACCATTGCTTAATATATGTCAGCAAAAGAAAATAAGGGCTTAGTTTTAGGGTTGAAAACATTTGCAAGAGTCACAACTTCAGTGCAAAAGCAAAAAAACAAATCACAGTTGGATTATTCACTTCAACTTTTTGGCTTTTGAGAGTCTGCAGACAAAAATCCTAATAAATCTCAACTGCGTTCAAACTACCGCAAAAATGGCTAGAAAGAAGCAACTGAGTAAAGAAACAAAAGTACAGATTTTTACACTGAGGAAAGAAGGATACACAGAAAGAGAAATTGTATAACGCCTAAAGGTGTTTGACAAAGGAGTCCACTACACTCTGAAGAGACTAGAGGAACCTGGAAGTTATGATGATAGAAAAAGACCTGGACGAAAGAGAGTTACTACAAAAACAGAGGATAAACATAGCATTGTCACCAGTAAGAGAGATCGGTGAAAGACAGCAACAAAAATAAGGGAGGAAATCAACATGACAAGGTCGAAAGCCATATCTCTGACAACCGTGAAATGATGTTTGAGAGAGGCTGGTCTGAAAGGTTGTGTATCTGCAAAAAACTTCATCCACAGAACAAGAAAAAGAGATATGAGTGGGCAAAAGCGCACAAAAATTGGAGTTATGATGACTAGAAACAAGTTTGCACTGTTTGGTTCAAAACGCAAAACGAATAATCCAACTGTGACAAACTAGTAAACGTCTGTAAGCATGGAGGTGATAGTTCCATGGTATGGGGATGTTTTGCAGTAGGAGATTTGTTTGAAGTAAAGGGTATCTGGACTAAGACTTGTGGCTCACAAGTTTGTTTTTCAGCAAGACAATGACCCTAAGCACTCTGCCAAGCTCTGTCAGGGTTACCTCGACAAAAAAATAGAGGAAGGTGTTCTTCAAAACAGTGGCGGCTGCTGGTCTTTCAAGGAGGGGAAGCTCATTTTTCTGGCCTACATCATAACTGTATTTGTTTATTAGTATGTAACAGAACAGAGTCGCCAAACACAACGGCAGTCGTTTTTAACAAAGACAAAAGTCGCTGAGGATCGGTAAAGTCTCTGGAGCAGTTAAGAACAACGGAATGAATAACTTGGAAAATGCTCTGGTAGATGTTTTATTCTTCAAGATCGCTGATTCGCTTGTTTAGCTGTCAATCAAAAAAGGATTTCGTCTCAGACAGCTCATCCAATCATGGATGCAGAAGCTCGGAGTCCGGGAGAAAGTCGGGACCACCCTCCAATGGGCGGGACAAAGCCCAGCATTTATCCAATGAGCGTCTAGTTTCGCTGCTGGAACAACCTACTTTGAGCTTCCACATTGAAGTCAGCAGAAGCTGGGCGTCCGGCTGTTTAAAGCGCTGAGGCACTGCGAGGATGAATGAGAACGAAGTTATGCCGGTTACCTGTGATTATCAGCTTCTTATCACAGTGTCTGAACAAAAGATGAAGGCTTTCTAGCGCGTATTTAGTTAATGAAATGTACACACAGCAGTACGTATTTCACCACTTTTTCTTTTTTTGGGGGGGTGACATTTTAAGGGAAGCTGAGCTTCCCTTGCAGTCTTAAAGCAATCGCCACTGCTTCAAAATGGTTTGGCCCCCTCGGTCTCCAGACCTTTCTTCAATATAGCTTGTGCGGGATGAATTGGATCAATTGGTCATAAAAACACGTCCCACAAATCAGCAGTCTCTGTTTTTATAAACTTCAGAAAGCTTGGAATGCAATCCCTGGAACATACCTTAAAAAACTTGTGGAACGAATGCCTGGTATATGCCAAGCTGTTGTTAAAGCCAGAGGAGGTTACTTTAAAGAAAGCAAAGTCTAAGCAACAATAACTCAAATACCTAATAATTATAGTCAAAATGTCATCTGATAAGTTACTCTTTACACAATAGTCATGTTTATTGTGTTGCAAATTATATATTTGAAACAATGATCTTTTTTTGTACAAATCTGATCTTGCTTCCAAACTTTTGGCCTGTATAATCTGCCAGCTTTCGGAAAGCCTCTGAGGTGGCCAAGAAAGTAGGTTTGTGGAGCGGGGGGGCCTTAAAGGGCTAGCAGCTGAAGTGAAGCCTTTCAGGAGGAGGCTGAAATAATGATATTTTAATGCACCACTGTGAGAGATTTGAGGCTTTTCTGATCTGAAAATCATGTAAAGCTTATAAAGATGTATCAGAAAGAAAATATAGAGTTTGAAAAATGGAAAATACCCCCCTTCAACATGACAGCAGCAAGGATTATGACACCACCACCAGACATTAGAGGGAGCTCTAGATCTCTTCAATTAATAGTCGGTGAACACTTATGGCACCCATTTAGATATAAGGTCCATGTTTGACACCTAAAACCATTACCATCAAAGCATCAGCATTTCACAGATATCATCATCTGCCAGTGTCTAGGCTAAGACCACCAAATCAATATGAAATATTCTGCACTTTCATATCCTTTCTCAGTAATACAGACCACCAAAACAGCTTGACAACTTCACTCTAATAGCCTCCTAATGGCAAACAGAATCATATTCACACGTAAGGGTTCAGTATCTTGCCTTAGTGTCCTTTGACACACAGACCTGAAGAGCTACAAATTAAACCACCATTTGTCATATGACTAGATAACTTTCTGATGGGGGAGATTTTTATTGGTGTCTGTGAACATACTGTGAAGAGTTTTTAGCAGGTTATGAAAACACACTTATGAAACACTCTCAGGGATCAATAAAATTCTTTCTAGTTTATCTTATAGGATTTGGTATTAGTTCCAAATAATTAGCATTAAGTTTACTTATTAAATGAATGTCCTACCCATTGTTAAAATGATATCCCGAATAGCTGTATTCGGGACATCATAGCTATACTACAAACTAGGTAGACTGGGAGGAATAAATCAAATCATTGCACTGTGTTTTTTAGTAGGTGGCTAATGGCTATCACTAGTCACGACAAACAATGTAGTCATAGCTCTTACTTAGTCTCTGTTTGTGTTGTTAGGACTAAACTGCAAATCTTGAAACACACAACCACCTAGCAACAAATGACCACCAGCTTGAAAAAATTCCACAGGTCAAAGGTCCACGTAGACAGCAGGTGGTGCTTCACATTACTGATTATGTTAGATTAGATTATAACTGGCCATCAAATTAAAGTAAGTAGTGGTATATTTTTGTACTGAGTGGCAGGATCTACTACATTTAATCAGCAGCACGGAATGAGCGTCAATTAGGCCCATGCTGTTATGAGATCAGAGTCCCTATTACTTGCAGGCTATATAGAATAATCACAGTTATAACCATACAGTGCCACTTTTAATCCATTTACACTAATCAACTGCGTAAGGCTCTTAAAGCATAGTTGATATTATGGTAAACTACATTTCTACTCTGAATAGGGGTGGGACAATGTATCGATCCAATATTGATATTGCTGTCCTGACTGGTGTGATACAGTTATTGATACACTGCAGGTAAATATGGGAATTTTAAGTGATTTAATATGACACTTGGAACAAAAGATGTCCCCTCGCTACTACTAGTTTTGTTGGGCCCTCAACGCACCCCTCATCACTTCAGTGCCCCTATGTGCTGCATACACTGCATACACTGCATACCCACTTTTCGTGCCTCTGCTGCCAGGAGGTAAGAATTGTGTTGCTACTTAACTGTTCCAACTCTCTATGCTGAGATGAAAGGAATGACGTAGGACGGATTAAAGTATGGAGGAAAGAAAAGAGGTAAGCGTAATGAGGCTCTATGTGTAAGCCATTAAGGCACAGTCATGTTAAATAGATAAGTGGGTGAGCAGCTGTCCCAGTAAAATTCATAAACAAAGTTAAACCACTGTAAAGGTCTGACCAATTGACAATTTCTCCGTCAATTTGAGAATGCAGAGTGCAATTGAGTAGAGATTTTGCAAATTCAGCTTGATATTATAGAAACCGCTAAACTAAACTCCTGATTGCTGCAGCTGCCTGTCAGTCAACAACTCCATCATTCATTTAGTCATCTTCATTATCTTCTTTTGGGCATTTCAATATGAGTTTTTTCAAATGAAATACATTCTTATCGAAAACACTTATTGCTTATTCTCAAATTACAAAAGTAATATTTCATAGTTGATTAGCACAAATACCTCGTTTTATTTTACTGAATCAGTACTCATTGAGAAGACTGAGAATTGTATCTTCCTGCTTTCCTGCACATACTTATTCACACATGAGACTTTACACAGTTGTGGCTACTCATCACATAAGGAGAAGGGGATAGCAAGACACTTGCTTCAGAGCCAACCACCAAGTGCACTTACCTGACATCAGCCTATCCAACAAACAGGAGAGTGGGAAAACAAAGTCAACACAGAGAGACAGAGAGCATTGCACCCTGATCAGCAAGAGTAGTGGATGGACACTTTTTTCACCAAAAGATATTCAGTACTTTAAGTTGTAAACTCCCCAAATAAACCTTCCCCTTATTTTATGTTGCTTCACCACTCATCTTTTTGAAAAGGAATTATTGATTTAAATGAAGACATTATTTCTGTCTAGAGGATCAACATATTCGCTTGTGACCAAGTTTTCTCTGACTGATAAAAGCAAAACATTGAAATGTAATCACCAAAAGAAGTGACCAAGACATGTTCAGCCTTAGGAATCTTAGTTTTCTTAGCAGCCAGATGAGACCCTCACCTTAGATACCCAGGAGGCTACAGGAAGGGGTGAAAGTAAGCCAGTACGCAGTGGTATGCCGTACCGAGAAGACATAAACAGCAGTTTACAGCCGGTATGCAGCGGTACGCAAACTTTCACCCCTGCAATGTATATAGGCTACATTTGCTTACCATGTTGCCGTACGTCAGTCTGCACTCTGCATTATAACCGTAGTAACCCAATAGGACTATGCTGTTTGCAGGTGAGTCGCATTTGCTTCCGCAAACAAACAAACTCTGAAAGTGGGAGCGCTCAGTACACACTTTCGATTGGACGCTGGTTGTCTTGGTGCTGGGGGTCTCTTCCTGCCTTTTGCAGCTACTTCAATCTTAATGTAGACGTAAAACAAAATGCAGAGAAGAATTGATTTTATGTTCAAGAGAAAGAAATATGAAGCAGATGATGATACTGTGGCATCAGAGCAAGTTGAGGAGCAGAGGGGGGAAGAAGCAAAGCTACAGGAGTGGGTAAGCTACTGACAAATGGCTGATAATGTTACTGTATCAGAACAACAGCAGGTTGCAATATGAATCTTTTCATTTGTATCTAAGTACAGATGTATCACAATAGATTAAAATAAATATATTCTCATTTATGGCATACTTGAATAAATTGTGCAACAGAAGCCTGCAGATGACCATAAATAGGATTTATTGTTCTCAAATTATTTGAGGAACTGCTTGTGGCTTCAAACTATGTCCCTATTGTATTTTCCAGCAAATAAATCACATTTATAGTCATCTGCAGCTTCTGTTGCACAATTTATTCAAGTATCCCATCTCAATAAATGAGAATTTATTTATTTTTATTTGTTGAGGTGCACCTTTTAAACTTGGGTGTGCTCCTCTTGTACAAAGCCCACGGGTGCAGTACTATGGAGCTCTGAGATTTATAATAAATTAACTCATCGCTGTACTTTATACTCCAAAGTCAGTTGGACTTCTTTAAGTACTCGTCAGCTTGGTCATTGGTACGTTTTCATTTACAAAGGCATTCTTGGAAAAATTCTGGACTACCTCTCCTTCTTATTGATCTTAAAGGACTGATTACACAACCTGAGATCATTGAGATTTATACAGTTTGTTGTCCCCAGAGTCCGAACTAAAATGGGAAAGAAGGCTTTCAGGTTCTCTGCCCCCTTTGCATGGAATAATCTGTAGACTGAATTTAAGCTGCAAAACTTGATGTCTTTGACTGTTTTTAAATCTGCAGTTAAAAGGCTGGAGTACAGACTCTCAGAATGTCTCTGTTTTAACTGATGTTTCCTCACATTTTTGTTCTTTATTGAGTCTGTGTGACTACTCTAACTATGTATTGCTGCCATTTTTGGTTAGGTCTCACTTGCAAATGAGATCCTCAGATCTCAATGGGACAAACCTGGTTAAATCAAGGTTAAATAAAAATCGATTTTTCAAATTAATTGCTAATATGAAGCCAAATCTATGATAATGGAAAAATAAAAAAATCAACTGTTTGTCCAGTGAAGTTGGCAGAGGTGACATCATAGAGCAGGAGAAAGTTAGTACAACGAATATACACTCACCGGCCACTTTATTAGGTACACCATGCTAGTAACGGGTTGGACCCCCTTTTGCCTTCAGAACTGCCTCAATTCTTCGTGGCATAGATTCAACAAGGTGCTGGAAGCATTCCTCAGAGAGCTTGGTCCATATTGACATGATGGCATCACACAGTTGCCGCAGATTTGTCGGCTGCACATCCATGATGCGAATCTCCCGTTCCACCACATCCCAAAGATGCTCTATTGGATTGAGATCTGGTGACTGTGGAGGCCATTTGAGTACAGTGAACTCATTGTCATGTTCAAGAAACCAGTCTGAGATGATTCCAGCTTTATGACATGGCGCATTATCCTGCTGAAAGTAGCCATCAGAAGTTGGGTACATTGTGGTCATAAAGGGATGGACATGATCAGCAACAATACTCAGGTAGGCTGTGGCGTTGCAACGATGCTCAATTGGTACCAAGGGGCCCAAAGAGTGCCAAGAAAATATTCCCCACACCATGACACCACCACCACCAGCCTGAACCGTTGATACAAGGCAGGATGGATCCATGCTTTCATGTTGTTGACGCCAAATTCTGACCCTACCATCCGAATGTCGCAGCAGAAATCGAGACTCATCAGACCAGGCAACGTTTTTCCAATCTTCTATTGTCCAATTTCAATGAGCTTGTGCAAATTGTAGCCTCAGTTTCCTGTTCTTAGCTGAAAGGAGTGGCACCCGGTGTGGTCTTCTGCTGCTGTAGCCCATCTGCCTCAAAGTTCAACGTACTGTGCGTTCAGAGATGCTCTTCTGCCTACCTTGGTTGTAACGGGTGGTTATTTGAGTCACTGTTGCCTTTCTATCAGCTCGAACCAGTCTGGCCATTCTCCTCTGACCTCTGGCATCAACAAGGCATTTCCGCCCACAGAACTGCCGCTCACTGGATATTTTTTCTTTTTCGGACCATTCTCTGTAAACCCTAGAGATGGTTGTGCGTGAAAATCCCAGTAGATCAGCAGTTTCTGAAATACTCAGACCAGCCCTTCTGGCACCAACAACCATGCCACGTTCAAAGTCACTCAAATCACCTTTCTTCCCCATACTGATGCTCGGTTTGAACTGCAGGAGATTGTCTTGACCATGTCTACATGCCTAAATGCACTAAGTTGCCGCCATGTGATTGGCTGATTAGAAATTAAGTGTTAACGAGCAGTTGGACAGGTGTACCTAATAAAGTGGCCGGTGAGTGTATATATAAGGTTTGCAAGATGTGCTACATGAAAATAAAATACTGTTTAAATAAGACAAACATAAAGGAAAGACAAATGCTTAATTTGCTGAACAGTTGAAAAAAAAATGTACAAATTGCAATAATAAAGTCTCATGGCCCAAAAATCGTGATGATATCGTATCACGGGCCACTGGTGATTCCCACCCGTATTTGTTACACTTAATGAATGACCTTAATACCTCCTGTTTGAGTTTAAATCATTCCCAAATGACCATGCTGATGATCACCAATAGATCAATTTACTAGTTAAATTGAAATACCAAAAAAAAATGTAATTACTTATTACTCTCGTATTTAGAAAAGATCCTCAAATTTACCCTTGATGTGTCGTCTGATCTGTCGTCTGGACTTTTTTTTCCCCAAGGACCTCTGTTGATCCTTTTTTATGAATGAAGTGCTCCAGCGTGTCATCCTCAAATTATTTCTGCGTGTGTAAATCACAGTTGAGATATATAAAATGACGTTAAAGGTGTCTTTTCATCCAGAGTAAAATCTCTGCGTATCTAATCGAAACGAGACCACAGGACCCCTCGTCATTTGTTTTGTACGATGGTGTAAGCTGCTGCTATGGGATGGAATTCGAGTGTATTCAGACGGACTTAGCTCATCTGAGTAACACAGGCGAGCTGCTGTGTGCACGCACAGGTGCAGTCACGGTCAGAAGCGTCTCCACACCGCATCTGAGAACAGCTTTCTTCATTTATCTGTGAGTAACATTTTAATGGTACACATTTTTTCACGGGTGATCTTACGGAGATGATGTCCCAAGAGGAAGGGTTGTTATCCAAATAACGCATTACGCATTTGGGATGAGCGTCAAAATGTTGCAGCTGAAGTGTAAACACTGAGCTTGATTGGTCACTATAACCGCTTTTCTGTTCTTGCATCCAGACTCCTGTAGTCAGAACACTTTTCTTTGAGATATTACGTTATATTTTCAATCGAGTTTGGGCAAAAAATGGCCGTAATTTTGGGGTTATACGGGAAGTTGATTCTTTGAAGCGCGATCATAAAAGTACTCCTGTTTGATAAATAATTGATTGTCACACTCACAGAACAGTAAATTATGGGAAATTAAACGCACTGGAAACGCACTTTTATGGAACTGTTTTCACCCCTTGGATGAAGACTGGTTGCAAAATTAAAAAGAACAGTTGTTTATGAGGTTGTTTCATGTTCTGTAGCTGTGAGGAAAGAACCTTTAGCACTTCCATTGTGGCTTTACCTTGTCTGTGTAATTTTTTTCTGCTTTGGGGTCCCTAATTTTTCTACAAGAGCTGTGATGGCTCTGCTACGAAGTTACTTAACTCTAATTGACTTTCAAGAGTCTGTGGTCTAATAGGGCTGGGGGGGGGGGTCTTTAATTAAAGACTTTACCTGACTAAAAACAAAAGAGCAAATCTTTTCCTGCCAAGGGACAAGCATAATCCCAGTCAGCAAATATGGAGAGAAGATTTGTAATGTGTCTCTGTTTCGTTTAGTTTAGCCCTTCAGGGAGCACTAATCAGCCCAAAATGCCCATGTGGTCCAGGTAATTATGATTTATGACAGGATGAGAGGCTCTCATTACAGCTGCTCACACTTGAGAATCACTGCTGCAGGTTGAAATATTTGCCGATTGTTTTCATCATGTAGTTAATTTTGTTGAGGGGAGGGGGTTAATTTTCCTCTTCTTGAATGACAGTGATAAGGGATAAAGCTTGAAACCCACAACAGGAAAGATTATATATATATATATATATATATATATATATATAGCTCAGCATGGTTTTATTTCTTGAACCACCACAAGCAAGACTGTCAAATGCCATGTACCAGGAGAGACAAATCTAATTTGTGCGTTGGCAGCCTGCTAATGCACAGCAGCAGCAGCATGCTGCCAGTAGCCTCTGGTGGGACCCCCACAGATGAAAAGGGTACATGGAACCCTCTAAGCTAACTTTTTTCTTACTAGTAGAACCTGTGCCGTGTGGCTCACCCCAGGGGTGGTCCAAGCTAGTTTTGTATTCATGGCAGATAATTTTCTACTTAAAAAAATGCATTGACTCAGCAAATAAATGTGTTATTTGAAGAGATTGAAAAACAGGAACACAGGAGGCTGCTCGTTCCACATTTTAGGAGCCACTACACAAAAAGCCTGATCACCTCTGAACTTCCTCTTAGACCCTAGGATGGCCAAGAGCAGCTGATCAGCTGATTGTAGCGCCCTCAGTGGGGCATAAGACTGGAGGACTTCCGAGAAGTACGGGGCAGTGAGGCCATTTCTCCTTTTGTAATCCAACTAGTGAATTTTAAAATCAACTCTCTGGCACATGAGGAGCCAGTGGAGTCACGATAAAACCAGTGATATGTGCCCATGCTTTCTTGTACCTGTTAAAAGTCGGGCAGCAGTGTTTTGTACGAGCTGGAGCCAAGAAAGGGAGGCATGACTGTGCCCTGAAAAAGAGCGTTACAGTAGTCCTGCCATGCAGTGATAAAAGTGTGGACCACTCTCTCCGTGTGTTGGCTTTTTCAACAGGCATAAGTTTTGCGATCCGCCTCAGGTGAATAAAGCTCTTTTTTTAAAAACAGAGCTACTGGCACATTAAAATAATGTTTGTTGTCCATGATAACTTAGAGGTTGGTCGCAGGCTGTTTCGAGTATTTTTCCTGAGAATCAAAACTTGAGGGGGTTTCAGAGCTGGTAGGACCAGGAAAAATGTTACTTTCAAATGTGATGGACTTGGGCTGTGAGATTCTTCAGGTGCCACCTAACACTAAGGTACTAAGTGTTAAAAGGGCCAAAAACCATGAACACATGTATTATCCGGGTTTGGCTGTATGTGTTAAAGTACTTTTTGAGATGCCTGTTTTTCAAAACATCTAACATGTCTTTGTGAAAGGTGAGCACTTAATGTTGGCTTTTTGCCACTAAAAATCGCGTGCCTTGAGCATTTGTCTGCATTCAAAGTTGTGTTTACAGCAGATGAGAAACCTTATGTAGATGATGCAAAGAGCTTTTCTGTTACAAAGCATTTGACATACAGATGTCATACAGTACCAATGATTTAGATTTGTTTATAGTGCCTTACTGTTTTTTGCGATCTCCAAGCATCAGTTTTAAATAGTAAGCTCTGTTAAAGTAACTTTGCATTATGAGGCAAGTTTTCTCAGTTAGAGTAACATTAATGTCTTTATTTTGTACAAACAAAAACCCACAAGCTTTTGGATGAGAAATTTAGAAAATTTAATTCACATGCAGACTGCCATTGAAATTCACTCTTGGTAGAGATGCCAAAAGAAATGTTGTCTTTGAAACATTTTTGATACTACTCAGAGCACATGTCTCAACAATAGCCGCTGTACAGTACCTGCAAGAGCCTTATCCTATTTTGACCCCTGGATGTCAGAGAGATTTTCTATGACAAAGCCTTTACAGGTGTGCGTAGGTCATAGAGCTATGACAGCTTAACACTTTCCTCTTTGATAAAGCTTGGTTAGGCTTAAACCAGCTCATAGTTATGCTGCTATAGGTTCAGATCTGGAACATTGAGCTTCTGTTTGTCCCTCTCTCTCTTGTCTCTCTCCTTATTATCTTCATGGTCCATTAGAGTTATTAATCAGATCTCTGAGTAGCTGAGCACCTTCATCACTTGAAACCTTTTGTGCAGGTGCAGATAAAGACAAAATGCTCTCAGTGACATAGGACATGTCAAACCACTCATGGTTACAATATTGAATGAGTGTTTTGCTTCTAATGTATATATATAGTTTCTCCCTTAAGAAGAAGAGATGGATGTTTCTGTTAGGTATGTTACCTCATTAACTTCATCCTGAAAAAGTAATAGAAAGTGCTTGTTAAAAAAAATATCTCAGAGGAGCTTTAAATATCTTACTGTGGCCATTTTTCTTTCTCTCTTTTTTAATTAGAGTACTTTTTATACAAACATCTTGAAAGTCAGTGATTATAATGACATGTTTATTAAGGGCACTGGAAAAAGTTTGCCATCTTTTTTCTGTAAAAGGACATTTAAAGGATGTATTTGTTTTGTGCCAACGATTATACTTCATGCCATCCCTGCATAAGTTAGCGCCTCCAATTTGTCACCTCAGTCAAATAAGGCTGTATCCACCCTGAGCTCATCTCGTACAAACTTTATTCCAAGCTTGTAAAAAAGTTTTTAAAAAGTGCCCTCCAGTCACCAGTCAAAGAACAAATGAGAACAGAGCAAAACCAGGTCAAGCTCTATACAATAAGGAAACATTAGCAAGTTGCAAGTTACTTGGATCATAATCCGACATCACGCACTGCAAGCTCATCCTTCCATGGAACTGGGATTTCACTTTTTCAGTTTCCTACATCACAGAAGCCTGGCTTGGAACAAGAATGTCTACGATTCAACCGACAGAAAACAGGAGAACATAGCAGTGGACCCATCCTGCCTCATTCATATACATTTGTACCACGTGTGGGCCGAAATCTTGTCACCCAGCCTCCAGTAACAGTTGTGCAACCAGAGGCAACTAGTTCATTTGATGTGGAAAAGCAGCATGAGCAGGCATGGATGACTGCAGTCCATGACACCCTATATGTAGATCCTGATACAGAAAATCTCACCCCAGCAATGTGGTCTGCATTCCATGCAGACATTTATTACGGTTAACAGGTAAACCAGTTCTGCAAGATCTTCTTGTCGCAGGAACAAAGCTTTCAGAATGTTTTTTCTTTGCACTGTCCAGTGCTGATGCCCCTGTATAAAAAATACTTATTTAGAGAAGCAATCCACAGCTTGTTGGAATTCTCTCCAGGTTCTCTCTAACCTGTTAGGTTCATATTATGAAGAAAGATAAAAGATATAGGCATCGTTATTTTTCTATTTGTTGTACTTTTTACAGTTTGCCTCTGTAGTGATTTAAAATGAGCCTCACACGGTCGCACCAAAATATATGTAGCGATTTGAAATGAGCCTCACAAGGCCGCACTAAAATAATACTGTAGCGATTGGAATTTATAATAAATGTCTGAAGATTAATAATCTCAAATTATGACATTTATGCACTCGTTGAAAGGGGCACCACCCACCCTTAATGGTGGGAAAATAAAGGAAACAAAAGTTTAATTCAGAAATCAAACATCAAGTCAGTTTTAATTAATCAGTCTTAATTAATCAGTCTTAATTAATCAGTCTCATATCTTAAGTCGAAATTCTAATTTCAGGGACTCCACTTCTGGAAGAACACTAACAGACCAGAACTTAGAAAAATAATTATCTGTTTATTACAGGATAAATGATGGTACAACACACATGCAATAAATGATGATAAGATAATGAAGATAAATAATAATAGGTGAATAAATCAAGATTCTGAGTCAGGCTAGGAGCACTAAAGTTAATGATAGTGAGTGAATATGCGCTAACATATTAACCTACACTAACTTTAGTGTCGAGATAAACTCGGATGTGGATTTGGAGGAATCTAAGATTACCAGAATAAGAGGATATCTGAGTTGAACGCAGGAGACAGCACCAGCCCTCTTTAGAGCTCTGGAGGTTTGCATACTTAAGTGAGACTGGTCCTTGGAGAAGATGGAGCAGGTTCCGAAGGTCCGGGCTACTGGCGGTTCGAGCGGTTCAGCTCAGAAGACGACTGAAGTCAGCCGAAGGATGAGCCAGGAGTTGCAGCACTCAGGCCCGAAGCAAAAACCAGTGCCTGTGGATCCTGTGGATGCTCGTTTGGGTACTTCTTTAGTCTCACTCAAAAACTCTGGCACAGAGGATGACCTGGGCCTGTTGGATTGCGTTCGGAGGTGACTTTGAAATCACGCAGAAAACTCAGAAAAACGAGGCTCGAAGAGCAGAGAAAACTTTCAAAAATGGCTTCGCGTAATTAAAGAAAATCAATCAAAGGCTTAATCTTGAATTGCTATGTGCACAAAAAGTTGAAGTTTCAAAACTTGAACTAAGACGATGTTAAAGAAAAATCAACGTGAATCAACACGTGGCGTAAAACTTAGAAGACTAAGAAAAAGTTCTAAGAGAAAATAAAGAAACGCACCACAGAAGGGTGTGGGCAGAAGAGAAGGGGCATAAGAGCCGGGGACAAGAGAGTCAGCAGAAGAGCAGAAGTATAAGAGAGATAAGAGAGCATAAGAGAGCGTGAGCAACCCCACTTCACTGGTTTTATCTTCTCACACTGGGAGTGGCTCCGGCGTGTGTGTGTGAGACAGAGGAGGGTCGTGTGGTCTTTGATTATTTGATCTAACTTATTCTTTTGGCTGGTAAAAGAGTCAGATCTGATACTCACTCACTATGATTAATATCATTGAATGCTTGGTTTCATGACAAATAATTTGACACTAAACACATATGAATGAAGTGTAGGATCACATCAAACATTCTCATTATGTTTAAAGTATCACATTGAACATGCTAAATTACTCTGAAATAAAACAGATAGTAACACATGGAAACTGTGAACAACAAAAGAGTAAACACATGTGAATGAACTTCATCATGATTAATAATGGATTCTAAATACTCACATTAAGGTTATTCAATGACATTATAACCACCTAATGGTTAAAAATACTAAATAAATGATTAAAATATAGACCAAACATTTCTAAACTATTTCTGTGTTCATAGAGTAAAGTTATGATCCATAGTCAATAAATGTAACTCTTAAAAGTTCATGAAACAGTCTGAAAAGCTGTTGGTCTAAAGAAACTAAAGAGCGATAACTCGGCTTCTGGAGCACATAGAAAAATGGGAAACATCTCATTTTAACACAAATTTCATGATTAGACAGATTAGTACATTGCTGAATGTATAAGATGTCAGGATCAGTCATTTGTATTCTTTCACCAAAGGAATGTAGTCTTTATCAGTGTATGATCGAGCTGGGTTTTACGACCGAGGTCTGGAGGTCAGTGTATGGTCGAACAGGGTTTTACGACCGAGGTCTGGAGGTCAGTGTCCCCCTTTTCCTAGGGTCCGTATGTTCACACACTTTAAGACGCTAAATCTCAAATGGGAATTCTGGGTTGAGACGTTAATGTTTATTTAGATGGTCAGCAAATGGAGTCAGTTTGAAAGGTAATAAAAACTCTGTCTCTGTTCTCCGAATTGACCAATCCTGAAGAGTCAGAGGTTTAGTCAACCTCCGGTTCGGTCACTTATTTAACCTGAAAGTGCAAACACGTCTGGAAAGATTTATATCCTGTTTCCTGGGACCAGATAAGGAAACTTTCCTGTAAGGAATGTGTGGGTTTCACATCCAGGGTTGTCTTGATTGCTACAGTCCCCCCTTCGTCACGGTGGTCCTGTCCATGGAGCATCGGGACGACGAGTAGACAACCATGAAGCAGCAGCAGCAGCAGCAGGTGTATGCAAATAGGACTGATGCGTCTCATTATCACTATGTGAATCACTAGTATCTGCTTTAAGATAACATCAAGCATGCATTAAGCTATCAAATAAAATCGTCTAGGTGTTAGACTTTTCTCAGTTAACTATTGGTAGACTAATGTGAAAGAAAATCTCCTAATTTTCAGTATTAATGAGATTTAGAAAAGCACTCTTTAGTCTGAATGCTAACTGGATCTAAAGCTATAGCTGTTTTTCATGCTTGCTGGAGAAGTCTGAAAGTTCAATTTCAGTTTCAAAAATGATTAAGACTTAGGTGGAAAAGAAATGTCTGCTATAGACATATTAACCATCTGTGTATGAGCATAGTCAACCTGAATCACAAACATCAAAAGTTTACTGCACAGAGTTTCTCTTAAACTTTGTCTGTTAAACTTGGGGATGATGCTCTTATCGGTTTGACTAATTATCTGCTGTTGAGTCTGAAATTTGTCAATCTGAGTCTTAGTGACAGAAATTTCAGCTTTTAATCTGTTCATGGGATATTTGACAGCTGACAAGCTGACTATATTGACAGAGGAGAGACAAATGCTAACAAAGAAAGCAGCAACTGGTATTGCAGTCATCAATGTATCACCACAGCATTTGGATATCTTATTGGAGTCATTTAGCTTTGGCTAGGTGACTTCTGCTTTCGCAGGACTCACACCTTCATGACTCCACAGTGTGTTAATCTCAGTGGTTAGCTGAGTAGTCATGTTTATTCACCTTCAAAGTGGATGAAACCGATTGAGGTGGATAATAAGATCGTCGTTTCTGAGAGTGTGATTTACTCTGATTCTGCCAGTCATTCACCCCCCTTTGGCGGTGTTGATGGTTTTTCCTTTGTCTGGGATAAAACCCACCGTGACGGGAGTCTGAATAACAACAGTTGGTCTCAAAGTTTACCTGGCATTGGTCTGTGTCAGACCTGGGCCTTGGTGTGTACCTTTGACCTTTGTGAATATGTTGAGGTCGAAAAGGTTTTGGAGGCCTGGTTAACCACTCATTTGGAGGCTTATCGGAGCCTGAAAAAACACAGTCTGAAGCTTCGTTCAGCTCCATGGGCAGTGATTTTGTCTCCATAGCCAAGAGAGTAACGGGCTCTGCTTTCTTAGCCAAAGTTTGTCGTTGTTTGGCAAAACCTTTTACAGCAAGTTCACGAAGCTGTCGGCTAGTCGAAGTGTTTGGACAAGCTAAGACGCCAAGGTGATGACTGGTGGTAGGGTGGAGGTTCTGGACGAACAGCGTTTTGAAGTTCAAGTCCTCCTCCATTTCTGGTTCATTTCGGAAACCAAAGTAAGCTTCGCGTAAGCGGTTGTAATAATGTTGGGGAGGTTCTGATCTCCCTTGTTTAATAGACAGAGCAGCAGAAAGGCCTGTCTGGGTCAAATGATCAGAAAACTCTTCAATTAATGCTTGGCAGAGCAAGTCATAATTATTTCTGACATGATAAGGCTGTCGTTCAAGGAAACTGCTAACCTCTCGACTTGACGTTGCCTTAATAAGGTAGATCTTGTCATCAATGGTTGCACCTGGAAATTTCCTCAGGTAAAAGTCAATGTCTTTCAAGTAGGTGCAGGTGTCAGTAGCACCTTGGTGCTCAGGTTCAAAGCGTGCTATGTTGCGAGCAATTTTGTCAAGATCCCTATCTGAGGGAGATGGTAAGAAGCCATCATGAGGAGGAGAGTAGGACTGTTGGTTTAAGGATGACCTCTCAGGGTCAAGCAGGGTCCTGTCATGATGCTGAGAGAGATACTTAGGAGTTGGTTTGGAAGGAAGTGATGGCGCTCTCTCAGGAGGCTGATCACCTATCATTTCTTCAAGAAACGTTTGCTCCATGCGTTCTCTTTGGGCTCGACCTGACTGGAGGGAGCATTGTAACTCTCTTTGGGCATCTTCAAGTCCTTTGTCTGTCTTTTCTTGCCGTTCTTGACAAAGAATTAACTGTCTTTGAGCTATCTGGAGCTGGTGCTGTAAGGTAGAAGTTTGCTTCTCCTTAACTTCAAGAGCTTCAGCACGCACTTTGACCAGTGCTTTCAAAGCTTTTACATCTTCTGTTGCTTGCTCTAGCAGGGATTCTGACTGTATCAGATCCTCTGTGGTCTTAGCAAGATGCTTATTGGCTTTGTCAAGTTCTTTCTCTTTTTGGTTAAGAGTTTTATCAAGTCTTTCAATCTTGTCTTTGAGATCAAGATTTTCTTCATGACTTATCAGTGAGGGAAGCTTTGACGCTTCACATCTGGCACTGTGTTTTTCTAAAACACTTAGAGACTTCTTAGTCTCTTCTAGCGTCTTTTTCAGAGCGCTGTTTTCTTCTTTTTGCGTCTTTATCTTTGTTAAAGCGCATTCCAGCAAGTAGTCTTTATACTCAAGCTGAGAAGACATCACGACAGACATGCGTCTAGTGAGCTCTTTGTCACGAAGTGTCGTGGTTAAGGCTGTTTCCAGTAGGTCAGCCATTTCATCCTCCGGATTGGAGGGTTTGGCCTTTTGAATCTTAGTCATGTACTGAGGTATCAGCTGACCAGTCAAGTTTGCCAACACTGTGTGTATGTCCCTCAGGGGGTCTCCCTGGCTGGACTCTTTTGTGTTAGGCATGTTTGGTTTTGGTAAAGAGGTGCAGGTGGTTGGTTGATGAGTTTGAGTTGACTTAAAATGAAAGGAAGAAGCAAAATATCAAATTAAGTGGGTTAATCGACTTAATTTATCAGTGCTTGATAAAGAGGAAGAGCCTATCTGAGTAGATCTCTAATGGAGAGAAAAATAACATAAAGTTAAATTCATTTCAATCAAAATTGAAAAACAATGAAATGATGTTAAATTAAATTTAACATCAGATACAGAACCATTGAATAAAGGGTTCAGTTTGTCTCCGTGTTGCAGAGATCAGCAAAGCTTAAATAAACTGCCTGGTGCAGTTGGATGAATTGGGAAAAATCGATGAAATTGTCAATTTAAGGAATTAACTCTGAAATTAATTCACCAATCGCAATAAAGCTAAAGATTCAACTACCCAATTCATCTGAAATGGTAAAATAAATTTCAAATATTAATTAATTTGTTCATTAATTAATTAATCTTATGAGGAGGGTTAATACATTCATGTATCATAGGGAACAGTAAAACTGCTCACTGGTGTGATAAGTAACAACAAGATCAGGTGATTGATTCAATGAGTTACTTTATCAATACATCATGGAGGCTCTTATAACAAAGATAAAAATCAAAATCAATGATCAATGATTTAGAATAAGCACATCAAACTTCATCAACCAAGTCAATCACTTGAATTATGTCTGTAGAGTGTTACACACTGACTACAGGGAGGCAGTACAGCTGGCTGATACTGCAGGCAGATAACATTGTTAGCTCAATACCAAAAGCAACCATGTGGGGCAGTATGGAGTTGGGGTAACTGCACAAGCTCAACACAAGTGGAGAAGAAGAAGAAAAGAGGAAACAGTCATCCAACTAGCCTCTTGTGGCTATGAGGAGTTGGGAAGTATGCAGGAAGGGGCCTTTAGGCTCTGCCTCCTGAAGGGCCTTATCTGCTTAAGGCCAAATGGTCAGTCTCTCCACTGACAACAAAGGGTTAACATTTCACAGCAGGCTGCATCTGCACCCTCAAACATAGAACTCTACACCATCTGCTCAGGAAGATTGGTTCAATAAAATCATTTACAGGAACAAGAATCAAAGTGACAAATCCCTCAACAGCAGATTCAACTGCAGACTTTAAAATCACAAATGCGGCGATTCGTGATCACGGATTTTGTCTGAATTCATTCAAACAACAACCTCCCACTGTTACAGTGGTTTCCTGTGACAGATAGCTTATCTGTCAGGGGAAAGGAGGAAATCTAAATCCCATATAGTTACTAGAACTTCATAGCAGACTATAGAGACAACAATCAAAGTGACAAATCCCTCAACAGCAGATTCAACTGCAGACTTTTTAAAAAATCACAAATGCGGCGATTTGTGAACACAAATTTTGTCTGAATTCAATCAAACAACAACCTCCCACTGTTACAGTGGTTTCCTGTGACAGGTAGCTAATCTGTCAGGGGAAAGGAGGAAATCTGAATCCCATATAGTTACTAGAACCTCATAGCAGACTACAGAGACTTCAGGGGCTTGAAACCACAGCTCGGAGCATCGCGAACACTGGGTTCAGCCAAAGGCCTTAAATACAAGCGTACGGCGACGCAACAATCGTGCACTTAAATATTGGACAGTCTAGACAGAGCAGAGGAGTCAGTCTCACTGCTACTCAGAACAACATTTCACGCTGTCCAGCTCAAACACAGACTACAGGCATGTAGTACAAGAGTGTGTGAAACACAGAGCATAAAGGTTTTATGCATAGATCAGGAAAACATCAGAACTTCGTCAAGCAACTTCAGCAAGCATAGCATTGATTGTGATTAAGTCTAGGATAGCCTGGAAATAAGTTTCTCTCATCAATTTGGAAGGCTAAGTTTTAGGTTGTCTGTTAGTATCCAGAAGTTTTGTTTGAAACGCCTCACACGGGGCACCAAAATATATGTAGTGATTTAAAATGAGCCTCACACGGTCGCACCAAAATATATGTAGCGATTTGAAATGAGCCTCACAAGGCCGCACTAAAATAATACTGTAGCGATTGGAATTTATAATAAATGTCTGAAGATTAATAATCTCAAATTATGACATTTATGCACTCGTTGAAAGGGGCACCACCCACCCTTAATGGTGGGAAAATAAAGGAAACAAAAGTTTAATTCAGAAATCAAACATCAAGTCAGTTTTAATTAATCAGTCTTAATTAATCAGTCTTAATTAATCAGTCTCATATCTTAAGTCGAAATTCTAATTTCAGGGACTCCACTTCTGGAAGAACACTAACAGACCAGAACTTAGAAAAATAATTATCTGTTTATTACAGGATAAATGATGGTACAACACACATGCAATAAATGATGATAAGATAATGAAGATAAATAATAATAGGTGAATAAATCAAGATTCTGAGTCAGGCTAGGAGCACTAAAGTTAATGATAGTGAGTGAATATGCGCTAACATATTAACCTACACTAACTTTAGTGTCGAGATAAACTCGGATGTGGATTTGGAGGAATCTAAGATTACCAGAATAAGAGGATATCTGAGTTGAACGCAGGAGACAGCACCAGCCCTCTTTAGAGCTCTGGAGGTTTGCATACTTAAGTGAGACTGGTCCTTGGAGAAGATGGAGCAGGTTCCGAAGGTCCGGGCTACTGGCGGTTCGAGCGGTTCAGCTCAGAAGACGACTGAAGTCAGCCGAAGGATGAGCCAGGAGTTGCAGCACTCAGGCCCGAAGCAAAAACCAGTGCCTGTGGATCCTGTGGATGCTCGTTTGGGTACTTCTTTAGTCTCACTCAAAAACTCTGGCACAGAGGATGACCTGGGCCTGTTGGATTGCGTTCGGAGGTGACTTTGAAATCACGCAGAAAACTCAGAAAAACGAGGCTCGAAGAGCAGAGAAAACTTTCAAAAATGGCTTCGCGTAATTAAAGAAAATCAATCAAAGGCTTAATCTTGAATTGCTATGTGCACAAAAAGTTGAAGTTTCAAAACTTGAACTAAGACGATGTTAAAGAAAAATCAACGTGAATCAACACGTGGCGTAAAACTTAGAAGACTAAGAAAAAGTTCTAAGAGAAAATAAAGAAACGCACCACAGAAGGGTGTGGGCAGAAGAGAAGGGGCATAAGAGCCGGGGACAAGAGAGTCAGCAGAAGAGCAGAAGTATAAGAGAGATAAGAGAGCATAAGAGAGCGTGAGCAACCCCACTTCACTGGTTTTATCTTCTCACACTGGGAGTGGCTCCGGCGTGTGTGTGTGAGACAGAGGAGGGTCGTGTGGTCTTTGATTATTTGATCTAACTTATTCTTTTGGCTGGTAAAAGAGTCAGATCTGATACTCACTCACTATGATTAATATCATTGAATGCTTGGTTTCATGACAAATAATTTGACACTAAACACATATGAATGAAGTGTAGGATCACATCAAACATTCTCATTATGTTTAAAGTATCACATTGAACATGCTAAATTACTCTGAAATAAAACAGATAGTAACACATGGAAACTGTGAACAACAAAAGAGTAAACACATGTGAATGAACTTCATCATGATTAATAATGGATTCTAAATACTCACATTAAGGTTATTCAATGACATTATAACCACCTAATGGTTAAAAATACTAAATAAATGATTAAAATATAGACCAAACATTTCTAAACTATTTCTGTGTTCATAGAGTAAAGTTATGATCCATAGTCAATAAATGTAACTCTTAAAAGTTCATGAAACAGTCTGAAAAGCTGTTGGTCTAAAGAAACTAAAGAGCGATAACTCGGCTTCTGGAGCACATAGAAAAATGGGAAACATCTCATTTTAACACAAATTTCATGATTAGACAGATTAGTACATTGCTGAATGTATAAGATGTCAGGATCAGTCATTTGTATTCTTTCACCAAAGGAATGTAGTCTTTATCAGTGTATGATCGAGCTGGGTTTTACGACCGAGGTCTGGAGGTCAGTGTATGGTCGAACAGGGTTTTACGACCGAGGTCTGGAGGTCAGTGTCCCCCCTTTTCCTAGGGTCCGTATGTTCACACACTTTAAGACGCTAAATCTCAAATGGGAATTCTGGGTTGAGACGTTAATGTTTATTTAGATGGTCAGCAAATGGAGTCAGTTTGAAAGGTAATAAAAACTCTGTCTCTGTTCTCCGAATTGACCAATCCTGAAGAGTCAGAGGTTTAGTCAACCTCCGGTTCGGTCACTTATTTAACCTGAAAGTGCAAACACGTCTGGAAAGATTTATATCCTGTTTCCTGGGACCAGATAAGGAAACTTTCCTGTAAGGAATGTGTGGGTTTCACATCCAGGGTTGTCTTGATTGCTACACCTCAACATACAAAACAGCAGTCAGCAGTACATACAGTAGTCACATTCACATTTGCTCAAAACAGTAAAACGCATTATACCAAAATAAGTGAAATAGAATAAATAACTGAACACCTTCACATATTCACACTACTGCATGGCATGAAGAAAGTAGGTAATTATAATGAAAACACCATGTGCTCCTCAGCATAATTGCTATACTGTAGGTTTAGCTAGTGCTAGCATACACTGGCATACACAATGCTAGTTCATACTAATGGGATGCATTACTTAGGCCACTTATCCCATAAGACTGTCCATATTCATAAAACATTTTAGGACACTTCTTGACATTTTTTTCTTTGTTTGCTTACCTTCAGAATATCAGTATCACAAGTGAGAAATCAATGTAGCCCATGCACATGGACAACTGTATGACAATGAACTAGCAAGCTAACAAGTATAAACAATTAAGACACACCTACTAGCCTTCCCTCTAAAAAAAAAAACAGTAGTGGAGTTTTTACTCTAATATATATATATATATATATATCTGTAGTTCCCCACATATTTCCTGTTTTTTCTCATTTGTGTGAAATATATAATACCAAAAATATTTAAAACATAAATATTTGAATTCCAATTGATTCCTCACATAAGTATTGACATAATCTAGCACAAAAACAAAAATTACAGAGCAATTGTGGGAAAACCAAGACATCATTCAAAAAACATAATTCCGATTTTGGCCATTTTGGAAATAGGGCAAAAAATATATTTTTCTTCAATCTGGTTTCTTGACACTCGAACCAAAATTGTTGTATAGACCATAATCTACAAATTGGAAGTGAAAAATAAACTTTTACACGAATTTGAAATGAAAAAAAAAATTACATATACATGGAACCCCACTAAGTAGGGCTGGGCGATAAAACGAGAATGATATACATCGAAAATTAACTTCCCTCAATATCAATATAAAACATGGTCAATATACTTTTCAATAGTCAGCATTCTGCCATGTTTTAGTATACTATACAAATAGCCAATGAAAAAGGGGAGTTGCTCTGAATAGCAAACAACTGCATAGTAGGAGGCTGCAGCTAGACGCAACCATAGCATTTAAACACGTGAAGCCAAAAGCACTGATGGTGAGAAGAAAAAAAATGAGTGCGAGCCCTGGCAGAAATGCAGATGAAAGCTCAACAGATGACAACATCGTCGGCAACACTGGCACGAAAACGTTGGTGGTGTTGAGGTATTTTGTTTTTCTGAGGTCGGACATGAAGCAGAGTAATGTGCACTGCAAAGTATGTCGAGTACATGTTTGCACAAAGTCTGGGAATAACTCAAATCTTTTTCACCACCTGTAGCAGTGCCACGCAGCAGAGCACATGCAATGCAAAAGGTTACAAATCCTGAGCAGAGCAAGGAGCCCATGGCGTCTGTGCAGCCGACCATTCAGTCCACTTTCTCTAGCTCAACGACAAAATGTTAGAGAGACACAAAGACCTCACAGATGCAGTAGCTTATTCTATTGCAAAAAGACATGCCACCAATAAGCACTGCTGAATTTCATTCTTTATATGGTGATATATATTGATATCGACTAATATGAAAAAACATATCGTGATAAACTTTTTCCAATATCACCCAGTTCTAGTTGCAAGCCATCATTCAACTTTTCAGAAGCAGGGTGATATAGTGATTAAATTCAACACATACAGAAATTTTTGTGCATTTAAAATCTGTCACTTTAGTAGTATTAGCCAAGCAGCTGTGGTGCCTCACTGAGAAGATGAAATGAGTTTGATTGAAGGCAAGGTAGCAGGAACAATTTTATGTTAAAATGTCCTTACGTGTGGCAGAAATGCAAGAACATTGCTCACAAAATGCAAAAATGAAAGCAGGACGCCTATACAAAGGTCTTCATCAGCAATAAAAGAACCAATTCTTATGCTGTTTTAAAACCAAATGGATCCCCCAAGGAAAGAATATGGCCACAATATGACCCACTTTCCTGAAAATGGTCTCCTCTTCTTCCTCTCATTCTTCAGGAGGGACAAGTCTGCAGGGATGGATGGGATACAAAGCAAAATTATTATAACCTGCTTGATGATTCTTAAACTCCCAATGGTAAGTTTTCATTTACAGTTTTTCTATCAAGGTCAAAAAGTGCTTGAATAAAAACTTTTTTTTTTTTGCCAATACATTTACAGTTTGAGATGAGCAGTGGGAAAGTCCTGGAAGAGACTTACAGAAAATGGGTTCAATATAAAGAAGACTGTGTCAAAATGATTGAAAATGAGCCTCTCCTCCAAGGTAGGACATACTCAAGTCTCTCTGCAATTAAAAAGAAGTATTGAATAAATGAAAAAGAAATGGGGCAAATTAAGACCTGCCTCTGAACTTTAATTAAAAAGAAATCTCTTTGTGGCTTTTCAGTTGAGGACCAGTTTTCTCCCAGCTTCTTTATATCTTTCAAGAACAAGCAACAAAAAAAGGGACTCAAGTGCAGGACACTGAAGACCAGTCCTTAAAGGCAAAAATCAGGGTTTATTCAGTCCAAGGTTCAGTACACAGTTAGGCAATAAACACAGGCAGAGGTATCCATGATGTGAGGCAAAAAGCAGAGGCAAAAAACTATGGTGTTCAACACGAGACGGCTTGAAGATTTCAGTTTTTATGTCCTTTTTTTCATTTCAGGGGGCTTGTTCTGTAACAGGACATTTGACAGATACGCCTGCTGGCCTGATACTCCAGCTGGCACTTCGATCAACATCTCATGTCCCTTCTACCTGCCCTGGTATGACAAAGGTAAACCTGCCTTTATGCAGTTTTACCTTATTGAACCAGAAAACTGAAATCAAACTTCAATGGGTTTCTATCACTTCCATTTGGAACTTTTTGGAACAGATTTAAAAATGTTGTGCGGTCAAAAACACATATAATCAACAACTGAAAATCAAGACTTGATAGAAGATATGCCATACAATTGAAGGGTAGCAAAGGTGAACAGTTTTATTGTTGACTATTTAGCACAATGTATTGGTTAAATGACCCAGACAGTGGGTGGGTGTCTCTGGAGCAGCATTAGACTAGACCAGGGGTCGGCAACCTTAAACACTCAAAGAGCCATTTGGACCAGTTTCCCATAGAAAAGAAAACACAGGGAGCCACAAAACCTCTTTGACATCTAAAATGAAGATAACATTGCATATATTGTTTTTTTTTTTTTACCTTTGAAAAACTGCTGCAGAGAAAAAGAAATGTTATTTCTGCAGGCAAACAAAAATATTTTAAATAGTTTGAAATAATCTTGAAGACCCACTTCAATGAAAATCCTGTTATTCTTGTTGTCTACATGTTCATACATAATTTTCCTGATGCTACAGGACATAATACAGGACGTAATGTTAGTGCAAAATTGCATTTTTGAGTATTTCTGCATTCAAATCACTGTGAATCTCTGGCAGAGCCAAACGGTACTCTCAGACACAGGGAGATTTCCTACTTTACAAATGCAAGCTCTGCCCTCGGAGCCCTGCTATGCAGGCCACACTCAGACGAGTAGAAAAGATTATCGCGCAACAAGCTTGTGCGTAGAATGAAAAACACAATTTCACAGAACAATGTAGAATATATTTTTGCAAAATAATAGCCGATTAAAATGTGAAATTTACTTGCTTAATGTGACTTTCGCTCCTCAATCTCAGAGCACATCGTCTCCACATCCAGGCTGTGTGACATCACATTCATCTTCACACAGGTTTTTGGTTTTCCCAAATCAGCAGTTATGATGCATATTTTGAGCAATAAAAAAAATTAACTTGGTTTATTTAATGTTACAAAAGCATTATAATCTTAAAAAAAAATACTAAAATAAAATAAATTTAAATTAAATATTTATTATTTATTTTCCAAATCCATCAGGAGCCGCAGTTTAGGGAAGAAAGCCAGAGCTCCTCTTAAAGGTAGACCTTTTTTCAGTTGCTGCTGGTAAATATGTGTCATCAGTTGAGACCTTGTCTTGTGGAGTCCCTCAGGGTTCAATCCTGGGCCCTCTGTTATTATCTTCATACATGCTTTCACTGGGATATCTTAAGAGGACCTTCGAAAGTGTCTTTCAAACCTGATTATATCTTTAGATTGTCTATTTTAGTTGATTGTGTGAACTGCATGAAGGCATGGATGACAGATAATTTTCTCCAGTTAAATGCTGACCAAACAGAGGTTCTTATCTCAGCACCTGTTCATGTTGTGCTAAATGTGATAAAAAGTTTTCATGCTCTATCCTGTGCTGTAAAACCTGCCTTCAAAAACCTGGATGTCCAAATGGTCCAGAACCAAAGTCTGAAGCAGCATGTAAATGGACTGGTTAGACCTTCCTCTTCTCATTTAAGAAATACTGTCTATTAAAACTAAGGCCCAAAGTGTCCAGGAATAAGCTTTTTAAACAGAGTGCCACCAACTTCAGAGCCAAAATCTAACAGTAGTTGCGTTGCTTATCTTCTCATCTCTTTTTCTCTTTTAGTGTCCCAGGGTGTGGTTCAGCGGCGGTGTGGCTCTGATGGCCTTTGGGAGAGAGACCAGCATGGGCAAGTGTGGAGGGACATGACTCAGTGTGAAGAGGAAAAAGAGGTCATGTCTCAGGAGGTATGGCAATCGAAATGTCTCTAGCCAGGGTGTGAATATATTTCTACCATGATTTCTTCTCGTTCCTGAAATGAATTTGATTCCTTGTTTGAAATAGATAGTCTTTTGTTTGGCTCTTACTTGTATCACTTTAACATTTAAAGAAGAAAGACAACAAACTCGGAAGTATGCGGAGTATTTGTAGAAGAAGAGGAACAAAAGAAGTTAATGATGGTACAGAGTACATGCCTAGGGTTAAATCTATATCCATCTATCAGTAATCTAATTACTGAGACTGAGACTGAGCAGGATTGAAACAAAAAGAAAAACAACGATTTACTGTGTGATGAGTACATAGTATATACAAAGCTATTAAATGATTTTGTACTGACAGTCCTCCTATGGCTCATACTTGCGTGAGTAATTGCCTTCTCAACAGAACCCAATCAGTGGTTTACTCTGAAAAAAATCTCATTGCCATTACCTCATATTCCCAGCAACATAATAAAAGTTTAGACGGGGATGAAAGATAAAAAAGTCGCATGATGCTAAAAAAAATACTCAGTAGAACATCTTCTAATTTATTAGGTTACTTTGCGAGCAGTTGTTGTCATAATTGGATTTTATAAAATGACATATACATGTTCCAGAGCAACACATGCTGCAAACTAGATAAAAACCTTGCATATTGTAGCAAGACAATGCCTAACCCCATCCTGCACACATTACAGCAGCATGGCTCAGTAGAAAATTATTTGATACATCATAATAAATAATACACAACAAGGAGGACCCAGAATTTAGGGGCACCTGGGGACAGAATTAGTCGAATGTTAGACAATTATTGATACTTTGAAAACATTGGAAACTTATTTACTCAGCCCCAAAACATTTACAGATTGTTTTTCAAGAAGATGACCCTGGGCTAACTATTCTGGAGTCTGTTTTTGTCATCAAAATTTTAAAGGATATACATTTTTCATTAAAAATATGCTATTTTTCATTCATTCAACTGTTCCCTCTCTGCTATTTTCAATTAAAAATAGGATTCAAATGATTTGAAAATATCACAATCTGTTTTTATTAACATTTTGGGAAAGCTCTGCGACTTTTTTTAACGGTCAACAACTGATAGAATTTGTGGCTGACTTGTAGATATAGTGGAGCATCAAGCTGCTCAAGAGCTTTCCTTTGGGATTATCGGGTAAGACAGAGCTATCAGCTAGAAAATATTAGCCAGAGAAACAACTCCACTTGAATGCTTCTCTGTTTATTAATGTCAGATGATTTCTGTTTATTTTCAAGGTTGCTGGGACACCTTCAGTGGTAAATGCAAGTATGTGCTGCTTGTTTCTGTTCAGAGGAAGGCCAAAACTTTCCATTTCAAATGGCAACACTTCCACAGTCCTCTTCATGGGGAGAGGCAACATCAGTGGTGAACTGGTGAACTAAAAAGCAACAATGTGAATTATACCAGGTCTATCCATACCTTGAAGTTTAAATCTTCTCACTCTTTTTTGGAGGACACATCTTGAAATAATTCAAAGTAAAGCCATCAGCACACAAATGCTGTGTTCATGTTGGCAGTGGTATTTTGACAAGCAGGAGACTGTGGAATGTAAGACAGCAAGAGGAATAACCAGCCTAAATGAGGGGGTTTTATGTTACATTATTTATCCAGTTTAATCTTGGCTGTGCTGCAGTGAGTTTGAGAGTTTAATGCAACTAAGGGGATCTGGTGCAAAACACATGGACATTTAGAAAACACACTTTCCAACATCTGATACATCTGCACATTGTAAAAAGGTAAACAGACAAAAAGAAAAAAGAAAAAGAAAACATCCACATGCAGAAACACACTGCACCACACAGCCATCTCCAGAAAACACTTAAAAAGTGAGTAAAATGGCTAGAATGAGATTTTTGTTGCCATGGTTCGGCACCTCTATATCCATTTAAGTTGGCTGCACAATATTGTCTAAAGAGTGAGTCAGGTAGAAAGTGGCAATGCCATTGGCTGAACATGATTGACTGAGTTTAGAGATGATTTTGAGACACAGATTTTATAGTAGATTTTTGTGCATGGCTGTACTTCACCCCAACTCAGTGTTTACTTCCACCAGCAAAGAGAATCAGAGAATCAACCAAAAGAAAACCAACAGAAGTGGAAAACCTCAGAGATGCACGACTTCCCAGAAGTCATTGGTGTTGCAGTTTCCTCCACCAGACCAGAAAATCAGAAGTTGATCAGTTGATATATCATTATTTGAACTATTCATTCAAACTGAATTGCACATGAAGCTAAGGGCATGGCCAAGCATAAGTGTCAACCTGAACGCATTGCACAGTAGCTCTGAGAACCCGTTGCTCTGCAGCTTGAGAAGAAAACAGATGTTTGACTACACAAGTGGAGCATTTTTGCACTTTGGATTTTGGCAGCATTTTTCTTTAAAGTTTGAGTCAGTCCATGCTGTTTCACGGCAAGGAGAAGAGAATAAAGACTTCCTCCTGGGTTACCAATTTGTCTTGACTTTTCCTGTACTATGTTGTTAATTTCATTTTTGTACAATTGCGCTATTTCCTTCAAAAACTCTCACTCCCATTGTATACCTCAGAGCTGCCTTCTTTTCCTCCAGTGCACACAGACTTCAGTGCAATGCTTAATCCTAATGTGCCTCAAATAAGGGACATTAGTAACCTCTTTTTGGTAAAATGGTTGCATGTAAATAATGCCCCTGAACGCCCCTGAATGCCTCTTGTTCAGTCTTCAGAGTCTGTATCTTAGGTTCTATTTGAATGTCAAGTTTGTCTCAAATGTGTCTTTTCAGCTGTGGTTCAAACAACTGATGGTGAGCTTCAGGATGCTGTACACTGTCGGCTACTCCCTTTCTCTCTTCACGCTCATCACAGCCCTGATTATTCTACTGAGCTTTAGGTAAGCTGGCTAACAAATGCCGCGAGGAATGATGTCATTTGCAATTAAATCCCGCAACATGTTTACTGCAGTTTAAATGCAACTCAGGAGTGCAGATAATGTTCTACAGTAATGACTGACATAAATGCATCACAGTTTTGCATTTTTGTGGGATCAAATATATTCAGTGTGTACTGTGATGAGACAAAGTGAACTGATTAAAGGGTTAGTGATAGATTTGGATTAGGAAGGTCATCACGTTCAAAGTTGGCAGGATCTACAGCCAAAATGACACAACATAAAAAATAACAAATCGAGAATGAAGATGCTCCAAAATGTGGTGATTAAACCCCAGATTGAATGGAAATGATTGATTTCCTCTGACAGAAAACTCCATTGCACGAGGAACTACATCCACGCCAACCTCTTCCTATCCCTCATCCTGCGAGCTGTATCTATCATTGCTAAGGACACCATGTTGGAACGCCACTGGGGACGAGAAATTATGAAACAGACGGATGTAAGGGAGATGCTCAGTCACCAGGTAGGCCTGATAATACACCATTGATAAATTCCCCTCCTTTTATAATTGGAAAATTTATTGGAAAATGCAAACATATTTAGCTTAGGTTATAGAGGCTGACACAGCCCTACCATTTTATATGGTGTAAACAATGCATGGTCATAAACACACAAACACAACTACAAAGAAAAGGACTCCAGTCATCACAACAGAAGTGCTTCAGCCCTGTAGGGGGTAACAGTTTTAGGATCTGCTGTAGCTGCGGGCTTGGGAAATGTCCTCAGTTGCTGGCAGCTTGGTCCCCTGATGATCCTGTGAACTGGCCTCTTTGTGTCTTTAGGGCAGCTGTTTAACCAGAGTGTGATGTAGCATATGATGAAATTCTCAACAGTGCACATCAGCAGGAGGCTCTGCAGCAGACTGGCCCTTTTCAGCTTTCTCTGAAGTCTGTTTCCAGTGACTGTGAATGTGTTTGTAGTCCAGAAGAAGTCTCCGGAAATGCGCACAGCCAAGAATTTAAATATGGACACCATCTCTTTCGACCACAGCGGTGATTGATCTCTTAAATGATCTCTTAACTATGCACTTGCCCTGGGATGCCTTCTGGTCCAGCTACTTTCCTACCACTGATGCTGGCTGTAGTGTCAGTTCTTGGTCATCTGGTGGCAGTATGTCTATTACCTTGATGTTATCATCTGTATCAAAGTAAACAAAGAACACGTTTAGGTCCTCTGCCGGGGTTGGGCTACCACATACAACACTATCGTCCTTTTTGTTCTCATGCATTGGGACATAAGTCTGGGATCACAAATTCTCCTCTACTTCGAGTCTGTAGTTGTTTTTTTACCTCCTCTTTTGTATCTTATTCCTGATTATCCCTTGCTAGGCTGTGGACTGTGGTGTCGTTGGCTTTTTAAGCACTATCCCTGACTCTTAACAGGTTCCTGACCTTTTATTGAGGTCATGGCTTCTGATTAGGAAACTTCCAGATTTCTTTAACAGTACTGACATTTTCAGTGTCTACATTCAAACTAACATAGCTGCTCCAGGACAGGTCTGTAGCAGAGTTCAGCTGCACCTGCATGCTTAGCTCTGAAGTTTTGAATAGACTGGAAGCTTTGCCAAAGTAGCTGCTGGGGTCAGTTAGTACAAACACTCAAACTCTTGTGTGCAGAAGCCAAAAAAAGCAAAGCACTTGGTATTTCTGTTGTGATGGCAAAATTTTTATTTGCAGTTATTTTCGTCTTTGTGTTTTTCCCTTTGCACCGTTTTCTGCAATTGCCTCACATTCAGTTTTTAAAGTTGCATTGACATTTTGCAGTGCATTTACAGTATGTGTTGTATTTGTTTGTGATTTTGCATTGTTTTCCTAATGTCAACATTTTAGGCTTTTGCACTGTTTCTGTCAGCCACTGTACTTGAGCATTTTTATCATATGTTTTCTATCAACACTCCCCTAGGCTGCTGTTGGCTGCAGAATAGCACAGGTGATGATGCAGTACTGTGTCCTGGCCAATCACTACTGGTTCTTTGGAGAGGCAATTTATTTACACTCTGTGCTTATTGCCTCTGTGTTCATTGACAACAACAAGTATTTACCTTACATCTGTCTCGGCTGGGGTAAGTGCAAAAGTTTTTCTTGGACTTAAGGTGATTAAACCAGTTTGACACCTTTACTTGCTAACTCCACTGATCAGAAGGTGTAAGTAGACATGTCATTTGGAAAGATGACATGTTCCAACAGAGTTAATCCCATTGTCACCCCTTTGCCCTTATGTAATTCATACTTCAATTATGAAACATCATATTAGTCTTGTAAAAAAAAAACCTGTAGCACTAGTGTTTAATTCACTGACACATTTATAGTTACATATTAACATAATATCGACATCTTCACAGTGTTTATTTTTGACAAAACTCATTGTCGAATCTCACAAATTACTGCTCTTTTTTAGGAACTCCACTTGTGTTTGTGGTTCCCTGGGCGGTGATGAAGCTATTGAACGAAAACAAAGAGTAAGTGGGTTTGTAGTGTTCCCGTGAGGCTTATCATCATCTTACAAACACTTGGTTTATTGAAAGAGGATAGATTTGGAGAAAAAGTAACATCTGCCATGTCTTTTTAGGTGTTGGGCTGTCAATGAGAACATGAATTACTGGTGGATCATTCGTTTCCCAATTCTTCTTGCTTCACTAGTAAGAAAAGCTTATTCTAGGAACTGTCATCATCCTATAAGTCTTATTCATGATATTAATTACAAGTAAAGACTTGAAAGAAACACGTCACTCTCCTTTTTAACAGATCAGCTTTCTGATTTTCATGAAGATCCTCAAAGTGATTCTTTCCAAACTGCGAGCCAGCAACCAGACTGGATATCCTGATTACAAGCTCCGGCAAGTTGCCCAGAAAATACATTCATTTATTTTAGAATTAAATTTGTTCAACTCTTGTGTCTATCTTTTCAAGCCAGGGTCATGCCTGCTGACTCTCAGGCAGGAACAGTGATGGATTTGGGTATGAGGAGGAGGAGGAGGAAGAAAGATGTAGCTGGAAAAATGCATGTTGATGATTGCTGTTTTAACTTCTCTGTCAGGCTTGCCAAGGCAACACTTACCCTCATCCCTCTGTTTGGGATTCATGAGATCATATTCATCTTTGCTACAGATGAGCAGGCAACAGGCGTTCTGCGCTACATTAAGGTCTTCTTCACCCTTTTTCTCAATTCATTTCAAGTAAGTTCAACTAGATCAGAAACTCTGGTCTATCATTGACAAATCTGACACTGTGGGATAGTTTAGCCATCAAGACATTTGATGCTCTGTTGCACAACAAATATAGACTTTGGTGCTCAAACTAAACTGCAGTCTTCTAAAATTTTGTCTTCCTCTCAGGGCTTTCTGGTGGCTGTGCTCTACTGCTATGCCAACAATGAGGTTAGTCCTTTCATTTCTTATTTATTTACCATTGCTGTATCTTGACATAAGGGACATAAGAAGTACAGAACACAGTGCATGATAAAATAAAGATGCTAAATCACATAAAACTTAGTATAGGGTATTGTTATAGTTTCAAGTGATTTTGGAGTTTCAGGTGGGGAAATCACCTGAAATGTTTAGATTAATATCAACCCACACATCATCCATCATCATATTTTTTAGAAGCAAAAAGAGAATTTAAGCATCTCAGGTCAAACATGTTTATATGGAACTGTACATTTTCAGGAAATCAGCACACAAAATTACACATTAACCTGAAGTGACTCACCTCCACTCTGGGTGCAGGTGAAGACAGAGCTAAGGAGGAAGTTACGCAGCTGGAGGATAGAAGCCGAGATTGTCTGCTGTGGACAGTGACTAGCTGTGCTTGACTCTCGAGTGGACACTGTCTCCATCGCCACAGTCCCAGAGCGCAATCGATCCTCTGCCACAATGATGAGGCCGATGCCGGACGGTTCCCCAACTCCTGACAGTTCCCTGATTTTTAGAAATGCAGTCCAGCCATCATCTCTGCAGCCAACTGAATCATTGCTTCACTGTCCGTCAGTGATGAAGAGCGACAACACCCAGCAGTGCAGACATCAGGATGATCCTCTACAACCATCTGTGGCACAGGTGTCATTTGTCATCCATCTTCAAGACCCTGTGGAGTTACTCCCACATGTTGTAAATATAGATTCAGACTGAATACATTCTTGCATTCAATGTAAATTTCAAGATTATATGTGTTTTGTTGTGAATATGTAAATTTGTTAATGTATACTTTTATGTAAACTGTAAATTGTGAATATGTGATAGTGACTGTAAAAAACTGTTAAAAAAACGAGCAAATGTTTCACATTATGTACAAAATTAAAAGATCTTTGCTTATATTGACTGACTATAAGATAAAAATCATAAAAGCTGGGTAATTTTCTGTTTTTGAAAATGCGGTTTTGGTCAAAGCTTTACATGAGTTATGATTAGGTTTGGGTAAAGCCACAATTAGTGATAAACAGGCCCTAGCCGATTTGTGCAAGTTGTTGCAGCCATTGCATGCAGGCCTACATCAGGATCTGCCTGTGATGCAGCCCTGAAAGTACAAAGAGGTACTATCAAATTTATACAAAGATAAGCTCAGACCACTGCTGTGAGCAAAACATACTAAACATTGTGGAAAAACCTTAGGAGGTTAGGTTATGACTTAAGCCAGGTTATCACCTGCAGGAATGTTCATTGCTATCTATTCAATATCTTAATTTTAACCTTGTTCAAAACTGTCTATGAGGGGAGATACTACTCGTGTCCATGAGAGACCATTGCTACTATTAAAAAATGGTACACATATAAGATTTCAGGCTGGGACAATCATCAGGTCTGTGAAATGCAGAGCAGATTCCATACTCTATGTGAAAGTTAGTACCATACAGAGAAATTAGCTCACAGATGTGTTTAGGCGTGGACCTTGATCATTGACATAAAATTATGAGAGATTAAAGGTTGCAAGAACAAGCAAAAATAACAAGCTACCTGTTACATGGCAAAACATCAAAGTTTGGCATACTACCGTGACATCATGTCTTGACAAACAACAAACCATTGATTCTTTAAATATCTATATTGTGTCTACAAGCAACATTTAGATAGGGTAATTTTATTGCCTTTTTTGAAAAAGCCAAAGAATCTCAGAAGTAGCACTTTTCTATCTGAACTACATTACCCACAAACGCTTAAGCAGGAAGTGCTCACGTCATGAGCGTCGTTAGCAACGGCGGAGGTTGGAGCGGGAAGAGCATAAACTGCAGCACCAATACTGTCCGCTTTGAAGTATTTACTCAGTACCAGGGGTAAGTGTAGAAATCTGCTTATACCACGACGATATAAACAAGTTGTTTTGTTTCGTTTTTGGTCGGTGTACACAGAAAATGAGCGTTCCCGTCAGCCAAGATACTGCTTGTCTGTTTGTTTGTTAGCCAACATCTCGACATGTACACGAGCTTTCAGAGCTGCATGAAGTTTTGACAGGACTCTGAAACCAACAGGCGGATCTTCAGATGGCCTCCAAAGGTAGATATAGCTTTTAAGTATTTAGCCAAACCCACTGGGTATGGATACAATAAAACTATAGCAACTGAAGATTTGAACCTTAGTTTAAAGCTATTGCGAACATTTACTAACCAGTTTTGACTTCGCAGGTTGGCAGCATCCTTATGTCAATATATTCAAACATGTCAGGGTTGAAGACTGGAAGAGGTCAACAAAAGAAGGGGACGTGACAACATGCATGGTAACTTTTTGAAAGCTCTGCTCTTATTACAATATTTCAAACTATACACAAAACTGTCTTAAATTTCAAACACAGCTGAACAGTTAAAGGCAGCTTTCAAGTGTGTGGAGTTTTCTCAGTTCAAAGGATTTCAACAAAGAAATGTTTCACTGTGTCAAAGGATAAAAATATTCAATAGCGTATTGCCCTCAATCTGCTCTCATTTCGGTCCAGGGTGATTGATTTTTAACCACTAAGTATTCAGACCAAAATGAGCTTACCTCACATTTGCTTTCAACTTCACTTCACTCCAGGACAAGACATTGAGGTGCTCAGTGTTCCAGATCAAGGGTCTTGCTCCTGCCAACAGCTACATCCTTATACCAAAAAATAGCAACCAGTCCCTGGGACTGACAGGACGCTACTTCTACCTTCTCTTCAGGCCAACACCTGGGAAATACTTTGTGGTGCACCTGGATGTTCCTGCAGTGGTATCTACGTGATTTAAACACATCCTTATATTTCAATATGACAGTCATGTACAACATTTATTGTCAAATCTGAAGAGCTCTGCATGAAGATCTTTTTTTTTTTTTGTATTTTTTTGGTATGGTATTATAAATAATAATGTGAGTGTTGTAGATTTAAACTTGCTGTGTGTGCTTTGATGGCTCAGCTAATTTGATTTCTGTCAGTAAAGCACATTGATTAGGCTCAGACTGAAGCAGAACTTAGATGTCCTTTGACATTTTCAATCTGTGACGAAGAAAACAACAACTTCTCTGAAAATAATTAACCTTTATTTGCCATAAATCTCATTAATGTGTTGGATGTGAACTCTGATTTGATCTGAAATGTTCATTCAAACAGAGAGAAGAAACTTTCTTTCCCTCTAAATTTCTCTTTCTCTGTGCACAAATATATAGGAGGGTCAGGTGGTTCGTATTTCCTTCTCCAATATGTTCAAAGAATTCAAATCTACAGCTACCTGGCTTCAGTTTCCATTTCTGTGTGGAGCTGCAAAGGATTCAGTTTATGAAAGCACAGCCAAATCTGCAAGACATGGTACAACACATCCTCCACGGCACTAACACATGAGTCATTATGTGGATGCATTAGTGCTAATATTTAATGTGTTTTTGAATACATGTATTCTTTCTTGTAATTTTTGCTGCAGTAATAACACTGCTTTTGTTGTGTGTGAAGGTTTGGTTGGTCCAGCTCCCTCCTCAGCATGTTGGACATGTTTGATGCTGGATCTGCAGCATATACTTTCTATCTACCTCAACCGCTGCTACAGTCACCTGAAGAGCATCAAGCTTTGTGCCAACATGGTGGTGAAAAACATGTTTACAAGTGACCTGCTTCTAGATCCAGGTGAGACTTTGGTGGCTTATCTATGCACATACACATACACTTAGAAGGCCCCTTAATAGTCATACTTGCAAAATCTAACACAAGCCTTGACAGTATTTTGGCTGTAGATCATCTACATCAGGCCTTAAACTTCTGCACTGTAATGAAGCTGCCATATCCTTATTCAGATCATCATGAGTTCTGGTATTGTAATGAATTTTTTTATCTTGAATGTTGTTTCTGATACACTGCTCTTATGTAAATGAATGAGGGGACAAATAGTAAGAAACTCTTGATATAATGCAGTCTAGTTTGTTGTCTATCACTTCATTACACAGAACAATCATTTGACTTATACAACAGCCTAAGTGATTATGATACTGAATATGCATGAATTAATTCCTCTGCTGAAACAGATATAGATAACATAGCTACACCTGTACTTCTTAATGTAATTACCTTGGCTGTTTATACTCCTATTTTTTTTACTTTGGCTGTTTTCATCTAACTGAATGTGCTTCAATTATTAAAGTCCTTTTTTCAGTCAATCAGTTAACTTGCTCTTGCCACTTAATTCAATAATTTCATTGTTGGTCTGTCATTTTTTAAAACATGATTTGTTGAGGACCCAAGAGGCACTTGGCACGCACCCCCCCTGAAGACAAAAAAGTACTTGCTCTTTTAGTCCTGTACATTCAGAAGAACTGTTAATTAATCAAAAAGAAAACAACTCCCCCTTCATCCCTTTAAAAATTTAAATCTCTGATTAATTGTAAAACAACTGCATGGAGGTGTAAAACAAAGCTCTTTTGCATCGTTCTTTTATTCACTCACAGCAGCCGTAGTTGTAGACATTGAAAATGACTCCATGGTGATGATGAATTTTCTCACCAAAGGTCCTGTCCGCTTTTTTGGGTCATAAAATGACTTAAAGTTAACATCAGTCTGTTTCATGATCAGTTGAAACACCTTGCAGGAACTTAAGGATGATAGATGTTTTTCACTTTGTTCATTATTTGAAATATTTGAATGAGGGAGCTGTGAATTTAATCAACAGCAAATTTGTTTATTTTGTTGAGCAGTTTTGTTAACTGCTCTCCAGGCTGTCCTTTAAGATTGAACGCTGCCTTCATATTGGTTTTATATGCATTTTCATGAGCCACCAATTGGTTTCCAGTACTGGTCGGGGACAAAGTAATTCTGCCAGCCGATCTGTCAGGAACAGGTGGTAGACAGGTCAATGTAGGGGTGGGCAATATGGAAAAAATATTATATCATAATTTTTTTTTCTTTTTTTGCAAAATCACGATCACAATTTTTATCGCGTTTTTTCAAGGGGCTGAAAAATAGAAATAAATAAAATAAGATATCCAGATTTTAACAACAAACAGCATAACATTAATCTTAACTGGATGGTCTCATTCTCAAATAAACTTAAACCTGAAATAAGACTTCTTCGTTTCTTTCTTTTTTTTTATGATCAACTGCAGTTTTCTCTTTTGACAGGAATTTCTTTTAAGGAGGCCAAGCTGATGGGTCTGGCCTCTTCTCAGGGAACAGGTCCAATACCCAGAGAAATGTCCTTTCCAGTTCCGAAGGGAGGCTCCTGGCATGATCTCTATGATTACATCAGGTAATTCCTCCCTCACCTGGGGTCAGTATGTATATCTCTTTAACTAGTAACAGCACATCTAGGGTGTTTTATGAGCGGATTCCTTCTGATATTACAAACACACAAAATGGGATCGGCAGCCTTTGGCCAACTACAGTTTCCTGCTTAATCACAATGGGAAGTCTCTCATTTCATCCTTCTTTAACAGGTTTCCCTCAGATGGAACAAAGCTGCCTTTTGACTCTATTCAAAAAGACAACCCTGGACCTGACAGCAGTAAGTCATATCACACTGCTCCTATCATTCTGATCTTGAAGTATTCAAAGCTTTTTTCCCGCTCCTAAAATCCTCATCATGATTAGAGATTTAAGCCCTCAGTGAAATAAATCAACTATGGTAAATCCACAGCTAAAGCACAAACATGAGGGTTTTTTTCAGCCCAAGTAATCCTTGGAAAGGAAAGTTTAACTTTGGTATTCTTTAATTTTCCCAGCATGTATCTCCAAAAGTAGAAGTTGTACCAGGGCGGACTCTTGCTGTGTCAGCCTTAGCAAACCTGTCCAGGACCGTGTGTCCCTTATCCAGCAGACCACCTTGCCAAAATTAGTGAGTGGATAACATCAAATACCTTTTTTTATAATAAGCATCTGTAATTTCAAACCACTTTAAAGTATAACAGATAATGAATCTTGAGGCTGTGTTTCTATTTCTGTCTTTGTTATTTGTCTTCCTAGCCTTCAAGGAACCAAACTCCTTTGGCAACTGAAATCCCCCAGCTGGGTGTAGTCTCCACTCACCAGAATCTTGAATGGCAATCTCACAATAATGATGACGAGCAGCAACAAGAGTCCACATGCTTCAGTTCACACCATCTCACATCAAGGCCAACTTGTGATGCTGTTGATGGAGGTGTTCATGTGTATGTTCATCCTGAAGACGGCTGCAGTGAACACGAGGAGAGTGAGGAAGAGGTGAATATTTAACAGGGAGGTACAGAGCCGCAAAGGGTGAAAGCTGCAATCATTATCTGTCTTTGTAAATTCAAAGTCTGTGCGCTGCATCTTCTTGTGCTTGTGATGTTTTCTTGACAGTTTGGTGGCTGCATTGAAAACATTATTATCTTTTCCTGTACTCTCAGTTTGTTTGCACTCCAGTTCCGTGTCCTGTTCGCCTGTCATCGTCCAAAGAAACCAGACAGCAGGTAAGAGGAGATAACAGCACAGAGTGAAAATCACATGAGCCATTATTTGTTGAACATCTTGTTCATAATCTTTGCATTTAACTCTTTTTGCTCTTCTCATTAGAAGCTGCTTCCAGACCCAATCCTCAGGCTCAATCGAATTATTGGCTTTGGAGGAGCAACAACTAGATGTGTATGCTCATTTGGAGTCCATCTGTATTTATTTTGATGCTTTTATTACACCTCAAAATCCCAGAACATACATGTCAGAGGTCTAATTTATGCAATTCATCACACCGTAGGCCCTTTGGACCAAATCTGGAGATGCTGTGGTGTATCCATGTCATGCAATAATTGTCTCTATGACCTTGTCTACTAACCAGCAGAGGTTCTTTATCGGCCACACTGATAAGGTAAATAGACACTCCAGGGATTCATCTTATTTCTGCTCTGTGTGTTAAGAGGTACTGATTCTGTTATAAGCATGACAGAAACGCTGTCTCGTTTACAAACAGATCTAGAGAGGGTGTTTTCCCTTAAGTCTTCTTGAAGTTTCTGACACTGACCACAGTTTTCTTTTGTATTAGGCATTTAATCTTAAAACAGGACGAAGTCTAAAAACACTGAAGGGTACTCGGATTCACATTTTACTGCTTGTACTCCAATACAGAGTTATAAGATGTTATGTTTTGCTCATGTAGCATCTTTTTTTTAAAATATTATAGGCATATTCAATGTTTGGGCTGAACTGCAACATGTTAAAATATGAATACATATAGTCTGCTCTTAATATGCCATATGGCTTGCAAGCATAAAAATTTTAATACTACACTTTTTATGTTCACTCTCACATAAAAAAATAATATAGGCTCAAATGAATGTCATACTTTATGTTGAAAAGGAAACAGACTCCTGTCAACAATCACCTTCCTTCAAATGACTTATCTGAGAGGTGTTTCAGTGTTTTACAGCTGCATCTTTGTGAATAAGTGTAGCATCAAACCGCTAAGATAAAAAGAGAGGAGAAATGATCAGCATCTTTTATATTAGACAGTTATTTCCCTCAGACTTTCAAGTTCTCCTTCAGGTGTGCGTGCTTTTCTGGTTACAATTAAAGAACACCCTTCTTGAATATGTGATATTAAACGTTTTCATCTTAATAGTCCTTTTACTTTACATCTGGTAGTATGAATTTCAGGTCTTTCATATTTGGCCTTTTATAACCAATATTTCTTCTACGGTCCTTTGAGTTCTGTGTCTGTTGATCAATTTCAGTCTCTTGAGCATTTACAGAGCAAGATATGCAAAGACTGCTTTGACCACATGGAAGTACCAAAGTTGACACAAACCAAAAGGTCCTCACAGTAGCTTTAAGAGGACTTATTACTGTATGATCTTTGCTTGCTGCCATTATGGGGTCATAGTCATCCTCTGAGCCAGTTTGCTTCTTTACTTATAAAATGGCTTGTCTGTAACCAGCCTTGGCAACAGTCAGGCATGACAAAGCAACCTCTCAGAACCTGTATTTCACAGCAGAGGTGAAATGTCTGACTATCAGCCTCCACTCCATTTTCTTTGTTCCACGTCATCCTCTCTATTTTCTATCCACTACTGGCTTGACAAAAAACATTTCATTTATGATTCAAGCAGCATCACCTCAGCTAAAGTATGTCTTGCTCTAACTAAAGTTATTCCTTACTTGAGTGCGCAATCAGTGTAGATTTTGATTTGTGCTTATGTGAGTCACTTCCCAGTTTATTTCCGTTTGATCTCTGTGGGCATTTGGAGATTGTTATTTGATACTAACAGGTTCACAGTTTAAGAATAGGTTCATGAATCTGCTGTAGCCTGTCTTGTGAACTTTCTTTAAAACAAGTTTTAGGAAAATTTCTGCTAAATGTTCATAAATAAAGCCCATTGAACTTTATCTATCCTTGCTTTTTCTCAGATATCTGCTCTTGCTTTCAATGGCAACACGACACTACTGGCCTCTGCACAAACTGGTAACCACAGCGTGGTTCGGGTATGGAACTACAACAAAGGCAGCTGCCTGGCCATGTTCAGGACTCATTTTCATTCATTTTCCTCTCTAAGGTAACCAAGTGCATGTGTTCATGGAAACACTTTCATCTTGCCTTTACAATAAGTTAATGTTACACACAGGGTCCTCATCAATCTTGTCCTTCTATTCGCTGAACATTTCAAGCTTCTCACACAGTGGCGGTCTTCTCTGTGGAGCGGGCAAAGACAGACACTGGAAAACAGTGAGCAGCATTTACACAAAGTTTATTATATGCATATATTTAAAGGTTTAATATTTGAATGTCCTGACATGGACAATTACTGTTCCCAAGAATCCATTAGAGTTGACCTAGGAGCTTGATTGCAACTTGAAACACAAGAAAATTCTAAAAACGTCTTTGTTAATTTAACAACTTTTGGGATTATCTGAAAAAAACAACAACACTCTGTGAGCTGACTTTGTCTGTATCTTGTCCTTAAATCATCTGTTCATAGATGGTGGTGGTTTGGAACACAGTGAATATCAGTAAAGGTGGAGAGGTGACCATCTTAGCCAAAGCTAACACAGATGTGGACATCCACACCATCAAAGTGGCCTACTTTGATGAGACAAGGTACACTCTTCACTACCTTTTTTATCTTTATCTTGGCAGTGTAATAGAATATTTGTATGCTTGGGAAACAGTTCTGTGGATACTGTATGTCTGACAATCTGTGGATTTGAATGCAGTGGATGTGAAAGAAAAATTGTTGAGAGCCAGTAAACTGGAGCTGTTTCGTGTCATTTCCGAGGGCAAGCCTGAAATGTGTCTATTGCTACCTTTTTAGTGAATCGAAAGTCATGTTTAATCTGTGATGGTACTTCTTAAAGGATGGTGTCTTGCGGCCGTGACAGTATTCGCCTGTGGAGGGTGCGAAATGGTACACTTCGTTCCTGTCCTGTCAATCTGGGTGAATACCACTCAATGGACTTCACAGATGTGGCCTTTGAGGAGGGAAGCCTGAATCTTGATGAACGAACACTGTAAGCTGGCAAAACATGACATTTTAGTGAAGTGGTATCCACTGGTGTTGTAAAGGAAGCTATTGCAAAACACTACAGTTCCTCAAGTGTCCACTCAGGCTGACTCGAAAGGTCAAAGAAACTCCTTGGAGGCACAATTTTTACAGAAAAACAAAACATGGTCACAGCCTGTTAAAACAGAAGTAGTGGGCAGCTTATCTTGCAGCCTAGCTTTGTTATACAGCAACTGTCATCTTTGTGTACCATTATGTCTCCTCAGAAACCAATGGTTACCATCCCTGAGGTGTCATCAGTGTTTATATATTTTTGTAATGTAGCTTAATAAACCTATCTCAATTTAAATCCACTGAAATCTGTTTTCAAAAAATCTCTTTTTTTTTTCTCCCTCTGTCATTTTCTCCTTACAGATTTGCCAGCAGTCGGAGCGGGCATATCTTTGAGATTGATTACAGCAGAGTTGTGATCAGAAATGTGAGGAGACTGCTGCCTGCACAACAGCAGCATGCAAATCGAAGGGAGAAGTGGACTTTTAATACAGGTGAGTTTGAGATTGATTGTTGAGGGATATCATTAAGTAGTTAAGAGGAATGATTGATTCAAGAACTTTATGAACAGCCTGGAGGACTTAATGTGTGTGTGTGTCTGTTTTCTAGGTCCAGGCATCGCCATCAATAGCATCAGTGTGTCCTCATCATTCTGTGCCACCGGCTCTGAGGATGGCTTCCTGCGTCTATGGCCCCTGGACTTTTCTGCTGTCTTCCTCGAGGCAGGTAAGGACAGCAGGATGTGGAGAGTGTGGAAGCTATGCAATGTTTTTGTGGGTGCAAGTGCTGATAAACTTAGTCTGAGAACAGCTAATGATATATGGGATTTAAATTTTCATCTTGTATCATACTTTATTAAAATCTGCCTCAAAGCATCAAACAGCTTCAGCTGACTTTCACATAATCATCCCATCCTGTTTTCCAGCTGTAGCAGAGGATCATTAGTCACTCAGGTTTTCTTTCACCGTAGAGGCTAACACCTACTCTTAATATTTCAACATACAAGGCAAACATACGTGACTTCTAAACCCTCACGTCAAATTAATGTCTAACAAAGAATTGTCATAAATTTTCTACATGGTCAAACTAAGAGCACAGTTTCTTTTTCTGTCTTCACGTTTCACCCTTATCTGTAAATGTGAGGGATGTGTACTTGTCATTTTGAATCCTTACACACACTTGTTGTTGTCTCTCCAGAGCATGAGGGGCCTGTCAGTTTGGTGTCAGTCTCATCAGACAGCCAACGAGTCCTGGCAGCCACGTCCACAGGTAACCTGGGTTTCCTTGATGTGTGCAGCCGAGCTTACAGCACACTGATGAGGTCACACACAGACACGGTGCTAGGCTTTAGTGTGGACGGCATCCGACGGCGCCTGACAACAGCTTCTTCTGACGGCACAGTGCGCATTTGGAATATGGATTCTATGCACCAGGTCAATCAGGATCCCGTTTACTTGATTCAGCAGCTATTATCACCTCATCACAATTGCAGGAGAGTATCCAATGTTGAAATACCCATGCTGCTCAGCCGATCAGTGTAGCATGCTAAAGTACTCTAATGTTACTGCCACAATGTTGACTAATAGGATGCAAATGGAAACAGTTTTAGCCTCACTTACAACAAGCAGACACACAACGTGCAGGAACTCTCTTGCAAGCATTGATTTGATACTGCGTCTCTGTTTTCACTTTGAGACTTTTGTCTCCAGTAAAATTACTTCATGGATTCAATTTAGCAGAATTTCAGGAAAAGTTTAATTTTAAAATTTCTCAAGAGTTTCCGGTATTTCATCAGACACCAGAATTCTTGTAAGATTTACAGCCTTAATATGATAATATTATTCAAACCCCTTACTTTACATCAGCAAACTACACCGGCAAGTTGTCTTGAGTAACTTATGATGTATTTTTGATAGTGATATTAACAAACTATGTATTTGTAATTTTAACAATAACGTTATTCTTATAGCGCTTTTAAAAACAGAAGTTTACAAAGTGCTTTGACAAAAAGTCATGCAGCACAGAATGTCAGCACATGGAAATAAAAACAAAAGCTCAGTTAAAACAAGGCCTCAGAATTGAAGGCCAATTTCATATGTCATATGGAACCCAGATAATATAAGAACCCTGAATCATAAAATGAGACCATGAAGACCAAAATAAAAACATATTAATGTTTTTTATAATATAAAAAGACGATATTTATATTGATAACAAAATACCAAAGTAATAATGATTATAAAAGTAATGATGAAATAGGATAACAAAAATGAGCAAGAGAAAAATCAATTAAATCAATAAAAGGCCTGAAAGGTTAAATAAGAAAAGATTATAAGTATAACAAAAGCGAAAAAGACAGTCAGCCAAAATAAGAGGTAAGGTAAAAGAGATAAAAGATAAAATTTACTGTTAATACAAATTGCCTCTATTGGCTGCTCATTGTCATTTTTGCTGTGAGTCTAAATGTCTGTTTTTGTCTCCTGTTTTTAGCTGTATGACTTTGTGTCAGAGGACAACCCCTGCTCTGTGGCCTTCCATCCTACTGAGCAGGTCTTCTCTTGTGGCTTTAGCTCTGGCATCGTCAGAGTTGTGGATATATCAAGTGCCAAACTTCTGGCTGAACACAAGTATGTCAAGCAGAACTAATGACTGAAGTTTTATATCTGTAAACTTTCAACATGTGTCGAATTATGGAGCCAAAATGCACACAAATCTCTAGCTGCAGCTCAGCCAGCTGACTGAGGTGCAACACAAGGCCCTGGTAAAGGGGATTTAATACATAGTTACACATTTTTGAGGCCTTTAGTACACTTTAACTGTCAATCAACTATAATGGTGAAACCACTTTAGCGCTTATATATGTGCTGAAAAAACCTTTTAAGAGTATTTGTCATTGTGTATATCAAAGTCTTTGTGTTCATATTTCAGACAGCACCGAGGGGAAGTAGTGGGTCTTGCCTTCTCTCCGGATGGGGAGTTCATGTACAGCGCAGACTCTCAGGGCTCTCTGGCACTTTATAATGCCTCTGAGGAGCAACATGATGTGATCAAAGTCGTTTGTAAGTCGAAGCACACACTTAATCCAATGCACAAACACACATCCAGCTAATTTTTGTACATTTTATGCAGTATTATCAGGACTGTTATCTTTGATCTTCTTAATCATACTGCAAATCAAATGTGTTTGAAACACACAAATGTGCTGGAATACTACAAAACCCAATTCCATTGAAGTCGAGAAATTGAGAGATATGTAAATAAAAACAGAATACAATGATTTGCAAATCCTTTTCAACCTATGTTCAATTGAATACATTACAAAGACAAGATATTTAATGTTAAAACTCATAAACTTAATTTTTTTTGCAAATAATAATTAACTCAGAATTTCATGGCTGCAACATGTGCCAAAGTAGTTGGGACAGGGGCATGTTTACCACTGTGTTACATCACCTTTGCCTTTAACAACACTCAATAAATGTTTGGGAACTGAGGAGACTAATTGTTGAAGCTTTGAAGGTGGAATTCTGTCCCATTCTTGCTTGATGTACAGCTTCAGTTGTTCAACAGTCCGGGGTCTCCGTTGTCGTATTTTACGCTTCATAATGTGCCACACATTTTCAATGGGAGACAGGTCTGGACCGCAGGCAGGCCAGTCGAGTACCCGCACTCTTTCACTATGAAGCCACGCTGTTGTAACACATGCAGAATGTGGCTTGGCATTGTCTTGCTGAAATGAGCAGGAAGGGCGTCCATGAAAAAGACGTTGCTTGGATGGCAGCATATGTTTCTCCAAAACCTGTATGTACCTTTCAGCATTAATGTTGCCTTCACAGATGAGTAAGTTACCCATGCCGCGGGCATTAATGCACCTCCATACCATCACAGATGCTGACTTTTGAACTTTGCGTCGATAACAGTCCGGATGGTTCTTTTCCTCTTTGGCCTGGAGGACACGACGTCCACTATTTCCAAAAACAATTTCAAATATGGACTCATCAGACCACAGAACACTTTTCCACTTTGCATCAGTCCATCTTTGATGAGCTTGAGCCCAGAGAAGCCGATGGCGTTTCTGGATATTGTTGATAAATGGCTTTTGCTTTGCATAGTAGAGTTTTAACTTGCACTTACAGACGTAGCGACGATATGTATTTACTGACAGTGGTTTTCTGAGCCCATGTGGTGATATCCTTTACACATTAATGTCGGTTTTTTGATACAGTGCCGCCTGAGGGATCGAAGATCACGGGCATTCAATGTTGGTTTCCGGCCGTGCCACTTACGTGCCATGATTTCTCCAGATTCTCTGAACCTTTTGATGATATTATAGACCGTAGATGTTGAAATCCCTAAATTCCTTGCAATTGTACTTTGAGAAACGTTGTTCTTAAACTGTTTGACTATTTGCTCACTCAGTTATTCACAAAGTGTTGAACCTCGCCCCATCCTTGCTTGTGAATGACTGAGAATTTTTGGGGAAGCTGCTTTTATACCCAATCACGGCACCAACCTGTTCCCAATTAGCCTGCTCACCTGTGAGATGTTCCAAATAGGTGTTTGATGAGCATTCCTCAAATTTCTCAGTATTTTTTGCCACCTTTCCCAACTTTTTTGTCATGTGTTGCTGCCATGAAATTCTGAGTCAATTATTATTTTGGTTTATGAGTTTATGAGTTTGAACATTAAATATCTTGTCTTTGTAGTATATTCAATTGAATACAGGTTGAAAAGGATTTGCAAATTATTGTATTCTGTTTTTATTTACATATATCACTATTTCCCAACTTCAATGGAATTGGGTTTTGTAGGTTGCTGGATTCACAGAAGTAAGCTATTTGATTGATTTTGACATTCCTCTCAAGGTAATGTGGTGGCTCGAGGCACTGAGCGCACTCCGGACGCTCTCACTGTGAGCTCTGACAGCCGCTGTCTGGCTTTTGTTGGCCCCTCTGACTATGTCATCACCATCGCTGACTCACGGAGCCTGGATGAGGTTATACGCCTTTAAGTTACCATTTGTGACACTGGTTAGGTACATCAAAACAGACTCGAGACTTACTATATGAGAGGGGTGAAGCAGCGTTACCTTTTGGTCAAGTAACATTTAGATTTTTCATACTACAAAGAAAATGTTCCCTGAATGAATCATGTTTTTAATCTCCCCATCCTGTTCAATGATGCTAATTTCAATGATACTTTCTGTTTATTCTGAGGTCTTTATATATGTCTCCTTTGTCCAGTTGCTCCTCGTGGATGTTAGTATCCTGGACGTGGAGAGCCCCTGTGTTGATTCTGCCATGAAAGTTTGCTTCTCTCCGGCCTTCACGGAGCACTTACTCGTCGCCATATCTTCTAACAAGGTCCTCTGGGTGAACACAAAGACCGGTCGTCTGCTTCGGGAGGTAAACTGCTATACTTGAATACTCTATTGAGGGCTGAAAGTCTGTGAAGGACTCTGAAATACAGTTGACGGTCATTTTTAACAATCTCTCAGTTCTGGCAAACTGCATCGCTCATTTCAAAAAGTACTAAATAACTCTGCTTTGCTGGAAGATATAGACCTTGAAATGTACTAAAAAGACAGTTGATTCTTTTCTTAACTCTATTGTTGAGTGTTTTTGTTTGTGACTGGATATCTGTTATCCCAACAGGTTTCTAAGGTGCACAAACACAAATGCTCATCACTGGCGGTGAGTGAGGACGCGCGATTCCTCCTGACAGCGGGGCACAATGCACTCAAAGTGTGGGACTACAGCATGCAGCTCGGTGTAAAGTCCCAGGTAGAAATTTATGTTCTCTGGATTTAGGTTTACTTTTGATTTGAATTAAAGTGCATTGCTTGCCCCAGCTCTCTTTTCCTACAGAGACATGTATAACCAAATTAACTTATAGCTGCTAGTGTGACCAAATGTAAGGACACATTTTTAATTGATTTATATGCTGAAAAATGACTATGAAAACTTGAACTTTTTCACGGACTCTACCATCAATGTTTTTGGTAATTAGGAAACCATCTGCCAAAATCTTGGCATCAGTAGTTCAGTGAAGTATTTTAAGGTCATTTGAGCTCAAGTTTAGAAGTTACACAGATTATAATTGCATATGTAATATCAATTTAACAACACAAAAATCCCCCTTTTCTTAATGTAACCATCAAACTTATCATAATGGTGTTTTAATTGCCTTTTCCTAATTGTCATTGTACCATGTGTACCTTAAATAACCCTAACTCCACTTAATCAAAAACTGTGCTGCCATTTGGGGCTACTAATTTTGAGTTTTGGGACATTTGGTGTGATTACCATGTCTGCCTCAAGTGAAGGTCAAGGATGTCCTGCAGTAGCAGTAGAGGAAGCAACAGAAGCAAAAAAAATATGTTTTTTTTTTTAACCCAAAGGTAGTGGAAGGTATTACATGTAGCCAAACTTGACACCTCCTCACACACAACAGCTGACTGCTATAATTCTTCTTTGTTTTGTTTTCCTGTTGGCTAGGGATTGAATTTATTCAAAACTTTACTTGGAGAATTAATGAATCTTTGTGCGTCAGTGATTTGTTTTAACAGACATGGATCAACTCAAGATATCAAGATTTGTTGTGGGACCCATGAGACTTGAAATGGCAGGATCCATAACCAAAATATTAAATTTGGGGTTTAAAAAAATAAGAACCCAGGTCTCTAATAGAACTGCTGTTTGGTCTCCATCCCTATTTTTTTTTCATCAAAAGACCCATTTCTTTCTCCAGTTCTGTCCCGGGAGGTTTATTTCTGCTTTTCCTCCACAAAACTACTGATGAACCTCTATTTGATTTCCCAGGGAGTGAAGGTTTCACTCATAGAGCATGATTGTGTTAATTGCAGGTCAAAAAATTCTGGGGGTTCAGAAGGAATATGTTCTTTGTCAGTCCGTAGGAAAATACTGCAAATAAAAAACAGAACCGATATCAAGACTTTTGACGATAAAAACATCCAAATGATTAAACAGACTCTTTTGATCGCCTAAGTTATTGATTATAAATGAGGTCAGAACACGTGGTTGGTTTCCCATATTTTCATTTTAAATCAAAAACTTCTAGAAAAGTAGCTGAATTATAAATCAGTGTAATTTTTATGCTCTACAAACATGTCATTTTACTGTTAAGCATTTATAGTCTTCATTATCACAGAAAGCGTGTTGTCCAGGAGTTGTGAAATATTTCTTCATATCTGTGCTAGATGTTCATCGGCCACAGCCAGCCCATCTGCCAGGTGAGCTTCACACCTGACCAACTGGGTGTAGTCTCCGTGGGAGACGCCATCTTTCTTTGGGACTTTCTGGCACACCCTGTGGAGCCTTTGACTAACAGACGGTATGAATTTTATTATGCCTGTGTGCTTCAATATTTAACCTCAAAGATATTCTGTTAAATGGCTGATACACATTTTCTTTTCCTATAGTTCACCCCTCAGAGTGAATTCTGTCCCAGCTCCTAAAACAGGTAATGTCTAACACTGTCTAACACTGCCATGTTTGCTGCTGTAGCACCTGCACTTCATTCAACTGAGGCCTGCAATATGTTTACCTCAGTCTTCAAAGATAAATAATCTAAATATTATACAAGCAGTCAGTACCTCAATATCAGGTTCAGGATATGTGCCTGTCCACCTAAAATCAGTTTCAACACCATGACAAAAATTCTGTCCTGTTAAGCGTATAAACCCAGAGGCCATTATACATCAAGTTAATTCTTTCCGTTATTGTCAAGATATTCTGTCCACAGGTTTCTTTACAAAAGCCTCACAAGTTATGGCATCAGATCTGATGTAGCCTGTAAACTTGTCTCTTGTCTTCCTAATGCCCTGAAACTGCTCTCACCGTTGAAAGAGAACTCTCCAAATGAAATAAGGCTTAAATTAAAGATACTGTTTCTGAGTAAGACAACAGAAAAGGGGATTTTCAATAGCAAAGTAACTTTCTGGTGCTGAACCACCGATTTGGTGTCTTTCATTTAGGTTTTCATCCACAGCACAGCACTGCAACTGTTCTGATAAAAGTGTTTAATTATATTCACTTAAACACTGGCAGCAGTTTAAACTAAGTCTAACCACTACTGAATTTCAGCTGCTTTTGTCATAGTCAGTCATAATTAATTACTTGACTCAGTGGTTGACTGGATGGGACTTTTTGTCACAAAACTTAACTGATTTAAATCTTACTCAAAGAGCAGAAACTACTTTGTGTCTATTGATAGATAACTTCTTACCTGAAGCAGAAAAAAAAATTACACATGGGGTTCCCCAAGGCTCCGTCCTGGGGCCTCTTCTCTTCAACATCTGTATGCTCCCACTGGTATAGATTATAGAAAATAACAAAATAAGTCACTGGAACAATACAGATGACACACAGTTATCCTAAACAGTGTCACCCAGCCCCATACAAGCTTTGAGTCAAGTTCTTTGAATAAATCAGTGAGAGGATGTGCCGTGATTCCTCCAGCTGAACAGAGCTAAGACTGAAGGGTTTGCTTTTGGAGCCTTAGAGGAGAGATTAAAAGTCAGTGAGTCTGTGGAAGGTGATCAATATTTATTATCCGCAATTACATGACACATCACTGCAGTTTTTTGCTTATTTTTTAAAACTCTCATTATATTTTAACTTTATTTCTTTGCTGTTCTTATTTTTTCTTCGCTTTGAATTCAAGTGTCTTATTTTTATTTTTAAATGTCTTTTTAGGTGTGTTTTCTTGATCTCTGTTAAGATTCGTTTAATGTCTTGTTTGAAGCACTTTGATCACCTTTTTGCTGAAAAATGCTGCATAAATGAACATGTCTTGCCTTTACCGTTATACAGGATGTGTCTAATTCACATTTTACCATGTGACAGATCAATCAGAAGCTGAAAAAAATAGAGTTCAATTGTTCAATGGCATGCCTCGCCAGACAGCGCCTCTCCCCTCCTCACCTCCACCACAACTGGATGTCATCACCATGGACCAGGCTGACAAAGGAGGTAAGTCATGCCTACCTATTTCAAATGACCCCCAGGACATTCTAACTGTTTTTCACTGTACAATAAGCTTTTAAACAAAACAGTTAAACGTTTCAAAGTTTAATGAAAGAGTATAATCGTAATCCTGCTTTCTTGCCCATGACTATGCAATGAACTGCACATTTTCTTTTTGTATCGTCAGACAGTTTTGTGATGACACTCTTTGAGGTGTTACAGGTTTTAAGACAAAGAGACTTTTTTAAGAACACAAAAAAACCACTTCTGTTTTTATATTCAAACTGATTGTAAATACTGGTCCGATTAGCAAGAATCTGAGCACTTGGAAAAAGAAAAAGGAGCCCCAAACAAGATTTTTAAATCAAAAGTATTTGTTGTAAATGGTCTCTAATGGATAAACGAACTCTCAGGTCATATTTTCTTTCCTTTTCTGCTTCATGCAGCGTTAGCCTCCATGTCTTTTTGTGATGATGTGCCAAATATCCCAAGTGTTGCTGTCCTGACCACTGGTTCAGGTTTTTCCTCTGACTCCAGACCTGCTGCCTCCTTCCTTAAAGTCACAGAGATGAACAGCACATCTCCCCTGAATACCAGCCATTTAGACATTGGTAAGTCCCCAACTAACTTTCACATTCTTTTTTTTTTTTTCATTTCTTTTTTGAACTAAATGAAACCTTATCTATTATCAATTAATGGTGCTTTCACATTTAGTTGAGTGGAAAGAGAAGAACTTAGTACGTCCTGATTGCTACCGGCATTTTTTCCCCCGTTTTAAGACCTCCACTCTTGATCAGGTAAAAAAAGCCCTTTGTTTCAGACCATTCAGTGAAAAACTGTAGTATTCTTTGAAGTTTGTTGGTTAGTTCTCTGTTTTACCATTTTGGTCTGCTTCAGGCTGCTGTAACTCCCAAACCAGCACAGGAGGGCATGAAACTGAAAGCAGTGATTGGCTACAACGGCAATGGGCGTGGCAACATGGTGTGGAGCCCTGACCAAGGTAAACGCAGAAGTACTAAATGATGGTAGTGAAAAGTATACTTACACAGATAAAAACTCTCAAGTTAATGAGGTAGTTTTTAAAGCATTCACTTGGCATGACGCAGAAAATAAGTATATGCGCCAAAAGTCGGTCAATAGTTATTCCACGAGATTCTGACTCGAGGCTCTCATGAAATTTGCACTTTTTTCCAGTAAATTAAAGTTTTCTGACAGATTGTTGTCAGCTTTTACTCTCATTACAGTGAAGTTGAAATATGAACTACAGTTTTAGCTTTCATCAGTTTTACCTTCCCTGTTGCAGGTCTTTTTGCGTATTCCTGCGGCTGCTTGGTGGTGGTGGAGTGTCTCCATACCGGGAGTCAGAGCCATTTGCACGGTCACAGTGAGGAGATCTCTTGTCTCGCTGTCACAAATGACGCCCAGGTCCTTTTCATAGTTCACACTTCAAAATGAAATTGGCTCTTATTATGGCACAGTTATTATGGCTGTGATGAATTAAGGCTCATTATGGCCCTCCTGGGTCTTAATGGGGACCATGTTTCAAGCTTCTCCTTCTGGTCACATGCAGATTCTTGTTTATTCTCAGGTATTTTGTCCTTTCTGTAAATAATGTGATGCAATACCATCTGTGTAATAATGATATTGATTTATTAATGATTAGTGGTGTTAATGACACTTAACTGGTACTTAGACTGAACATTAGTCCGTCTCTATCACAGGTATGCAGCCACTCGTCTTTTATAGAGAAGTTCTTTATGACTACATTCTTACTTTCTTACTGTGTTATTCTGTCAGGGATAAACCTAATGTAAGCTGCAACATAACTGGTTTGTAGAGATGTACCTCAGATTGGTCATTCCTGTAGTTGTCAAACCATACACTGGAAGCGCATAAGCTTTGTGACACACTTAACTAAGGCTAAAACTAACTGATATTTTTATCATCAAATATGCGTACAATTTTTTTGACAAAACTTGTTGAAAATGTCTAACCTAATCATTGAAAAGCTAATCAGTTGATTAGAATATATTCACATACTGTGGTGGGGAATCATCACAGCAGGTAAATAAGTTATTTCAGTAAGTTGTTTAGTTCCCTCTGTGGATAGGTAAAGGAGCACACTTTCCTCTACTTGTTTATTATTTGATCAAAGAAACGCGAGGGGAATTTATAGCCTTGAAGTACAGTGTCGCCAAGAGAGACAATTTGATGGTTAAGAGCTGCTGAAAATAAGTGCATGATGGGCATGGAGCTCACGCTCAAAGAGAGCCTATTAGGCTGCTTTTATCAAAGTATAAAGGGAAGCGGCTCCATTTCAAATAAATAAATGAAGTGGGGAAAGGTTTTTAAAACAGAAGGCTGTGAGTTATTTTAGGAAAATGAAACCTCAATAATCTCATGTTAATCTCTGTTAGTCCGGTGTATTAAGGAATCATGAATTAAACAAAATTATGATGAAGTTGCTCATTCCCTGCCTGTTTTACCTCTTATGCAGATGATAGCATCAGCATCAGGTGGCAGTGATGGTACCAGGAGCCTTATCTGTATTTGGGACATCCGAAATGGATCTTGTCTTAAAACCATCTCCCATCACAGGGGGGCAGTGCAGAGTTTGACTTTCTCCAGGGATGATCGATTCTTTCTTTCTGTTGGTGAGTAACACTTGACTTTTACAGTTTTCAAAAATTCAGAAAGCAACAGATACATTGCCAAATGACTTTCCCCCTACTGAGCGCTGATTTTTTCTCATCAGGAGATTTCTCTGACCTGGAGGTGGCTTTGTGGAGCACAGATACTTTCCAGCTGCTGTCCAGCATAAGTATGTCAGGACCAGTTCATGATGCAGCTTTCAGCCCTTCATCAGCCAGTCATATGGCCTGTGTGGGCAGCCAGGGGGTTTACTTCAGCCTTATTCAGACCCAGGACTCCAATGTAGACCTCAAGGTACATGACAATGTCAAAAACAAAAACAGAAAACGTTAAACTATCTTTGTTGGCTCAAGTGCTGTTTGATCTTAACCTTTCCTTTTCTTTTGTTAGGTGCAGAGGGTGAGAGTACCAGCAGAGATTGGTGATGTGGAGCTAACGTCACTGTGCTACCACATGGACTCCCTCCTGTTCACCGCCACGAATAGAGGACATGTTTGTGCCTGGGATATTAATACACAGTGCTGCCTGTTGACATGGGAGGCTGATGAGGGCGAGATCGGTATTACTGAACTGTTAACTGTATGGCATGGTTGAAGTAAATATTCAAATGATTAGTTTTAATAACTCATAGAAAAATTAGCTGTCATCAATTGTATTGATCAAAGAGAGATACTTTCTTATCCTATTTTGTCAAATTGTTTAAAATATCCTCATTACTCAATGTTCGCGCCTATGAGTCAAGAGTATTTCTGTCCCACGATTCTAACCAGACTAATGACTTGTCGGTGCAGGCGTCCTGCTGTGCCAAGGGAATCGACTGTTGACTGGCAGTAACACCCACTGGTTGCGACTGTGGGAGGTAGAAGCTGTGCAGGGTGTGAAACCCCAGGAAAAGGTCTGCGGTGCAGAAGACAGGTCAGAAGCACAGCCTCTTGAGTCTTTTCTTTTCAAAGTCTTTTTTTGGCCATTGTTTTTCTTTCTTAGTGTTGCATTATTCTGGGTCTATTTTTACAGAAGAATACACATGTGTTTTTTTGTTTTTCTCCATTGCAATATCTAATTTTGCAAAGGAGCAAGAACTCTACAGGAGGATGGGAAGGCACAACCTGAGTAAATTTAAAACTCCAATCTCCTACAGAAATTTGTTTACAGCTGCACACCATTATTTTTAGTCTGACCCCTGGGATTTTTCAGACAGAAACTGATACCAATATAGAGGGAAAATAACCTTCAGCTACAGTACCGTTCAAAAGTTTGGGGTCACCCAAACAATTTTGTGTTTTCCATGAAAAGTCACACTTATTCACCACCATATGTTGTGAAATGAATAGAAAATAGAGTCAAGACATTGACAAGGTTAGAAATAATGATTTGGATTTGAAATAAAAAATTTTTTACATCAAACTTTGCTTTCGTCAAAGAATCCTCCATTTGCAGCAATTACAGCATTGCAGACCTTTGGCATTCTAGCTGTTAATTTGTTGAGGCAATCTGGAGAAATTGCACCCCACGCTTCCAGAAGCAGCTCCCACAAGTTGGATTGGTTGGATGGGCACTTCTTGCGTACCATACGGTCAAGCTGCTCCCACAACAGCTCAATGGGGTTCAGATCTGGTGACTGCGCTGGCCACTCCATTACCGATAGAATACCAGCTGCCTGCTTCTGCTCTAAATAGTTCTTGCACAATTTGGAAGTGTGTTTAGGGTCATTGTCCTGTTGTAGGATGAAATTGGCTCCAATCAAGCGCTGTCCACTGGGTATGGCATGGCGTTGCAAAATGGAGTGATAGCCTTCCTTATTCAGAATCCCTTTTACCCTGTACAAATCTCCCACCTTACCAGCACCAAAGCAACCCCAGACCATCACATTACCTCCACCATGCTTAACAGATGGCGTCAGGCATTCTTCCAGCATCTTTTCATTTGTTCTGCGTCTCACAAACGTTCTTCTTTGTGATCCAAACACCTCAAACTTGGATTCATCCGTCCACAACACTTTTTTCCAGTCTTCATCTGTCCAATGTCTGTGTTCTTTTGCCCATCTTAATCTTTTTCTTTTATTGGCCAGTCTCAGATATGGCTTTTTCTTTGCCACTCTGCCCTGAAGCCCAGAATCCCGCAGCCGCCTCTTCACTGTAGATGTTGACACTGGTGTTTTGCGGGTACTATTTAATGAAGATGCCAGTTGGGGATCTGTGAGGCGTCTGTTTCTCAAACTAGAGACTCTAATGTACTTATCTTCTTGCTCAGTTGTGCAACGCGGCCTCCCATTTCTTTTTCTACTCTGGTTAGAGCCTGTTTGTGCTGTCCTCTGAAGGGAGTAGTACACACCGTTGTAGGAAATCTTCAATTTCTTAGCAATTTCTCGCATGGAATAGCCTTCATTTCTAAGAACAAGAATAGACTGTCGAGTTTCAGATGAATGTTTTTTTTTCTGGCCATTTTGAGCGTTTAATTGACCCCACAAATGTGATGCTCCAGAAACTCAATCTGCTCAAAGGAAGGTCAGTTTAGTAGCTTCTGTAAGGAGCTAAACTGTTTTCAGATGTGTGAACATGATTGCACAAGGGTTTTCTAATCATCAATTAGCCTTCTGAGCCAATGAGCAAACACATTGTACCATTAGAACACTGGAGTGATAGTTGCTTGAAATGGGCCTCTATACACCTATGTAGATATTGCACCAAAAACCAGACATTTGCAGCCAGAATAGTCATTTACCACATTAGCAATGTATAGAGTGTATTTCTTTAAAGTTAAGACTAGTTTAAAGTTATCTTCATTGAAAAGTACAGTGCTTTTCCTTCAAAAATAAGGACATTTCAATGTGACCCCAAACTTTTGAACGGTAGTGTATGTCACAAGAGTTAACTAATAAATTAGAATAGGTCTGTGCACACTGTGAGCACTGTTTTACATTGTCAGTCAGTTCTTATGCAGGTCACGCTCTGCTCAGTATTGATGCTCCGCAACTTGTGCAGCAGAGAGAATTATTAACTATGAGCTGAATTTTCTCTGCTGGACAAACTGTGTGATGACGCCATTTTTAAACTATTTTAAACTTTTTTTTTTTTCAAAACTTTGGCTTGTAAAATCATTTCATGTTACCTGTAAAATGGACATATGAGCCAAAGCCAATTCACATATCTTTGATAGGCCCACATCAGCCCAAGATCAGCGTAAGTACTGATAAGTATATTGTTCAAGCTGTGATTTTTTTAATGAGAACTTCCATTTATGTTCACAATCTACATAAAAAAGTACATCTTCTTTAAGTCTCTCTGGCATTGATAAGGGAAGAAGAGGATAAAAAAGTGACAGCTACATTAGACAGTTTAAAAGCTGGACTCTTTAATCTTTTCTTAAGAAGTGTTGTAGCTGAAATCTGATATTTGTCAAATAGAAATAAAAGACCTTTGCTAGCTAGAGGGGGGTGTCTGGATATGATTCTGTGTCTGGCATTTTAACATTATTATGAGTTTTTGAAGTACCCCTGCAGTATCTCGTGGACTGACTGTCCCTAGTGTCTGTCTGCCAGAGGGCCTGTGGTGGTGTTGGAGCAGGAGATCATGCTGGATGGTGCGACCGTCAGTGCAGCTTTCGATAATACGATGGACATGGGCATCGTAGGCACAACAGCAGGGACTCTCTGGTACATCAACTGGCCAGACAACACCAGCACCCGACTTGTCAGCGGGCACAAGACCAAGGTGAAAAAAATACCCAGACACTCACTTCCTGTGTGTCCTGCTGGGGCTTGAATACTAAATTGATAAACCAGATCCAAGTGTGCTGTTTATCTGGAGATAGAAAGTGACATTTTTGAGAAGACCCCTGAAAATAGACTCTTCTAATTAATACTGATCTGTTGCTGAGGTTTACAAAATGCCAATGACAACCTTGACAAACTATTTGTCATCTTCTTGCCTTTGAAACAGCTGTGACGAGATTTGGATTACCATAAAGTTTGTAGTATGTATACCACTGCTGTAATTCTCTGACACACAGTGCCGTCATCAGATCCAAAGTAGAAGTTTGTCCCTTACAGAATATTGACAGTATTTAGCCTTTAAACCTGGCTTTTCTGTGCATTCACATGATTAACACGCCTTTTTTCCTCAAGGTTAATCAGTTCATCTCAGTGAAACCTTTCTAATGACATAAATTAGGGTTGGATGGCTTTTCTCTGTTGTAATCAACCATGGAGTACTCTGTGGATACACTTGAATGAGTAAATAGAGAGATAATTATTTTGATTACTATGATCTTCTAAAGGACCTGTGTTAATGACCCTGTCAGAGCAGCCAAGAACTTCCCTAGGAAGCAGGAATCTTTAAGTTTGTGGAAATAAATGTTAAAAAAATAGCAGAGAGGAAGTTACAAGTTAGTATTAACGTATGCTGCTGGTGACCAACGCAGCAAACACCCCTTTAATAACACATTTGGAATTGTGAGTTACTTCAGAGAAGCAAAGAAAGTCTAATTCTCAGAGGGAAAACGTTTGATTGAGGAGACACTTTGATTCAAGAAAATGACGGCTTTTACCACATTATAGCTCCCTTTGTCTGACTGAAAAAGCTGTCTGAGAATAGATTGTTGAGTTTTGCTGTTTAAGGTGCAAGACTCTAAAATGCCCTGCTTGAGGAACAAAGTCTACAAAATTATAATTTTCAGCTTGTTTTGTGTGGTGACAGTTTTTCTAGCTGCTTTTTAATTTAATGTTTTGATATTTTTTTTCTCATATGTTTTCACTGGTTTGATAAATTCAGTTTTTTACATTTCATGCCCACAAGGAAATGTTTTTATATTCAGCTGTATTTTTTGAGCTTTTTTTATTTATTGAGCTGTTGTTATGATGTTGACAGTCTTATCTTTGTTTTTATTGTTTTCATTCAGCAGAGATTGTGCTGCTGACTGCTCACTCTGTGTGTGTGTGTGTGTGTGTGTGTGTGTGTGTGTGTGTGTGTGTGTGTGTGTGTGTGTGTGTGTGTGTGTGTGTGTGTGTGTGTGTGTGTGTGTGGTCAGACAGTGCTGTCTCTGCATGCTTCATGCTCTGCATCTTCTCCCCTCTCCTGATCAGGTAAATGACGTGGCGTTCAGTTCAGACGAGAAACATTTTGCCACTTGCAGCGGGGACGGCAGTGTAAGGGTGTGGTCGGCCCTCAGCAACGAACTAGTGGTGCAGTTTCAAGTGCTTAACCAGGTGAGGAAACATATAGGGAATGGTAAAAATCAGTGACATTAGAGGAAATAACTTGCCCCCTGCTGTTTCTCTCTGTGGGCAGGCCTGTGGATGTGTGTGCTGGAGCCCTTCTTCAATTAGGGAGAGCGCATATGTGGCTGCAGGATACAGCGACGGCACCTTGAGGATATTCAGACTTGCCTCCTCAGAGATGGAGATGAAGCTGCAACCCCACCATGTGGCTGTCACTGCACTTCAGTACTCTGCTAATGGTACAAAAAACAGCATTATTTGTGTTTGCAACATTTATTGATCTTTAAACAAAAATGTTCAAACATGATACAAAAAGCTTTACAGCCTTTAATTATTGAGATTTTTTGTTGTTGTTGGCACATTTTACTAGTCTACAATTATTTGTACCAACAACACATTATATTGATTCAGAATAATTTGAATTAACAAGATCCAAAGTATTTTCTTGAATTTGCCCATGAAATCGATCATATCACTATAAATGAGGGTAAGTGATGCAGGGGAGATAATCAATCCTGGTTAGTCAGCACTGCTTAGCAATGATCTGTCTTGGCAGTACTGTTGCTATGTGAACAGCTCTAATCATAACCTCACACGTCACTCTCTGACAATATTTATAATCCTTTTATGTTAGAAAAAAAAGAGACACAAACAAAATAGTCAGTTATGGGATGCAGCCATGTTTAAAAAAAGATAAATGCTGTGCTGCTGGTGCTCAGCTCCTCTCTTGATCAGAAGAAGAACTTTATTGCTCCCTGAAGGGAAATTCAATTGTCTGTAGTCTCATGTCTCAAGTCATCTACTGTCATCTATAGTCATCAACTGCTAAGGCTATCAGTTTCATCCCAACTCCAACAGTATTGTGCCAAAGTGTCTTTTCGCGTGACAAATTGCTTCTGGTGACAAAGTTAGCAGATTTGAGGGGTCTCTGAAAGCGCCATATAAGCCCATTTGCCATCGATGTACTGTATATCTATAGTCGTGAGGTTCCACTGCTGTTTAATAATTGAGCCAATATTCTGATAGGAAGGTGAGAGTTCTGTTGAAGCTAATATATTTCATTCAATAACTGTCCGTGGCCCCTCCGCGTAGGTCATGTGATCCTCTCAGCTGGAAAGAATGGTCTGATAGCTGTCAGCAGCCTGGTGAATGGAGCAACAGTTCGAGTCATCAGAGACCACAAAGGAGCACAGATTACCTCCATTCAATGTGTGAATGAACAGGTCAGTTCTACAGGAAAAAAATAAGAGGCATCACTCACTCATGACAGACATCTTTCATTTCGCCATTGTATACTGTACTTTGAGATCTGAAGAGATGCTCTCCCATCAGTCACATGCACTCTTGACAGTTTTTCTGCCCACACCTGTGATGCAGAGAATGGCCTGACATTTCCTTTCAACAGCTCTTCCCCTACTCAGCAGACAAGGTTATGGATCTTTTGTGATGCTATTTACACGCTGGAGGAAAAGAGGACTCTGAAATGAATTCTTTGACATTTTGGGACTTTTTTTTTTCTTTTTTCATTCATAGTGTCTTAAGTTCAATTATTTTCAATTTTCAGTGTAAGGATTTCGGACTGAAGGGAAATGAGCTGTGGTTGGCTGCCAGTGATGACAGACGTGTCAGTATGTGGGCTGCGGATTGGATGAAGGACAAGTGTGATCTGCTGGACTGGCTGACATTTCCTGCTCCGGCTTATACAGGGGTACTGTTTGTATTGATTGGACAGGATGATGGTTAGAAGTGTCACTCAAAGTGTTTAGTGCTGCTAAAATATGTGATCTTTTTATACTTTACAGAGACACTAGTTTCACATTTTAAGATTTTGTTCAATTAGTAGTATCATGTGTTACTTTGAAGATCACAGACTCATGTCTACCTTGTTGTTTGAATTCATGTTTCACTAACTTAATATTTTAAAACATCTTTTAAAAAATTCATAGAACGACAGCCCACCTCCAAGCTTGGCTGCCTTCTGCCCAACAGACCCCAGCTTGGTGGTCTATACTGGCTACGGGGTGGAGAAAGAGTTGTCCTTCTACAGCCTGGCTAAAAAGCAGGTGAGGCAGCTCCCCCCTTCTGCAATCGCTAACATGTTTGTTTCCCACCTTGTGTCTGTGCTAGGTTGATGTCCCCGGTAAAAATAATAGTTTATGTGTTGTTTTAAAATGTGCTTCAAAAGCTCTTCTTTTATATTTTACACAGATAATTAAAAAGATCACCCTCCCTCACTGGGCCTCATGTTTTAGCCTCTCCAGCAAGGGTCACCTCATTGCTGTAGGAACAAAAGGTAACCTAACAGCCATTTTTTCACTGATTTTGGGTTAAAGAAATAAAACTTGTGTTATTTGACAGGGTGTGATTAATTCTTCTTTGTATTAATCATCCATTAGAGCGAGTGCTGAAGTTGATTGAGTCGACCAGTGGCAGGTTTCAGGACTCCGTGGAGCACAGTGACTCACTGCAGACTTGTCACTTCTCCCCCACTGGGTCCCTTCTTTTCACTGTAGCTTATAATGAGATCCTGCTTTGGGAGGTGCAGGGCTTCTGAGGGCCGCACTTCTGTTCGTGAAAGCCAAAACTATTGAGGTTTTACCTCACACGCATGTCTGGTTTATTTTTGTTGCTCTATGTCATTTTATGTGTTTTATATTTTAAGTGCATTTTTTAAGTTTTGGAGAAACATTGTGTCAGATTTGCCTCATTGCATGATGTATGATTTCAAAATACAGCAATATGAAGGTAGTTTTATTAAATTGGGAGGGGTTCTTTCACCTCTTTCTTATTTGACTATTTATTGAAAGTTATTACATTAGTGATAATTTGTTCATGGTTACGTCCAGAAATAAAGACATACTTTTGAACAGGCGCAGTGTTAATTCTGCACGAGAACCTTTTCTGTTTCTTTTTTTTTTTTTAAAAACACACTCTGAGTAAGCCTTTCTGGTTATTCACTTTCTCTTCAGGGGACTTCAACACCTTGCTGGTTTGGTATTTAAAAGTTGAAACACCTGGGATGCAAAATAATTGGTTTATTATAAGGCAAAAAAAAAAGAATCTTAGAAAGATAAATGTATAGATTTTGTCAGTCCAAGTACAAATATGAGTGAAGGTTAAGAAATTAGAGTGTGAATTCAGTAAAAGTAATTTTTTTAAGCCAGTGCAAAACGCAAGAGGGATCAAAACAGGAAAAGTACACAGAAAACATTTGTGGCAATGGACATAAGAGTCATTCTACAGTTAGGGGTACATTTCAGGTCGACCAAAAATGCAAAATGTCAGTATTCTTTTTTTTATAAATAAACTATATGTTTCTATGATATACACCCTTAATGTGCTCAATCAATTAATTGGCAAGCTTAAGCTCAAATGACTTAAATTATTTTAATGAAAATGAACATTTGATTTATCATTTTGTCAACTGTGTTACGGACAAATGTTGTGTCATATAAAACCTATATAGAATACTTAAGATTTGATAACACATTTGTTTGAAAGTGTTTGAGTCCATACACCTGGGGTTTTGAGTTTATCTGTCCAACTGATTTAAAAATGTGAATTTTGAGCTTCATAAAAGTGATGTTATGGGGGTTCACTGGGTAACACAATTGACAAAAGTTTCTCAGACACACACAAAGTGGATGATTTAATGTGTATGAATGTGCAAAATTGATTTTTAAACAACTTTCTAATATTTTAGTAATTACTTTGAACAAATATTTACAAAAATGTTGTACAAACAGCATAAAACCAACAAATTCCAGAATAGTACATGCAATTTTTTGCAAAAAAAAAAAAAGAAAGAGAAAAAAGATGATATCTGTTAAACTTTTTGTATTGAATAAAAGAGAAATGTGCCCTGATATAAAATTGATCATTGGTTGAAGATAATATTTGGTAAAATTGAAAAATACAGTCCATGGACATGACATGTACCCCTAATTATAGAATGGCTCATTAATGGAATTTAAGTTCTCAACTAATTTTAAGTTATTTGTTTTAACGTTCTGATTCAAGTAAAAAAGACTGACAAGAAGTGTCTGGCTGACAAATGAAGAAACACCACTGGAACAAGAAATGATGCAGCAGCGTCTGTTCTGCCGGCAGAGGGCGCGCTGCCACCGTCTCCTCTGTGAACCGGAACAGTATGGGTTCACCTTGGTTGCAGAGAGCTGTGGGGAAGGCACACATTTTATTTTAGCTTGAAATTTGACTTTCAAATGAAAGATACATGTCCCAGTAGCACTGCAGCGCGTCGAACTGTTCTACAAACAGAGACGAAACATGAAACAGGACGTGAGGATACTGCTGCTGGGGGAGCGTGAGTTATCTGCACTGACAGCTAAACACGACTAGCAAACATTAGCCGTTAGGGCTAACTCAGCTAGCTGCTAACTTGTTGTGGAATTTACTTGTGTTACTCCTGGTGGCACGGTGCCGGAAATGTATATATAACGAACTTATTGTGCCTTGTATGAGAAAATCAATCTTTTTTTCCGGGGTAAGAGAAGATTTTCGCTATGCTACCCCGGCTTTTAAAAAAGTATCGTTTGAATTGTTAGTGGTTATAATTTAGCATTTGGCCGTAAAAAAGTTGTCAGTACTTTTGAGTTTGCTTAAGTCCATTAAGAACATTTGTTTTTAGTCGCTCACTTTCATTGTATTTGCATGATTTTAAAACTATTATTTAGTTGAGGAGAGCTTAGGTTCTCGTCGCCAAGTGTTATTTGATCATTAGCTTTATTCATCAACATCTCGATGTTTCCGCCCTCTTACAGCCAAGGTGGGGAAGACCTCTCTCATCATGTCTTTGGTCGGAGAGGAGTTTCCGGAGGAGGTAAGTGTCAGTACAATTCTCAAACACACTGTGGTTTTACATCAACACTCAGTTTCACTGTAAGCTGGATCCTTACAAACTCTTAATTCCTGGCTTCAGCTTTTTCTTTAATCTTGAGTGTTTGGTAAAAAATAAAGAAGTCGGTTGTACGGCTCTTTATTTTGAGCTTACTGTGAACTTGAGGTAAAGAAAATAGTTATGTTAACTATCTAATAACCCTCAAGTTGCAAGAAATATTAATTATTGTGCACTTCCTGACTTTTCATTCATCTTCATGCCCCTCTCCCTGCTCAGCTGGTGTCTGGATGTAAAGAGACATCCCTTTTTACAAGACAAATACTGACCCCATTATTACACCCAGAGTACTGTTTCACATTAATTAAAAGGAGGCATAAATCATGAAGGTACATAATTTGAATTGAACTCTTGCTGGTCTCACAATCAGTGAGTTATGGTGTGTCTAGCTTCACCTTTCAGGGTCATATTGGTACACTTGGTACCCCAACAAAAGGGTGCCAGTATGGATCAGTTATTATGGCAGCTTTCCCAACTTTCACAATAGAAATGCAAATAATGGCGTATGGTACTCTACCATAATGTCCCTAGCTGCATGATGAAAATGCAGCTGTGCTGAACAGGTTTATCCTTGTGCTCTCATGAAAATTTTTGCTGGTGCTGTTCCTGAGAGCCAGCCAATAAAATTTCCATTTTGCTTCAGTGGCTCACTTTGCATTATGACAACTCTTTCCACTCTCACTGCGAACTTGGCTTCTATACAGGATTATATCACTCTTCAGTTTAATGTGAAACACTGGAAGTAGAATTCATGAAATAACATTTTCTTCAAAATGACTGTGGAGCAAAATTTGTTTTATGCTTTTATTGCAATGTTTTTGTCACGGACTACAAGAAACACACAAAAAAGTTGAAAATTAGGCATTTAATAAAAAACATATCACATATTTTTGCTAATTTATACATAACAGAGAAGACTGAATTCATATTACTCTATACCAGTGGTTCTCAAGTCCTGTCCTTCGAGGCCCACTGTCCTGCATGTTTTGGATGTTTCCCTGCTCCAACACACCTGATTCAAATGATCAGCTCGTTATCAAGTTCTGGAATGGCTTAATAACGAGCTGATCATTTGAATCAGGTGTGTTGGAGCAGGGAAACATCCAAAACATGCAGGACAGTGGGCCTTGAGGACTGAACTTGAGAACCACGGCTCTATACCAAAATGTGTGATATATCTTTTTAAACTTCTATTAATGCAGCTTGCAACTTTAATTACTCTGTAGGAGCATGTGTTTGAGTTTCCCTTTTGTTTCTTCTTTTTTTGAATCTAAGTTTTTAGAGTTTGCTCATTTACAAACTGAATAAATGAGGTATACTTAGAGCCAACATCTATAGACTTCTGTAACACAATTGTGCGCATGTTTATTGCATTTTTCCTTTAAATCTGACCTTCACATTATCATTGTTATGTTATGGAACTTTTTTTGTCCTGAATCAGTTATGGTATGATTTGTTTAATGTTTGTGATCTTCAATCTCTTACAGGTTCCCCCTAGGGCTGAGGAGATCACCATCCCTGCTGATGTGACTCCAGAGAAGGTGCCCACACACATAGTAGACTACACAGGTAACACAAGCTGAAATTTATCATCTATAGTTTTGGTTATCCCTTAAGTTCTTTTGCATTAAGACACCAGCTGTGAATCGATTGAGCGAGTGACTCGAACCATTGTTCATCCTTAACAGAAAAGGAGCAAAGTGATGAAGTTCTTCGAGATGAAATCATCAAGGTAATTAATAAACCTCAGAAAACTCCTTTTTAGACAGTCTAATATTTATTGCCACGCCTGGTTAGAAATGTGTATTCAAGCCATGTAAACGAGTGTAACGTTTCTTTGGTTTGCCGTAATTTTGTATACGTGTGAGTTCATACAGCTGGCGAGCCTAACAACACAAACCTCATCATTCACTGTTTTCCTCTAGTTCCACCCATTTTTCTCAATGTCTTTGCACTTCGATACTTCAACATTAGATTGGTCAGCCTCAGATATTCTTTCACTCCTTTTTTATGTTGGTTTCCATCACAGACTGACATATTTTTCTTCAATTTTGTCCTCTGTATAATATTCTGTATTTCCTCATACCCACACAGGCTAATGTGGTGTGTGTGGTGTATGACGTCACCAATGAGGACACGATAGACAAGGTAGTATTTTGAGACGCAGTTTGTACTCTACAAGTATTCAGTGTCCTTTGGAGAACATTCACTTGCATAATGAAAAAATTTGTATACTATTTCTGTAATTTATACTCCCTCTTTTTTCAGATAAAAACCAAATGGATACCTTTAGTGAACGGAGATGCAGAGAAAGGCAACAAGTAGGTATCAGCTGTGTTACCTGTGCACATTTGTAGCACTGGACTTTGCTCTCCTTCCTGCTGTTTACATTATGTAATATTGGCTAACTTGAAGTCTAGGAATTAAAGGCTTTTTTCACTAATCTGCTGTTAAAAAAGACATCAGAATGTCTACATAACTCCCAGTGTATATCTTAATTTCAGCTACATTGAGACTTTTGCTCCTATCTTACCTTTACCGTGTTATTTTCATGCAAAACACATTATGGTCGTTCAATTTCCTTGCTCTTAATTGTAACAACAGAGTTCCCATCATCCTTGTTGGAAACAAGTCTGATCTGCGCTGTGGGAGCTCAATGGAAACTATCCTTCCTATCATGAACCAGTTCTCTGAGATTGAGACGTGTGTAGAGGTAAGCAGACCTTTTGCCACTCTTGTCTGTCTCTTTAAACCACTGCAGTCTTTGAAATGAATGTTTATCTTGCTATGTAGATACAAGATGTGATGATTTTGAAAACATGGAGACCCCAAGCTCAATTAAAAAGAGCACAAAAACTAAATACTCTATGTTCAAATGACAGATCTAACTCTTTTTGGGAGATGATGAGCTCAACATGTTTCCAAAAAATGGCTACAAAGTGTGAAATCTTGAAAGCAACATTTGATCAGGATCACACATTAAATTCAGTTTACTGACAATAGGTTGGGAGCACGATAAAAGGGTCATTTACAGAGGCTGAAATAGGGATGGGAGGCAATCCACCCATCATTGAAGGCTGTGCAGGCAAAAAATGCAAAGGTTTAAGAATATCTTTCAATGTAAAATTGCAAGAAGTCTTTGGAAATCTCAACATGACAGGGACAAGGATGAAAACAATTATTGAGAGGCCTACTCTTCAGGCCATTGGGCAGTCCTGCATTAAAAGGAGACATGACTTAATCGTGATCATAGCTGCATGGGTTCAGGGACAAAAAAAACTTTATTTAAGATGAACTGAAGTGAAGTGGAGTTGTCCTGTAGCATCAGGAGACTAAAATATGAGGTCTTTGGAAATCATTGATATTGTGTCTTGAGCCTTAGAGGGGAAGAGAAAGAGGACCACCTTGATTCTTATCGGTTTTTAAGTCGGCATCCAAGACTTTATTGGAAGGCATTATAGCATATGGCATAGTTCACAATGGTGATAGTGTACCAGGGAGGGCACTGCTCATTTCAGCAAAAAAATACTAGATCTGCCTTAAACATGTGTTGCAAAAAAATGAGGTGAAGAAGAAGCACAGAGATAAATGATACCCTCTCCTAACTTTTTTTTTTACGTGTTGCTGGCAGTAACTTGTAGTTTAATTAGGGCTTAATTTTCCAAAATTCTGCAGCTTCGACATTTGATGTGTCAGCTTTGTGTGACTATCAGTTAAGTATGGGGTTTTAATGTTTGGTAATTATCACATTAGTTTTTCCATTTACATTTTACACAGTATCCTAACTTCACTGGAAATCAGTGTGTATCATTGCTAAAGTGACAGTATCTAAAATACTCTTTCTGCTCTTTCTCTTCTTTAGTGTTCTGCAAAGAACCTAAAAAACATCTCCGAGCTCTTTTACTATGCACAGAAGGCAGTTCTTCACCCCACTGCCCCTCTTTACGACCCTGAGGACAAACAGGTCAGCCACTTTTGGGAATCAGCTGCACACTGAGGAGCCAGCCTGGCTCCCTCTCCTGTTGCATCTATTTATATGAATGATAAGTTGAGTAATTTCTTTGTTCCTTTAATACTTCCCCACTAGCTAAAACCGCTGTGTGTCCGAGCCCTCAGCAGAATATTCTACATATCCGACCAGGACAATGATCGTATCCTCAGTGATGCTGAACTCAACAGCTTTCAGGTACCAGTTGGTTACATTTTAGATGAAGATTTCAATTGTCACATCAACCTCAATATTTGTTTGTCATATCTTCTATGTGTAGAAATCTTGCTTTGGGAATCCTCTGGCACCTCAAGCCTTAGATGATGTGAAGACAGTAGTCTGGAAGAACACCAGCGATGGAGTGCAAGACAACGGGCTTACCCTAAATGGTAAAAATCAGCCCTGAATGACATGCAACCTTACACTGTGTTGTTGCTGTAAGCTGACTCTCAACTAATGGCCGTGTGCTCTTCCCTCTTTTGCAGGTTTCTTGTTCCTTAATACATTATTTATCCAGAGAGGGCGACATGAAACAACGTGGACAATCCTCAGGAAGTTTGGTTATGATGACAACCTGGAGCTAACAGATGATTACCTTTACCCTGAGTATGTCATGTGACACAGCGACTCAACTGTATCAGTTTTACACGGATAGTATTGCAACAGGTTGTTTTGCTAGAGCATAAGAAAAGATTCCACTCACCATACTGTACATGGTCCTCTACTTTTAGACAATTATCTGTGTTTCCATTTGGCTTTCCCCTTTATGTGCAGACAGTTATTACTGGAGAATCTTGGGTAATGTAAAGCAACAGCCATGTCCCTAAATGACAAACTTAAAAACTACTCAGATTACCTTCTGTATGCCATGTGGGGCCTTAATTACTTTGTTTGTTTTTGATACCTATGTGCTTTTTCTTAACTTTTTTTTTCCTTAATGTTTTTGTTTCTTGGGAAGTTATTTTCTGTCATGTTTGCCTCAATTATTTAAGACAAAGGCAGACAGGAAAATAGGGTAAAAATGGGGTTATGTGAAGCAGAGGGTCATAGCCGGGAGTTGAGTCAGGGACAGCTGTGACAAGGACTGCAGCCTCAGGACGTGGGGCGCACTGTTAAACTACTGTGCCAGCTGGTACCCCATAAATGAAGGCTTTGAAAGTACAGGAAGCTCGTGGTGCTTTATAGATTGACAGAAAAAGAAAGCTGGATTTTATTTTGTGTGAAATCTGAAATTGATTAGATTATGAATAATGGTGTGTAACCTTCTTCTGTTAATAATTATAACCTGTCGTCAGTATTAAGATAAATTTGGAACCAATGGTTACTCTAAGCCTTAACATCATGTCTAGGAAGCAATATCTTTAGATATGACATATGACAGACTTGGTTAATCCTATTAAACAGTGTTGCATGAAAAGCATATCAAGGGCCTCCTCATTGAATATCAGTCCCATTCTAATAGGACTTTTGTTGTACCCAGTTGTTTAAAACATCTTAATTTTTGTGTTCCTCTCAGATTGCGAGTCCCTGTCGATTGCACCACAGAGCTCAATCAGTTTGGTCACCAGTTCCTCCAGCGGCTGTTTGACAAGTATGACGAAGTGAGTAAACAACTTGAGCATTTATGTAAGGAGGAAGAATATCGATTTCTGTACACAGTGGAATATGTGGAATTGGTGGATTTCTATCTGTTTAAAAAGTGACCTGGTTTCCTTCCTAGGACAAAGACTCAGCCCTGTCACAGGCAGAGCTAAAGAACCTGTTCTGCGTGTGCCCTTACATGCCATGGGGCGCAGAGGTCTACATGACTGTCCCAACCACAGATGAGGGCTACATCTCTAACCATGGCTACCTTTGTCAGTGGACGTAAGTGCTTTTGTCTAATCATTGATGGTTTTACAGTTTTGTAAAGACACACCAGCTTTGCACTTTTTCCTCATAACTTCTGTTCTGCACCGCTCCAAGATCACGTTTGTCAATCCCTTCACATGCAGGCTGTCTGCATACCTTGACATCCACCGTTGCCTGGAGCATCTAGGATACTTAGGCTACCCAATACTCACTGAGCAGGAGTCACAGACTGCCGCCATCACAGGTGTGTGTGTGTGTGTGTGTGTGTGTGTGTGTGTGCAATTACCATTTGAGTAGCTGGATATTAAACAAACAGCATGTGAATTACAGAGGTCCACAACATCTCCCCATTCAAACAAACAAACAAACTGAATTCCCAGTCTCAATGTTGATCAGTGTGGGCGGATTACTGGACTTAATCCTATCCTAATAGATTTACATACATGTGGGTTCGTCCTTGAGATGTAAGATAGCAGTTTGTTCGATTTGTGCTTTTGTTTACTGCATGTACAAACACAAGCATGGTCTAAATAGTTCACTTTTCATTAAAAGTTGATTTTTTTTAATACAGCAAAAACCATTAAAAAAATAAGAAATCATAATTTTTTTTATGATTGAGCTGTTATGTGATTGAACTGATTGTGACTGTGCTAATGAACTGTCTGTGAACTTGTGGCAAACTGAGGACAATCAGAGAGGGAAGCTTTGACAAGATTGGAAAGAGTGATGTAATGTGTCTGGCTGCTGCTAATCTCATTTTCTGACTCTGTGCCAGAAGTGAGCGCTCTTTCTTTGTTGACTGTAGGTATCTTAAGATAGAAAGCAACTTCTTACTAGCTTTACTGTCAGGGATTCATGGTGCTGAATGGACCTTTTTATCACGTGCTAAGGTACATTTATTTTGAACCGTTAAAAAGTCTTCAACGGTATGGCTATAAAGAACAGATCTTTAAGACTGGGTGATTTCCTGATTTATCATCAAGTGCAACACAACAGCTTTGGTTGAAGGTACAGTTTAGGCTGAACTTTTGAGGTAAGGCTGACTGGTCACATGGGTGCCACACAAGTTAGCTGAGTCACAGGACTCCTAAAATAGAGACTGAACAGGTGACAGACTCTGGTTAGTCCGTAAACACTGTGTTGTGGTAGAACTGTCAGACTAAGTGAAAGTGTTTCTCCCATTACTAGTTAAAATCCACGATAAATCAAGAAAGCTTTCCATAAAAGTAACCCTAATACATGTGAGAGAGAAGCTGTTGTGTGGAGGCTGATGTAGGGAAGCACCTTATTAACTAACTGAAATTGAAAGCCAATTCAAAAAGTAACAGATTAGTGTTGTTCTCTTTATTTGATCTTGGTTTTATACCTAAATGGCTCAACATTGTTGCTCTCTTTTCTCCTGAGTATAAACCTGCATTTTTCTTACACAAACAGGATGAGTACACCATGTGCTTACACTTGTGTAACGTGCACTCGCATCGTGTTATAAACCAAGTAGTTATTCCCTGTGGAAATCCTAAAACTGCCAGTGGAGATCACTTTACCTCGGCCTTCAGTCAGCCAAAATAAAATGTATCTTGATTTTATTGTAGGATTGATTCAATCCAGTTGTTTTGCCTCTTTGTGAAAATTTTTTTTTTGCTTTCGACAACCTGTGTCTCATTTTTGTTTTATTCGATATTGATCCTGTTATTTTTTTGTACTTTTATGTACATCTTAATTGATCAGACCTGAGATGTAGTAGCTCCAAACCTTTCAGCGTAAACAGGTTCGTCCATGTGATGTTTTCTATCATCTTTCTTTACTTTTGCCTCCATGCTCTGTTTGCCAACACAAGCTGAGTGGAAAGAGGACAGAAGACGGCTCATCAGTTACCCCTGTAGAGACGCTTACACATTAGTTCCTTTTGATAGGTGGATTTTTCTTACCTGCAGCAGGAACGTCATCCTGTGCTTTGGGATTTCAATGTTATCAGCCTCCCACCTCAGAGTGTAGTAAAAGGATTCGCTACTATCTACTATTCATTAACTTGATCAGTTTTTTTACTTCACCTCGCACAAAGCAAGAAAATGGAAACATGAAATTATTTATCTACTTGTGTGTTGCCAGTTTGTGATATCAGGCATAATGGCAGTTATTTGTGATAATTTACATTGTGTGTTTCTACTTGTTTATGTGTGCAGTAACACGAGAAAAAGAAGTGGACCTGGAAAAATGTCAGACACAAAGGTCTGTGTTTCTCTGCAAGGTGATTGGACCACGGGGGACGGGCAAGACCGTCTTCCTCCAGGCCTTTTTGGGCCGTAACGTTGTGGTAAGCCACCATCTGCTCATGTAGAGCTAAATGCATTGTTATACAGCGATGAGATAGTAATAATCTGTATCATTAATAATTCTAATTAGAGGATATTTTTCTTTTTTGCCGTCTGTAGAATAAGGAAAACTCCGGTAGTGCCTTCTCTCCCTACGCCATAAACACTGTCCATGTCAGCAAACAGGAGAAGTACCTTATCGTAAGTAGCTCCTCCTCTGATCTTAAGATTCACTCTTGACCCCGACTTAATCCTGATCCACACTCTTCTCTGTGCAGCTAAATGAGGTGGATGTGGAGGTGGAGTTTCTGAAGGCATCTGACGCCTCCTGTGATGTTGCTTGTCTCATGTACGATGCCAGTGACCCTCATTCTTTTGACTATTGTGCCAGCATATACAAGGTAAGACTCCGCAAAATAACTGCATGAACATTCACACACTATTGCAAATAATATCAGGGACTTTTTCAGTTAGTGCTGTAAGAAATACTCTGACAGTGATTCTGCTGCTGTTTGTTAACAAAAGTATTACAGCTTACTTTGGACACATGTTGACAGAAATGTGCCAGAGAATAGAAATGAGCAAATGTTATCACTTGTTAAGAGGTAGGGCTGCAGGATATATCATTTTGAACATTTGTGCAACAAACACATCATGTTGTCCCTACTCCCTCGTTTTCCAGGTCAAATCTACAACACACATTTTTCTCATTTTGTCACATTACCCAAAGAAATACACAATATAAACATTTTCATAGATACACTGACTGTCAGAGATATACCAGCAAATGCTCCATCAGCGAGACAGATCTGTAACTGTGCGTTTATGCTCGTCCTGGGGCTTGTTAATGTTATGGGCATAAATAAGCGACCGGGACAATAGAGTGTTTACCTGTTGTGTCAACAGCTGCAGCGCACAAACGGTATAGTGTTGTGAAAATTGCATGCAAATAAAGACAGCAAGTTTTTGTTTAATTCTAAGTGAGTAGAACAGGGGCTGATTGGGCTGATTAAACTTGAGAAACAAAGTCAAAAATAATTGATGATGTGCAAGTAGGTCAATTTTGTTTATTAATGAAGTTTATGAAGTAATGCACCGCTCCACCCGTACTCTCCCCCCACTTGTCTCTCTCATGTGGGTATTTGAGCTATCAGAGAGCTGGACCCAGTGTGGTTAAAGAAGGAAAAAAAGAAGGAGGTTGATTTGATTGGAAAAAAGAAAATAGTTTGGAAAAACCCAATTGTTTAAAATTTTGATTTTTTTTAAGTACATGAAATATATTTATGTAGAATAAATTCCTGGACTTTGTCATAAAAAAGAGAGGGAAATAATAATATAATGTCTTTTCCTCATTGAAAATCAGCCATAAATAGCTGTATCATCATGATATTGACATGCATTTCCAAACTTTATGATCCAACTGTACACAGTTGGTAGCAGCAGGGGAACTTTGTCTCCTCTCTCTCTCTCTCTGCAGGCTGCACATAGGCAGACAATAGTCAATTTCTCTGCTAATGCGGATTCACCGTCCTCCGCTCTGCAACTTTATCACTCTTCATCGTGTTGCAGTTTGATTTCCATCAGTGATAGTTAGGCGACAAGGCTCAAATGGATTTTTGCACACAATATAACCAGTACTTATATATATAAAATATAAAGCAGTTCTTGTTTTCTACTTTGATGAAAACCAGCCATTTATTGGCATTTACCAAACAGATGCTGTTAAAAATGCAGATATATTACACTTAAACATATCTCCCAGGTCATGTATTTGCATGATAACAATTTTTCAATGCGCTGCATTATTAAGGATTTAATCCATCTGTTCATCAGTGGTTTTCCTAAATTGTGTGACTCCACTAAAAAAGAGGGAACACCGTAAACACTGTAACAACTTGGTTCTTTTCTCTTTACTCTGCTCACATAGTTTTCACTCATTTACTCATCTCTCACTCAGCAACACTACATGGAGAGCAACATCCCATGTGTGCTGGTTGCCTCTAAGATGGACCTTCCTGAAGCCAAACAGTTCCATGGGATGACTCCAGCAGAGTTCTGTTATAAACACCGACTGCCTCCACCTATGCCCTTCTCCAGCCTGTATCTGGACTCCACCAGCAGGAACATCTACAGCAAGCTTGCCTGGGCAGCCATGTACCCGTATGTTTACACCAACCAAACTGCTGCCTGACACCTGATAGCTTGTAGAAAAAAAGGGAACACATGTTTTGAACATTTGAGAATCTAATGGTGAGGTTGGTTGTTTAATAGACTCCTGTGTTTTTTCTCTGCAGACACCTGAATGGTTCCGACATGAGCAGCACATCCTTCTGGCTAAGAGTAGCATTGGGCTCAGCTGTGGTTGCAGTTCTAGGCTTTGCTATCTACAGAGCTGTCGTCAGAATGAAATGATCAACAACAACATCAACCGTTTTTTGTTTTTTTTTCAGCCTGACTCTTCATCTGTCAATCCATCCATCAAGACCAAACTTCCAAGACCACATCCAGATCCACCGCAGTCTGAACTAAACCTAGTCTGCATCATTTTACTCTTCATCCCAAAGACTGCCCATCTCAGCATCTGACCTCCTTACTTGGTCCCACTTTCTGAGTCAATTGACCACCATAGTCTAAGGGCAAGTGGAAGCTATTGATCATATTAATCCTCCTGCTGCTGTGCCCAGCTTTATCTGCCTTACGTCGTCCAAGCAGGCTTGCTATGACTGAGCCTGTGTGCGCCCTGAAGTGCATAGATACATGGAGAACTGCTCATGTCCAAACAGGTGCTTTATCAGAGGAATGAAAATGCAGGTAGACAGCCACGCCTAATCTATTGCTCTCCCTTCCATGATCCGTTCAGTGTTAAAACCGAAATTCTAGTTTTTATATACAGTACATGCTGTGTTTCCTACGCTTATTATTAAAGTATGCCAAATTGAGTCAACTGAAGAACCAAAGGGCAGCACAGAAAGATTTTTAACAAAGCAAACATTCTGGTGGGCTGCCAGTGAGTATCTTGCAGAAGCTTCATAACAAACAATTCTTCCTTTTAATCACAACAAATACAAGTAGTTCATGTTGGGATTTGCCAAATAACTCCAGCAGCGCTGATAACTTTTAGCATGATTGCCTGAAAATGAAACACTTTCATGATTTTAGCAGTGAGGCCTCGATGCAGCAGAGAAATGTGCATGAAAAGATTTGCTGATGCATCTGCGAGAACTCTGATTTTAGAAGACGCCAAGAAAACCTTAAAATAATAAATATACTGTTTGCCATTTATCCAAAAGAAATCAGTGAATTTTGATTAATGCTGAAAAAGACTGTCAATCTGTGCTTTTTTCTATTGACGAACACCTGACACTGTGCACACACTTTGACCTTGTTACATAATCTGCCATTGTTTTGTTTCCAACATAAGTTTGTCATGTTAATTTCTGATTTGTTGCTTTAATCAGCTGGGGACCTGCTGTTTATTTTCTGCAGAATACACCTCTGTGACTTCTAAAATAAGTCTGCTTTCTTACTTGAGTTTATTTAGAATCTTAATAAAAGACCAGACTTGGTGGGGACTGCTCCCAAAAAGAAATGCTGCTGTTTGGATGACAGATATATTTTTAATTTTTTTTTGCTGTAAATATGTCTGAAAGTGTTTTTTTATCTTCTCCTTGTTGGTTTTATGTTTCAAATTTTTGCTTTAATTTTTTGCATTTAAACCCAAGTGTCTAACTTTAAGAGTTCACCACAACCGTTTTGTCAAAATCTCTGTTTTTCGAATGATTGAAATGAGGTAAGCAACAATACTTATAAACACTTGAATAATGAGTTATAATTCATGTGTTATCTTATATCATAGCACCCCAGTCTCAGATCTGACGTTGGTTAAAGTAATAGGTGGTAAAGTTGGTATTCGACATTGCATGTTTGATCTTTTCTTGAGAATGAGCACAAATTACAACCCTGTTATTCCAAGCATCTTGAATTTCAAGAAGGTCTTGGACAAGCCTGTATGCTCACTTTGATCCTCCTGTCTGAAGCTGTCAAACAGCCTCAGGCAGGAGGTGATAATGAGTAGGAGTATGTAGATGATAATGTGTGTGTAATCCTGCTTTCCATCAGTTTGACTCCAGACTGCTGTCTCCCGACTAGACTGAAGTGTAGTTCAAAGAAGACACCACTAGATGGCGATGTGGCGTATCAGGTGAGCGTAAGGACAGCATGCAAAGGGTGTGTCTGCATAGCCATCCCACGGCTGCTCAACAAACACTACTCGGTAAGGTAGGAGATAGTTCTGACTTTAGTCATATGCTCCGGACTCATAAAAAATGATTGGGGCACATGACAACTCTGACTTTGAGTTAATGTTACCAAAGTATTCCCTCGCTGCGTGTTAAGGTTTCTCAAGCCTTTTCTAGAGTTTCTAAAGTATCAGTGAAGTTAAATTAGTCTTAATGACGTGTTCTACCAGTAAGAATATATTTCTGGAGTCCTTACATTTTTCTGTCTTTAGGGTTAACTTTCATTTCCTAAACTGACATATTTAGTCTTACGACTGAAATGTAGTTCTCTTTTATTTCCCTTTAGAGCTTCATTTGAGCTTGTACAGCCTTAACTTAGTCAAACCACCCTCTGTCAGTAGTCTGTCACCCCATTATTTTAATTTAAGTCGCTAAATGTTTGTCGACACATTATCTTATGGTCAGTAGCTAAAGCATTCAAATAACCCACTTCACCTACCTTTCTTCAACAGAATTACGCATCTTATCAAAGTTGCCGTGGTGGGCATTCCCTCCTAACATCTTGCGCAGCGTAGTTACAACTACCTTATAAACTTTTTTTCCCACGGAAGAGGCGCCATTTGTCTTGTAGATGATCATCCCATGTCCCATTTTACGCACATTCTTCCCCAATCCCCGTCACCAAGCATTTTACGCGTGCGTAAAATGCGCGTAATGAGTTCAGAACAACTGATTGTAGAAGATGAGCAAGTTTTATTGGATATCGATATAAACAGTCTTGTAAAGTGAATAACACAGTACGATGTTAAATTTTATGAGTTAACTGAATATGAGGAATTATACAGATTGGAGCTTGAATGACAATCATAGAGCCCCCAGGACTTAACGTCCATTGCATTGCCCACTGGTTGTACATTGTACAAGGCTCCATAATGCTCACCATTGACACACTTTCTGTTTCAGCATGACCCAGTGCACTAACGAGAACTATGAGCTCGACTGTATTTACAGTTTTTCTTGTCAGAATAGTCATTTCAAAAGATCAGAAAGAAATGAACAGCATTGTTAACGCCAAATACAACGCTCACAATTAATTCTACAGCATCTAGAGTCAATAGTGCAATGGAGAAAAAAACTTAGTAAATATAGCTTAAGTTTGCATGAGACCTTACAAAAATAATACATATACGAAAACGTTTCCTGAAGTATTTACAGTGACTTTCTGGTATTGTCTTTTCACTTCTTTTTTGCTGATTTCGCTGCCTTTTTGGGTGCCTTTGCCTTGGGCTTAGCTGCCTTCTTTGCTGGTTTTGGCTTTGGCTTGGCCGCCTTGGCTTTCTTTGCTGGTGCCTTTTTGGCTTTCGCTGGTGTTGCCTTCTTTGCGACCTTTTTCACTTTCTTGGCAGCCGCCTTCTTGGGTTTTTCGGGCGTTTTGGACACCTTCTTGGGCTTGGCTACCTTCTTGGGTTTGGAGGGCTTTGCTGCCTTCTTTGGTTTGGCTGCCGCCGCTGCCTTGGCCGGTTTCTTGGTGTCCTCTGGTTTGGCCAGCCTGAAGGATCCGGACGCACCGATGCCTTTAGTGTGGCGTAGCATCCCACTTGCCACTAGCCTTTTCAGGGCGAGTTTAATCTGTACATCAACGTTGTCGCCCACCTTGTAGTTCTTCCTCACGTACTTCTGAATGGACTGACGGGACGCTCCGCTCCGACTTGCGTCGTGAACAATCGCCGCTTTAATCATCTCCGAGTATTTGGGATGTGAAGCAGGTTTCTTGGGCTTGGCTGCCTTTTTGGCTTTGGCTGGAGCCGCCGACGTTTCTGCCATGGTCACTTTTCTCCCCAGTTAGTTGTCGAAGCGAAAAAAGTCCAGGAGGTGTATATACACCCGACTCAGCTGGTGCACAGAGTGTGAGGAAAAGCGTCTGGAAAATGCTCGGCGACAAACAGGGCGAAAACAAAGACTTATAAAAAGCTCTATTTCTATTGTCGCGGCAAAAATATAATGCAATAAATGTCCATAAAGCAGGAAGCGTCAGTTTGTTGAATCACTTAAGTGTCTTATTCCACAGGCGCTTCACTGAACCTATGAAGCCTATCTGCGGACGTGATTGAGAACACCAACTGCCAGCAGCTGATCTAACGGACTCCATGGAACTGGCGCCGTCCCGTTTGTGTTTCTTCATCCTCCAACTCCTGACAAATAAAAACGCTACAACGCAGAACTGACCCACAAAACATCATGGGCAGATAGCTGAGACATTGGGCTTCCCGTGGACACACTTGTTCGTCCTCATTCGTGTCGGCGAACAACTTTTATTCCCGGAAAACCCACTGGAAGTAGCGCGTGCTGTGAACAATTTTGCACAATTCGCTTTAAATTGACCCAAACAGACGGAACCTGTGGCAAAATCACCTAATGCATAACCAAATCCAATCTATGCTGACATGGATGCATGCGGTTCTGCGGGTGCAGGTGTCCGTTTATGCTTTTAATACATCGATACATTTTCCCAACTAACACAGTCCGGCCATTGACTTTGAGTGACGTGGTCGAGATTATTTAGTGTTAAACCACGTATAAATTAAATGTCACGATGTGTAAGTCACAGGTGACACTCGCAGTGATAATCAGGGTTTATACGGGTTGAAATTCAGTGGTCGGGTTGGCTGTGTTTGCTGCTTTTTGGACGGAATTGGTTATAAGTGTCACTATGGCAGTTGCAGCTCGCGCTCCATTGTCAGGAAAGTTGCCAACACCTCCAAAGATCAGGGATACTGACACCGGGTCAAAATATTGATCCTCGTGGTTCGGGTAGAGGTTCAGGTATTAAATGTGTGTTCAGATATGAATCCAGCTGCATTGGGGGGCTTCAGCTGAAACCAAAGTCCTTCAGTATAGGGCGCAGTGATGGCTTTCTATTGTTTAGAAACTGGCGCATCAGAGCTCAGCCAATAACAGCTTTTACATCAGGGTTTTTTTTGCCCTTAAATTAATAAATTTACTGATAGTCTTAAACAACAATTCCCTCCAAAATAACAAAGTTTACTCTTGTTATCCTGTATTATTTTCAAATTTATTATCAGGTCTGTTGTCCCTCCCTGCAACGCCATTTTGATTCCTATATGAAAGTCACAGACACTGGAGCAGGGCTTTTCTCCGACTTTTAAGGCATGTTACCTCTCTTAATGAACACTCTTTTTATCATCATAAGAAATTCGCTATCTTTATTAACGCCACTGCACAGTGCATTACAGTGGACAGGCATGCACTTTGTAAGAGCGGTGTTCCTTACAGGGTGCACTACAATGGGATACAGCTTATTTTGAGACGATCATGTGTCCTCTATTGTGCAAGTGAACATGATAAAATTATATATATTATATCTTTATGTATTAAATATGATTTCTTTATTTTAGCTTTAAATTAAGTAAATTAAGGTGAAATGATTCGAGGACATTGTGAGTCCCTCCATCATTCCACCTGTGTCCTCAGTGAGCTGAGGATGATTGTTTTGGTGTTTTTTCTTTGCCCCCCCTCTATTTGCTGAGTGAGTGAGTGTGCATGTGTCTGAGTGTGTGTAGGTGAGTTAGTGGGTTAGTAAGCACGGACGGATTGAATGAGTGAAAACGAGGAAGGAGTGAGGGAGGAGGAGAGTGAGTGAGTGAGGGAGTGAGTGAGTGAGAGCCAGGCTGAGGAAGGAGGGGGGGAGATGAAGGGATGAGTTGTACTATGAAGCGCACGTGCTCAGGAGAGGGAGGGGGAGTAAATAGATGACCGGGTGAGGGAGTGAATAAAATCGGTGACGCGATTAAATGATCGATGAAAGGGTAAGGGAATATTTTTGACGGTGCAGAGTTTTAGTCAAAATCTTAAGAAAAATAAGTAAAGGCTCATATTTAAGTTGCTTGGTGATAATATGATCAAAAGCCTATTGTTTGTTGGATAGCACGTGTTCTCGGCTAGAAGTGGTCTTTTTGTTTGATTTTTTCCTGCTATATAATTTGAATAACAGATCACATGAATAGGGTTGCAGGCCCGTTGTTTTTGTCACCGATTGTTCGGAGTGCTGTTATTGTCTTTGGCCGCGTGCGCCCCGTTTAGGAGGCGGTGGTGAAAAGCAGCAGCCTAACACAGACTCTGTGGTTAGAGACCACTCCCTTAATCCACCGACAGAGGGACGTCCTCCTCACTGGTTCTGCTCACCTCAACTATTTATTGTCAGTATAATGGGCTGTAACCTGATGACAAAGACATTTTATTACCTCTCTGATAATAAGACATAACTCTAGTGGTTGCCCCTGCAGAAGTTATAGCCCACACCAAGAGGTTTATTGCTCCATGATTGGTGTCAGAAGATTAGTTGATTAATCTGATTGGTTGGCTGACAGGGAATAAATTGGGTTATTCATTAATCTTTTAAGCCATTTTCAAGCACAAATAAAAGAGTCCTGCACTTCAAATATTATTCTAGTATTCTACTTTGTTCCACACATTACAGTGATTTGTTCCCATCACTGGCCTTTTCGATTCCAACCCAACATTTACAACAGGGAATAAGTGAAAAGAATTTAAACTTCAAATTAATTTTATCACTAAAGAATGTCCTAGTGGATTGATAGTTTGGCTGTACAACACATATAGCTCCCTAGCTGTCTTCTTCTCCATGGCCTCTTTGCAAAAGTCACTAGTGGACCGACACTTTACTTGATGTTAAACCTGACTCTGCTGTATTTAACAGAAGGCAGAAATGGGTTAAGCGGGTAACACATTACGCATGAATTCAGCAGACAGCCACACCATGCAGTCAGAAGTATTTTAGTGTCTAGTCTCTATATTTATCTGATGCCAGTTTGTAATTTTAGCCGCCTGAAACCCTCCCAAGTCTCTCCTGTCTCTGACCTAAAGTATTCTGGGTACCATCACCCACCATGATACTTAATCAAGGCTGTGGATTGGCCGGCAAATGGTCCAAAACTATTCAGCACATGACCACTGTTCTTAGTTTCCTCTTGAGTTGCTTTGTAAATTCTGATAACAGCTGATTGAGTCAGGTTTATTTACTCGGGTAAAAGAAGAAGATCTGACAGGTTTTAGTCAAGATAATTTCATTATCTTCAGCTTTGTACTTATAAAGCATGATGTAGATCAGGGGTAGGCAATCATGTGCCATGGAGGGCCGAGAGGCTGCGGGTTTTCTTTCCAACCCAAAACTCCACCAGGTGATTTCACTGATTACCTTACCTCCAAGCAGAGAGCAGGGACTAATCAGTGAAATCACCTGGTGGAGTTTTGGGTTGGAAAGAGAACCTGCAGCCTCTCGGCCCTCCATGGCACATGATTGACCACCCCTGATGTAGATGAATGAATGTATCCACACATTTTATGAGCAGTTTCAGTTAAAATGTTCGTTTTACACATTACAAACATCACCTGAAACCCTTTAACTCTGCAATTACCCGTACATTTGGTTACAACTCTTTTAAAATAAGTTTGTTTGAGTTGGCTAAAGATTTGCTGAACCCACTTGGCCCATTACTATGTGCACTTTTTCTGCTCGTGTACAATTATAGATTCGAACATTACTACCAAATGATGCAGTTTTGGAGCAAAAACAAAACCACATTCACCCGCATACGCAAAAATAAACCCTATGTAAGTGTTTTATTGTCAGTTTTAAATTGCAGCTATTGTCAGTTTTTTCAGCATTTCTTTTGTGCTGGAGGTTCAGACTTAAGTGCTCTTTTAACAGCAGAGGAAATATGAGGAGTTTTGGCCAAAATGTGTTATTTCTAGGGATTTTTTTTATGCAATGGATTGTGAAATAATGTTATTTAAACTAACAAGGTTAAAAAAAAACCTTAAGTCAATTTATTAATGTAAAAACTAATAATGTCATCCAGAGCACTGAGAAAAAGATAACTGGCCTTTTCAGTTTAATTTCATAACAAAGCAAGGTAATAATTTAAAAAAAAACTTCAAAATAGTTATTGAAGTAAAATTGTCTCAATGAATCTTTAGATGTATGCATTCATTCCCTTCACATGGTTTTAAATGTTAGTTTGATTTTACTCAGCTGCCCATTTGCCTCAATCAAAACAGTTCTGTCGTGGTGTTTTCCTGAATCAACAGTGTGCCGTGTTGAGACAACAGAAAGTGAGAACAAGCCGTGGACACACTAACTGTTTTAAGACTCTTGTCCGAGGGCCAGCTGGGGTGTGAGTGTGCTCTGTAGAGGTACTGTTAGCGCCTGTTAAGGTTTTGACAGTTGTGACAACACTTGGATGTGTTAGCAGGTGTCAGTGGCCAAGTGGTGTGCTGACTGCTATATGACTGAGCCAACAGAGGCCCTGTAACTTTACCCCACTCTAAGACGCTCTTTGTGAGTTACTTATCATACTACCTCCAAAAAACACCCACCCTCATCTCAATATGTGGAGCAGGTAACTATTTCCACAATGTCAGCTGTTTCAAGGCCTCTCATGTCACAGACTCCTCACCGGACATAGTCTGACCCAGCACCTGTGGACTGTCAGTCAAAGCAACAGAGATGAGTCCAGCAGAAGATTTTGTAAGCCATTGTCTCTTTAAAACTACAACATGACACAGCACGTTCTTCCTCTTGTTCATCTTTAATAACCATAGTTCTCGTGTTGTGCTACCAGTGACGCGTGTGACGTAATGTTCACAAGCTATCACATCTGATTTAACACATTGCCGTTCAAGAATGCCACATTTAGCCCTAATCCTGACTTTAACCTTTGCCCCCTTAATACTTGGAGACTTAGGTAGAGTACGCAAGCTGCTGCAAGAGACTGCCACTTAACCAGAGACATTTATTTACAGTATATGTCAAACTGTATGATTGAGGTATTTTTTTTCTAAATTGTTAAGTATTTGATTGCTCTAGAAATTAGTTTTACTGTTCTGCAATATGTCAACAGTTAAAATAACTCCAAAGAACTACAGTTCATAGTGTAAATTTACACATTTTTTTGAGGGTAGACAGTGGTATTTGACATTTCAAGGTCAAATCAGATTATACGCTTGTGACCTCTGCTATTTTTACCAACAGAGGACAGAAGAAGCTCTCCTGAAAAAGCAGTCTTAGTATGTAATTTGCAGGATGTATACGTTAGGCTTAGCATCATTGATCACAATTGTTTCAAAAGATAGATAGTGCTCCATAAAGTATATATATATATATATATATATATATATATTAACAAGACAGAAAAATGAATGAAAAGAGCAGCAGTTAAAGATTTAAAATTCCTTAAAATCACTCAAAGAAATTCATTCAAGTGCATTAAAATAATAATAAATACATATACATAAAAATGTGACATAATGTGATCAGATAAAGCGTGATATACTCCGATATATTATGATAAGATAAAATGCAATACATTACATGTCATTGGTCCCGCAGACAGATTAATCTTAAAATTACGTGCTGCTTAAATTTAGCTACCTCAGTGGTTGTATAGATTTTATAGAAATAACACAAACAATCTTGATGTAAACATACTGGCCTGTGTCAACGCAAACCCCCTAACAACTCGTGTATATTCTACATTACCCATCTAGCACAATATCCACACATAAGCAACAGAAGTGTTTTATGCCACAAGGAAAAATAACTAAAACTGATGCTTGAAATAAACTCATAGCTAATAGGAGGTGTCAAAAAGGCAAACCTTTAGCTTGGACTCAAAGTTAGTCAAGATTGCTTGTCTAACATTATCTGGAAATCTACTCCAGGTCTTGCTGTATGATAGCATCTATTGCATGCAATAAGCTCTGTTATCTTACCTTTGGAATAGTTTGGCTTAACTGTGTTAAACTATTTTAAATGCATCATATAACATAGTTACAAGAATTAATGCAGTTCACTAAGTGTAGGCTGCAAAGGCTTTGTTACGATGTGGATTTATTCAGTATCCGTAACATGGTTTAAGTAAAAGTACAGGACTGATTATTTCAGGTTAACCCAGGTAGACATTGGATCTGGTTTGTCTGTGCTCTTTAAATACCCTGTGGTCTGTTTATATGGATGTCCGCCAACAGAGCTGCCCTCAGTTCAGGATGCAACTGCGGTTTTAGACACTAGAGGTCTCTCCTCACCTCATTTAACCTTCACTACAGCTTTGACTCCAAACCTTATCACTAGAAGCTGCTCAGGAACTCCAACGTTAATTCAAATAGAAGAAGCACTGTAGCACCAGTAGTAGAGACTGATGAGAGGATGGCTGACCTGCTCCTGAGTAGGGTATGAATATTGCAGAGACAAAACCAAAGTGTGGCCTCTCTGTGCATTCAATTCATGGCAATTTTACAAAAATCTCACTGCACCCCTAGTTCTTTCTAGCTGATTCTCCAACCGCCCCTCTAGTCTCCCTTTTCCCTCTTCTGTTTGATGTACCCAAGAGATCGCCTAAGTAGAGCAGTATGGGCTAAAACTGTGTCATTCAGTGACCTGATTCATTTTTTTCTGCAGTTTTTTTCGTCACGCGGGAGATTCCCTCTATTGCCCAATCAGTACTGTCTGACATTCAGCAGCTGGAGTGTGCAGCACTGTCTTTTTTAATTCACACCCTGAGTTTAGGTGAGCAGGTTCCACAAATTCTTCAAAGCGAGTATTGGTGGAACAATAACAACCTGATCCTACACAATGAGAAATACTGTTTATTGTATTTTACACACCAGTAAGAGTTTTTATGATTGTGTATATCGACCCTTGAACTCTCAATCTTGTGGCCAGGCCAGGTTTTGTGTTTCATTTCAGCCTCTGTTAATCTTTGGACACTTGGAGTGTCTTCCCTTTTAACTATATAAATTTTTCATTTTCAGAGAGCGGTGGATGGCAGAAGGCCAGCACACCACGGGCAGTTCTTCACATTATTTTGACGTTAACGCAGAAGCGTGATAGAAGGAGCAGAGTACCCCTGCCTGCAGCCTCAAAAACTAAAGGTAGTTGGTGATTGATGCAGTCTTTTACACAACCCTATTTTTCTTGTAACCCTGTGTAGTGTGTTGCTGTTCATTGAATTCAGTGAGGTACCAAAAAAACTGTGAATAGAACAACATGCTCCAGTGAATATGTGGCAAATTTAGGCAGAAGCTACAAAGAAAAACTGACTTTTGTGACCAGCAGTAAAGGCACCATATGATTTTTAGAGTTGTATCTATGATTAATACTCATAAGTTAACCAAAAATGAGAGAATTTGTTTCAAATTAACTCAAAAAAGAGAAGCTTGGGCTAGCTGTATACAGGAGCTTACCAATATGAAGCTCTAAAAGAAGTATCAAAACCAGAAATACACAAATGAATGTGCAAAAGAAAGGAAATGGAATTACCTGAGGCCATCTTAAAAAAAAAAAAATCATCTAATCAAATGAAAAGCTGCCTATTCTGTATGACGCCAACAACCCTCTTTTTCAGTCTTTCATAAGTCCACAGGACTATCCACACCTGGAGTAGAGATAAAAGAAGGAGAAAAGAACCCAAAATCCCTCCCAAAGGCGCCATGCCATCAGCTATGCAGGGACATTAGCAACACAGTACTGTTCGATTGGTTAGTCTAATTATCCTCCACCCACTGATGCCATTTCAACCACTTTGCTCATAAAAGCAGACGACTCAAAGGACTGCAAAAGAACAAACAAGCAAGAAAACAGATAATTACATGACAGTTTATACCCTACATATAAAGAAAATTTCAAAAGAGAGAGAAGACTCTTTGCTCGCCTGTGTACGCCGATGTGGTATTTTTTTTTAATTAGTCTTGCTGAACCAGAAATGTCTTCATTAAACAGACAACTTAAGAACTTCACCTTAACACGACCCCGAGAAATCTTCATCTGCATCTTTTCAACTCGCAGACTCTTCAGTCAAAGCTGCATACCAGACGTGAACCAAAAAATTAACTCCCCTGCCTGTCTTTGTCATTTCTTTGGGGTAAAGTAATAGTTCTTAATAAGGAATACAAAGTAATCTGCCTTCAGTTGAGGGTTTTTTGATGAGTAGGGATGTTGCTTAAAACATATTATTAAAATATAGAACAGGCTCTGTATTTTTCACTGCATATACTCCATCTTATCTTTAAGGGATTATTTAAAAAAAAAAATGAAGTGCTGGGAACTGAATGTTTTTAGCCCTTAGTGCCAGGTAGCCCCCGAATAGTATTTTTAGAAAGACTTGAAATGTGGGACAGCTGCCAGTTTAATCACCTCCAGTGTTGTGAGATTGCAGCCCTTGTCTTCACTGTGGGCATACACTATGGTGTAGTTATTTATACTGCAAATAAAAGCAAAAATTCAGCAGACCAAAGTAGTTCATGTCCAAAAATCTTGGATAGGCAGCTAAACAGAAGTCAATGAAATGAATCCTAGTAGCGTGTCCGAACTGCATATGCAAGAATTCCCCGAATAACAGATGCTTGCTGTCCACTCTACATCCGTCAAATTATACTCATGTTATGTCATGGAATCAAACCACATTGTATTGCATTAGAGTCCAGACGGAAAAGATTGGGTTGAACCAGTATTTTATCTTTGTACATTTGCAGTTTTTAAGGACCCACTCTGATGAAAATCATGTTTTTCTTGTCTACATGTTCATATGGCATTTTTCTGATGCTAAAGGACATATCGTGAGAAAACTTAATGCAAAATTGCTTTTCTGAGTATTTCTTCATTCAAAACGCTGTGAATCTTTGGCAGACCCATATGGAAGGTTCAGAAACAGTGAGATATCATACGTAACCAATCCAAGCTCCGCCCCCAGAGCCCCGCTATGCAGGCCGCACTCTGCATATAGAGGAGAAAAATAGAGAAATAAAAAGAAAACTCTGATCACACAGAGAAATTCAGCAATCTCCCTCCAACCAGCTGCAACTTTGAGTTTTGTAGTGAACTGAGGTGCGGTCATACCGCTCACGCATCTGAACTAACTCTTGTCCTTGTCCTTGTCCATGGGAGAGACAGGAATGAAAATAGAAACAGGGTGTCAAATCGGTGTGTTGCTCAGTGCTCCATCGCTCCCAACAGCAAACAATGCAATCCAGAGTATTTAGTCTCTGATCCTTGCATGTATTTCACGCTGTTAAGAAATGAAGCGATGTGGAAGTACAAAACAACAACAGTTTCCCCGAGTGCCCGCTTGAAGCTGCATGCAGATCACTGGAAACCACACACACGCAAAGCCACAAAAGCTGTTTTTAGAGCGAAATTGAGCACGTTTACAGCCTGATTTAAAAGAAAAAAAAGAAACAGTCTAGGGAGTGAATGTTTTTGTTACACATTTATCTAAGGCTACAAGATCAGCGAATGCAATCATGCTTTTTTTTTAACAATTAACCATATCACCGTAAATCTTTGCTGTAGATTATACCAGAGCGGCTGTTTCTGGAGCATTCAGCAACTCACTCTGTCTGACAAACCTGGCAGCAATGGGCACGAGTGTTAATAATTGACAAACACAAATGGACAGCCTTGTTGCTGAAGGTTTTGTTTACTTTTGTAGGCCACTGAAGCATCAGTATTAATTTCAGTCTGTTTCATAACAAGCTAAAACTTCTCATGGGAGCTTTAAATTCAGACCCTTAAAACATTTACAGCTCCCTCTTACCAGCCGCCTCTCCCGACAGAAACACAACCATCCCCACGCAGATGCCAATAAATAAAACACCTGCCTCATGGACCTCGGGGTCATTAAGCTGGTGAAGAAGTGCACAGGCTGGTGGTCTAATTAATGTCTGTCTCTGCCCCTCTGAAAGGCCTTGTTATTCTCTCGCGAAGGGTTGACCAGCGGTCTGTCTGCCGGTCTCAGGCCTTGTTAAAGGAGAAGCAGGCCGCTTGGGTTTCCCCCTCCGTCTGCATCCACCCACCCCTGGTGAAGAGTACATGAAGGGTCTAGTCAGGCTCAAGGGAGACCATTGAGTGGGGGACGCTTCAGGCAGCAGCGAACGAATTTCACCGCAGGCTTATCTCCCTCTGTCAGTCATCTGGATAATGTCACTCAGTGGTGGTGTAATGGAAACAATGATACTGGTTTGACCCACAGTGAGGCTGTGAGCCAAGTTTGCATCGAAGTCATACATTTGGGGTGATGTACACCGACTTCTTATGCGGTTTTTATCAGCCACTTGTGCATTTTATTCAACATTCACATTGCCTTGAACTAATCCTGTCTTCTGCTAGTGTACATCCTTCAAAATCAACACACAGATGCCGCTTTAGCATGGGTGCTGTTTCTCAAAAGGATTTTCAGCTCCATTTTCTCGCCACACTGGGTTTTTCCAGTGGGGTCCATGTTGATCATTGTTTGATGAGAGTCCCTTAAGGTTACCAAGGCAACAGTTGAATCTCTTCTTCAAGCTACCTTCCTCAGTGATGACTGCACATCCTCCAGTGGTGACCTAATAATTGGATGTTTTATTCGCATTCACAAGGACAAAGTTGATTTTAAAAATTGATCACCAGTTGAACAGAGAACCTTGCCGGACTGCTTTAGTTTGTCCACTTACTGGAAAGGGATTTCTTTTGTTTGCTAAGAGTAAAGAGGTTGTTATTAATGTTCTTATTTTACAGGAGTCAGTCAGATAGGTGTAGAGGAAAATGACAAAGAGAAAGTCTGGGAGCTGTGCCACGTTCAAGGTGGCCTAGGCCCAATCCATTAGGACAAATACAGCAGTTACTGGTGGCTTCATATAGTCAGTAGAGCAGGTCTGAGCCAAGAAAGCACAAGACTTATCCATCCTGCTTGTAGAGTCCAAACATCTGGTGCAATTATGGTGCTTAAACAGGCAGAGGCACTGTTTGTCACCAAGCCTCTGATAGTGTTAAACCTCACATTAGAGAAAAAGAGACACCGCCAGATATAGTAATAACGCTTTAAGACAAAGTCGTCACCAGGTTGTGCCTCTCTACTGCATCCTCTTTTCGAAGGCATTCAAGACTGTTTCACCTCCTCATGAGTTAAGATTTACGTCCCACCCTCGCCGCCTTCCTCCCCTTCATCGGCATTGTCCTGAGGAGGAGGGGTCACTGCGGATTTGCTCTAAAAGAAAACACCTTTTATAGGGGATTTTGGTACAATCAGGCAGCCACCGCCTGCCGCCCACATGAGCACTAACAAGTTCTTTTCATTAATCGTATGTCCAGACCTTCTTGCTCTGCTCCCTGCATGGTAGTCTCTTTATTAAGCACCGGATTAACATAAAAAGAGCCTTTGTGCTGGTGTTACATATAATGAACTATTGTATTGAGGATTCTGGTCTCACGTTATTTTGGTAGCCGTATTTTTAGAGCTCATTGGAGGATCAGCGAACCATCAAAACAGTTGGATTTAATTCTGTGCAATTTTTGTGTGTTGGGGGTTGGTGTAGCGTTAATTGTGCAGCAGTGCATACAATGTGCTAATGTGCCAGTGTTTATAATTAGCACAGAGATGTAAAGGGTTGCCAAGCAGTATGTGGTTTATTTTATGGGCTGTCTTTAGTGTAGATATCAGCAGTAGACATATTGTTTCATCATCTTTGCCTGAAACCCTAAATTAACAGAATAATCACATGGTTTGGATTTCACAATATGCCTGTGTATTTAGAGCTCTTGTCTTGTTTACAGTGTGTGGGCTTGTGTGTGTGTGTGTGTGTTTCTGTCACTAGCAGACTAGACATGCATGTGTGTGTGTGTGTAGGGGGGGTACGTGTGCCAGTAGTAAGCGCAGAGCCGCAGTGGAGCCCATCCCCTGCTCCCTCTCCGAGACGCCTTACTTGTAGTGAAGAGAGGGAGCCGCAGCCCACGACCACTCCTTCACCATTTCCAATTGGAAGAGAGAAGCCACCTCCCTCCCTTGCCTCATTGGTATGCAAGCGGCGCAGTGTGTGTATGAGGGAGAGGGACGAGTGAGGTAGATATATAGAGAGAGAGAGAGGTAGCAGTCAGTGCAATGGGATAGAGGAGAGCGAGGAGGAGGAGGAGGAGAGTGAATGAGAAGCTGCTGGATCTGCCTTCGCCTTTGCCTGCGTGCCCTGCCTGTCGTCTGCTGAAGCTGGGGTTTTTTACTGCCGCGCCACCGCGCTGCACTGGCACAGAGCGGAGACACGGCCCATTTGCATCCAACGTCTGCACCCTCAGCACCAACACGGATACACACAGAGACAAAATCTTACTCCACCAGCGAGGAAAAAAAAACACGAGACAGACTAACCAGGCTTTCTCCATCATCACGAGGGGGGACGCAGCAGCTACAAAAAGGGGGCCTGACGCTACCATTTAGGCACCAGCTGCTCCATCAGCCAAACCCCCCTCCACCTTATCCCATCCTTACCAACAACACCACCACCACCACCACTCCTCTCTTGCTCCTCCCTATGTCCTTGTCCTCGGCGGCTCCTCTCACCTCCCTGGCCAGTATATGGATAGAAGCTCCCTGTTTCAGCTCATACAAGAGCAGGTAAGCCAGCCAGCCAGTCAGTCAGCAGGCAAGCAAGCAAGCCGCGGCAGAGGTTTCTATGGTTACGGAGCTCCCAGCCACCTTGCCGTCTATCCAGGGATTGAGACATGGTTGGAGGCTGGGGGTGAGGGCTGGTGTTAGGATGTGATTTATTTTTTTATTTGCATGAATAAAAATGGAAAGCAAGAAAGAACACAGTGGATGAGGGTATCATGGAGCCACGCTGGCCCCGAGAATGTGAGGTCAGATCATGAACCACAGCGGGAAGGAGGGGGGGGTGTCATGTCATGGTTTTATGGAAAAGAGGGAGGAAGAGGGGGTGTGTGTGTAGAAAAAGATGGATGGACAAATGATGTATGGATTGATTGATCAGGGTTTTTTCTTCTTAATTGGCTGAATTCTTTTTGTCTCTTCAAATGAGGAGACAATCGAAAGAAATTGGTCACCTATAGCTGCTGTAGTAGCATTTGCCGTAATCATGCTGTATGTGCATGCATTTTTATGTTTGTAGCTAAACATTTGAAGGATGTGTTCTGTTTTTGTGTTTACTACATACACAGGGGTAAAAAAAAAAAAAAAAAAGCAAAGATCATGAAATGACTCCATCTTTATTTCCAGGAGTCAGATACTGAGCCAGCTCTTGTGCCACAGCGTCTTTCCAGGATAGAGGCTGTTATTTGACCGTAAACTCCAGTCTTCTCATTCAACCCTGCTGTCAAAAACACAGCATTTGTGCCCATTTCCAGGCCAGTGAAAAATGTATTCCTTGACATCTGGTTTCTTGCAGTCCTCTGCCCAAAATGCTGCTCCCCCTGTCTGGTCAGATCTATTTTCGAGTCCTGCTTTGGTCTGCCATTTCCTAAATTAGAGCCAAAAAAGAATTTGAGGATTCTTCCCGAAGAGCATGTAGATATGTTTGTCTTTGCATCCTGAAGACATGACTGATCGTTTGTGTGTATTTCCAGTTTAATTTCAAGCCTTACGTTTACCTCCTGGTTTCTAATGAGTCTTGTCTTTTCGAAGATAAACTGGTCTTTTGGGGTTTGGGCTGATTGACAGATAGCTTGGGCCATCATTCTGGCCAAGAGAAAGTAATTGATTATCTGCTGCAATGTCTAGGGTTCACGAGTGGCCCATCAGCAACACAGGAGCCATGGAGAGATGTGCTTGTGTGTCTGTGATCATGTTCATGGGCTCATTTTTGTGAATGCGTTTCTATTACAAGAGGAGGAAGCCTGTGTGGGTTGAGTGAGAAGATGCTCTGTGGTCACACCAGTGAGTCAGTTACTGTAAAAGCTCTTCACTCAAAACAGCTACTTAGCAAAACCACAAAAACACATATTCCCTCATAGTCACAATTTAATGTGATATCAGAGAGGCTGACTCATCAGTGCCTGTGTCCGTTTTGGACATGGCAAGTCAAAGGCTGGAATGCCAACATTAAACACAGTAAACAATGGTCGCTCTAGTGACTTTGGGTTTACTCTACTCTACGATATGTTCATATGGACAACTCACAAGTACAGTCATCTACACATTTAGATAAAATCTATACCAAATCACTGATGACAGCAGGCTGACGACATTTTTTCACCTTTGGGACACCATACTGTGACCTTTGATTTGGAAAAGGTCTCTCTAATTAGACTAGAATGAGATAAAAGTCTGCCAGAAGCTTTTTGGACTGTGAACAGGCAAAGCTTGTTTTTAACAAAGCAGGCTGCCTGCATAAACATCGGGCACTTTTTTTTACATCCTCATCCAGGAAAACACTTTGCAGAACATGCCCGTTTTTTTCCTCTCCAGCTCTGCGCTCCGGATTTGATTCGTCACAAGCTATTTTGGACAAGCGTCTCGAGGCTTCCCATAATGACCACAGTGTCCCACCAGTCTCTAATGAATGAGGGAGCATGTGTAGGTCAAGTGTTTCGCTGAAGGGCATCTTCATAGTCATAGTAATTTCGTCATTGGCCGGGGTGATGTGATACTAATCTGCAATCTTATTGGTCAACATGGCGCTAATGATGTTAAGTTCAAAAACTAAACAAATCTGAAAGAGCACATTAACAGTCTTCCGATGTTTACCAGCTCTTCCTACATGGCCAACTGAATTGCCTGTTTATGTGAGGACCATCAAACTCATTCTGCCACTGAGCTGACATCGGTAAAAGTAACAGAGGTGAAACGCTGTCTCAGGACACAATGGAGATTGCTGTATCTGATTCCAAATGGGTGTGTCATGACTGTATATACTCTGGACAGCTTGGTTCCACCTTCCACCACTATACAGATTTGAAGCCGAAAAGCTCTCGGTAATTCCACTTGTGCAGTAGCACTGTACGCATTCGGTGGGAGAGTTGCAGAGTCGCTGTGATGACGCTTGGTTTAAACAGCGTATCCTCCGGGTGAGCTAAGCAATTTTTGTATACCCATAGGCTGTATCAAGTGTCAATCATAAAAACATGAACCCCCTAATAACTTTTAAAAACGGAGCTTCACAGAAAAAAGAGGACTTGAGCACAAACCAGTCTTACAATAACTACATGTCAATATTGCAACCAGGGGGAAAAAAAATTATATTCTGTGTAATTAATTTCTAAAGTTTGTCCACAGCTCCATAGGGATTGCTGGAGGAGGTGGGATTTATGACCTTTACTGCAGCCCGTCAACAGAGGGTGCTGTTTTTGGGGTGGCTTCACCCAGCGAGAAGACAGACGGCGTCCATTCTATATACTGTCTATGGACACCACAGTGATGTGTTTCTAGTGATAATTCATTTAAGTGATTAGTAAATATGGTAGATTTGAGGCACATATCCCTTGTCAACAGCAGTACACCTTCCAATAAACACAAAGTTTTTAGTCATTACTTGTCCAAAACCTCCTTTGATCAGGTAAACACTGGATATAAAAGACATGCTGCTCAAATACTGTGGGGGTTTCCTGGAGTTTTGCACTCAAAGAAAACGGGCTTTGCTTAGTTTATTTGAGCTCTGCAGGTTTAAAAGAGAGCTCTGTCAACCTGAGCTTCATGAAAGTGCTGCAGGGGCAGAGGAAGAGAAAGTAACAGTGGCAACCTGAGTGAGTTTATTAGTCTTTGTCTGCAGGAGGTTGCAATGCCGAGCTCAGGCTATTTCTGGCCTTTGCAGACACACACATATGCTCTTGATCACAGAACACACTTTTTTTCCTCTGATAGTCTTTCTCTAGTGTTTTCTTGATAAGACAGCTCAATGGTCAGCAGCACTTAGCTGCTAAAATGCATTATCTTCAGTCAGTGAATGTCTCCCCTCATGTCTTTTAGCCCTTATCTGGCCTATTTATATCTGCCCCACAAAGACTTTGGGTACTGAGTACTATTCTGACATACTCATGACTTGTAGAGGGAATACAGCTTTTCCATACCGTCCCTCTTTTATTGGTCTTTGGTTATAATTTGCCTTTAGCAGTATTTGAAAATGCCCCTGGCTGTTTGTACTTTGCTCAAACGCCAAGAAACTGACTTGGATGGTTGTTTGTATTGAGGAAATTCCCTTGGCATCTCTCTTCAGTGTCCTCCTCTTGAGGAAGAAAGTGCTTTGGATCTTATGGCCATCACGCTGCAGTGCCACATCGGTAATGTTTGAGCGTAACGATGGTAACGGCAGGCCAGAAAGAGCACTGTGATAATTACCCAGTTGTCGGTGAGTCCTAAGGGCAGCAGAGACAATATAAAGAGTTTTATCTGATGCAATGCAAATATGCAGTGTAAATGCCACTACCCTCAGCAGATACACAACCCTGTTTAAGTTTGACAGTCTGGTTCACAGAGACCAGCGGAGTCGGTAGTATTGGCTGTCTGCCATTGGGTTAGCGCTGTGGCTCTGAAACTGGGAAACAAACCAGTGCTGGTGCTGCCCTCCCACCTCAGAGGAGTGTGAGTCACAATCTTCCAAGGGGTAAATTTTGGTCATTCAACAGCTAAAATCAACCTTTTAAGATTCTGTGCTTAAGACATCAAATATGGATGTATCATAAAAAGTGGTCCAATTTGCTACCCAAGCTTGATCCTTCAGAGCAGTCTGGTAAATCTTTTCTGTTCATGTTTTCTGCTCTACTGTTTTGTTTGATGTTAGTTCCTGTTAGTTGGTTTTCCTAATGATTCGGTGTCCAGGTGGTTATTTCTGAAGGGTGCATACGAACAGATGTCTCGAGTCACCAGGAGCCCTGAATGATTCATTTTGTTACGTAGTGTCAGAAAATAAGAGCAAGAACCAAAAATAGTTTGGTGGAAAACCCAAAGTTGCTCAGTCACATCACAGTAACAAAAACCTGAATATCCTGCAGCTGAAACTTCCAAATCTACTGAAACGGTTAACTGGACTAATTGATTCCAATGAATTCAGTATTGGTGGAATTGACTTGCGCAATTACAGAATAGATCAAGTTAGGTTGTGTATAAAAAGTCAACAGGCTGTAAAAGTTATGGGGTAGAAGACCTTAATCAAGTGATTTGGTCAAATACATGATCTTAAAATGCAAACAGAAATAAACAATTTCACTCTGGACTTCAAACACCTCTGCTTTTTTGTCTTTCCACTGTTTCTTAAGATTCCAAGACTTTGATTTCCAAATAAAATACAAAATTTACTTTTATCTAAGAAGAGGAATTTGGACCTCTAATCAACAGTGCAGTTCTTATACGCATAGCTCTTGCTCTTGAACCTCTCCCAAGATCTTGAATCAACCTTCTTGACGATCATTTCAAAGCATACGCATCTTTTCCTAACATTCAACTTTTCATTCAAACCCTGTGACCTTCTGTGGTTTACCCTGCATGTGGTCGATAATCATCTTCTGGACAACTGTCAAGTCAGCAGTCTTTCCCATGGTCATGGTTGTTTATGCTGAATTACACCGATGGATAAATGGTATTCATTACGTTTGAATGATTATTGACTCTCACTCTAAATTAAATATTCTAATATTTTTTAGATGTTAAATTTACTTTTTTCAAGCTGGTCCTACATTGACCAAATTTTTTAAACACGCTTGAAACATTTTAATTACATGTCATGAATCTTGAATAAACTGGATTTTCACTCTTATGGAAAGTAATAAACCTACATCTACAAACCTAAACTTACACAACATACGCAGCATTTAACCAATCAAACAGCTCATTAAGGCGAAGAATACTACCACTTAGATACTGCTAAGTACTTGATCATTGTTGGTCAACACTTCAACAGTATCAAGTATTTAGTTTGACTGATCATTTGTCTTTTTTCATCATGGCTGGGTCACAGTGACTTTTTCTCTTGAACCCCTGTGGAAAAGATTAAGAAGTCAGTGGTGAGATGGGGCCACCTGAAGTCACTGTGCTGAAGGTAATAGGGGTCATGTGGGTTAACGTCGAGATCATTCCCCTGCAGTCAGCACTCCTCCCCTTTTCGCCCTTGTCTTCCTCCTTAAAATTGAGTATATGTGTCCTCCTGTGTGGTGTCCACCTCCCCCAGGTCCCCCTGTGCTCTTCAGACAAGACAACCACCTTCCATCAATAACCCCCAGCCCCGCCTCCTTTAACATCTGCACCTTGCCTCATCTTTGAACCACTATCATCCCCTCTTATTGGTCCCTTTTCATCCATCTGCATTCTATTTTGGTATCTGCTCTTGTACCCTTTCCATCCTTTCATCCCCCTCTTACTCTCTACCCCTTTTGTTGAACGCCAGTAGGTCGGGGGTAAACAAAAAAAGGGGGGGAGAAAAATGCAAGAAAAGAGATGACACACAGGCGACCGGTAACCGTGGCAACGCATGCAGCTTGTCAAAGTGTCGCCCTCGCCAGTGTTGGATCGCTTCAATAACTGCCTTTCCCCCACTTCTTCCAGATTTTTTTTCCTCCCCCTTGCATGTCACCAGTCGGCCTAAGAAAAAAGCTCCTCATGCCAACTCTCATTCATCTCAATGGTCCCCATTTTGCTAATTGATAACCCTAATTGGCTACAAGAACCAATCCTCAGCCTCTGTGTACTCCCTGCAGACGGTGTCCCCTGTGTAATGTTCTTCCTGTATAAGGTCAAGGCTACAGAAGGAATCCTATCTGTGCAGTGAGACAGCTCAACATCGACACCATATACAGTTTCCCTCTGTGTGTTTGCTGCTGCTGTATGTGTAGTGATGTGCTGACATATAGAGGCTGACAGTAATCAGACGTCCCCATTGCCGCTCTCTGTTCCCCCTGTCAGCCGGGCTGAGCCAGGAGCACATTAGAATCTGATCTATCTCCCTCCTCTATGGCAAGTGAACGCAGAGCACTGGAGTGTGTCACAGCCCGCCTTATAGGAAAGAGAAGAAGAGGACTCACTGCTGGGCTATGCAGAGAAATAACAGACAGTGGTGAGGCATTTTTATTCTCCGTGCGTCCTTGTTTCATTTCTGTCTCCTCCCAAGCTGCCTCTGTTCTCTTTGCTTCTCATTTCCTACCTTCTCCTCCTTCCACTGCTCCATTTTTTTTTCATTGCTTTCATTTCGTCAATCGAAAGGAACAACCTCCTCCCACTCACTCGTTTTCCAACTCTTGCCTCTCCGCTGTCATTCTTAGCTTTTTTTCCCCCCATCCCACATTCCCTACATGGCGACCTTAAATTTCTAAAACGCCGTCCATTTCTGCACCATTTTGCTCAGAAAGCCTCAAAGGGGGGAACAGGCCTGGGTTTTAACAAAAGTCCATGGTGTACACAGTTAAAGGGATTATCTAAAAATAGACTTGGGTTTTCTTCCCCATCTTGGTCCTTTTTTTTTTTTTTTTTTTCATGAATTCAGTTTTATGTGCGTTGAGTAAATACCCCAGAGACAAAAATGTTTGTTTGTACAGAATCTTGGTTAATATTGGTTAAAAGCATTTTCTTTCAGCTGTGGTGTCCTACCAGTGCAGATGAAGTGCTGTAAAAGTATCATAACTCACAAAATCACTTCAACATGTCAAACCGACAGTGGGAAAACGCTCCATCAGAGTCAAGCATCATCAAAACTAACCCATTAGCGCCTGTTTCTACTGTGCTCTTCCTGTTGGATAAATGCACATGTTTTCTGGGGAATGAGAAAGAAGATTAAATGGAATACTAGGGATGCTTGTGTTCAGCTGTAAAAAAAAAAAAAAAAAACATGAAGGGGGTTACAAAGCACATATAGTAAAACTGTTCATAAGGAGACATACACGCCCACTCTTGCACCGCTGGATTTCCTGATTTATCTTCTTTGCTCTTTAGCAGCGTAGCAAAGCTGTAAGCTTTGAGCCTCCTGCAGAAGAGACCGACACGGCGCAGCAGAGTCTAATGCTGCTCTCCTCATGCAGCAGATGAAACGCCTTTGTCTCACCATGTCAGAGCATGCCGGGTCCAGACTAAGGCGGCCTAGTCAGAGGATTCTACTCTTGGACTCATGACACGGGCAGTGATGATCCAGCACGACTGACTCCACACTGATGCAACATCTGAAAGCTGTGCTCCTCCCCGGGGCAACAAGAGGCTGTTGGTTTACTATCTGCAACCTAATGAGGCTGTGCTAGCATTCAGGAAACAGTGAAATGAGAGGCAGTGAGGGGCTCTTCCCATGTGGTCTCTTTGTACTGCTGCAGTTTGTCCTCAGGCCCATTTTCACAAACACAATCAGATCTACTAAGGAGAGCTGGCATGAGGAATTAGTGCTTGATTTCAGAGCAGTCAAATGCATTTAAGAAGAGGAGGTAAAGGAAGAAAATCCAGTCATGAGTGGGTGAAGCTGCCGCCCCCCAAAAACACAAGCAGAGATACACACCCTATACTTTACAAGCCATATTTAACCGGGTGCTATTTCAGACAACTGCGCTCAGCCTTTTTTTATGATGCTCTCCTGCTTAAATCAATTACGAGGAGCAGCAGTAGCATACAGACATCAGCAGTAATAACCCACGGGGCTGCAGGGCTCAGTGAGTGAGTGGTGATTATAAAAAACACACTGACTTCAAGCTGCAAATGTGACCGGGGACGGAGGCACACAGTCAAATGAAGCATCCACTCAGAAACAAAAGAGTGAAAAGTCACTCTCATTTTGAGCTGAGGGTCTGCTTGTGTGCCCGTGTGAGTGTGTGTCTTAGAGGAAACTGCAGATTGGTGCAGTTATTAGACAGACATGCCTGCCTGTCTTCTCTCCTAACAAAAACCATCCTGCTGTTTGCTCCACAGACCTGCTCCTTTAATGAGGTTGAATGAGATTTTTTTTTCAAAGACATTATGGAGGCAACTTAGCGTAATTAAAGCTGGTGTGACTGTCTGAGCTCTTGCCTTCTTCTCTGTACCTCTCATTTGTCTTTATGAGTATCTATTGTGTGTGTGTTCGTACGTCTCAGCTGTCTATTCCTGTTGCATTCTCCCTCAGGGCAAACTGACACTTCATCTCCGCGGCGATGCTAATTAAAAAATCAGGATGCATAACAGAAACATCATGTTCAATATGACTCTTATCAGCATGCGATCTGAGAGGGCTGTTTTGATGTTGTTGGTTTTTTTTTGTTGTTTTCTTTCAGCTGGACCCAGAGAACACCGGTTTCATCCCAGTGGAGAACTTCACCAGCTTGGTGGAGCACCATGAGCTGCAGCTGGACCCATCCAAGCTGGACATGCTGTTAGCTCTGGTCCAGAGCAATGAAGAAGGACAGGTGTGCTACCAGGAGCTCATCGAGTTGGTGAGTGCTCCTTTAAGAGACATAAGATGAGACACAAATTTCTATACATGCAACCACTGTTGTTGGTTTTCAGAAAAGGTTACAGAATTGATTCAGACAGAGCTGGCGAGCTGCGCCGCACTGAAAATTGACTCGACCATTCAGGTTGTTGTCCTGCTAAAGAAAGGAAGATCAATCTTTCCGGTTAATGTGTCGGTAAATCCAAACACTTAACCTCACAGGCTGTGTGCAGCAGCAACTACTAGAAAATACCCGCATCAATCTGACAGAGGAAAAAATATTACAGCAGCATATTTAGTCTATCTTGCCTGATATACTCTAACACAATTTTATTTTGAATGTATTAACATAGAAAGTAGTCTTACAGCAGCAAACAGGTATACTTTAAACACTTGAGTACTGTTATATTCTCTTAACTACAGCTGCAAAAACCTCTGAGTATTTGTCCTTTGCTTCAGCTTTAAATGTAAGGCCAGGCTCTTCATCCGCTTTCTCCTCACTTTAACGTATTTCCAATAGAGCTCCTTTTAGGTATTCATTCATGAACACCTGCCTTTAGCTCCTGGCACTGTAACAGGTATAAGCACCAAGATTATTCAGCGCAATGCAATTCTTGGCAAAATTTCAAGTGCTTAAGCTCATTTCCACTTCACCGTTTTTTTCTTTCTCTGTTTATCTGTTCTTATTTTTTTATCTTTTTTGCCTCCCCTCCGTTGTGCTGCTCATGATTTCGTAATGAAGCCCGTATGAAGCGACTTAATTTTGAGCACGTCTCAGTGTTGAGCTGCTGCTCGCTCAGCGCGGACTAGGTATGCAAGAAAAAAAACGAGACAATTGAGTGTAAAGATATCATGTTTTGTGAAACTGCCAAATACTATCATTTTCTAACTTATTTATTTTATTGTATTTGATCATGCTGCACAAAAAGAAGTGATTTGATGTTGGGTGTTACAGGGACTGTAATGAATACAAATGCATGTCCTGCTGTAGTAACTACACAAAAAAAGCAGTTTAATTTCTCTGAGATTTATGCAAATGATGGTGTTCTTTATACTGTAACAGTATTCCTGAAATAGAATTTAAAAATCCCAATATAATCATGCATACATTATGTAGGGCATAATAGAAAGTGAGCAGATTATTCTAGCTGAGCAGAACCCTGAGAGGGTAAGAAGCATCCTGTCTTGTTTTACCTGACAGGGTTCATGTCATTTTACTTATTATACATCGATGATTTTACTTCACATCCTGATTTAAAGTCATAACCTTTTCTCCAATTCAGTAACAGCACCATGACGCAGCTCTGCCGTCACCACACCTTTCCTCTTTTATATTTTATCCCACAACAGAACAATATCACTGTCCCAGTGTGTCATTATACATTAAATTACAACGCCATAGACACACAGGATCACAACACACAGCAGGGGCCTCACAGACAGACACACCCAGACATGTATACACAAAGCACAGCACCTCCTTCGCCAGCTCAGTGTTCCTGTCTCACCTCTGTAATGCCTCTGTTACTACCTCTAATGCCAGCTCAGCAGTGGTCTTGGTCCCACTATCACACCCCTGAGAGTCACCCCTGACACTCAAACTGAGTTTCCGAAGTGTCAATGTGCCACCTTGACCCGGCAGTGTCATGATGGCTTTGGACATGATTTTACTGATTTAAAATTTGTAGGTCTACAGTATCAGTTGAAAATCATTTATTACACCCACAGCTCAGGCTGCATCCACGGTAACGTTTAACAGTAGTGTAGACTTCATAAGATGAGCTGTTTTTACTTACATTAAACTGAACACCAGACTCACCTCTGATTAGATTCTCCTCTAGAGTCTGTGATTAGAGCCACGTCTCTGACATCTTCACAGCTACAGTTTGTTTGGGGGGGAAATAAAAGGCCATTGCTATGAAATGTTGCTACATAATGAATAATCAGATTCAAGTGCTTAACACAGCTGGTCATATATTATCTGACAGTGTGAAGCTCTTGATTGTAATCGGTTAAAACCCTCAAACAACTGCGGTGACTCTGAAGAGCAGAAGTAAGGCTGGGTCAAACTGATTACACATGTTGTTATCTGGCACATTTCACTAATGCAGAACATAAGATCCTGTGAGCATCATCAGGGTGAGATTCTAATTCACATTACCACCTACTCACTATATATGATCCCATACATACTGCAGTATATTGTCCAATAATTATTTTACAGCAGCCCTCAGTCATTGCAGTGAGCAGCTACCTCTTCCCTCCATGTTTTTTTCCAAGATCTGTCTAATTCCAAGACATTCAGATCTTTGACTCATCATCCTAAAGCTGCGTCACATTACCTCCTCCCCTTTTGAACCTGACTCCTTGAACTTACAGGTCTCTTTCAGTCAACACTCCTCGTGAGCATATGTTAGGTGGGAGGAGGGGAGCCTGCCTCGCCTCCCACAGCATCAAGGAGACACTTAAAATTACCCATCAGGCAAATGCAAATTGCCTTCGATTAGCCCAGCATTGCCAGTAGCAGGCAGTAATCTAAGGTAATTTGAAAACGCCTAGCCTCACACAGATATCGACCCTTAGGTCTGATTCTAAAGATTTGCCCTGATACACACATGTGGACTTGTGCAAACCCCACACACACGGCTCTGTCAGACCATGCATACAATTTGCATATATACAAACGCTTTCAAGCTCAGTTATTATTAATTAATGCAACCACCCACTTCCTCTCTGTCTGTCTCACTACTCCTCTCTCCTTGATGTACACACACACACACACACACACACACACACACACACACACACAGTCTCCAACACAGACAGACTCTCATTCATACACATGAGGGCTGCCGCTACAGATTTGCTGACTAATTTAGAAGATATTCCAATGTGTATCTGGCTTCCCGTCATGTAGCATGTAATGTGTGAGCTGTCTGCAGCAAGCTCCAGGCCGACACTGGGAAATTGCCATATGTAGTAGCATGACATTTTCATCCAGAACACCAACAAACGCCTGCAGCTTTTTTTCTCACTCCTTTTCTGTCCTTTCTTTCTGCTGCTCTTTGACTTTTACAATTTTCACCCTTGTCTCTCCGGCCTCTTCTTTAGCACTCTCTTAAAACTGCTTTTTCATTGCTTGTCGATGTCTGGACTGATATATTAGTGGATTCCCAGTGACAGATGGCAAAAGTGTTTGGATTTGGAAAGTTAAGAGCTGCCATGAAATCATAGCCACTGCCTGAGGTCTGGTGTCCATATTGATTTGTGGTCAAGCCATGACTGAATATCTAACTCCCCATCAACAAATTAAAATGGACACAGCAATGCGTAGAATATATGTTTATGCAGTAACATGGTTTTTCCTAAGCTCTCAGCCCACAAGCTGCCTCCATTTCTCTCAGTTGTGTCTCTAAACAGGTTTTCACAACATTTTCTCTGATTTGTTGTTCTGCATTTCCTCAGCACAGCCGTGAATCCGCGACTGCTTCTCTCGACCCCAGTGGGTGTAAATGTTTGAATCACACCGCCAGGCAACAGCTTCTCTGGTGTCTGAGCGTGTGTCTGTGAGTCTGTGAGTGTGTGTGTGTGTGTGTGTTTGAGTGTGCAAGTACAAGACTGTGTCTGACATCATTTTTTGCTCAACCAATCTTTCATGCAGGGCGATCTTAGCCTGAGAACTCCATCAGTTCAGCCAGCGGGGTGAATAAGTAAGCTCTGCTAAAACCTCTCTAGAGGAAACTCCACACACACACACACACACACACACACATATACATATGCACTCACTTGGAGTATAGTTGTACAGCATCCCTGACTGCTTTCCCTCAGAATTCCACGCTGCAGAACAACTACAACACGTCACACCCTTAGTGACACATTTCCACAAAATTACACACTGACGCTTTGCCAGCACAGGAGGCTGAAAGACACCTGAAGTGCAGAAGTTTACACTCTGCCACTTTATCAACGCTGGTTCTGTGATAGACCAGCATGTGTTTATGATTTCGGAGTAAAACTGGAACATCTGAAGGCGTCGACACAGAAGATATTCCTATGTGTGTATCGATTTCTTCAAAGAGAGTCCTCCGTTGCTCTCATCCACCAGCTGTGTAACTGAAGAAGTGTGTCATTGTTTTCCTTCGGGTGGTAATTTGGCTAATGTTCGACGGAGATCCAAAATGGCTGCCACGGTTAATTACACGGGTGGAGGGTGTATTTCAGAGATTATGGCAGGGGGATTCTCTTTGTTCAGGTCAGAGGATTTTGAGATTCTTTGTGTGCCTCATTTTTCACCCTTTTGTTGGGTACACTTACAGTCAGTGTTCCCTTTGGAGACCTACTCTGAGAAACTTATATAATATTGTTCAAAGGTTCGACTTTAGATTGCCTGAGACTTTTGTCACATCTGCAGTCGTGATGCAAGAAAGAGCACTTATAGAGCAGGAATGAACTTCAGCTACACTCCAAGTCAAGAGACACTCTGCAAGTTGTTGACACAGTGTTTTAAAGTTTTCAAGTCATTCTAAGTCACATTAAGCTCCCAGAGTGCTTCTCTCTCCAGGGACAAAGACGTTACCTATCAACATCACATCCCACACCAAACTCCAGTCAAGGCTCTCTGTTTTAGACGGCTTCTCAGCTAAAAGTGATGCACTCAGCTTAAGTGTCCTGGAGTGAAGGGTTTTTCTTCTTTTTTTTTTTTTTTCCCCCTTTCATGACTTTTAGCACCACAATGATTAAACCATGAAGGCAGTCAGGCTGTGGAGGCAAAACTGCAGCAAGGGAAAAAAAAAAGGTGGACTCACATTTTATAAGGATTTGGAAGAAAAAGAGTACAAGTATCTGGGTCAGGGTAGAAAAAGGCTGAGATCTGTGGTGATTTAGACTGTACTGTTAGAGGAAGCATGAATGTGAGTGAATAAGTGAGAGTGCAACAAAGAGGTGCATTTTTGTGTCCTCAGTGATCTCATGTTAGACTGTACGGTGGCCCTGAAGTGAAAGCACAACAACAAATCATAAAACACAACAACAACTGTGGCTGTGTCTTGGATGAATGTAACTTCTTTGATGCTACCCCACGACATGATGAATGAATAACTAAGCTACTGAAAACCTTTTAGTTCAGCATGAGAGTTGTGTGATCTCTGTCCTTTTTGTCTTTTATGTTCCTTTTATCACTTTTATTTCTTTTATGCTTTTGTGTTTTTATTTCATTCATTTTATTTCATTTTAAATGTTTTTTACTTGCTTTTATTTATTTCCTCTTGATATTTTCTGCAGTGTTTGTTCTTTTAATTTTACTTTGCAGCACTTGAGTAAACTTGAATGTTTTTTAAAATGTGCTATATAAATAAAGCGGATTGGAATCTTTTTAATTTCAAAAATAGCAAAGCTACCATATAGAACTACAGAAAATTCATGTTAATCCTATAATTCAGCTATTTGTAGCTCTGTTACCGCCCAACACAATAGTGACACTGTTAGTCTGGTGACGCTGACTCACAGTGTAAGCTTGATTCATTGCATTTTTTCTAGAAATTTACTCATAAAAAAGGATTTATCATGCAACATACTGGGGGCGCGCAGATGGCCGAGCAGGTTACTGCGCCCCATACATAGGGACCACGGTCCCGCAGCGGTTGCAGGTTCGATTCCACACCGACCATGTGCTGCATGTCCTCACCCCTCTCTCCTTCTGTCTCCCCAAATTTCACCCTGTTCTTCCAATAAAGGCTTAAAAAAACAAAAATAAAAAAATAATGCTACAATCTCAGTACACATGGGCTATTGTCTAACAATGATAGGAGTAAACGTCCTGTAATTCTGTTGTTGCCACAGCTAGTGGTGAACAACTTCCCTGCATCATGCATCAAAAATATAAGTAAAAGCAAGACATCATATTAACTCTGGATAAAATCTGATTTGTTTATGTTTTTTTTTTTTTTCTGCAGACATCTGAATGGCCTTTGAACCACAATATTTTAATTATTACTAATGAGCATTGAGCTGTGAGTTATTGACCATGTGGTGCTGCTAATTAATCCATCAAGGACAATTGACCAGAGCTGAGAGCAGCATGTACAGTAGACACCATGCAGCTACCAAGAAGAGCAGGATGGACCCTTGCTGCTTGACACACACACACACACACACACACACACACACACACACACACACACACACACACACACAAACACACACTGCTGTCAGCCATTCCCAAAGGGGAATACTATCTTTATCTCAGGGCTCTTAGCCTCAGCATCAATTATTCCCTGACGGTTCCTTGTCAGGGAACTTCCACTGTTACCGAAGCAAAAGTCAGGTTTTCTCTTTCTTTCATCATTGTATGTGATACCTTTCTCTACCTTGCTTTTCCCTCGGCCTGAAATTTCACATGCATTATTGTGTATTCGCAGTCTCTCCTGTCATCACTTCAAAAGGCTGCAAATGCTCATTTTAGCGGCTGCAGAGAAGGCGAGGCGGAGTGACAGCTATGCTTAGCCGTGCTTCCTGGGAATGAATTTTCACACAATAGAATGAATGGACAGGAGAAAACGCGGGGTATGTTGAAGGCTGGAGAGGTGGCAGGTGTTATGAAGCTAAACACGGATGAAATAGGGTCAGGAATAGAAGAATTACCTGTCCTGAACAATTCACATGTGTGATTCAAACCATGATTCAACAAACAGGCTATTCCCTTAAATGTTACACCACCAATTCACTTATATTTTCTGTGTTATTCACCCAGGAGCATTATATTTACAGAGTGTGCCTTTTTGTTAGCCATTCTGCCTGACACTATAGAGCCACCATAGTGTAAAAGAATGTTACATTTACTAACTCAGATGTCCGCTGATTTAATATCCATAAAAAGCACACTAGTCTCTATAATAACCTTTCATTCAAACATTTGTTCTCTTGGCTGTCTCACATTTAAATATGCTTTTCTTACAATTTAGCATGCAGGGTGATATTGATTCACCACTTACAGGCTAATGTTACAGATCTCATTTAAAAGTCAGGTCAGTCTGGGACACCTACAGAGTCATTTTGTATAATTAATATCTCAAAATATCATAAGGCACCGGTGTAAACCATAACTTCAACACTATTCAGCCTGCATGCTCTATTATGGCTACTTTTTCAGTAATAAAAAATTTGACACAGCTTGTGGGTCTTTTTTCAAGTCAAGGTGTCATAACAAGACCTGAAAGTTGTCCCTTCACTGAGGATGTCTGAGACTAGCTGTTCACACCCACTCAGCATTCCATTTAGCTTACAATATTGCTACGCTAGCTGTTTTTATGTCACAGCTTGTGGCTCCAGTCATTCATAGAAGCTCTCTATTGACGGGATGGCCCCAGCTCAGGATTTAAATCCAGTTTGCTCTAGCCTCTGTTTACAAAATAGTGATCAGTGAATTGGTGAACATAAATAGTTGTGATGAGGCTTCTGTCCCCCAAAACAGCCAACAGAGTGTAGATCAGAGAAAAGAGGTAAAAAACAAACTTTCTGGCTTCCAGTTGGGTAAAACTTCAACTAAACCTCCAGGTAGGCCCCACCCCTAAGTATTGTCCTACCAGAACAGCATGAAGGGATTACGACACCATCCGTGTGTCTCATATTATGAAACTCTGCAAAAATTTCAAATGGACATCCAACAACGTAGCATAATTTGTATGTTTTAAAATCTAAATCAGCACATAGGTGTCCTTTAACAAAGGATTTACCATCAAGTGAACATGGAAACCAGCCAGTATATGTATCCACTCCTGAGAGACATCAGGTCATTGTCAAATAAAGTGCCATGCACTGATTTCAGCCGCCAGTGTGTATCCGTTAAGTTGTGTCAGATAAATGCTGACGAGGCCGAAGAAGTCACTTTTCGTCCAAACTGATTTATTTTTACTGTCAAATGTGAAAGAAAATGTCAGCAGTGTGGGAGTAATACACCCTCCCTGAAAATGATCAGCAAAAGACAGTTTGTAAGACATGCTGACATTTCAAGAGCGACTTAAAAGGGAACAATTTCAATGCATCAAATCCCACAGAGCGTTCAAAAATCAGACCAGAGAATAACAAAGCACTAATGCATAATGAAGGGCTCATCACCATCCTGTTGGTTGGCTGGTTAGCTAGCTTGTGATATTTCGTACTTTTTGGAGAAATCTGTCAGTCATATGCTTGGAGAGGTTTGAGAGGGTTTCATGAGTGTCTTATAGATACAGGTTTGGTAAGTCTGTTCATCATCTGCAACAGCTCTGTTTGCTGACTTTCCTTTTTTGTTCATACTGCCTCCTAGTGGAGATGCAGATAATGATAGATCACCCTCTAAGTCACTCATAATAAAGTCATATTTAATAGACACTAAGTAGTGAAAAATGGAAAATGCCAAGATTGAATTGTTTCGAATAATAAGTACCAAAAATAGGAGATGTAAATATTAGTATAATGTGCAACACTTGTTCACTGGTAGCCCCTAGAATCTGTAAGTCAATCTCACCCATGCAGGCATCTCATCCTCTTGCCTTAATTTCCCTCCTCTCTGCCTTCTAATGTCCCTCGTCTCCTCCTCTTCTGCTTTCACACCCTGCCTCAAGTAAAGCATAATTGCATTTTCCAGAGTGATTTCCATACTAAATACACATCCCCCTCCATCTGTGGGAGAGCCAGCAGCTCTCGCTCAACATCGTTCTGGTTATCGCCGTGCAACAGGCCCTCCTACCCTAACTGTGCAAGAATTACCCATAGTTAAGCTAGTTACCACTTCCTTTGCTTATTGCCTTCATTTCCTTAAAAAAAGATTTTTTTTTCTGACAGAAAAATTGAACAATCTGTTCCTCCCTTCTTTATTATTTTCTTGCGTATTTACAATCTTTGTCCTGCAGTATATTTAGCTCATTAGCTTTAATAGCCATTGACTGACAATTTCCTTCACTGTACCTCCTACTGTGTCAACATATAATGAGTCTACAAGCAGCAGGACCTGGATAATGAATCACAAGTAGCATGCTCTAATAGTGTGTTGTACTGCCTACAGGCCCCCTGCTGAGGTTTCAGCACACTTGATATGAAGCTGCCAATTATGAGGAAGTTATGCATTGAAGCGACTGCTGTAGATATATACTGTTTATAATATCTGCTGTTGCCTGCATGCCGCCTTCCTCTTACTGTCTTTTTCTTCCTGTAGATAAATTTTCATAAAGTCTCGCATTATAGACATTCTTTAATTTGGGGATAATTGCAAAATATCAGCCATCTTTCCTATGAAGTATGCAGGCTTGATGTTTGTGTGGAAACACAGATAATGACCCTAAAGGAAACCCTGCTCAGAGTAGCTGGTCAGCTGGTATTTTTTCAGAGGTAACTCGAGCGGGTAAATGATCCCTCTGTGTTGTCCTTTGCTCACAGCTCTCTGCCTCGCCTGTCAAATAGCAGCATTAGGATAGTTTTCATCCTAAGCTGCTATTAAAGAACTTATCAAGAGTTGGTCCCACAAGCCTGCGGCCGTCTGCAGAGCTCCTGCTCACTAAGCAAACCTGTAGTCCATGATAACACACTCCAACACATGCACACACTTTCCTTATTCCATTGCAGTAGTTCCTCTTAACAAAGATTTGCTTTTCAAGGGCGAAATCACTTCAACAGCTACTTTTGTTAAGATGACTGAGCTGCAATCAACCCTGCGGGCTAGCACGCTCACATTCAGAGCAAATCAAAAAGCACTTATACATTATTTAAGTTTCTTATCAGCTGTAAATATTCAGCGGTTGCTCTGCCATCTCTTTTGCAGCGTACAAGTGATCACCAGTTGTTTATACATGTTTCATAGCTTTGATGATAACATTTCAATTGCAGCTAAAAAAAGGAAAAATAAAAGCACTCATAGCAGAGTCATTATAGATTCAGTGCTGTCTTACCTCCTAATTTGCATAAGTTGGAGCATATTTCTGCAAAACCATCTGCATAAGGCTTTCTGGCATCCATCTTTTACCACTGTGTCACACACATGGCACAGAAAAGGCTGTCAGAGTGTTGCACTTAACAAAATAAAAGCTGTTTTAAATGGCTGATAAAACATTTTTTGGAGAAGTAGCTCTCAGTCATTCAAGCTGATTTTAAGAGTTTGATCTCCACTGGTAAACTTATAAGAAAACTAAAAATAACGCACACACACATAAATAAAAGTATAAAATGTATCTATCATGTATAGCCAAAGAGGTAGGGCTGGGCGATATGGCCTCAAATCAATATCACGATATATTGAGCAGTTCACCTCCATAACGATAAATGGACGATAACTACTCCACAGGCTGCTCACCCCCTCCCACATTAACTTCGTCTACTTCAGCCGCCGCTCCAGCTGCTACAACTTTTGAACCGTCCTCCATCTCCTCACCTGTCTTTCCCTCTTTGTTACAGACTGGATGGGCTGAAGTCACATCTCCAGCGTAGTCTTGTCTTAAAGGGACATGAGACCATAGCCTGCCTACACACATCCAAAACCAACTGTTATTTATTTGACACCAAATATATTGACATGGGCAAAATTACGTCGGTTATTACCGTAAATTTCGGTATCTGTAAATTTTCGTTTTTTCGCCCAGTCGTACAAAGAGGACCTGTGTCATTTGTCGATGCTTCTTGACATACAAGTTGCACACTAATCATCCTCTCTAAGATTGTGTGAAAAGGTATCCTCACACATATTGTGAATGGTTGTTGGTTTAGTTGTTTAAGTCAAAGTTCAGCAACAGGTGATGATGATCTCCTCAGTCTGGTGCCAAAAAGCACTGATCTGATTTTTAAAGTCACAATAACTAAAAGGTTTCTTCTCTCTCTTCAAGATGTAGTTTGACATTTTAGGAAATATCCTGCATTGAGAGATCAATACCTGTCCCTTAAAAGTAATACTTGAATGTTTTTGATTTGTTCCTCAGATGAGCAGTAAGCGCTCGAGCAGTTTCAGACGAGCCATTGCCAATGGCCGCCGCACGCTGCAGAGGGAGATCCTGCTGGACGAGACGGGGCTGGGTCTGTACAAACGTTTTGTCCGCTATGTGGCCTATGAGATCCTGCCCTGTGAGACGGACAGACGCTGGTACTTCCACCAGAACCGCCTGTGTCCTCCACCTGTGTTCATTGCCATTGTTACCATCGTACAGGTGAGACTCATACAGTTGCTGTGAAGGTCAAAACACAAAAATGTATCAGGAAGATTAACCAGTGTTTTGCAGAAAATAACAATAAATTGTCACAATAAAAAAGTCCCAATTGTTTCCAAACTGTGTCTTTTAAAAAATGTCAATTTATCTTATTAAATATTTTTGTATCTTGACTTTCAGGGCTACCGTATCTTTTGTGTTGTGCAGACACTGAACTAACCCCAGAACACAGTGCAGATTTATACCACAGACCCTAGTGCTCATAAAACTCAGTGTTTTAGTGGAGATTGTGCTATTTACCCCCTCAGACTGACTAAAACTGTTCTTTCAGCTCTGTTGTTGGCTTCAGACCCCCTGAAAAGACTTTCTGCCTTTGATTGGATCCATTTTTTTGCAAGTTCCATATGAGCTGGGAACCACTTTGGGAGTCTGGGGTTTAGTAGGGGCATTGAAAGCCATTCGTCTGAGCTGAACCCCTCTGCCACCCTGCGTGCTGCAATTTATTTTTCAGACACTGTATTAGAACTTTGAAATCAGGTCAGTGAGCACGCCGGCCACCACATGGACGCTAAATGACCTATTATGCATATGAAAAAGAGGAAACGACCAACACAAATGCCTTCATACACCGATGTTGAATAGTCGAGGATTAAGCAGTGGAAATAACCCTCAGCCTGTTCACAAAACTTCAACCTTTTCGCCTGAAATCATCATAATTCTGCAGAATGTAAGCCAAGTGCTCTCATAATGCCTCCAAATGGCAATGAATGGTCTGTAATGACAATGAGGGAGTGATAATAACGGTTCACATCCATTTTAATTCACAGAGACAATGAGTCATTTATTCTATGAAAAGAAATTAATGGAATTGAACCAGATGTGGCGTTTTTCTTTCTGCAGGCAGTAATTGTCTCCACAAGTCTAATACGCATCAGCTGAGGAAACAGAAAGAGAAGAAAACGTCACGCATCTTTTATGCAGCACAATGGGTTTTGTTTTGTGGCATAATTTCCAGCTTTGTACCAGCAGGCTGCAGAGAGAGCCTGCAACGCTGGGAACGTCAGCAGGATGTGACAGTCTCATCTGTGTGTGTGTTGCAGATTATCGTCTTCATGTGCTACGGCATCATGCTAAACAAGTGGGTGCTGCAGACCTATCAGCCGGACTTTATGAAGAGCCCCCTGGTCTACCATCCGGGCCACAGAGCACAAGTGTGGCGCTTCTTCAGCTACATGTTCATGCACGTTGGGTAAGTTCAGAAAACTGCTTCTGCTTTATGTTGAGTTCTGCACGATTGACTAGATAAAAGTCGAGCATGTTGCGACAGATTTTTGGAGTGTAAGAAAATAAAAAATACCCTGATTTGAGTTTTGTTCTCTCTCTCTCTCCCTCCTCCTCAGTTTAGAGCAGCTGGGGTTCAACGCTTTGCTGCAGCTGATGATTGGCGTTCCTTTAGAGATGGTCCATGGCATCTTACGAATAAGTCTGCTCTATATGGCAGGAGTGCTGGCTGGTGAGTGTCTCTTTTCAAAACTGAAGTACTGCAGTGGCTCTGCATAGTGGGGCGATCATTGGACTCATTGACTGTATACAAAGATGGCCAGCATGTCCTCACCCACAAAACTGATGACAAAATATCTTCTCATGTTGTGTGCTGACATGTCATGCTAGTGTTGACGTTTAATGCTCAAGTTTGAGTTTTTCTGGCAGTTTTGGATAACTGCAGTGCATTATGGGAAGAGCTTTCATTGGTAAAACAATGACAGTTGTAAAAAGATTTTCATTTTCTGCTCTGCTCTCATGGTGTCTGTGTTTGTTTGCAGGATGTCTTCACAGATAGATAGATAGATAGATAGATAGATAGATAGATAGATAGATAGATAGATAGATAGATAGATAGATAGATAGATAGATAGATAGATAGATAGATAGATAGATAGATAGATAGATGGCACAGTTTGTAACACATGAAAATGCTCTATTTTTTATCCTTTTGTAGTTTTTGTTTAGCACTTTTTTTTGTCAGTAACCCTGCAAAAATAATTATCTTTTCCGCATGCTGACATCCAAGTGTGGCTTGTTTGATAGCTTTCACAAAACTGACCCTGCCCGGACCTTTGAAAAGATCCAAGTAACCCAATCGAAAGCTGCAGAGTGACTCACAGCGTCCTGAGGTCGGGCCAGAGCACTCATGTCATTGATGATGAGAAACCTCATTAACTTTCATCCCCATCCTGGGCCAGTTTGGAGATTGGAAATTTCAAACCCGCACTGATTTGCTGGAAGTGGTTCCTCACTGCAGTTTTTCGCTATTGATGCGTAATTTTGAAGCTCATATCTACACTGCAGCATAAAGCTCTCTACCCTTTCATCTTTACTGCGGACAATTACTGTCCTGGATCTTATAAATCTCCTGCTAACCATTATTTGATAACAGTCAGGGCTGATTTATATTGAGTTATATTCACACGTTTTTACTCACATCATTTTCTGCCTTTTTTTTTCCATGTCACAAAAAAATCCTTATCTCTGCATTTCTTTTTCTCCTGCCCTTTCTTTGCGCACTGTAGTAAAATTAAGTCAAAGCAGCAGAAAGTCCCTGCGTGCAGATACACTCTCATAATTCATAAATTATTGTAGCTTTGATTTCCTTTTGCAGTGATGACATGAAGAGAGTGAGCGAGGGAGCGGAGGACTTACAGTAGGAAAAGTAGGGGAGTAGGGCACAGTTTCTCTCTGGGGAGTTGGCCTTAAGTGCAGTTAAAGATGTTGTTTGGAGACTTAAGCTGCAGCCTGATTCCTAGAGGAGGAGAAAGAAGCTCGGAGATGGTTGTATTTATACCCAAGGAGTCCAGAGTGAAGCTGCATCCATTACAACTAAAACACCTGAGCTGCATTGTTGCGATAACAAATTGAATCTTATTCACACAAGTCGATGCAAGTGTGTTACTGAAATATATTTTAAAATTTTACTGCAGTGTGAGCTGATTTCTGTCAATTGTGAAGAAGAGTTAAGTTGTCTCATGGTCACGAGAGGATTTTAGAAACAGTGACTCCACCCCCTGATTCTGGAGTTATGCACTGGTGATTCATTGGTGGGAGTATGTAGGTACGGTAATTCCTTGTCTGTTTGGAGTTGTTAAGGAGTCAGTAAGGGTTAATTAATGACAGTTTCCAAGGATTAATGCCACAACTGTGTCCAGATAAAAGAACAGGCTGAGGTCCCAGCCCTGGATTTGGGCTCTACAGGAGGTTTCGAAAGAGATTAGTCTCTGTTGGGTTTTGTAGAGAGACCTTTTTGCATGACAAGATTTTTCAGTCAAAATTTCTGCAATCCTTTAATCAGTCAGGAAAATGAAGGCACACTCACACCAGCCGCAGTTTCCCTGCACTGTGCTGGAGTACGATAGTCTCCTCTCCCCAATCCCACAGTGGCCTGCACTAACACTGCTCCAGGCTCAAATGATTACCTCTGTTGTAGAGACACATGCAGAGCTGCACAGAAAACATTACTGCTATTTTACTGACTTTGTGGCAGAGTTTCTGGCAGACTTGATTTTGCTGGTCATTGGTACTGCTCCAAAAATTCCAGCCAGACAGAACAACTATCAGATACATGCCCCGAATAGCCATATATATGCTATTAACTGACATTTACCAGCAATAAACACAAGATGTCCTTAGATGTCCTAAGCACCGCACATCAGAGAGCTATTACAGCACAATCAAAGATCTAGGGGGAGGGGACTGCTTTGAGTAAGTGCACTGTAGTTTTCCTACATTACAGAGGTTTAAAAGTTCATAACTTGACAGGAAGATAGAGGACATATGGAGAATGTCAAATTTAAAGCTTCCGAGAGAGGATTTTAGCTGTTTATAAAACAGACGGATATTAATGCGTTTGCCTCCACATGAGCTAGAAAAGCAAACTAGACCATCAGTGACAGGATTGATTATACTTTTTAATTTTTAATGCATGTAATCACTGCTACAGGGTAGGTGTCAGACAAGTGGATTTATCTACACAGGCAAGAAGGATATTATTTGATATTTCCCATATCTAAGATTCATAGTGAGTGAGACGTGTGTCTTATAAAAGGAAACAAGACAAAGAATGTAAGGGACAAGTAAGCACAGAGATAAGATGTACCTCTTTGTGCACAGGGGGCACCAGAATTTTAAAATCTTTAACTTTAAAATCAGGGTGTGAACCTCTAGAAATTTGGTTCACAAATGATATTTACATGATTATCTTCATAATGTGAAAGAGTGTAAGAACCAGGGATAAGAAAAAGAGAACTCAAGATTCTTTTTTTTATTATGCAATGCAAGAAGTTGAAATGATGAGAGTAAAGTTGGTTTTTCAAATATAAAGATTAAAGTATTGTGATTAAAGTTAAAATCTCATGGAAAGGGTCCATGTGCACAAGGGTGGCAGTGAGACACTACTCAACCTACCAGTGCCCTGCAGGGTGCTAGTTTTATAGTTGCGACATTTTGCTACAATGCTTTAGCTGGGTTTATATTATCAATCACTGAAGTCTGTGAAGTCTATGTATGAAGACAAATAAATTCACTCTTTACTGTACTACACTGTTCTGCAGTTTATAAAGGAAACTGAGTTAGACAGCTCTAAATCTGTCCATAAAGCCTCCTCTAGCCACTTCAGTCTTTCACTGATATACCAAACCTGTGTATGAGTAACTGCGTGCATGAACAGGCTTGGGTTCAACATCTTTTTTGTAAGCCTGTAATCCCATGTTGGGTATAAGTTATCGCCCTGTGCTTTCCATCACTTAGTGAATTTTTTTTTTCCTCTTTTACTGCTCCGATGCCTGCAGCTGTCTCATGTTTATATTCATGCAGTCCTATTCCAGCTCATGAGTTCAATCATGTTGCCTGTTTGCTATCAGCTCTCACATGCATGTTCCTTGTTATTTTTGTGCGGCGGCGGCAGATCTTTCAGGTTGTAGCTAAGCACAGTAGGTGCGTTTATGGAGCAATATGCTGCAGGTATTGTGCCTTAATGTTGGTGCCTTAACACTGCATGAAATCCTGCACCTCAGGGTGTAAATACAAAGCCAAAAGAAAGATTTCATTTCTTTTGAAGGTTTCTCAAATACTGAGAAGGTATAAAACAGTTCTCACTATATAGATATCTAACATGCATGAACATAAATCTTACAAATAACATGAAGTAACACTACAAAGAAAATGTTTTTGATCTGTGTAGGATACACGGTGTTATGAGCGCATCTGTAAGCCTTTGAAATGACCTGATTTGTACTCACCAGGCATGTTTTTCAGTGCACACTGTAGAGAGTGGCATTGTACATAATGTCCTCGGATCAGTGCTGACAAAAGGAGCAATTCGGTAATTATTTTCTGACAGCACTTTTCAGACCACCAAGGCCCTTGTCCTCGCTCACTTTGCATCCCTTTAGTAATTTTCTCTTGCTCTGCTGTACGAGAGGTAGCACAAGTGCTCCACTTTTATGTACCGAAATATGAGCAGTCAGACTTGCAGGGTGAAATGATGAGAAGGATGAAAATTATTAAGTCATATTCAACATTTCAGCCTATCCCTGCATGGGTAAACAGTAGCAGCGCTTCTTTTTTATGCATGCTCATCTCCTGGGTCTCTCTCCCTGAAGCTAACAGCTCCTCAATGTGCTTTGAGATGTCAACAGGTGCCAGAGCACCTTGTTTTCCCCCTGGTGCCCTATGTGCGCCTTGGGGTGTGGATCCCCCTCATACAACTCAGACAATTCAAATCTCAGAGCACCTTATTGTGACAGGAAGCTTGAGTTTGTTGTCACACCATGTGATGCGCCTATCGGTGTGCTGGTGTAACGTGCTGGTGTTGACATACGGTACAATGATACCTGTCAAACTTGACTCAGCAACCTTCTACGTGACAAAACAAAGACTTCGGGGTAAATCTTAAGACCAGACAATTTTATCAGACAACTGATACATCAACAGTTTCAATAAGTGCTAGTCCAACATTTGGTTTTACAGAGAAAGCTGCTCTAAAGCATGACAGAAATGTGTTTAAATCCCTCATTTGGAGGAAACAAAATCACTGTGTGTGTCTTACATCCCCAATTTTGGCTGTTCTGTGCCATCCAGTTCTGTCTTTTCTGTTTGCACTGAAGGAAATTTGTCCTTCTGTCAAATATCTTTACAGCATCTCTCTTGTTTTGATTATTTTCTTTGATTTTAATGAGGATAAAAACACATGCAGGGAGTATTCACTAAGTCAAATTGTGACACTTAATTTGCTGTGCATGTCCCCAGATGGGAATTAATAAAAAAAAAAAAAAAACATGAGCAGGGTGCCATAAAATATGCAATAAAAACCATAAAATACAGATTCAAAAATTCAAGAGAGACAACATAATAGAAGACAGGTTGGATGATAAAAGTAATGACCCAAACCCTGTTATCATAAAACACTAACAGAGGCCACCATTCATAATGAGAATGTTTGCTTTGAAACTCAGTAAACATGTCAGTGTTAATTAGGGCTGTAATTGATGTTGCCTTTCATTATTGATTAATATAACAACAGTTATCCCATGTTTGCACAAAAACATTCAGATTTGTTTCTTTTTAATCAAATTTGTTGCTGTTAATTTTTCATTAAACTGTCCAGTTTTACCTGCCTGTTATATCAGCTTATTTCACGGGGGCTGATACTTCCCTGTTGCTTCATTCAACTGCATCACAATCACGTAGAGTATGATCATTACACCCTGACCTCCATTCAACAGGTAGGATGTGTTCCTGCTGGCTATAAAATTATATGTTTGTGATGCGTTTTTGACAAATGCTCTCATTCCAGTAGTGATGACATTGTAAATGTTGAGAGATTTCAGCATGTTGGTGAGAAGTCTACGAGTCTGTGGATTGGCTATCCAACCTGTACAGCCTTTGATGTAAATTACTGTAGAAGATTTACTCTTCATTCTGTCCTGGAGCCTGTTAACAAAACAACAGGATCTGGTGTTATTACAGTAATGAGCTGGCCCCGCCAGTGTTCTGACACTGTAGAGCGGGGGGAGACATTTGGCCTGATGCTGTTTGCAGCCTGTTGGGAAATTGTAATGGAAATGTGACGAATGACTGCATGTCAGTGAAACCTCATTGTTGCAATCCAGTTGATGTTGTCATTACTTAAATGCAGCACATAAAGTTGTATTTAATGTCTAATCCTTCAGAAGTTGATGAGTGCTGTTGTTATTTGAGGCAGAAGGGACGGCGGTGGTGTCAGCTTTCCACAGACTCGCTTTATTGTTGGTCCTAATTTAGTCTGATGATGATTGTTCCTGCATTTCAGGCTAATAAAAGCCCATTCCATCTCTAAGTGGCTGGAGGTCTTTAAGCTTATTTTTGGAATAATTCTCCTTTCTCAAAGCTGACGGTACTTTATAGAAGCAGACTGCGTATTTTAAGGGAGAATAAATACATTATCTGCTATTCAAACTTGCCGCTGTGTGTATAGCTTTAGGGTGACTTTGTCCTTCATCCATTCTGCTAATGTTCAATACAAATTCAGGGAGTTAATCTCCATCCAAGTCCATAAGGCCAGAAAAAAATATAAGATTGAGTATTTGAACAAATGTGATCAGACTTGGTCCCTGCAGAAATTCGAATTTGACAGCAGGCTTTTTGAGGTTTGGTTCAATGTTAGTTGAACCTGTACACTCTTTATTCACACTCTCTATTAAATTTCACAACAGAGATCAATGAAGTCTTCTTCTTAAAAGAAGAAGACTTCTGTAGTACGTTTCTAGTTTCTAACGTAATTCAAAAAGAGGTTCTTTTTTTGCTTTTATTTGAAACTGATGCAATTTTCAAAGTAGCTCAAACTAGCATAACAACCATCAACAAATGAACCATACATTCATAAGCATGATGGATGAAACTGTCATATAGTATTAGCCTCAGGGTTATACAACTGGCTGCAGCACTACACTGAGAGTAAAAACCAAAAAAAAAATCTTGTGGCTCAGCAAAGTTTGTAATTGTTTTTGAAAATGAAAGTTTTCTCTCAAAGCAAGGTTGAGTCCCATCATCACGCCACATCAGCAGCATCAGCATGCAATCTCTCTTAATGAGGGAGAGATTGAGATAAAGAGACAAAAGAGGAGAGAGGACGCTGAGAGCGTTAGGGCTGGATAAATAACTGTCAGGGCTGGAGGGTTGTGATTCATTCTGTGCCTCTTATTCTTTCTGCTCTGACTCATGTCAACATGCTGATTTGATTTGCTCCCGGTGAAAATGGGAATATTTGTAGGGGAAGCAGGAGCCTTTTTGGGTAGTGAGACTTTTTTTTATCGTGTGTTTTGCTCATGAGGCTGAATAAACATGATTGCCTTTCTGCTTTCACTTTAAAGGGGATGGTGTTGCTGAGACAATTGACTGTATACAAAGATAGGTCAAGGTTAGGGCACGTGGCTGCTGAGATGGGGGCTACAGTCTCTGTGCATTCGGCCCACACTTTAACCACTTAGCTTAATTGATGCCTGTAAAGAGCTCCTTTAGTTGGTTTGACACACTCACAGATATGAGAAGGTCAGAGTTCAGTCCTTTTCTCTCCTAATTCGGAGCACAAAACTCTGCAGAGCTGAGACCTGTCAATCACAGCATCATAAAAATATCAGATGTGCATTTTGATGTTTAAGTTTTTCCCATCTGTTGACATGGAGGAAGCAGGCTTTATAACGTGTGCTTAGTCAATCACCAAAATGTTTTGGCTTCATTTATGAGCGCTGTCATGTCATCCACACTTTTGTACAGTCTGTGCTGTGACCCTGCCACACTGTCACCCCACAAGGTCAGATTTGTGTCTTTTCAGCCAACCTCAGCTTGACACTGCTGTGTGTACACAAACAAACCCTGGCGTTGTTTGTAGTGCTGAAAAGTCTGGACCCATTTTTCTGATGTACTCCCCTGGTGCTGAGCTGAACTGAGGACTCAGGGTGACCTTGGTGCGATGCAGAGGCTGCCAGCGTGATTATGGTAATTCCCACCCCAGCACCCCTCCTCCTTCTAATCCCACCACACAGTCAACTCTTCCTCTTCGGTGACACCGAGCTCACTTCCTCTACAACAGGCCCCCTGCAGCCTCACTGATGACTACACCGAGTATGAAGTATCTTTCTACTCTTAGCTCATTTTCATTGAGTGAGTTTAGATGTGTTTATGGTTGAAGATTTTGATCTATTGTGTGAAGCCAATCCAGGACAGCAGGGTTTTATTAAACGCTCAGCTGCCTTCTTTCCTTGCTTAGTTTATATTACGTTTCCCCTAGAGTTCTTATTTAGTTTCTCCTTTGAAAAGACGCACCATGGTCACTTTGTCCACAGAATGGTTTTTCAACCTTGAGCACAGGAGATGATTTCATGCCCGTCTTCATCAGGGTGTTGTAAGAATTTCACTTTCTTCCATCCAAGGCCACCAATTCAGCATTTGTTAGCTGAAAAGCAGTCGTGAGCAATAACAGCTTGAGTCGTGACGGGAATTCATTTTTGTATTTTTGAGGCTTTCCATCTCGAGCAAACTTCTTTAAGAGCATTAGAAATATTCTCACATTCACGCTTTAATTTTTGGATTTTGTCTTTTTGCTGCTTGAGTTTATAGCTGTGCTCATATGCTCACACACACTCATCCACATCAGATATGATTAGACTTTTCCTCCGCTCTCCTCTCTATTGATTTTCTCTGATGCCCTCGGGGCTCTGGTGTAGCATAAATATTATCATATTTTTCCCCTCAAGTTGCAAATTTGGACAGGGCAGAAAAGTGTTGGAATAAACAGAATCAATATCCATGGAAACCAAGGGCAAGGTGTGTTCACTGTAGCTGTTTCGGCTTAAATTGATGAATTGTTTCTGCTCCTGCAGGCTATGGAGTTTGACATCAACAGCACAGAAATCCTGCTTTTTTTCTGTATTCTTTTTCTTTATTGTTCCTTTATTTATAAAAACCAAAGGGGCTCTTCATGTTGTATCTGAGCTCATCTAATGATCTTTGACTGCAGTGCAGGGATCTCTTCGAGGAAGCTGTCAGTTCAGATACTCCTACACAGCCTGACACTGCAGACAAACAAAACTTTGCAGGCGTCCGTCTTTTTCTGCGGTTTCTTCCCTACTGCCACCCTCGCTCCTCACGGGCACAGGCAGATGGATGAAGACGTTAGATTGGATGAGGACTGATTACAAGTCTCGCTGCTCCACTTTAAGAAAAGCATCAGCCGTGGAGGGATATTTTTCTTATCTTACTCAGTCTGGATGACACAGAGGAGTCCATCTCCTTCCCAGGTGGAAAATATCTTAAGTAGAGCCCCCTCGGTCTGACAGGACTATTACAGTTAAACGAGGCTTTGAAATAGACGCCACTCTATTAGATGACATTTAAAGCTATCACCCTTTCAAATAGATACCAAAGTAGACAAAAGAGCAAATGACAGATGTTCTGTCTTTAGCTGAGTCACCTTGACTTTGACTTGTTTTAACTTTCTTCACCAGAAAATTGCTAATCCGCGAAAACTTAAGTAGGTAACCTTTCAAAAATCGAACAATAGTCCCCATTTGAGAGGCATAAATAAGAATAAAACCACTGTAGGATAACAGTAAATATCAGTTTGTTCTACAGTCATCTGTGAAGTGGAGTTTTTTTGCAACCTCATGGATTTACATGCTGTCAGGTGTGCATTACGTGGGTGTATGAGAGTTTGAGTTTGAGCAGCGTTATTCAAACTTTCTCGGTATGGAGTCAAAAACAAGAGTGATTAAACTACTTACAGCAACTGCTTGTCATAACTACTTACTTAGTAATGTAGTGGAAAATCCAACATAAACTCAGTAAAACAATGCACAGGAGACAGGATGAGATCTGAAGAGCAGCCTGGGCGTCTTTTATTGTACAGATGTTGAAATTAGTACAGATGACAACAGAGTCTCAACCAAAAGTGAGGAAAGCCACTCTCAGCTTTCCTCTTCTCCCTTTTACACTGACCGGTGTGTATCTGAATACAGTGATTGTGTACTGCATGTGTGTGTGTGTGTGTGTGTGTGTGTGTGCGTGCGTGCGTGCGTGTTTGTGTGTTTAGATTGTTTAGATTAATCTAGATTAATCTTAACTCTCCCAGAGAAAAATGTTCTGGCAGACAGATAGTTTTGGTCCCTGCAAAAAAACCTTGCTTGCAACCTCTCAGTTATGAGGCTGCACAAGTAGGCCAACCCAGATTATTTGTAACCTCTTAATAAAAGATAATCACTCTATATTTCTTTAACCTAATGTATGAAAATATTCTACCACAGTAACTACCTACTTAACTACTTATGGCATGTTGAGATAAACTCCACCCTCTTTAATACTCTCTTCATTCCACAATGCGAATCAGAAATTTTCCCCTGACTTCAGGGTAACCTGACCTGATATGTAAAGTGAAAGTTCAGGTGTAGCTAACAAGTTCACCACTTGAGGAAACTCAACCAACCTCTGTTAATGAACTTACAATATGAGCTTATGTTTATAGGTAACTTTATTGATTGTATTTTTCACAAATAATAAAAGCAAAAATACAAGCAGCTCAATCTTGATCAGCCAATTCAGCACAAGCTCGAACTTTTTTCTCTGTGAGTTTGTACATCAGTCTTAAAAACACAGCAGAGAAAATAAAAAACAGCAGTCCTGATTGCATTGTCTGTATCATTCCTTGTGCACTCACTCCTCTGCCCTCTCCATCAGTCTCCCTCTCTTTCTATTTGTGCTTGGTAAATAAATCTGATCGGGCATTTCCCCAGTTTATTAGCCGACAGAGGCAGCCCAGTGACTGCAGGAATGCTGACTGCAGCACATCTCTGTGCAGAGCCACGAGATTTAATGCATACAGGATAGATCTGTCCAAGGCACCACTGCACAAATACAGCAGCCCCAAACCTGAAGGGCAAGAATCTCACTGTAACAATGAGGAGAGGTTTCTCCCTCTGATCTCTCCACCGATCAGAGCCAGATGACTGCGTTTCTAGTCAAATATTTCACTATTTATAAGAACCGACAATTTCAAAATGACATGCCTAATGTTCTGCATTTAGTCTTTTAGATTCTTTCATGTCTTGTAATAAAACATGACAAAATACATTTGATTTCTACTCACCTTTTAGATGATATGAATCAAACAAACAAATCACTTCAGGTCCAGCTGATGCCAAATTTGCTTTGCACCCAGTTCTGACTAAATCACCTGAATAAATAAATACATTGTCCTTTAATTGTCCTCCTCTGGGTAATTTATGGGCTGACTAAGCAGTTAGAGCGATTCAGTGCATATTAATCTTGTCAAAACTCTTTAGTTTCCCTGAAAGCATCGCCTTGTACTGCAGATATCTTTTCAAGTTGAAGTTGAGAGGGTGTCAAGTTTCCTGTCCCTGGTTACAACTCTTAACTCCGGATTTAAGGAACTAGGAAACAGGTTTGTTTTCCCTGTGATCTCTGTGCTTTAAAGATGTTCTAATCAATATTTTTACACACTACCGGTCAGATCACCTTGTGATGTGAAACAGGTCACATGTAGCTGCAAACCCACAGAGAATTTCCCCTGACTCTGCAAATCCCTTCTGCTCTACAGAGCCTCACAGCCATGTTTATCTCATTGTTTGGCCTGTGGGACACAACCTGTACTATTTCTGTTCAACAGATGGATCATTTTAAAAGTGCTTTTACTTCTCTTGTGTGAGAACTTATTTCTTAATCATTTAAGGATTTTAAACATATGAACCAACTGAATGGTCTGGAGAAGGAAAAAAATCAGGAAGAAAGGTCAGATTGAGCATTTTGCTGCATGTGGCTAATGTTAGCAGAACTAGCTTCCCCCGGCCTATGGTCCTCCCTGCAGGTTAAAGGAAGAACATTTATGATCATTTCTTCATGGAAATGCAATCACACTGAGACGCTAAGGCAGAAGAACTACCACGTCTGCAGTGCAAAATGATTAATATGGTGATTATTACTTCAAGGAAATGATAAAGAAATGATCATAAATGTTCTACCTTGAGCTGCGTCACCCCGTAGCAGTCCATACTACAAACAAGCAGCTGCTGGAAGAGAGTGGGTGAGTTGTGTTTAGTCTCTTTGCTGAAGAAATTAGGCAAAGTTAAAAAGATGTTTGGTGGCTAGTGCTATGGCTGGGACCCTATATGTACTGCTGATGAAGTTAGGTGCTGTTCTGAGTATTATGTGTGGCTATAGAGTGGCTTTTTGGTCGAGGTATGTTTATGGCTCCTCAGACCGCTGTGTATCGTGATCCTGCAGTTGTTACTAAAGTTGGTAAAACTAGAGAAGCAAGCGGTCGGCAACATTCATCTCTCGAGGTGTTGTGGTGTGTTTGACCGTAAATTAATTTTACACCAGAATATCCCTTTAAGGTGCCTCCAGTTGCATTAAACAGACACAGCCGTTGTTAATCTTTATCTCCAGTTTCCAAATGAAAACACTGCCAAACTGCACCATGCAACCAGATTTCATCCATCATCTGTGCTTTGTTTGTATTGCATAGTAGAGTGTCCTATTATGGTTGTCTCCTTAAACAGCTACAGCTTTGATAAAGGATGTGAATTTCAGACCAACAAAAAAGAAAGTACTGATAGCTTGTTTAATGGCCTGAAAATTCTGGTGCCAACTCACACCTTAATGATGGTGATGTTCAGTCATTTAGTAAACTCTAAAATTATATTGTTGTACTAAACCTCTGACATTACAAATCAGGTGTTTGAATAGCCTTCAAGTAAAAGGTTTTAAAATCCAACATGTCAACAAATTAACTGATGACCACTCTGTATGACTGTATCATCGCAACAACGGTGACATCTCTTATCGGAAGAATTTATTTATTTATTTATTTATTTTATCTCTTCACATATCATTTTGTAAGAGTGAAAGGGCCACTTTGAAGTCATCAAAGAGCCTGATTTAGCTGCTAGACCTCCAATTAAATAGTTCTATTTCAAAATACATTAAAAGACAGAGAACTGATGTTGTCTTACATAAGTCCTTTTACATTTTATAATAAACTAATAAACTGTTACACAGACCTTTTTGATTTTGAAATTAATTTTGCTCTGACCAATTCCCTCAGAGTTCAAATTAAAAGGACATTGTGGGCTAATGTGAACATTATTAGTTTTGTTCTGAGCATAACATTCACCCGGCACTGCTGTGCACAGGTACATTTATTTAACATAATTGAAAACGTATTTCTATATTGTAATAAAAATGATTATGTTTTAAGGATGTTGTGAATAAATGAAGTTAAATGAAGATTTTTTTTTGGGGGGGGGGGGTTTAGTTGTTTTTATACCATCAGATAAAGCTTGTGTAACTCAAGAATTTGGGAATCTTTGCTCTTGTGTACCCGTCCCAAAATCCCCAAACATATTAGGTCATAATGACTCCTTTTCTTTTATTGCAACAGAATATCATGAGTAAAAATCTGTGTCAGCTTCATTTCTCAAAGGGCTCTTAGCAGTCTGCAAACATTGTAAGTAATCACAATCACTAGCCAAGGATACACACAACATCTAGAGAGCAGACAGTGACGAGAGTCAGGTTGGTAAGTGGTTGTGCAGAGGCATATTTTTCAGGGATTAGAGGGGTTTTTTTTTGTATTGTTACAATTCCTGTGCTCTGGCTCAGTCTTCACTGGAGTGGCTTCACAGAGGCACAGCCTTAGGCACTGTCAAACCCTTGCCTTGGATCAGCTTAGCATCCCTTGTCTGCACCTTATCCCAGAGAGACTGAAAATACAGAGTTGACCCATAGCTTAAGGGCAGCCCAGAGTAACAGTAATAGTGTAGCTAGTGTGGTGTGACGGTGGCTCAGTTCTCCGGGCTGCACTGGGGATTATACTGCAGTGGAGTACAGCCCCGAGTGTGTAGTTGATTTATACTCTAAAAAAGAACATGAAAAAAAGAACATGATCTTTACTGTCTTTTACTGCAGTGTGCAACTGAAGCTCACAAAAAGATTTGAGTATGTTGATGATGCATTCAGTATGACTTCAGTAAATAATCTGTACATGCGAGTGAATGTGTCAGCTCGGTGCTGAAATAATCGCACACCTCACGACTTAGCTCGTGCTGAGTGCAAGGATCCTAAATCTCAAATCCTCCTAAGCAGGAGAGCCTACATGACAGGTCCTGTTTAATATTCATACTGTATTTGGGAGCTCTCTTACAGCAGCAGCAGAGTGAGCAGTTTGTTTCCTCCCTGTGGAGCCTGTCTCTTCCTCTGAGCCGGAGGTCTCAGGTCGTCTCCTTTTTTGTATCGGCAGATGGTGATGTCACATCCCTGACAAGTGTCTCTTACAAAGAGGGGTTGGATTACTTAGATCAAGTGACTTTGGGTAATGTGAGGCAGGACTCTGGTCGTGATGAACCCACAGAGGATATCTTCTGTGTCTGATGTTCTCTTTATCTCAAAGGGGCCATAACTTCCGGCGCTTAACTTGCTCATTGACAGCTCACTTTGATTGACTCACACGGATCTCTTCTTTGACTTTAATGGACAAATAGTAGCTAGATGGATGTAGCAAAAGATAGCTACTTGCATGAGAATTTAAAGGACTTGGTGGTGGCCTAAACCACATCCTGAGAGCCCCACAGGATTGATGTCAGGACCCTTTCGCTAACCAAAGCACCGCTTGAAACTTTCCAGTTGAGGTCCAGTCCATGGCAGGACAGACTCTTGTGTTACTTGAAGAATGTGGAATTTTTTAATGATCTCCATCCTCCACTCTGCTAATCTAAGAATGGTGCATGAGCCCTCATTTGTCAACAGTCATTCGTCATTTGCAGCACTGTCACAGTCATTTGTCATTCCATTAATCCCTCCCTTTTTAACTTTTAATGATCAAGCAAAACTGAAAACATGACAAGTCCTGACTGCTATGAAAAGAGGCATGTCTGTAAAAAAATTGATAGACTTGGATTTTAATTCTCTACTCTGAGCAGAGTTTTCACCTGTAATGGAGGAAACAGACTTCATGATCTATACCACAGCTTGTCATCAGGGAGAGCTCTAAATTTGATGGCTTTCCTCCAGGGACACTTTTGAGCTGTTGATAATTTTCTCCAGTCTATGCTGCACAGAGGTTAGTGTTGATTTGCATGTCGGCCATTGAGCTGATAACACTCAACTCAGCTTTATTCAGGTTATGATCTCACTCATACTCCAAAATAGGCAAATCTTTCTCCCAAAAATCTGATGGAAAAGCCTTTACACATCAGCAGAATCTGTCTCTACTATCATTCACAACAAACAAGGAGGGATGTTGACATAATAATAAACCCATGAATGTCTTCTGCAAGATTACAACCAAAGCTACTCCTGACAGTAAATCAGAGAAAGGATCTCTGTGGAGAAAAAGATCTACTCTGACATCACTTCAGAAACATTATTTCATTAAACTTTATCACCCAGTTGTGCTAAATCTCAAAGAAAGCAGAAGTTCAGTTTGACCAAAATCCTAATATTACCATAAGAACAACTCAGAACGATGTGTCTTAAACCATTCTATCAATATTTCATCAATATGTCTCCCAGCTACGCTGAACTGAAATAATAAATGAAGTGTAGAAAAGTTGTGAAGCTCTAGAGGAGAAATTCAGACGTAGAAGCTGTTGAAGTTGCTCCAATTCAATTTTTTCTTTTACTTTGAAGAGATCAGAGACCACATACTCTATGCTACACTGTGTAATTGCAATTTTGTGGAACTACCAAAAATGGGGCACTGTGAATCTTCTCAAATCTTTAGCTGAAGCACCAACCTTCACATGCCCCATAAATCCCGGCAAAATAGCCCATAGGTGTCTGAGTGAGGAGAGAGGAATGAGTGAGGAACACGCTCTGATTGCCATCTGTCTTTTCATGATCATCAGTGTCACAGGCTGACGAGGCGCTCTTTAAGATGATGTTTACTCTCTACGCATATGCACAAACCACACACAGAATATAAATGTCTCAACATGCATTATAGATCTGAGATCACAACTCCAGCAATCCCCGTCTGTGATTAAAAAGAAGGTTGTTTTGTTTTATCAGCCGTCTCCGCTTCCCTTATCAGCTCATTTGCATAATTAACAGTGGCTGACGCGTCCTCGCAAGCAACTGGCACTGTGATTTCTCCTGCTTGGGATTCTGTCCTACTTCCTGGTGTCACTGCAACCCCTTTTTTACCAGGGGGATGCAGCAGAAAGTGCACAGTGCTGCATTCAGGATCACATCTTTATGCAGCTGTAAATAATGTTTGGGAACAGCTGCTGTGCACGGTGCATTCTTGGCATTTTTGTTCAGCTGATTTTTGTTTTTCACCAATAACTGGCTGAATATCACTGAGATACTGCCTGCACAATGACAGTGATAGTAAAACACGGATCATTTTTAACTTTTATCTGAACCCATTGAAGGGTTAACAGTTTGAATGTCATTTTTTGTTATTATATATTCTATTTAGTATTTAGTTATATACTGCAAAACAATGATTTGGTTGAAGAAATAGTTTTATACCAATGAGAAAATGTTAAATGTTCTTTTTTTTTTTTTTTTCATTTCTTCATATCCGCTTTTACAAAAAATAATTCAACAGCTATTAGAACAATTCATTTTACAAGTGGTCTTAGTAATCAATTGCCTTTTAGTTTTCTTTTATATATATATATATACACATGTGTAAATTAATAAATCAGAAAACCAAAACTTTAGAAAATTTAAGAACGTAGGAGAAGTAAAAAAAGACAAAAACAACAACAGCCATAAAAATAAAAATGAATAAATAAATAAACTGCTGAAGGGATATTCTGGCGTAAAATTAATTTAGGGTCAAACACACTGCAGGGTGGCACAGCTCAAGAAAAAACATTTATGATAATTTCTTTATGGAAATGAAATCACACTGAGACGCTAAGGCAGAAGAACTACCACGTCTGCAGTGCAAAATGAATAATGTGGTGATCATTACTTCAGGGAAATGATAAAATATTGATTATAAATGTTCTTCCTTGCGCTGTGTGCGCCTGCAGCAGTCCATAGTGGACTGGCCTGAGGTCTCACAACAAACAAGCGGCTGCTTGAAGAGGGTGGGTGAGTTGTGCTTAGTCTGCTTGCTGAAGAAATTAGGCAACGTTAAAAAGATGTGTGATGGCTAGTGCTATGACAGGGACCCTGTATGTACTGTTGATGAAGTTAGGTGCTGTTCTGAGCATTATTTGTGGCTATAGAGTGGCATTTTGGTTGAGGTTTGTTTATGGCTCCTCAGACCGCTGTGTATTGCAGTCATTACTAAAGTTGATATAACTAGAGAAGCAAGCATTCATCTCTCGAGGGGGTGTCAAACTCTGTGTTCTGGTGTGTTTGACCCCAAATTAACATCACTGCACTACCGCTTGATTGGACAGTAACTAAAGATTTAAAAAAACTGACAATGAAAACCCAGAGGGACATCAGGCCGCTTTCCAGTATAAATCAAACTACAGTCAGTCCAAACCAAGTAATTTGACTTGACAAGAGGCCTTTCATGAGTGCTGATATACAGTACAAGAGTGCCTAGACTCTGGATTAAATGAATCACTCTGCCTCAGGTGTTCTGAATGCTGTTTATCAATTTTACTGCATACTCCATGCTACATCTTTATTAATCAGTCACACAGTCCATCAAAGCAACTACAGGACCAACTGATTGATGGTTGGTGGAATCATTCAGTTACAAAGAAGGTGCTCTGTGTCTATGTGAGGACATTCATAAAATAGCAGGAGTACAGGAAAGTGTTTTAAGTGGCTTGGCAGCAGTCAGTCCTCGACAAGTCAGTGCAGTATGCTGAGGAACAGCTTTAATTTGAAAAGCAACCCTCATTGGTCGTTTTTAGATGTGCTGTATTTAAAAGGCTGACTTGACTCGACTGTGTAGTCTTAGTGACGACACCCGTCAGTTTCTGAGTAGGAGTTGTGAAACTTTTGAGTGGTGGTTGCCATGTTGGAAATGCTGACTCTAACTTTATTGACATCTGTCAATCAAATCACCCACACCCCTCAATGTGCACATTAACGTATAACTCTTGGTCTTCATGTTTTTAAAACAAATGAGGTATGAATGAATGTTTGTAAGAAAAATGTCAGCTTCTACTAGTAGAAACAAAGCAGTACAAGTTTACAGACGCATTTGAGCTTCGCAGCCTGAGCCTTGCATCAGAGGAAATTAGCACAGTGCATCCTGTGAATGCAACGATATTGATCCTCACAAATGGATGAAAATAAAACATTTCTAAATACTTTTTTTTTTTGTTTCAGTCCTTGAAAATCAAAGAGCAAAAACCGTCAATACAGAGCAGCCATTCTGCTTTTAAATTCAAAACTCAAAACTAATTAAATCTTTTTTTGCAGGAGAGAAAAAATATTATCCATAAAAAAGGAGTTTTCAAGTGACCTGACAAATACGCAGAATTTATGATGATTACCGGCAAAAGTTTACAGATTCAGGTTTCATACAAATGTGTATCAAAAGAGGGAATCAAGGAGAACATGTTTTTGTGTTTTCAAATATAGAAACTCCAGTCTTTGTAGCTATTTACAGAAGATAGTAGCTAAAGATATAGAGTAACACGTAGTCCAGTTATAATTTGTTATTACAGAATAATTAATCTTAAATAATCTTCTTTACATTACTTCAAAATGAGCACAGTTTCATCATTTCACTTATTACAAAAGTGTTGCAAGACATCTATAAAACTGAAACTTTTAAAAACAAGTGTGGTAAAGTTTGTCAAACCTTTTCCCCAGACCTTTGGGCGTGTACCAACAGGGATTGATTGACATCACTGTGCTCCTATCAGGGCAGGACAGTTAGCATGGTAATTAATTCACATAGTTAAAACAGTTTTGTTTTTGAACTGCAGCGTCCTAAAGCAAAATGAAACCAGAAAATACTCAGTTAGAGAGTTTTACCCTTCAATCCTGTGATTTTGAGCGGACTGCCTTAATGCAGTGAAGTCCTGTACAACCCTGTCAATAATACAGAATATACATGTGTGTAAATGTGTGAATGTTAAAGGAAGGGCATGTGAAGGTCAGCTGATGTAGCAGAGCCCCTGTGAACAGGGAGGGGATTACAACTCAGAGGTATTAAAAAAAGGGCTCAGAGGAAGGTGACTTGTGCTGCTGTACGATGACTAATCTGACTTTCCCTTTGTTTTTCCCCCTTGCTCCAAAAATCTGTCCTCTCTCTCTCTCTCTCTCTCTCTCTCTCTCTCTCTCTCTCTCTCTCTCTCTCTCTCTCTCCCCCTGTCTTTCTCCCTCTTTTTCCCTCACGTTTGTCCGTCTATCTTTAAACACACATATTTCTTCTCTCTCTCCTTCTCTCTCTTTTTCTCTCTCTGCAGGATCCCTGACGGTGTCCATCACTGACATGCGTGCTCCGGTGGTAGGGGGCTCCGGGGGGGTCTATGCTTTGTGCTCAGCGCATCTGGCCAACGTTGTCATGGTAACCATCAGCATCATCATCACCTGCATTGTTACGTCTGATTTTCAATACAGAGGAAATGTCAGAGCTCTCTGTATAGTGTGAGATAGACTAGCCACACGTTCCCTCTGAGGGCCTCTGATTCTATTTATTTATTTGTAGATTTCTCAGGGACGTGTTCGCCTTGATTGACAGGACAGCTTCAGGAGTAGCGAGTAGGAAATTGTCATGGCTGGGAGTCGAACCAGTGATGACCAAAATCTTTTATGTTGCCCTAGAGTTCTTTCAAGTCCCACTGAATTTTCTTTGGATGGGAAAGTTCTTGATGAGACCTCTTCAGACTCTTATTAGACAAAATCACAGTATTTATACACCATTCATGTCATTTTTATTGCTAAGTTTGTTGAGAACTACTCGTCTGGTTTTGTCTTTCATGCCTACACAAGCAGTGAATCCCCTTGATGCACCGTGTTAGCTTTTCTCTGAATTCGTTTGTGTGTGTTTCTGTCACAAGGTTTCTCTGTGAAATGCCTTCCACATTCCCTTCTACTCTCAAGGCAGTGTTACATCTGACAAATCACTTTAACTAATGTCGCTGCTTACTGTGGGCAGCAGAGATGCCAACAGGGATAGAAATCAAAATCCACCGACAGGCCCTGAGCGCAGACTCTGTAACTCTAACTTTGTGCTCGTAGCAGCTCGCACACACATTACCAGGCTTGCTCGTCTTGAGGAAATCCTTTGAGGGACGTCTTAGTTCTACTGTGATTACTTTTTTACCATCTTGCAGGGAAGTCTTGTCCGATCGCTGACCCAGTACATTCACAGGCCATCTGCCATGATGTATCATCATCTGTACTGGCGCAGACATTTTTAGGTTGGCTGAAGTTTCAAGATCTACTCTGCTCGAGCTCTGAATGTGATTTCTTTGAAGTCTTGAAGCTTTATCTGGGCTGTCAGGAATCATCTTGGATAGTCAACTTTTGGTGCATCACTGAAATATATATATTTTTTAAACAATCCAGTGTGGTTTGTAGGAAGATTGCCCTTCTTTTCATTTTTATATATGAAGTTCAGCCATAACATTATGACCACTGACAGGGTGAATGTAAAATATACTGTAATACTACTACTACTACTAATACTACTACTACTACTACTAATAATAATAATAATAATAATAATAAGAAGAAGAAGAAGAAGAAGAAGAAGAAGAAGAAGAAGAAGAAGAAGAACTTTATTTTTATTGCACTTTTAAAAACAGAAGTTTGCAAAGTGCTTTGACAAACAGTTGCTAAGCACAGAACATCAGCACATAGAAATAAAAATAAAAGCTCAGTTAAAAACAAGGCCTCCGAATTGAAGGCCAATTTCATTTGTCATAAGAAACCCAGACAATACAAGAAACCTACAACATAAAATGAGACCATGAGGACCAAAATAAAGACATAAAATAGTTAAGAAAAAGAAGTATAATAAAACAGGGGGTAGAAAGCAGGAAACAGGACAGTTAATATAAAAAGAGGGTATTAATTATGATAATAAAATCATAATAAAATAAGAATGATGGTAATATTAATGATAAAATGGAATAACAGAAATGAGCAGGAAAAAACAATAAAATCAATAAAAGGACGAAAAGGTAAAATAAGAAAATGTTATAAGTAAAACAAAGGCTAAAAGGACAGTAAGTCAAAATAAGATAGAGGTAAAAGAGATAAAAGATGAAAGAAAAAAGGGAAAAAAAGAGAAAAGATGGCATTACATAAAAGCAAGTCTGTAAAAGTGAGTTTTTAAAAATTTGACTTAAAAGAAGCGTCTGTCTCTGCTGCACGCCTTATCTCCTCTGGCAGGTCGTTCCAAAGTCGAGGAGCTCTGATGGAGAAAGCTCTATTACCTTTAGTTTTGAGCCTCGACTTTGGAATGACCAGGAGGCCTTCACCAGAGGATCTGAGGCTGTTGGTTGGCTCATAAGGTATTAAAAGCTCTGAAATGTAGCTCGGAACAAGTCCTTTGAGCGCTTTAAAAGTAATCAATAAAATCTTAAAATCAATGCTAAAACTGACAGGAGGCCAGTGAAGGAAGGCTAAAATTAGAGTGATGTGATGCCGTCTACTAAAACCAGTTAGTAGACCACTGTATGTACATATGATACAATAAAATTTGCAAGTTAGGATGCCAGAGATTTTAACAACATATTCTGAAGGCTACTCAACTGGGTCATATCTGAAATCACAACTGTCTTGGGGCGTTCTCATGCTGTTGTTGTCAGTTACTACCAGACGTGATCCAAAGAAGGAAAATCCATGAACCACAGGAGCTAAAAAAAAGAGTTATTTCTTTCCTTCACAGAGTGTATCACAGTTTTTTGTGAATGGGGGCTGCGTCAGGGTGTCCATGCTGACTTCTGTTCACTGCCAAGAGTACCTACAACGGGACTGAACTGAACCACACACTTTGTTAACTAGGAGCTCCTACCTTATAACTTCCTGTGCTTAAGGATCAGCTGCTAACATCGTGGTCCCAGATACCACAGTGCACTTTTGGAAGTCTGGAGGGATCGATAACTCATCTGGTCACAGCTGTTTTTGGCCTTGACCTTTTTAGAGGGGGGTCTACACCACATTAGGCAGGTGGTCTTAATTTAATCGCCGATCTGTGTAAGATTCTTCCAAAAAGCAATTATTATCTCTATAAGACCTCGACTTTCCTGTGGTTGCCATTGGTTTCGCTGGGTTTTGGGTCACGTGGGCACTGTGTTTGAAAGCGGGTAGGTTATATAAGGGGCAGTCTCACCTGCACTGGGGTGGAGAGGTGAGCCAAGGTAGCTGTCATTTTTGTTGACCACACTTTATGTTCTTCGTTTAATATGACACACATCACAAAGTGTACACATACAACATCTGGTGTGCATGGCTAAATCATTGGCCACTGTAGAAGCATTTTTTCTGTTATTAAAGCTCCAAAACCTCGTTAAACTGTGTGTACTTCTTTGGAACACAAATATGCAGGACCTATTCTCTGCCTCAAGCATCTTTTTTAAGGTACTAGGAAAAGCCGCAATAGTAAAGAAGAAGAAAACTGCAGCTATCAGAATTCAGGAGCATTAAACCACCTAATCAGACCACCTCCTCTTTCATGAGATTAAACATTTATTAGAGAAATATTGTGAGATTACAAGCACTGCCACTCTCTGCGATACATTTTAGGCCTCTGGTCAGAGTAGATTATGTTCGTGCTCACTGATGTGTCTTTAATTTTGCATGGCTTTCACTGTTTCTTTTTAGAAAAGAGGAGAAACACACTCAATTTCCCTCAGCCAGAAATTTCTAAGTGATATAGCTGGACCATTTTTCATCTTGAGGAGTAAATATGTAACTCTTGGTCAGGATGCCATTGTTCGTTTCTCCCCTAGAGAATCCAAAGGGCTCTTTATTGGCCCATTCTCCCCATCTGTCAAATTACCTTAGCCCTAATTAATAGAGTGCCACTGGGCTGGAACCATAAAGTGGAGAGCAGCCAGGTGTATAATCGTGTCTGTGTGTAGTGTAAGTGCTGCCTTCTTTCTCATATAGATATGGATTGTTTTTCTTTCAGGTCTAAATATGTCTGGAAGAGAGAAACTGAGGCGTCCCTCCCCATGCTGTTATGTTATTACTCTCATGTTTAATGGTTGGTCCGGACCGTTTGTGCTGACGGGCCTTTTTTTTTTGTGGTTGCAGAACTGGGCCGGGATGCGATGTCCATACAAGCTGCTCCGCATGATCCTGGCGCTGGTCTGCAGTAAGTTTTCCAGATTTACAATCCAGCTCTGCTGTTGCATACATGTTAAATTTATGGTAAAAACATTGAGCAGTTAGTGTTGAGTTTCAAGCATTTTTAATGACCGCACACCTGTTCACAGTGCAGTGTTTATCATTTAAGTGCTGTTTAAAAACCCCTTGAACTGAGCATCAGCTATCTCTGTTAATTACTCATGGTGAGAGGCTCTGTGATTGGACGTGTTGCTTTGTTTTCATAGCATTTGAGTCATACTACTTGTCCTTTTTCTCCACACGAGGGCCGATACACTGCCACTTTCATTAGTGAGCAATATGCTCCCTCCATCTGTCCCGAGCCTGACGCCCCCGAACGGAGTGAGCAGGGACTCTCTGCTGGAGATATTTCTCATCAGTGTTTTACAAACAGGGAATTCTGCATTTCAAAATGAAATGTGGAAGGACTTGTTAAGACTGAGTCAACATTTGCTCTGGATTTTTTACTACCAATGTGGGTTGTTGATTCAGCTAAGGCAACAAACCTCAGCACATAAAATTTAAGCATAGCAGAGTGTAAAGATCTGTTCCTCCTGTGACCTGTTCTTAGTCTGGAAATAAGACTTTTAAAACCACATACTACTAAAACTGTGGAGCTCATGTTTAGGTCTCTGCATACGATAAACTCATCCCCTGTCTGTGCTCTCTTTACAATGAAAAGGTGAGCTGTTATTTGAAAAGTGTCCTTTAAAGCTAACCACTGAGATGGATTAACCAGCTTATATTAGATGTTTGATAGATAAGATATCAAAGCACATGTTCATAATGTTGCACACAGGACCAGACATTTTTGAGAAGTGGTTTGGTTTTTCATATGTAGTCCCAGAGGCCAATCACATACCTGCAGACTTTGGTGTTTGCAGAGAAAACAGTTCATTTGTAAAAAGATGCTAAAGACACTGAATGTCTCTGAGCTGACTGTGTATTTCATCTTTCCCCTGTCCACCTCAGTGAGTTCAGAGGTGGGTCGTGCCGTCTGGCTCCGTTTCTCACCACCGCTGCCCTCTTCAGGCCCCCAGCCCAGCTTCATGGCCCACCTGTCTGGAGCCGTGGTCGGCATCAGCATGGGGCTGCTGATCCTGCGCAGCTACGAGGAGAGCCTGCAGAAACAGTGCTCCTGGTGGGTCATCGTCTTCTCCTTCATCACCTTCCTCCTCTTCGCCATCTTCTGGAACATCTTTGCTTACGAGCTGCTGGGGGTGCAGATACCCCCTCCTCCCTGATGAAGGCCCCCCCTCCTCCTTCTTTCTTCTCCCCTCCAGGTCCTCCTTCACTTACTCACTGACTTCAAACTCCCCCTTTGATAGTTATTAACGCTCCCATGTCCTCTCAAGTTAAATCCAAATGAAATGATACAAAGTTGTTTGAAACTAGAAATCGACCAAGAATCCTTTTTTTACAGATACTTTGCAGATCAAAGAAATACGTCTCTTTTATTAAAGAGGGATTACTGTAGCAACAAGTACAGGTGAGCACTCCCCAGATCCATATTGAGGAGTGGTATATCTTTTTTATACATACATTTAAGTCACATCCACATTACCAGCACTAACCTTTCAGTCAGCATTTAGCCATCGTGCTCTTTTTTTCAGAGGCTTTTTGTAAAGCACCAATCATGTCTTTGAATGCATCTTTCATTCGTATAAAGAGCTTGGGCAAGAAGAAGGTCATGATATGGGCCTCTGCTGGAACTGAAGGGAAAGGATGCTGCAGTGGATACAATGAAAACAAAATGCTAGGAGAGGTTTTCTCTCATAGAAGGGGAACAGCTACGGTGATACACCTCAAATTTACAAGTTTGTATTGTTTTACTTGAAGGAACTCGTGCAGATTAGATGCCAAAATCCAAGTCCAACAATCAGAGCTGTAAGGAGAAGAATTTTAGCAAGAGAATGTCATTTCATGGAGGCAGCAATAAACAAAAAATACACAAAATCACACATGCTTTTTGCAGGATTGCTGGCACACTAATTGAAAAGCAAAAAGAAAGAACAGCTCAGAGAATGTTTTCTTCAAATTGAGCAGCTTAAAACACCAGTCAGAGTCTTTTTCAGCAGAGTGCAAATGGAAAAAGAAAGCATTATTCAGAGCAGCTGCAGGAAAGATGAGCGAAACAGTTTGGACTTGAGTTTGTCGATACTTTCATCTTCACCATCTTTAGGGTTAGCTGTCATTTTCACTCCAAAATAAGTCGGTTTTCCTTTATGATTTATGTGACATGAAACCTACACTGTGGATACAGAAACAAAAGTCAGACAACATGGACGAGATGTGAAGATGGGAAACAAAAGTGACAGGAGAAAAAAAGTAACAGCCAATGTTTCCCTGGTTGTCATACCTCGAGCGAGTGAACTCCTGTTGCTGTGTCAAATGCTAACAACCAACTTGCTAGGCGCACCGTTGTAAATTACGCCATGTCATGCTCTGTGGCTCTCAGCGAGACAAGGACATACACCCACACACACTCTTCTCCTGTTTGTCTTTGAGAGCAGACACTGCCTGATTCTGCAGTGGACAAACTGAGAAGAACGACACAAACACACACGCGTATATACACACATGCACATACACACACTGGCCTCTCTGTTCTCGCTCTGATGGACTGAACTGGGGAGGATACGGATGTGTCATCACTTGACCTCTGACCTACGTGTCCCAGAGGGCATTGGGGCCTCTCTGTCAGGCCCAGTCTATACCTCAGTTTCTCATCTTAGGGACTGTATACTTTTGTAAAGGAATGTACCTATAAAGAAAAAAAGAAGAAGAGTGTTATTAAGTTGTCCCCGTTTTTCATTTGATAGTGGATGTGTATATTGTATGTTCATAGCCAAGAGTATATTTATTTGTATTTTTTCCCTCTGAAGGGGAAAAAAGTCTCAAAAGGTGCATAATTATTGCCATGATTGTTCTTCTGATAACTCTTCTATGGCTTTGGTCCTCTGAAAATTACTCTCTGAGGCAGAATCTCAACCACCGACAATTCAAGCTCACTTGATTTTATAAATCTTTAGTGCTTTACTAAATAAGCCATAGAAAGAACTAATTCAAGTGGGTAAAAGAAGAGGGAAAAAATGTTAGTTTGAAGCCTGCTGGTTGCAGTGAAACTTACTTTTTTTGTGTGTGTGATTATTTGACATGATTATTTCATTGTGAATATCCAACATGGAAGGTTTAAAAAAGTAAAACTGTGCAAGTACAAGCCTGTGAAGCTCTGGACTGTTTCAGATATTTCCGTGTAGCTAGGATCATTTTTTAAATCTTTTTCCTTTTTTCTAATCCATTCAGCTTATTTTCATTTTTTTGCACCTGCCAACACCTTCTATCTGCCCCCATCAGTGTGCAGATGCCTCACCTAACCTCTTCTCCTACAAATAACAAATCACTTACACAGATTCTGTCGGAGATTATAACCTTCAGAGTGATTTAAGCTTTTGGAAAGCTGAAGCGAAGATAGCAATTACATTTACTAATGCTATGTTCCATTTTTCAAACTTTCAATCAATAATTCATCCAAATGTCCATCGGCTGCCTGAGGGGTAAAAATCTTTATGCATTTGCCAATTTCGATAGTTGGTCATAAATACAGTCCTCAGCGTTTGCTTCCTTGTGAAAGTGTCAGAAGTAGCAGAAGAGTCCATGTTAAATGAGGGAATCTGTGGGAAATAGCCAGAATAAGCCATTTCCACATGCATTTGAAGAGAAAAGATCAGCCAATATGTGGAAGTAATGGATCCTTGATAGAAACTCTTGTGTGTACTCAGAAATATTATTGCTTGGTATGGCAGAGATACATCAATGAATAATGCATACATACCCTGTTAGCCTATAATAGAGATAAAGGGGGAAGCCTGGGAGGAGGTTCATGTGCCTCTTTAACTTAGGATTCATAGGAACCCTGAAGGGTTGTAAAAAGGGCTAGTAAATGGCTATGTTTTTGTCGAACACATTAACTGTGAATATCCCCACTTGGAAGAACATGCAGGACAAAAAGAAAAGGTTGTCGCTCCTAAAACTTGAAAGAAAAGATACTTGACTGAGTTCTCCTCATGTGAAATGTTAAGTTGATGTGTTTGTACCATTTTCCTCCACAAAAACAGAAAACACCCTGAATTTTACATCATCTGAAGTAGAGAGAGTGACCCTTGACATTGAGATGGTTTTCAGCAAAGTTTTCAGATTTTTTTTCCCTTGTGCCAAATCCCCTCCTGGCCCTTAAACCTGAGTCAACATCAGCACCAAACACCTTCAAAAAAAAGTCATCTCCGCTGCACCCAGACAGCCAAAGGAGAGGAGGAAACCTGAGTCACATCCTCTGTCTGACAACGTGTGACAGCCTGGGTGTTTGTGAAGGAGAGACAACAGAAACAAAAGAGCTGGCACTCGTCACAAAAACCCTCAGCGGGGCTTTAAAGCAGCAAGCGGCTATGCTTTTTTCCTGCCGGGCTTCTGTCACAACAGCCCAGTGTCAGGATGATGCATGTCTGTTTTTTGAGGATGCACCAGAGCCCAAAGCTACACAGGATATCCTCCTTTAATAAATGGAACCGACATGCGGTGTGATGTTAATTTAATTGCCGTCTTTGAGTGACATATTTCTTGAAGAGAGTAAGAAAGGCTCAGTGAAGGTTAGCCCTAACTCGTTTGAGTCTCACTCATACTTGAGCCCTTGTTGATGTGAAAGCACCCAAAACATTTTGTATTTCTTTGCTCAAGAAGGCAGCACAAGTTTCTAGCAGCTACTTGACTTTTTTTTTCTGACCGCTCTTTCTTACTTTTTGTTTTTGTTGTTGTTGTTCTTGGTGTCATTTTAAGCTGGCTTTCTTTGGACTGCATACATGTTGGCGTGCCATATTTTCGACTGCCATTAACATTGATGCTTTTACCTCCCTATGCCAATCCATCGTGCTGTAGAGCCCAATGCCTTGTTTTGAATAAGCTCTAGACTGAAGACCAAGCAGGGAGGCTTTCTTGCTTTAAGCTACATCCTAATGCACAGATCCAGAAACAGCAGTGCTGCGAGGTTGTTATTACATCCAGCTGCTGCTGCTGCTTGCCAACAAGGCAGCCTGGTTGCCTTTCTTTGCCAGTGTTGTACTTTAGGACTGTGCAGGTAAAACAAGCTAATGTAGCTCTACAGATTAAACAGTCATTGGAAGCTCACTAACATATAGATTTACACTAATAGAGCATTACTGAGAGCATTGAAATTCAGTTGTTCTGAGCCCAAAAAGTACAGTCATTTAGCTTTAATTCCCTGTAATTATTCTGGACTTAAATTGATCAAATTGTGTACTACAGAGTCAGATAGTAGAATTTTGTTAAGCAGTTAAATTTAACAAAAATAAACAGGGATTCTGTGAATCCAAATCCTCAAAGTCCTTATAGTTTCACAATTTCAGAGCCATCAGTTGTGCCAAAAATCTGCTGTGCTCAATATCGATATCATAAATGACTGAAAATTCCGGTTAACAAATGGATCAGAGAAGTTTTTGTACATTAGTGGGAAACAAGCATAAAGTTTGTTTCTGACAGGATTCAATGTTTTTCTCTGATGGTGAGAGTATTTTCTGGTTTGAAATGTTGCTGGAGTTGGAGTATTCAGAGTCCATCACGTGCACATGTACTGCCTGAGCCACTTAAAATAATGCAAATATCACGGTCACCTTCATCTCCCTCCTATAGTTTAGAAGAAGAAAAAAAAAAGACATAAATGTGCTGCTGTAGTAGTTTTTCCTGAGCTGCTTCTTACTCGTATCGATTAAATGGTGCCAAGCTTATGAGGTTCAATCTCTCAGAACAGATAAGAGGTTGTACCAACACAGCGTTTACAAACAGAAAAAGCAGAAGAAGCTATTTTTCTCTCGGTCTTGAGGAAACTAAAGGAAAACTAAATTTACATATGGATAATTTATATCAAAGTCCTCATTAATTATTTCCACAATCTATTGTACTTTTTAAATGTTCTGAACGGAACCATTTTATATTGTATATATATGAATATATTTTGTTTTATTTTGTACTGTTCATTGTACTTTGCTTTGATTTAGAAACAATATAAATAAAGAACAATACTGTGGCAACATAACATGGCTGTTCTAATGATTATAACACTGCAACCACTAATTGATTTAAGTTCCTTAAAACAAAAGAAGTCACTTGTTTCAGCTTCTATAATATAAAATCACCTGAAGTTGTTGTTCCATAAAGTGATCAATTGCTTTCCTGGTTTTCCGGTGTTGTTTCTGTCATGTAATTGATCAGTTATCAAAGACAAGTAGATTGACTGTTCTTGAGTCCAGGTGAAAAATGTTTTAACTGACAGAAAAATATCTGAAGTTTAGCAGCAGATATTCTTTTCATTGTACTATTCTTAACAATGTTTGACATAACTGACTGAGGTTGTCCCTTTTACACACCAAGTTTGTCAATTTCAGCCCATAAGTTAAAAAAAGCCAATTCAACATTCTATAATAGAAACAAATGCTTTATTATTTTGCAAAAATACAAAAAGAAAACATGAATATTGAAGCAACTTCAATATTGAAGTAAATGTATTTTATTTTTATCTTGTTTTGAGCTTTTTTGCTGGTCTTTGGTCAGCATCAGTGTCAGAGAACTTCACATCAACATCCTTCAGAAGTTGAAGCTGCAGCTGCTCAGCTATGGTCATTGCCCACAAACACAGCTCCAGCTTGTGTGGTGTCCAGTCCTGCTGAGAGTCCACTGAGGAGAAGAAGAGTAAGAGGACCATCGATCAGAGTCAGACTGGCAGTTTTTTACCTAATGTACAAAAAACTTTTGATTGACAACCCGAAACTGACTTTTAAAGCTATCCTAGTTCATGCCAAATATACAATTCAATTATTGTTTAATCTCATTTTCCTATTATTACAGGGTGAGAACACACATTACCTTTAACACATTTTGTTATCTAACTTAAACATGAAATCCTCCAGTCTCCATCCTCAGTCTGCTGTTTTTGCTGTCCCACACTGTCTCAGAACTCTGTATGCCATACAACTCTCACAGTCTGATCATAACCTCACCTTTGTTCAATTTTTCAGTCTGCTCCACTATTCTCTCCAAGAAAAGAGCATAGTGTTTGGCTGTGTACTGGATGGGTTTCAGTCCTGGCACACTCTCCATTGCCTCATCAGACATAAATGCTGTTTGATCTGGAGCTCCTGCCGCCAACACAGCTGAAACAAGACAGACAGTAAAGCCCAAGATGAAGTGTATGTAAGTATGGAAAACCTACATACTAATCTGGAAGTCCACCAACATGTTGTACACTTGCAAAGAAGGCAATCATTTTGAACTTTAAAATGATCAGATGGATGTTTTATCAGTATAAACTCTAATGCTTTTATGCTGAAAGAAAAAGGATAGACACACTAAGCGCACCTGAAGCCGTTGCTGGGCCGACTCCTTTCAGGGTGCTGAGCTCTGCAATTGCTGCCTGCACATCAGGAAGGAGACTAAAGGCCTTTCTGGAGCATTTCTCCACAGTGTCCTCACTGTTAGAAGCAACAAGCTGCTGCAGCCGTGGCCTAAACTTCCCCCTCTGCAGAGAAAAGGCACACATACGAGCCAGTCAAGGACAGGGAGATCATCATAGCTTGACTTAATTTTAGGTGTGTTTCAACTTTGGTGTGAATGTGTTACAGTTTCTTGATATTATTATTATCTGGTGTCTGAAACAACTTACTGTGAGTTTCCACTCCATCAGTTTCACCAGCTCTGAATGAGTCACATGTTTAGTAGGTCGACTTGAAATGAGTTTAGGCAGCTCCTCTTGATACCTGAACAGATACATGCATATTAGGATAAGATAACCTTAACATAATACTGAGAATAAGACTGAATAAACTCCTTTCCTTGTTACATTTCATAGGGACACCTGCCCAAAAATATAATAGGGAAGAGTGGGGTAAGTTGAGCCAAAGGGTAAGTTGAGCCACCCCCTGTTGCTTGGAAATGGTCAAAGAAATTGATGTGACCAAATATTTAGGAGATGAGCATCAATTCATTGAGTCTGTGAAAGTTAGAAGCACATGGGTGAAGGGGATAGACATTTATTTACAAAAAAACATTTTTCACTCTTGAAAGTGAATTGAGTTTGTCATAAGTTTTATTAGAATTGTGTTCAGACCAAAAAAGATCATTTTAAATGTGTTTTAAATCAGTTGTGGTATCTATGAGCTACAACGTGAGGTCAAAAACTTAGCATAAAAGTCCACCATTTTAGCTTAGAGGACTATTAAAGTCATAATAGTAGTTCTGGGTAAGTTGAGTCAGTGGCTCAACAGAGAAAGTAAAGGAGTCTGATGAGAGGATCAGAGTTTCAGTTCAGATTGTTGAAATTTTTTCCTTTTCCTTTTCAAAAATACAGCTGTGAATGTTCTGAACCACTTAAAGGCATTCTCATGTTAAAATGGCTTTTTACAAAACAGCTTTTTAGCAGTTATATGCAATAATAATAAAAAGAATGATTGTACCAGTTGAATAGTGTATAATAGATAAAAATACACATGAATGTGAAGAAGTGACTGTTATTTAGGGGGGGAGAAGGTGAGGGAGGGCTGGGGTGGAGAGTGTGGGGGGTTAGTAGTGATGTGGCTCAACTTACCCCGTTCCTATGGTCAACTTACCCCATACACGGGGTAAGTTGACCATAAGAGACTACTTTTTTTGGCATGCTATACTTTCAAGACAGTTATGTTTCCACTCATTCTGTTGGTTTGCAGGGATGCACAACATCTTGAAATATGTGAAGATTTACTAGTTAGAGACAAAACTATGATTGCCTTGATGTAGTGATCCTAAATATAAAAAATGGCTCATCTTACCCCACTCTCCCTTACAATGCAGACCATCAGATCTTCACAGTGTGAAATGTCACTGATATCCTGTGAGACTGTGTGTGATTTTGTAGCTGTAGGATTTTACCATTTATCATGGGTCAGCAGCTTTCCAGATTTCTTGCCTTTTGTTTTGGCCTCAACTACATCCCAGTACCTCTCATACACTCTCTTCCAGGTGGCTGGGTCCTCACATGTAAACAGGGAAGTCATGGCTGCAGAGCGCTTACACCATCACCTGCCAACACTGAAAAATAACACATAAAAACAATCATCTTTGAAACACTACAGGACCTCCAACAGTTTTACACCATTGTACATACATAATTTCCACAATGTTGACAAACTGCCTCGCTTTTTACCCGCCAGTGCTGTGACGGTACTTCCTTTCCTCCAGTCTGATGAATTCTCGCGATACTACATAACCACACTTTTTCCGGCACCACTAGCACTGAGCAACAGTTCAGAAGGTTTGTCCCCTTGAATACTTTGGTGTTGTCTTTGCAATGACAGTGTTACCCGTTGAGGTAGTTTTATTCATTTTCATTCAAATAATTGATGTACTATGAAAAAATTGCGTCGGGTGCGGTCTACCTTCGCAAAAGTGTTAAGTAAATGCATTAGCCAGCTAGCATCACTGAATGTTGTAGGTCCACAGTACGACGATTTTAATGTTTACAGTCAATACAACAACCCAAAAATGAACACTGTGAAGGAGTTAACAGACGTATATCACATTGGTGTATAAGCTCACTCACGCTGCTGGGTTTGTTGTTTGTCACATGAGCTTAAATCAGCTGTTATGTTGTTGTGAGCACGCGGTAGAGTGAAAAACACCCACGAGATGCAGTGAGACAGACCAGTCAGAGGTAAACAAACAGGCTGATTGTGGTTTTGGACGATCTTGTTATTAAGTTGTTATTCCTGAGAAGGTTTCTGTCGATGTTACATATTCCACATTGTGTATCACACGTAATGCCCTTTTTTTTCTAAGATAGTCCAGCCTAACTTAATGTCATGATAAATTTAGTTAAAATGAATCCCCTGTAGATCTGATCACCAACTTTCTGCAGTTATTGCTGTGCACAATGTTTGTATACTTCTACGTCTGTAAGTTATTTGCTTATGTGTGTATGCTACTCTCTCATCAGCTATTTTGCTCTCATGGGAGCTCATGAAGAGGACTCTGTTCTGCTGCAGACGTTAACCAGGCCAGCAGGTCTTCACCAGGTGAGTGCTGTATCTGTTCCTCTGTTTCACATTAAAGCAGTGGTTCTCAAGTCCAGTCTTTGAGACCCACTGTCCTGCATGTTTTGGATGTTTCCCTGCTCCAACACACCTGATTCAAACGATCAGCTCACTATCAAGCTCTGTAATGGCTTAATAACAAGCTAATCATTTGAATCAGGTGTGTTAGAGCAGGGAAACATCCAAAACATGCAGGACAGTGGGCCTCGAGGACTGGACTTGAGAACCACTGCATTAAAGAGATATGACTGTGTACTGATTCTTTTGTTTCATGCTGCTACCCCCCTCTCCAGGTTTCCTATAATTCTTATATTTTGTTTGCTTGTCTGCCACCCTCTGGTGGATCGTTGAATTGTTTTAAAATCATGGCACATTGTACTCAAGTGCTTTTTATCTCAGCCTGTATTGGTTAAAGTAGTGTGGTCACAAAAAAAAAAAGCCACAATGAAAGTTACTGATGCAAAAAAAAAGAAACCGAAGCCTGCTGCAAATAAAAAAAGAAACAGTGCAGATAATTAAAAAAAAAAAAAAAGCCACAACGGAAGTTAACGGTGCAAACAAGTGGCATTGCAAAAAAAAAGCCGGAGACCAATAACGATGATGCACCGGTGTTGTATGATCTCGCTATAGAAGACAAGCAAAGAAATAAGTGGACAGGTTATTGATTAATTTCGCTTTGTGCACTTTTCAATGTGTCATTTGGTCAGGCCATGTTGCGCCTGAATCGATATGAAGTTGAACTGAAGGATGCCGGTGTAGTGTTAGCTTTGGCTTACATGGGAAACCCACTTCGCCTGAAAGACCACCCACGAGAGGAGAATTGAGTGCAGTTGTTTTACGGTTTTATTGCTTTACTCATAGAAATAAGTATGCAGACCCCTCGCTTTTTTTCATTGTTGGTCCCTGGCAGCTCACTCCCATTGTGGCTTTTTTTTTTTATTTGTATCCTTTTATTTTTTGCGCAGTAAGTAACTTTTTACGTTAACTTTGGTTGTGGCTTTTTTTTAAAAAATCTGCACCGTTTTCTTGTTTTATTTGCAGCGGGCTTTGGTTTGGTTTTTTTTTTTTTTTTTTTTTTTTTTTTTTTGCATCGGTAACTTCCATTGTGGCTTCCTTTTTTATTGCATTCCTTTTTATTTGCAGCAGTGGCAGTTTCGGCCACTGTACACACTAAATCTTGATGCATCTTGTCAGTTTGTTGTTTTTGATCTTGTTTAAAACTGTTGCTCTCCCTCAGAAACATGGAGAAGATGTCACGGGTTACCACAGCCCTCAGCAGCAGTGCTGTCACTGGCAGGACCATGTTCTGCCACTTGGATGCTCCTGCCAATGCCATCAGCGTGTGCCGTGATGCCACACAGGTGGTGGTGGCAGGCCGAAACATCTTCAAGATCTATGCACTGGAGGAGGAGCAGTTTGTGGAGAAGCTGAATCTCAGAGTTGGCCGCAAGCCGTCTCTCAACTTCAGCTGTGCAGATGTGATGTGGCATCAGATGGAGGAGAACCTGTTGGCCACAGCTGCAACCAACGGGGCTGTGGTCACCTGGAACCTGGGAAAACCATCTCGTAACAAACAGGACCAGCTGTTTACTGAACACAAACGTACCGTCAACAAGGTGTGCTTCCATCCCACAGAGGTTTACATGCTGCTCAGTGGCTCGCAGGACGGCTTCATGAAATGCTTCGATCTGCGCAAAAAGGAGTCTGTCAGCACTTTCTCCGGTAGGATAACATAATGATCATCAGAGTATTGCAGTTAGTTCTACTTGAGAGAAAAGCAAAGTCTAGCTCTTTTGCAGCACATATACAGTAGTTCATTTGTATTATGCTTTTACAGTGCAATTTAGAGTTTGGAGAAACTCCTCGGGAACTTCTCTGCAAACTTCATAAGATTGCTGCATACTTAAATCCTGTTTACAGTACACAGGATTTGATCATGTAACCTTAAACCTCACATGCAACCCTCTGTGCAAGAGCAAACTCGACGATTTTACTATCGTAAATTAGGAGATAAACTATATTTGTGGTTCTTTACAGTTAATTTTGATCTTCAATTTTTCTTCTAGGCCAGTCAGAGAGTGTCAGAGATGTCCAGTTCAGCATGAAGGATTATTTCACATTTGCTGCTTCCTTTGAAAATGGCAACGTCCAGCTGTGGGACATCAGGCGGCCGGACCGCTACGAGCGAATGTTCACAGCTCACACTGGCCCTGTGTTCTGCTGTGACTGGCACCCTGATGACAGGTAAGAGACAGCGACTCTGACAGGAATCAGCTGAATAAGTAAAGGAATATTAAACTATCTTGGGTCATGCTGCTTGTCTCTACATGTACATTTTTCTATTTCAGGGGCTGGCTGGCCACTGGTGGGAGGGACAAGATGGTAAAAGTGTGGGACATGACAACGAACCGGGCGAAAGAGGTTTATTGTGTTCAGACGATCGCCTCGGTGGCTCGGGTTAAGTGGCGTCCTGAGAGAAAGTTTCATTTAGCCACCTGCTCCATGATGGTGGATCACAACATTTATGTTTGGGACGTCCGCAGACCTTTTATTCCCTTTGCAACCTTTGAGGAACACAAGGATGTGACTACTGGTATTGTGTGGCGCCACCAGCATGACCCTCACTTCCTGCTGTCAGGCTCTAAAGACAGCACACTTTACCAACACATGTTCAAGGATGCCACTCGTCCTGTGGACAAGGCCAACCCTGAGGGTTTATGTTTTGGTCTGTTTGGTGACTTGGCCTTCGCAGCTAAGGAGAGTCTAATCAGCAGTGATCCCAACAGGAAGCCTTATCCTGGAGGGGACCGCCGCTACCCCATCTTTTTCTTCAAGAAGCCTGATCCGACAGAACAGTTTGCCCATGTGTCCAGTGCCCTCAGCGTCTTTGAGACTGATTTAGACAGTAATCGCATGGACTGGTTCGTGAAGACAGCACAACTCTACCTCTTGAGTGGGAAACCGTTTGCTGAGCTGTGTGATCACAATGCCAAGGTGGCTCAGGAGCTCAAAAGACCCCAGGTCAGACACGTCAACACAGACAAAAACAAGTGATAATTGCTGTTTCTTTTCATGTCATCCACCTAGAATCTAAAAGTAAGTGTCAATAATGAAACATGTCCATTAAAATCTCATAGAGCAAAATATGAAGTCCTAAAATGTCACTTTACATTTGATCTGAACCTTAACATGTGAAATATAGCCATATAGATAACAAAGAACAACAACAAGTCAGTGATTTCTGTAATTAAACCTGAAACTCAGATTGTACTAACCAAGTCTCTTTTTCTTTAACCTGAAAATGCTTGTTAGAGTTGCAGCAGAGCTCATGATGACTGTGCAAAAAGTTATTTTTAACAATACTTGAGTGAACTTGTGGATTTAATCCCACTTTATTATGTAAGCCACAGTGTTTTCAGTTTCTCATTTAGATTTGTTTCATTTAGCATCATTGGCTTCTTGTGATTTTGTCTGCATGATATAAAGGCTGAGTATTGGCAGTAGCTTCCATAGATGTAGAAGGCTTTAAGTAACCAAGGTAACCTCCCCTTAGTCTGGTCATTTTGACTTCAGCTATGTTATTACAGTTAACTATTACTATCCAACACAAAGTGTCATAAATTACTACAAGAAGAAATGTTACATGTTGTACTTCTGCTCTTCATGAATTGTAAATTCTATTTTCTTTTTCTTGAATATGAAGGTTTCCACCACATGGACCATGTTGAGAATCATGTTCTCAGACCCCGCAAACCTCACAACAACTGGTCCAAACCACAACCTCAGTAAACTTGGCACCTTGCCGTTAATGAACAGGTGAGTCAACGTTTAATCGACTATTTACAAAAAAGCATTACTCGTCTTTTACAGACTAATGTTGATGTTTGCGATGCTGTCAGTTTCAGTATGAAGGAGATGGGTACAGGGATGGGTACAGAGAGTAGACTTGAGCGAGGTAAAGGTGAGAGCAGGCAAGACAACATCCACCTGGATCCTGGGAACTCACACATCAGCAATAATAAGGAAGGTGAGAGTGGAAGTCAGTAGAGTGAAAAGCCCTGATAGTTATCTGTGTGTTGTTTTTATAATATCGGTGTATTGTCTGAATGTATTATCCTCTCAGAAAATGAGGAGACTGAAGGCAGCGAGGGCCAGGCTGAGTACATGTTCGGTGATGCCGAGTTAGATGATGATGATGACCTCTACTCTATGGAGCACGACAACCAAACAGGTCAGTCCGAATCCCGTTTCTGAACCTGAAGAGTTGCTTACTACAGGTTTTTCTATTTATATCTGCCTACACACTCAGCCCTCTTTTGTCCAATTTTATCTCTGCTCCCTTTGTCATAACAGAGGAGCAGGAGTACACGCTGCCCCAGGAGGCCTTTCAGCTCCGCCACGAGATCATGGATAACCCTTCTGCTCCGGAGCACCTTCAGCAGGACAAGTCAGACTCTCCGCATGTCAGCGGCAACGAGGCAGAGGTCACGTGTCTGACGCCCATCGAGTCCTTCTCCCTCATCTCCATCTCCCAGCCACTGTTCAGCCCGCATCTACCAGCCAGCTTCTTCTGTCCCATTGTGAGGGAGATGCTGAGCTACTATGCTGAGCAGGGAGACGTGCAGATGGCTGTGTCCGTGCTGATTGTTTTGGGAGACAGGATCCGTAAGGAGATTGACGACCTTACACAGGTCAGATAGAAAAAACAACTGCAATGAAAAACAGTGTTCCTACAGTTATGTCAGAGTTTGTCCCCTTTTTTTTGCGCAAACAAATTCAGCGTGTAAACAAAACCGCTTGCAAAGTTTAGGATTTTAAGTCTTTCTGTTTAAACGTTGGTTGTAAATAATCTGCGATACGAATGAAAGCCGATCATTGCAATTTCAGTGAAAAAACCTTGAAAGAGTTGTGTTTTCTTTCCAGGAGCACTGGTACATGTCCTACATAGACCTCTTGCAGCGTTTCGAACTCTGGAATGTGTCCAACGAGGTCATCAAGCTGAGTACGTGCAGCGCCATCACCTGCCTGAATCAGGCGTCTACAACACTGCATATCAACTGCAGCAACTGCAAGCGGCCAATGAGCAACAAGGGCTGGATCTGTGACAGGTATGAACACCTACACTGTAGATTTGAATTACTGATTGTCAATCTCATACTGCTGCCCCCTGGTGGGGTTTAATGGTACTGCCAGTAGGGCTATTGAGGCCATTGTAGGGTCAAGGTTCAAGGTCTCCTATTTTTGCTTTATATTCTCTTCCTGAAAAAATAAAGAATTTGATTTCATATTTTTGGGCAGTATTGTTATTTTCCAAAAGCTCACTTATACAGTGTTTTCTGATTATATGCTAAAAAAGATATGTAGGAAATTCTTTATTTGAAACTAAGTGTTGCTCAAGAATTGTGGGATTTCATGTTTGGCAAGTTTCACAATTTTATTAGACTCCACATTGGCCCACATCTTTCTTGAGTTTGCAGAATGGATACTTGTTTTTTTGTGTGTGTCAAACAGGATTGAGTTTGTGTCTACAAAGTATAATTCAAAGCACACCAGGGCTTTTGTTGCCTTTTATTTTTGTCCATCCTCTCCAAATTTTTTGTTTTAAAACAAGTAAGAGTTTGTGGATTTAAGACTGTTGCTTCATGAGGACAAAAACTTGATTAAAACTTTTTAAAATCTTTGTGCTTAAAGGTTTGAGCTACTGCTAATAGCATCACTAAATCTGCTTAATGACCAAATAAGTTATTCTGTTTATGAAGTTCAAAAGCCACAGTGTAGAAATGTCTAACTTTTTTAGTTTTTAGAGGGGTAGCAGCTGGAATACTCCTCGGTAGTGTTCCTGTTTTTTTTAAGAAAGTGTCTTATAAACATCACTGAGTGGCTGGTATCTCTCCTCTAGGTGCCACCAGTGTGCCAGCGTGTGTGCAGTGTGCCACCATGTGGTGAAGGGACTGTTTGTGTGGTGTCAGGGCTGCAGCCATGGAGGACATCTGGAGCATATTATGAACTGGCTTAAGGGCAGCACACACTGCCCTGCTGGCTGCGGTCACCTTTGTGAATACACCTGAACTCACCGACAACACCGTTCACACAGCTGGTGCTCCGTGGGAGAGGGAATCAGTCTGCACATCGGTCTCACACCACAGACAAAAAGTCCTCTTTTTTTACATAAGCCTGGAGTTTGTGTGTGTTTGTGTGTGTGTGTGTGTGTATGTTTGAAGAAAGATGAGTCCAAAGCTCTGATTTATGGAGTCGTACTAAGGCAAAGCTTTTTATGTGCTCCCCTGGAAAGCCATCAAAGAGCAAACACACATCATGTGTGGTTTAATTTTATATTTGTAACCAGATGTTACAGCAGATATTCAGGCAGTTTTTGTAAATTCATGCCTGGCTATAACTTACACTTACATTTTTTAACCCTTTAGTAAAATCCCTAAAGCTCATCAAAGGTGGGCTGTGAACATACAAAAAATATATTTTGAAGGACTGTAGATTATGCTTAATAATTCGTCCCCCTTCATACCAAACACACATAACTGATTCATGAAGTCTGTTTCGTCAGCTGTATTGAATAGAAAGTAGCCCAACACTGTGTCAGTGATTCAAAGATGGAGTTAAAGTCTCTCTAAGCTTTATATTTTCACTCTGCAGCCCAGCAGATCAGGTTTTCTCTGCATCTTGTTCTAATGCAGCAGGGAGGATATAAACTCCTGCTCGAGGGCACCTTAGTGAGACAGAGAACACCACTTATTCATTTCCCCTGACTGTGCTGGACTTTCATAGGCTCAGTAATCCAAACAGGCAACCTGCCAACATATGTAGCCTGTAGTCCAGTGGCTGAATGCAATATGCTCTTCTCCGAGTCCCATCAGGGTTTTTAGAGGTACTTCTTTGGTTTACAGTACTGAGTGATTGTAAAGTTCCCTGCTGCTTACATCCTCAGATCATCTCCTAAATGTTCACCAATGAAGATATGTTCAAAGCAGTCTTGGTCTTGAACCAAAGAAGCACCTCTCTTATCCCAAGGGTTAAAAACAGCTCACAGTGGACTGTCCAAAAGGACTGTGCTGCTCGTGGGTTGCTCCAGTGTTTTTCTCTTATTTTGACTTTTATTCATGTAAAAATAAACACTGCACTCCTCGGCTATTTCTGCTAATGAACATTCTCAGAATCAAGAAATATTTTAAGCTGACATGAGACTATAAAAGGTTTTGTACAAGGATGTGCTGCTTTCTCACATTCGACCCCGGTGCTCGATGAAATCAAAACTGAAAATTAGACTTCTTGTAATCAGTTTTAATGCAGAACCAAGCACAGATCAACACGTTTTGGCACTGTAGAGATTTTTCATGATTCCTAGGTAAACACAGTTTTACACTGAAAAGCGTGTCCATATATAACTGAGCACTGATTTACACCAATGAACCGTAAATGAAGATCAGTGCAATACCAAAATCATCCCATGTCTAGAATCTGTGTCTTTGTATTCAGACAAAGACTTTCAGCTAAATGAATATAAACAATTAAAAATACTTCCTCTTGTATGAGATGATTTATTGCTGTGAATTTTGAATGTTATTTTTCTTCTATTGGAAATTCATTCAGCAGGACATGGATTTTTTAAACCTCTAAAAACAGCATACAAGGGTTTCACTTCATTAAAGCACAGCTATGCAGAACATCTAAGAACTGTAAATGCGTTTTCTCTGTTGGTGGTGTGGACACACTGTAAACCACATTTCATGGAAGAAGAGCACTTCTTTTTACACATTTCACAGTATGACATCCTTTGGACCAGGATCAGCCCTGTTCCTTTCCTCCTCCTCTGTGCATTTTCACTACCTGACAACAGGAGTCAAGTTTATACCAGCACGGGCGCCTGAGGGTCATGTACTCTCTTCACCCGTTTGTCGTTTCCCTGCAGCAGCTGCCCACGGCCTCGTCCGCATCCGGCGTGCTCTGCTCCGCCAATCCTAGAAGGGCAGCAGGTCAGCCGCTTCTCTCTCGGAGCCGCTCTGATCCTGCAGGTCTGGCCTCATCTTTTGCCTTTCTCCCATTTCAGTGAGATTGTTCAGGGCGGTTAGATCACCCTCCGTCGAATACTTGCAAAAGCTGCTTCTAAAACAAGACACAAAAGTTTGTTTTTATCTTGTTTTAGCAGCTGTGGCGCTCTTCCAGCCCTTTTTTCTCTTTACTCACCCATAAAGGCTAAGGCCGCTCCCAGCTATCTGAGACTTTTTCCGGGGCGCTCAGCCGCCTCAGACTCTGCAGAACCGTTTGCATTTTCCCAGCTGTAATGACCAAACACCACCGTTAGAATCAGCCTCCCCTGATCACACAAAACCATTCTAAATACGGGTGTTTCTTCGTCTTACCCAGTTCTTCTTCACAAGAATCCAGCTTCTTTATGAGCTCTGCAACACTTGAGTGAGACAGAACATCCCCAGCTGCACGGCAACAGAAAATGACTTTCTTTTATCTGTTTTAACACAAAATGTGAATGGTTCATTTCAGCATAGGACAGCTCAGCTCACCTTTCCCACCTGTGTTATCTTTTGTTTTATCCTCCACGCCAGTATCAGTGCCACTGTTCCTGTAGGCAGTAAAATAGGAGAGCAGTTCAGCACGACAGGTCCTGGACTCTGTCAGTGTGGCACACATGTCCTGAGCGAGCCGGTGGTTCTCGACCAGCTCAGCGTGCACCTTCCTCCACGCCATTTTATCCTCCATTAGACATCCTTCCATCACGGTGCGCAGCTCCTTCTCCTGGGACACCTGGCTCTGCAGGCTCTCCGCCTCCTCACAGCGCTGAAAGAACAGTTGATGTCAGAGGATTTGGTCTGGTGTGTAGGATATGTGAGATGTAGGAGGCTTCAGAGATTACCTTGTGTAGCTGAATGGCCATCTCCTGCATCTCTGCCTCAAGCTGGTCAGCATATGCCTGTTCCAGAGCATCGCCGGGCGGTCGTGCGCTGCTGTGCCACCTTGCAATAGCAGACGTCATCTTACGCTTGGGCCCGAACAATCTGGAGAGCAAGGATGGATTCAGTAATCAAACATAAGAAAAGAAACACTAAATGAATCAAAAAAAATCAGCTTCAGCCTCTTACGTGATCCCTATTTCTTTTAGATCGTTTTCAGTCAGTGTGAGAAATATTCGCAGGTCGATGTCTTGTTCCTCAAGTAAGGGGAGATATTTGGAGAAGCCAATTTGCTCCAAAAACTCTGATAGATCCTAAACAAGGATAAAGAGACATGAGCTGGGAAAGAACCTGGAACAGTTGTACTGATGTGTCAGAAAGTAAGCAAGCATATACGTGCCTTTGGACCGGTGTAAGAGGGAGGAGGACCAACAGGTGACAGCAACCCACAGTTGACTGTAGCACTGCAGTGAGCTACATCATTGCTCCCATGGCGACCTTTGCCTTTTGAGTGATAACCCTTGTTCACTCTGCGAGAGCTGCTCTTTTTGCACTGGTCAGAGTCCTGATAGAGAAATATGCCAATACTTAATCAAAATCTAGTATTTGAATCCGATCTGTTTCTGTCATCATTTGCCCGTACCTCGTTACTCTCCACCGAGCCTTCCCAGTTCAGACTTATCACTTGTGGCAGGCCTTCACTGCTGCTGCTGCTGCTCCTCATGGTGGGCATGTCATTGTCGAAGAAAGGACTGTCATCTATGGTGCAATGTAAAATTAGATTTAAGACTGTTACTTGTCCTTCCCGTGATGCTTTTCTACCAAACCACATGCGAATATTTAAAGTCGCTAAATTTCAAGAGCACATAGAAGACAAGATAAGCAAAAACTGCTTATCCTCTTAAAAACTTGAGCTGAACCAACAGCATCAAAAACTAAACTGAAGGAAACAAAAAAGTCAAAACAACATCAAACTTAAAGGGATATTCTGACGTAAAGTTAAGTTAGGGTCAAACACACCATAACACACAAATTAATGTTGCCGACTGCTTGCTTCTCTAGTTATACCAACTTTCGTAATGACCGCAGCTAGCAATACACACAGCCACGCGCTCAACGGAAAGCCACTCTATCGCCACAAATAATGCTCAGAACAGCACCTAACTTCATCAACAGTACATATAGGGTCCTAACCACACCACTAGCCACCAAACATCTTTTTAGCTTTGTCTGATTTGTTAAGAATAGAGACTAAACACAACTCACCCACTCTCATCCAGCAGCCGCTTGTTTGTACGGTAAGTCCATCGACTGCAGCAGGGGTACGCAGCTCAAGGAAGAACATTATCATTACTTTATCATTTCCTTGAAGTAATAATCATCATATTAATCATTTTGCACTGCAGAAGCGGTAGTTCGTCTGCCTTAGCGTCTTGGTCTGATTGCATGTCCATGAGGAAACGATCATAAATATTCTTCCTTGAGCTGCGTCCCCCTGCAGCAGTCGATGGACTCACTTGGAGGTCTCTGTGCAAACAAGTGGGTGCTGGAAGAGAGTAGGTAAGTTGTGTTTAGTCTCTTTGCTAAAGAAATCAGGCAAAGCTAAAAAGATGTTTGGTGGCTAGTACTATGGCTGGGACCCAATATGTACTGTTGATGTTGGTTAGGTGCTGTTTTGAGTATTATGTGTGGCTATAGAGTGGCGTTTTAGTTGAGGTTTGTGTGCGACTCCTCAGACCGCTGAGTATTGCTATTGTGCGGTTGTTACTTAAGTTGGTATAACTAGAAAAGCAAGCGGTCAGCAACATTCATCTCTTGACAGGTGCTACGTCGTGTTTGACAATAACTTGATTTTAAGACGGAATATCCCTTTAAACTCTAAGTTTTAAAAAACTTTTATAACCTTGCTTCTCACCTCTGCTGCTGTTGCTCTGGCCGTCCAGTTCGTTGATGGGTGAGGTCACATCACGGTAGCAGATACTGTCACTCTGTTCACCAATATTGCGAAACGTCATGTAGCCTGGAGGTACGGTGGGACGCTCTGTTAGCACAGGGAGTAACCACCAGCTCATTATGATACTGTGTTGGTAATTGTAATCTCAATATATGATTGGTATGGGTACAATTTGTCAGACTGGGTGTGATACTACCACACAGTTTGCTGGAGCCTCCTACTCCAAACTTGGCGATAGCCTGGGGTCCATCATGGATGCTGATGCCTTTGGCCCGGTTCCTGCTCCTTATCCTCGGGGGAGCGCTGTCTGAATCCTCAGAGGAGCTCAGGTCCTCAAAGTGTCCTGGAAAGTTACAGGGACACCAAAGATCAGCAAATGAAAAGCATGAAAACAGTATTAGAGTGTACTGTACTCAGCTGCTGTGAAGAGTACCTGGTTTGATCCTTGGCGAATGTAAATCAATGAGGCTAACGAGCTTGGTGTAACCGTACAACATAGCTAGAGCTCGCGCAGTCTCCCCTTTCGCATTCCGGTCATCCACCTTAACTTTCTGATGAAAACAAATCCAATTCAGACCATAAGCCTCTTTATTTTTTTAAATTACAGTACTTATCCTGGGCTGCGCTACAATTTTCTGCTGTGACCTACTCACATGATTCAACAGGTACTGAACAATGATTTCATGTCCAGAAGCAGCAGCCTCCATCAGGGGAGTAAAACCAGACCCCGGCTCCCTGTGGATGAAAGAGAAAGAGATGACAAACTCAGACTGGATTATAATAGGTGTAGAATAAATTAAGAGACTCACTTGACATTAGCATTAGCGTTGTTATCCAGCAGGAACTTGACCATCTGCTGGTGTCCTGTGCTTGTGCAGTGAAACAGAGCGGTCCAGCCCCGAGAGTCCTTCAGCTCCAACTCAGCACCTTGCTTTTATATAAAAAAATAGGCACAATAACTTCATCCTGTTTTTTTATCACCATGGGTATCCTACTAGTCCAAATTAATGTTGCTTTGACAGCTCAAAATCCAACCTTTAGATGCTTTTAAGTGAATGTATAGTATTGCAAAATCCACCTCTATGTTATGATACACCCACTTCTGTGAGTCACAGTAGATTTACACAACTGCCCTCAATTTCTTGAAGGGCACTGGGTTTCAACTGACTTCCTACACAGCATTACATTTGTTTGTGTTAGTGTGAAAATCAACTTACATACAGTTTAAACTTATACGCTTTACTTGTATGATTAGCAACTTATTAGAAGGTAAGTTACTCATTGTTGTAGAGGTTACAAAATGCCTTGGTGGTGCATTCAAAGGCACAATATTTAAGTAATCAAAGGTTTTAATTCTCAAACATAAATTTATATAATGAAGGGGCACTGTTGATACATGAGTTTCCTGTTGACATTTAAACTTGCAACGACTCTTAAAAGCAAAAAAAGTCATAATGAATTAGGCTCTTTTGCATAGATGTGTGCTCTCAAAACTAACACTTATTCACACTTAAAGGAAACAATAGGGGAGAGTGGGGTAAGTTGAGCCAAAGGGTAAGTTTATCCACCCCCTGTTGCTTGGAACTGGTAAAAGAAATTGATCATGTGACCAAATATTTAGGAGATGGGCATCAATTCATGGAGTCTGTGAAGGTTAGAAGCACATGGATGAAGGGGTTAGACATTTATTTCCAAAAAAAAACATTTTTCACTCTTGAAAGTGAATTTAGTCTGTCATAAGTTTTTATAGAATTGCGTTCAGACCAAAAAAGATCATTTTAAATTTGCTTTATGCATCAATTGTGGTATCTATGAGCTACAACATGAGGTCAGAAACTTAGCATAAAAGTGACCATTTACTTTTAGAGGACTAATGAAGTCATCATAGTAGTTCCGGGGCAAGGTGAGCCACTTGACCAGGGGTAAGTTGAGCCAGTGGCTCAACTGAGAAAGTAAAGGAGTCTGATGGGAGGATCAGAGTTTGTACCAGTTGAATGGCGTGTAACAGTTAAAAATACACATGAATGTGAAGATGTTATATGGGGAGAGAGAAGCCGAGGGAGGGCTGGGGTGGAGAGTGGAGGGGTAGTAGGGATACGACTCAACTTACCCAGCTCCTATGCTCAACTTACCCCATACACGGGGTAAGTTGACCATAGGAGACCACTTTTTGTATGCTATATTATCAAGACAGTTATGTTTACCCTCATTCTGTTGGTTTTCAGCGATGCACAACATCTTGAAATGTATGGAGATACACTAGTTAGAGACAAAACTATGATTGCCATGATGTAGTGATCCAAAATATGAAAAATGGCTCATCTTACCCCACTCTACCCTACTAGAGAAGCTGCTACTGTCCAACAAAGCAGGATTTTTCTGTTTACCTGAAGCAGAAAGTAAGCGATACTTTCATTCCCACAGCTGGCTGCCAGCATCAGGGGGGTTAATCCTTTGGCAGTGGTGGCATTTACATTCACACCAGCCTCCAGCAGCAGGTTCGCAATGTTATCGTGGCCGATGTAAGACGCATACATCAGCGGGGTCCATCCGCCTTTGTTCTTCCCATCCAGGTCCACCTCACGTCTGAGGGAAATAACAGTTGTCAATGCACAGATAGGCTGCAGATCTAGTGATCGTGTAATTTAGATACCCACTTTTTGATGCACTCTGCCACCACGTCGTACTGTCCGATGGAGCAGGCCGTGTGCAGGTCAAGAGGGACATCCAGCTCCTCAGGGCGCACCAGGGAGTCACCAAGCCATAGGGACAGGCTGGCACCCAGCTGCTCGGACTCACTGGCTTCATCACTCAGCTCAGACATGCTCCTCCTCTTCACTGTTGTCCTCTACAAACACCTGGAAACAGTCACACACACACCTCTATGGCTGAATACACTGGTCTAAAACAAAACCCAGCACTGGAAAGTTCAGACTCCCGTCCAAGAGCTACCTGAAGAAAACTCCCCCACTGTGTTTAGAGAACACAACATAATACAAGTTTTGGTTTGGTTTTCGTGAAATTATACCCACTTAAACTCTAAGTGTTGAGTAGTTCAGTTTAGCGAGTTGAAGGTAGCTCCGGGGTATGAACTTTAATCTATCGCAAACTCTCTCAAATCAAACTACGAAGAAAATATTCCCTCAGATGACCGAAAACAACTCATAACATTTTATAAACTTTCCAAGTGTCAAGCAACAAAAACTTACAGTCAGTAGCGTACAGTGTGTTTTCTCAGCGGCTGAAAGTTTTGTTTTGTGTGTCACTTCCAAATACACTCGTGTTGAAACATGCCCCGCCCTTTCCTGTTTAATGTTAAGTAGAACTTTTTCAAGAACGTGGTCACATAAATAAAACGACTCTCAAGGGGTTTTATCAAAGTTTTGTGACTTATGCTTATGTATAACTCCACTTGAAATAACTGATACTAAAACATAGTCATACGAAAACTCTGTAGGCAATCCCCATCAAGAAGAAAAAATCTTTTAACTATGAAAAAATGGATAGAAGAGGATAATAACCTCATTTACAGGGTTCATATGATACACAGGTGGAAAACCATTGATTCAAGATAACACCTTTCTTAAGTGACAAATTTAACATTATATATGGTGTTATAACATTGACTAATATATTTAATCGGGCAGCAAATCAGTGGAAATTAATTCATCTTTCTGGATGTTGTTAAGCTGTTTCACTTGAGCACACCATGGGCACAACAGGACAAATAGTATGAGTAGGCTACTGTCAACAAGTAGAAGATAACACAATTTTGTTTCACCTTTTTGACAAATGAACACAGCAAAACTCACAATCTGCACAATCTTCCCCTTTGGGATTGCTAGTTTTTTAATCCACACAAACCTACACCTGTAATATAATTTTTTTTAATTCTTTGTATTAAATTAGAAAAGCAGTTTTGATAAAACAAACAACTTTTATTCTAGAATATTGTACAGATAGTCAGCAAATACAGAGTATTTTGTTATTATTCCCTCCAGCCCAGTCCCTAATTTTGGTTGCAGTTGTTTGGTTGTGCCAACAGTGTCCAGCACACTTTATCATGAATGTGCAAATCAGAAGAAATTAAAGTGAAACTCCTCCTTTGAAGGCGTAAAGACAAAAGCTGATGACATTTGCTCTTCACTCTGTGCTTTCACGTCCGTATCCTTCGCTTTGACTTCTGCCTTCCGGTGGAACACACTCCTCTTTGTAGGTTCTGGCACAACTTTGACCCCAGCTGATGCAATCTCTGTAAAAATAAATAAAGAGTATTTTTACAGTCACGTCAAAGTGGCTCTTTTAAAGAATGGACATTGCTAGAACCCACTCACCACTCTGAATGAGTTTGTACTGCTTGCTCTTCTCTTCCTCCATTTTCTTCCTATAATCTCCGATCATGGCTCTCATCACCTGCCTCTTCTTGACCAGAGGAGCTTTGGAGCTCCGCAGAGTCTTCAGAGCACGAGAAGCTTCCTCTTCTGCATGGAAAAATAGTTAGTATTTCAAACCTCAAAGTAACTTTATTCTGATATCAATGTGGCACACTATTTAACATCTTACTCTGTTTCGGTGTTCCTTTCTGAGACTTCATCCCCAATTCCAGCTGCTCAATACACCAGTCGAGCTGTCTGTTCAGTTGCTCCTCTGCACTCTAGAAACAATACAGCATTTTATTTAGCAAACAAACTGCAAATAACTGAGATAACTTCAACATTCAACACTGACCAGCTCTGTGTCCTCGCCCTCTTTACTCCCCTCCTCTGGACTGGACTTCTGCTGCGTCTCTGAGCTATTTGAGGGATTTTTCTTTCGGTTTTTCTTCTTCTTTGCTTTTGAGTGTCCTGATGATTCAGATGGAGAGCTGACCTCCTGCAGTGACAGAGACTTGTCCTGTTGGCTGTCTGGTAATGATGCGCCAAGAGTCTCCAATGTCTCCATGCTTTCTACTGGTGTATCAGAAGGTATCTTAAAGTTGAAAGCAAAAGCAGAGCCCTGTCCTGTGAATGAGATGTGACTGGCTGCTGGTTCAGAGCTGGAAGATGGTGATGTTTCCTCTTGATGTGATGTGTAGCTATCAGGGAGGAAATTAAATCTGAAGGTGTTGTCAGTGCGCGTCCAGAGAGGTTTCTCAGATCTGCCCTCAACAGGAGCAGAGTTGTTTGATTTGGGTTCAATATCTGTCAAAACAACATTGAATAACATAAATATTACAGAGTCTTAGAACAACAGGTACGCACGTACTAAACAATCATTTAAAGCTCCCTAAAACTCTTATATTTTACTGGCAGCGCATTCGTTCGTACGAAGGAACCTAAGAAACCCAAGTAATGCAGTCGTTAAGTAGCCTACCTATAAACAACAGCCTTGGCTCGGTCATGCTGCATCTTCCGGTGTTGCAGGTTTTAAGCGGAAATACGACATTTACATCGAGTTAACCGGCTTCTTCACTTGTACAGAAATGATCCGGTATTCGCTTTTATTAATTATACAATTGTACATTTATTTCTCTAGATGCAAGCTGACATGCTGAGTTCAGAAATCTAACACCAGTGTTACTTGATAATTTGCCCGTCTGCTGGTTTGTGCCCCAACGCATATCGTTCCGGGCTGTTGGCGCCCTCGTATCCCACTATTTTACCAAGCAAAAACGACATTTCTATTTCAATATAGTTGGGAAAAAAAGTTTAACAGATAAAGTAACGATCACACTCACTGAAGACTGCCATTAAAATCAAGCAAATCAAAAAGATGAAAAACGTACACAGTGATGAAGGTCACCAAGGATCTGAATACAAAAATGAGTGGAGGACTAGTTAGATCCTGAGCCTGAGTGATAGCTTTAACTTTTAAGAAAAAAACAATAGAAAAAACACCGAAAACAAAAATGTTAATCAAATTAAAGAAACTGACAATATATACAAAGCAGGTAATTAGATAAACAGAAATGTATTACTCTGTAATGCCAACTGATTGACTTCTTGCTGTAAGATGATGTTTCAGACCATAGACATTTAAAAAAAAAAAGTAGTTTGCTACTAGGCTTTTTGTTGTTGAGTTTCCTCCAAACTTTTTAGAAAACTCTAAATGACTTATCCAGTTATATTTCTGACCGTATCTGTGCCTAACATTAAGAACAATACGCCTGTTAGAGCTGTTGCATGGCTGACAAATAATATCAAACAGTAATATCAAACTAAAGACTTTATAGACAACAAAGAGTTTGAGGAAAAGAGCGGTCATTTTTGTCCCATTATACTTTAAATGCGGAGCCAGTGAGCCCCCTTTTCCCTCAGCGAATCACATTTCTCCTTGAATTTACGTCTGGGCAAATCATGAAAGTGTAGAGGCGGGACATCGCTCGCGGCTCCCCTCAGACTATAAATTCCCCCTCCCCGTACATTTCGTCAATCCTGCCAAACGACAAGCGAGAAGAAGGTTTCGGTTTATCGACAAACAACAACAAAACGGTATGTTAATATTTCAACTATTTGAACTAGAATTTATCAGTGTGTGGTATACATTTATGTATCATGTATTGTGTACTTTAATTTCCAGATAGGTAAAATGCTTCTAAAAACGTAAAACCTCGTTCTTTCGTCCGCCAGTCACAACAAAACGGCGCGCGTTACAGACAGATAAACGTTAAATTTATTTCAGATGTTTGTTCTTTGTACTTTAGTTACCGACACACACATATCATTAAAGTTGAAGTCACGAACGACTAGATTCCGTAAATGATGATATATTCACAGACGGAAACGCTGTCTCGATGTAGATGTAAACCTCTGGTGGCTAGCTGGCGCCATTTTGCAACCGTCCATGCTAGCTTTAAATTTGCGGTCTGAAACGTGTGTCTCTCTCTCAGCTTAATGGTGGCGGGGCATCTTTTATTCAATTTAAACAATCCCACAGCGTCCTCCAAGGCATTTTGGCTTTGACAACAAATCTCTAGCAGTTATTTGGCAGAAAGCTCTCGAGTGGTTTGCTTGTGATTGTTAGCTCTGAACAGCCACTGGAGCCAAATGTTTATTTTGTATATCGGTCACAACTGAGAGGACGTAGTCAAGCTGCTGCCACCACACACACACACACACACACACACACACACACACACACACACACACACACACACACACACACACACACACACACACACAGCGCGCACTCACAGCTTGCATAATCGTACAGACCAGAATGTGTTTTGTGAAAAACTGCATTGTGATGCGGTTTTTGAACCCTAAGTTGTATTTATCATGTTGTTAAATTTGTAGGTGTAAAATGGCTCGTACCAAGCAGACTGCCCGTAAATCCACCGGAGGAAAGGCGCCCAGGAAGCAGCTGGCCACCAAAGCTGCCAGGAAAAGCGCGCCCTCTACCGGTGGAGTGAAGAAGCCCCACAGATACAGGTAAATTCAATGTGAATCATTGCATTTTGATGTCCTCTATTGTATATTACATGTAGATCAGTCAATGTATTTAGCCTTAACTGTGCTTTACTTATTGTTTTTGTATTGCATAGTATTTACATACGTCCTGTGCATTGTTTTTTAGGCCTGGTACTGTTGCTCTGAGAGAGATCCGTCGTTACCAGAAGTCCACTGAGCTGCTTATTAGAAAGCTGCCATTCCAGCGTCTTGTCCGAGAAATCGCTCAGGATTTCAAGACAGATCTGCGTTTCCAGAGTGCAGCTATTGGTGCTCTGCAGGTGAGATAGCATGTCTTTTTTACAAATAAGAGAAGTCATGTATACATTTTTTCAAAGCAGGCTAACAATGTGCTAGAGAAAGAGAAAAGTCTTGCATATTTGTTGAAATTTTAATTTTCCACTACCTATTTTGCCCCTTTTGTAGGAGGCCAGTGAGGCATACTTGGTTGGACTGTTTGAGGACACCAACCTGTGCGCCATCCACGCCAAGAGGGTAACCATCATGCCCAAGGATATCCAGCTGGCTCGGCGAATCCGAGGAGAGCGTGCATAGATGTTGTGATTTTAACTTTTTAATGGCGGGTGGGAGGGTGGGTCTGACTGGGGTTTGTTTTGTAAATCTTGGAACTATTACCAGCATGTGTATCATTATATTTGTAGTTTCAGGCATGTTTGTTTCATATGTCATTCATCCTTCACTTCCACTCATAATTTCCTTTCACTATCCTCTGTAGATTAGAGCTTCATACCTGAAATTGCGAAAAGAAAAAATTCCCTCGCCTTCTCAGGTTGCAAATTTATTTTAGGATCTCTGTTCCGGTGTGTGCATGTCATAGGATTTCTTGTGCTGTAAATAAACTATTGCTACCTCAAAATTATCATGTGGAAAGTGTTTTTGTTTTTTTATTAAAGATAAACCCTGAGTGATTGTTTTGGGATGATTGGCATGACAGTGGTTTGTCCGGTCCATGAGGTCAGATTTCATGCCAGATTGAAAGAAGTTAACAGAGTTAACCTACTTATCACAGTCACAAACTGTAAACATTAACCATGAAATTACTAATCCTGGAAGGGCCTCATATAACAATCAACACTAGATAAATGAGGTGTGTGCATATATGGTAACAAGTTTCAAATGTTTGGTGTTATAATACCTACAAAGCAGGAAACAAAATGGCAGACATCAAAACCAAAGGGCATGTGTGCAAATGAATGAATTTCATAAATGTCTCATATAGAGACTGCACAGTACTTCTGGTGTCCTTTCACTTGTTATTAAGATTGGTTGAGTAAAAATGCTAAGGCAGTAAACAAAGTCATATGGTTTTGATTGGATGGAAACCCAGTCTCATTAATATGTACAGTAAAAAAAAACAGTGACATGAAAAAGTTTGTTGATTTAACTTCTCACCCAAAGCCTGAAATGATGTGTTAGCCTGTTGAGTAAATAATAGCCTGGCTATTAAATTTGTGTTAGAGCTCCCCTCATTTCATCACAACTTTTACATGTATATCAGTGTGTAATGTTTAGTTTGTAATTTTCCTCCTTTGTTCCATGACACTATCCTGTTGTGCACTCTGAGCCTGATTTGTATGAACTAGTCATGTTAACCATTTGAGCAGGGCATACAAGTAGAATCTGACACAATGGCTTGACTTCCTTAACAAAGCTACATTACCTGGAAAAAAGAGTGGTAATACGTGCTCTCAGAATCAATAAGGCAAACTAAAAATCATGGTTTAAATCAAGGCATTTTAATCTGTGAACTAATCAGTCATACTAAACTTCAGAGGGCAGATCACCTTTTTTTGTTTAGTTTTTTTTTTTTTCCAATGAGAAATGCATGACTCCACATTCAGATCAATGAGCTGTAGTTATGGCATGTAATAAGACACACATTAGACAATAAATACAAGCTATATACACAGTCAAGTCCCAAATTTGTTAACTTGAACTTTTGCCATCCTCTTCTTCATTTGCAAGTAAACCTGGAAGTTGTTCATACAACTGCTTCTCTAGTTGTGCGTCAATCTCAGTCTCCTCTCTCAGCGCACACCACAGGAGAAAACTGATGGCCAACAGGCTGATGGGCAACACCTTCCACCAGGGCCGCTCATATTGGCTACCCATTGAGCGATCCACTTTCCAGGTCCTGTAACTGGCTTTACTTGTGGAGAACTTGATGGGCTCATCTTTCACCTCGTTTTCATCGTTTGTGGGGTGGGCTGGTCGCTGTGAGCTCAGAGTGAGGGGTCGTACACTGCTCAGTCTGCTGTGAACAAATTATTTCATTCCATCAGAGTTTTAGAAAACATACAAATCTGTCTGTAATGCTTCAATCATGCTGATAGTAAACATAGCAATAATAGATTTATTAATATCCTAGCAACCAAATCTGGCCCGTGGAACAATTCTATCTGGCCCACAAGATCATATCATATTTGTATTATTATTGGTCCACCAGTGTGAAGTCTGCAGATTTCCTCCAGTATAATGATGTAAACCTTAGCACCATTATTTAGAATTTCTTGTTCATGAATGCCCAATTTCAGTTGATATGTTGCATTTTTATATGGTCCCCTCATGGCACATTTTCCCTCCCTTTAGAAATTGCACAGTTAAAGATAAAAGGAAACTAATTTGTCATGTATTGTCCTATTTTGATATATTTTGATGACAAGTACTAATTTTAGCGGCAGTGTTCTAGGGTTAATCAACCAAAAGATTAAGTTTTTTTTTCTCTCTCTTAGGTGAATTGGGTGATGAACTTTGCTCTCTTAACTACAGATGCTTAAATCAACAAGCCAAACTCAGTATGTCAATGAAAGAGGATATATGTGCAGCTTCAGCCTCAAGGTTTGAAATGATAGAAAAGAAACTGACTCTTTTCAACCTAAAACCCAGAACATGTCATCATAGCATGGAACACGCTTTAATGACGTTCCTCCTGACTTCTCAGGGTGTCTGTCAGTCTGTCTCAGATTTACTCACCTTAGTGTTGAAGCGCCGAACAAGGAAAACCCTCGTCTGGAGGCAGCTCCTATTAGACCTCGTCCTGCTGTGGCCGACATCCCGATCAACTGATCATATTCGGAGACACAATGTTAGGTCACAGAAACAAGAGGTATTCTTACCAAATGCACCTTGGTTAGGTCATGTAATACCACGCTGTGCAACACTAAAATCCTTCCGTGCCGCTGTTGAACGGTGAGTTGGATGGTTCCGCTGAAATGATGATAGACACTTGCGGTCACACCCATCAACCAATCAGAAATCACAAAGCGATATCCGTCCAATCACGCTCCCGATTGGCTACATCACTTCCTGGTTTAGATTCCATGCTTGTTTCGTCTGTCCAAGGGGTTCTGCACGTTTTTCCTCGTTTTAAGTAAGTTGATTTTTAAGAATATCCTTTCATTTACAGGTGAAATAATATGTTTTTGTCAGTGGCATAATGAGAGCAAAATTGAGCACGCGACTAAAGATCTGAACAGAAGCAGTTGGTCGTCAACATAACAGGTTAAGTTGTGGGAGAGGAAAACTTTTATTGTATTCCAGTTAAATAGAAATGTTCAGGAGCATCTGAAGTTAATATTTTAGTCTTTTTTTTTCGTCGCCATTGTCCCAATGTCTGTAATGTACGAAGTTTGTTACCTTTGTGGGTGTCTGAAGCTGTTTTTGCATTATATATAGTAAGTACTTTGTGTATTCACGTTTTTAATTTTAGGTTTGAATCATGGCCAAAGACAAATCTTCCAAACTAGACACAGTTACCCCCAAAAGGAAAAAGTTAACTTCGGATACCACTGAGGTTCATCAAGAAGAAATGGTGGATGTCAAAGCAAAAAAGAAAAAAAAAAAGTTGGAAATAGAGGTGAGCATCATAGTTCCTTATATCTGTGTCTGTTCATTCAGTACTACCTAAATTCTCCTAAAAAGCATTGACTTTTTTTTTTTCAGGAGGCTCCAGTGCAGGTCACTCCTGAGACGATTATTGTGAAGGATAAAAAACATAAAAGAGAAAAGAAAAGGAAAAAGAAACAAACGACAGAGGAAATAGAGGTAAGACTACACAGATTTTATGCTTCTGTTTCCTGTCTGTTACTAATCACATTATGATCTTAACTGAGGCTTTTAGTTGAACTAGAAAAATCGTGTTCACAGCGCCTGAAAGTAACAACGATGAGGTCTGCTGTGTCTATTGAAAATCCATCTACTCTTTTGCTGTTTTGAGTTTAAAGTGAAGATGAAGAAATGAAGCTTGGATATTACACGTCTTTCCTTTTTTGAAGTTTTCTGTTTCATTTTAAAGATGACATATTGCCAAAAATTGTGTGCCCGTGTTGCAAGGGTTGGCATGTATTACCATAAACCACAGTGTTATATGGTTTTAGCAGGGATTTTTTAAATGTAACACCAGCTTTGATTCTGTAGATACTTTACAACACAGACATACTGAACAACTTTACCATGTCAAGTATCAGATCACGTCATTCTTTTAGCACTGAAACAAACTGACTTTTAGCCGAAGACTTGTATCACAGACTTGTAATACATACTTAAGCTTCAGTGTAAAATTACATAAATTGACCTTAGTTTGCTTGCACTGTAAGACGGCTCTGATTTGATCCTTTCTCTCATTACTGTAGAGGCTAAAACTTGGTTGTCACAGTTGACCTAGACTCCTGTGTTAGTCCTAACCAAACTTTACAATAAAAAACACAAAACGCTACGCAAGCACAAAGATATAACTCATACACTCAATGTTTTCATTGTAGCTCAGCTTTTATTTATATTTAGTTACTTTAAACGTTGTCATTGTATTGATGAGTAGAAGTTTTATGATGACAAGGAAATGAAACCAAATTGTTGATAGTGGCACTGTAGTATGAATACCACTGTTGTTTGTAGAGCATTTAAAAATACAAAGCTCTTACACGGTGTCAAACCTGCAAAGAGTACATTAATTTGCAACCATCCAGTCTCTGAACTTTATTTGTCAAACAGGGAAGGAAGTTAGGAATAAATGTGTTTTGTGTAAGTGAGAGTGTGCAGGAGTTTTCCCCTTTTTTATTGCCTGAGTCGTTTTATACCTTCCTGTTTTATAAATTTGATGTGCTAAGCTTTTTTAATGCTTACTTTTTAGGTTTGATTACTTTTTGATAATATATTTCAACTCTGTTTATTTGCCTGCTTTGATAGGACAACTGAAGAGGGGGCAGGAAATGTAGAGAGCAGACTGAGAGATGATATGCAGCAGGTTAGGAGGAGTCAAACCAGGACTGTAGCCACTGTTTAAACTGAGCTAGTGCCCTGATACATACTCAATACATTAAAAAATGACACACAGGGATTTTCTGATTCCATCTTACTGTTTCTAGGCTTCTTAAAACAATAAATATTTGCCACAGAGCATCTGTTTTGATCTGACACTATATATAAATGATCATGTTGATGCTGCAAATTTGGCAGTGTATATTTATGTGATATTTCTATCAGAAGTCATAGTTGGAAAGAGAATCTGGTTGACTTAAATTGTTGCCACTATGATTTCAATGAATGAGTGGGTGAGTCAGGTCTGACATTTAACATGAAGTCACCTCCCCTTGCTGAGGGCCTGCTTGCTGGGTAGAGATGGTCCCTGGTTTGGTGCCATTTTGTGCAAGCATGCTGCAATATGTCCTCTATACAACTCAGTTACCCTGAGTCGTACCAGTCAGGTTTTGAAACCTGTAAGCTATAAAGCATCACTTGTATGTGACTTGTTTTGGTTCTTAGACAGAAATGAAAGTCTTACTGTGATGAATATTGACAATGTTGGTCTAAACTTAGAGTCTGATTTTCTGTTTTCCCTGACTAAATGTTTCCTATGTTGTATTCAGGGGCTTGCAGAGCTTTTTCCTGGCAATTTGTCTGAATGGGCTTTTGTACGAATCATGTTCATGCAAACAGAGTCTTTTTTTCCACTGAAAGAGGTGTGTCTAAGCCTGTTGTAGACTTATAAAACAGCTCACACCACCAAGTAAAAGCTTTTTTAAATGGCTTATTAATAGTGGTTGATTTCCAACCTTTATATGGGCATACTCTTTGTATATAAAGTACTAAAGGATAAATAGACTGCACTGCACTTTAATCAGCAAATTTCTTGTCTTGAGGCAACTCAGTGGTTTTCCCTGACAAGCCACATTCAGCCATTCCCACACATTTATATACTGATGTCAAAGTACTCATCAGTACTGACCGATCCCATCTCTTGTCTTATGTCTGTGCCTTCAGGAGCAATTGAGGAATCATGTAGGCTCCAGGATAGAACCATCACCCCCCCAACTTAGACAACCCACTGAGCCACAGTTGCTTTATCACACCAGAAAAGAGAGTTTCAATACAATTAAATATAACAGCTGCATTTAATTTTAAAAAATGGTAATTATAACAAAATATGGAAGTTACAAAAAAGGGACACTACAAGGAGAATGCATGAGTATAAAAAACAAACATTAACATGCTGGCATATTAGGTTATGGGGTAAGAAAAGCATTGAAAGTAAGCCTGACACTTCAAATATGTCATATCTCCCAGTCTTTGTTTTTTAACAATGAAAACTCTCAAAACTAGAGTTGTAGTCTTTTATGACTCGATGTCCTGCAGGGTGTCTGTGATCTCGATGTGTGGAGCAATGATGTTCCTGTTTGGCTGCGTGCGCCCTGAGCTCCTGCAGCAGTCCTTTAGTTGCCTGAACACTCCTTGTAGACTCTCTCTGCATGGCCTGTGCATGAACAACACAAGCAGTAGGCTGACACTGCTCCCTGAGAACAGCACAAACTCAGCTACACTCAGAAACGCCTGCTCATGATGGCTCAGCCTGAGTGTGTCCCTCTGTAGCTGTGCTCCTCTCAGCAGGGCTACACTGTAGAAGAGCTGGCAGAAAAACAAGACCATGGTCACTGTTAGGAACATGGGACCCTCCTCTGAACCGGAGAGGAATCGACCTTTGGATTTCCACTGCCGAACACAGCCACCAATTAGGAGTCCTAGCTGTAGGATGTAGGGGATCAAAAACACCAGACACAGTCGAGCAGCCGCGTATGAAACACCAGAATCTACTGGATCCATGAAACAAGTACGCACTTCATGGAGATCATCGAATGGTCCTCGAGCTCCAGCCAGCAGCACAGAAATCAGCACTGATGTCAGAATCACCAGAGCCACACAGACAGCAGGCTTCCTTAGTAGGGCGTGTGACGGCGGATCCAGAGTGAGAATGTAAGCCATGAGGGCCAACACCAACAAGCCACACAGAGACACCGTGTTGATGAAAAAGGACAGAGCAGCACAGCCTAACCCTGTGGTTCGCAGGTAGTCAGGTCTGTGAGCTACAGCATGGAGAGAGAGACACAGGAGGACAAGCTGGAAGCCACAAAAGGCCCAGAGGAGGCAGTCGAGCCAGGCCAGACGTCTCTGAGCTCTGTAGGTCTGAATGAAGCTGTAGAGCAGGAAGCAGCTGGCAATGAAGCCCAAAGACGCAAAGAAACTGTAGATGTAATTTGCTCTGGAGGTAATGCCTTCGGCTGCAATACGGTCTAATATGTCATTTGATGAGTTGTTGATGCTGGTGGACACGTTTACAATGAGTGATGTGGTGCTGCTTGCAGTTGGGATAGTGTCCAGGCTTTGATTTGACTGGAAATGAGAAGAGAAAACAGACACAATGAAACAAGAAAACACCCACTTATGAAACCCAGTACTCTGCAGCAGCACCCTCCTCTGTTTATCAAGCACTTCAAGTATTGAGTCATTAAAATGGAGTATGCACGGAGACTGTACTCTTAAAATGTGCACATTTCCTTCCTAAGTTAGCTCAATGTTTGGTTTAATTTGAACTTCATTGTTTCCCTTATTAACAGTGAATCAATGAAAAATCCCTCTAAACTTAAAAAAATAAAAAAAACTACAAACACAGCACTTAACAACTTCAAAGCTACTAGCCTCCCTTAAAAACGTACAGCTGTCTCTCTGACTAAGTGTGGCATCTGTTCATTCATAACCCTAATGCCAGAAATTCAAACCAGTTTTTCCATCACCTCTTTCTTATTAAGCACCACTAACAACAACAAACTCTCCCTGAAAAAGAAAGTTTACACACTTCGAAAGAGCAAAGTTTAAGATTTCATTAAAAAAATCCACTTTAATGACTCCAAACACATCCCTGTTGACCAGTCTTTCCCTGCTCTGCTTTGGGGAACTGCCTGCTCTGTAAGCACACATGTTTTCACTTACCATTTTGCTGCTTCCGTCACTCGCTTGTCTTCTGTTTCGTATCCAGCACCCCGGCACTACAAGTTTGAATTCAAGGCTCTGAAAATGGTGCTCTCTGCAGTGAGGCGATCTCTCACTGTAAGCAGTTTTATATGTTTCTGTGAGTTATACTCCACCAACATACTTTCAGAGTGACTTCGTGGCCATGTGATCAGATCTTTTCCTCCCCTCCCTTCTTCTCTTTTTTTTCACCACCCTGCAGACTGAGGTCCGTTAAATCAGAGAGCATACTGAGTCCGTTGTTTGACTTCCCCCTGAGATGTAAACTCAGTCTTTAAGTTGGGCTGTGGTGACTGTTTCCTGTAGTTTTACAACTTCAGTTAAGTTAATTTTGTAAAGTTCAAGTTATTGTGCAGGAAAATAAGTTAGCAGAAGCTTCATTCAGATCAAGATTTCTGCTCTGAAACGGATATCTTCTTTTTCAATTCAAAGCCCCTCCTATTGCTTTCTTTATGATTGTGCAAAAAACCCACAGGTGATTATTTTTAAACCACGCGCATCAGTGCTTTGCATGTATTGCTGAGGGGGAGTTTTACATCACTTAGACACTAGGCACGCAATGCATCTTATGCTGGTCTAAGACGTCTGTAGATGCAGGAAACGTCCCTCAGAGCTGCAGCTCTAAAGGAAGTGATCCAAACCAGTATAGCGCATGTAAGTTCCACCTTTACTCTGTTGTGCTTCAGAACAATAAAATGTCACATTCGGTTTACCACCACCAAGAATGAAGCATTTGTGGAGTAAGAAAGATAAGCTGGCACTGCCCTGGAAACCCCAATGATTGTTTATGGTTACAAAAAAACATATTATAATTGTACTAAAATTGTCCCACCATTCATTCCCAGTCAGTTGGAGTTATTTTGGGAAGTCTTATGAATATCACACACCAACACAGAAAATGATAACAGACCACAAAGGAAGTTCTGTGAGTGTAGATAACTTCCACGGGCGTTTTGTTTTGCTTTGTGGTGACAGATTTCAGATCCACCCAATGTACCGAAGGAAGCACGTATGGAGGAGGGAGAAGAGGACCTGAGCCCAGAGGAGAGGCGGGTCCTGGAGAGGAAGATGAAGAAGATCCTGAAAAAGGAGGAGAAGAAGAGGCTGAAAGTCGAGGGAGTGGCCAAAGAGAAAACTGAAGCATCTGGACCCAGTGCACCTCAGCAGGCCTTGGATTACCTCACATGGTAGGTACCTTATGAATTCAAGCAGAGATTAACCTAAATGATGATCTTTTGATGTCATTCCTTCAGAAACTGGAGAGATGGATGACACAAAGATGTGTGCGATTTTTACAATCATTTTTTGGTTGGCTATTAAAAGTATGGATCCAGAGGTATACAAGATTTGCCAACTACTGCTGGCTAGCATTTGGTTGAAAGCTAATATTGGCCATCAGGAAGCAGTTGTTGATTGGTTGATAAAAATAAATTTGCTTGAAATTCGACCCCAGTATTTGCTATTTGTTTTCCTTTCAGTTATTCATTAACGGAAAAAGCAGTGGAATGATCATACTTCCCCTTTTTTTTTTTCAAAACTGCTGATGAATTAAAAACACAGCGTTATAATATCACAGCATTTGAGCTTTCCTAGTTTGAGAAAAATGGCCACCATATGAAAGGGATGAATGTAATTCAGTGTATCCGTCAAAACAAAAAGGAGTCAAATGGATCTTCCACCAGTGTGTTTAAATTCAGGAACGTGTCAGAGGTGATTTAGAAAATTACTAACTGGTATAACTTTGAAGGTTATACAATCATTAAGTTGAGGTTATTGTCGTCAGGGGAGAAAACCGTTTTATCACATCTACTTTGGCTGTGATTAAACTCAAAGTCTAAGAAACATCAAAATCAGTAAAAACAAAAAAACTTACCTCAGAAATCTCAACATGGTCTTATTAACTTGTTTGGTCCTGCTGCTTTTTTATGCTGTATTGAGTACATATTACTGTGAACACTGATGAAGCTCAATTGACTCATACACCAAATCATGATATAAAAAGAGATGTAAATTCTTATTAGTTGTAGCCTGTTCATACAGTGAACATCAATGGCTTTCATTTTCATTTTAAGTAATTACACAACCCACATCGTTTTTATCTGCAGCTGGGCTGAAAAGCGCACAGAGTGGAAGTTCCAGAAGACCAGACAGACGTGGTTACTGCAGCACATGTTTGACTCCGAAAAGGTAACTGTTCACTCTGATACATACAGTACAGTCTGGTTGGGCCATAAATGTCACAGTGCTATTGTTGAAGGAATACAACATGATCCGTATTTACTTTGATAACTACTACAGTTACTCACACATTCATGTGTTAGTGGAGGGTGTGTAATGTTTAAACTAGTGAACAGACAGCTGATCATTTCAAACTCTTAGATTCCAGATGACAAGTTTTCCTTGCTGATGCAGTACCTGGAGGGGCTACGTGGAGGAGCCCGAGACACCACAGCACAGAAGGCCTTAGCTCTTATTGAGGAGTCAGGACAAATGCCAGAGGACAGTGTTGTCCAGCAGAGGGCGCACCGAGCTAGAGAAGTCATCCAGCTGCTAACATAAACATGCTATCACCACCACCACCACCAAAGAAAAACATAAAATTCACCAGAGCAAGACCTGAACATGTTGAAGGATCAGTGGACTATGTGAAAATCCTGATATGAACCATGGACTTGTAGCCTTTTAGAATTGTGCAAGAGGAAAATTTGTGTTTTTATTAAAATGCCAGTTGTGCTATTTTTTTTTTCTGTGTCTACATCAGTAATTCCTCTCCATGTCTTGATATAACATGTGCATTGTAGCTTGGTAGTTATCAATAACCTAAACCTTTTTCATAAAGTTTAATTTCAACACATCATATTTTCCACGTAGTTGTTGACTTTTTACTTCTCAGAAAGTCCGGTCTCACTATCACAATGTGGTGAGATTTAAATCCCTCAAGAAGAAACACAAATCTGGAAAAATGTCGCAGTTCAAAGTCTCTGGAATGCTTGCAGCGGAGACGTGTCTGTACATGTCAAATCCCAGCATCTGTGCAGTCACTGATGAGCTTCACCTTCTCATCCACTGATGGTATAACCATGATTGACATGTTTTGGTTTTACAAATACCTTACAACAAGAACTCCTTCAAACAGTGAAATGGTGAAGAATTCTTTTTATAATCTACACCATTTGGCGGAAAAAAAGTCTCAAATTTACATTACAACTTGCAACTTGAAAGTCACCATTTTAAGGAAGGAAACTGTGTGCGGTTAAAACAGGTGACATAACTTCCCCTGTACACTTATATTACAAACTTAGGTTTAACAAATGATTGATGCTTTCCCCGTGTTAAGCTATACCATGATCTGCTTAGTTTTACATACTTTTACATTTTGGAGGAAAATACTGATTTTTGTACAATTGAAGCACAGTGCTTTACATCCAGCATATTTCTTGAAATCTATTTTTGATTGTAGGTTTTTCTCTACTTGGTACAGATTTCCATATTTTTGGTTTCAAACTCATAAAAGTTAAAGGATATGTTTGAAGAAAATTCTTCCCTTCTTTTCAAACCCTGTTTTGTCTTGTAAAATATTTGTAGTCAAGATTCAATGTTGAGATCTTAAATAATTCAAAACATTTGGTCTCTTTCAGTAGTCCACTTGCCCTTAAAAACCACATTTAATTTTAAATATGCAGCATTTTCACAGATTTTGTCAACAATATTATCCTCTCACAAGTGAGTCTTGGAAAAAAAATATTGCTAGTGTTTTGACATAAAAAAAGAAAAGTCTGTAAAACTTGTTACCCACAGCTGGGTTCAGTTTTTTTCTCCATGTCACCTGCTTACACCTTGCAGTTATTATGTCCAGCAAGTGTCTCTGTGGCTGGTTAAATCTTCAAATCGAGTCTTTGTTCCTTCAACGAAGACAGTGATGTGCTCAGGAAATGTTCACAGCATGTCTATAAGGCCAGTGTCTCCTCTTGGATGTGGATCTTTAACCGTGATGCCCACGGTGCTTTTGGCTTCATCTGCAAAATTTAGCAAATATAGTATATATTATATAAGTCACACTCAGTGCTGAAACTTAAATGAGTGACAATAGTGTGGTTGAGTTTACTTACTTTGCTTTGAATCAAAAGGAATGTTGTGTTGAGTAAGAAGCGCACGCAGTCTCTCAATCTCTTCTGTCTGTTTTTGGAAATCCTACGTGATAATATACAAAGACATTGGAAATATGCTGTGAATGCAAGCATTTGTACAACAACTGCTGATTTGTCTTTGAAAGAGTGATTAGATATACACACCTCTGTGCATTTCTGTAATGAGTTGTGTGTTTCTGAATCAGGGGCAACCTCTGGTGACTTTATTTTCACTCTTTGACTTTTCAGGAGACCAGCATCCTCAAAAATATCCCTCAAAAGATTGTTATAACCCTGCAGCAGACAGTCATAGTGATTGTAGAAAAATATCACAAAGATACTTGATAAATTTGGTACACCAAAACCAAAGAATAAGGCAGTGAGTTTAATGTTGAGAGAAGCAAACTATGCCTGTAAGATTTTATTGACAAAAATTTGATCAACAAGTCCTGTTGCTTAGTACTTTTGCCGGACTAATCATTACCTGCTCTGTAATAAGATCTTCATAGCGTGCCTGTTCCGCTTCATCCCACTCTCTTTGCAGCTTTTCACTTAGTGTTGGGTACACTTAAAAAGAGCACAAAAAATGATAAGAAATCCCTGTTCACACTGGCCTTCCCTACTGACATGTGCTGAAAGTCTTTGTTTTACCTAATAGAGAATGTGGATGGCAAACAAGTGGCGTCTCAAAGGTCACAGAGTACACACAGGTACTGGGCTCCGAGACTTGAGCCAGCTTACTGTTTGTACTGCACATAAGAATCACCTATATTAAGAACATTAAGAAAACAGGTTACACAGTGAAATATGTAGTTCTAATGTGGCTAAGGTAATTGTAAGAATAACTGAGGAGTATGTCTTTCTAATGTCTTAGTTCATTTAATATTCTTCAAGTGTGTTTGAATGTGCTAAACATCCCACACACCTTTGTTTCCCTGTTTCTGGTTCCACAAGTATCCCCATCTCTCATCCACATGCCTGTGAAAGTGTTATTTACTATTTCCCACTCCTGCCAAATCCTGTTGGGAGCACACGAAGAGGAAAGAACAAAAAATGTCTTTAAACACTGGTATTTGCAGTTAAAGTGGGTTTTCTTCAGGTGAACCCTATCTTACCCTAGTATTCCACTGTAAGCGTTCCATCTGTACGACTGCTCATGTTGGGTGATGTTGTGAAATGGACAGAACTCATATTTGTACCTTCAAAAAAAACACAGTGCAAGTGTCATGTTGCCTGTTAACTATGAATATAATAAACAAGCAACAACATGAGCAAAAATATACTATTTTAAAAGATGCTTACGTTGACTCTGTGAAACTAAAGCACTTCCCTGCAAGCCGATGGAGATGTGCAGGGCCTATGTAGGGAAACACATCAGAGCCGGCCGGTGAATTCAGTGATGGTAAACAGAATAACTCATCCTAGTTAATTCTTTTCCTTCACAACATTCAAGGATTCAATAAGAAAATACAGGGTTCAGTTTATGCCAAACTGTTTTACCAGACACTGGAGATGGGGTCGCTTTAGGCTGTAGTCTGCTCCCCTGGGCCATGAAAGGATTATTCAACCTAGACACAAAAACAAAGAAAATAAAGTTAGATGAGGACAAATGTCCAAGAGGTTTGAACTATGCCAGACATATTTTTTTCTTTACGTACCCAAATGTGTTTGGCTCCTCAACTATTTTCATTTTGCCAGCAAATCCATGGTTAACTGTGAAAATAGAAACAAGGCAGACCTGATAAAACCAATTTACCACACAATTATGTTTGCAATCTGTTTTTTTTTTTTTTTTGTATTATTACTTGGCAAAGAACATGATTAAAATTAAACATTTAGTATTTTACATTGATTAGCCATAAAATTATGAACACTTCTGCAATCAAATGCAACCCAGTACAGCAGGGCAACCACAAAATCTGCTTTCAAGCTTCTACATGACTTCACTGTTAACATGGTCAGACGGGAGATAGAAGCTCTTTAAATTAAATGTTTAAGTTCTAAGGGGTGTTGATGGTGCGCCAGAATGTCTTATACTAAAAGATGTTCCTAATAAATCGCTTCCCACCGGTTTGTAAATTAGGTGAACAAGATATAAGGAACATCTTTCGACTTTGCATCACATTTTCATGAAGTTGTGGCTCGTCCGTGCTGTGTACTTACTGAAAAGGGACGCAAAGACCATCCACAGTCTGAATAAACGATGTAATCCGTTGCCAAAACTGTACATCGCTGATTTACAATATAACTGACAAAAAATGTGTCGTATTGTTTTCTGCCTACATTTCCTGCTTTCCAGAGTCAATCACATGTTACATCATGTGATGCAAAATAAGACTTGCGCATGCGCGGTTCACCTCGCTGTGGACAACATGCAGCGCACGCCACCAACCAAGGCAATCTGAACAGTATTGTTTATTTTATTATCACCCAGAATAGAAGTTTTATATTTTATTATATATTGTTATAATATTTAGCCTTTGGAGTTGCGTTCGTCAACGTGTCGATTCACTCCAAAGCCGTGAAGTTCTTGAGTTATGCTGGTGTCAGATGGTAGCAAGTTAGCTAATAGTAGAGCACGTAAACAGATTCGCGTTACTTTAGATCTTTAGACAGTAGCTAACGAGCTTTCACTGACTGTAACATGGGTCGAAAAAAACAGGGAAAGTTCGTACGTTCAGACAACAAGGGCAAAGACAAAAGGCATAAAATAAAGGGGAAATCATTAGAGGCCTTTACAGAAGAAATGCACACTGCTTTTGAAGGTAATAATACAGTCTTTTTGTAACACAACAAATATGCATCGATTGGGTAAACTCCTCTGCTCTTTATTTTGATCACCACGCTAAAATGTTGAGTGTTTACATTACCGCCATCATGACTAAATGCTGTCATATTGTCAAAAAAACACCTTGTCTTTTGTCACTGTGTTTTCCAGCAAGTCTTCATCTGGATGAGGGGGCAGAAGCCCCTCAGATGAAGCTGCCCTGTCCACTTGCCATGTGGGACCTGGGTCACTGTGATCCCAAACGTTGTACTGGTAGAAAGCTGGTACGCAAGGGTTTTGTCCGCAACCTGCGCCTCAATCAGAGATTTAATGGACTTATCTTGAGTCCAATGGGCACAAAGTATGTGACGCCAGCTGACAGGTGTGACAAGTTTTATTTTCCAGGGGACACTCTGAAAACTTTGCTATCCCCCCAAAATTCATCAAATGTAATATTATTACAATATATTAAGTGTGGAATAAGTGTTTAGATTGAAAAAGCATCTTTTTTTTTTTTTTCTACGACTCAGAGAGATCGTGGCTCAAAGTGGGTTGGCAGTGATTGATTGTTCCTGGGCCAAACTGGAGGAGACTCCCTTTAATAAGATGGTTGGTGCTCACCCCAGGTTACTGCCGTACCTTGTCGCAGCAAACCCAGTCAACTATGGCAAGCCTTGCAAGTTGTCCTGTGTTGAGGCTTTTGCTGCCACATTCTGCATTGTTGGTAAGGTAATGCATTGTGCTCTTAACTGCCCAAGGAATAGCAGAGGACCACCAACATTCTGATTTCGATTTTGCAGGATTTGAAGAACTTGCACTTCTCCTGTTGAAGAAATTTAAGTGGGGGACAGTGTTCCTGGATCTCAATAAAGTTCTGCTAGAGCAATATGCTGCTTGCCAGACTGAAGACGAGCTGCTGTCTGTGGAAAAGGAGTTTCTGACATCTAAACCAGAGGAGGAGGACTTTGGTAAAAGGGGCAGGAATGAACTGGGGTCCCATTACGACTTGAAAATACAACCAAATAAGTGATTCAAAATATAATTATTTCATTCTGTTCCACAACTGCTCTAACATAGAATGTTTTTGTATGGTTTATTTCACTGTTAAACTATTCTTCAGTGATACTGTTCTTATGCTCCATTTCCTTTGTTAGTTTGTGTTAAATGTACGACCTATTTTCCCCGGTAGCCTTCTCCTTAATTTCAAACCCTGGTTTCCCTGGTCATTGATCGCGAGTATTATGATACTATGTGATTGCTGTGTAAAACAGAGATGTGAGCTGTGATTCAGGTTTCTGGAACCAGATTAATTGTTTCCAGTATCTCTGGTAAATTGCCTCAAATGCAAAGAAGGATTTTTGTTGCTGTTTTAAAATCTCTATCATCGGGCCAATTTTCATCTGTACAGCTAAACATCTTCTCTTTAACAGATCCATTTGATACAAGTACAGGAATAGAGTGTAGAAATCTCAACAGACCTCAGTGGTAAGTATTGAATGCTGTCAAGGAAGGCATTGAATCCATATCTGAAGAATTTTCAGGGGCTGCATTGTTTTTGTATGCTTTGTGTAGATGCATACTGAATTATGAATAATGACAATAGGCACATTTGTTAGTTGTGTCTCATTCAGTGTTATTTCACATATTATTTGGCATACTATTAGCTTTTAACTATATTTTAAAAAAGTTAAATGCAAACACTCTTATAAATCAAAGTATGCATTTATTTTCTGGGATAAATAAATTTAATACACTTTCTCTTTTTCTGTACAGTGACCTTGAAGATGATGATTCTACCGAAGAGGACTCGGACACCTCAGAGGACAATGATGAAGACGAAGCAGAGAATGAAAAATCAAATAGCAGCACAATGTTAAGAATAGCTTCACATAATGATGGAGGACAGGCTGAACCAGAGACATCACAATAAAGAATATTTACTCTGAAGATTATTTTTTGAGAGAGACTTTCAAAAGGTTTTGTAATAACTTCTCTATAGCTATATGGAAAATAAAAAGTGTGTTTTAAAAAATGTGTTATTCCCTTCTATCAACTAAAAATAGCTTTTCGTTACGGGGGAAAGTTTGGGTTATAGGAGAAAAAGGTTCATGGCATAAAGAAGAGTTAGGTTATGCACTTTTACGCACAAAAGTTAATGGAAGATGTCACTTGAAGTTGTGGGTGTAAAAGCACCTCGTTGTCATTATTCCAAAAGAGATACGGGGTGAAATTGTAGGCCACGTTTACATCTGTGTTTGAATATCAACAACTGCCGTTCCTATCAGTGAGATGAAGTTCAGTAGGTTGTAAATGTGGCGAGGGGGGCGGACACAGCGGGACTCTCCTCTGCTGTCCTGCGGTAACATTGTTGTGGAACGACGTCACAGCTCGAAAATGAAGGCGCAGAGGCAGCCATTACTGGAGCTTCTCTAATTATTTTATTCCAAATAAATACTCGTGGAAAACTCCCATGGCAAGAGCTACAAGTCAGCTGGTGAGTGTTACAACTTAACCATTGATAACACTTCGAAGCCGGTGCTGAAAATGTTCAGTGTGGCGGCTGTTTGACAACAAATAGTTAGGTCGGGCCTTCATGTGAAGAGCGGTGCTAGCCGCAAAAGACCGTTTAACGTTACGACTCACTAGCAACGTTAGCTCAACACCTAATGTTCACTACGCTGCTAGGGTTGCTCAACAACTTGCTTGATTTATGGTACTAAGCTAAAGGGGTTATTTTTGAAGGAGTTCCATCAGTCAGTGTGTTTATGGTGCTTTTTATAGCAGGCTTTACCGTTTCCCCTTGGTCAGAAGCCTTATCTGTTAGCTAAACATGTTCGCGCTTTCGAGCTATGCTCCTGCCTGCTAACAAGCTAACATTAGCTTCACTGCGTCCCACCTTTGCTTTGAGGAAAAGTTTTTAATGTTAATGTTGATCAGATTGATTGTCAACCAGCTCGCTAGCACTATTCACACTAATGTAAGCAAACTTGCTCTGGATGAGATCGAGAAATGTTAGATGGCAGCAGATCAAGATTTTGAAGTTACTTATCGGTTACCTGGCTTGCTAGTGTTAGCTAATTGACCGAGTGTTAGCGTTAAGTTTGTAACTCGCTGTCAGTGATGGCCGGCTTTATTTGACAAGGCAAAGGGAGCTAACGATAGCTAGCTAGTTAGAGAGCGAAAAAAGTTCACCCAGGCCCGGTGTTATCTGAGTACTCATGGCCAGGTCGACGTTAACTTTGCTTAGCATTTTCTACTACTCATCATGTGGTTGACCAGTCGTAAGGGATCGGTTGATAGGTTTACGACCCGATTGGCAACCATAAAAGTCAAGTCCGGATCAGGCAGCTAAATGGCCACACCTTGGTTTTGAATGAGAAGGAGCTAGGCCAGCTGAACTTCACTAAGTTTTAAGGTAAACCCAATTTATGACACGTTATAGAATTGCTAGTCAGTTGAAGCAGTAACTTGGCTCGAGCACCAGGTGCGTGAAGGCTCAGCTGGTCGCTCTGTGTTTTCTTTGAGTTAACTTTAATTACTTTGGGCATTTCTCGCCTGCGTTTGTGTGCGTTAGCTGCCATGTCAGTTCCATCATTAATGAACAAATTTGATCTCTACCGCATTTGATAAGGAAGTTAAAACAGTGTCATATAAAAGGCCGAAACTCTGACACAGTATTTCTTACTTTGAACTACTTTTATTGGGTGCGACCACCAGGCACAGCTTGTACAGTGGCTTGTTGTAAGTTCTCTATCAATTCTAGACTTTGCACCTCAAGTGGTCTCACAAGAAATTAAACCCTGAAGTAAAGATATCCTTCAATAGAATGGTTATTATATTTCAAAGGTGGTATATAGTACATTATCTGGTAATGATCAGCACTTCAGGTATGAATATTTTCTGTTATGAAAACTGCAAACTTTGAAGTAGTTAGTTTTTAGTTTTCTGCTTCACCGGAAAATTTAATAACTTATATCAAATAAATCTTTCTAGGCATTATAAATACCCTCAATAGATTTTCACTGTTATCTTTCTCATCTCATCTTATCAGGGTTGTTTTTGAAAATACGAACTATAGTCTTCATAATTGAACAATCTGTTGTTCCTGTGATAATGTTAAAACAATATACACAGCTGAAATGGAGGTTAAACAGCTAAATACAAACTTTTTCAGTAAATGTATAGTTTTTATGTACTGATGTATTGAAAGCAGTTTAAATAGGTATAGTTCTGATCTGTTGTTTCTTTTGTTTATATTGTCAGACATTTGTTGTTGATCAAAGACACAATAAAAAAGATGATTTTTTTTTTGTTTTCAGCCAGAGTTAAAATGCACCAGATTGGCTTTTTGAGCATTTTAAATAATGGTGCAGTTCTCTGTGTTTCCCGTTATAAAGTACTTTCATGTACTTTTTGTATTTTCATTTCAAATAAAGGCTGCATGCTGATGTTTACTTATATATTCCCTCTCTTGTTTCAGTATGATGTTGTGCCCATTCAGCCCAGCGTTGTCATCTGTTCCTGCTCGCATCCATCAATGGTAAGAAACCACCCTGACTCCTGCTCGCCACTTGCTATCCCAGGCGCAAGCAGTAGCCACTGTCCCAGCATGGAGGGATCAGCTGGAGGTCCGAGCCAGGGCTCGGACCTCCGCACACAGACGGCAGTCCAGGCGCCTCAGCCACGCAAGAAGAAGCCAGAGGACTTCAAGTTTGGCAAGATATTGGGAGAGGGCTCCTTCTCCACGGTATGTAGCCTGCATTCCACTCAGCCTTTGAATTAACTAGGTAGATGTTGCTACATGCTAGCATTCTTTTGATTAATGTGCTTGAATGAGTCATCCTCATCTCATATCAGATGAATCAACAAAACAAGCCCTAAGGTCTGGTAAGAGAACAGGTTGCCATGTTATGGTTTTTGTATTTATTTTTTATCCTTAGGTTGTCCTGGCAAGAGAGCAGGTAACAGCAAAAGAATATGCAAGTAAGTATTAATACATGTTTAAGGAACAAAATGTCATGTCTGTTTTTACTACTGTGTCCTACAGTGCTCTTTTCTGTCCCACAGTTAAGATTTTAGAGAAGCGCCATATTATGAAGGAGAACAAAGCCCAGTACGTGAAAAGAGAACGAGATTTGATGTCAAGTCTAGATCACCCCTTCTTCGTCAAGCTGTACTTCACATTTCAAGATGATGAGAAGTTGTGTATCCTTTAACCAGTAATCTTTGCTAAGGCATGTTGTCACCTGCTGTTGCTCTTATGTTTGGAAAACTATTCCTGTTGTAAGGTTTTCTGAAAGAATTGCTCTGTTGTCATTTCATTTTTCCTTAACTAGCCTTTTCTAGATTTTGGTCTCAGCTACGCTAAGAATGGCGAGCTCCTGAAATACATTCGCAAAATAGGTTCATTTGATGAGACCTGTACTAGATTCTACTCGGCTGAAATAGTTTGTGCTCTAGAATACTTACACAATAAGGGGATAATACACAGGTAAGATATCATGCATATTTTATCCATAGTGGCATAAATATAACATAATGTATATATGTACTCTTTTTGTACAATCTTTCTTTCGTATTTTAAACCCTTTTCAGTATTTTCACAAGTTTCTTTTTATTTCAGAGATCTGAAACCAGAAAATATTCTTCTGAGTGAAGAGATGCACATCCAGATAACAGATTTTGGGACAGCAAAACAGTTATCATCAGACAGTAAACAAGGTATTACCACAATCCTAATGTTACCTCTACTTCCACATTGAGTAAAAGGACTATTCCAGTGATATGACCTCGGCATTCACTTCCTGAAAGCACAATTAGGTTTTCCATGCCATCTTACAATTCATTTGCATTTGCAGCAAGAGCAAACTCCTTTGTTGGGACAGCACAGTACGTGTCTCCAGAGCTGCTAACGGAGAAATCAGCCTGCAAGAGGTAACCAGATTTGGCCATAATGACGGCCTTACTCGCTGATTGTTTTTTTTTCTATGTTTATCTAAAAGAAGTGGCATCATATCTGAAAGTTTTTTTGGTTTTTTTTGTCTCCTTCTCTATTTGATGTTAAGCTCTGACCTCTGGGCTTTGGGATGTATTATCTATCAGCTGGTGGCTGGTTTACCACCGTTCAGAGCTGGGTAAGTACTGATTGGTTTGTTACAGCTTAGCTGGTACCAATTGAATCATGCTTCAATAATAGCTGATCTTGAACTACTATTTTCTCAATTAAGTTTACTGCTGTGGGATGTTTCAAGTGAAATATAAGTCCCATTGACCTGGTTATATAAACCAAGTAAAGTAATATTTCCTTACCTCTTTAACTGTCATTTTTTTGTTGTTGTTCTCTTTCTCTTGTGTTTCACCTGTTGCAGAAATGAATACCTAATATTCCAGAAGATAATAAAGCTGGAGTATGAATTCCCAGAGAAATTCTTCCCCAAAGCCATGGATCTTGTTAGACAGCTTTTGGTAGGTCTTCAAGTACCATGATTCATATTTGAACTGTTACTGAATGTTTCAGATACATGTAGGAACAATAATCTGGTGTTTGCACTTTGTGCTTTCCGCATCCACTATCTATGGGGATATTTTCTAGAGAGCAACGAGACTAGTTTGTTTCAGTATAAGTATGTTACATACTACATCACAAGAGTCTCGCTTAAGTTAGGAAAATAAGGAGAAGAGGACGAAGTACATTGGCTGTTCATTTACACTATCTGCATAGGAAGTGGTAGGTGTGAACTACCCCAATGTTGTAGGTGTCAGTGTATTATAAACTGATACGTGTTAAAAAGACAGATATTGAAAGGAGGACAAGGGGTAAACAAAGTTCTTATTTCTGTGGACTTATCGTGTGCTGTGGAGAAACAAAAGTGAAAATGTCCTGAAAAGATATAAAGACTGCGAGGTATGGCCAACATCACCAGGCCAGGCCATATCATTGTAGCAATAATTGTCAGTCACAATACACATAACGCATGATATTTTCTTCTGCTCACCTCATCCTTTTTTTACTCTCCTCAGTCACTGGACCCTTCCAAACGGATTGGGTGTGAAGAGATGGGAGGTTATGACCCTTTGAGGCAGCACCCTTTCTTCGACACCATCTCCTGGGGTGACTTACACACACAGACACCCCCAAAGCTCACCCCCTATCTGCCAGCCATGTCAGAGGATGATGAGGACTGCTACGGAAATGTAAGACACTCTATCATGGTCTAGGTTGCTTTTTTTTTTTTTTTGCCGTTGCATTTTCCAGAAGCCCTGAGCCAAACACAAAAATATTTGGGAAAAATCAGACCTCTCTTATTCTTTATCCCAGTACGATGACCTCCTGAGCCAGTTCAGCAACATGCAGGTGGCCCAGTCCACATCGTCACACTCCCTGTCGCCACATGAATCCACACCCCCACAGAGGTCCAGCAGTAATATTGAGCAGTACATCCATGACTTGGACAATAACTCTTTTGAGCTGGACTTGCAGTTCACTGAAGAGGAGAAGCAGCTACTGCTGGACAAACAGACCACTGGAAACCCCTGGTAAACATCCACCATTTCCATCTAATGATATACGTATGCCTGAGTGTTGCTCAGGGATTAAACTACCATGTCTTTCTCACATCCTCAAATTGCACTTTTAGTTAAACATTAGTATTTTTTTCTGCTTGAAAAATTTGTTGGGGGAAAAAATAGTGAGCTTAATGTAAGAGGTGTCATTAATCAGCTGTTGCTTTTTTTTTACGCAGGCATCAGTTTGTGGACAACAACTTGATTCTAAAAATGGGCCCAGTGGATAAAAGAAAGGTGTGTGGGATTTTCATAAACCTATATTTTAGATTTTGTAGTTTCTGTATATTTCTGACATTTAGACAATGATGTGATTCTTACAGAGTTTCTGACTGGCAGAGGTGTCAAGTTTGAGTCATAATACCAGTAAAACAATGTCTTTTAAAGGTAGAGGGTATGAGGCTTTTGGAGTGAAAGAAAAAGAGTCTCAGAACATCAGGATAAATGTGTCATGCTTATGTTTGTGATGAAGTCGACCTGTTGATTTTGAATCAACAGCAGTGAGCCATTGTGGCAGTTTATGTTGATCCTGGTTGCATCTACTTTACAGTGTAGTATGACATCATCCCTCAGCCAAAGACACAGTAAATTACAAAATGTAAATAAGGTGTGATCCGGTTTTGTTTAGCGCTTCATTTCCATGAGTCCTTACACAAAGGCTGTTACCAGCTTTGATGTAACCACCCTTTACAACTCGAAAGATAAATTTAAATTTAGAAAATTGGCTCTAGTAAATAAGAGCTAGGGTTGTCACAATATTAGAATTTCCAGTTCAATACGATACCAGATGAAAAAAAGGGATATTCATTAACTGTCTTAATACCTCTGCAACAAAAGCTGTTTAGGTTTATTTTTGATTTCAAACCTGTGCAAAGGGATGGAACAGAACAGACCACACTGTTTATAGAAATGAAAGGCAAAATCTGTAAGATTTGTCGTAAAGAATAATGTCTTAAAATTAACGTGTTAATAATCTATCATGATTAGTGTCAGCCATAGTGCTGTAAAGCTCCCTGACTACACTCAGGTCCGAACTAATGGAAAATATCAAAAGACCGGGTAATATCTCTCCACTGTCTGTTATAGACATAAACGCAACATGTGTCCTTATTAGAAGGACCTGAAACATCAGTAGGCAGTGAGTTCGGGGAGTATTGGCTGATTTTAGCTGCAGACAGACTAAATCCAGGACCTTCTTTCTCATACATGTGGAGGTATGGGTGTAGTTATAATTTCTTTAGAGTGTAACCACCATGTAAGAGTAGAAAAAAAGACTTCGCTTTTTAATTTTTATCATGGGTTGACCTTTTCATTTCGCTTAATATCCGTGTCGAACAGGGCCTACTGCTTGTGCTCTGCTTCATTCAGGTTAAAAAAATGAGTGCAGATCTGTTTTCTATTTGCGTAGGTATTTTTCAATAATATTGAACTTCAAAGTATTGGGTATTGTATCATTTGAAAGCTTGTGGTATGGAAAAGTATCCAAACTGTAGAGAGCCTTAGGGACTGGAGACACTTTTCTTAGTCCATGCAGCTAAGAGTGATCAGCTGTAGTGAAGGAAAGCAACATCTCTCTCTCTCTCTCTCTCTCTCTCTCTCTCTCTCTCTCTCTCTCTCTCTCTCTCTCTCTCTCTCTCTCTCTCTCTCTCTCTCTCTCTCTCTCTCTCTCTCTCTCTCTCTCTCTCTCTCTCTCTCTCTCTCTCTCTCAATTAGAAATGATTTTTTAAATTTTCTTCAAATCGAGTTTTCAAAATTACATTTCACATTGACTACTTGCTATAATCGATTATTTTACTATTAAGCAATTGTCTTGTTTATTTAATACATTTTTGCCTTAAGTTCTATTACTATGCAGTTTCCATACTCATTGAAATATTAAAGGGTTAGCTTGTTTTCTTATCAGGCCTAAATAGATATACTTTAAGTACAGTAGACTGGGTAATCTACATTACTTATTCTTTATTATTAGACAAAAATTCGCTCAGGAATATAATATCTGAATGGCCCTTTAATGATGAAGTAGATAGTGGAGAAATATGAAAAATCATTGTGTTTTCCCTCTACACCCTGGCCACCCCTATCTATGATCCCTAATTGTGCTATCCCATTCAAAAAGAAGCCTGGGCATGCCCTTGCATAGCAGCCCAGAGAAAACAGTGGGGCCTGAATTCTGTTTGGCTGTTAAGTTTGCTCAAAAGCAGCAGGAAAGCACCTGCCCACTAGTTTTTGAAGAATGAAAGGAAACAGGAGAACATCAATTTCTATCTCAAAAAGATGATTAGTAAAAAGGTGACTCCACTAATGGCAAGAGGAGAAGAACCAACAGTTAGCTTGAGTGCAATATGTGCAAGCGAATCCACAACACACCAGCACAGGGCTGTTCAGCGTTAGTCTTCAACAAACTGATCAGGATGAAGTCTAAAGGGAATACATGTCACTATGAGCAGCAGGAAGAACATGAGGACTCTGCTGTTGATGCTGGCTTTGCAGATGGAAATAAAACATTGAAACAAAAAATGAATATGTAAGTCTTTGTCTGTCACTAATGTGATATATGATAATATGTGCGCATTACAAAAAAAAAAAAACAGCAAAATGTTTCGACAGCTCCTAGTCCTACCTGCTGACTGAGACGATTCAACAGTTGTGGTTTTTGTAGTTTAATTTTGAAATGGGAGTATTTCATCAATCTAAACTGTGTAAATGAAGTCTTTTCCAATTGTGCTCATTCAGGCCTCTAATGTATACAGTGGGACGTAAAGGGGATTTCCCTGCTGCAGTCAGGAAATTGTCACTGGCGTACCAGCCCCCTCTGTTGGTGAACTAATATCTTGAGCCATGTGGCACTCCATTGCAGGGTCTGTTTGCTCGACGGAGACAGCTGCTTCTCACCGAAGGACCACACCTGTACTATGTAGATCCTGTCAACAAGGTCTTAAAAGGGGAGATTCCTTGGTCCCTAGAACTACGCCCTGAGGCCAAGAACTTCAAAACCTTCTTTGTTCACACGGTACATGGCTGTTTGTTTCTGATGTCCAGCATGCTTTCCTGTAGCTGCTTGTTGATACTTGCCCACTTTTTCAATCTCTTCTCATCAACGGTTTGTTTTTCAACATCCTGTTTTTCTTTGATATTTGCAGCCTAACCGAACATACTATTTGATGGACCCCAGCGGAAATGCTGACAGATGGTGTAAGAAGATCCAGGAAGTGTGGAGAAAGATCTATCAAAGGCACCAAAACCCTGGTCTATAGGAGCATCTTTCCTCCTGTGGCCACTCCTCTTTAGCTCTGAGGCCAATCACTGAGCAGAGTAACACCCTCTTTAGTGCCCTTCATCACCGCAATGTAAACAAACTCTTAGAGACGCTGGCATCTAGACCTTGTTTGTTTTCCTGAGTAGAAACATGGGGAAAATACAACTTTGGATTCAGGGTTGCTTTGCTTGTTCTTTGTGCTCTCTGTGAGGCTTCTATTGCATTTTTTCCATGTATGGATGATAAGACTGCCACCATGCACATCTGCTTTTTGTACATTCAGCAGGAAGGGGAAGAGAAAAGGCAGACTTTTCCTGTAGGGTGACACAAGTTTGGGTACCACCAGGACTGTCTCAAAAGCAAGGACTGGTTTCCTGCTCAAATGATACATAACACAAAAACTAGCTTTTGTGAACCAGAGCCTTTCCTGATATCTCAACTAAACCATATCCTACTCCTACATTGTACGTGCAAGCTGTAGTCAGGTCCCACTTTTAACGCAAATATTCCATAGTTGTAACAGATACCGTAAGCTGATTCAGTCTCACATGTTTACCATACTCAGATCCTCCCTATATTTTGTCACAACCCAAATGCTCCCATGATATAAGAGTTTCTTGGTACTTGCTTACTGCAGTCCAGTTAAAGTGTCGATGTAAGAAAGCAGAGTGAGACATAGGTCTGAATCAGTCTCTGTGTAAGTGTGAGCCTTCCATTGCTGTTACTGAGGAGGTATTGCTAACAGGGGGTGGGTAAACATGCCACTAGCTTGTACTTCCTAATCATAACTTGCTTCTCTTTCCTGCATGGCCAGTTTTGTAGCTCAGCCTTGTCCGCTTTTCTCTCCTAGGGCACTGGAGATATAGTTTATACAAGTTTAAAGGTGGGTATTTTTGACTGCATTGGCAACCATAGCGATTGTTATTGGATGATTTGGCTGTTCTGTACCATTCACTGGCTATTTCGTTGTGGTGTGAATTCTTCGATTTCTTTTTCTGTGGGATAGTCGGCTCATCTTCAGTATGTCCTATTGAAAAAAATCTCATGTGCTGACCACCCCATGCTGAACAGAAAAACCTTCATCCTAAGAGATACATACACATACTATCATTCTCCGAAGCAATCACAGTAAAGCTGTTGTCCCAGGACAAGATGGCAGAACTGCCTCATCGGGCTCATCAGCCTATCTTCTTTTATTTTCATTCTGACGTTTGGCCCAATAGAAATTAAAGCGATTGATTTAACTTGTGCTCTTGTTTTAGCAATATGTATTATCATAAAGCTTTTAATTTTTGTGACATATTACCTTCAGGTCCTTTCCAAAGGTCCTCTTCCTTCAGCTGAGTCTGTGTGTGCAGTGTGTGACTGGAGCATAGGTGAATAGGACCCTCTGGCCCTGGGGCCCGGGGCTCGATGTGGTTGGATGTCAGTTAAAGGATATCTATCTGATCCAAATAACCGATGAAATTGCTGTATCTGTCTATAAAGTTGAGGAAAGCACTAGAGAAGTGTATATCCTCTATTTAGAAAATTTGTTTGAATCAAGTCGATGGCAGTCGGTTACATTGTGTATGAAATACTCTACCTGGCTTGTAACTGACTAGAACTGTGATGTACAGATGATGTATTATTAAAATCTGAAGCAAGTAATGCAATGATATTAGGATACAGTTTTTGTATTTTTATTCTTGTATAAGGTTATTTGATGGCTATTGTTTAGCCTCTAGTTCATTCTGTGTTATTTAAATTCTAATATATGAATCATATTTGGATTGAAGTCATGTTCAGGGGCCATGTTGTGTATGTATTGAGATGTAAAGCCTTTGAATGTGAATAATTATTGTAAACTATAATATTTTACAGCTTTTTTCTTACTATATCATACATTTTCTATTTGCTCAGTGATTTAATCATATTCTGATAATTTAATGAATCTGTTCATTCTCTCTCTGATTATTTGTGCGCTAGGTCAGTAGATGTTGAATGATGAATTTTCCACTTAATGCTTGGTAGTCCAGTAATTAAAGCATGTAGGGATTTAGGCATACAAATACAGTCATGTGTCCTGTCTTCTGTTAACAGCCACAGTCATGACACAGTGAAAGCAGCAGCAGCATTCAGTGGCTATGGCATCTCACATTTTGCAGCGTGTAAATAAAGTATCGGCCCATTATAAGTGTTTTGTGTTGTGAAAATCACTTCTTTACACTTACATGCAAATATGTTGGTTGAATACCAACACTTGCTTATCATTTGACCGATGAACTGCAGAGTTTATTAGAAAATATGAAATACTGAGGAGTGATGACAAGCATAGACGGTCCATGATGGAAAACGTCATTGAAATGACTTTCACATCCTGTCACATTGTCGAGCTTTATGTGTAAAGATCTAATGCTCCGTGAAGAGGCGTGAAGACGAAGCAGGGGAGGACCTCTTTCCACTGGAATAATTTATGCAAGTGTCTGTCAGTGCCGCTGCTGGTGGAGAGGGGCAGTGGGAGTGGCTGAGGCGCTGGCAGTCTGCTTTGCATGAATCGTGGGCTCCAAGTTAGTGGCTGCAGCTTCGACGTTTCCTGTCAGCCCTACACAGAGCCGAGCCGAGCTGAGGCGAGGGCGGAGAAGCGGAGAGGGATGGCAGAGAACAGCTCCGAGACGAGCAGCTCCGTTCACCGGAGATGTCTGGCCCATTCTCCGGCAGAGAAAAGCATTTCATCCGGGGTCGGCGCGGCATCGAAATGGATTCGATTAAATGTCGGGGGCACGTATTTTTTGACAACAAGACAGACGCTGTGTCGAGATCCCAAGTCATTTCTATACAGACTGAGCCAGGCTGACCCCGAGCTCGACTCCGACAAGGTAAACGCTGAGCTAGTCAAGCTAGCTAGTTAGCACTGTAGTTAGGAGCGCAGTTAACTCCGTCTTATATTCAACGGAATTTGCTCTTATTCACTCTGTGTAATATTAGGAGACGAGAACAGTCGTTAAATGTGCTTACTAAATTATTTATTAGGGTCACGTGGTTCGTGAAAACCTTTTATAATTCACAATAACCAAAGCCTACACAGCTTTTTGTGACTAGCTAGCAGTAGCCGGCTAGGCTAGCTAGATTCCGACAGTCACCACATGACATACGATCCTGCTCCTAGCTTCATTGTGAAGCTGTCTTATTTTGTCCAGTATGATAGCATGCTAATGACGTTGACCTACTTTTTTTTATGACCATATCGTTTTTGGAAATAACGTGAGCAAAATCTGTTGACTTTTCCTTTCTCAGAATACTAAGTCAGGGCAGTGTTTAAAACTTTCTCTGTCTCTGTACTTTACATTGCGTTGCATCCAGAGTGTCTAAAATCATACAGGAACACCAACGATGGTCTTTAACCAAACTACAGAGACAAATCGGACCTAGAACTTCACTGTAGATCTCGATACTCTCACTTTTTATAATGATTTTGTTTGGATTTTGTTCCATTTGAGCTACACAGATTAGTGACATGCATTAACTTTGATCAGGCTGTAGCATGATGTATGTATAATCAGCCGGAGCCCTAAATTTCATATTGATGCTCTGAAATAACTTACTTTGTCCATGTATTTTCTCATCTATCAAGTGATTGTAATGCCTGCAAGCGTTAGTGCTATAATTAGTCTACCAAATGGTCTACACATGTAAGACTTTTATTGCTTGATCAATTTGTGTTTTTTTCCCTTCTCCTCTCTTGAGGATGGTCTGTTACTTGGCTGTGTTTGCTCTGCAGTAATCTGCCTCTGTGCTGGTGGTGAGGCTCCCCTAATGAGTACATAAGTCATTGCCAAGTGGGGTGAGGTGCTGCTGACAACCGAGAGCTCTGGATGAGGTCACTCATCTCCGTGAAAGGCCTTGGCGCTCCAGATGCAGGCTGCTTCTTTTCACTCTGTTTGTCCATCTGCCAGTTTTAACAGCAGTGTGCGTGTGTGTGTGTGCTTTAAACGCCTCCAGTACTGTCAAACACAATGCATTATTGTCTGTATATACATAGTGTAATGTGGCCTGCCGTCCATGGTTCATTTTACTGCCCCGCATTATTCATTGTTTCATCTACTTGCACATTTTAATCTTCACCCTTGCCCCCAGTTTTTATGCTAAGCTGAGACGACAGCTCACCTCGTATTTTCATGCAAATAACTTAATCTCTGAATAATCAGCTTGCTTTTTTGTCAGTTTATCCTCCCATGAGCAACGGATCAGTCCATCTCAATCCCTTATCTTAAGTGTGTATCAGACTCATCGCTCTCAGGCCATTAATGTACCTCTCTTCCACAGAGAGTCTGGTTTTAGATGGCTCCTCATAGAAGACAGTTTATTATTAGACAATATTTCGTTCGCAACTGTGACTCAAACTATAAACGCTGATGTTATTTCATCTTTTTTTTTTTCTGCTACTGAGCCGAGAAAGTCTTTTTTTTTTTTCTTTGTTTGTTTTGTTCTGTTTTTGTTTTATTTTCTCGCATCACCCGATTCTGCATGTGAATCTGAAGCCCGACAGAGAAACAGATCAGAGAAGAGCTCTGTTTTTGGGCAAATACAGTATTGTGTTTCCAAGCCAAGGAAATGAGTGGTTGGGTTCTCAGTCACGCAGGCTGACGTGCTTCAGCAGGACTCTTGAGGAGAACTGCATTATTCATGTTGTTGACTGAAGCCTGTTTTGCACACTGGGGAAAGTGCTGTGACGTGCCTGGTCATAAAAGTAGAAAATCTGGTATTTTTGAGCTCCCTTTTTTTAGTTTTATCTCCCAGGTTATCATGCAGCAATCATATAGTGTTAGAGTAACATTTTTTATATTGCTGGGATTGCTAAGCTGAATGAAATTCTGCAAGATCATAAGCAGCTTGTGTTTCTTTGAATCTTATTAAATCAACGAGTGCAGCATATACATCATCTATACACCTGTGATGTCTTTGGCAAACTACTGCTTTCATTCCACTCAGGACTGCTAGACCAGAGATCTTGCCTTCTAACTTTGAGAGCTACATCAATTTTTCAAGGACCCCATCACAAAGGATTCTTATTCCTTCAACATCTCATTCTATTCATATTTATATCCATTTGCTGCCTGAAGATCTCTCTGCGGCATGTGTGAGAGAAATATGGCCGCCTTTTAATGCCAGATTCAGGTATTACGTCATGCCTGAGCACACTGTGGGAGGCAACGTAAATATTTAACAGTGATATCTTGGCTTCCTCCTGCTCTGTCTTCGCTAAGAAAGTGCTTAACAGGACACTGCAGAGTGCTACTTGCTAAAAAGGTGGAACTCAAGACTGATCTTGTACGACTTCTCAGTCATTGAGGCAAATTTATCCCTAAAACACCTCCAAATGAGACTTACATTTCTTGTAAATTGGGATGGTTTGAGCAACTTTCATGCTGTACTAAACTTCAGTGAAACCGATCATTTCACCTCATGGTCCTTTTCTGTAGCAACATTGTCAATTCTGTCTAGGGAAATCTCTCAAGTTGCAGTGATTTTTTTTTTTTCTGCTTTGCCAGCTTAGCCATGTATCTACTTGACTGCCTCTCACCATGACAGCAAAGCTTTTAGGGGCCTTTCACAAAGAGCTGTTCATTTTGTGCCTTGAAGGACTCCTCCCTTTTGAAATTGTCCTGTGAAAAAGCACGGACCGTGTTTGCCTTGCAGAGTTGCAAATGGTAGGAAGTTCCTCTCAGCCTCTGTGGCAGGTCAAACAAGCATTGAAATATCAGTATTAAACATCTTGAAATATGAGAAAGCCTTCTATCATACAGCCCTGATGTGATGTGTGTATTATTTAAAAGATGAAGGCCTATTTTACTATGCCATTACAGCTTGTACTCCAGAGGGACTCCAGGCTCCTGCTCTACAAGGATCAGACTTCCACTTGGCTAAGTAGGAAGAGTCATGTGACTTAGAAGATCCACTGCAACATCTTTTGAGTACTCCTGCAGTGGGCTTGTACTGCTCTGCTGCAGTGATGGCCAAGCACAATTTGATAAATCTTTCATTCCTTTTTATTCTTGGCCTAACAAAATTGGACTCTGCGTGATAGTGTTGCTTGTGCTAAGTCATGCTGTTGCTGTGTTTTGTTTCCCTTTCTTTTGATAATAACAGGCAGCCATCTGGTGTATTATTTACACATCCATATGATATTTGCAGGAAATGTCCCCACACCTGTCTGGCTTTATTCTGTGAATTGTTGCATGCAGAGTTTTTGCACCTATTGTCGTGCTCTAAAGCAAACATGCAGCAGCATGCTAATTTCATTGAACAGAGCACTAACTTTCAGTGTCGATGTTACTGCAAAAAGCCTTATTATTATATTAGACACCATGTTGTTGAAGGGCGGGTCACCATGGTATTTCCTGCAGGAGGATATGTTTTGTGTGTACAAGAAGAATGATAAGGTCAAAACTATACACTTCCCTCTGCTGTGAAGCCCACCCTCTAATTGGCTTTTTGTTTACTGTGAATTTAAGTCTTTTTTTTTTCTTTTTTTTTTTAGCTTGAAACCAGTCTCAGTTAGGCCTATTTAGACTCACTCCTTGATATTGTATGTGTAGAGCCTTTGCCATGTCAATATTTTTACGAGGCCAAACCACAAACACAAAGTAGTATGCCCAACCTGCAAAGCACTGACCTATTTCTGGTGGTTATTGTAGGCGGTGTTGACACATTGTTGATATCATCTGTTCTCGCGCTGTGCCTTGGTAGAGCTTATCATATTTGTTTAATTAATAAAATCTGATTAGGTGTGAATGGAGATTTGGAGATTGTTTAGATAATTCTATATAGTTTTCTGTCTTGTCTACATAAAAGAAGCTACTCCTCTGTCCCCTCCCCTCTGTTTGTTGCCCACTGCTCCCCAGCCTGGGCCCCCAGAGACCCAACCCTTTGTTTTTAATTAAAGACATTGTCCCTGTTGTGTGAGCCAGCCCATATTAGAGCCCCATTATTCATTTTATCTCTTTACTGGGTCACTGTCACCCCAAGTCTCTGGCCTGTAAATGCATTTTGTACTGAAGGGATGACCAGCAGGCTTGTCGGTGCAGCACAGCAACAGGTCAGGAAGCAGAAAGTTTGTTCAAGCGTAGAGTGGCCATGTGGCGGTTTTGAGAGTTATTTAAGCTAGTACACAAACATTCATTAGCATCAGATGTTTCATCATCTCAAGCACAGAGGAATCACTTGTACAAACCATACCTTTTTTTCAGGCACAAAGTAGATGTATCTCTGCCTAGAATGTGACAGATTCTTGTCATAGCAGCAACTAAACTCTCGTCTCATGAAGCCATTGCTCAAGGATAGCACACAAAAAGCATTTAATTGACCTTTTGTGAGAGCAGACCTATTGACTTATCACACAGTTGTAAGCTGTGAAAGTAGTCAAAGCTGGAAAGGAGCCATCATTGTGTTTTACCCCAAGCCCTGCTGTTCCTGCTGCGACAAGTCAAAATTTCTCCAGCGAAAAATGTCTACAGATCTGATAGATTTGAAGTAAAATTAGAAACGCTAGTCCTGTGATGCTGAAAAGCTGTCACAGGTTTACGGAGAACCAAACAATATGAAAAGTCCAAGAGACAGATTAACACTGAAAGAAATAAGTGATCCTCAGCAATCATGGTAGGTGTTCATGTGAAGATAATAGCTGACCGTGAGACACTTGACAGGTATAAAGAAAACATAAGTGAGCAGTCATCAAAATCGTCAACAGTCACTTTTATATTCTTTACTCTCTGGTAGGGAAGGTGTTTTGTTAAATGGTTACCATTTAATATGTGGATACATGCAAAAGTAAAGTCAGTAGCAGTTTTTTTTTTTTTTAAGGAACAGTCAAAACTTGAAGTTCAACATCAAAGTCAACTATAAAGCACTGTGTGTTTGAATGCAGTGACTTGAGATGTCTGTTTCCTCCGTACTGGCCCACCTGTGCTTGTGCTTAGACTCCTCTGACTATGGAAGTGTAAGGAACTGACACAGAGCGACGGAACCAGAATAGAGCTCCACTGGGCTGCAGTGGGATATTTTTTGTTTTGGAAAGGAGGTCGGCTACCCAGAAGGGTTTAGAGATTCATTAGAAAAGAAAATGAACTGGGACCTTCTCTCATTATCTGAAAGATTAATGGGTTTTGAGGTGAGTCCTTCTCTGGAAAACCACCCTGCACTCGTCCTTCTTGGTAGACTTGGCACTGTATGTGAGTGTTGGGTCACGAGCTGGACTATACGACGACATCACTGTGTTCTTAAGTAAATCATAAAGAAGTTGCTTGGACCGGCGATGCTGCTAATTTGTTCCTGAAGCCATAAACTCGCCTGATGCAAAGTCAAACATCCTGAAGCATTTGAGGATTAGCCATAAATTTGCTTAAGGCCTCTCCTCTGCGCGGAGCATTTTTTCCTAAATGTCATGCATGTTTGACTCACTAAATGTCACATCGTGTTAGACAACTTAAAGCAGGAAAGCGGTGTGAGGTGCTGGAGTTGGACAGCTTTTCAAACTCACTTCCACATAATACGTACGACCAACCAGACAGAGCTAATTGTTGGTTGTAAGCCAAGGTGCTTTCTCTCTTGGCGGCCTCAGTGGATTCAGCCTCATGTTCCAAATCTTTTTATGTTCTGCTCTAATTGTTTCAGCCGCCTTGTCCCCCCGCGAGATAAAAGCAGTCTAATCACAGTACTTATAGAAATAGGGGAATACCCAGTGGTTGTGAAGGAATTGGGATCAAACCCAAGGCCTTTGGGAGTAGTGGAGTGATATCCCAAAAGCCACTGTGTAACTGTGTGTGTCTGTGTGGGTCACTTTGGCACATGTCTCTTCAACACCTGTGGAGATTATCAGCACATAAGCTGACCTTGTCATTCCCCATCCCTTGAGTTTGATTCACTCATGCGTTATTCACTCCCATAGATTATGCTACAGTTCAGATATGGCCTACAGATGTCTCCTCCTTCTGTTTTTAAAAGAAAAAAACATAATATCTACTTTATTCAGATCCAATGATTTATGATACTTTTGGCTCTGTGCATTTTACTAGGTTTATGTTCCAAAGCAAGTAACATTATGGCATTTTAATGGAAATTAAACGATCAACATTGATGAAAATTTTTCAAACCCAGCTGAACACAAGATCAGAGATAACAGCTAATCATGGCAGGAGGATGGCTGCTCTACAGCTCTGACACAACATCGGTGGTGTTAGAGTGGTGTATTTCCCAAAAATTTGACTGTTGAATTTTAATGTTATTCCATGAACTTCATCCATCCTAAGCCTAATTTTTTTTTTTTTTTTAACTCTCCAGGATGAAACTGGTGCCTATCTCATCGACAGAGACCCCACATACTTTGGGCCAGTGCTGAACTACTTGAGGCACGGCAAACTGGTGCTCAACAGAGACTTGGCCGAGGAGGGTGAGCAATCTTTAAGAGATGTTCTTCAAAATAATACATCTTTCCCTGTAACACAAAAGAACATGTGACAATTGTGTTGATTTTCACTTTGTTATTGTTGATAAAGTACGCGGCCCGGGAGGTGACATGAACTTTTATGTTTTTTAATTCGCACATAAGAATTAGTATCTCACACTTAATGTTTTTAATATACTCTCTGTCCATGACACTGTCCTTCTCTCACAAATAAGGCCTGCAGAGGATTATTTACAAAAACGCATGCGCAAGATACAAGTGTGAGATACTAAATTATATGTGCGAATTAAAAAAAATTAAAGTTCATGTCACCTCCGGAGCTTCGTAATAAACTGTTGAGAAAAGCAAATATTTAAATGTAAATTATTAACGTTCGTTTAGTTTGGACCAAAAAAATGTCCATTATAAAAGTGAACGGTTTTGAATATCCTTTTTTTGTTTCACAACGAGATCTTATCCAGGAAGACAGTAGCAGGACAAGTCCACTAAAAGCTGAATTGCTAAATGTTTCAGGAGTGTTAGAGGAAGCTGAATTCTACAACATCACATCATTAATAAAGCTCATCAAGGACAAGATCAGGGAGCGTGACTGCAAAACATCACAGGTATGTCAAGTTGCAGCTGCGTAGATTTCTCTATCCAGATGACATGCCCTTTTAAACTCTCTATTATGTCTCCTGTCCCCTCTCGTTTCTGGCCTGTGCATAACTGTCCTCACAGGTCCCGGTGAAGCACGTGTACCGGGTGCTGCAGTGCCAGGAGGAGGAGCTGACACAGATGGTGTCCACCATGTCTGATGGATGGAAGTTCGAACAGGTAAATCTCTGCCTGCTGGGTCAGCGCAGCAATCCTCCTTTCATGTGCTTCACCCACCCCGCTATGCTCACATTGACCCAGAAAGTCCAATCCTCAATATTGGAAATGGCTCAAAAGCCAGACAGCAAATCACATCTTTCTCAATGTCCGCATACATGATCCGGGCATCCCTTCTGTGCTCTTATTGGTTGTTGCAGCTTGTCAGTATAGGTTACGGGCGGGCCCACCAGTCAGAGTTTCTGCTGATTGTGTCAAGGGAGGTGAAGGGAGAGGAGTCTGCTTTGCCAAACAACAGCGGAGAGGTGTGTCCCACAAATTTCTGTCCACGGGCTGGTCACTGCATGGTCCCCATGTTGTCCATACACACCCCGTTGGCCATTGTTTGTCCCAAGTAGACACATAGCTGTTGGTCATTTGAGTTGATTCTTTTCAATGTTCATTTGTACTGCCTGCTCACCAGTGGGGCTTAGAAAACATGACACCTTCTTTTCTTGTCTGTGATTTGATTTCATTATGCTATTTTTCCATTTTAACTGCCTTCACAGTTGGAGAGCTTTTGTCTAAAGCCGTTTGTGTTTCTTGCCTTGATGAAGCCACTTTGAGAGGCTGCGCTGTGAGATAATATTGGGCTTTTAGAAGGGAAAAATGTTGTTCTATCTCCCTAATGTATGTTGAATTTAAATACTTCAAGGTTACATGGAGAGCTTGGGTTTGGCTGGAACTGCCATAAGAAATGTTTCCCTGGTGAGTTCACATGTTTGTGTGGAGGTAGTGTATGTTTTCTGCGTATGTGAATCTTCCTAAAAGGAGGATTGCTGTTTCAGCTCCTATTAGAGCTGAAATCTTGCTAATCTCCTTACAAAGGTCAGATGGGAAACTCCTTGAAACACTCCTTATGCAAAGTCTAAAGCTCAGGCTGCAGCCCAGGAGAGCCTTTACAGGATATGAGAGTCTTAAAGACTCCACAAACACAGACAACATATTGATGTGTAGTTTATTCTCTCTGAGGTCTCTGAATCTTGTCGCTGGTTGAGTTTTTTTTATAGTGCGGGTCCATTGTAACTAGTGGAGACAGTTTGGTCTTTACACTGCGTTATTGTAAGAGTGATCGCTTCACAACAACAAGTCTCCAGCAGCAGCAGCTAATGAGGGGCTGCATGTCTGAACATGCACACCTGAGTACAGACGGTTTACATGTAGCCTGCAGTGTACACACACTTAATATTCAACAGGAAAAGCAGTTTTTCAGGAACAGGAGTTGCTCTGTTTGGAGTGCACACATGTAGTTTGTACAGACTGCACAGATGCCGTCCCTAAATTCCTTTGCCTGTGTCCCTTTTTTGCCTTTTAAACACAGTGGAACTACAGAAGTTAGAAGATTATTTGAGAGTTAGGAAGATACTGTGTGAGGGGATTATCTTGAACCAGTTCCTGGTGATTTAGTCGGTGCGTGAAAGAAAAGTCATTCCCTGCATATGCCATCTGCGCCTTCATCAAATCAGATATGTAACCAAGCAGAGCCGGTGCTGGTCGATGGGAATCGTCCATATTATTTGTCTTGTTGGAGATTTATTATTGAATTCACTTGATTCACCAATTGAAGTGAAGCTGTTCACATTATACAGACCTGATCCTTTCAGGTCAAACCCACCATTTCCCTCATTGATTTTCTACCAGCATGTTTGCTTCATGTGATCGAGTCTCCCTGCACATGTGTTGCAGGATCTACCTCCTGATTATCTCTGTCTGTAGCACCTTCGTTGAGTTGTCTTATCTTTGGACCATGAGTTATTTTATCTCTGTGTCATTTCCTTGTCTGCCCTTTTATTTATTTTTGGATTTCAGCGCTGGCATGTCTGCAGGTCCTTAAAGAACTTGTCACAGTTTGATAAAACCTGAAATTATCATTTTTACAACTTTGGAAGCCTTCCAACTCTTCTTTTTAAGTAAGCTGAGTAAAAAATCACATCCGGGGGTTGAATCTTAGGAACAATACAAATCAAGCTGAGATTATCCCTTATTGTTTAGTGCGTCTGTCTAATGAAGGCGTAACGATGCAATATTATGCAAAGAATGTCTGATCAGTGACCTTTCCCCATTGTGTCAAAAATGTGACTGAAGACTCCTGGAGGACTCTTGAATTGAAGTTACAGGAACCTGTAGACTCTGTGCTCTGTGATTATGAGTCAGTCTCTTTTACATTGTTCCTATGTATCCCTCCCTGTGTTTTCCCACCATGAGTAACCCAGTCCCCACCTCTCCTCCATCAGTCTAAGGCTAAACTCTTCCTCTGTGTGTCTCTCCAGCTGGTCAGCATAGGCTCCTCTTACAACTACGGAAACGAAGACCAAGCTGAGTTCCTGTGTGTAGTCTCCAAGGAGCTGCACAATCAATCATACGGGACAAACAGTGAGCCCAGTGAGAAGGCTAAGGTGAGTGTGAGTGTGTGCATGTGCGTGTATGTGTGTGTAATGCAAAGAGAGAGAGAGAGAGGCCCACTGCAAATCCATCCATGGCAAACATATGTGAATGACAGCCTGTGCTGGATGTTTTTAAACGCATCACATTTATTTATGAACACGCCACCAGGGGACCGAAAAGCACCTCTGGTTTATTGATGAGACGGCTCTCAGAAGAACACTGTGAATATTCAGCCTGCCTTCAAAAACACGTGCGGTCAGAGAAAAAGAAGATAAAAATACTCAAGCACACATTTTTCTAACAGAGCAAACTCGGCGTGTATACTGATGTTAGATTTAAGCCGAATGAACTGAGCAGTGATCCCTGATAGTAATATTACAAGAGCGCAGGTTTGCAGATTAGCGGTACTATAGGAGAGGTCTGTCATTTTTCTCAAGGGAAGCAAGAACCCCCCCCACCCCAGAGGACTTCAGACTCTATCAGCCGCACATGAAGAAGCTCACTGTTACACTTCACTGTGTATGAAGCTACAAGTGCGTCTTTAAAGAAAATGTAGATAGAATTTATAAACTTTGCTGCACATGTTTCCAAGAGCACAAAATCCAAACAAGGTCCTCAAGTCTGACTGTTTCCGTATTTTACTATGCAAAGAATCAAGAAACAGAAGGTTTGTAAATGTGCCCTTGGATACCATTTCTTCTCCTTTTCTGTTGACGTTTTGCACCTTTTAATTTTAAATGTAGCTGTTGTGTGACTCCTCCATAAACATTAAATCCTCTTGATTTTTCTCCTTGTTCTCCTTCCACCTCCATTCATTTCCGTCATTTTACACCGTGCCTTTTTCTTGTCTTCTTCTGTGCTGTCTGCATGCCGCATGTTGCTCAGAGCGAGGACGAAGAGACGGATTATGAAATGAATGACTCTGATTAGGGTTGAGCACTTATGACTCACTGGTGAGAGCTCAAGTGCTCGTAGTCCCCTCCAGCACACCTCCTCAGTCTGACCCTCACCTCCTTCTGCATACCCACTCGGCGCAGTTCACGCTACTGACAAATTTTCTTCTCATCTTTTCACAAATCAGAGTCCAATCCAAAAACCAGAGGTGTCCTAATGAGAGAGCGCCAGCCCCTCTGTGCAGACCAAGTTTCTACTATTTGTGGGAAGAGTCACATTTGTTTCAGTAGTGTGAACAAGACCCTTGTAATAACTGTCACGCTCACAGCTTTGGTTATGTGAGGGCTCGCTGATTCATCAGCTGCTGCACTTTGACTCATTGTTTCTCATTCAATGACATTTAAAAAGGGGGGGGGGGGGGTTACTATGCCGGCTTTGTAGGCTTCACTGTCAAATGCAATAGCTGTAGTGTTGCTGTGACATCATTTTATGTTTTAAAGTATTATCTCATAAGTATTTTGCCAAATTGATGAGTACAAAGGCCATACACAGACATTGTAGAGATTACCAGTTGTTTTCTCAAGATCCCGACTCGTTTTCTGGTAATCTTGGGATAACAAAGCTGGGTTTTCCCGTAATAATGGAGGAATTTATCTCATTAGCCAGAAACCCAAACTAAATATTTATTGAGATATTTGGTAATGGATCCCCACAGCAGATGCGTGCAATGCATCATCATTTAAATTTTTCCTGAAATGAAGATTTAGGGTGCAGCGCTAACTTTCTGCAGCGTGTCTTCTGGTACAAAGGTTGAACTCACCTGACAAGCTTCCCGAGCTCACCCTGGCTCTGCATTGTCCCTGACAGCGCTTTATTTTCCTCACTTACGCAAGCATTCCTGCCCCTTTGCACCCCTCCTCAGTGTTTTTTGATATAGCCAGCTTGTAGAGTAGACGCGCAAGTGGTCTTTGGAGAAGGACAATCCACTGTGGTAGGAACAAGTGCTTCTATAAGAAAGGCTATAAAAGTTATTAAGTGGCCATTAACAAGTGTAAGAGGCAGGATGTCTGACAATTCTTCATGGTTTTTTGTTTTTTTTGATTCTTTCTTATTTTTCTCTGCAGATCCTTCAGGAAAGGGGCTCCCGGATGTGAAGTGGACTCAGTATTATGAGCTCCAGGTGTTATGATGCAAACATATCATCTTTGTGGAAGAGCGTTTGGCACAATGGAGATTTAAAGGGAGGGGTGTGCATTTCTTTAGTGTTTTCCCTCCATTTTGGTTTTTATTTCTCAATGTAAATAAGTATGTTTACTGACAATTTGTGCCTGTACATTTAAACTGGACCTTTGTTTTTTAATTAGTGGCAAGTTTTGTTTTTCTAATTGAAAGTAAGGAATTGCAATCTGCATATGTTTTATGGTATAAATTATGGCCGAGATCATTTAAGGCCAATGATTCACTCAGGGTCATCTGTTGTGATAATTCTTATATCCTCCAACTCAAGGGTCTGGAAAGGGATCAGTAGGGTCTGTAAAACTCAAAGTATCATACTTATAATCATCATTTAGAGATGCTAAGAAGGGAATAGTGCTTTTATTTGGCACATATTAAAGAGTAAATCTATTCAGTGTGAAATTGACCCCAATAACAAATTAGATTAAAATACTTCCCCAAAGATTTGAAACAGTTATTCTGAGATTTGTGATCATGAGGATCCAAGCGTTTTAAAACACATTTCAGATGATTCAAAGTGTTGATCACATTCTCAGACAAGGGTTAAAACTTGGTCAACTCAACTTTCTTATTCCTTGCTGTAGGTAAAGGGTTTCTTTGGGTGACATGAAAAAGTCCTTATAAACGAGAATACCAGTTTTAATGCTCTGATTCTAGAAACAGCAGATACCTGCATAATATGGAAATGTTAGGATCTAAACGCTATGATTGCTTTCTTGGCTTTGAGAAATAGACATGTTGTCAGTGTAGCTGCTTCTGGCACCATGTACTCTTATCTTGCAACCTTAGTAACAACGTTGCCCACAAATATGACCTGTGTGTGCTGTGGGAGCAAGTACTTATCATACTTTTTTAAGAAAGTCCACGTGTCTTGTTTTATAAACATGAGACGTTTAAGTATTGGACAAAAGTTTAACTGCATTCGTGATGTTTAAAGTAAGATTTCTGCTGCCTCGACAACTGAAACTTTTTATTAGCTGAGTGGAGTAAAATTGTTCTTTCTAAATGTTAAGTGCAAGTTCATATCGAGTTAAATCTGTCAGACATTTTTATCTCTAATTTTAGTTCCTCATGCTCATAAGTCTAAAATTAACTGCCAAAATAGTCACAGGTGTTTTCAAATGTGAATTCTGGTTTACAGTGACTTTTATTTTTTAAACACCAGTGTCCTCCAATGACTTCCTGTTTCCTGCCTGGAAAAACATCCACTGGACAGTGGTGTCTTTATATTTTTTTGTAACTCACTGTCTTCTGAGTTGTCCTTAACTATTGTATTTTGTATGTTTTGAGGGAATATTTGTTTGATTTGGATCTCTTTCTTTTAGGGGAAGTATTTGTGGTGGGCGAGGTTTGGGGACTGGAGATGTTTGAAGAGTTTGAAGGCAGGTGTGAAGGACTTTCTGTTCATATCAAGAGGAGGTTTTGTTTTGATGTAAATAATCCAAATTCAATATTAATATTTAACTCTTAAAGACAAACTGCACGTTTTGTACACTGTATAGATAAACCCAACTTCAGGAGGAAGTTGTGTATACTGGATCTTTAAAAAGCGAGAAAACCTTGACAATGTTCACTTTGCATCGTTTGTACAGAGATATCCAAGTGAGGTCTGGAACAGCTGATGCTGCGTTTGGTGTCTTTCACTAACAAACATGCCTGGAACATGTTTTGATAACCAATAACAAAGCTACACTTGGCTGGCTATGAAGTTGACTGTTACATTTAAGAAAAAAACAAATGTATTTTTCCTGCATTGTGATAGATTCTAAGCATTTTTGAATTGTGTAGATTTCGTACACAGCATTACAAGCACTACAGTGAGAAAACAACACTGTGCACATTGCTTATAAGCCTGTAATGTTGTTGATGTAAATACTGCATTTTAGGACACTTTTTTTATAGAAAGTTGTTTTCAGGTTTGATGTGTGGTTTTTGATAGGTTGGATATTTCACTCTCAAATAATCATTTAGTGTTGCCTTTTTTCCCAATGACCAAAATCCAATGTCTTATGTGTATTGTACACATTAAACTTAGTGTCAGGGACAAGTAAACTTTTCTTAATGCTGGCACACTTTGTACATACAGACTTGTTAATGACACACAAACCTCCATTTACTCACATGTACACGTATACACTTGACTAAAACAATTTTTATATCGTTGGAGAAACAAGTATGGATGCATGTTTTGATAAAAATCTACACATATGTACACACAAACACACACAAGGGCTTTTAAAGTGCAAAAGTTTGACATCTGCAAACAGGTTCAATCAAGGTAGACTGGATTTCCTGCCAGAAATAGGCTATGTTTACATTTGCTATAGTATTCTGAAGCCTTCCAATACGTACTGTCTTGCACTCCCTCACACACATTTGAAACATTGGTCTGACTTGTGTGAACGCACTGATTGCAACTAGCACTCTCCACTCCTAATGAACTGATATTCACACAGACATACTGACTGATTTATATATTTTAAAAAAAAAGAGGAAACTCCATCCACTTCTGACAGCTTGTGCTTGAGCGTTGTAGACAATCTCGCTTTCTGCCCTCTCACTTTGAACAGAGTGAAACTTAATCTGCGTTTGCTCAGAATAAAGGTTAATTTAGGGGTCTTTGAAGACTTTATTTCCTACGATGGGGTGTAAAGTGTTTTTGTGCTTTGATTTGCTTGATTCAGTTGTACCTTAATTTGATACTCTGGTCTGAGGTGTTGAACCCTTCCACTATGGCAACTAATACCCTTAAACAGGTTATCTAGTTGAGCATTTGGCATCGATAATCATTTTATGTAACAGACAAACTTATCAAATCTGTAGCCTGATACTTATAAGTGCCCAGTTTGTTTTGCATTTAATTCATAACCCACAGACCACTGTATTGCATGATTGAAGATGATTTCACTTATAATCGGAGGGAATTAATGTGTCATTTTTCCTCAGTCTAGCAACTACATCAATGAATAAGGTTCTCATATCACTATATAGATCACATCTATATGATCTTATGCAATGTTCAAATTATACAATTTAAGTATGCGGTTGAGGGGATGGATCTGTATGGTCTTGCATAAGGTTAATCCAATAAAAATGTTGTCATTGATGTGTGGATTTTTTTTTCTCGTCTCGATGTCTGGATTGTTACACAAACAACGTTTTATACACTTATATTCCGGTACAGCTATGTCTTTTGAACTAGGGAAGTATAGTGACTGTCTAATCTAGTTTGTTTGGATACATAGTGACCTCTTGTGTCACTTTGTTAAATTGCAACTACACGGCATAGTTGCCTAAAAATATGCCTGTCTAAATGTTGACAATATATGTTTCTTACAATTTATTTATGAAGTATTAGACCTAAATGTGAGCGTAAATATTGGCCCTAATGACAAGCCACTACAGAGGGGGTTAACATAAACTATGTTCCAATAAATGTTTATTTTTTTCAAACATTATCGTCAGGTTTAATGGTGGGCAGTCTGGACCAAGATGTTACACAAAACGAAACAGATATCTGCGCTGAAAGGCGGTGTCGCTTTAAGACCCCATACGAAATGGGACGATTCTGTCAATTTCAGTTTATTTTGTTGTAAAAAGTATAAGGAGGAATATAACTGCTTATCTCTAATTTGTTGGTAAAGTCTCTCCTTTTTGTTTTCAAAATAATAATGGTAATGGTACGTGATACGTGATACGTACGTGAAAGCACAACCACCACCAAGCAAAGATCGATATTCTTTAACATTTTAAAATTAGTCACCATCTATCGTGTGATATAAATGGGCTTTGTGGCTTAGTGGATATGTATTCTAACAAAGAAACGGCATTGTTTACTGAGGATATTGTTAACAGTGTCAAAGATTACGGTAAACTCAAACCTTGCAAAGACGTGCGTTCAGCCGCCGTTGAAGAGGTTATTTAAACAAAGCCGGAAGTAAACGTCGGACACCTCTTTGGTTACACTGTTTCTGTGTCTGGCTTGAGTCGGAGCGGGTGGTTTTTCAGGAGGGAAACTTTGCAAGGTTTAACAGGATTTGAGCACGATTATAACGATTCGTCTAATTACAAGAGCCAGTGCAGCCATACTGAGAGGTAGGAGCAGACTTTGATCAAATAGATTGTTCGATTTGTCGTGTATCATGATATTTTACCCGCTTCAGTTTGCGCCATTTTCGCTACTTTGGCACTGCACAAATGTGCGCCTTTTAGCTCTGGCGTTCTTTGTCCCTGTTGTTTAATGTATTAAGATATGTTTGTTTTCAGAAAGAAACGTATCATTGTAGTTTGTTATCTCAAGGCACACATTATAAATCGGTAGAAGAAAAGAAACGGGCTTGCGTGTCATCCAAAATTGTGTTCAAATCAAGCGCAATTGCGCATTTTTGTGCTGCATCAGGCCGTGTCAGACGCTAACAGCGCCAGCGCCTCTCCGACTAAAACACGATTCTGGCGCACATGAGTTAGCTGACATGCTAACCGGTTAGCCTCACTCAAGCTTTGATTGTTGGCATGTGAACACCGACGAGATGGGAGATTTCTACTGACGTGAAACAAATATCCCCCCATGTTTCGGACCCCTGAAGTTTATCCTCAGATCGAGTCAAAAAAAGAGAGGTAGAGGTGTGTGCATGGACAGGTAACGCTACCGGCTAACTTGGCTAACATCATGTAGTGGACCAGGCATGTTTGGTTTAAAGTCCACTTAAAATACACTGCTGGGGAGTGTGATCACTTTCTAACATCGTGATCGAAGTTTGTGTTGATTTTTACAGTGCAACATCTCCAATAACAACAACCCAGACGTGTTAAAGTTGGCAAATATTGAGAGATGAAACATGAAGTTACTGCGACACTTTCATGTTTCTTTGCTTTATCCTCATTGTCCTGTACATGGTTGCCATAGAGATCGTGAATTACAGAAAGAAAGTTATAATTAAAATTTTAATTAGTTCCATGTGTTATTGATAGGAAACGTGCGCGCGCGTGCATGTGCATGCTTATAATTTAGCCTCTACAGCCCAAAGCTTTAAGTCATTTAGGTTCATTATGTCAGGTTTTAAACTTAAAACTTAAGCAATATTAGTGCTGATGATTATGTGGGATACGTTCAAGAAAACCTATAAAACTATTTAAATAACAATTTTAATTTATAAATAACTCAAAGTGAGTATGTTTTCCACGAATATGGAAAAGCATGTTGATTGTCAAGTCCACTTTTTTTAAGAACTATTTTTGTGAGCTTTGAGTCACAAACTCAATTGAATTATTGCCATTGGAGATAAAATAAAGTTATTCTTAACAGCTAAAATCTCATATAATGGGCAAAAAAAATGCCAAAACAGTCTCATAAACTGTCCAATTCTTACAAGTATTTCAGTTTTAGTTGTACAAATCATCAAACCTGATCTCCTGACTTGGGATATTTACCGTATGGATGATCAGATCTACTCCCAATGTTAGCTCAAAAAACAGCATATAATGGAAATAAGATCAACACAAATTTGCGAGTCACCTCCACAAAGTTGGAGGCTTTGTCCTGCTGATGTCAGGTTTGGTGTAAAATCATTGATTTGGATTCTTTTGATTGCAGGAGTCCACAAATCATGTCAGGGATTGCATTGAGCCGGCTTGCTCAGGAGCGCAAGGCATGGCGGAAGGACCATCCTTTTGTAAGAAAGATCCACATGTGCTTTCTTGACCATGATTGTCCATTTGAGTTTTCATTATGGATTTACAATACCTACATATTTGTCCAAACTGTTTATTTTTCAGGGATTTGTTGCTGTACCAACAAAAAACCCAGATGGAACCTTGAATCTCATGAATTGGGAATGTGCTATTCCTGGCAAAAAGGGGGTAATGTATTTCATAATATTTTTGCATGATATGCATAATATGTTTTACTCAAAACAGAACTAATTCCATATTGAAGTAAAATTTCTGTGGTGCACTTCCTGTTGATGCTAGCATAGACAGCAAATATAACTATGTGTGGATCTAGATTACAGGAACTGAAACGGTTGTGAGAACTTGATCATCTTAGGAAGCAGTTATACAATGAAATCTGCCAGTAAAGTCTTTTTGGTGAAAACCTGTGAGGATATGACATGGATATCTCTTAAAAGTCTAATCTTATGTGTGCATGTCTCCTCAGACTCCGTGGGAAGGAGGCCTGTTTAAACTGCGCATGTTGTTCAAGGATGATTATCCTTCATCACCACCGAAATGTAAGTTTCAGTGTCAGACCTGCATTAATGGTCCCGCGATCACTTCATACATGTTATCCTTAAGCACGTGCTTGTAGAGCTCTTTTTATATATTTTAGTTAGTAGAGAGATGGTTCACTCAACAGCAACAACTACAAATAGTTGCATCACATGCACCCCACAGTGTGTATCTTTGCATGTGCAGGTATCATATTTTAAGATGACAGTTAGAAAAGCAACTGTTAGTGTTACTCGATTGCTCAATAACAATCTCTGAGTTAGTAAAGCTTGCAGGTTTGGCACATGACCAAACAAAACTACCTGTCATCGTTCTTCCTTTCAATCAAAAGTCCCTAATGGTTTATTGAAGAAAATACCGATCAAGCCAAAGCTAACTGCAGCAAAATAGTGTGGAGTGATTGGCTATTAAAACTGCAGTAGCCACAACACTGAAAAATGAAGTTTCCGCATTGGTATTATGTATTAGAGGGGGGAAGTAACTCTGATATATAATGCTAAAACCTGCAGTGTTGACCATAGTAGCATTCCAAATAGATACATTGTGAAAGTCTGAATGTATTGCTGTAAAAATCAAAATATATTATTTTGTATAAACAAGCAATGCTCTTCTATTGAACTTCACATTTGAATCATTAGAAAAGTGTAAGTGTTGTACCTTTACATCGTTTCAGTGCAGTCAGGACGCTCATGTTCAGTTAATGGTGGGAAAAAAAAACATTTTTCTAACTTTTCTCTTGTGAGTTAAAAAAAGGGGATACAATCTAATAAACACTCTAAATTTTGGTAATTATTGAACTCATCTAGGGGTTGGAGAAAAAAATCAATACAGCATAATATCGCACTATTTTGTCTGGTGATATATATTATATAGTCTCATTTACAAAGTATCAATTTTAAAATTAATTGTTAATATGAAGTCAAATCTATGATAATGGGAAAATAAAATCAACTGTTTGTCCAGTGAGATTGGCAGAGGTGACATCATAGAGCAGGAGAGAAGCAGTGCAACAAATATAAGTTTTGCAAGATGTGCTACGCGAAAATAAAATGCAGCGTAAATAAGACAGAGACAAAGGAAAGACAAATGCTAAATTAGCTTAACATCATCCCCTACTCATAATCGCCATTGCAATACTGAAAAGTATGGTCACAAATTGCGTGTGTGTGTGTGTGTGTGTGTGTGTGTGTGTCATGTGGGGCTTATCTTTGTACCTGCAGGTTTATAAATAGATCTCTGTATTCTTCTGTTGAAAAGTTGTCCCTTCTCAACCTCACAGGAGTCCTGTTTGTCTTCAAACACGCACATTAATCATAAATTTTATTTGTTTCAAATGATAAATAGCATGTGAACAACTCAACTGCACCTCACAAGTTCATTTGTAAAGCTTACTTAAAAAGTGTATGCTCTCTGTTCTACTGGAGAAAGTCGCATTTTATTTGGTCAGTTTTTTGTGTTTGTATTTTATTAAGGTTGTGTACTTTTCAAAATACTGAAACCATACAAAAAACAATTGTTTGTCTGTTAGTGAGTCACACCTGCATAAAATGTGTTGTATTTCTAAACATTTTATATCGCAGACAAGGAACTTGCAACTTCCTGCTTTTTGACATTTTGTTTTCTCCCTCTCATCCAGAGCAAACAAATATTTGTTTCTGTGCAGGAATTTGTGTTCATAACTTACAAACACTACAAATTTTCTCAGAGTTGATCTGCAATCAACTCTTGTCACTACACACCTCTCTTGGCAGGCAGTTCATTGTCATAGTCCTCGTTGTTTTTTCCATCCAGTCCATCCTCAACTGTTTATTATGACGTAGAGCTAATAGTTGTATATAATTTGGCTGCTCAGTGCTGGCCTGTAATTGTGTGAACCAGATTATTACAACACCACTCTGGGTCACTCACGGCGTCAGGGCACTGTAACATACAGACTCTAATATCAGAGCTTTAACAGGACTACTGTTGTCTGAATGTCACATTAAAATAACATCAAGCCTCTGCTGGTGTGAACTCCAGGAGCTGCTGCCTTTAAGTGAAACAGCTGAGCTTGAAAACGCCTGGTGACATTTGTGGAATTTGTTTATCTGGCTGACATTTGTAACGGATCCGAAACTTAAGTGCACTTAACATTTGATTGTGTTGTAGGTAAATTTGAGCCTCCACTCTTTCATCCAAACGTGTACCCATCAGGCACAGTATGCCTATCTATTCTAGAGGAGGACAAGGACTGGAGACCAGCCATCACAATAAAGCAGGTGAGGACCGCCAAGTATGCATCAGTTACATATCGGAGCAAACGGCTCATACCATGACCTTGGTCTCTCTGTATCTGTGAGTGGCTTTAAAATGCTGAGTGTGTCTGTCATCTTGAGCTTTTTACTCACCTTTGGTCAGGTGTAAAAGACATTAAGCAGATAAATGACCCCCAGATGGGTTCGCCCCCTTTCAATAAATGAATTCCAATATGTAAAGCTCAGAGAGTTAAATGAGAGGACACATTTTATCATTGTACTAAAACAATGTGTTAATCCAATTCCATGGAAAGTAAGGGAAAGTAGAAGAGTGAGGGATCAATACCTGATAATCCAATCCTTACAGAGGCGCAAAGTAATTCGAGACCTGTTCAGAAGCCCGGTTTAAGAGTGTATAGAATACAGGGACAGGGTTGTGGGAGTTCTCCTGACTCAACTTCAAAACAATGCAAATATTCTGACAGAATAGGAAAAATGAAACAGCTAGTTGTATTATTGTCAAAAGATTTTTAAAATCACCCGATTTAGATTCCTTCATTTGGATTCAACCATCAGTCCATCTAATTGAGTTTTTCCTACCTTAGATCTTATTAGGTATCCAAGAACTCCTAAATGAACCAAATATCCAGGATCCAGCCCAAGCAGAAGCTTACACAATCTACTGGTAAGTATAATTCATCTCTGCAAACATGCACCCAATGTGTTAAATGATAGAAAATTGCATGTCTGGTTTCTCTTTCTGACACGTGTTTGACACGGGTGAGTTTTAGTTGCACCGCAATACTTTTGATATTAAACTTACATTGTGTTAATAGTAACAAAACATGTGCATTAACTTTGAAAATGAAATAGTTGTCATTAACTTTTTTCATCATTTTACACCTGTGTAAGTAAAGCATCTGTCTGTAATATAATTTAATCAAAAGAATCTCTGAACAGCTATAAAACATGCTCAAAATACGTCCACCTTCTAAATCTGGAATATCAATCTCACAAAAGAGAGACCTAACAGATTCCTGATTTTTTTTCTTTGACTATATCAATTGAAAAGGGATTTTTATTCATTTTCTCATAATTTTAAATAGTTCTTGTTTCTTATTTTGACAAATTATCAGAGAACTGAAATAACAACTTGTTTTTATATCACCTTTCCAGCCAAAACAGAGTAGAATATGAAAAAAGAGTTCGAGCACAAGCCAAAAAGTTCTCCCCCTCGTAAGGGCTGAGACACTCCGCTCCGGCAGAAGGAATGGGTTTAACAAGAATCACCTCCCCGCTCAGTCTCTCGATGAATGTGCTCCTCTCACATCAGGACTTGCTTAAAGACTTCTATTTAAACTCCACACATTCTGTGCCATCCGTTCTCCTCTCACCTATCCATTTTTTGTTCTTAATTGCTCGTCGGCGCATAATGCTGGGAGGGGATGGGTGCTCCAGCATCCTGATCGTTTCTTTTTAAACATTAATTGTCTTATGTGGTGCAAGGGACACAGCTCGCTACCAGTTTCAACTCCATGCAAGCTGGCTGTCATCAAAGAAGAAAATGTCTTTGTGTTATTTTGCTCTTTCACAGGGTCGATTCCTTTATGTTTTCCCCCTTTCTTTTCCAGAAATTTAATGTAAAATTAGCTTCTTTCATTGTCAGTATTTCAACTGCTGTATAATGAATGGCACTTTTATACTGTTGTATCTCACTAGTGTCTCTAGATGGCTCTGTCTAATTCTCTTTCCCAGGTTTTCTATTCAGCATGCTGTAATATACGGTAGAATCTGCTGCCTTGGCTGTCTTTTTGTTATTCAGAGTGTTTGCTATGGAATAAATAAAAATGGCCATGATGACTGAGGCAGGTAGGCTTACTTCTGTACCAGACTTTAAGGTTATATGGTGCTTTGTTCATGTATGTGTTGGCATAAATAAAACTTTCTACAAATGGTGGCATTTTCTTTATTTACGAGCGAGTGCACACAGTATACAGCAATATGGTAAGGTATTTATGTATATTTCTTCTTAGCCAAAACAGTGTTGCCAAAAAGAAAAGTAGAGGGGTGTGTTTGCTCTGTCCAGGATGGCACACCAGATCACAAAAATCCACACAGTAAGGATAATTTCACTGAATAAGTGCATCAGCTCTGCTTCTAGAGATGATTTTTTTTAACTAAAAATTTGAATTTCAGTTTCTTTGATTTGACAAAAGGAAACTCCAAAAAAGGTTAGGGGGGCCAGCTTAATTGATTAAAAAAGGATTTTGTAAACATATTTTAATCAAAATAGTTAAGGAATACATGCTTATTTTAAATATGATGTTGGCAACAAAACAAACAAAAGTCATTCTTTAAATAGACTTGAAAGAACATTTCCAAAATAATGAGATGAACTTGCATCAGGTTAGTGACATGACTGGGTACAAAAGGGGAGTCTCCACCAAAAAACTGAAGTAGTCATAATTCTCAAGCCCTCACGTGGCCCTTCATTAAAAACATGAACACCGTCGTAGAAATCATAGCATGGGCTCAAAACTGCTTCCAAAATCTATTCTTTGTAAACTAATTTTGTTGTTGCAAGAAACACCAGCAACTTCTCTGGACCCCGGCCTATTTTAGATTGTGATGAAGAAGAAAACTGCCCTGTGGTCTGATGAATCAAAATTTAACATACTTTTTGGAAATCATGCTATGAGACCCCCCTGGTTAATCAGTGCACAGTTCTAAAGCCAGCCTAGCATTTGGGATAGTATAGGGTTGCACAAGTATCTCTTGAAACTTAGACATCTGGGAAGGCACAATGCATAGAGGATTTGGAGCAGCACATGTTGCCACCTAGTGTGTACATCAGGAAAGACCTTGAGTAGTTTCAGCAAGACAATGCCACTGTCTGCATAGATTACAACAGCATGGTTCTTTACTAGAAGACTCAAGGTGCTAACTAAACTGGCCTGCCTGTAGCCCTGATTTCAAAACATCAATGAATCATGCCACAAATCTATAACAATGAAGACCTGAAGAACAGCAAAAACCGTTAATCAGACAAGAGAAGGACAACACTTAGTTCTATGAACTCCGGAAATCGATCTCAGCTCCCAAATGGTTACAGTGTATTATCAATGAGGTGATGCAGTTCAATGGTAAACATGTCCCTGTTCAAACTTTTTCAAAATGTGTTGCTGGTATCAAAATTAAAACAAACATATATTTATCATTCAAAGAAATATATTTGTTTCAAAATTCAGTATTTTGTCATTACATTCTTTTCAACTAAAATGCAGGCTTTCAGTAAGTTGCAAACATTAACATTTTACAGCATGTCCCAAGTATATGGGGAAATGGGGTTGTATATCAGTCATGGTGTTGTATTACAATAAGTTTCTATGTACAATTTCTGTTTTTAGTAAAAGAAGTGAAGGGAAGTTTAAAAGACATTTTCATTGTAATACATGTTGATATGTAGATATTTACATTTAAAGTACATGTATATATGTCGTAGATATATGTAGATAGATATGGATAGATACATAGATATATGTCTCTAATATATTGGAGACAATAGCATAAGCTCAGTGAACAGGACTTGCAAGATATTCACTTCTCTTGAACTCCTCCATGTGTTTATGCTACATAAATGGTTAAAGCCTGAGTAAGTACACTACAGGCCAAAAGTTTGGAAGCAAGGCCATTACAGGCTGAACAGTTGGGAGTAACTTCAAGTTTTTGTTCACAATGCTTTTTTTTAAATCCAGCATGAGTTTTATATATTTTGGGATGTATTTACTCCATGATCAGATGTTGCTTTCATGGAAATGCACCATTTTACTCCATTTACCTTTAGATATACATTGATGTTAACAGACCATTGCTAAATATATGTCAGCAAAAGATAATAAGGGCTTAGTTTTAGGGTTGAAAACATTTGCAAGAGTCACAACTTCAGTGCAAAAGCAAAAAAACAAATCACAGTTGGATTATTCACTTCAACTTTTTGGCTTTTGAGAGTCTGCATATAAAAATCCTAATAAATCTCAACTGCGTTCAAACTACCGCAAAAATGGCTAGAAAGAAGCAACTGAGTAAGGAAACAAAAGTACAGATTTGTACACTGAGGAAAGAAGGATACACAGAAAGAGAAATTGCAAAATGCCTAAAGGTGTTTAACAAAGGAGTTCACTACACTCTGAAGAGACTAGAGGAACCTGGAAGTTATGATGACAGAAAAAGACCTGGACAAAAGAGAGTCACTACAAAAGCAGAGGATAAACATAGCATTGTCACCAGTAAGAGAGATCGGCGAAAGACAACACTAAGAATAAGGGAGGAAATCAACATGACAAGGTCGAAAGCCATATCTCTGACAACCGTGAAAAGATGTTTGAGAAAGGCTGGTCTGAAGGGTTGTGTATCTGCAAAAAAACACTACTTCGTTCACAGAATAAGAAAAAGAGATATGAGTGGGCAAAAGCTTACAAAAATTTGACCTATGATGACTGGAAACAAGTTTGCACTGTTTGGTTCAAAATGCAGAGTCTATGTCCGCAGTCAAACTGGTGAACGTCTGAAAGCACCATGTGTTACACCCACAATTCAGCATGAAGGTGGTAGTTCCATGGTATGGGGATGTTTTGCAGGTGATGGAGTAGGAGATTTGTTTGAAGTAAAGGGTATTATGAAGAAGGAACAGTACCACTCCATCCTCCAGCACCATGCTGTTCCATCTGGACTCAGACTTGTGGCTCATAAGTTTGTTTTGCAGCAAGACAATGACCCTTAGCACTCTGCCAAACTCTGTCAGGTTTACCTAGACAAAAAAGAAGAGGAAGGTGTTCTTCAAAAGATGGTTTGGCCCCCTCAGTCTCCAGACCTTTCTCAATTGAGCTTGTGCGGGGTGAATTGGATCGATCAGTCAGAAAAACGCGTCCCACAAATCAGCAGTCTCTTTTTAATGAACTTAAGAAAGCTTGGAATGCAATCCCTGGAACATACCTTAGAAAACTTGTGGAACGAATGTCTGGTATATGCCAAGCTGTTGTTAAAGCCAGAGGAGGTTACTTTAAAGAAAGCAAAGTCTAACCAACAATAACTCAAATACCTAATAATTATAGTCAAAATGTCTTCTGATAAATTACTCTTTACACAATAGTCATGTTTATTGTGTTGCAAATTATATTAATGAAACTATGGTCTTTTTTTGTACAAATCTGATCTTGCTTCCAAACTTTTGGCCTGTAGTGTATATTTGAATTAAAGGTTATGACATGCTGTCATAATGTAACACCCCCCTCAGTTACCTTGTGTTTCCACTGCACTGTATTCTTCAGCTCTGGCACCCACTCTGCTCTTCCCTGTTGGTGCAGGATGTCATTGCTGTGACTGGGCTGATCTGCTGGAAGGCGCTCAGGGTGCAGTACTCATTGCAGTACCAGGGAGAATCCTTCTCTAGGGACGAGTGGCTGCTGAGCCAGCACCCTGAGTCTCCCTCTGCAGGACTTCCAGGAGCTGAGTCTTTCAACTCCCAGGAGCTGAAGTACAGACCCTCAAACAAGCCCCCTGAATGTGACAGAGGAGACATGGTGCTAACAGCATATGGGACCCCCAGCAGAGAGGTATCATGGCATGGGTCAGTGATGTTGCCGTATGTGCTGCCCCCCATGAACTCGTGCTGAAACTGCGACTGACTCTTTTCTTCCTCCAACCCAACCTTCCCTTCCTGGACTTCTGCACACTTGGTCAGTGCGTCTATTTGGAGTGTTTCTTCAGCCTTCAGCATGTTTGTTGTGTTTTCTTGTGTAACCACCCAGCTCTGTAATCACAGCCATAAGAATAAGAAGAACTTTAGTGTTCAGGGAAATCTGTAAAATATCATCATTACCAAAGAGTGTTTAACATACCTTGAAATCTCCATGGCAGTCATTGTACAAAGTGTGGAAATAAGGAGCTGGAGTTGGGATGAAGGAACTTTTCCTCCACCTGTAAGTGTTGAAAACAGAGGGATAACATTCAGCAACTAGCGTTAACTAACAGGGGTTTGGTATTTACAAAGAGGTGGCACTTGGCCTTACTTTTTAACTGGAGCACAGCAGAGAAGTAAGACAAGTGGCGCCATCACACATAAGGGGACAAACACCTTACCCAGGCCAGACTTGAATGAGTTCACTGGAAAATTGGTACACAACAAATACGGCAACAAAAATCAAAATTGACACATTTATTATTTGTCTTGATTTATCCTGTCCAGTTGTGTTTTTATGAGCAATTTTACCATTTACAGCTGGTTTGGTTCTCCAGTTAACTTCAGAGGACCAGCTGCTCCACTGGCCCTCGAAATACGCCTGATTGGGACTGGAGCGCACTCTGGCGAGGTACTCAGTGTCAGGCAGAAAGTTATGATCATCCACAGAATAATTTGCTTTGGCCACGCTGATTTTACCATGTGATAAGACCTAAAGAGAGATAAACAGAGTTAACAGATGAGAAAGTTATAAAGAAAAAGAGACATGCTGTTGGGAAGTCTAGTTGTACTGAAAAAAACAAACTATTTGCCGAGATATAATCAAAATTTCATGTCTTTTGAAAAACTTACATTCAAATAGAAATAAAACTGGAAATCTAAACTGTTTTTTGAATTTTAAACTAACCCCTTAAAGTCCTGCTTGTGAAGTTTTTTGGTCTTACAATGCAGTTTATTTTCCCCCATTCCATTGTTGTCTAATTAAAATATTATCCATGGATGTTTTTGTATATTTTCTACAAACTGGTTATCAGTTTTGTAGGAAGGTCCTATGTGAAAATTTCAAATGTAGAGCTTCACTTTTGTAGTGAACCAGAATCATACAAAACATGTACATTTGTCTCTCCCTCTACTACCTGGAAATGCTGCTACGCCCCTCCCACCAGAAGATGCACCTAACATGCCACCCGTTGCCACGCAAACTGTCCTCTCCACTCAGCTGGTTATGTCAGTCACAAAAAAAAACAACAACACAGAAATAGCTGAAAAAAGGGTTGAAAAGAAGCAACTGGTGTGTGCCCAAATGGAGGCTTAGCAGCAAACTTCAACCCTATAGTGGACGTTGAAACCAAATTTGTGAGACATGTTTGCTGTGGCACTAAAGAGAAACAAAGGCACAGTTGTGTTGCTGGTCAAAAATTTTATAATGTTTGGACATTTAACAACATTTAGGGTTCAATTATTTTGGTTTTCATGCGAGAACATCTACCAAACTAAATGCTCTTGTGAGGACTTTGCTGACTGAAATGAAAACTGCTGCTGCTTTGACCTATAAAGGCAAACAAGACTTTTACTAATGAGAGTAACAATTTCTATTGTTATTCTAATGTTTATAACCACAAGCTGGGGGTAGCTGTAAGACAAAATGAAGAGCTGCACGTACGCAGCTGCAAGTACGGCCTTCTTTCACATGAGCAGTAGCTAAGATCCAGGATAAGCGGTGCATTTGAAGACAGCAGGATGAGGTTGTGTGCCATCAAACTTAAGGACAAATTAGCAAGAACTGCTTTGACCACAGGGGTCGACAAATTTAATAAAAGCTGAAAGTTATTCACAGGAGCTTTAGGTATTTTTATTTGATCTTTCATCATCTGAGAGACTGTTTTTAACTTTTATGCATTATTTGTTTTCCAGTAGTTTGAAATTCTACTAACACACCTCTCTAACCTTTTCCCAAAAAAGGATATGTTCATACTTTTTCAACAAAGAGCATCTTTTTCATTACATTATATTGAATCTTACATTAAGTTTGTCTCCTTTTTTGTAGTAGTGGAGCTGGAACATCATTTCATTAGCCAGAGTGGTGAACCAGCTGTATTGCTCATAGGTGCTATTCCAGGTGAAGTGGTACCGCCCTGATTGGTGGCTCAGATTAAGACAGCACGGTGGGTTAGGTTTAACTGATGAGAGACCACATTAAAGACAAAATCACACCAGTTTTTATCATGAAAAAATGTTTTTTTTCTGGATTTATGTAAATATGCTCCATGAAAGTTCAGACTCGTATGATACTGACCATTTTTGAAAGGCTCAAACTCTTTCATCAGCTGCTTACAGATTTTAGCTCCGTTACTTTGGTTGTGACAGAGTGAAATGTCAAAGCTATCATTATCAGTGAAGTCATTCGAACCATAGTCGTCATCGGTGTATGGGTTGTATATTTTTACTGAGCAGGAGGAATCCACATTATTCTTTATCAGCATACACACAAACTCCAATCTGCGCAAAGACAGGAGAAGCAAGAGTGAAGAGACATATCTTTACTTAAAGAATCCATTATCTGTAAAAAGTGCCTTACTCTTGATATGTTTCCACGACGGTGAGCCAGTAAGTACTGTTGCTGTCTGAGCTGTTTGGAGATGGTTCATTGTTCAGGGAGCAGTTAATGATGGACACATAGTCACTCACACAGTGAAGATTGTTGTTCACAGCTGAAAAAAATCACAGGAAACGTCACATTTGGGTCAGATGTTGAAAAGTGCCATTTGGTAACCTTTATCCTAGACTCCAAACTCAGACTGTGGTCTAACGACACTTTTATCACTTTAAAGTGCTTCAAAATGATAAAGTAACACATTTCTAAGAATTTTCATGACTGATTTTAAATCATCAGTTTTGTAGTCAGTTACAACAATCATACAAATACAGTAAAAATTTGTCTCTTTTTGCATCACTCATATTGAAAACGATTAGGAGACTTTCTTTACGTCCAGTATTAGCAGACCCCCTAACCACAGCAAGTGATAACTGTTTTATTGCAAACATTGGCAGTATTGTTGAGAGACGGACTATGTGAAGGATAATGTATTGTATGTGGGTAGCTATTGTTACACCAATGACCCAGACACAGAGTGGAGTTGTCCGGACTCATCATGAAGAGGTTTTGGTAAGTTATAATAACCCGCATGATATACTTTATCCTATTGTTACTAACTTGGTAGTTTGATAATTTACTCAAAATATTGATTTTGAAAGATTTTCATCCATTTTTGAAACATTAAATTTTCCGTTTTGTTGATTTTGCTGTCATAGTCTATAACTTTTGTGTTTTTGACCTCTCCATACTTTTCTCTGTTGTTCTTGTCTCTCTTGTTAGTCTTCCCACAGTAAACAAACTGGAGAGGTAACTTCGCACATCTATAATTTAGGACAGGTGCGTCAGAGAGCCAGGGATCCAGCAATTTAAACAGAGGGAAAACACCCGCATACTGTCCAACTTACAGAAAAAGAAACAATTTAAAGCAGCAACTTTTTGGTACTAGACCTTCATCGGGCAATTCATTTTGCCTGAAATGAATTTCTAGTTTCTAGTACCGAAACTTATTTCTTTTTCTGCAAGTTGGACAGTGTGCGGGTGTTTTCCCTCCACAATAAACTGACATGAAACTCTTTAAGCTGCTTTCTGGTTAATTTGGATGATTATTGTTAGTCCATCTAGCTTTGTGTTTGTAATTGGAGCCTCATGCATGGCAACAGTGTGCTATTCAAAAACAACGGACTGTTGCTATGGAGCAAAAATAAAATCAAAATCAAGTACTTCACACAGTGGTGTAACAAGTTTGTCATCATGACTTCATCATGTTACACAACTAACATTTTTTTAAGTGTGGCGAGGTCATTAACAGGGCATAAAAAGTGCACAATTTGAAAAGACATAAACGTAGATTGGTAAATCTACATTTCCTGTATGTTTCTTTAATGGACAACTTCAACATGTGAGCAGGAATTAAACCAGCCTTTCCATCACTCTCGCCTGGCCACAGCGTCCCTGTTTCTTTGTTGACATACAACTTTATAGAGAAATGATACCTTTCCTTAAAATACTTAGATAAAACGACTGTACTAGGTTGCTAACTGCGTAAACCATCTGCAGTACATCAAAGGAGGAACAGTCTACAGCTGAGGTCTTCACAATAGCCAGTTTAAAAAAGTTGTTGAGCCATTCAGTTGGACACTAACATTATAGAGTATTACATCTTCTGAAATAATTCTGGTTTTCTAGAAGACTGAGCAGACATGATCATACCTGTGACAGCATTTCCATGTAGACAGACAATTTTGGCAAAAACCAGCAGAGTCACCATCAACATCATCAGCTTTGGTGGACAGCACCGAACCATCACTGCGCAGGGTCCGGGCATCGCCGCATCCTTTGAGAGTTAAATGAAGACTGAAAGAAGGAGGTGTTTTTTTGTCTTGTTAACACTGATCTCTATCACTCTCTCTGTGCAGAGGAGAGGATGTGCTTTTTTTTTTTTAAACAGAGCAGTTGTAAACGTGGAGTGTGTAAGAGGGGGCCAGGCTTCAAATTAACCACGCGTACTCTTTGGGCCCGCAGTGCACCACAAAATAACCCAAGCTGTGTATCTGGAATTTTTTTTCATTAAGTTTTTAAAAATACCATAACTACCCTACAAAACCTCCTCACGCATGAGAAGCTGACAGACCTCTATTTCATATCATTACTGTTTAACACTACATTGGTGAGAAATAAGTTGAAAAGTGTTTTTAAACTTAACTTTAAGCACAGCATGAATTTGCTCCAAACTTGGCTTTGAATAACTTTGGACAAAATGAGTGATAAAAGTAGAGGAAAATGTTTTGACAACACTACATTTCTTTACTCACGCGCATTGTATTTTGGACTTGCCGTTTTGATAGATATCATTTACAACAAGATGTACTAGTGCATGCAGATTTATCTTTGGAATATCCTGCTATAAACATTACTACTAACAATTTCTTCAAACCCCCTAAATGTAGCTTTTCAAGTCATAAAAACAGAGGCAATAATTTTTCATCATAAAAGATTTCCAGCTAAAATGGTTTCAGCATCAAAACTACAGGAGCGTCCTTTCCCACAGCACTTGCACTGTTCTGTACTGCATATTTTTTCTGTACAGTTTTTATCCTTCAGTGCTGTATTATGATGATTTATTTCTTCAAAACATGTAGGAGAAAAACACTGGTTATCTTAGGTGAAAGTGGAAAAAGTGAAATTATTATGCAACTGGCAAGGTGAGCATTGTGCAACATGTGGAGCGTGTTGTGGTGATTTCGTGACAGATAACAGCTGGTAGCGTCTTCCTCTAAGGTTTAGAGATTTCATTGATTTGGGGTTTGTTGACATGCAATCTTAGGTAGTAGAGTCTCATAATGTCAGTTAGTATACTTTTGAAGAAAGATTGCTTTGTGGGATTTTTACTTTTATGTCGTTAGTTCAGCTTGAGAGGGATAGGAAATGTGGGGCAGAGGAGGAAGTGACATGCACCAAATCATGCAGGGATCAATCTTATCACCAATGCTGTTGACTGAAGCCCCTATACATGGAGCACCTGCTCTGCCAATTGAGCTCAGCAAGCACCTGGTTAATATATATTTTCATGATTTTTTAAAGTAATGTGGATGGGCAAGTGGATGGCCAAAACTGTAATGAGTATGTGATATCACAGTGCAGGTGTTGAAGCAGGTACCAGTTTTCAAGGGATTCACAAGGCAGCATTTTGACTTCAACTATTTCTGTCGGAATGAGCCTTTAAACAGGAAATACGTCAACTGTGTGTTACCCCGCAGACACTCATGAAGACAGTCAGTATGAAGACAGAAGTTTCAGTTTAATTTGGGTTCATGTTTTCTAAAATATACACTCACTCTGATCAGTTTACTTCACCACAGAGCTCAACAGAGCTATTTTTAATTTCTGCAGCCTGCATGACTTTCTGTCTCCCAGTGTAAAGCAGTGTGAACCTGTGCTGAAACCTTGCTCAAGAGCAGCGCTTGATGATTTGACATTTGAAGCCTTTATATTGTGCAAGAACTGAAACACAGATACGGGGTCTGTATGCAGCTTGTTGCAGTTCTGCTGTATCTGATAGGAGCACTTTTTTGGTTCGTTTTCAGTTTTGTGATTAATGTTTCCTTTTTGTATATATAAATTTGATAGGATTTGAAAAAAAAAAAACTAGAGATATGAGTTCTGACTGGAAACACTGTGTTATCTGACTGAAAGAAATCTGAGGAGATAACAGCATAAAGTTGAGCTGCTCAAGGTTTTTGCAAATATGCACACATACTTTGACATCTATCTATAAAAAATAACATAAATAAACAAAAACTTAGATGTATTTACCATACTTTAATATTACACTGGTATATTTTACACAATCATCCTTAAGATTTTAATTGCACAAGTCATTGAAACAGATGGCAAATATGAAAGAAAACTATTAAATTATCCAGAATTACCGCTTTTATAGCAATATGAAAGCGTTACGTAAATAGTATTATACCCATCAAACATGCCCGCCTTGAGAACTAGGTGTCTGCATACAAAGTGATTCATGCACCAGGTTACAAAACCAGAAAAAAAATGGTGTGGTGAATTATGGGCTTGGTCAAAACTCAAAGAGCCACTTTCTTCCGTGATCTGGGATCCAGTGGAGCACTTTAGGGGCACCGGCAGAGCTCACTCACATGCCAGTTTACCATCAAATGATGACAGGGTGATGGCAAAGGCTTGCAGGGCACACAGGGGGAAACTGTAGTCCATGGAGAAGACATCCTCAGCTACACGGCCAAACTGCATCACTATATAGTCATCTGGGAAAGTGCAGGGACAGTTGATAGCACTACAGAATAAGATATGATGGTGATTTTACTTTTGAGAAATAAGAAGGTTGGCGCATCTTACCGTTGTCAGGGTGGATGATCTGGAAGTTCTTGACAGAAGCCTGTGTGACACGTCCATGAAAGTTAAGCACATATGACTGAGTCTGTTCGTTCCAGCTTGGGGATTTGTTCACCAGTGTGACCAGTTTCTCTGTGTTGTTGTTGGCATGACGGACTAGTAGAGTCTCAAGATCCTGTAACACAAGTTAAACTGAGGATGTATTCTCTATTTAAATGTTATAAATTCAATGATTACAGACCAAACCTACATTTTTGGGACGAATGGACACTCTTTCGTCATTCTCCAGCATGCCAGGGATGATCACAGTCATCTTTCTGGGACCTTTAAAGCCCAGCACATTTGTCTCCTGCAATAAGATGATGCTAGTTTAACACAGGTTTATATCATGCTTAAATGCATAGACTATAAATAGGAGGCGGACATATTCTTTTGGTTTCAAAAGTGAAAACCAATGAAGGGCCTTGGACCTGTATTCTTTCTAATGACCAGCAGGGGGCAACTGCACATATTTAAATAAAAGTCTGATTGTATTAAACCAGATGGGATAACACACTTACTTCTCAGTTTAGATCACAACTTATCAAACATATTCATGAAAGGGTAAGAGTCTCTAATGCAAATTTTATGTCCTCTTCAAGAAAATGTGGTATATATTTGGTCAAAGTAGAGCAAAATCAACAACCAAAAAGTTTTTTGGGCTGTGTGGCTTCAAGCGAACACAGCCACCTTGTTTCCAGAAAAGGTCACTTAAGGCTTTAACAAAGCAAATATCAAACACTAAATACTAAATTAGATGCTTTAAAACTGGAACTGAAAATCTGTGTGTATGTCATGCTCTTTAATGTAGAATAAATTAAATAGAATGAGTTTGAACTCACATAGCAAATTGCTGCCAGTTCTTGCCGCAATGATTCACACTCTTTGATAAAAGGCTTCTTTTCAGGATTTTCCCCTCCATCATAGACCGTAAACTTCGTGCCCAGAACATTGGACCTGGAACACATACGTTCTATTAGACACAGGATTTTTGATCCAGGAGAGAGATGATAATGTTAATAGTCATGTAAAAGGGATATTTTTGAAGTTACAGTGGTGCTCTTCCTTTTATCTTCCTCCAAAATTTGCTGTGTATTATTTTACCCAAAATTCACAGCAGCATTTAAACTTTGGGTACAGCTTGTTAAGTACCCCTTGTAACAAATGTAAGATATGACTCCTCCAGTGTCACTGTTTATTTTCAGAGAAGGTTTTAAGAACAAGTGAGTGGAAGGTGAAGAAACAAAATGTAATTTTCCAAATTTTAGCACAACCTTCTTTTTTGGACTTTGCTGAGGACCACATGAGCCCACTTATTGTGCATCACTATTTTCCCTGTATTCTGCTGACTTCAGGAAAGGTGTGCAGCTTAGTGCGCTGCACACGCGAGGTGTCGATAATACTATTAATGATGGCTCCATTCCAACTCCCTTGTTTCAGTGCCAAAGACCTGGTGTTAGGCATACTGTCTAATTAGCAGAACTTAATGAGGCAATCCCATGGAGCAGAGCCTCTGTTATTAATACAAGCTATTCCAGTGTTGTTCCTACTATGATGGGTCTGTGTCATTTATTTGGAAAGATAATGATGGATTTTAAAACATGACCTGAAGGGGATTAAATCACATAACACAGAATTTGCTAACAGTTTTGATAATATAATGCGGTTGAAATAAAAAATAATGTGCTTTTATAAGTTAGAGGTAAAAGAGTCATACCTTAGTTTTCCTATGTAGCAGTTTGTGTCTCTGGACAGATTTGTTGCATCAGTGGAGATGAGATAGTTGGACGTTTTGCACTTCTTTCTTTTTCTGCCTGCCATTAGAAACACCTTGATGATGAAACAACAAACAAATATTAAAACAGAAACAGAGAATCAATGAGAAGAATTTCACGGATCATTCAAGCTAAAATCAATGAGCACATTGTTAAAGTTTTGGCATAAGAGATCACCCTTTTGCCGTCCTCCTTTTCCATGTGTAGGTAGTAAGTTGGGTAAATGCCCTTCTCCATCCCTCGCCTGTCTCTGGTGACCCTGCACTGGATAGTCACATCTCTCGGAGCTGGACGCAAAGCAAACTTCTCAAGATCCTCCACTGACATTGGAGATATTGACTGAAATGACAGAATGTGACTCATAAACTTTCCAATTAAACCAAAAGAAGGAACAAACTTTCCTGATTGTTAATGTATTTGTTTTTCATTACGTCTCACCCTTTCATATTTTTCACTGCCTGAAGATGAACTCTCTCTGTAGTTTGAGTTTAGACTTGCTAGACTGTGTGTTATCTTCTCAGATTTGTGTGCTTTTTTCCCCTTCTTCCCATTCCCCTCATTTTCTTCATCTTTGCTTTCATCACTTATTTGGCACCGGGCTGAAAAATGACACATGAATCATTATTTTTTACAGCAGCTGTACAATATTCTTGGTGATGTATTTGAGAAGATATTTTCTTTTACTTGTGTCAAGTTTTTTTTTCCTCTTAGGTGATTGAGGTTTGGCCTTCTGTGAATCTCCCTCATCGTCACTTTGGTCATGATTCTTATCTTTTGGGCTGCTCGCTGCCTCCACCTCTGCCTCTGTCTCCTGGGTTGAAGCCTTCTTCTCTGCAAATGAGGAGAATCAGAAACAAAGATTGAGCGTTTTAATATTTTATTGTGCAAATAGAAATTCTCATAGTTTCTTAACCAGTAGCTGGATTCATTCCAAGTTCAACTCTGAGTATTCATATGATTCTAAAATGATATTACTGTTATGCTCATTAGAAAGTGAACATTGGTTTTACTTTTCCCCTCTTGTTTTGTTGTCTTGTTTGTCTTCTGAGGGTTATCAGATTCCTTTGCTTTGTCTTTTTTCTTTGTTTTTTTCTCCTTTTTCTCATTTTCTTTTTCCATCTCCTCCTTTTCATCATTCTGTTCAATTTCTGAAAAGGAATAAAATTTTGATAAATCAATTTTTAATGTAAAAATGCAGGACATTACTAGTGCATGTAAAAGCTGGCTTAAAGCCTTAGAATTCTAATATGCATGCACACAATTAGAAAAAAAAACAGAAATCATATTGAAATGCATTCATACCAGAGTGAGATACTTGAAAAACTTACGTTTGGCCTTATCTTTTTTCACTTCTTTCCTCTTTGTTTTTTTCCCCTCCACCTGGGCATCATTCTCCACCTCACTCTTCCTGTCTGGCTCCTTGTCAACCTCTAAGTTCATTGTCTTTGTCTTTGGAGCCATAAGCTTTTCCGAGGGCAGCCCATCAATTGCTGAGCTCATTGTTATGTCACTCTCACCCAGCGTGATCTCATCCAGTGGGTTATCATGGGCATGCTCAACTTGATCTTCAAAAACAAAAAAAACATTAAAAAAAGTTAAACATGTAGGCAGGACACAGGGTGGATGAAGTAATGATTATTTCTCATACTAACCAGTAAGAGAAGTGTTGCTTAGTGATTGGCTGATGAGCAAAGGTGTTTCATCAGAGCAGACAGCCCTCTGCTTTCGATTCTTTTGCCGAGCATCTCGGTTGGCCACCACCATTTGAGAATCAGCTCTTTTCTTTTGCTGCTTTTTCATTAGAAGGGTTCGCTGTGGGACAATTGTGCATCGGAATTCATTCAAACTTAATATGAATCAAAGAAATAGTGCATCTTCACTTCGCGTTCACCTTTTGAAATTTCCACAAGTTCAAGATGTAATCTTTCCACTTCTAGTACTTGGGTCATACACACTGGTTATGGCACATATTGTAAAAAATATGTAGGATTGGTATTTATCATTAAATACAAATGTCCTAGAGCTCTTTTTCGTCATACTATGACAAACTGAACTCACCATAAACCAAAGCCCATAGGATTATCAACTGTTATCATAACAACACAATAAAATAATTAACGTGATAAGGATCCACTTAAGGTTTTTATTTTATTTAACCAGGTAAATAACCCACTGATATTGAGATCTCATTTAGGAGGGTGACCTGGCTAAGAGGTCAGCAGCACATGTTGATATAAATACAAATTGATTAAGAGACAGATTTCAGCCAATGAGTTTAAAACACCAATTTCAAAGGTTTAAGCTAGCTATCAAACGAAGAGCACAAACAGTAGGCATGGATAACTAATAAAAACACTAACTCTGTTTAATGGTCTCCTGAGATTTGGTTTAATGGTGCTTTGGCTGATTTGGATCATTAAATTCTATTGAACATGTAAGAGAGGCAGTATTTCACGACATTGTGGGGGATGATGGAATCACTGATTCATAGATTTGAAATACCTGTCAACATGCATTTTTACAACTCAAATGGGAGTAATTTGGGATTATTCCTATTAAAGTTAATGTTAGGCTTAATCAGTGCAGGTTCAGCCCCCTACATGCTACGTAAACAAAATATTCATAAATATGAGCACGACACACGTGTTACCAAGTTTACACAGCACATCACAACAGTTATTGATGTTAATATGAATATCAGAACTTGCCCCACTTGTTCTCTACTGGTAAAGGCCCTTTAAAACCGGGCTACTCCAGCTGAGACAAAGCTGGTATAAAGGTTAGCAGTGGCTCCAAACAGCAGGTGGTTCTGACACAGGAAGCCTTGACCTCATGAGACTCAAGAGAGCTCTTCGTCAGTTTTAACCACTTGTGACCTAATTTAAGGAGGAAAAGTTTGGGCTTTTGATCCTCTGCCAGTCTGCCCATATTCATCTTATATGTGAATCAAAAAGGAACTCCATATAGCCTAAAATTCAAGCATAATTTTACTATGTATAACAAGCTGCAAGTAAATTGGAGTGCATTAAAAGTCTGACACCATTTAAAACATGACAGGGCAAGTCTAGTCTATTCAGATCCAAATATCAACCAAAATGTATAATCCATTACTTTACCTGGTTGTCCAGCTTCTGTTGTCGCATGTCGGGATCCTCCATGTTTCAGAAAGGATTAGCTGATATCTTCAAAGAAAGAAGTTTATACTCAGCCGAAATGTATTTAAATCATCAGGTGAAATCCAGCGTCGAAATTGAATGCGAGAAATAGTTCTGTTTCCAAGATAAAAGCGGAATTAAATATGTTAGCTGGTGTGTAATTGTGGCCCTCTGCTCCATCTGACAGTCTGTCCACCTGCATGTAGCAGAAGGCAAAGTGGATTAGAGGGGGATAATGTTCTTAAACTGCGCCGTACAGCTCAGCTCGGTCAGTGTGGACAAGTTGTCTCGAGGGTATGGCCAGCTTTCTGTGGCTTCTGTATGGAGATGCCAAAGCCTAATTTATTACAGTTGAAAGGCAAGATAAGAGAAAAAAAAAAGAATATGATGCCTGTCGCTACTTTCATCACTCACCCCGGCAAAGGAAGGCAAACATGAAAATCGCAACGGTCACCAAAAGTTACCATAAATCTTCCGAGTTGTGACCAGCGTATTCCGACTCACTCCAAGAAGACATTTGCTCCATCAAGAGTACACTGAAATTTATCTGGAAGTCCAAAAACATTGCCAAAAAAAAAAAAGGACAGTTGCGGGCCGTTCATCCTGGTTTATGTCGTTGCCATGGAAACATGTATCAGCCTCGTGATGGCAAGCCATGAAAGCAAAACAACCGAAAGCTTCGAGTCTTCTGTCTTAATAATAATAATAATAATAATAATAATAATAATAATAATAATAATAATAATAATAATAAATCTACAATATTGAGCTCATCGTTGTTTTCATTTGTTGTACTGAAACAATTGCCCACCATTTTACATCATTATTCTTTCCCCTTTGTCTTATTTGTCAGCTCTTATAGTCACAGGTGTTTTTCTATTTTCTCTGTTTTCAATTTGGCTTTTGGTGACACCCCTAAACATATTCAAATGTTTAGCTCATAAAACGTTTTGTCGTGAAGCTAATACTCAAAGATACGAACAATAAAGTAATATAGCCGAAATATAGCTAATGGTTACAAAAGTCAGTTTGAAAATGTAAATTCAAAAGGTAATGAAGACTTCCAATCTGTGGTGAATTCTTTACTTTGGCTGTTTGCTCGCACACAATTAGTCAAGGCCTAGAACTAAAGGCTGTCAAATCCCTTCGAGGTGAGCAAATGGGATATTTGTTTGTTATGCTCAGTCATCCATCTTAAATTAAACATTACTTTATACCCTATATTTTTTATTCATTTATTTACGTTTATTCTGCATTATTTTCAGGTTGTGTTTTAATTTACTCAATAATTGTGAGAAAGTCCCCTTTGTAGCCATTTTCACAAGGGCTAAATTCATATTTTATGAAAATACAAGGCTCATACAACCTCGTATGAATATATAAATATTCCGTATATTGCGCAGAGCAGGAAGATGGGGCGGGGCCTTTAATGTTGCTAGGATACCATGTGGCAGCCAAACAGGAAAAGACCCAAAGTCGTTTTGATCAGCCGTTTTGTCAAATACTTTAACTTTTTTTTTTTTTTTTTTACAAAACTTTATGAAAAAAAGAAATTCTGACGCCATAACTAAGACAAGTACCCTATGTGTGTTAAACTCGGTGAAGGAAATAAAAAAAAAACAGAAAATGGACACGAAAATTAAGGTAGGCTGCGTCTTTAGTTCGGTTTACAATATTAGATGGATGTGTTGTCAAAATAAGTCTATTCGTCGATATTTTTTGTCTTAAATGTCGAACAATGAATGTTTTGTTCTGCAGATGAGCCAACCACAGACTCTGGAAGCTAAAGTGCTGCTTTGGTATGAGTTAGGCTATGTCTCCCTTTTTTTATTTTTTATTTTCTTGCTTGACTATTGCCTTTCCCCAAATATAGCTATATCTATGTTTTATCTTCAGGACAGACATCAGCTACCATGACATGGAGCAGATCGAGAAGATGCAGTCCCTTCCTGATCTGAAGAGGTGTCCGCACCATTTTAAAACAGTATTCTATCAGTTTATTCACACACAGCACGAACATAAGTTTGTCTCCTTTTGTGATAGTGTTTTAAGCAGTGTCCTTGGGGTTGACCTTCCTGAGCCAAAAAGGGGAGTTCTGCTGGAGTTGTATGCCCACACTGTGCTGTTCTGCAGAGAGAGCAGCCTCAACAAAGAACAAACCTCTGTGCTGTTGTCCATTATCAAGTCTGTTCATGAGGCTAACACTAGTACGTTAACTCATATTATCAGTACTACCTCATAGTTAGATATCTAGTGCATACTGTACATTTAAGAAACCCACCTCCACCAAATATAATTTTCAGACTCAAGATCATGTGACTTGCATTAATCCTCTATGGCAAATCTTACAAGTCAGTGAAGTCCTCTTAAAATATTTCCCAATTTATCTATGGATTTGTTTAATACTTGTTTCTTGCAGTGACTCCACTCAACAACATAGATGACTGTTTCAAATACTGCAAGGAGCTACTTCTCTGTCACTCTGTCAGGGTCTGTAATACTGTATTATTTTACATCATTTTATCACTGTTACATAACATACATATAATGTTTCTGTGTGTTTGGCTACTACAGCGACCTCCTTTTAGTATTAACCTCTTCAGTCCTGAGGAGGGGAGCTGTATTTTAAAGTACATCTATAACAGCTATGTGAGGCACTACAAGCTCTACAAATACATCTTTACTCCACAAGTGAGTCTGAGGTTTTTTAAATTATCATCTAGGCGATTTATTTTTTTATATTTTTGAAGTATTCAAACCCTTTTCAATTCATCTTAATTTTGGTGCTGTGAAAACACATACAGATTATGAACTGCTGTTATTTTTGACAGGTTAAACTTGATTTGTCTTTGACTTACTCTGAGAGCCCGAACCAAGGTGCAACACCTGTGGAGGATTCACTCTCTAAAGGTAAAGATGATGAAAGATATTAACTGAGTCTTATTATAGCAGCATAACATTATTCGTGTTAAGTGCTGAGTCTAAGACTTCATCACACCTCAGAGACTTGTTTTACAAACAAAAATGTGCGAGTGATGAGATAATATCTTTAATTACCCATTGTCAGAGCCTACAGGATGCTGGGGTGGTTGAGCTTTAATATGAGCACAGCACCACTGCAGGGTAGAATTGGCAATGATAGTGCTAGAGTGGAGGCCAAAATTCTTGCAATTATGTTACATGAAGCAAAAATTGACCTTTCAATTCAACAGTTATCTTAGTCTTCAGTGCTTCTCTTCCAATAGATGAAGAACCGAAAGCAGATAGCTCTTCTGAAACACAGGAGGCACCCATCGCAGAGCCAAACGACACCACATTGGGTATAATCAGATATAAAACAGATCTCTGTGATAAGCACTCTCAAGTCAACATCTTCAAATGGTTGTCTCTGCTTTATTTTCTCATCTCCAGGTTCAAAACAGGAGCTGAAGACACTTATAGAGAAAGAAATCAGAGAGCAGATGATGTTCGTGTCTGGACAACTTGATCAGCGCATGAGAGAAATAACCAACCAGCACAACAGTGCTCCTGAATCCCCACAGCCCAGAATCAACAAGGCCAAAAAATAATGGAAGACATGCAAATAAAGCAAGACAACTCACACTTAAACATATGCTTTATTGTGAATAAATCTTTTTTCTTGGAACAATAAAATGTACATATGCATTGGTAGATTTAAGTGCAGGCACCTTTAGGAAAAGCACACCTTATGGAACTGAAAAACAGAGAGTATGGAATGGTGTAGTTAAGGTTTAAAGGGAAACAGTCATAAACAGTATGTTCTTCACAGCTTGTGCGCATAGATTTTTCTTATGAAGAATGTGTGTATGCCAAACAGCTGCAGGATTCTGTCACAAAAGCACACCTCAATACCGTACTTAAATGTTTCACGTTCTTCCTCGCTGAGTTTGCAACACTGGAATATTTGAAATCCAAGCTTGTTTCACCAAAGTGCTTTTGTATCCACTTCAACCATACAGTGTCCAAATTATAACTGTTAAAAGGAAAAATATACAGAATGTATACACACAAAATGTTTTTTTTTTTTAAAGTACATGATTGTGCAATGTTTCCTTGACTGCACACATGATGACCTGACAAGACTTTCGAACAACCACAAACATAGATCAAACGGCAGATGAGGAATATTAAGTTGTGCATGCTTTATCGTAAACTCAACCAGAGTGTGCATTAAGGCATAGAAACCTCCAGGTCCCTGAATTTCTCTCTTTAAAAGACACCTAGTGACAAGAAGAACAAACACATGACAGCACATGCTAACTTTAAATAAAAATCCACATGGTTAGGAATGAGGTTGACTTTTATGCTTCAAAGTCCTCAAGGCCCAGCAGCATGATCTTAGCTGTGTTCTGGAAGAGAGCTGCTCGGTTCTGCTGCTCCCCTTTCTTTACCCAGTGACCATAGATACGGAAGGCGCAGCCGTCAATCAGTTTTCTGACACCACGAAGGGAGTAAGGATCTCTGGCTAGCACCTCCCGAGTCAGTGGGCGAGCCCTACGGTATCGGCTATACATCCTGATACAAGCAAGCACGCTGATGATCAACACCTAAGGAGATTAGACAGGGGAAAAATAGAAATGTAGACAATATTTCTGCCATTACATACTACTGAATAGCCATTTCATTTATCCTAAATCAGCTGCCATCAAAAAGTCAGTGTTAAAACTTACCCTGAAAGTCTTTCTCGGACTGAAGAGCCGCACATCCTCTTTTTGATACTGCCTGAAAAAGCAATGTGCTAAGGCTTGCTCTGCAGTTAGACGGGCAGCTGGGTCCACCACAAGCAGCCTAGATATCTGAGCAACATAAGCAAAATGATAAAAACAAGACATAATCCATAGGTTCAGTTTCATGACATTTTCTAGGATAAATTGATCCTCTGAGATTAATTTGTTTTACCAGATCCTTCACAGTGTCAGACCGATCATCCCACTCTGGGGAGCTAAACTGATAGCGGCCCTCCATGATCATCCTTAGCATCAACATCTGTTTACGATGCCAGAAAGGTGGTGAGCCGGCCAGTAAGGTGAAAAGGATCACTCCACAGGCCCAGCTTTTCAAAACATGCAGAGAAACAAATGAGAGAGACAGAAATACTTAAAGAATAATACTTTGTAAATCTACATTAGTATTACTTCAAAGAAAAGAAGAAAATACTTACAGGTCGACCTCTTTGCCATAGCCTGGGTGCATTTCATCCATTGAACATTTTAATATCTCAGGGGCCAAATAACCAGGTGTCCCACAAAGCTCTTGTAGGAACAGAGAAAATAATGATCATCTATAAACACAATATTAACATGTCTGTAATCCTTTATATTTCACAAAACAATACCTCTAAGTTTCTCTCCAGGTTGTAGCTGCACTGAGAAACCAAAGTCTGACAGCTTAAGGTGTCCCTGATCATCCAGGAGAATATTCTCAGGTTTTAAATCCCGATGGATGATGTTCAGAGAGTGGAGGTACTGCACAGCCTCCAGCAGAGCTCGCACCATACTCCTGCACGATAAAGAGTTTCACATAACACCTCACTTGGCCTCTCTTAAATTTGTATAGTACGATGGCAAGAATCAAAATTTCAAAAATCTAAATAAGCTGACAGAATGAGGCTTGGTGGTGTTTACCTGGTTTCCTTCTCACTTAAAGTAACTTTTTCTGTGAGGTAGTCAAACAACTCTCCTCGCTTCATGCTGTAAAGAAAAATAAAGATCATTAGAATCAATTAATTTTGTAAACAAATATGTTTGAGTATTGATTTTTTGGATGAACCACTGCATTTTTGTTGCAATACTCACAGGTCAAACACCAAAAATATGAACGTTGCAGACTCATAAGAGTCAATGAGAGTGACTACAAGGGAATCAACAAGACATAAAAGTGTTGTAACACTTTTAAAGAGAGCATGTGGTTTAAGTGCCTTGAGAACCAAAAAAAGTTGATTTCCAACTTACTGATTGAGGAGTGCCCCTTCACCATGTTGAGGACCTGGATCTCTTTCAGTGTAGAGGTTTTCACCTCCTCCAGCTGCTGAACTGTCATCTTCTCCGCTGTGATCTCAATAATCTTCACTGCCAGCTCCTGACCCGTGTGTCTGTGCACACACCTGCGCACCACACTGCTCACACCCCTGAAACAGCAAACATGTTGAATTGAGCCCGGGTTCCATCTTATATCATAATGAAACCCTGGGATTCCCTAAGCTTCCGGACTTACCTGCCAATCACCTCCTTGGGATCATATTTCTGGTAGAACTCCTTGGCTCCCACCCAGTCCGGTAGTTCATCTCCAACAACGATGTCCTTAGTCATTATGCCAGCAGTTCAATCTGCATCAACAGTGATCTGTCAGACAATGCTGCATGATCTGTAAGAGGAACTACTTAGCTTGCCCCTATCAAGGAAGTGTGTGTTTTATTTGGTTTACTTCTAGTTAGAAAATCATTATCGAGCTTTTCTTGCCTCATATACCTTCATGGTTTCATGTTGTCTAATTAAGCGTTCATGTCCCATCATTTAAGCTAGCTAGCTGTGTCTTTCATATGGCCTTGCTTCAGCAGCAGGTTCACTGACCGTGAAGGAAGCTACTCACCACACAAGCGATCAAACGGGTCAAAGAGACAAGAAGACGGCGAGTCAGCCTATCTGTGCCATATCAGTTTGGAGTATATGTAACAAAGCCATACACAAAGCGACAGTATCAAAATTTCACCACCGACAATGTTAACAATCGTTAGCAAGAACCACCGCACTGTTTACATTCTGGTCACATTCCTCAAAACAGCTTGTAGCCGCTTACTCCAAGGCGCTGCGGTGCTGCCCCCGTGAGGCCGGAGTGAAAAGGGCAGGATGGATTTCTGTCTAGACACGACTATACGGATTTTTAGTAAAACAATAAAATGTAATAATTATTTTTTAAATGCAAGTTTAAATCCGAGAAATTTAGTCAATCTTTTTTTCTTCTTCGTAGTTTCTTAATTTGCAAATAAGACGGGGGGAGGCGGAAACTCAGTTTCGTCATTTCCTGTCGCTTTACTTGATGCCCTGAGCAACATTTTCAGACGCTCCTTGTCAAGGTTTGTGATAAAAATATCACAGAAAGAGGAACATACAATAATCGGAACGCAAAGTTTATGCACAGACTTTCCTTTCAACTCTGTCGTACTTAATCCGTGGAGATTATAGTGGTCGGATATCCGATAATGTGGGAAAAGACTGCCGTTTAGCAAAACGGGTCTCGGAGAATTAACGTTAGCACTAGCATAGCAAGAGTTAGCAAGTTTCGTTAATCTTTGCACAGATGCTTTACTTTAAACTCTTTGAACATTGCTTCATTGAACAACCGTCTATGTAATCAAAGTGGAAACTAATATTTTAATTTAAACATGAAACTGATGATATTTCGAACTAGCTATAGCTTTTCAGTCTGGAGTGAGATGCTAACGCTGCTGCTAGCTGTCAGCAAACAAATGAGTCCTGTTTTTGCTTTAAAACAAATGTTCGTCTCCAATTCTAACCAAATAATATGTCATGTCTGTTTTGAAACTTGCAGGGGAAGGAAAGATGTCAGGTGCAGGGGGAGGGAAACGTCCCTCGGGAGGGGATAGCCCCCCTGGCCCACCTGAAAAGAAAAGCAAGAAAGAGGAGAAGACCACCACCACCCTGATTGAGCCCATCAGAATAGCTGGAGTCTCATCTACGGTGGGTCCTATCTTTCCCTTGAGTCCTTATTCTTGTTCTGTATGTAATATACATACCCACAATCGCTGTTGTTCCTAATGCCGGGGTCTCTTTGTGTTGTGCAGGAGGAGATGGACATGAAGGTCCTCCAGTTCAAGAATAAGAAGCTCTGTGAGCGTCTGGAGCAGAGACAGGCCATGGAGGATGAGCTTCGGGAGAAAATTGAGAAGCTTGAAAAGAGACAAGCTACTGATGACACCACCTTACTTATTGTGAACCGCTACTGGTCACAGGTACATCTGCACTTCTGATATCTTGGAGACATTTTACCATTACACATTACACCACCTTCAGCTAAAAACACAGACTAAACTGACCATATTAAAGGGATATTCCAGCATAAAATTCATTTAGGGTCAAACACACCGTAACACCAAGTTAGACAACCTGTCGAGAGATTTATGTTGCCGACCGCTTGCTTCTCTAGTTATACCAACTTTAGTAACAACCGCACAATAGTAATACACAGCAGTCTGAGGAGCCATAAAAAAATCTCAACCAAAAAGCCACTCTATAGCCACAAATAATGCTCAGAACAACACCTACCTTCATCAACAGTAAATATAGGGTCCCAGCCACAGCAGTAGCCACCAAACATCTTTTTAACCTTGCCAAATTTCTTTAGCAAAGAGACCAAACACAACTCACCTACTCTCTTCCAGCAGCAGCTTGTTTGTATCAAGACCTTGGGCCAGTCCATTACGGACTGCTGTGGGGTGACGCAGCTCAACGAACAACAGTAATGATCATTTCTGTATCATTTTCTTGAAGTAGTAATCACTATATTAATCATTTTGCACTGCAGACGCGGTAGTTCTTCCGCCTTAGCGTCCCGGTCTGATTGCATTTCCATCAAGAAATGATCATAAATGTTCTTCCTTGAGCTGCATCACCCTGCAGCAGTCCATAACGGACTGGCCTGAGGTCTCACTACAAACAAGTGGCTGCTGGAAGAGAGTGGGTGAGATGTGTTTGGAATAGAGAATAGAATAGAATATTCCTTTATTGATCCCCCATGGGGGAAATTTTTTTGTCACAGCAGCATCACAGACAAGACAAAAGTGCAAAAATGCAGTTATAACAATAAGGGTCCTAATATTAAGAACTTAAATAAATGTAATAATTAAGAAAAAAATTAGAAAAGGGAGAAGAAAAAATAAGCTTTCTACAATATACACAATTTAAATGCCAATAGTCTCTTTGCTAAAGAAATCAGGCCAAGTTAAAAAGATGTTTGATGGCTAGTACTGTGGATAGGACCCTATATGTACTGTTGATGACGTTAGGTGTTGTTCTGAGCATTATTTGTGGCTCTAGAGTGACATTTTGGTTAAGGTTTGTGTGTGACTCCTAGGGCTGCTGTGTATTGCTATCGTGCTGTCGTTACTAAAGTGGGTATAACAAGAGAAGCAAGTGGTCAGCAACATTCATCTCTCGAGGGGATGTCTAACTCGGTCTTACGGTGTGTTTAAACCTAATTTAATTTTATGCCGGAATATCCCTTTAAAACCATCTCACATACACAAATTAATTCTTTGCCAAATGTTATGGTAGAGGGGAAAATGGCTGATGTGAGGACTTAGAAGAAAAAATCTGTGTGGCCTGTAAACATTTAAAAACTGTAGCGGTACACGCCATAATGAAAAATACACATTGCTGCGGGAGGAATATGTGGATGCTTCAGCAACACATTGACATATACAGATTTTTTTCTCTGTATTTGTAATTCTCCTTCTGTGACAAACAAACACATGTGCTCCCTGGCCTTTATTCTATTCTTGATTTCTGTGTCCAAAACTTGATAATCCTCACTTTCCTCTCTGTTGTTGCCATAATTCACAACAAACAACTTAAGTCTGGCTCATTTGTATGCATTTTCAATCCTGAAAGAGGATGGCACACACTTGTAGTAAGTAAATAAGACCCCATGTCTTTGTTGATTTTTGTTATCCCATGTTGTTTGCAGTTGGAAGAAGATGTGCACATTCTACGCAAGCAAATAGAGCCAGAAGCTCCGTCGTCATCTACTCCTACCACACCAGCTGCACCTCTTCCTGACCCTTCTCCAATGGAAGTAGACAGGGTCACTCTGGCTTCGCCAACTTCTGTGGTGCCTCCACCTCCACTCCCAGAGGCTCAGAATGAGGGGGAGCAGGCAGATCAGCAGGAGGAACGGCAAGAAGAGTGTCAGGAGGAGCAGCAGCAGCCCCCTCTGCCTACAGGCTCAGAAGATTTGATAACACCCACAGAGCCGCCACAGGACTCAACAACAGGTAAGCAGTTGTTTCATGGATCTTTGAAAGGTCTTGCTGACTAGACTGGACTGCTTTATTCTTTCTACATATTTTACAGTTCAGCCTGAGTTTATTTGATTTAATAGTTTATGGAAGAAATAGTTTTTAAAGTGATAACAAGCACTGTGAGATTCAGTTTGAGGCTTCCGTAGCTTGTGAATATTCTAAAGCATAACAAATAACGTTAAATAGTTTGCAAAATTCTCATTCTCTGCTTTCCTAAACTGTCACATAATGGATGTAATAATTCACAAATATCAATAAAAATGTGAAATTAACTGAGTACACTCAGTTTACATGTTTCTAGATGAAAATGGGGATTAAATACTTTCAAACTTGCTGTTTTGAATCAACCTTGTACACATTCTCTCTTGCTTTGTTCAGATGCTTCCTCGCCTCCTCCTCCCTTAAGCGAGAACGCCAAGGGTTTCCTCACTACCCTGGAGCACAGCAGTGAAGAGGAACTAACCCTGCAACTCCAGGACCGCATGCAGTTCAGCAAGGGAGCCATTGCGTGCTTGGTCTGCGTCTTTGACAGGCTGCATAGTCGCATTGACGACATGTGCAAGCAGGTCCAGGCTGCAGGTAACTTGCCTGTTTCTTAGAGATTCACACAGGATTTGCCCGTTACTCACAACCATCATAACACTAAAGGAAAATGGAACATCTGCAGCACATTTGACATCTTTCATTCTGCACCTGTTTCTTAATGGTTTGGAAATCATCAAGTTGTTTGTAGCTAGCTCTGAGGAAAGCATTGTCTTGCACCATTATAAGATTAACTCTCATTTTGCTTTACTGCTTTTTTTCACAATGGCAGCTTGTGAAGACGACAGTCAGTCTGAAATTATCAGCGAGAACCAAAATCTGCTGGAGGAGAACGTTAGACTGCGAGACCTGGCCACTCTTCTGCAGGGTCGACACCACAAGATGTCGATGGAGGTAAATTTAAAATCTATGTTTGATGTTGCCACTATTTAGTTGTACTCATGCAATGGATGAAAGAGCTGTTGTCGTGTCTTTGACCTTATTGCAGTACAACGAGTTAGTGGACAAGGTGACCAGCTCTGAGACAAAAGTGTCGGAGATGGAGACAACGGTGGAGGACTTGCAGTGGGACATGGAGAAACTCAGTAACAGGGAACAGAAGCTCAACAAACATCTGGCCGAAGCTATGGAGCAGGTGTGTTTATATGAAAGTAGCACATCTCTCTATCGTTTCTGTGTGTTGTCCAATCTGTTTGAGAGGCATAGACTCACGCTGTTACTTCTTTCGTATAGGAGTCAACAACTAAAGACTTGAAGTATTAATGCACATCAACTCAACTGCTAAATGCTCACCTCTCTTTCATGCAATCTTTGATGCACCAATTAGGGATGGGGCCAGTCTGATCCAGTATCGGTATCGGGTTCTGATACCAACGTAATTCATGCATTGGAAATTTCCATTCGAACCTACGAAAATTTCTGATCCATAAGTCATGTCTTTGCTTTAACTTAGTCTCCTGTAGTGACTGTACAAGTGGCTCTTGCTGGTCAGTCTGCTAGGTGGCTGCAAACTGTGCAATGGTGTTCCTGAATGGAGGCGTGTCTCAATGAGACGTAGAGATGAGGCACGCCTCCGTTCAGGAAATCATACGTACATATACTTGCCTGTAGAGAGGAGTTTATTACAGCCTCATAAAATAAACAATAATGATAATAATGATGGTAAAGCTTACAGAGCTTGGAATATTAACGGTTTTAGTAGATATCCAAATTCAGGAATCGAGATCAGATAGGATGTTAAAAAATGTGGATCGTGCATCCCTAGCACCAATATTACTGGCAACTGAAATTAAGACTCATTGATTGAATCTCTCTACAGCTCAAGTCTGGATACAGCTGCACTGGTAGCTCAGGTGGATTACCTGGAGGCCAGATTACCCTGAACATTCAGAAGGTGAGCAGTCATGTGTGATACATGCACTCATTTGCATTTAACAGATTCTGTATCTTGGATGCCATTTTGCAACAGAAAATATGTGTTTTATAGCAGCTAATTCTTCCTGTACCCCTCAATTTTGTTTTCAGTTTGAGAGTCTCAATGCTGAGTTGGAGCACAACCAAGAACTGGCCAACAGCCGCATGGCAGAACTGGAGAAACTGCAGGTGGAGCTCCAAGAGGCTGTGAGGGAGAGTGAGAAGCTCAAGGTACAGAGATGAATTTCACATTAGAGGCAGTGCTAGTCTGTTCATCAAGAGTCCATGCTTTACCTTAGTGTCATCATGTTTCAGTCTGGGACAGTGCACACTTTTTACTGTCGTCCCCTGATTTTTTAAGATGGACTTGCGAAATATTCCAGAAGAGGTTGTAAAGGAGACTTCAGAGTACAAGTGTTTGCAGTCCCAGTTCTCCTTGCTGTACAACGAGTCTCTTGGGGTGAAAACTCAACTGGATGAGGCTCGGGCCCTCCTGCTGACCACAAAGAACGCCCACCTACGACAGATTGAGCACATGGAGGTAATATAGAGAAAGCTGCATTCATCAAAATAAAATGAATCAACACGAATGTTCTTCTTCACAGTTTGATGGTGTTGCTATTCGTTGTACTTACTGTTTTCATAGCAACGCAAATCTAGTCATGTATATAATTACCTCTTCTTGGTGACGTATTCAACTGAGTCCTGTTTTTTAACTCATCAGAGTGATGAGCTGTCACTGCAGAAAAAGCTTAGGACTGAGGTCATCCAGCTGGAGGATACACTCGCCCAGGTGCGCAAAGAGTACGAGATGCTTCGAATTGAGTTTGAGCAGAATCTGGCAGCTAACGAGCAAGCAGGTACGTTTTAAACTCCCCACACCTATCCACATGTCTTTAAAAAGGGCAAGGGGGCATATCTTTAAATGCTTCTTAAGGGTCATAGATATTAAAAAGCCATATTTATCCAGAGTTGAAGATGGAGTAATTTTCAGTACTTGCAGATTTACAAACCCCAATTCAAGTGAATTTGGGATGTTGTGTAAAACGTGAAAAAAAACAGAATACAATATTTGCAAATCCCATGGTTGCTACACAGTTGGAATTTTCGTACTTTTCCATACTGTCCTTTTTGGAAATACCTACTTTTTTGATTTAGAAAAGAGTAATTTTTAACTGCTGAATAACACGGTTATAAATTACTCTTTTCTAAATTAAAAAAGTAGGTATTTGTCGCCTCTGTACTGTTCTAATAAATGACCCTGATGGTCACCCTCAAAATTGTGACTCAGGTGAGAAAGAAGATTCAGCAACAAGTGTGCGCTTGTTGCTACACATTCATGTTGTCATTGAGTAACAGTGGATTAAAGCAGATTGGGGGGTTACTTTAGTTCCACTCTGAGCATCTTGAGTGTGTCCGAGTCCTTTCTCTTCATCTCGTCGCTGCGCTGCCTCTCTCTCTCGCGCTCCCTCTCGCGTTCTCAGGGTTCCTACACAATTATGGAAAGTATGGAAGTAATTTGATCAATTTCCAGGTCTTAAAGTATGGAAAATTAAATATAAAGTATGAAAAATATTTATGTTTACAGACTGTAATACCACAGTTATAAATTACTGTTTTCTAAATTAAAAAAGTAGGTATTTGTCGCCTCTGTACTGTTCTAATAAATTACCCTGATGGTCACCCTCAAATTCGTGACAGTCTGTTAACATAAATATTTTTCATACTTTATATTTCATTTTCCATACTTTTTAAGACCTGGAAATTGATCAAATTACTTCCATACTTTCCATAATTGTGTAGGAACCCTGAAGTCCTTTTCAACCCGTATTCAATCCGATACACTACAGAAGAAAGATATTTTATGTTCAAACTGATCAACTTGTTTTTTTTGAACGTGATGCCTGCAGCACTTTCAAAGAAAGCTGGGACGGGGGCAACAAAAGTCCCAAAAAACTGAGGAATGACTCAGAAACACCTGATTGGAACGTTACACAGGTGAACAGGTTCCTTGAAAACAATTCATGATTGGGTATAAAAGGAGCATCTCCAAAAGGCTCAGTTGTTTACAAGTGAGGTACTTTGTGAACAACAGTGTGAGCAAATAGTCCAACTGTGTGAGAGCATGTCTCTCACCGTACAGCTTTAAGATTTTATCAACTACAAAATATAAAGCATCAAATTCAGGATAAGTGAATATCTGCAAAAAACAACAATGAAGTAGATCGGTTTGAATATGACGCATCTTGTCTTTGCGGTGTATTTCCATTGCATCATCATTGTATTCCGTTTTTATTCACATTTTACATAACGCCCAAATTCATTAGAATTGTGGTTTTTATGTTATTCTTATGAACCATGTACTCATCATTGACAGCATCAGAGGACACTCAGTGACTCAAACCAGAACTACAAGTTGACTCTGCTCGATACAGGTTTGACTGTCATGCTTTTTCTCTGCTCTCTCAGGACCAATCAACAGGGAGATGCGACACTTGATCAGCAGTCTGCAGAACCACAACTTACAGCTGAAGGGAGATGTGCAGCGCTATAAGAGGAAGTTGCGGGAAACCCAGATGGAGATCAACAAGGTAGGTGACGTGATTTATGGAGAAATGGCTGCAGTGTGTCAGGGGTTGTGATGATGCACTTCTGCTCAATTTCACTTTGTTAATCAGTAAAATATCGAAGTTCTAAACAACTTTCTTTGTTGTTGTTGTTTATCGAAAGTTGCGTTGTCAGAGCAGCGACGCCGGGGTTCTGATAATAGAGGAGACAACAAGCGACAGCATGGATGTGAAGAAAGAGGATGACGAGGACCAAGAAGAGGAGGAGGAGAGGAGGAAGGAACTGGAGAGGCAGAGGGCCCGGGAGAGAGAGAGGGAGAGGGAGGCTGAGCGAGAACGCGAGAGGGAGCGCGAGAGAGAGAGGCAGCGCAGCGACGAGATGAAGAGAAAGGACTCGGACACACTCAAGATGCTCAGAGTGGAACTAAAGTAACCCCCCAATCTGCTTTAACCCACTGTTAATGACAACATGAATGTGTAGCAACAAGCGCACACTTGTTGCTGAATCTTCTTTCTCACCTGAGTTACAATTTTGAGGGTGACCATCAGGGTCATGAACCTGAACAAAAAACTAAAGGCCAGAGACCACAAAAAGAGCCAAAAAAGATCAAACTGGAACCAAGATTACATACATACTCCCCTCAAAAATGCGGTCACATGCTGCCACATGTAGAGGCTCAAATCTCCATTGCAATAATTTGTTGTTAAAGATGACAAACTGTAATTAAAGGGCCTTACATCCTCCTCATTTCTGCCCACACATGAGACTTACAGTTTGTAATTAGCGTATTTACTCTTACCAGCGGTAATTTTCTCAACCATGTATTAGTACTCAAGTAAATAAGCTGATCAAAATGCTTATCTTACTGTAACTGTAACCTCTTGTCTACTTCCTCCCCTCAGGAAAGCCCAGGAGTCCCAGAAAGAGATGAAGCTCTTGTTGGACATGTACAAGTCGGCCCCAAAAGAGCAGAGGGACAAAGTGCAGCTCATGGCAGCCGAACGAAAGGCCAAAGCTGAGGTCTTTTCATTAGTTTGTCACCTTTGCTTCATCCGTTTTTATTTTGCATGCCCCAAAAAGTCTTTAATAGCACATTAAATATAGAGCCGACAGTGCTAAAGCCTCACTGTTTGAACTTCAACTGTCCAGGTGGATGAGCTGAGGATGCGGGTGCGAGAGCTGGAAGAGAGGGAGAGGAAAGAAAGCAAGAAGCTGGCTGATGAAGACGCCCTCAGAAAGATCCGGGTCGCTGAGGAGACCATCGAGCATCTGCAGAAAAAGCTTGCTGCTACGAAGCAGGTATGGGTGTATTTCTTTACTAGGGGTGGGAGAAAAAAAATCAATACAGCCTAGTATGGCAATATTTTGTCTGGTGATATATCATCTTGTCTCATTTACCAAGTATTGATTTTTTTTAACTAATTGCTAATATGAAGTCAAATGTATGATAATGGAAAAATTAAATCCACTGTTTGTCCAGTGACGTATTTTTTAAATCAGTTGAAAAAATCGTATCATGGCCCAAGTATTGTGATGATATCGTATCATGTGGCCACGGCGATTCCCACCCCTATTCTCTACCACATAGATCAGGAGGAGCGGTGGCTCGGGCAATAGGCAAAACATTTCTACTATTCAGGTTTTTGTCTGGTACACTTACATTATAACAGGAAAAAGTCCCAGCAGTTTAGGCTGATCATCAGACTTTTTACATGTATCCTGTAACTGTGTAAAATATCAAAAATAAAATATAAAAAATCAACCATAATCCTCCCAGACTTTGGAGCTGTGAAAAATGTCAAATAACCCTGCTGAGAAATGATCTGGTGAAATTATGTGGGACTGCACCACATTTAAATGTGAGCCAGACACATGTAGTGATAATGAAAGTTATACAATGACTCTTACATTTGCCTGAAACAGAAGTTCTCCTAATTTTAGAAGAAAAGAGGAATTGAAACAAAGGTTGTGGCCCTTCATTTGAATGGAATCAGCTGGTGAACTTCATGTCAAAGTCTTCCCTTTTCTTTTTGTTTATTTGTTTTATGTGCATGCTTTTGTTTAGCGTCAGATCAGACTTCTTGGAATCTGAATACTTGGCAGAATTTGTGATTAAGTGAGCAGAAAAGAAAGCGGTTTACCCAGCAGTTTTATTTCTCTCACAAACATCTGCCAGTTTCATTTTCGTCAACTTGTAAAAAAACAATCAGATAAGATAACAGTCTATTTTTGACAACTTCTTTTTTTTCTTTTTCACTGTGTAGCTCTTTAGTAATGTATTTAACACCTCACTGATCTCTGTACTGATTATTTTTTTTAATTCTTTGAGAAATTGTTTAAGCTCTGCTTGAAAAAAATGCTGACATTTCAAAGATGCCTTAACACAAAGATGATAAAAAACATCTTTTGGGTGTGGCAGGTCTTTCTGGGTGAACCACCCCTGATAAAATTCGAGTATGTAAAACACATGTCAGGTCTGAGCTCACTTGCTTCGAAGAACGTCCTGACTCTTCTGGTGAATTTCATTGGAGAGTCAGAAAACTAGGCAGACGTCACTGGATGGAAAAAAAAAAAAGAAACTTTTACAGCTTGGGTCAAATTTTGGTCAAGTTAAAGCTTGAGCTGTGCGCTTAGTGGATACACCCACATTAGATAATGTAATTCTGTCACACTAGTATTCATCCTGCCATCATTCTCATGAGGGATCATCAGTGTTATCAGCTTATCAGATAATGTAACTCACATGATTCTCATCCTTGTTGACCAAAGACTCGTTGATTCTTATAGTGTACCTGTGAACTCCCCACAGCCCTGTTAACACTGGGCATTAACACCCAGCCTGGGAGATCTTTAAATGTACGTCATGTCACACCTGGCATTGGAGTGCGTCTCAAGTGACCACCTTTAACGGGACCACCTTAAAGCTGCAGGCGGCCTTACATTAGTTCTCCGACTGTAATTAAATACAGGAAATGACACTGAAATGTTCAAGTGTTACGACTGAAGTTTTAACTGTTGTTCCACACGAGTTTATGAGCACGCAGGAGACAGACGTTGAGATCAGAGAGCCTGCAGCTCCTCCTGCCTGGGAGGTCTACAGGACTCAATCATGAGACCCAGCTAGTCAAGCCCAACATAGTCCAGACTGTGGCTGATTCACCATCTACATTTAATCTTTTCCTTATGTATCAAGTTTAAGTTTAGTAACAACTTAACTGTTTTGGATTTAGAGGAGCGGAATATGTTCTCCTTGGTCCACAACTCCCACAATTTATCTAAATTATCTCTGTGATAGAATGTGTCCAATAAAGCTAAGCTTGTAAGTTCATTCAACTTTTATTTATTGTGACAGGCCTGAGTTGGCTTTTAACCCACTGAGCATTTTTTGGTCTAAAAGAGGTCTGATAGACGTCTAAATGTAGACTGGTCTAAAATCAGTTTTTTTATACGTCTAAATTAAGACCAAGTTTAGACCATATCTAAATCTGGGCTATATCTTTACTACACTGTATATTGCTCAATGGCTATCATAATTATTTTGGTTACGTTCTTGGAGATCAGTTATGCAACTCACAATTGTTTCTTGAAATAAATAGTTATTGAATAAAGGGTTAAAGTGCAACATCTAAATTCTGTCTAAAAAAATCTAGGTGATCAAAATTAGGTCAAAATTAGGTTAAAAAATCTAGACATCTAATAGCTGTCTATTGCTCAGTGGGAAGTTAACTGAGAAGGCTGAGAAGATGCTTTTGGATAAAGGGACATTACCTGATGGTGCAAAGATAAAGTTTTCTTTCATTTAGTCACTGACTTGTGGTTTTGTGTGGATTGAGAAGTAAAGGAGTTAGGATGATGTGATGCTGAGAATGACTATTTGGATCAACACAAAGAAAAAAAACTGAGATGGTAAACATTGCAACACATGGACATGTTTAATAATGTCCTGGGTTTTTTATTCAAAATGTTGACTTTCAAAGAAACATAACTGATGACTTGTAACTTTCCCCAAAAATGGACTTAATGAAACTAAAGCTGTCTATGTTTGGCCCCATTAGAAAAGCCTAACATAGGGTAGACATCATGACCTCGAATTCACAACAGTGTTTTTTTTTCTTTTTCCAATGGTGGTATTGTATTGCAGGATTAAAAGATAGAATTGTGCACTTGCTGTGACCTTTCCCCCTCATACAAGTCTGCAATGATATCCTTATATCTCTCTGACTCTTGGAAACTGTTTGACGGTTTTAGACAGTCTTTTCATTTCTCAGGACTTTGTAGAAACCGATCGGTGTGAATTTTGATTTCTCTGCTTTCTTCCAGTTTGTAATTTCAGACACATCTAATTTACCTGCTTGAATTGTACCAAGATACTGCCGCTAAAAACATGCCATTTATTTGACATGACTGTTTCAGAATACAGGCATTTCCGCTGCACAACAACCGGAGTCTTTAATTGTGGAGAATTTGGAAGAAACAACGGGTGTTTGATGAAATTAAAATGAACTAAGCTTTGGCAGAGTTACAGTTAGCGCCTGGATGAACAAATTGCTCATTTGTCCAGTTATAATGAATACATGTGACTCAAATCTCTGCATGGCTGTTACTTACCAGCATCAGATTTAACAGAAAAGGCGTAGAGGTTTACTTGAGTGCTGTGTTATTGTTCATTTTGATTGTAAACACTGCTAGATCCTTTGACATGAGGAGGAGGTGGTGTCCTTTGGTCAGTGAGTGTGGTTTTGCTCTGAAGTATCAGAGTGGGGTTGACACAAGCAAAGGACTCAGGTTCAGTATACATTGTGGCTACAGATCAAGTGTTACACTTAAGTAGCCATGTGTGTGTTTGGGGAAGTAAATTTCTGTTATTTATGTGCATAAAACTCGGTTCTGAAACTGGTACACCACCCGCCCATGCTTTATCTTTGCCTCTGGGCAACTTCTCATTGTTTTTGATCCCTTCCTCTCGTGTCTTTCGAGGAGGAGGAGGCTTTGCTGAGCGAGATGGACGTGACCGGCCAGGCCTTCGAGGACATGCAAGAGCAGAACAGCCGCCTGCTGCAGCAGCTCCGCGAGAAGGACGACGCCAACTTCAAGCTGATGAGTGAGCGGATCAAATCCAACCAGATCTACAAGCTGCTGAAGGAAGAGAAGGAGGAGTTGGCAGAACAAGTTCTCACATTTAAAACACAGGTGGCTTGTCATTTCTCATAAACCCCCCAAAAATCTAACACTGATACTTCAAATTTTTAACTTGGAGCGCTGCCTCATTTCAGGTCGATGCCCAGCTGCTGGTTGTGCAAAAACTTGAGGAGAAAGAGGGTGTTCTTCAGAGCACGCTCGCTGCTCTGGAAAAGGAGCTGGCCGTCCGCACACAAGCACTAGAACTGAACAAGAGAAAGGTGAGAGCAGGGATGTCGTCAGTCATCTTGTCAGCTCTTGCAATTAAGATCTTCTAATGGCAGCATGGTTTGATTGCTGCCAGATGTTCCTATGTGTAAACACTGAACAGCATTAATCAAGGGGTCCTGATAATACCATGTGTACACATAATCGTTTGGGTGTGTTCGGCCGCTTGTAAAAAGTTATTAAATCAAACATTTGTGGGGTTGCTTCCAGAAAACATTGCATTTATGAGGTGAAATGTTTGCAAATTAGACCCACAGTCTGCCCCGATTCCCTTACTTGTGATTTTGCCAGTAGTTGAGATTCTTCTCAGGGAGCATGTTGCTGGTGATTGCCTGGGTTGTTGTCCAAAATCTGTTAGACGATGCAAATATTAGTGAGGGTTGGTATTGTTTGAGAGATTGTCTCATTGATTCTGGGTGTATTTTTTTCACATAGAAGAACCATAAGAATAGAATTAAAAGCTAACAAAAACCACACAAAAAGGACTTCATGCTCTAAGTGAAAACAGAGGTAGTCTGGAAGCAGTGAAGATGATCTAAAAGCATATGGTATCCTGTGGAAAATGGTCGTCAGTGCTGGAAAAAATATACACAATCAGCATTAACAAGATAAAACATCTCAAACCACCAATGTTGTTTGAACTGGTCTAACCCTTCAGTCTCTAAAGCGCAGAGACCAAACTCAGAATGCCAAGTTCTGTCTAAGCTCAGTGTACCACCGCCACCACTCTGCAGCCCAGGAATCTCATCATTAGGTAATTTTTTTTTATTAAGTGTATCCGGTTCCTTCCCTCCTGCAGGCGGTGGAAGCCGCCCAGCTGGCAGAGGACCTGAAGGTGCAGCTGGAGCACACACAGGCCAAGCTCAAGGAGATCCAGGTTTCTGTGGCTGAGAACCGCACTGCCCGAGAGAGGGAGAGCAGCAACCTGAAACGAGCACAGGTATGTTGCACTTCAGTCAGTGCGTTTACATGCACAGCTTAATCGGATTAAGCTCGTAATTCGTTTTCTTTGCCAACTCGGACTTCTCTCCTTTTCCGCGTGTACATGAAGCTGATAAATCGAATTATTGACGTGAACGTGTCCTCCTCCCCAAAACTAGGGGGCAATATGGGTCTTTTCAGCGTCGCTGTTTACGGACCTTTTTTAAAGATGTCTCCGTTCCTTGTTTTGCGACCTTCTGTATACTTTTAAATTAACATGCATTGTCCGATCATACTCCGACTTAGGCATGTGGCGATATGAAAAATTTGATATCACGATATTGGTGGCCCAAATATCACGATTCATAATATTATCACGATATTAGCGCATTGTTTTTAAAAATGGCAAAAAACTGGGAAATAGCTTCTCTGTGCACAGCATTACACATAAACGAATAAGAGCAAAAAGCAGCTAACTCGACGTTGGGAGCATTAGCTTTTTGGAGCTAAAGTTAGCAGAAACGTCACTAACGTTGTCAATAATAAGCAGTAGAGTAGAACAAACTTGTTGCGGTCATGTTGATTTTACCTTGGTTTCGGCGAACAATTCTGGATGGTGTTCACAGGGTAGGGCACGTAGGTTTGAAGTGTTAGACAACGGTGCTGCAACTTCCTTACGGCATGACCTGCAGATTGGTGTCAGGTGTACCTGCTCCGTCTGTTTTGTGAAGCCGTAAAACGTCCATACTGCCGACGAAACCTTTTTAATAGGAGGATATAGCCGAGGCGTTTCGTCATTCTCAGCCTCCGACTGTTCTTGGTCCTGTGTTATGCCATAAATTGCACCCCTGACAGGAGTGCGGTTGAAAGTACATAACAAGGTGAAAATAATCCAAGTTTTCCTTACCGTTGGGTGGATTCAAAAGCGTGTGCCTTTAATGATTTAATTCAGATAAGCCGAAAACAATAGCCCTCTGATTCGGAATATTTGCTGTCCCGCAAATATAATGCTCTGTACCTTGACAGCTTACTGTACAGTTTATGTACCCAAGTACACTTCTAAATGTGCATTTTTGGGAGACCAAAAAACTGCTCCATTTGACATGTTGTCATGATCCAATACTCGTGTTTTTCAAATATCAGGTCATATCTCCTCCACTTAAAGAAGCTAATGAGTGGATGGGATGCATTGTGGACACGCTCCAACAGTGCTTTGGGTGGCCACAATGCATTGTGGGTGGCCAAACATTTTGTTGTAAAATCTCTTCATTTTCTCTTTTAATGTTCCTGTTTTTGTTAGGCTGGCATTAATGTACTTAATTTGAGAGTTTTTTGGATTTGGGACTACTTTTGTGGTGGTTTGTTTGTACATTTTTGTACCAACACCGTGGGTAAGACTACAAGTTGGTACAGTGGTTCTCAATTCAGTCCTCAAGCCTCCACTGTCCTGCATGTTTTGGATGTTTCTCTGCTCCAACACACCTGATTCAAATGAACAGCTCGTTATTAAGCCATTACAGAGCTTGATAACGAGCTGATCATCTGAATCAGATGTGTTGGAGCAGAGAACATCCAAAACATGCTGGACAGGGGGGGCTCGAGGACTGGATTGAGAACCACTGGGTTAGTAAGTACTTGGCTTCACTTGACGCTGCCACTCGTCTTTAAATCATAATTGTCGAATGATTATTTCAGTACCTTACGATTTCATCATCGCAGCCGTTTAATATTGCATATCGCGATTAAATCGTATATCGGCACATCCCTACTCCGACTACACTGGTTACATGGTAGAGAAAATCGAATCCCAATCGCATTATCTGGGTGTCTTAATCAGAGTTCCCTGATTCCAATCGGAGTTTGAGAACTTCGTTTTTTGTCGCACTAAGGTGTTTACATGCACTTTGGTTAGGCAATAATTTGGTGTCGTGTAACTGTACTGACTGTTTAGACTTACCACCCCTGAAGCCACACAAATTACATCTGAGCTTCTTACAGGAAAATCAAATCGGAACACATCGTAAAATCTCTCTGATACCTTGTAGGAGGATCTGTCCAGGCTGAGACGGAAACTGGAGAAGCAGAAGAAGGTGGAGGTGTACTCTGATGCTGATGAGATCCTGCAGGAGGAGATCAACCAGTACAAGGTGAGAGAAAAAGAAGACCTCGTTTTGTGCCATGAAATTTATGACTTTAATCAGCCTCTGTTTCTGGCGAGCGATTTCATAGACGCTAACAGCTTCAAGGCACAACTTGCAGGAGACTTTTGTTGTTGACAGATCTAAAACAGTGTAGTAAAAGAGTTATACGTCATAATGCAAAATACTACACTTTGTAATTTGCCTAATTGGCTGGCAATGGCAGCTAGTCATTCATGAACGAGAGCCAGAAAATGAGCTCAAAGCTCACCAGAGTTATTACAGTCTCTCTGTGCTTTGGGGATAACAAGAATCTAATGCGTTACACCCTCAAGTGTTAGCAGTGGTGGTGTACAACGGATGAAGGTAATGACGGTGTTGGCAATGAAGCGTTAAGGCCCCTATAAGCACATATTTATTTATGTGTCTCCAGGCCAAGCTGCGCTGCCCCTGCTGCAACACACGAGACAAGGAGACGGTGCTCACCAAGTGTTTCCACGTGTTCTGCTACGAGTGCCTGAAAATGCGTTACGACACCCGGCAGAGGAAGTGCCCCAAATGCAACTGTGCCTTTGGAGCCAACGACTTCCACCGCATCTACATCACCTAATCCTCGGAGAGACGGGAGAGTGGAAGGAGAAGAAAGCAGACAGAGCCAAAGGAGGTAGAAGATTTGAAAAAAGGACAGGGACTGGAGATCGAGTTAAAGACACTGTGGGGATGTCAAACGAGTGATTCCCTGTTTTAATCTCTCTTTGAAAGACTTAATCTCCCTGCGTTATCATTGCCACGCGGTGATTAATCTGGTGACCAAACAGATAGCATTGTACTGTAGTTAATAAACAGTTGTTTGTGAACATGGTGACATTACTACATGTGAGCTGCTCTGCACTGTTTTACCTGTCCTCATCATTTTTTGTAATGCTGAACATCCTCTCTCTCTCTTTCTCTCTCCCTCTCTCTCTTTCTTTCTCTTTGTTTTGTTTTACAAACTTGGCCCCTTTTTAAACATGTCTTTAGTTTTTGTTTAATGCATCCAAAAAACTTGGAACTGCAGTGGTTTATCCCCCTGAAGTGTTTCTTTGAGTTGTTTTGTCCTGCTGCTTTTGAAAACCCTGTAAAAATAAGTGAAGCTGAAACTTAAAACTTCGTAATTAAAAGAAGCTATCCTCTTCAGACTGGAGGATTGCATGTGAAAAACTCAATATGTTTCTGATATATGAAGTCAAACAGCCCAGAATTGTCTTACATCCTCTGTTAGGCTATAGTATTAACAAAAGCCTGAGAGACGTCAGAGAGTTTGGCACCAAGTCAGCACATACAGGAGAGTTTGGATCACCTTGGGCAAAGCTCCTCTGTGTGTGTTCATCCTGTTACCATGGCACCAATTGGAGAGGTTGACACAACATCTGCAGCTTATAGTGCCTCATTACGGATGAAATCACTGCAGTGGAAAGTCAGCTCATATGGGTGTCCTTAGTGGGCCGTGCAGCTCCAGGTCTTCAGAGCGCGCCTTTGTAAAGGTTACCGTGACAGTGGAGTACAAAAACATCTGTTTCACAACATGCTTCAAACCTAATTGAGCCAATGAAACCTCTTTTTTTTCTCCCTGCGTTCTGATGATGTGAACTATTTACTGGGAGGATGGTTAGCGTCTGTTTGACGTTAGTTCATCTGGGAAAGGCGGTTCACACCATGTAGCGCGCACATAAAACGTTCCAGGCTGCGGAGGAAAAGAGCGAAAATGTGAAAGAAAAAAAAGTTTATCAGGCATTTGGGAACAGTTAGGTAAGACTTCCTCAAGAATTGGCTGTAATATTTGGAGAAAATAATTTGAATACAAGGGGCAGTGGATGTTTACCCAGAAGTATCTGCGTTTGTAAGTCAGCAGTTTTCACTCTCTTTGCGCTCAGGGATTATTTGTGTGGCAGACAGCACAGATGTTGCCATGGTAACTGATGGTCTTCATTAATACATGAGACAATACTGTGACAGGGGCCAACCTGATCGCACTCCGGGCATGCGTCCACTAGCGTTTTTGTTATTGCATATTTGTGCAGCAGCAGCAGCAGGCTACACCCTTCTCCAGGCATTAATAACACCACCACCCCGCGTCAGGGACACTCGCTATTCAAATGTCAGCAAAAAAACCCACCAGAGTTGTTTTGTTTCTGCACAGGGCACCCAAGTGAACAGAGATAACGCCTTATCTAAGTTTTAACTTTCATTCGGCTGTTCCCAGGGGGTTGGAAAACAGATAGTTTTTCTTGTGAATGTCATCTGTTTTTGCCTGTTGCTCTTCTGCTGCGTATGGGACCACGCTTGTGCCAGAGAGTTGTGTTTTTTGGCAGAGGGGAGTGAATGACGTCGACAGGCGTGGTAATAACAATGAGAAGACTATTAAATCCAGACTACACGGACTTTAAGCTGCTTCAAAAAAATGTGGAGAAATGCCTGCAGGGTGTGGCCCCTTAAAAAATATGAAATTCTTCTTCTGAAACTTTCATACCTGAGGCGGTTTTTAATTGAAACTTTCACTTGAATTCAAAGCAGAATGAAAGCCGCACACTCTGGTCGAGGAGTTTCCTGTGAGTGCGCACAGAGAATCCGAGCAGTACAGTACATAGGAAATGACTCATAGGAGTTGAACTGTTAGCGTGGGTGTGTGCGCTATTAAAACAAGGCGCAGACTCCTCCGGGTGACTCACTCTGATGCTCGCTTTTCCATGCTCAAACCCAGCACAGCACGGATTGTTAATCAGATGAACTTTCGGGAATCGTGTAGCCGACAGCGAGCAGCTTTTCTCCCGCAGACATCATGACTTCCAATACTCTCTGCGCGCTGTGCGGACTTATTATAGCAGCTGTGACCAATTTCTACGGCGTGAGCGCACAGAAAAGTAAGAAAAAATAATCACTTTTTATTTCAAAAAAACTTTTTATCTTCTTATCTCTTAAGTCAAACTCTATTTTAATTAGTTTGTCGTTGTTCTGTTATATTACTGATTTTGTTCAATACGCATAAGTGAGATGTTTGTGTTTCTGTGAACATGAATAACAGTCCGGTGGTCTGTTCTCCCAATAATGGAGTCAGATAGTGGGTCTGCCTACAAAGCCGCTTCCTTTACCAGCTGCATTTCTCACCGGTTCCGCATTCCGATCTTCTTATTTCACCCCGTCCATCCGTACCCCGGGGAGAGAAGGACCGGCCACATGGAGAGGGCACACTACCGGTGTCCATTTTACGCATAATCACATTTTCCTGACGCCAAGAATCTTAAAGATAACATGCCCTTGACTTTGTGTCCCGGGCAGCCTGAAGTTTGGATTTCATCCCAGCAGGGAACACGAGACTCTGGTTGCACTGAGAACATGAAATCTTGAATAATTACTCTGCTCAGGATTTATTTCCTCAGGCGTAAATGTTACCAAGTGCATTTTTAAACATGCTTAACTCCAAACATGCTCCATCTAGAGTCTCTCCGTGAGAAACTATCTCTACATCTGGACCTCAGCTGTAGATCCACCCACCCCCTTCCAGTTTATGACCAAACACAGCACCCCCACACCCAAAAAACAACCTCTGTCAGGCTAGGTGCTGAGATCTGCCAAGGTCGCTTGGGAAAACAAAAAAAATGGCTCTAAATTTGTTCCAGATTTTAAGTACAGGAACAATGAGAGACTTTTCAAAGCTGCCAGACTGAATCACTTCTTTCTTACCCTTTAATTTAAGCGCAGAAACATGTTGCATCATGGGTGTAATCAGCAGGTTGAGGTTCAGATGTGGTTTGTGTTTGAACAGTGGTCAACCAGCAGTCAAGGTTCAGTTCCTTTCACTGACCTTTTGAACCTTTGCAGTGAGAGTCCAGATGACCCTGTTGGATGATGTCAGGCTGAAATCAGAATGGGAAGTGCTTACAAGAACTGTGACACATTTTTTCTGTGACCACGGCTGTAAAATGAGTCAGTCCAGCTCTGCTAGCGGGCGGCCTGTGAGTCTCCAGGGGACCCAAGCATGTGGCTGTAACATTAACAGAGTGAGAGGTCAGAATGCCTTAAACATGACTTGCTGAGCAGGTGCCTTGTGACTCCAGCTGGTTCAATAATGACCTGTACTGATTGTTTGACAAGTTATGTGGCTGATGTGAACCGAATGAATTTTCATTCTGGGCCTGATTTTGATCTGTTAGGATGTTTGTTTCCAGGTGATGACAGGAACCTTGGCTATTACACTGGAGTCAGGGTTGTAGGAAATCTGCCCTGCTTAGTTATGCACCCCAAGGTCAAAATTAAACCATCAGGGCCTTGGATACGGTGGTTTTGAGTCTTAGGCTTGGCGTGCAAAACACCTGATACTAAGTTCACACAGTTCAACCAAGGGCCTACTTCTTTTAAAGTACATACCTGCAGGGTGCATAGCATGCTTTCTGTTGAAAAGGTAACAAAAAGGTGTACGCCCTAACAAAGATAACCTCTGTGACATCACTTTGACATCTACCTGTCAAAATAAGATCAATATCAAGGGAGTTAAGAGCATTTTCAACACTTTCTGTGAGGTGAATGTTAGCCCTTAAAACTATCTTTGGTTAAAACAAAACATTTATAAAACTAGACTCTCCCACTACTTGTGAGCAATCTTTACTTCTGTACCACTGAATCCCATTGACTCACATTTTACTTTTTATCTACCACTCCTGTCTACGACTACTCCAAAATCCAGTCACGTTTCAATTATCTATCATTTACAATTGGAACTCAGACTTCTTATGTAGTTACATTTGTAAGACTGTTTCAGGCTTTGGCAGGTAAACTATCCAAAGAGAGTCCAACAAAGCCACTTTAATACTACTTGTGGAAGCTTTAAATAAAAGATTGACATTCGGTAAAATAACTGAAATCTATACACTTCATTCTTGTTTAATTTCTCTGTAACTTTGAAGCATCTGTTGTAGTCTCACTTTATTTGTTTGTATCATAGCTTAGAAACTCAGCTGGATGCCACAATACTCCTCTTCAGCTGAACTTCTTACAGTCATCCCATTACTTTTGTTTCACATCAGACTCACCTCTCTCATAGTTTTGGTCTTACTTTCATGTGTGATTAATCCAGTGAGTATAAAGTTACCGCAAATGATGAGTCAACATAGTTTCAGAGTTGGTCCCTGCCACAACAGTCCATGCAAATACACACACAACTCTAACAAGGAAGAAAGTTTATCATTTCATCTGTTTAATATCTGCAAACTAGTTCCTGTTGCTTTGTCATGTCTAGTGTTGTTTCATTCATTCATTCCCACAGTTGTACTATTCTCTGTGTAAAGTTGAACTGCTGTGTTTCAGTTTGTGAGCTGAATACATTAAAGTTTTCAGTAGGTTATTATTTCATCTCTTCTTCACCCATGAGCAAGACAATAGACAATGTGGCTCATGCCCACATATTTCAGGTTAAAACAGCATACTTGTTCGCCCACACCCTGCAGACTTTTCTCCTTCGCTAAGAATTGAAGATTTCCCTTATTCCTAGAGCCTCACTACCAGTTTTCTACTATCTCGCTCTCGGTTAATAGCTGCGAGTGAGTGGCGACTTGAGCTGTTGTGATAAAATATCTTGTTTTAACTTAAAATATTCACAGATTTCCATCTGAATCTTTTGCTGTTAATTATCCCAACCATTACTATATTAACTGCCACGTAAAGAAGCGATAAAGGTTTGTGAGATGAGCTTATTTTCTAAGACTTGAAACAGTTTGTCATAACAGCATTTGAGCTTCCCACCCTGAGGGAGAACTCAGAGAAAAATGTTCTCTGTATGAGGTTGGTTTATTCTTAATGTAGGGTTTGTTTATTTTGTCAGCTAAAATAAACCTTTTTTCATGTATGACCTTGAATATTAATGCACTTGTGTCTTCAAACAAAAGCCAGGATGCTTGAGAAGACCACCAGCTATTAAAACACTGAAACAGTCTCTCTGCTCAGCTTGTTATCGGTGCGTCATATCATCCTGCTAATTCCTTCCGTATCATCTGGGAAGTGCTCAGCTTTAATTGTTCAGCTGTCTGCCTCCTGTAAGAGGAGATGGAGCTCTCCATTGTGTCCACAGACTTAGATATGTACCGTCTGAACTTCTCACAGTCACGTTTGGTTTTTCTCTAGAAGTCGCACACGTACAAAGAAGCAAAACAATTCAAAGGAAACGCTAAGTAAAAATCACATCCTGCTCTTCACACACTGCCTGCATGTTCACACACCAAAAGTCATTGAGTAATACTCTCATCGAGCAGTAACTTTGCATCAGCATGTCTGAGCCAAAGGAATTTCCCAGTTTCACTTAGCAAGAAGCCACAAAAGTTCCTCATGTGTTTTGTTACGGTCACACGTTGTACTGTCTTAGCTTAGATTTTCCTGCAAGTCACCTGGTTACTGTTTGTTTAAGTTTCACTTTATTCCAGAGTTAGGGAATTTTGGTTGCATCATCTCTAAGTATTACCTCCACTTCATAACTTTCCAGACAGTTAAGCAGTGTGAATTATTTCATAAATTGTGGAAAATGTTGTGCCCGGAGCCCTGCTTTGACAAAATGTTTCCTACTCAAAGACATAAAAGTTACATAACTAACACATGCTTCTTTCTGTGTGCAGGTCAGTGTGGAAATTCAGAGTTTTGGAACTCGGATATTGGTGTCTGTTTGTCGTGTTCATCGTGCAAACAGTACCCAAAGACACCATCATGCAACACATGTAAGACAGAGAATAAAAGAATGAATATGTTACTGAATATCTGGCAGTTATGCTCTGATAGTTTACACACTTTTGGCACTATCAACAGGTAAATCTGTGGACGAGCCATATGATGGTTGGAAGCTGGCAGCCATCACAAGTTTCTCAGTGCTGGCAGTCGTGTTGGTTGGTGCTGCGCTGATTATCGGGATCATGGTGCATCGACGGAAGTCACACAAGCGGCCTCTACGTGGTAAGATGAAGTGCAAGTTTTAGGACAAGGACACAAACAGCTGTTACAATTGTTTCGTGTTATCTGGTCATTTCTGCTAAGAAAAAAAAAAGATGAACATAATTCACTAACAGAAGGGTTTCATAGTTTACTTCAAACCACTGTGCCATTACTGTGTATTTTCTGTAAAGGAATGAAGCAACACCCCATTTGAGTGACTTATAACAGGGATAAAGAGCCGTTATTTATGAGAGGATTACTTCAGTTGAGTAATACTTCAAAAGAGCGTGTCATGTCCCCGGTGCAAGTGTTTCTTGGTAACAAGAGAACGCAGTGTTCAATTCACTGTTTTGGCATGCAGAGTTTTGCAGCTGTCACAGAAAGTCAAAATTGAACAGAAAACATCTTTTCCTGCCTGTGTTGTTGAGAGACAACAGGCTTTTTCATCCAAGAAGCCATTTTTACACGTTACAGTGGGAAAAAACTCAACTGTGAATAATAAAAATGAGGGCGGCTGCTCTTGGTATGACTGGATCACTGTTTATTTTCTTTATCACTGGTTACTGAGACACTGGTCAAAATACAAGAAAATGAAAATGAGATTTTTGTTTTGCTGAAAAAGGAATAATCTTCCTTTTTATTGTTTTATTGCAGAACCTATTGAGGAAACAGCGGGGCCACTTTATCAAGCTTAAACATTTCAGTAAGTGTCACCTTCACTTGTCTCAACTGAGAAGAGAGAGTATAATAGTTCAAAGAAACCTAGTTAGTCTAGACTATTAACCTTTGGAACAAATATATTTATTTCATCAAATCAAGCCGTTTTGGGTGCTAAAGTATTTTTCATAACAATGTGCTCGCTAGCTACGTATTCGTTTGATGCATATAAACTGCCACAAAGTCTTGTAGACAAAAGTTAAAGGTCTGAGAAGAACGACAAATTAGGTTGGACAATCGTGATGAATATATAAGATTTCAATACTTTTACTGCTTATTTGTCACGTTTTGGAGTAAACCAGACAAACTTTAGCATTACAAAAAACTGAATCATTTAAATCTCCTGGTTTGTTGGTTTGGTGAATGTTGAGAGAAGTTAATATATATTATGCTTTCCACAGCCTCATCTTCCTCTGAAAACAGATGTGACAGAAGCAAGGAGCGGCTGAAGCAGAGCCGGACGGAGGAACCTCTGGACCATAAACTGTGTACTCTGACTGCAGGGTATCTCCTCTCCAGAACCGGACCATTTTTATTTATTAGAAGAGATGTGCTTGAGGTCTTCCTACTGGAGTTACAACCTGTAACTCACACCTCTTTAGGAGTAGAAACAACATCATATCAGTGGTATCATTCTCAGATTATGTGGGCCTTCATACTCCTCTTATATGAGATTTTTTTGATGTAAAAAACCTCTTCAGGGTTTATAAATGGTTGATTTAGAAACAAGAAAAAGCGGTCTTCCTTTAGAGAGATGGATACTTTCCAAGTCTTCCATTGTGCTGTTGTCCAGCAGGACTCCAGTGAATGTAACACAGCTACTGCTGCCTGCTGGGCCGCAGTTTGATCTCCTGCTATTCAGCGGGGCTCGACGGGGTCTTTCTGCCGGTCAGTTACAACAACAGCCTCTTTAAGATCAATCACATGTGAGTAAGACAAACTGTTCGGCACATTAAGGCCATTTGAATGTAGCTACCCTCACAGAAATGTATCCTAGCCTTTTGCCCTGCCAGTACCTCAGTGTACCTGTTGTTTTTGTAGCCTGATACAGTGATAAAGCTGGTGATTAACTGTACTCATCCACTGTTACAGCCTGTTTGGCCCAACTCTTACCCGACCATTACATCGTTGCCTTGTATCTTTTAATATTTCAGTGCTTCAGAGATGTCTGTGTGATCTTTTTGCTCTTGAACAATTCCAGAAATTATACATTTTCTGTCCGCAGAGAGCTCTTAGGACAGGATGTTTGAAACACTAGACACATGCACCCAAACTGCTAACATGTGGGAATGCTGCGAGGAATGTACTGTAGTGAAGGAAATGACACCTACAGAGTTTTAGGTGGAGCCACACAATCACCATGCTTGCTGACTCCCAGCATGCAACGGGGCAAAAAGATAAACGCTTGGATGTCTTTTATTTTGTAGCCTTTAAAAAAAGAGAAGCAAAGGATAGGTTGCCGTTTTTTCACTTCTCTCATAACTCATGCTGTTTTTTTTGTTTAAAACATTTCACAGTATGTAGTTACTCATTTATTGTGTGTGACTGACAATGTTTCAGGTCATATTATTTTGGATCTGTCTGCTCATTGCCATTCAGGTGGCAAAATCACTTCATACCCTCCCTCTTCTTCCCTTTCTTATTTCTGTAAATGTTAATATTATTTATTTTTAAGGTATCTTGCAGAGTTGTCTCACATCATCTGCAGGTGACAAGCACACTTTCTAAGGGACTCCAGTGAAGATTTGTGTTAAACTTCCATAAGGCCAGCCAATAATGTTACTGAGCAATAACTAACATTTTCTTCTTTCTTCTCTTGCTTTCTGTTACTAATTGTAAATACTGTACATGCACTGGCTTTTTTCTTACTGCAATTTTCTTACTTGCTTTATATACCAAATGTATTTTCACAATAAAACTGACAACTTCCAATGATTATGTGACTCTTCTAGTGTTGAAAACTGCAGAGTTTCTGCAGTGTATCGGGATGATCTGAAAACACACAGCCAAGAAAGAAGCACATCAAATTTTCAAATCTTTTAATTCATTTCAACTAGTTTTATTTCAATAGTTTGCTTGTATCCTAATCTAAGTTCTAACAAAGAAGTAGAAATCTACATTTCAGAGTGACAAAATAGTTATATAAATATGAATTAAATAGTGAGCAGACATTTTGAGCACTGAAAATCCAATAAATCATCCTTACAATATCTTGTATATGATTTCTTTTAATTACACAACAGCTAATCTAGCAGTTTTCTCCTGCTGCTGAGGGCCTTTTCGGGAACATACAGAGATCCAAGTGATGTTTTCATTCCAATATATACAGAGGGAGCTCTGACATTAACACAAACACCAGGATGTGGGTGTGACAGATGACGGAGAAGTGAACATTATAAGTGCCACATGAGGTTTGAGATCAAAATAAAAAAATTAATTCAATAAAAAGTGTGCAAGTGTTGTATCACATGAAGGCTACCATGGCATGAGGAGATACAGTATAATGACCCAAACCTTTACAAATAACACAGATAAATAAATTAAAAAATTAACCCGAAATGGCAAGTTGTTAAGTATTATCAAGGCTAGTATCAGTACATACAACCAGATGTCTTCAGATTCAAAACAGTAGTAAAAAAAACAAATGAGATGTGCCTTATTTTATGCTCTAAAACAACTCTTTCTGCATATTGCTTTAATATAACTACCTACGAACTAGCTGAGGTAAACTATCGCACAGCCAACTTTCAGTCCTCTTTAGGCTACAAGTGTGTCATCCACGTGTGCAAATATAACTCCAACAAATAGTACAGAAACATCCGTGTCGAGAAGGAAACGGTTTCTGCAGAAAAAAAGAAGAGGTTAAATTGATGCTTTATCCATTCTGTTTATCTTATATGTGATATCTAAGTTTCAACAGTTACAGTGTAGTTTCTACAATTAAGCTGCATGAGGCTTTAAGTAGCAGTTGCTAAGTAGGCAGGGCTTTCCATGAGGTATATCATACTTCTGATCAATGCCAAACTGACTGGTACATGAAACAAAATGTGTAAGGCATAAAGATGAAGAAGAAAAACAAAGGCCATGTTTTCGGTTTGCTGAATGATTTGTAAAAAAAAAAAAAAGAAGAAACCACATCAGGGGACAACAGGCACGTGAGAAAACTTGGCGGGGTAATAAAAAACTCAGATAATCAAAAATTGCACTTTTTTTGTTTTATGAAAATAAGTGGTTCAGAGAAGAAAAAATGCTTCAGCTTTGTAAACACAAAGCTCTAGTATGTTGGTTGTTGTTTTTGTGCTTGGCCAGATTCAATATAGAGAGTTATTCCACTGGATTGATAAGAAGCATTTGCAATGAAAGAAGAAAAATAAAGAAGCTGGTTTCACCTTCACTGATGCGTTAGGTAAGTTTTAACCGTTTGTGGTTGAGGAGATTCACAAACTAGAAAATGAATCTAACAATGTGAATAACAACATGAGGTGAACATTGTCTTTAACAGTAAAACCAGGACAGTAAGAGGTTTGTCCAAATCAAACTGCTACAACTGAATTACATTTTAGGCACTGGCACTTCAACATAACTGATGCTGCTTTGTAAAGATTTAGGCGATTTGACAGCGTGCACTGCACATGAGGCTGCAACTAAAGAATGGAGTGACTTTGACAACTCTTTAGAGAAGTCAAAATGGCACAAGTGAAAAATAAATGCTCTGCTCAGTTTGGAAACTGATTACCTACAAAGTTTCACACATCAGGTTTGCTCCTTTTGAAGGTTTACCCTGAGCGCTGCAGACAATACTCGCCTTATTCTCTCCTGCTTATTTTAACCGAGAAGATACAAATCCAAAGATGAAGCTCCTTAAAGGCTACATGAGTTTTAGAGGACAGTTTTTTACAACATTTATAAAACATTTTTCTAATAAAATATATACATAAAACAACGGGAATAAATTAATAAATACATCCATTTTTAGCATACAATGTCACTGAATGTGAATATTAGCAGTACAACTATTTACTTGATAATATAGTTTCCGTTTTAACACTTCTTTGTCCCTTGACCTTTGGACATGACCAGAGGTATTTGACATAGTACAAACAGGCTTGCCTTACCCCCAATGAGAGTTGAGCAGTCCCCTGAAAACTGACATAAAGCCGACAAAAGGCTTCAGAGATTCATATAGTTTGTGTATTTCCCAAGGAACTTTCAGAGGCACTGTATACATGTATCCATATCAAGAGAGGAGGGTTTATCATTGGACCAAAATATCACTGTTATTGTTCTCAAACTGGCCTGGGATGCACTTTTCTGTTCACTTTGGTTGGTTTGTAATTGTGATATGAGTGGCATCATTCATTATGATGGCAAGCTCTCTTTTTCTGAGATTGTATGAAACATTCGGGCCTTATTGAGCGCCAACCGATTAAAAAAACTCTCTGGAGAAATTCAGACGTAATACCGCCTGTTCTGGAGGTAAGATTAGGAGCTTCCGTCAGGACCAAAGAGCACTTTCTGAAAAAAAAAACAATACCTAAAAAAAAAAACAGTTTTACAATTATTGATAGAGAGATAAATAAGAGATAAATAAGAGGATCACATGCCCTTTTTTTTCTTGAACAGTCTGTTTCAAAGGAAAGACCCCATATCCAAGTCCATAAAAGTGTCAGCATCCGCGCTAAAGGAGGAGTCGTAGGTTTGGGTGTTCTGATGCATCTTCTGATGGTGTCGTAAGTTGGATTTGCTGGAGAAGCTCTTGTCGCACAGCGGACAGGCGAAGGGCTTCTCTTTGGTGTGGATCCGTCGATGACATATGAGTTGAGTAGACACACGGAATGCCTTCCCGCACTCCAGACACTGGTAGCGTTTTGGCTCGGTGTGAATTCGTCGGTGGTTCTTGAGAGCCATCAGGTTAGTGAACTCTTTCTGGCAGACGGAGCAAGAAAAGGAGCCCGTCTTGTGGCTGTTTTTGTGGTTGAGTAGGGAGCCGGCGTGGCGGTAAGTGCGGCCACAGTGCTCGCAGACGTGGCTTTTTTCTTCTGCTCCAGCGGGGTCATGACTCGTCTGTGAGTCGGTGATGCTTTCTGGAATATGGGACAAAGGTGGTGGAACCTGCCGGTGTAACCCGTCGTGCATCCCCATGGTCTGAGTTATTCCTGAGTCCCAGATGTTGTTTTCTTCAGGTTCCCCCACACCTTGCTGATAGGGATCCTGAGCCCCGTGGTGCAGGTCCTGGTGCTGCTGGTAGCTTGCTGTGTCAGGGAATGTCTGCTGGCAGAGGCTGCAGACTAAGGACCGCTCCTTTGAGTGCACCTCCATGTGGCTTTGCAGGTGCGTAACTAGACAGAAGGTCTTGCCGCATTCGGGACAGCAGTGGCGCCTCATCTGGGAGTGAATCTGCAGAGTGAGAGGATCAGGAAACGTCTGGAGACACAGGGTGCAGTGATGGAGGTTTTCTGAGTGTGTTTTTTTATGGTTGAGGAGGGATCCAGCGTGGCGGTAGGAGCGCCCACAGAGGTCACACCTGCCATAGAAATACAGTTAGTTAGTTACAGTTGGATCTATCAATGCTTTTTAAGAGCAGCGGCCTTCATCACCAACAGTGAATGTTTAATGTAAATTCAGCATTTGATAAGAATTAAAGTCTTAACCTTTAAATAGGACTTCATACGGTCCAGATAAGACAACAGGTTGCATTTAGTGAAGTGCATTATTTGATTTTCTAAAACACAAACCTTGAAACAAAATTTTTTTCACATTAAGACATCCAAAATATGTAGTGAGAAGGACATAAATCACTTAAAATATAGATATATATTTTTTTAACCTTTAAAATGTTAACACAAAAGATGCAAATTTGCCTGTCAGGCTAGTTTGTGTCAATATGGGAAAACTGCAATAGATTTGTGTGAATCTGTTTCATGAAAGCCCACAACTGTTAAGACATTTAAATGACTTTTCACCAGAGCAATCAATAAGATGTAACATTGTTCTTTTTTATGGATAAACAAAAATGTAAATAAAAACAAGCAAAATTTTCTTTGTCTTCGGTTTAAACACACACCCTCACAAGTTAAATCCCCAGTAACACGGACACTCACGTGAAGCACTTGTCTCCTCTCTCAGCCTGCTGAACCCCACTTCTCTCGGAGTTCTCCTGACCCCTGCGGCAGCGATGCCTCTTCAGACCAGATCTGCCCTGGAAGCTCTTGCCGCACATAGGACAGCTGAAATGACTCATTGCCCTGTTGTGGACCCTCTGGTGGTTGTGCAGGATACTGGCGAGGCGGAAGGCTTTTCCACATGTGAGACACACATACTTTTTCTTCTGTGTATGTATGCGTGTGTGATTGCGTAGAGCCATGGGGTTAGTGAAGGGCTTGGAGCAGAAGGTGCAGCTAAAGTGTCCTGTCTTGTGGGTGTTTTTGTGGTTGAGGAGTGAGCCTGCGTGGCGGTAGCTGCGGTTACATATGTTGCATGTGAAAGGCCGCTCTTCTTTATTGGAAGATGGATTTGTTTGTGCATCACTGCTGCCTGAGGGTCCATTACAGGTGTGGGCTGTCAGCTGGTCTGCAGAAAGAAAGGCCTGCCTGCATCCCTTACATCTAAAGGCTCTGGATTTTAGGACCCTTCTTCCTCCACTCCCATCCTTTGTGAGTTCAGCACAAACGTGGGCTAATAGCTGCTTCTTTCCCCTGAAACCTTTCCCACAGTTTTGACACGAGTGCTTTTTAAATGCAAAGTGGGTGCGCAAATGGTTCTTCATTGCCAGTTGATTGGAGTAAGTGTTGTTACAAACAGAGCAGTAATATTCACCTGTTTTATGCGAGTTTTTGTGGTTGACCAAACTTCCTGCATGGCGATACGTACGACCACACTGGTCACAGGCAAAGGGCCGTCCATCACCCATGTCCTCTGATTTGACTGACGTCTCTAACCTTGTTTGTCCAGTCTTTACTTCTGATGGTTGCCTGGAGCATTGAGATGAGGTAAAACCCTGGCTCGCATTTGAAGACAAGGGCTGCATTCCTCCTTGTAACTTGGTTCCGTTCATCTGCATCAGGGCCTGGATCTGGTCATTGAGTTCTTGGATTTTGGCCTGGTTCTCTTTGTGCCTCCTCAGGTGATTCAATAACTGCTTTTGGATTTTGAAGGCTTTCCCACACTCATGGCAAGTGTGCCTGTGGAGAAGAGATGAGAGAGTCTTTGAGTTGAGTCTTTATTTGCAAAATGGGGAACAGTCTAAGCTGGAAATATGATGACATAACATCACTGCACTGAAAAGCCTTTGTCATTATGTCTGGAATAATGCAGCTATAACTTATAAAAAGGAGGAACATCTGTTTGACACTGTAGGAGTCTTTTAAGGATCTCTGAGTATGGCCTATTGCAATTACAAACATAGTGACATAAAAAAACATAGTGAACTTTAACAACAACAAAAAAAAAAGGAAAAAAATCAGTAAAAAAATAATTGAAAAAGACTGATGGACACTCCCAGCTTCTTCTGTTTACAAAGGACCATTTGCATCTTGAGTAAAAATGCAAAAATGAGAATTAAACACATGTCAGTGGTGTGCATTACTGTTGAAACTAACCTCTTGATATCAAAGTGAGACCTCTGGTGGTTCTTAAGGGCCAACAGGTTGTAGAAGCGCTTCTGACAAACAAGGCATCTGAAAACGCCTGTTTTGTGGGATTTTTTGTGGTTAAGGAGGGAGCCCGCATGTCTGTATGAGCGACCACACTGATCACACTTGTACTGACGTTGTTCGCTGTCAACAACGGTTTCTTTTAAAGGACTGGTCTCTTGGTGCTGGGAAATATCGCTCACTTTCGTTTCCTCTTTACTGTGTGTCAACTCATCTTTTGTCTCAGTTGTGCAGCCGTGGTTCTCAAGGTGGTGGTAACTGGCGCAGAAAATGCCACAGCTGCCACAGATGATACTTTGAGCTTCCTCTTTGCCTGCAGACACGTCATTGTGATTCATCTGTAAATGATTTTGTAAGTGGTCAACGTTAGCCACCTGGTCCTTGTTGTGTATAAGTTGATGACTTATTAGGTCCTGTCTATTGGCAAAACTTTCTCCACATGTGCTACAGATCATCATTTCTCCAGGCTCTTCATCTTTCACTTCTTCATGAGAGGACATGGATGAGGGCCCAGAGCTCGCAGGAGTGCCATGAGACTGTGTGTGACCTCGCAGATGACTCCTGAGAGCCCTCATGCTGGTGTAGCTATTTCCACATATAGAGCACTGATACAGATCTCCGTCATCCTCCTCCTCCCCCTCGTCTGCGTTTTCACCTTCAACAGTACTGTTCAGCTGATCACTGCTCATATTTTCCTGGAAACTCTGTTCAAAATAACTTTGGTCGTGGCTACCATTCAGACCGTGAAACTCTACATTACCTGCTGGATTCCCTACAGCGCAATGACCATTACTGTCCTGGAAGTTTATAGTGCTGTCATAGTTGCCATCAGTGGTGTCTTGCTGCTGCTGCAGCAAAGGGCAACTATGAGACTTAATTCCTGCAATATCTGCAAAAGTCTCACCGCAGTCAGCGCACATGTGCCGCTGCATCAGGTGTTCATTGTGAGGTAGATGTGCTGTCAAATCCTGGGAAAAGTCCTGATTAAACTGCTCATGGTACAAAGGTCCGTTACTGTGGTCTGCTCCATTCTCCTGATCAATACCCAGCACAGGGTGAATGGCCTCCTCCTTGGCCTCGTCTTGAGAGGAGAAGCAGCTCTGTTGAGTATCCATAGTCAGAGGCTCCAAGGAGAGCCAGTCTCCCTCTGTGTGTTGGCCAAAAGACAGTGACTGTGCTTTGTGGAGGCGGAGGTGACTTTTGAGGGCGGCCAGGTGAGGATAACTCTTCCTGCAAATGGAACACTGGTAAATCCCGACCTGATGTGACCTTTTATGGTTGATGAGGCTCCCAGAGTGCCGGTAGCTTTTACCGCAAACTTGACACTTAAAGGGACGCTCATCATCTATAGTCAAAGTCTCGTCTATTTCGGCTGCATTGTCTGTGTTTTGTGTGTGTGTCAGGGCATGGTGGAAAATACTTGGGTCTAAAATTGAAGGCTCTCCCTGAGTGCTATTGGAAGATGGGATTTGATTGTTGGAGCAGTCTGAGTACAAATGACCATTAGTTGTAATATGCTCCTCTGGCTGATCAAAACCTCCTTGATTACTCAGAGATGACAGTGAGGGACCGTTGTTTGAAGGAGATGCATAAAACTTTGACTCCGGTGAAGCAATACTGTTTTCATAGGACATACTGTGGTTCTCTGACAGGGTATCTTGAGGCCTGAAGGACACAGATGAAGAGTTATGCATTTGTATATGTTCCTGGAACTCCTCATCACTTGGGAATAGAACCTGACACAAATGGCAGAAATTAACAGGAGCATCTTGGCTCTGAGGTGAAAACTGGTTCAAAGGCGTACTTGTGTACGACCCACCCATTGAACCCGAGTCTGACCCGCTTCTTGCCTTGTGGGTCCTCTGGTGACTGTAGAGAGCAGCCATGTTACTAAACAGTTTAAAACAAACGGTGCATTCAAACATTCCAACTTGGTGAGTTTTTTTATGATTGGTCAGACTTCGGTGATGTATGTATGATTTGTCGCATAAATCACATTTGAAAGGTCGATTTGCTGCATCATCAGAGGTCTCTGATTGTGAATTATAAACAATCTCCATCTTGTCTTCAGCACAGCTGTTTTCTGTCGAGGTTACCACTCTGGATGACTGCTCAGTGATTTGATGTGAGGGATCATTTTTGACTTCATGTGAGGGATATTCCATATCTACTTTTCTATACGACTGCTCCTTCACTCTCCTGGTAAAATGAACCCTCTCATGTGTAGCCAGCTGGGTTGCCAGACGAAATGCTTTCCCACATTCTGCACAGGAGTACTTTTTCTGTGATGTGTGGCTCCGGATATGACTCTTCAGGGCTAAAGCATTGGAGTTTTCCTTTCCGCAAATGAAACATTGAAAACAGCCCACTTCATGAGTCTTTTTATGGTTGGCCAGGCTACCAGCATGCCTATAACCACGTCCACATTCGTCACATTTAAATTTGCGCTCCTCTTCTTGCTGAAGGTGAACATCCATGTGCTCCTGCAGACTGGGCATGTTGGGACAAACCAGGCCACATTGTTTGCAAGGAAATCCTGTTGTCCTGCCAGGGTCTTGCAATGCCATCACAAACTAACAACTGACTTGAGTGCACCAGACACTGAGTGTTTGAATATACTGGAGGGTAATGCATTAGATGCTTTTAGACCCTTAGAAAATAATAAAAAAAATCTGTACAGTTATATCCAAGGAGTGTTCAAGGAGGTAACAATGCAGAGGCTGTAGTAAGATCCATGCAAGGAGAGGAGAGTGTCAGACGTTTAGACGAGCTGTTGAGGGCAGAGGAGAAAGAAGATATCCCAGTTAGAAAAAGTGATTAAACACAATTTTCTACTTAACATTCGAAACACTCAATTTTAGTTAGTTTGACATCTACCCTTCATGTACTTTATCAATAACTATTCATTCAACATCCACTTTCCAGAGGCACAGTAAACAACTCTTACCTTTAATGCTCATTAAACCTTACATTTAAAAACTTAAATTGACTTATTGAATTTGCTTTCATTCAGTCTTACTTAAAACTTAATGCAGTTAGCTGGAGCAGACACCCAGTCTGACTTGTTTTGCTACATCTCTGCACCGGGAGGCTAACTGGACGAGCTGTGTCAATAAACTGGAGACCAACGCCTCTCTCTACAAATGTACTGCCGTTGCGAATACCTTCATCTTACAGAATTAAACACAGTAACGACATGAATCTTACGCGTCCTTGTTACTTAATATGGGACATTTAGGTCATCTACGGATACATTAAACAACAGTACATTCAGTTAGCAGGTGTTAGCGCGCCATCAGCTAGCATCATGAAGGCTAGCTAAACAAACATTGCACCAAAACGCCATGGAGTCATGTTAAACGCAGAATCAAATCGTCACATAATTAGTAAAATTAAATACCTGCGGCAGAACTGATACGAGGCACGCTTCCGAGGATATATTTCCATTCATTAATTAAGAAAACGTTAATTTCATGTAAAGGGCAACCCCCTTTTTCCAATTGTCTTTTTTTCCATCCCCATTTCCACATTGCTCTTGTTGCTAGGAAACAGGAAATGTGCCGCACAGAAATACTTCCCCCTGGAAAGTAACGAGCTAAGTGGGCTATCACTTACAATTAAAGGCGAATGCCGGGCTAGTATTACTACAAAGCATAAAATGAACAACCTGTTATTCACATTTCTGTCCCGTGCATATTTTTTACTACTTGCTATGCACATGAATTGCTTTAACAAGTAAGTTAGCTTTAGCTAGCGCTGACTTGGAAGCTTGTAATTTGCCTTCGCCCCAGTTTTATAAGGACGGAAATGTACGTGAGATTCTTTGTAACATCTATTAGGATTACCCTTTTATAGAGGAATTTTGATAGGTTGTTATGTAGGTTTCTTACATTTTTACATTACTTTATACGCATTAAAATGTTGCACACTTGGCTTGCCGAGAGCTTTCGTCATCATGGTCCTAAAGCCGTCCCCATCCTGCAGCCAGTCAACAGCAACCTCCGGGTCTCTCAGCAAAGGCAGCCGTGTGATAAGACGTTTCTCTCGGCAGACTTCTAATGTCCAATTCCAGGTAAGAAAGGGCACTTTCTCTCTTATGCACGGAAAAGTCTCATTCTGCTAATGTTTAGTCCATCATGCTTAACAGCGGGCATGATCATGATGATGATGACAGTGTCGACTGAATTGGTGCAGCTGGTCCTAAAGCCAGCCATTTTGGGTTGGTAAAATCTTAAGCAGGAAAACTAGCGAAAATGGAAAAGAACAAGCCTCGTCCATCTGTAGACACTGTCAGACCGCCTCATGATCTTTCATCTTCGGGCTCTCTCGCCCACATGTCGCTCATTTGTGAACACCGATCTCCGTCTTTACATCGCCAACTTCCTCTGTCATGAAAGCGGTTAGCTTATTGTCCCTGAGGTCCTAATGCCAGCCATTTTGTGATTTAATGCACACCCACATATTTCTGTAATTATTGTGCAGATATTTACTTCAGTTCGTCACTGAAAATCTCCTTTGCATATTCACGTCTGTAACACGGCTCCAGCCTAATGTCTGTCAAACAACATCTAGTCTCGTTACCTTAGGGAGCTTATGAACTTTTATGTACATAATCATTTCAAAACTCTCATCTCTTTGCAGATAAGAACATGGCCTCTCCCCAGCCTGCAAGCCCACCTCTTGCAAAACAGTACACCCCTACTGATCAGGATGAAGAAAGCCAACAAGAGGAAGAGCTGGTGATGGATCTGCCTGCAAAAAAACGTGGCAGAGGCAGACCTCCAAAAGCCAAGCCTTCCTTCAAATGCTCTGCATGCACAGTCGCTTTCAAAAGTATGTCTGCTCTGCGGGGCCACTATTTTGCAGCTCACGCAAAGGACCATCAGCAGCAGCAGCACACATGTTCTCAGTGTGCCAAAACATTCTCCCGCAAGGCTCAACTCTCAAAGCATGAGCGCACTCATTCAGCCCAGAGACCCTTTCAGTGCCCGGACTGCCACAAGGCTTACAAGACGCCTACAGAGCTGCGCAACCACAGCCGCTCTCACACTGGAGAGAAACCTTTTGTATGCTCAGACTGTGGAAAGGCCTTCATGCAAGCGATTTGCCTGAGGATCCATATGACGCAGCACAGTGGTGAGCGCCCCCACTCTTGCCATCAGTGCTCCAAGAGCTATCCCACCTTGTCAAAACTAAAGGTGCACATGCGATCTCACACGGGAGAAAAGCCGTACTTCTGCGCTGAGTGTGGTAAGAGCTTCGCTGACCCCTCTGTGTTCAGGAAACACAGAAGAAACCACCAAGGACATAGGCCATACGCTTGTGACAAATGCGGAAAAACATACACAGAGTTGAAGGACTTAAAAAACCATGAGCGATCCCACACAGGGGAAAAACCATACCTGTGCTCTGACTGCGGCAAAGCTTTCTCCCGTTCCTCCTCCCTCGCCTGCCATCAGCGCATTCACTCCCAGAATAAACCCTATCAGTGTGAGCAGTGTGGCAAAGGCTTCACCCAGCTGTCCTCCTACCAGTCTCACCTCCGCACACACTCTGGGGAGAAGCCCTTTCTCTGCCCGCAGTGTGGAAAGATGTTCTCTGACCCTTCCAGCTTCCGCCGCCACCAGCGAGCCCACCAGGGTTTCAAGCCCTACCCCTGTGATAAATGTTCCAAGAGATTTAGACAGCCGGCTGATTTGGCTGTGCATGAGCGCGTTCACTCAGGAGAGAGGCCATACAAATGCCAGAGCTGTGACAAGGCCTTCGTAGCATCATGGGATCTGCGGCGCCACATGCTTGTCCACACTGGTCTCAGGCCGTTTTCTTGTACTGAGTGTGACAAGTCATTTGCTGAGCGCTCCAGCCTCAACAAACACCGGCGAGTGCACTCTGGAGAAAGGCCATTTAAATGCGAGGAGTGTTTGAAGTCATTTGTGGTGTCCTCAAGCCTGCGCAAACATGTGAGGACTCACCTCGCCGAGCAGTCTGAGCAACAGCAACAACAGCAGCAGCAGCAACAACAACAGCAGCAGCAGCAGCAGCAGCAGCAGCAACAACAACAGGAGACAGACGTTTCAGCTTCAGGCTTCACTGCCCACACGACTCTGCCTCAGTTCTCCTGCACTCACTGTGATGCCACGTTTGGAAGCTGGGATGAGGTCCAGGCACATGAAAATCTTCACTCCATTGACTCCACTCCTCTGAATATTACCAAAATTGTTTCGCTGGCCTCGCACATCTGCGAGACCTGCCAGGAGGAGTTCACAGAGTTGGCAGACTTGCAGGAGCACGAGAAACAGCATCCCAAGCCGAGGCCTCATGTCTGCAGCGACTGCAGCAAGGGCTTCCTCAACAAATCTGGGCTGCGGAAACACCAGAAAATCCACTCAGCTAGCAAACCACACCGCTGCCCCCACTGTGGCAAAGCATTTCTCTTTGCTGCCTACCTCCGCAAGCACTTAAGGACTCACACAGATGCTACACCAGCTTCTACACAACTCAGTGACATGAACATTATTCATACAGACCCGCTGCCCTCTCCTCCGCCCCCCAGCGAGGTTCCCTCCTCCACTGTGGAGCCAAGCACCATATCTTTGACAGTTCCAGTGACTGTACCTGTGACTGCTTTTCAGACCCTGCCAGATTATTTAGTCAAACAGGAAGAAGAAGAAGAAGAACTGTAAGCTTTTTATGTCTAATTTTAAAAAGTTTTAATTCCACAAATATTCATCCAGGGGGCCTTATGTCTTTTAAGATGATGAGATCTTATTTGACAGAGGTGTTTACGTCACCTTCATGCAAGCTGTCATTGCTTTGTAACTGTTTTGTATAGCCATGATCTGCAAAGGTATTACTTATATTGATCAGCTCTTATAATACATACTGTGTTATTATTAACCCACTTCAATGAAATCGTTGCATCTGTTGTAAAGTCTTTTTAAAAATGTGTTTTTATGTCAAATATCTATCAAGTATGATGTGATTTCATGTAAACATTTAAAAATTTCCTTTTTATTTACAGCTTATTTTAGATCAGCATTCCTTAAACTTTCATAATGGTGGAACTATATAATTTTTAATTGTTTAACTGTAAATCATAAGTGATGAAATACTAAAAAGGAAGTAAGTTGCATTCCAAGTTCTTGAAACTGAAAGGAAAAAAAAACAAAAAACGTTTTTATAATAAAAAGCGAAAAAGTATGTTCCTTATTTGTGTCTTACAGCTCTTCTGCCTGTGATAAAAAAATGTGTGAGAAGACGTCAAGTGCAGCTTGGGTAAAAAAAAGTGAGGCAAAGTCAGCATATCATGTGTTGAGCCAAAGTTACACTTATTTGGATGACATTTCTTTCACCCACAGAAGGCTAAATGCAAAGTGAGAGTGACAGAACTCAGTCAACTTCAACTCTTAAAGGTGAGTTTCCTAATCTAACTTAGTCATGTGAGGTCTTTCTAGTAAAGCTATTAGTCTTTTACAAATCTACATAGTAATTTTGACTCAATTCAATTACTTTCCAGTTATTCAAATTAATAGTTTTGTTTAAAGAAACATACACACATAGATGAAGGATGGAAAAAATGGTAGATTAAACCATGGCAAAAGAAAAAAAGAAATTACTTGCTGTAGTATGTTTGTACTAAATTAGGTTGGATCAGAACAGGTTATCTCTACAAACTGATGAAACTTTGTTATTTCAAATGTGGCAGATTTTTAGGCACTTACAAATCAAAGCCTACAACTGAAGTTTCCCTTTAACTAATTGTTTTCTCTTTTTATATCATGTAATTTTGGTTTAAGGGAAACAAACGTTTACTGCATCTTAATCCGCCTAGACCCTGTAACAGAGTTTTTTCCTCATTCTTGCAGGTTAATTCAATTCTGTCTTAATTGGTTTTATTGTGTTTTGTTGTATTTAGTCTCATTTTGTTTTTGCCTTCATAAAGCTTTCAAATGTGCTGTCTTAATAAACCTGCCTTGAAGTGCAGTCTTTTTACAAAACCACTGTAAATAAGCCTAAACCTCGACCAATATAGAGTATACATTTTACATAGAGTAAATAAGCTTTCAAAGCCCTATTTAATGTGCCCTCATAATTTTTATAAAGTGACATTTAAAAAATATCTGCTATTTTAAATCCCCCTTTCACTTGGAACTATGAACTTTTATGTGTTATTTGTGTTTTTACTTTATTAAGGTAATCTGACTTTTACCTCCACTACTGCAAATAATAACCCACTGAAACCTTGTGTGTGCACAACCCTTAATATATGGAAAACAAACATTATGTTGTTCAGGGCAGAGAATGTGAAAGACTCTGGAGAAAAAAAATCTTTAGTAAGTCTTTGCTTATTTAAACGGTATTTGTCAGTTTTATTTTCTGTACATTATTACCATTGAAATAACTCTTACATATTGGACCTGAAATCTTTTGCTAAAACTAGATGAAACAGATTGGTTAAAAATATGTAAAGAAATGTATTAGTTTCATAAACGTTTTCCCCCGGTAGCATTTTTACATTGTAGCCAGCTGATAATAACTGTGGTCAGATACAAACAGCTGGAGGTTGTTTTTCAGCTACATTACTGCTTTGAATTTTAATATTTCATGGTTTTTAATGGAGTCTTATTGACTTTTACCTTTGTTAAGATTCACAAATAAAAGCCAGGAGTGACAATGGCTGCCTTAGTAACAGGCCTGATCCCCATCCTGCGCACAGCAGTAGATACCACCACCACCTACAAGTGCCGCTCGCTGTGGTTCGGCTTCCTGTGCATCCGCCTGGTCATCCTCTTTCTGGCTGAGCTTCCTTTCTCTAAACTGGACAAAGACTTCTCCTGCAACGTCACTGACGTCTGCATGCAGGCCTGTTTTAATAAACACTTTGACAAACCAATGTTGGTGGCCTGGAACTTCATCTATGTGCTTGTCATCATCTCTGTGCTCCTCATGGAGCTGTTCACCTCACACCTGCGCTCTCTGGCTCATAAGAGGAGGGTAAAGGCAGGAGATGAGGAAATGGAGACTCAGGGAAAGGAGGAAACAGACCCAAAGGGGAGAACGGTGATAGACTTCCACAGAGACAAGGGCACAGTGGGCTTTTACCTGCTCAGCATCGTCCTGCGAATCCTGTTTGAAACCTGGTTTATGTATGTTCTGCTGTCCTGGAACCTTTCAGCTCTGAGTGATGAACCTTTCAAATGTTTTGAACAAACATGCAGAAGTCAGAATGCAGAATTCGCTCTCTGTGTTGTGAGGGCTGCTCCAGAAAAACGCATGTCTATTTACGCTTTGGCCTCCATCTCTGGCACGGTTATCATTGTTTCAGTCCTATTTTGTATGTACTCCATTGTTCATTACCTCTGTGACTTCTAAAATTTCATGCACAGATTTTTCCTGAAATGTACATCATAGAAATTACTGTTGTTTGTATCGCTAGATTATGTGTGCAATATTAAGTATATGTGCTGAATGTTATAAATGTGTAACTTGTATATTCGGTTGATTGGGTGCAGCACTGAAAGCTTCCACATATTGTGAGATGTGTTTTGCTGATACAGACAGATCTAGGTGTTAGCTGCATGTGTGTTTCTGAGTCAGGTTTTCCTTGTGTGTTCTAGCTCATGCAAAAACGCAGTGTCAAAAACACCCATGTACATTGTGCAATGCCTCAGCAGTTTAGATGTCAAACACTGGAAGGAACCACGTTGAGTTGTAGTCTGAGATCTTTATGGTACATATTACAGCGTCTCATGTTCACATGCTGTAATCTATTATTTACATTGTGAAGTATTTGAAGGTTTTCAGCCAGATAATCAAACTGCAGCAATTACACTTGAGTTGCTTCCAATGAGGTAAAATGCGGAGGTTAGAGTTTCTGTTTGTTCTTCAGTGAGATGGACTTTCTGTTGCAGTGCTTCATAGTGTAGAGCAGTGCTGCACCAGCATCTGTTAGAGGCTGGTTAATGAAAAAGAGAAAGAATTAAAAGAAGAACTAAAGCAAAACAGACAATACTGAATATTTTAGTATCAGCATGAAAGAAAAGACATGATTAAAATTACCTGTGAGTCTGACATGACAGAATTTCTCTACAAAGAGAGAAATTACATATTTAATATTAAATGTGATTTTCTAACAAATTTGGAGCCAGAATACAATCAACTTGGTTTGTAAACTCACCCTTGTGAAGTTATGTATATTATTGTATATTGGCTCCATGGTTTGAACCCATTCTTGATATGTCTGTCTGTCCTCTGCACTGCGATTATGCTCTCTGCAAACAAAAAAATACAGATTTTTTTTATAGTTTGTATATTAAATACTCTTCATCTACCAAATGAAAAGCATGCTTCCAATTAAATTCTCTTTCAACTGAAACCAACTTAGAAGTGAGGAATAAATAAACGTAATTTTACGCCTTTGTCATTTTTCGTATCGTTTGTCTTTCTCCATGTGTTAAATGGGCCCAGAATTAGCTCTGATTACCTCCATTTGTCAGCCTTCACATTCAAGCACCTCTTGTTCTACCTGTTGCCCACACACTAACGTCAGTCACAACACCCCCTCCTCCTGTTACTCACATTGCCGTCTCGATCAGCTTCCTCTGCAGCTCACCTTCCCTCCTAGCATCCAGAAAGCGTCCTCTGACAGCTAGAGCAGCGCTGGCCTGAGACGAGTTGAGCTGAATGATGGCCAGGGAGAGTGTGGACAGGGCTGCCAAGCTGAAGAGGAGGGTCATACTTAAACATAAGAGTGCTTCAGCTTCATCTATGCCTTTGTGTTACACTGTGGGCCTCTTAGGAGGTGCTTAGACTATGAATTACATGACTTTTGTTTGGTATATATGAAGCATTCAGACTTAGTGGAGAGGTTCATTTTCTGAGTGACGAAATACTAGAATGGATGAGAGATTGGATTTTCATTCTTGTATGATGTGGTATCTCAGCAACAGCCGGTCTCCATGGATTTCTTTTGCCTACAGGTTCACTGAGATTGGTATAAAATAACTCATCCAATCAATTGTTGTCCTCAAGATACAAACGCCTCGTTGATTTAAGATGTCATGAGATAATGACTTGTTTGAGCTTACAGCGAGGCCACAGTCTGCAAATAAATCAGTGCACAGCAACAGTGGTGTGTTTGCAAGGCTATCTAAATACACAAGAATGAGAGAGGTACTGTGATCATGGTAATTAAACCCTTACCTGTCATTGGTGACTTCTCTCTCTGATGTGATCACTCTGAGCATCATCTGTCCATTTCTCTGTTTGTACTTGATAAGCAGCTGGATGGACACACGGCTGCCTGAGACTGGAACTGGGACTGAAGAAAAATTACAATAAGAGCATGTTGATATTAATAAAACAGATGTGCTTTCTACTCATCCAGAAGACCCTACACACTCAGTTCAGGTTCAGACAGTCAATAGTTTTGCTGAAGTAAATTACTCATGGAGACTCAGATTCGGACACATGTGACAGGGACTTCACTCAGGTGCATTCACCATGTGGCTAATAGCCGACTTCAGCTTCACCTCCTTATTTGCTTGTGGTGCATGAGTCCATGTTCAATACAGTCTCACTTGTCAGTCAAATTCACATCTCTTTGCGTACAAAAGAATACATTTATGCATGTGTAATATCATCAAAAAGGACGCGTTCGCTGGAGGAAAGTTAGCCTACCTATAAAATTCTCATTAATGAAATGAGCTTCTGAGACCAAACTTTTCTTTTCCTTTTTATGTAAAAGTCTGTAAACATGTTTAATTCTGCTGTAAAAACGGACATTTTAACATGGGCCCTAAATTGGTTTCCTTGGCTTTTGGAGTCAGCCTCTAGTGGACACTCAAGGAACTGCATTTTTTTTTTTTCTGTACTTCTGCTTTGACTTCATTTTTACCATACCGGAGATTGTCACTTGTATTTACCAGACTGAATTTTCAAGGATTTATCTTTCAACTTTAGCCTGTTCACATGATTATATATTTAACTAATATTTAACACAAAGTGCAGCCAAGACTGATGGATAGTTTCACAGTTATTAAGTGACAGAGAAATCAAATAAGGGGCTCATTAAAGTCATGTTGTGTAAACATGCTGCCCGTGGATGGCTAAAGACAAAGAAATTACAGGTCTAACTATCAAATATGAATCTGACTTTTGAACAAATTATGTCCATAAAGTTAATTTGACTTCATAAAAGAAAAACGTTTTAGCGGTTATGTCAGAAAAACTGTGTAACTTCTGCATCCTGATGGATATTTTGCAGCCCTAAAAAGTGTCAAAACTCTGAAGTTTTTTGTTGCTTTTTCACATGTAACATTTTTGGCATTTTTCCTGAAACCAGTTTTGTTTGTTCTTGTTTCCAAACTCTACAACTTGGGCTACCTCTCAACCAAGACTTCCTTCATTTTTTTGTTGGAAACAAGATCAATTACCATCTTGCATATTTTAGAAACACAACCACACAGTCAGAAGTGGCATACCAGTTATTTCTCACCATCTGCGTCTTGTTCATTTGCTCCAAACTGGAAGGTGATCTCTGTGTCTGGGTCCACATTTCCCACCTCTCTAGTTCCCTTCTGACCCGACTCTCTCTCTCCTCTCACACGGCTGGGTAAGAGATAACACCAGTCAGTACTGTGAGGTTGTTTTTCATGGACTAACAAGTACATTATACCACACAGCCACTGAATGGAAAATGTGTAAAAACAAGAGTACTAGAGGTAAAGAAAGTGCAGATCTTACAGTGACTGAGGCAGCAGTAATGTGACGTTACAGTGTGTCGCTATGGTCCTATTCTCTATGATTTGTTCCAACTCTGGGTGCAACCTGTTGGGACTTGCTATTACCACCTATCAGACAACACACAACCGTGCAAAATAATCTGATTATTACACAATAATGAACAGTCCCTCCATAAAACTGTTGAAATTTATGAAAACAAATCACCAGGAAATTTGAAATGAGCTCTTACCTTCCCCCCAGTGCGATCTGCCAGTCGTCCCAGTTCGTCCAGTCTGCAGTCTGTCCCCTCTATTGACAGCACAGACACTGTCACACTAATGACAGAAGGACATTTAAGTACACTGCTGTGAAACACACAACAGACCATTCTCCCTTTTCTGACACCTTATAAATAATAGCACCATGTCTGTCTTTTTGCTATCTAATTTATGTAAGTCCAGCTGTGTGACATCTTTTTTTTAATGTTAATCCATTCTTGAATTTGATGTGCAGATTTCTACACACCCCTGATTGGCAGCGTATTCCCCCAGATCTTGGTAGAAGATTGTGGATGAGAGGAGGGTGCGAGCGTCATTATCCTCTACCTCCAGATTCCCCAGATCTGTGTTGGCCTTTCCATCCGTACAGATAATCACCTTTGAAATCAGCAGAGAGAACCAATCAGGGTTGCTTTGTTTTTAGAAGACAGAGATAGGAAAAATAAGAGCAAGATTGCTTTCATAACATACTAAAATTGTTTGCATGGTTGACATCATTTATCAGAAATTTCTATTAACTTTCCATCAAAGCTAATCAAGTTCAAAGTGCATTTTTGGCCAAAAATTTTGTTCAAACTTTGTTTTCTGTTCAACCTAATTTTGAAATGAACAGGAATGAAAGCAGGCATAATAAATGGAGGGGGAGTTCATGCAGCTTTCTGAAGAGAGAAGCAGTCAGACATGTTGATAAGGCCAACAAACAAACATCATATTCAAATGAAGTCATTACCATCACAGCATATCTGGTTTATTTCCAGCTATCATTATATGTTAATGGGTCAACATGTGTGAAATGATTATCTGTGTGACTATGCAAAGGGAAATAAATAAAGAACAAACATACCTTAGATCCAGGCTGTCTGGAGGCCATTGTAATCGCCAGGAGAGCAGCTGGACCGAGGGCTGTGGTCCCACTTTCAGATAGTCTTTCAACAAGAGGAAGAAAATACATCTGCTTTTCTAAACATGACGTTACCATTATGTAAGAGAGGGGGAAAAAAAATTGATTTTGCACCAATTTTTCTTACCCCTGGACTTGTCTCCATAAGAAGTCCTTGGTCTGTGAGAGAGGAGGGGGGATGGGATAACTGGCTGCAGCCTCTCTCAGATAGTCACTGTCTGCCAACTCAGCACTGTTCAGGATATGTGAAGTGAAATTCTCATAGCCATGAAGAGTCACCTTGGAACACAAAATACAAGATGATGAGAAGGAAAATCACACCTAAAGCTTACAATTTATACTGTACTTGCATTTCTTCATATCAAGGGGGAGTTTGGGATTGTTTTTTAAGGTGAGGTATGGGGCTCGTGCCCACAGGGGAACCCCGTCATCTCAGCTCCTTTACTGTGAAAATGGCCACAGAACAGAAACAGAAGCAAGGCTAAACACTGCTACAGACGAGCCTAATCCGACCAGTTTGATGTCGCCAATTTAGAGGAAGTTTTGACACCAAAATGTTTTCAATTCTGAGACATTTTCAGTGATTGATAGCTTAGCTTCCCTGTTGGTTCTCTGGTTGGTTTCTCAACAAAAAAGTCAAGCCAACTGGGATCCCCTGTGGGTACACTTCCTGTTGCTTCATCCAACCTCACAACCCCAAAGAAGAAAAAAAAGACCTATCCCTTTAATTCCTTTCAACTGATAATCAAATTCAACATGACTCAGACAAGACAACACAAATCTGTCCAAACCAAGCGTTGGTACCTGATTATTGAAGGTGATGAGTCCCACTCTTATGTCTGGTTGTTGCTCATTCAGTCTTTGAATGCACAGCAGCACCGCTTCCTGGACAAACTGGTTTAGATACAATAGCTTTTATCTTTATATCTTAATGATGTTCACATGAAGTGTTAAAATAGTTGAACAGTTGTTTTGTCAGTCTCATAGAGCCACAAGAACACTAGAAAAAACAAGAACAAGAAAAAAAAAAAAACTCACGTGAAGTCTAGATCTGTGGACAACTTGCTCTCCCTCTAACACCTTAATAAAACAAAAATGGATCATTTTAAACACCACATGTTGAGTTTTATAAATACAGACTTCTGCATTACACTTCAGTTGAACTTTGAGATGTTTTATTTTATTTATTTATTTTTTTACCTGTGAGGTGATGCTCATGGAGCCTGAGATGTCAATGCAGAGGAGCAGCACAGCATCTGAATCACACAGCAGCTTTTCATCACGATGAAGCACAAAGAGGCCATCCTGGTAACCAGTCAGCTGACTCGAGGGTGTACTGGAAGAAGTGGTGGACTCACAAGATTGACAGAAGTAACATGATGTAACCTGTAGTTCAAAACAAGAGGAGAAGTAAGGCTGAAAAGGGCACGTTTGTGCTTTGCAGCCCTGACATCGATCAATAATAATCATGCCTGGCTGCCTCTGAGATTTCCTCATGCTCTGTTTTTGCCAGCAGTAATTAAAAGGATATTTACGGTTATTGTTCACATCTGAAATCAATGACTTTATGCATATAACCACCCATTTGCTTCAGAATGAATCTCGGAAGAAATCAAGTGTGTAGTTACCACGTTGTCATAGCAGGAGTCAAGCACAGAGCCACACTGTGTGCAGGAGGTGGGCTCTCCCAGCATAGCCTGCACTGGAAATATTCAAACATCATCATCACTAGGAGCCAATCAGAGTGAGAATAAAACTAGATGGCTGATCATGAAGGTTTTATGGTGATGATAAAACTTTAAAGACCTCTTTCCTCTGAGAGTAATTTCCCTAAACTGACGAGCACCACGTTAGGATTCCCTGGCAGGGGACTCTTATCTGCTGATCCTAGATCAGAGATGACAAAAAGTCTTACAACATAAAAGTTCATGTTGCATTTAAGGCGTTTCAAATGGGTGTTACTGTTTTGGTACCACAATGAATCATTTTACTTGATGGTGATGGTGAATGAGGTGGGTTTGAGGATGACTTCTGAGAGGGTGATGATGATGATGATGATGATGATGATGCAGGTAAGAGCACCAGATACTCTGGCACAGACTTCATGAATGGAGGTCTTGGAGGTAGGGGTGGAGCTGAGAGAGGGGACGGAACAAAATAGAAAGAAATCTGTCTGTTGCTTTAAGACTATTTGTGAAAAAAAAAAAAAAAAAGGTTTAGAAAAAAAGTGATATAAAAAAGTTTATTTACCAGTTGAATGAGTGGAAATGTTATGGATGCCAACTGGTAGCTTCAATGGTATCCCTGTTCCCTCAGGTGTGGTGTATGAGTAGTTTGGGTCCCAGGGTTGTGCATTCAGGTCTGGCTCACTTACAGGGAGGTCATAAGTAAACATCTGATTGTTAGTGTTGGAGGAAATGAGTGGCTCACAGTACGGAGAAGACTGGCTGTTTGCCGGAGGCCGCATGTGCGGTGGAAGAAGAGCTGGATGAAACATGAAACAGACAAAACAGATGGCAGTGATTGGTTAGAGGAATAAATCATAGATACAGTAAGAACTTTTCGGCATGAAGGCAGCTGTGGATTAATGTAAAGATCAGCAGACCATCATACACATTAGGAACTCATTTCTCCTCAATGGATTAGTGTTATTCCTGTGCTGATACTGATGCTTTAAAACCCACATTTTCTTCTTTTTGCCATCACTTATTCATCCTCTTAGTGTCATAATGGAATCATGGCTAACTTTAACTTCAAGGAAAGAGCAAATGCAATCAGACTGTGGGAAAGAGTTAACAAAGTCATGAGAAATCACTGTAATATTAAGGCTCAATGTTATTGACAGACCTTTGGGGAACACTTAAGGGTCAGAAATGTATATATGATATGGCCTCAAATCAATATCACAATATATTGAGCAGTTCAAGGGACATGAGACCATAACCCACTTACACACATCCATAACCAACTATTATTTATGATTTTTTTTGACACCCACTTTATTGACATGGGCAAAATGACATTGCTTATTGTCATACATTTCGGTGGCGGTAAATTTTTAGTTTATCACCCAGCCCTACTTGGAATAAAAGGTGCATGCAAATAAAAAATAGGTCTTTAATACAAAAAAATCAGTTCCTTTGCAGTTTATATACTAAAAGTATGGAACTCATAAGACCCAAATCCTTTTTTAGCCTGGTGGTAAATATGTTTAGTTCTGTAAAAATGAACATTTGAATAGAGTAGCCTCAAAAGCCAGCCTCAGGTGGACACTTGAGGCACACCATTTTTTTTTTTTTAAATGCAGTTTGCTTCATTTTTGACATTCAAGACTGCTTATTGGTTTTAACTAAATGCATTCAAGTGTGGAAAAAAAAGGAACAGCCAGTACTCTGTCTTTATTAACTTTGACGTGTTGCTAAGTGAAAGAGGACTTATCCCACAAACAACTCCAGAAGAGCAGCTTTCAGATGGGACTGTGTGTTCTGGGTAGCTTTTGGCCAGGCACATAAACTCTATAAATGCACTGGCAATTGCTGAAAAGTGCATCAAATCCAGCATGTAGCTGTGAAATCTCCATAAACAAACCTTTAAATACAGAAGAGGTCACGAAGAGCTAAATGACTATAAACAAGGAAATGTCACAATGCGAAGTTTGTGAAATTCCTGCCCTGTTAGATTCGACCTGCTCAACTATAATGGCTAATGTTTTATTCTGGAGTGGAGGCGTCCCAGGGTTACAGCAGCTGGGTCACAAAATTATAGATCGCACAAACTCCCAGAATCAGACTATAATGCTACAGAATTTTATGCACAAAATGGCCATCTTTTTATAAAACTCTCACTGCAGAGTTCATCACATCAGCTTTGCACGAGAAGCTTTGCGAAATAGGTTTCCATGGCAAAACATCTGCATGCAAGGTTGAGGCTTCCTCTGGAGCTGTGTAAAGGACACAACGAATTGATCCCGGTTCCTTGTAAACATGCTCTTTTGGATGATGAGCCCGTCTGATGGACACACACTGGGTTTGGAGAATGCCATAAGAAGGTTTTGTAGCACATGAATGTCAGGAAAATCATCGCAAAAGAGAGGGCAAGAGGTATGGTGTTTTTCTTTTAAATCATACATGAATTTAGGAGACTGATATGCAACAGGATGAACAAAAACCTCTAAAACATCATTTTGAAGACAGACAAGTGAATAGTGTGTACATGTTGAGATGTTACAAAAGCAAAACATGTTGACATAAGCCTCTGCCGTTAACTGCAAACACTGTGGGCTCTATTTTGGTGCCTCGCCGGAGATCTGCCGCAAGCGCAGCGTCAATCAGATCCGCCGCGCTGACAAGGCGTTCCCAAGCACATTTTGGTATTTTGGTGAGCCGCGCAGCCCGGCGTAAGTATCCCCCCTCCCTAACTCAGCTCCTCCCAGCACCATAAGTCGTAGAAAGGGCGGTTAGTGGGTTTAACACAGCCGAGACCTGTTTTCACCAATCACATAGGCTCCTCTCCTTGCCTTTAAATCCGCCACAGGCGAGGCGTATTACTATTTTCATGAAGTAGTCAAAGAGATCAAGAGATGTCTTAAGACAGTAATGCCACAAGATGGCGACAGAGGGCAGCTCCTCAACAAGTGTCCTCCACACTCTCTCATATGAGCACAGATGGATTTAGTGTGCGTAATGTTGGACCCAGTGGTAAGACAAACACCCGTTTCCACAAATAAAGACACTCACATAAAGTTGCTCATATTCAAACCTCACGTGACAAAGGTCGGTTGAGCGCACAGATCACAACATAAACTCCAAAAATGGCATAAAAATCGGAACCATCTGTGCGTAAATGACGCATCGCGCTCCGTGGCCTGGCTCTTTCTTTCATAGATGTTGGCATATAAAATAAATTTGGCTCACAAAACTGAATATTATAATATCCGTATGTCGGCTTAAAGTAGATAACGCATGTGAGCACTGAAACAAATCATCTGTTCAGCCGCAGCAGCAAGCAAGACGGACAGAGGACACGGAGACGTGTCCAGGTCGAGCTGTGCGAGAAATAAGAGGAAAAGGAAGAAAGAAAAGGAGGGAGACGAATTACATATCGAGTTAACTTCATCATGTGTGAATATTTACTAGATATTTAATTTAATTTGATGCGGTTTCAGCTGTGTTGATTCGGTCAGGTTGTGTGTCCAAACGCGTGCCAAACGCGCTCATCAGATCAGATATAGATCAGAATATATCTATATAGATCCAAATGTATGTGCTGACTCACATTAATAGTTGATGATGATTATTTATTGCACTGAAATGTGCCTGACACTGTGGAAACCTGCCGGTGAGGCATCAGTGACGTATGTCGATACGCCGCCGGTCTACCAAAATACTACTGGACCAGCTGCGTTCCGCCTTGCGCTGAAAGCTGACCAGGTTTGAATCGGCGAGCTTTCAGCGCACTTTACACGCCGGTGGCGAGCACGAAAATGTCACTGCGCCTGCTGATTCTGTCGACACCTCCCCCTGCCACACCACCACGCCCAGCTTGGCGGATCTCGGCTCGCCTCCGTGCGGCTCATGCCACGAAAATACCAAATTGGCCTTACGCTGGGCTCCGCCAGACGAAAATACAACTGCGCGGGGCTCGCCGCCCTCCGCCGCCTCACCGGCGCGAACGAAAATAGAGCCTTGTGCAGTGGCGATTGCAACATGTATTTAAGGTCGTGTCCTGCCTGCTTCTTAAAATTTCTAGAAAAATTTTGGGGGGTCCATCTTGTCAGCTTCATAAAATAATGACCTAAGTCAATTATCAAGTTTTTCAGAAATTTTTCCGAATACTCTCAGAAAATAGCCTAACTCACACGCTTTACATAGGCGACTATACTACGAGGATACTCTCACATGATCTGTTCAACTGAAGATTCAGGCAATTTTACCAGAGATGGGCAGCATCATGAGGACTGACTTAAGGGGGAAAAAATATTTTTGTCAAAAAGTGACATAAGCCATTAATTTAAGAATGTGACGATATAAGAAAGAGCCCTTTAAGAGAACTCAGATGGGAAGTCTGTGACAGTTGTATAGTGTGAAGTAAAAGTCTTACTGTCCAACTAGAAGTTATCTGAAATAGATGAATAATTTTTTGACTTATTTTGGATTTGTGTGTTTGAAAGCTCACAGAGTGCAAATAACCCACACCAACTTTCTCCCTTCATTTAAACATCAGTATATCATCACATTTACAGTACCTGTTTTTCGAGGAGCGATCTGAGTGTGCTGAGGAGATTTACTGATAGAAGAGGCTGACACTGTTTTGCTGTGAAATGCTGCATTTTCATAGAAGACAGTGGGCTTTACGACCTTCTTCGCTTCCTTGTTTTTTTCCAAATGTTCAATCATTTTATATTGAGACCAGAGGGGTTTGGGAGATTTTTCTTCAGCAGAGTTTGTCAGAGGAGGAGGGGGTGGAGGATTGTGAGGACGGACCCAGTTGATAGGAGGGAGAAGAGCTGGGTAACACACACACACACACACACACACACACACACACACACACACACACACACACACACACACACACACACACACACAAACACAGTTGCTGTTAATTTGAAAACATTTTCTTGCAAAAGAACTGTGAGCACAGACAAAACAACTGGTGCAGAGTCGACCTTTGTACTGTGAAGAAAATGTGACTCAGGATGCAGATGGCTTTTACTTAGCAAAGCGAAGTATCTGTAAAAATCTTCCTTAAGACAGACAGCAAAGGTTTTGTGTGTCAATGATTGCATAATAAATAATGGTACTTTAGTATCAAGTCTCTTAAAATATTCTGAATTAAGGAAAACCCCAAATGTGGATAAAATTTCCTCTCTAATCTCTAACTACAGCAAAAATCGTATGTTTTTGGATCTGGATATGAACTTCTTAAGCCTGTTGAACAACCTATACTTGGTTTATTGACACTCTACATCCCACCAGAATGCCTTTTGACATTTTATGGAAATCTTTTCATGTCCACTGAAGCTGCATTGCACATATCTATGTGTGGCAAGGGAAAAAAACTACAAACAAACAGAAAAGTAGACCCAGAAATGTGACATTTATCTTTAAAACAAAGGAGAACAATTCAGTTTTTTTCTTATGGTGTCTCTGAGGGATTAAAGGAAATCTCACCTGAGCGTTTTATGATTCGCTTGCCGTCTTTCTGATTCACTAATGGTGGAACGTAAACAAAGCCACAAGCAAATTCCATTGTGAGTCTGGATTTCTGTGGAAAAACCACAGAGCCAAATTAATGAAATTGTTAAAGGTACTAGCCATTGACACATCATCAAAGCCTGGATCCCACAAAACATAAAAAGAGCAATCCAGGCTAGAGTAATCAAAGTAATCAAAAGTAATTACTGTAAAACCGCAGCACTCAGTTTCTGTCATTATGTCACACCTTAACAGCACACTCAACTGAAAGAAACTTCATCCAGACAGTAGCAAAAACAAATCCTCTTAAAAAAGGCAGATAAAAGTTGTACTCACTCTTGCGGAGTCCTTTCAGCACATACAGTACGCCCATAAACATGAAACCCTCCCAGCTCTCAGAAATGTCTCAGCTCTTGTCTGTGTCTGCTTGTCATTCACTGGTATTGTGTCAAATATCTGGTTTAACAGGTAACTATCCTTGAGAGTTTTTCTTTTACACTGTGGTATGTCCTGTGTGTGTGTGAGTGTGTGTGTGTGAGTGTGTGCACGGGCGTGTGAATGTGAGCACATGCACGCCCACAAGGTTGGGTGGTTCTGGACACCAAACAAATCACATGTTGCCAATCTTTGGTTAAACATTACATGAATGTAAATAGAATTGCTTTAAGAATAGACGCCGATTGATAAACAGGGCAGTAAAATCTTGGAGGTAATAATGTTTTATATGTATAATAATTGCCTTTCTAAGTATAATATACTCTTGTAAATTAATTTTCTTTCACAGCTGAGGTTTAAACTGGAAACATGTTACATTATCTCACTGCTACATCTTTATTTTACATTTATGCATCAAAGGGCACAAATTTCAGAAGAATTCTCATGAAAACATTTGCGGTGTATTTGGCTCTGGATGTCAATGCAAGACTTAGAGTCAAGATTTTGCCCAATTCATCAGGTTAAAATATTACCCTTATTAACAAGAGACAATATAGATTTTGAAAATGTTAAAACGCAGGGTATATATCTTTGCATTTGTTTTATTTCAGACCTGAGTATCTTTGTCTTGATCTAACATTAAACTATGTGTGTAAACTGGAATGTTTACGCTCCAGCACAGCAATATTTTAAGCTAAATGCTAACTACCACACACGTGTTAACAGGTTAAGAAACCTGGCGAGGTCATGATTAGCAGGATTATCTTGGCATTAAATGTACTCTTCATTGGTTTAGCTTCTTAAATTATTCCTAGATAATTTCACCTGACCTGCTAAGCAGCATTTTCAATCATAAATCCACACATAAAGCATAGCACAAAAAACATAGACCAGATGAATGAGGCAAAACAATTACACTTTTATTTTGAAAATCCACTCCCTCAGTCAAAGTAATCTCTGTGTGCTCTACATAATACTTATTAAGTAAACATTAACCAGCTTTTGTGCACATATCATTGTAAACCTGTGCTTGGTTGAACCTCGTTAATCATTAAAAGCTATCATTGTTACAGCTGACCTGATGACTCAGATATGAGAGCGGTAAATAAATATCTTCTATTGTTTTCTTTGGTAATAACCTGCACACATGCATGCTAACACACACACATAAGAGACACACACGCACGGACTCACACATACTCATGCACACACACAAACACACACACACACACACACACACACACACACACACACACACACACACACACACACACACACACATACACACAAAAAGCTCCAACAAAATAACATCCTAGTCTTTCATAAGTTACTTTGACGCACAAGTACTCAAACCAATATGTTAGAATAATAAAGTCTTAAGAAACAAGTTTTACATTTGAAAATAATCAGGGTAGAGTTTGACCCGGAATCAGTGTGAAAACATATAAAATGAGCCTATAAGAAATGTTACTTTTTTAATATTTGAAAGCCAACTCTGTGAGAAATAAGTTTAGGACACAGTTTAACAGACAGTACGACTTCACTCAGCAACTTCAACGTAGTTTGCTGGGTAGTAGCCCTCCTTCCCTTCACTTAGGACACCTCGACACCAACCCTGGTCATCCTCCTCCTCCACTTTTAAAAACACTTCACCTGAAAGACATAAAATTTGTCACAGTTGAAGAGAATAAGAGTCTGGTAAAGTACAACATCTTCAATAACTATGATCCTGATCCAACAAACCAGAACCTTCCCAGGCTAAGCTACAGACAAACTTATAAGGCAACATTAATTTAGTTTACAATCATATATTTTAACATTTGTATCACGAAACACTGTAATATTCATCAAGCCACCAATCATCCAGTGCCAATATAGATAATAAAATGATGAACAACACCTTTTTTAAACAACAATACCCAGAAGTCATCAGTAAACTGTCCACAGCACAGTTACAGTATATAAATGTATATGTACAGTATGTCTGTCAATACCTCTAAGGAAATGATTAATACTGAGTATTTCTGTCTTCCTACACAGATGTCAGCTCATACAAAGGCTGGTTTTATGTCGAAGTTTGGCTGTTGTAGCTTTAACCAGTTTTCATAACATCATACTTGGATGTGTTACCTGCTTTAAAGGACAGCTCATCTCCTTCCTCTCCCACGTAATCGTACAGAGCTCGCACCTTCACTCCCCCAATCATCACACTGACAAGAAAAAAACATGGGTGTTTGAATATTGAAAAAAAAAAAAGATACTGATTTAACTAGAATTTTCTTGATATGAAATTATTTACGGCCGACTGTCTTTTCTTTTCTTGTCCCTCTTCTTTCTATTCAGCTTTTTAACTGGTGGGACCCATTCCTGAGGGAAGACATAGAAAGCATAAAAGGTTTGTAAGACCATGGAAATACACATTTTTGTGTGGCTTTTTTACAATGGGCTTGTATCTATTGTTTGAATTTAGTTCAATAGTCTTAATTGTGTGTGTTTTTTATTGGAGAAGACCTTGTCACTCACCTCAACCTTTGGCCAATCCGTTGGCATGCCTGGGCCATGGTTGTTCTTCCACCATTTCACATCATCCTGCTCACTGATGGCCATCAGAGTTTGATGAAGCTCACTGTACACAGCCTTAACACTGACACAAAGACACACAGCTGGTTTATGATACTATCAAACACAACTACCCACATCATACATATCAATCAAGACCTAAACTTACCTTCTTACCTTCATTACCTCGTATCTTACTAATGGCAGCTGAAGATTACCACAGTGGACTTATGATGTATTAATGCCTGTAAGAGTCTAGTCCAGGTTACCACAGTCCTAGTCCTACTTCTGATATGGCTGCTGCCTGCCATATCAGGACAAGTAGCCGATGTGAATCCAGACTTTGAGTAAGCCAAGATTTGTAAATAATGCATCAGATTTTATAGCGCTTTATCGAAGACCCTCAAAGCACTTTACATTGGATACATCATTCATTTGCGCACACAGTCACACCTTGGTGGTGATAAACTACCTTAGTAGTCACAGCTGTCCTGAGGCAGACTGACAGAAACATGGCTGTCAGTTTGCGCCTACGGCCTCTCCGACCACCACCACACAACACTTAGAGTCATACACCAGTGGAGGACACACACTGGGAGCAAGGAAGGTTTAGTGTCTTGCCCAGGTACACAACTGACAGACTAGGGATAAGGGAAATCGTACCACCAGCCTTCCGGTTATTGGATGACGGCTCTACCTCCTGAGCTACTGCCAACCTCCTGAGCTACTTTGTGTGTCAAAGGACAGTTCCCCCCCCCCCCCCAAATTTGCATGTTTAGAACTTGTAAAATATGAGCAATGATTTTATTCGATGAAGATTTCAACCTCTTTGTAAAGGACAAACGACTGAACAGAACATGGACAAGGTTCTGGTGACATCGTCCACTGCTCTCTGTAGGTGTCAAAAAGCCCAAAGATAGCGGTCTCTGTTTGAGAAAGGCAGACTCCAAATTCTGTTGGACTACTATTAATTTCTTGCAGCCTATAGTTAACAGCCACAACTCACTCAACTCTCAGTCAAATAAGCCATTCTCCTAAATACTCCAAATCATGCTTTAAAATCTGGCTTGATCAAAAGAATGGATGGGTTATAAATGAATTTCCCTTGCACAATTATTGCAAACAAAGAAATGAGATGAAGAGACCAAAGCAGTTTTTTGGACCTGACTATAAACATGTTTTTTCGACATTTCCTCACCTCTCGTTGTTAGTGACATCAAGATGTCTGTGGATGGAGAGGAAGGCCTGCTTCAGGAAGCTGATCCTCTTCCTCTCCTCCTCCTGAGACTGCTCAAAGATGGCTTCCATCTCCTCCATGTAGCGAGGGGTGTAGGATGTCACATCTTCCAGCACTTTCTCATAGTGCTCTCTACACTGGAGGGAGATACGTATTTTAATTCAAAAGACACAGCTCTATCCTCCCCTCAGTGAAAACATCCACTTTGTAAGTTTTATTGTGGAAGATCCAGAGCGTTTAAATCATGTGGTGCTTCTTAGTGTTCCCAGGCTGGGCTCCATAAACACTGAGAGGAGGAAACAATAACACTTCTCCATACAAGGAAATGCTTGGAGCAGAAATTTAAGGCTAGGGTTTGTGTTTAGAGCTGATAATTCCTCCAGTGGATAAATATCATGACATGCAAAGTGAGACAAACTAACTTTAGGGGATAACATGTTTCACATTACAGCATGTTGTGAATTAGGACTTGTGAATGACACAGTTATTATGCATGTATGACTCAGAGTGAAATGCTGCAGTGTGCTGACACCCCTCCTCACCTTTTCCTTCTCCTCTGTGATCTTCTCTCTGGTATCTGTGAATTTCTGCTTCTTCTCCGGGCTCATCTCAGCGTTTTCATTTGCTTGTTTCTCTTTCTCCAGGGCTGTTGCCTCCCTTTGACAGCACTTGTGGTATGCAACACGGGCCTTCTCCAGCTGTTGAATAAACATCCAAACAAATCTTTTATTCACTTCAAGTAAAAATTGATTAAATTAAGAAAATATTTGTGATTGTCCTACCAAGATTCATTCCTCTTTTCTCTAATTGTGCATTAGATTTAAAATAAATAAAGGCCTAAATATAAATGTAATTTACATAATTTTTCCTGCTGAAATTATCCTGAGAGCCACTGAGGTGTACTATCGCCAGGTATACAGTTGACGTATCCTCTGTGGCTTTGTGTTTCTCAGTGTAAATTAAACAGTTCGTCCAAGTCGCATTGTCTTTGTTTATTCTTCTTCTTTTGTTAAAGAAACCAAATGCAAAATAAAGACAAAGGCAATTTCAAACAAATGGCAACAACGTTGATGTTAATGACGATGATGACGATAATGATGGTCAAAATACTGTTTGCTTCTCCAGCTACCAACACGCCTGCCACTAATTGTATCTTCTTCTATTTATAGCGAACAAAATACAGGACTTCACGCCACCTGGTGTGGCACCAGGACAATACAAAGGAAATAAGTTTCAAAACACAAACCCTAAAGAAAATACAACAAATTGCTCTTACAATACAATTAAATTAGTCTGGCTAAAATACTGTAAACTGGGTAAAACAGCTAGTCTGGTTCTGTGCAAAGATAAACAGAACTCCTTCAAAGAATTTCAGGACTACTAGTTTCTTGAAGTTGTCAAGTATTTTAAAAGACTACTTGTTATTTGAGTGAGACAAAAAAGGGTTTTGCTGCAAAATCAAAATTATCTGTAATGCAAACAGCTCAAGCATCCCACTATGACATGCTGCACGATTCAGAATCACATTTTACCAGCATGAATGAAAACATGGCATCTGGTTTTTCAAAATACATTAAGCTGTAACTTAAAATGCCAATTTGTGGTTAATGATCCCCACAAAGTTTGAAGCTCTCATCAACATGTCTTATCACAGCTCTATTGGATACTCGATTCTGATTGGTTAATACCATAGCAACATTCTTGACATCAGTATGTTTCCAAGGACAACCTGATCTCACACCTTAAAACAAATCAAATTAAATCAGACCACAAAAATAAGTCTGGTCCATTTCACCTGCAACTATTTCAACAATATTAATTATTAAAAAATGGAAAATCCCAAGGGGAAGGTAATCAAAGCCCCGTGCAAAAACAATGCATCCATGTCACCTTTCGATATAGCGAAATTTTTGTGCATCAGTGCTGTTGGCACCAGTGTTAATGGTTAGTATAAACTCATGATACTTATAAGCAATTCGAGTTGGAATAATTAAACTCCATTTGATGCTGATGCCCAGTTGAAAGCAAAACTAGCAAGTGGGCATTGCGTGACCATTTAATCTTAACCTCCATCACTGGTTTTTATCCAGTTTAGGCAGTATGCAAACACACATTACACACAAACACGCACACACAAGAGTCTTAATGACAAATGACCTTCGTGATCTTTTTGGACCAGGGTTTCTGTGCTTTAGAGAAGCTGGTATTGTTGTCGTAGCTCTCCTTGAACCCACAGAAGATTTTTTTTGGGAATATCTCCTTCTGCCATGTCTTCACCCGCTCCCCTTCCTCTGTGACCAGCGACTGGGATATGGAGGTGTGGAGGGCAGAGAGACGCTCGGTGGAGGAGAAGAAACACTGCCAGGCCTTCATGAGGGAGCCATAGAGCGGCCCTGGCAGAGTAGAAAAAAAAGGAGTGAGGAATAACCTGACAGAGGACGCAGAGGTTAGTCATGGAACCAATCGAGAAATAATGATCTCCATTTGTCTGCTGGAAAGTTTCAAATAAATACATGTGCAGCCCCGAGGAATCAAGCTGTGATTTTAACTTGATGAAAGCTGACATGATGAGAAAGGTCTGGGAATGCATGTTCTCTGTTTCTCAGACTTACGGGAATCCACAATGGACTTCCACTTGCTGCTCCACTGGCTGAGCTGCTGGGCGTACTGTTTCTCCACTTTTGCTCTCTCCATGAAACAGGCCACAATGTCATTACAGGCCTGGTAGGACTGCTCGGTCCGGTGCACCGTGCGCACATAATTCCCTGGCTGGAAGGAGGAAAAAGATGGTGAAGTCGAAGGTGGTAACTTACACATTCACAAACAGGAGTGGAGTTTTTTCTCTCAGGCGTTACTTTTTAATAATCCTCACCATCCAGAAGCTCTGTTTCCTGGCATCCTCTCGGGGCTCTTTGGGAAGGCTCGCCATGATTGTGAAGGTGTCTGCCTCAGAAAGTGAAAGATGGCTGTTTGTGTTGTAGAAGAGAGTTGCTAAACTGGTTACAGAGCACAATAATAAGCTCGGTAAGACAGCTTTTATTGGCTGACAGGCGACACTGATTATCATACAACAGGTTGAGTAACGTGCAGAGCCAACTGTCTGTCTGATAGGCACTGTAACTCCATAGAGCATGTGTTTTCTGAGCTAACCGTCATGACAACTTGGCCTATCCTGGTGATGTGTGATTTACAGTAAACGGCGCTCAGATGCAACCAAGCCCCCCCCTGCGTGAGTAAGGGGAGTGTGGTTGCAGTGGCAGACTGAAATTCACAGGGGTGGAGATCTGCCAGCAGGAATAGAACAGCTGCTCAGGCATTCTTCCTGTAGCCTTCCCAAAATAAACAGCAGGGAAAGGTCATCTTTCCCCTTTGCTCTGACTAATAGAAGGCCTATTAGAACCAACTGTCTCAGCTCAGAGATCAAGACCACAAAAGGAGCGGATTTATGAACTGGTGAACGAGCAGGAATGCAGGATTTAAAAGGAATCCAGTGTAATGATAGATTTTTTTTTTTTTTCCAAACAAAGCAAAGCAAGAGTGTTTGGTTCATTAGATGCAGAGGACAGATTGATAAAGGAGAGGACACATGCACAAACATGCAGAAGAGTTATATTTGGGCTTGTTTGTGTCTGGGTAACATGCTGGCTGAGTAATGTGAAAGTGACTAACCACACCTCGTCACAAGACTGAGCATGACAGAGAAAGAGAGGGAGAGAGAGAGAGAGAGAGAGAGAGAGAGAGAGAGAGAGAGAGAAAAAGAGGAGTGTTATCCCCTTAGCTAGCTCGTCTTATATTATTATGTTATCGCTTCCATTTTCCATTTGAAGTAAGTTCCTGAAAGCAGAAAAAATCTTCAACTTTTCCACACGAAAGGAAGGAAAAGCAGCCCATCCTTGTCATTTATCTCAAAGAAGCAGTCACATGATTTTGATGCCAGAGAAATCTCCATCCACAAGCAAGAAGCAAAAATAAGTGGCAACAGAGCAACCATGCCTGGGAGAAACCCGCACTTACGTTTCTCTCTGAATCACCAGTGATTACTCAAGTGACCACTTGTTACTGTAGTTCAAGGGCTTGCTGTGGCTTTCACTCCATTGCTGTGTCCGTCTCCCCCTCTCTCAGTGTGCCTCTCTCTCTCTCTCCCTCTCTCTCTATCCCTCCTCCTCCAACACATGCTCCTCTCCCTCTCTCCTCTCTCACTGACCCAATTTCCCCCTGGCACTTAAAGTTACACACACGTACGCACAGAGTTGTTGATGATCTAAAAGTGGGTGTGAGACTCCAGGACAAAAAAAAATAAACAAATCAGAGCGTCTGCCCGGTAATCATCTGGCTGCTAATTGTGCCAACAAAGAAGGAGGGAAAACTTACCTTGTTGCTCTCCTCCCCTTTTAGCTCTTCTGGCAATGAACCTCTTCTTCCTTTTTCTCTTACTTTAACCCCATCCTCTGCTTCTTGAACTCACCAGCCTCCTCTCTCCCAGGCTTCTACCCCTCTTTGACTTTCTCTCCACTCTGCTATCAGAAACAAACAGCTGGAAGAATCCCCCTTCCTCCCTCTCCCTCCCCCGTCCCTCCCCCTGTCACTCTCAATATGGTGCTAATGAGATGCTGAAACTTCATTTTGACTGTACGCCGGTCACAGAACAGTGTCAGTGTGGCACACAGTCATGTGAGCTTATTAGTGAGAGAGTGTGACAGTAGAGAGGGGAGTCCCATGAACCACAACATAAGCCGCCTCTTTACCCCTTTTGTGACCTGTCATTCTGTGTGGTCAGGCCTAGAAAGAGGCGGCTGTATGTTATGTTCACCCACACACTGTTTGCTTATTCCAGGCTTTACTCTTCTGGAGGCAAAGGAGAACACCGCTGTCGTCATTTAGGGCTACAGTTACAGTCTGACTAGTGCTGCCTCCATCTTGCTTTTATTTCACTGTCTCCTTGAAATAAATGCGGTTTGCAAACTCATTTTTAACAGCTCATTTAGAGCCAGTATCTCAAACACCACTTCATCACACCCACCATAAGAGACATGTTTGTTTCTCACTTTTAGCTGCAAAGTTAAAGAGTTTTTAGATGGTTATGAGACAAACCGACAGTTACAGGGCTGGATGAGCTAGAGGAAAATGTCAGTAAAAGCTACAGGAAAGGGGACCTTCTACATGCTGCTGTTTTTTTTACTTCTCTGTGAATAAAAATGAGAAGTGTGATTTGATTTATCACAGTAAAGCTGGCTTATCTCAAGACGTAAACATAAATGAAATATCACACTCAGTGTCAATTCAGCTCACAAGAAGGCTGATTTGAACACTGTTGCCATGGAAGCACAACCAAATGTTGCATCTGAGACTATTTTTTCCAAAGCTGCGTAAATAGATCATTTTAATAAGCTTCAATTCAACTCTTATTGTCAACTTGTGTATCACTCTTTGGCAGCCTGTGATACCTGAATGATAGAATTGAATCCCTCAGGGTGGATAAGACCCCTCACTTTGTATCTGGGTCTTGTTTCACCCAATCTACTTTCCATTTTGCATAACCACCTGTTTTCTATATGTTATCCCTCACAGATCACTTTGATAGTTACTTCTTTTTTGCTCTCTAATGCACATCGCTGTTGCTTAGCAACAATACTTTCTAGTTGCTTTTCTAGCTGTTGTTTAGTTGTTTAAAGCAAAAAACTTGGCCTCGGCTATCATATAAAAAAAAGAGGAAATGGCACCCAGAATTAGACCCTGATCAAATGAGCCCACTGTAGGCTGCGCAACATTGTACAACTAATACCTGCAACTCCTCTCATCAGCTGCAGTACAAAAACTTTAGCTTCTGCACTCCATGTCAGATTATTCTGTCTGCTAAATGGTGGTCAAATTGGCCACTCTGTGCTTTTTGTCTGAATAATTTCCCTTGTGCTTTCTCACAAAGAATCTAACCCGTGTCTTCCTGTGAGCAGATCCAGCAAAACTCAGGCCTTCAGACCTTTTTTGACAAGCTACATCCTCATGATTCTACAGTCTGTCTGTGAAAGGCCAACACTGCCAGATCTTTTTCAGTTGCTGGCAAAACCAGCCAGCCTCATATGAACATCACTGCACCATCCTCCAGTTGCCCTGTCTGCTTCTGGTTCCCCCTAAATTGCAAACCGTAACAGATCATTTTGTGTTAAGTGAATTTCATGTGCATCAAAGGTTTGGAGGATGCATGAAACTATTTATGTTTCATAAGTTGCCATGTAAAGAGGATTTTGATATAACAGTCTCAAATGTAAAACTTATGCCTCAAAACGACCCACAAATACAAACCAGACTGTCTAGCAGTCTGGCTGTTTCTCTTTAGTAATTTTACAAGCCTGTCTCAGCAATGAAGCGTTTCACAGAACGCAGACCAGGCAGACTTTTCCAACGTTCTCCTGGCAAAGTTCATGATGAGTAGCGTGATAGCTTCTTAAAAGAATACAGGAGGAGATACTTGATTCAGATACTACAAATTTATACCCAGGGTAATACAAGGCTGCCAATAACATTCACAGCTGCTTTTAAGTACTTGGATATGTACTTCTACTTCTTCATGCACTTTATGACAGTCTGTAGCTAGGTTAATGTGAAAATCGTGGTGTATCTTTCTTTCTCTTCTTTCTCTGGATGTCTGATATCAGATATCAGATAGATCAGTTCACCATATTCAAATAAGCCTTTATTTCCTTATGCCTGTTATTTAGAATTGGATCAAGAACTTTACTATTGTGTTGTTGACTTATTATAACAGAAACTTTGACCTTCTTTTAGTGATCTATTGGTGGTGTTTTTTGCTCAGTAAAAGGTACTGTATGTTCCAATATTCCTTTACTAGCTAGCACTACCAAGTGAGCTGTAGGTGATCATTATAGAGCAGCTGCGTTATCAAAAATAGTGGAAGAAATGTGCTCAATGAAAGGCAATGAAACACAGTATCTTCATGTTTGATGTACTTACTGATACACAATTCATGGTTCAATTCGAGGTTTAAGTCGAGGTTTTGAGATTAAAGTCGAAATTTTAAAAAGTCAAAATTTCAACTTTGTGTCGACTGTGATCTCAAACTTCAATTTTTTAATCTCGAAATTTTGTCTTTAATCTTGAAATTTCAATTTTTAATCTGGAAATTTCGACTTTTTGGAACTTTGAGTTTAATCTCCTCCCTGTGATTATTGTTTTTCTCTTTATGTGGCCCTAATTCTCTTTTGTACATCCTTGTGTATACTGTGGAAGTTTTGATTGTACTATAAGAAGGAAAAAGTGAGCTTTTTGGCTCCTTCCCTAATATCTATAACCATGGTAACTGTAAGCAGACTCTGACAAATACAGAGAAGAAGCAACCTGGACTACTGGCCCAAACTCTAAAAAAACACCATGATTATAAGTTTCCACCAAGAACCTCAAACTAGCTTTTATTCAAAGACAAAATGTCATATTCATCTCCTTCCAAGTTGTTTCTCATTGTTTTCTTGCCCTGCAGGCGTCTTTGGGTGTACTGCATGAGCGCAGCCACCACTTGCTTTGAATTAAGCCATCTCATCATCTCCCTCCCTGTGAGCACTTCTCTGTTGTCCTATTAGTTCACCCAGCCTGATGGGAAAATAATTCTGGACCTGGAACAATGTTATGTTCAAGCACGGCGGGGCTAGTACGAGCTGCTGCCAAATGACTCAATCCAAACACAACACTTTAAATTGGATCGTTATGTGAATCTGCTGGAGGAGAAATGAGAACAAGACAGGGCCAGAGTTTGTTTTAGCATTTATTTCAACACCTTAGATGTACCTCTATCATATAGTTTATCAGTATATACTGTATTTTATTTAAAAGCAAAACTTTATATATATTTATATGTATATATTTATATATACCTTTTTATCTCTGCATACTTACGCTCATACTGTTTGTAGTCATGTTCATTATGCATTTCACTAGACCTAAAAATACTCTTTAAATCATAGTATGTAATGCTTTCTACACTACTGCTCAGTCCTTTCACTCCTCAAAAAAGTTCAACAGCATTGAGGCAACTCAGCACGACAATACAGAGTCATAATTTCAAACTCACACAGGGAGAGTACAAGAGAACTAATGTGTGTCAGCTTCACCGGGGTCACCACACAGCCACCAGCAGTATAGAAAGCATTCACAGGAAAAAAAGAAACATAAACCAAACAAAGCTTTAAAGAAATTTGTCCACACTATTTGGAAGACAGAGATTCTTAAAAATGTTTACATACTTAATATAATTACCTTTATTATACTATATATTTTTTCATCATTTTTGAAATCATCATTACATATAGATCTAGAAATGATGTGTTTGCCCGACAGTCGAATTAACTGCAGGATATAATGTCTTTAAAAAATCCTGGGCGTTCATGTTCACCTCCATTTAAATACAGAATGGACTATTAACAATCTTAAATAAATATCTTTTAAAGTGGTCGTTTTTTTAAGGGTTAATATGTCAAACAAGGAAACACTGGGATTGTCAGCTAGTGAAAAGAAAATCATGTTTTCTGCTCGTTGATAATATGTTTTGGAAAAGGCATCATAAAGAGAAAGGTGTAGGTCAGGGAAAGCATTTGGCCACTGACGCAGGCTGACAAACACTCGCGCACAAAATCAGACACACAGACTCACAGAGGCTGAAGGCTGAGGAGGTCAGGCAGACAGAGAAGCAGTAAAAAAGCCCTTTTTTCATCACTGCACCTGCTGTGTGAGAGAGCGGTCGACATTATGACATCGAAGAGGACTGATATCTATCCTTGTCATGGGTACCATGGCCATAAACACAAATCTGTTTGCAGTTTGAAACGACAAGTTAACTCTGCAGATCCTCTCCTTTCAATGAAATAACCAGGAAAAATAATAATTTACAGCAATATTTTCTCAACACTTGTTTTTCCTCATTATGCACAGCTTGACAGTTAAAGATACCCTGACCAGTTAATAGTTAATGATTGTGATTGGCACTCAGTACAAAACAAATGGTTCTACTGTTTGTGAAACGATTTGACATGTCAGATATATTAAGTGCTCTTAAAGAACAAACCTACAAAGTGTATTAGGGTGTCCTTCAAGGGGAGTATGGCAAATATATAAAAAGAAACTATTATTGTCTACCACTTTTTCAATCTCTCTTGTGTTCAGACTTTGGCTCTGGTACTCACCGCTGCTTGATGCTCTGATCTGCTTAAAGCTATGAAACTGATGTGACGATGTGACTCTTACATCTGGCTCAGATACAACCAGCAACATTTGATTTGGGGTCTACCCTTTCAGCAGCAACTTTTCAGGGAGCTTTTCTCAGTGCTGCCTGGTGCCAGATGGTGCAAGAATCCATCTATGAATCCAGTGTGTGTGTGTGCGACAGTTTGAGAGTGTGTATACCATATATATGTTTATCCTCTACAGCACAAAACAGTGCCTTAATTAAATGCCTGTCCATCAAAAGTTTCAAAGTATATATTCAGCTGAGGAGTGTCATTTTCATATTGTTTCTAATTTCTTTACCAAAAGTAATTCAACAAATTCAACAAACAGATTCTCTACAGGTATAGTAGATTTGCAGGAAGAGACTCTCCCCGATCATAAAGGTCTTTAAACACAACCTGCTGAAGTCCACTGATCCTCTGTTGCACATCTTCAGTTATTGTTCATCTTTATCCATCTGTTTCTCTCCCTTTCTTTCTGTCTTTTTTTGACTCACCCCTTCTTTCTCTCAGTCTGTGTCTCGGGGAGAAGTAGAGACATGCAAGGGAGAGGAGAGCCGCCTGGGGAGAGGGCAAATGAAAGGATAAGAATGGGCGGAAATGAAATAAAGATGAAGTAAACTGAATATGGGTGATTAAAAAAGGTTAATAAAGAGAAGGAGATGAGATATGATGGGATAACTTATTTAAAAATATATAAGTCTGAAGAGCAAAGAGGGGGTGACAAAGCTAACTTATATCAAAGATATAAGACACATTGACTTTCCTTCACTATCTGGTGATTTTTTATGAACTTTGACCCCGTTGCCTCTACGTGTTCCAGAGTCTATCGGTCCTCCCTCACCTGTCTGTGAGTTTCTTCAGAGCCCTCTCGATGTTCATTCGATGTCCCACACGTGTCACTCCAAGATCCAAGAAGTCATCCTTAGTGAGCGAAGGCAGATGTGATCCATCTATCTCATTGTCTATAAAACGCTCCCGGTGTTGACTCAGGTTCAGGTAAGCTAGCCAGTCAGCCACGTCGTACTTGGTCCAGTAGGGTAAAGGCTTCACAGCAAAGGGTTTGGCTGGAGGAGGAGCGGTGAGATGGGGGTAGTTGAGACAAGATGGGCTGGGGGGCAGGTGCATGGGGGAGGAGGCTCCAGAGAGAAAATGAGTGGGGGAGAGAGAGCGGGAGACGTATAGAGGGTTTGGACTTTGCACTCCAGATGGGGAGAACAGTGGAGGAGTTGAGGCTGAGTAAGGGTCTCCAAGAGGGAGGCCAGGCGAAGGAGGAGTGAGGGATCCTGGAAATTCAAAGGGGTTGTTGTAGACAGGTGTACTGGGAAGGATGGGGAGAGAGGAAGGTCTAGGAGGGGTGGGGCTCTGCTGTTCAGTGTTATAAATTAGAGGACTAGGCGCACGGCGGCGGGATACTGAAGACCGCATCTCTTTAGTGGGGCTGCCCTGGAAATCAAAGGTCTGCCTGCGCATCTTGCGATGCTTCGGTGATGTCGGATACGGGCAATAGGTCGGAGAATGAGGAGGGTGTGAGTGAACCGGGGAGGAAGGCATCTGCGGAGATGGGGAACGGGTCCAGTTGCGCTGGACTGGGACATGAGGAGAAGGGGAGACCGAAGGGGTGGCTGATAGATTTGGTGTCAGGATCTGTCGATGCTGTGGAGAGGAGGTGGGCAATGGTGAGGTGGAGCGGCCAGAGGGGGGGCTTTGAAAGGCATCTGTGAAGTCTGCAGAATACCTAAAAGACACAAAATATGAACATATATAAATCCTAATAACAATCAACAAAGATCAGAGATGGTGACTTCTGGTTCAAAATCATGAACAGACCACCCCAGGAAGCATCAGCTATCGTCTTATAATGAGACGTGCCTCTGGAAACAATGGCGAACTTTTTATAGTATCATCAGTTTAACTAACAGCAAAAAAAGACTTCCAGCCAAGTCTTCTATTTCAAAGTGCTGATTTGTTTACAGACCAATTAGCAACTTGTAAAGGAAAAATGTGTTTTCAGATCATAAGTGCAGCCAAATTCACCCCTTCAGATACATCTGCAAAGTTAACTGTGTCATGTTTTTGGATCATTACATCCCCCTGAGTAATGCCTGTTTTTCTGTTTCTGGTAGATCTTAATTATGATGTGAATAGTGACTTACACAGAGGCTTCACTCTATCTGGTTTCATCTGGATGAATCCCTCCAAAAACTCTCTTTTCATTATATATATGCTATTAACTGGTCTCAAGTTTCAAAATTCGTTATTACTGAAGCAGGAAGTCTTGACTTCCAGGAAAGTCAAGAAATCAAACCCCTGATTGGTCCCCGATCAGCACAGAATTGAAATGATTTTTTTACTCATATTGAAATCTTTGATATAGAGCAGACATATATTTGTATAAGGGGTAATAACTGTTTGTCAGATTCTGTTAAGAGGTAAATCTGAGTGGTAAGGATGCCTAACCCTAACCGTAAAACATCTGATATAAAAATCCAGGTTCTGTAGAGTTTATGTGGTGAATGATGGAAACAAGCCAACCTGTGTATGGTGGGTGACTTTGGAGTGTGGCTCCAGTCGTCCATGCTCTTCATACCACTCATCTGCTGCAGCTTAGAGCTCAGCTCATTGATGATGCTCGCCTTCACACCTGAAAGAGGTGAGTGAAGCCTGCGGCCCTCCAACACAATCGCCTCTCTATGCACTCCACCTCCACCCATATCGTGCTCGCTAACTTCGCCCCAACCAACTGATCGAGCATCCATGGGCCTCTCTAAGCAAGCAGCAAGCGCGGAGTTAAAATTGTCCTCCATTTTGGATCGGCCCTGCTTGCGCCTCCTTTCGTCCACATAAGCTCCGTCTAACCTTGGGTCTTCTGGGTTGCTTTGTCTCTGTAGCTGCAAAGGAGCGGGATTGGTGCTGTTCTGCCTTCGCAGGGCTACAGGCAGCCTCCCCCCTCCTTCCTTGTAATGAGTCATCTTTGGAAACACAGGGTTTGCCATTTTGGCACTGTGCACCTCAAATGTTTGCCCACCTGAGTTCTCTCCCTCTCCTCCTCCTCCTCCACCCCTCTCTCCTCTCATACCACTCAGTCCCAGCATTTCAAGATGATGGTCACTGCTGCTGTGACTGTCCAGCTCCTCAATCCCAGAATCCACCACTGCATCCTGCCAGTCTCCGCTCTTGGGTGTAACCGTAGAGTGATGGGTTTGGTCTGCAGATTTTCCCCCCGCACCAAGACCAGCTCTGGGCCCTGCTATGTTCACACTGTAGTCAGAAGATGATGGTGATGCGGTGGTGGAGGCGGTCGCTGTAGCTGTCATGGTTGTGGTAGCATAGGTCATGGTCGAAGTCAGGGAAGAAGTGCCTCGGTCATGGCCTCGAGGATGACCACCTACAGAGGAGTCATTAGAGCTGCTGTAATAAGGGTGAGAGTGTGCCATGGGCTGGGGTCTGTGCAGTGATGTAGCGGGTAAAGCTGCAGAGGAGGTGGTGTTGGTGGTGGAGGAAGAGGAAAAAACCTGTGGGGATGGATATGATGGAGAGAGAGCTGACTGGGTAAGGTTGGCTACCTCACTGTCATAGGATGTAAGGCTGGAGGCAGCAGAGTCACCACCCTGTGAGGAGGACTGGGGGGCGTTTGAGGTCTTGGAAGATGGAAGAGGTGGAGGTGGAGGTGGAGCGGCAGAGTGTTGATTCCTAAGTTGATGCTGCTGGATTCTCTCATTCTTACCATTTGCAAACTGTATCGGAGGAGGTAAGGGATCAGCAAAGACAAATTCATCGTCTACATCTATTGAAGGGGCAGGTGGAGGCAAAACCATCAGTCCAAGACCTCCACCTGCTGCTGCTGCTGCTCTGGCATCATCCATAATATCATGTGCCTGTGCTGGCCCTGTAGGACCAGTGTACTGAGGGATGTAGGTGATGTTGGGAGAGGTTTCCATCTGCAGAAAGGAAGGTCTGCGGGGTGCAGGTTGAGTCGGCGGTGGAGGAGGCTGTATAGGTGGAGCAGGTCTGCTGTCATACACCTCTTTCTCTCTTTCTCTCTCTCTAGGGCTCTGTGGGTAATACTGTGGTGAATACTGATTTGTCCTGTCCTCTGAAAAGCGAACTCTTAGACCCTCCCTAGATCCTCCCTCTTTTTCTCTCTCCATTCTCTCTCCACCCCCACCTCCAAGGCGTAATATCCTCGGTGACTGTGGTCGGCTCATAGGTGCAGGGGAGGTCGTAGCTGTGGGGGAGCTCAGGTGGAGAGAAACTGGGGAGGTGTAGGTCGATTGTGTTGGGGTTGCAAAAAGAGAAGGAGTTGGGGTCTGGACAGGGGTGGGGAACGATCCAACTGTGGATAGTTGTCGACCAAAGTGCCTCTCCTCTCTGCGAGTCCTGCGGTCGTCCTTTAGGGCTCTTTCTCGTGCAGCTAGAGCCAAGCCGAGAGGGGATGAGGGGTCTAGAACTTTTCCAGTGAGTGGGTGGATGAAGGTGGTGGCAGGCTGGGAACCAAACATTGACGGAGCGGACTTTGGCTGACCGTCCTGACCAAGGACAGGGGAGGAATATTCAGGCAGACCAAAGGCTGGAGGCATGCTACTGGAATAGTTCATATAGTTGTCTCCAGAAAACATGCCTTCATCTATCGACTTGGAGGGTCGTAGCCGAGGGGTGGGCACCTCCATTTGTGATCCCTGTAAAAGTTGAGTTCTTGCTCCTGATGCTACACCACCTTCCCCCGCTCCTCCTCCTCCTGCTTCTCCTTGGATGTCCTCTTCAGATGAAAGAAAGAACGAAGTGCTCTTTCTCCTCATATCTCGAAAACGTTCCCTTTCCTTTCGTGCTCCTCCTCCTCCCCCTCCGAGGGCTGAACTAAATGATGAAGAGTAATCCAAGTGTTCCAAGTTTTGCTGCAAGGAAGCTGGTGGAGCAACAGCTGATGAAGGCAAGGAAGAGGATGTTGGTGGCTGAGGTGGCGAGGGGATAAGAGGTGAGGGTAGACTTGTGTTGGGGCTGTCTGTGGTGGTGTCTGCTGGGCCGGGGTCTTCTACATCCTGAGAGGTCTCAGCTTCCATACTGCTACCCTGGCTGCTCCGCCCGCTGCTGCTGGTGGAGGGCGCCTTGACAATGATTGTAGGAATAGGGATGGAGCTCTTCTCTTTGGCAGCACCCCCTTTTCCCCTGTGTTGTCTCAGCCCATCTTCAACTTTTGATTGCTTCATCAGAGCTCCTCGACCGCCTCTCCGTGCAGTCCCCCTGCTGACTCCTCCACCCTGCTCTCGGTTCGTAATATGTGGGTGATGTTGCTGTGCCTGTTGGGTCTTAGGCTTAGCACTTGTTGGAGGTGTAGCGCTGCTGTAGCCTCTACGTAAACCTCCCATCTTGCCGCCACCTCTCCTAGGCGCTTGATCTTGATCTCTTACAACCAGTCCGTCTGATTGTCGTCGCAGGGTGGGGACCATAACCTGCTGGTTAACACCACCTGGTCCGCCTCTGTCCCAGCCTGCTTGACCTGGCTGTGAGTGGAGCTGGTAGTGGGCTTGAGATACAGGTGGGATGGGCATAGCTGGTCCTCTTCCAGGATGAGGACCTGCAGATAAAGGTGGATCTGGGGCAGATGTGTTTGGGGGTGGGGGGATTTCCTCCGGTCCTGGTACTGAAAGGCTGCGAGCCAGCTTCATAGCAGGTGGGTGGAGGTACTGCCTCTCCTCTTCTGTTACACCTGAAGAAAAAAAAAGGAGATAGGCTGTTAAAAAGGACCAGTCATTGCGGGCAGAAATTTAACCTTCAAGTCCGAGCTTACCAATAGATTTTTGTCGCATCATGACCGCATGCTGACCGTGGCCTGGTTGAAAATGAGCCTGGTTGTAGCCAAAACCAGGTCCGTGCTGCACCAAGCTTACTGGAGCCTGCTGCTCATAGGGTTGCTTCAGGTGTCAAAACACATTTTTAAAAGAAAACAAAAGACACATGATCGTAAAGAGAGGATTAAAAAGTGTATCAAACATTTCCTCAGACAAAATCCACTCAAAATGAAGCAGCATTTAGGTTGATATTGATTTGATATACAGTGTAGTGCAAGACAGAAAAAGCAGACAGTCCAAGTATAAGTGTATCAGGCAGGAGAGCAGAGATGAATGGATTCAACCTGACTCACTCTTAACAAATGTTTTGGTGTGGGTGGTCCATTGTCAATCATTTTCTGTAAAGTGCTTTCCGAGCAGGAGAACACATACAGCTAAAAAAAAAAGCTGAAGACCTTGCTGCTTACTAGATAGGAACACTCGGATTAGTCACGTCCATGACTAAATATGTGCTACATCCTAAAGCACTTTAAAAAAAACTCTTTTAGAGAGGGGTCCTCAGCTGCTCGATATTTGTGAATATTTTTCAGGTGGAGGAAATCAAGTTAAAAATTCCTGCAGGGCCCAAAAATATGATAACAACAATCTAGGACCATTTCCTTTGAATTCCCAGCAGTACCTCAGTGGAGATGTTGGGAACAATACTCTTGCTCCTGTCCCTCTTGCCTCCATGACCTCTCTGGCCTTGGTTGTCTGATGTAATGGTGTGCTGGGCAGCAGCCAAGATTTCATCCAGTTTATCTGAAACAAAAACAGAAGGAGGGCGAGGAAGAAAAGGAACATGGAAAGGTAGTGAGGGAGAGCATGAAAATAAGGCAGGAACATGAAAAGAGGATTTTGGTGAGCCCACTCCTGTCCCCTCAAGGTTTCAAAAACACCCTTTTACAGTGTGACAAGAGCTGCGAGAGTGATTTCTTACTTAGGGCCATCTGATAGACCGTCCTCTTCTTATCAGGACCCTGAGAGGACTCATACTCTGAAGAGGAAAGAGAAAAAAAAGAGGATCAAACAGGCCGACTTTTAATTAGAGCTCAGGGGCTGATCGGGGTAAAGATAAAGGCTCATTCTCACCTGCTTTCTTTTTCCAAGGAGATGCAGCTGTAGCATGCATAAATGGGGAAACAGAAAATTAGGTGTGACAAGAAGTGCTGTGTAGTCATGTGTATTCATCAGATAAAAGGATGATGTACATACTCGAGAAACATGTGATGGTTTGAATACTGATGTGATGATAGGGATGGAGATGGAAATGATAATGAGAGCACATACATCCATGAGTCTCCCACCTTTGTCCACTGTGTGCAGCACATTTGGTCCAGAAAAAAAGAGCAAATTGTAAAGGATGAGATTAGACAAGTTTCATATCAATCATGTAATCGTGTTTATATCTCTGAGCTGTTTAGTTTGTGCGTTTCTGCTCTAAAGGTAATCAAGTAAGCAATAGAGCATTTCCATTAAACCCATTCTGGGAAAAAAAAGCTGTGTAATCACACCTACACTGGATCATTTCTCGACTCTCTCTACATCAACTTGTTTAATAATTAATGTGGTGTTTCCTTAATAGGGCCAGAACTCAACTGTAATCCTGCAGAGGGGCTGCAAACCAACCTGAAAAGCTTTTCCAAACGTGTCCTCTCATTAAAAAAAAAGATTCAATCCCACTTTATTTTTACTTCTTATTCTCTCCAGACCTCCCTCCTCTTACTTCTTTGCATTCAGCCCTTTGTCCCCCTCTATCATCTTACCCATGTCTTCCAGCTCTGATGTCATTGACTTGGAACGCAGGGCGATGGCGGGAGGAGTCAGTCTCTTAGTCTGCTGAGGGGCTGCCAAGGGAATCGGGCCAAATGCAGACTTAATGTTTAGTATTCTCATATAAACATGCAGTCACCAATGACGACCACATTGCAACAGGCTTTTAGAGTCATGTAAACATGCAATCAGTTTAATTATTACATCATAAACATAGGATGGTAATGAGCTGCAGGGAAAATTTGACTTTTACCTCTCTTGCGGACTGTGTCCTCGAGTTCAGGGTTTCGCGCAACCATGACAACTTTCACCATGAGACTGTTGCCGCCCTGTCTGATCATGTTGACCACCTGCCTGTGGCCGACTTTCACCACATTCTGGCCATTTACCTGAAAGATGCAAAGACAAAGAGGGACTTAACTCAGAGGAGGTGAAGTTATTACAATCAAAAACTGGATTCTTTTAACACGTAAAACTGAAACACCAAACTTTGACTCTACTTAAGTAATGCAGCTGTCCCACTTTTGGACAGCTTAATGAGATTTTGCTCCCAGCCTTTACATTTGCCATGTTTTAGATTGTGGCACCAATGACAAATACAGCCACTACAGTTCATCACAATTACAAAGGCTTGGACAGACACGTAAGTGACTCATATTAGGTTGAATACTAATTAGCAGTATGTGTCAGCTTTAATGGAGGCTTGACAATCACCAATTTTAGAGCTTTTTAAAGTGCAAAATGGCCTGTACTGCAGCTGATGAAGAGCTTTAAGTATTGCAATCCCGCACTTGGTCTGACTGAAATGCACAGTGTATAAAACATGTATCGTTAAAAAAGAGAGTGAAAATATGCAGCTTGTTAAATTAGATATGCAAATGCATTAAATTCAGGATAACACAAATAACAGAGAACTTTGTAAAAGAGGGGGATTGTGGATTATGTAATATTCGCTGTGGTCACTGCTTCGAAGATTTTCTCTCCAAGTAGTAGGAAAAATATATTAGACAGATAACATATACAAGAGAGCCAAGAGTAAGGAATGTTATGTGTAATGTCGAAATGTCGTTTATTTTGGCTCACTCGCTTCTCTTTAGCCTGCCGTTTTTTATGTCCTCTAAATTCCTACATTTCCCAGAATGAGTTATAAAGCTGTCAGAGGAACTTTCCTGTACTTGTCACATTCATTGGTGGAAAAAGCTCTAGTGTTTTTAGAGTGCTATTTAAATTCCTCACTCTAAACATCATGCTACGCTTCATGAAGCTTTTTGGACTTAGTGCATGATGAGCCATCAAATCTCTGTCAGTAGGAAATGTTTCGTAGCAGTTTTACTACAGAGTTATTATTTGAGGTTGTCCATTGATATAACTCTTAAAGTAACCATTATTCTTCCTGGAAGAGAGAAATATGCACATAAACAAGACATACAACAATGCAGTGCTGTGCAAGGAGTGTGTTGTCTTAAGGGATGCACTGATCCACATTTTTTCACATCCGATCTGACCTCGATTCCTGAATTTGGATATCTGCTGATACCAATACTTTTCCGATACCAGAGTTCTGTTAGCTTTACCATCATTATTATCATTATTGTTTACTTTATATGAGGCTGTAATAAACATCTCTCTACAGGCAGGAATATGTACGTATGATTTCCTGAATGGAGGCGTGTCTCATCTCTACGTCTCAGTGAGTCACGCCTCCATTCAGGAAATCCATTGCACAGTTTGCAGCCACCTAGCAGACTGGCCGGCAAGAATCACTTGTACAGTCACTTTAAGTTAAAGCAAAGACATGACTTATGGATTGGAAATTTTTGCAGGTTCGAATGGAAATTTACGATCCATGAATTATATATCGGAGTGTGGAAGCCAAACACCCTGTTGGAAGTTTTTCCAGGTCACATCTTGTCCTTACCTCAATGAGGAAATCCCCCATTCTTAGGCCCGCCCTCCAGGCCACACCCCCCTCATCGACAGACTCTAGGTACTGCAGCGCAGGGAACGCTGGCGTCGGAGTGAACTCCTCTATGGGAGTCTGAGCTGCAGTGGACAGGACAAAATGAGTATGAGTGGATCCAGATCAACAGAAAAGTAAGTTAAAGATGAGAGAGTTAGTCAGACAGATGAGAAAATAGAGAGAGGGCATTTGAGATTGAGGAATGTGTAGAGGTAGAATAATATGGGTTGAATTTTTCATTTACCTTTGGCTCCTCTAAGCACAAAGCCAAATCCCTCATTGTCTTTTTTCTGTAGGAGCACTGTCTTCTCCTTAATGATGTAGTCACTTCAGAGGGAGCAGAGGGGACAGGGAGAGGGTGATAAGGATTGGAGAGGAATAGAGGTATGTGGCGTTCAGAGAAAACAAAAAGTATTTTTGTCATGCAAATAAAGCATTTTTATGAATGAGGAAAACAGCCACATTGCACCACGTCATGAAATCACACTGCAGCAAAAGAAAAGGTTGGCTTGAGTGTCATACAACAAGTGCTGGTGCACAATGATGGCAGAGCTACAGTTAGTGTCACAATGGGAGGAGGAGTATATGAGATGGCATCTTTTACCATGGACTAATCCACACAGTGCTGACAAACAGTGGGCCAGAGGGGGATAGCACATTAGAAAATGTGAGCACACACTTCACTGATAACAGAAACTTCCAAATGCACCTCAATCGCTGCATTAGCTTTTATCGCCTCTGGCAGCTTTAGCAAGGATACTGCTTTACAGACTCCCGCGTACCACTACTGGTCATACATGACACTTCAAATTATGTACAAAAGGCAGTCAGACAGGCCTGTAATCTGCCTCCACAAACAGCTCCTCATGCTTAAAGCCAGCGGATCACAGGCATTGGTGATGCAATCTTATTATGAGACTGTTGGAGTAGTGTAACAGCTGGGCCAGTGAGCTCCTTCATTATTCTATTACCCTGTCTGCGACTTTTGGCCAAGCTGCTTTACAACCTTCCCTCTAATACAGGACTGGTTAAATGGACTTCACACTTGCAGCCACATCTCATGACTCATTTTTGGATCTGATTTTCTAACAATGTCAATTCACTCTTGTTTTTCTGGAGAGCCTGCAACTTCAGCAGAGCTCAATGGTACAATTGGAGTTTCAGATATTTCTTTCCTTGATGGCTTATTCCCTAGGCTTGTACCTCAAAATCTTAGCTGACACTGACCCTTGACAAATCAAATTATTTAATTTCTTAGAAGGTCTAAGCATTGGATGGAAGGCTTAGCTTAAGATTGGTCTGTATTTATGTTTGTGATTTGACTGCAAAAACTTGACATTTAGGAAGCTCTGGGTTTACTCAAGACATATTTCAATTAGGAATACTGTTTGTTTTGGTCTCTCCACTTTAAAAGGGAAGTTTGGTTCACTTTTTGAAATGACATGAGATACAGGATTTATGTATTTCAGACTCTGCTTGCTCTCAGGATGCATATATATATGGCCTCTTTTCCCCTTTACCATCAATAACCTACACCTGAAACTAACAGTTACATTCTCTCTGCTGTTAAAAGTCTATAACAAGACTACTTTTGCCATAGATACACTTGAAATTGATAAGTTCACCCTCAAAACTGGTAGTGGATTGTCTTCTAGGTTGTGAGGAGCCTCCTTAAATTTCCTAGTGTCTGGCAGAGGCGACTTCATTCTGCCTCCACCACTTCTGAAGCCCCCTGTGTATTCTAGTGCTAAAATAACAATAACAGTACAATATTATATCCCACACTCTCTTTCAATAGAGACCCAGAAAGGTTTTGTGTGTTTAATCCGGCAGAGCATGTAATGAAGTTTGGCTGTGAAGCCACAGAGGTATAGCAGAGTAATGAGCGACGGCTTGCAGGCCTGAAGATCCAGACTTTTTGACACCAAGCCGTAACTTTAGCACCGAACAGACGATCGCTAGTTTCCCCTACTGAGGTCCGTTCCCTTGTGAGTTCTCCATCAATGTTACTGTTTCGCCAACGCACAGCCGCCTTCAAACCATCTGCTCCTCGCACCTCATTCCTTTTTCTCTCACCCTGTCCTCCATCATTCTTTCCCTCTCTGAGGATCAAAGTAACACGAAGTGGGTGGCTGGATCTTTTGGGCTCTTAATCCACGCTCATCTACAAGGGCAAACACAGCCTGTGCTGATTCTCCACTCTGGGGTGGTTCTTAAGTTGTGCCGCTGGTTTGTGGTAACGCTCCTAATTTCCTTTACATTTGAAGCTATACCACATGTCCGTCTGCACATTTGACCACAACTGCCTGGCCAATTAGAGCCACAAAAAGCAGAAACATCCCTGCTTAATCCCTGTTGGCTGGTGGGACACAATCTCTTTGAACTGGCCGCATTAAAGCCGGAAGCCTACTAAAGACCAGAGTTATTATGTTCCCTCCTGAGTCATCCTCTCTTCCATCCACAATTACTGAGACAAAAAAAAAACAGCTTTTTAACCATTCATGTGCTGAGAGAACATGCAGATAGACTGCCTTTGTGGGGACAATACCCACACACTGCCGGTGAAGCACATGACAAATGTTAGTGACACACGCTGTGGATGGAGATGTAGAAGGTGGATGAACGAGGCACATTTATTAATGCATGTACAGGGGAGATACTCCCACAGCATCAAACACTGTGACGTATACACTCATATGTGAGAACCACATACATTTAAGTGTATATAGCTGCATGCATACACACATAAGCGGAAATGTGTGCACACACACACACTGACATGCACAGAAATAACCGGTATCTCATATTAGAGCTTGAGAGGAGCTGATAAACTGCACTCTGGCTGTTTATTGACTTATTCACTTTTATCCCTCTGTACAGTCCAAAGACGTCACATTTTGGGTGATACAACAGGAGACACAAAAAGAAATGCGATGTGACAGTAGCATATTAAAGGAGCAGATATAAATGGAAAGTGCCGGTGAATGAAAAATATCTGCTTAAAGACATCATGAGTCAAAGAGAATGAAATACACCCACACTGTCTGACTGAAATGCATCAATATGTGCTCCCTTTCATGCACTAGCACACACACACATACACTCGGTGTTCAGAGACACACGAGAGAAAGACATGGAAATAAACATGCTGCAGAGTCTCCATTCAATAGCCGCGTCTGTCCCACGGTTATTCACATGCAGAGGAAAAGAGAAATTTAAGACACAAGCACACGCGAACACACACACACACACACACACACACACACACACACACACACACACACACACACACACACACACACACACACACACACAGAATACATAGCTTATTAGTCTATCTTTGAAAAGGCACGGCCTCTCAATAGCATCATCTACCTCTCCCCTCTCTCCATTGTCCTCTCCTCACATCCATAGCCAGCCAATGAATGAGGAAACAGCCGCTACCTGTAAATGAACCACACGCTCCTGTTTCTGGGGCCCAGTGACGGCCACGAAGAAGAGAGGGAGAGAGAGAAATCTCTCTCTCCGCATCCCCCCATTGCCATGTCCCCCCCTCCTCCTCCTCTCTCTCGCGCGCTCTCCTCCACCACCACCACCTCCCTCCACCCTCCTCCCCTCGTTCAGCGAGAGCTCAGCCGGAGAGAAGGAGAGAGAGAGAGAGAGATGGAAAGAGAGAGAGAGTTGAGGAGGAGGAGGGAGAGAGAGAGAGAGGGAGGTGGGGAATTAGAGAGAGGGAGAGAGAGACAGCACGCTGGTCTGCACCCCGCATACTTCAGACGAGAGAATGACAATGTGAGGGAAAGACAGACAGATAGCCATTATGACAGTAGGGAGTGTGTATGTGTGTGTGTGCACTGGTAGAGGGTTTCGTTGGAAAATTGGGGGAGATGCTGAGCTGTATTTGCAGTGTGGGGATGCGGGGGATGGGTGACGCGACACCGGGAGAGTGCCTGCATTTGCACGTCCACTGACTGGTATACCACAGATCCACTAACAGCTGATTCCCTGATTCACACACACATTCGCAAACTTTCCTCCCCGCTCCCTGTCTCTCCACTAAAGCAGAGCTGTCATCATCACACAGGCCGGCAAACACTCCTGCTCTCTCTTTCTATCTCTCTCTGAAATAGTAATTGACATTCTCCCTGCAGTGAGGGGAACACGCTCTGGATCACCTTGCTCTTAATTGAGCACCACTTCACCACGCTGCTGCAATTACATTTAACCAACTTAGCTAAGGTAATATAACCCTGGTGGCAGCTATTTGCATTTAGAACACAACCGTAGATGCATTAAAGTAAATGCCGCCTTTGAATGACAGTCAGAGCTGCTCAGCACAAGGGTAATGTCAGATACAGAGAGGAAGAGCCTGTAAAACCCTGAGGTGGCCACTGGTAAGTCCTTCTCTCTAGCTCAGGGAGCTAACCAGCGCTTGATGTTTCAGCCTCCTTATGACTCATCAGCAGGATGATGTATAAAGACGCACACAGGCATTTTCACATCCACTCTAACTCCCAAACAAACATGCATAGCTCCTTGATACACAGTTGCAGCTGCCCAAGGCTGAACTGCAGCCTTAGACAGATGTCATGGAGGAGAAGGAGGAGGATGAGGAGGGAGAGGAGAACCCCCCACTCTACCTCTCATTATAAGATAATTGTGTTCAGTAAAACAAGACACCAGAAAGGAGAGAGAGAGAGAGAGAGAGAGAGAGAGAGAGAGAGAGAGAGAGAGAGAGAGAGAGAGAGAGAGAGAGAGGCTGGTGGAGTGAGGTATCAAAGTGACATGTGCATTCATGTTGTAGCCAAAAGGGGCAGCCCTGAAAAAGACATGGCTGCTCTTCAGCTCTGATGTGTTCACAGCAAAAACAATAGAGAACAAGCACAGCTCAGGATCAGCAAAACACAGACACATACTGCACAAAAGAGAGGCACGGAGGCACAAGAGGTGAAACAATGAAGCACGAACACATACATACAAGCCAACCAAGTGTGTGTTTGCTGGTTCAATCACCTCTACTGGCCTCACTTTGTTTCCTTACAGTAATAAACCAAAGAGCCGACAGCTTAGATGCTGCCCACACTCGTGACAGTCCACAGCTAAAAGTGTATCAGAGGCTGCAGCTGATAAGGATTATTTTAGCTTTATTGGCCCCATCTATTTCAAATATGGCATCCTGTTCAAGGCTGGGACCAGAGTCTATTTCATCATGCACTGGGAGGTCAGGGAAGGTTTGACACACCACTGAGTAGAAAATCATCCCTGCTTTTATTAGCAATCTTAAATTTTCTTTTCATCATTTTCCTTCAAGGCAGTAGTTACAGTATACAGCAGGATTTAGAGGCTATGAGGTTGTATGGATTATTGCAACTTCTCTTACCTTGGCCCATCTGTGCCGTCATAAGCCCCGACAGTGACGTTTCGGAAAAGCTTCCTCTTTGCTTTCTCGCTCCGCGTCTCTGCAAAGCACGACATATGCTCAATTTAATCGTTCAAGCTTCTGTCATGACACCTTCTCTGTCTTTTTGCAGAAGTGTTGAGACTTCAGCGCAACACGCAAGTGAATGAAATATGTTGACAGCCGTTTTTTTTTTTTTTTTCTGTCAGATACATTGGCATATGGTTTCCACAGTGCAGCTGTGAAAAGAAGGAGAAAAGTGCTGTATATGTGCGAGTGTCTGCTGCAGGAGGGCCTGCTGGTAAACATGAGTGTGACATGTGCTGTGTGTTAAAGTGACTTAAAGGATAATTCCAGCCTGAGGGAGATTGTAACCCATTTTCAGCTTGCCTTTTTTTCAATCTGTGTGCCATTTCTTGTGATTGTTTGTGTCATATTAGCTGACCTATTGACTGTTTAAAGTCATGTGAATAATATAAAAAATACACATTTAGCATGAAAGAAAAATCCCATGACAAGTTAGAGAAACTTCAAATATTTCTGAGACTTTAAAAAACAGGTTTCACATTTACTGTGGACAAAAAATCATTAAAGTAGAGTGGGGAGACTGCTGATAGTTCTGTCTTACCTGTTCGATTGTTGAGACCCCCCACCTCCTCAACACAGTCTGAAGGAAACCATCCAGTGCGACCTTTCACTGTACCTTCCCAGTATCCCCCCTCTCCCACGCTTAACACTGAGACACACAGATAGATGGATGGATAAACAAACAAGCAGAGAAAGATAGAGAGAATGAAATTTTTTGGTGGTATATATATCATCACACATCTACTTGTTTACTCAATAGCTGTCTTTTATCAAAAATATTGTTTAACTCTGAGCATGGGGAGAGGCAGGTATTGCTTTGTGATAACTGGATGTGCTTCTTATTCCACTTGTTTACAATCTTCCCCCAAAAAACTCTTCATTTCTGTAGATATTTAAGACAGTAGCTCATATATAAAACTGCAGATAGACCTGAAATCACTCAAAACTAAACCAAATCATCTGAAGACATGACCAGTGTAACCACTATGCTTCAGGTGGCTCCTCTGTAAACAGTTGAATTTTAATAACATTGCTCAGGAAGGCAGATTTTTCTGTTATTCTCATATTCCATCATTTGACTCTATCCTACCTTTGACTTTGTCCCCTTTGCTCAGTGAGAGCTCTCTGTCTCCACTTGCAGAGTGAGCCCGAGTAGCTATATAAACCCGCCCCGGCACGGCACTGTACATACGCTTCATCTGACCTCCACCGCTGCCCGCTGAGGTCGCACTACAGAGAGAGAGAGAGAGAGAGAGACAAGGAGAGAAGAGGAGATAGGATAAGTGTTGCACACTGTGGAAAACAAGTTAGACAAAGTGAGACAACATGGAACTTGTCAGGCTCCATCAGAGACTGTCAGCCGTTGAGTCACACTAACAAGTCATACCAAGAGTACAAATACACACTGCTGTGTTGTACTGACACAGAGTTAAAGTGTCGACATTGTGACAGGGTCAAAGTGCCCCAGTTTGTGCATCGTAATACTATAAGCAACCTTTTTTGATATGTAGCGCACTTTCTTGGGCAAATGCATCCATTAGTCTGACTTGATGAATCATCGTGAACAGAGTCGAAACAAAGTTCTGCAGTCACCAATGACTCTGCCGACCCAATGCATCATCAACATGTCAAACAGTCTGCTTCTTCGTTTATGAACATACATCTGCAAAACTTATTTAATTCCCACGTGAACCTGGCTCACAAAAGTGCAGGACTGAGATGGTGTACGAAATACATGTCAGCAGCTCAAACTTGTCATTGTAAGCACACGGCATGCTGATATATGCATGTATCACAGAACTGCTAGCATGGCTGTAGATTCTCTCCAAGCCTTGCATATTTAAAAGTGTCCCTGGAGCTTTTGTACGTCCCTCAGTTACTTGTGAATCTTGTTCAGGCCAAGATTAGCTCCTCTGTCTCTGTTGCCTTGCTGGACAAAAGTGTCTATCCTAACCCCACCTAAAATTCAGGACATTGTTGCAGGTATTGATAGTAACTAACATGCATCTTGGACAAAAACAGCAATCTTTAAAGAGCTAAAAGTAACAAGGGATGGGTGATCCTTTTTAGTGGGGGGCCTTGAAGGAATGGTTATAAATACAATGTTTAACCTCTCTCCTCTGTCTCCTTACCCTTGTCTGCCTCTTGGCTGCCGATGTCTCTCCTCTGTGTCACTCTGGCCTCCTCCTCTTCCTCTAGATGGGGAGCGGGTTCGAGTTCTGGGACTGCTGGAGCTTCTCATGCCTATGGAGGCTCTGCGTTGACCCTTGTGGGAAAACAACATCGCTCATAAAGACAGAATCAAAAATAATCCTGTAACTTTCTTGAGAAAAAGACCAAAGAGAGTAATATCTTATATCACAAAGGTAATATAAGGTCAACAGTTCAGCATCCACTTAATGTTCCTCAGTACCTGTCCTGGGTTGGGATTGGCTGCAGTCTTGTTGGGCTGGGCCAAAGGGTCAGACTGGGTCATGGTGTTATCGCTGTTAGCACGCAGGAGGGGGTGAGAATGGAGTGAGGGGAGAGGCAGGGTGTGGGAGCTCTCTTTGCGCTTGGGAACATACTTTGGTGATTCCAAAAAGGGCACTAAGGATGTGGGCGTGAAGATTAGGAGTGAGGAGGCAGAGGGTGACGAGTCAGAGGGAGGAGAGGACAAAAAGGCAGGGAAGGGAAGGGAAGTTGGCGTTTGATAAGAGAGGGTGAAATGGAGGAAGAAGTTAGGTAGATTGAGGGGAGAAGAAAGGTTGCCTTTAAGGGCCAAAACATAATCGAAACAACATGCAAGATGGGGTTTGGTTTCAACACTTGATAGCTCCTTCAGAGGAGACAGTTTGGGATAAAAGCTTACCTACGTCTGAATCTTTGTGGTTTTTGATGATTTCCCCCAGTTCAAAATGACCAGACAGTACAGCTAACTGTAAACATCAAAAATGCAGTAGAGGTTAAAGCTCTAGTCTATGTTATGATGCTATTCATTATTTTTTTATTGTAAAAAAAATGGTGGCAAAGATGGACGCCATGACAGCTCAGGTCAAAACATTAAAGCTCAGTCTAAAAAATCACAGTTAATAAGATTTATGTCCAGGTGATGTTCCTCCTGAGAGGTTCAATTTTAATGAATGATTCTTATGCCATTAAAAGAGGTATTACACCTGGACTGAAAGTTAGCATTCCATACAATTGTTTACAAATGCAGCTCCAGCATCTTTACATTAAGTCAATTTTACTGACTTGTACTGGAATCCTTTACCTGAAAAGGAGTCTGACCATGCTTATTCTTCGCTTCCTTATTTGCTCCCCTGTACAGAAGAACGCGGACACAGCTTTCCTAATAATTCACAGAGAAGAAGTTAGAGGTTAACACCAACAGACTGGTAAACTTGAAGATACTTATTAAAGTAATAGTATTTCATACAGAGAATCTGTTTTCATACTTGCCTTGTTGTACAGGGCAGATATGTGAAGAGCAGTGTTCCCTGAGGCATTTTGCGAAGAGGTGTCTGCCCCATAAAACAGCAGATGCTCCAAGTGCTGGGCAAAGCCATTCTGGCATGCCTTTTAATGTCAAGAGTGTGATAAAAAAAAAATCCACATATTATGAGTATGAGAATAAGCAAAAAGAGAAAAGTTGAAGTGATTTCATATGGGGCTTTTTTTTTCAATCCAGTCAGACAGGAAAGAGAAGATAATGACGGATATTATAAAAGAGATATCAAGTGAAAGAAAGGGAAATGATATATCTTACACCCAATTTTATATTCATAATTACTTTCACAGAGAAACAGGTCAGAGCCAATTATGTTGTATCATGAAAGAAAAGAGAAGAAACAACAATAACAAAAAACATTAAAACAACATAAATGAGTCTTCAGCAGCCTGTGAGGTTTCCTGATATGTTTTTCTGCACAGATTAAAATATCAGAAGATATGTACGAAGTAAAGAAAAGATTACACACAGCACGGCAAAACCAAAATAAAATGCCATGACAACCAGCTCACAGCACAAACGCAAATTTAACTGAATGTCACAGACTTATAATGTAAGCAATGCACCCGCTTCGTCTTCAGAAAGAGATCATATCTGAGGCTCTTTCTGAACTGGACCTAGCTTGAGATGACCCACATCGGTGCACATTAAAGGAAACATATGTTCACTGTGATTCATCTGCTTTTTTTTTAAAATCACATTCGTCAGTGCCTTTGCCTTTGAAAGGCTTGTGGGGATGATGAGATGGTGGGATGAAGGGTACCTTATGGACTTCTTCCATGCCAAACTCTTCTTTATCCCTGTGCTATGGAGAGAGACAAGGAGGGAAAGAAGGGGAGAGAATGGAGAGACTAGTGAGGAAGGTGCAGAGGAGAAGGAAGGAGAGAAAATGTTCAGAGAGGCTGAGGGCGATGGCACATGACATGAACCACAGGGATAAGACAGGGAAATGATGGTGCATTGCAGGAGTTCACATGAAAAGAGACGAGGACTTGAGACGCTTCACGTGAAATATGAAAGGAAACCATGAAACCAAGTGGGAGCATGGAGAGAAGGACAGATTTGTTTTTATATTTTGTGAGTTTAATGTAAAACTAAAATATCAAACTCTCCACTGATACCTGGTGGGACTCATCCCAGCCATTCTCATCTCTCGTCCCCAGCCTTGCCCTGTAGTACAGCAGAGTCTCGCAGCAGGAGGTGTCGCCCCCTGTCAGTACAGTATGGTACAGCGGGGTCAGGCCACAACGGTCTTTGTAATTTGGGGACGCTCCGAGGGACAAGAGAGCCTGGCAAGAAGAAGTTGAACAATAGCTGTACTTTTCTTACATGTGTGGGTGTAGACTGTATAATTTGCATGTATGTACAGCAGATAAACACACAGAGTGAGAAAAAGAACAAAAGAAGCTGCTTCAAGAACAATCTTGAAGCTGTTGCAATTTTAATATATTTATCAAGATTCAATAGAATTATATTACATCCATGTGATGAATAATTTCCATTTTTAAATCAATACATGGATTCAGAACTTAGCTGATTAATCAAAATCTAATCAAGTAGAACTATCGTCTTATTCTGTGTGATCAAGCTGCTGCTGGAGCACAATAAAGTATGCAAATACTTTCTGGCACAGAGACACTTTAACAAAGGTGTGTCATGTTATGTAGTTGTCACCTGTTACAGAGGCTTTGATATTTGTTCTTTGAAAGCAACCTAAGGCTACAGGAAGAAAAGAATCCTCTGCTCCAAAATGTATCTCTTGGAACTTGAACAGCTTTGCCTGAAGTGTTTAAGGCACTGTCAAATGCCTGTAACCATTTTTGAGAGCAATAAATCACCTATTGCTCACAACATTTATACTGATCATTTAAATGGTTTTACTCATTCAGTCAGTCCTACTTGAGTGAGTTTGTGAGCCGCATGCATGAGACTTTGATCCAAGGTCCTCACCAACAGCCCAGCGTGATTTTGAGCCCTAACAGCTTTGTGCACCGCTGTCAGGCCATCTCTGCTTCTGAAGTCCAAATGAGCGCCGCCCTGAACCAGCGCCCTGATGCCCTCCACTGACAGGCCGGACTGGGCAGCCACAGAGAGTGGGGTCTCTGACAGGCAGGTCCAGGAAGGATGGAAGTTAAATATGGTCAGTGAGAGTAAAACTCCAGCCTTAGCTGCTCCAAAAGTTTTTCATATCATCATACAATGTCACCTGCACAAGGATTTATTTGACGGCCATTGATTAATCTCAAGGTTGGTGCAAACTCACCTCCGCTGTCAGGATCATGAAAATTTGGATCAAGACCTTTATCAAGGACTTTTGCCATTTTATCTGTAGCTCCAGTCTGAATGTAATCCAGGAACTTCTTCAGACTGGCCTGAAATTGGCAGAGGAGGGAGGTAAAAATGCCAGTGAGCAGAGACAAATACTATGCAGCAGCAATGTGACACAGACAAAAGAAAAAATACCTTTGTGCTGAGTTTGGAGAGAGCTTTTTCATCCAGATTTGTCTGTTTATACACCCTGGTTTTGTATCTAAACTGAGGAGCAGAAAAAGATATGTGTGAAAACTATGATTCATCACTGCAGAACAGTTCACTTCATCAATATGAATATATAGAGAGATTGTTCTATAGATCTGTTACCTACAGGAAGTTTACAATGTCAACCATGTTTTTCTAAAAGGTGCAAAACTGGCAACTGAAATTATAATGAATCTGCTTTTGTCATTCATAAAGTGTTTGTTTGGCGCATTTAAAGGTTAAAGGGGTCTAGCTGTAGTGCAGTTTACAGTTTAAACAGGCATTATTTTTAATGTAAGACATAAAACATTTGTTTAACTTTAATAAAATCAGGAACAACTAATGTAAACCAAAATTACATTTACAAACATTTACATAAGAAATACCTGTTTTGATTGTATGTTCAAATTGAACTTTTATGAACGGCTTTAAACCCTGATACAGTCAATTCTATAATTCTGTTATTAAGCAAATATTGTGTAGGCTAAGATAAAAGAAAGCAGTGATAACACACAGAGCTGATCACTCACTCTATTAACCAGATATGGTATGTAGGGCAGTTTAATTTTAACCACAGCAAAAACCACATGCCCATATAAGGTCATATACATCACAGGAGATAACGAATTATATAGTTGCACCCTTTATGATTCAAAATTTGCTGAAAATCTATCCTTAGCCTTTAATCTCTGTAGTGAATAAAGTTACTGTGGTGAAAAAGCAAAGCATAAAAAAAACAAAAAAACAAACAAACAAACAAACAAACAAACAAACAAACTGTGTCTTCTTTTTGGATACTTGGTTCGATTTTCCGTGGGCTTTAATTATGCACAACTAAAGAAGTGTTAAATATACTGCAGAGTGTTCTTGTGTGGTGGAGTAAATGTTTAAGAGCATTTCTTCTTTGCTCAACAAAAGAAATCAAGAAGTAGAGGGTTTGATGTGTACAAAAGATTCTGTCTTCAAAATTCTCATTGAGCCAAAACACAGGATTTTGATTGAAAAAAACAAACAAACAAACAAACAAACAAATCACTGAAAACCTCCTGACTGAATGTGTCTTTCCTGCATGAATACTGCAGTGAGACTGAAAACCATTCACAAGTTGAGATGCTTGGAGATGAAAAGTCTCAGCTCCTATGTCGCATCTGACACTTGAGATGAGACTCATGTTGCACCTCAGCCTGCCAGTGAGTAAATGTCTATTTCAAGCACTGGAGGTGCTGCTGGGTGAAGAAATAAGCTTGATATAATTACAAAACAAAGACTGCTTATTAGTTAGTTTTGGAAAACAAAATAACCAACTGTATTCTGAAACTAGTCTTTAATAGTAAAGCCTGATCTAATTCCTGCCCTATTCTGTCATGGTGTATTTACTGTACATGCTTTCACAGGGCTGTGAGATAAATCCTGCTGCAGGGTAGAGTTTAGTTACAAAGCCTCATCAATATACGGACATGTCCTCCTCTGGAACCTTGTCAAGAATGTTAACGCTCTGGTTTGGAGCCAAACCCTGAGTGCAAGAAATATTTTCAGCCCCACCCAGCTACTCAACATTTACATGTGCTCGACCAGCAGAGGGCACTGTAAGATAATTATATCACAGCATGAAAAGTTAATGTTTGGTGTCACCTCAAAGCACACTTCATAAGAATTATGTGTCAGTTAGTGTCAGTGGTAAATCACATCATTTGAATAGTGTAATTTAAGCCATACTGTGGATGTTATTTTTGTCAGGATTTGTTTACATTTCTAAAACTATAAACACTGAGGTTCAAACTTTCTGAAACTTTCCAGATGTGATGCAGCACAGTACTTCAAGTTGTAAAAACTACAGAAGATTATAAGACAATAGAGTTACATTATCCGCAAAAAAATCGGGCTGTATTTTTAAAGAGCCAACTAACACCCCAAGAAATCTAACAAAAACCCATCAGCTTTTGTGTTCATGAAAAGTATTCTTGAACAATTTGGTTCAGTTAGAATACTTGGACTTGTCTGAAGTTTACAATCCCTGCTATGGCCTTGCAATGAGTCCCCTTACCTCCAGGTAAGGCACCCCTTTCTCAAAGGTCTGGGCGTAATCTCGCAGAGCCCTCTCCTCCTCCAGAAACTTGGCATCCCGTCCATCTCCAGCCGGCTGGAACAAGCCGTAGTTGTAGGCATCCCACAGCGACTCACTGAGGGAGCAAATGATCTGCTGCTTGGCGTTCCACACAGTGCAGTCTTGGTCAAACTGGACACATCTCTGATTGATCGACAGAAAACACAAAATATAATGGAGGTCAGAGGCAAAAGCTACGATAACAAAAACATTGAGGAGGATTAAATGAAATTAGAGATTTTTTAATGCTTTGAACAGTACAAGCATAGTTTTCATCCTTAATCTTGAGTTTTTGAGAAGAATTTTGACAAATTTGTCTGAAAAATAACCAAGATATACAATGTCCTTTTATTATAAGTAAACTTAGTTTCAAAATGAATTGAATGTAAGTGATTCATTAGTTAATGAATGTACTCAGCCAATGGGTTAGATTGGCCAAATTGTGTTAGTTTAAACATTACAGACCAGCTGAACAGTTCAGCTTCCTTGATTAACTTGTCTAAAAAGTAAGTTAGCTTGTTAAACTTCGATAACTCTTCAACACCTCTTTAATTAATTGCGCTTAAAGGAATTGTGTAGCAAATCTTAAACATAACTTTAGATGCGTTTAAGATATTTTATATTTCAGTTCACAGTTCACTTTTGACAGTGTTAATGCATATTCAGTGTTTATAGCCCTGGAATCCAAGACATGTTTTTCTAAGTTAACAGTATATGGGTTGACTTGTGTTGTGTGGTATCACATTACATCATATCATATTGTATATTGTAACTGAATGTATTGTTTTGCGCCATGTTGCTTAGTGGTGTATTTTATTGTATCATATCATGGTGTATCATGTTGTGTCTTGTCATATTGTGTCAGATCGTGTCAGGTCTTGTCCTATTGTATTGTGACATATCAGATAAGATCGTTTTGTGTTGTGTTGTATTGAAACATATTATAGTGTATTGTATCATATCATGTCATGTCGTGTCATATCATATTGTATCTATCATATCATATTGTATCATGTTATGTTGTATGATTGTGTTTCATTTGTATCATATGGTGCTGTATCATGTCGTTATGTCAAATCATATAATTTCAAGTTGTGTCATATTGTACTGTGACATATCGTATCTATCATATTGTATTGTACTGTATCATGTCTTGTCATATTGTATTGTGTCGCGTCATATCCTACCATACCATACTTGTGAATTCTAAATTTGGTCAAAGAAATTATTTCTTAGCTTTGCTATTTTCAATGTTTTCCATCCTGGTGGATCTAACTTTAATATTTAGATTTAAAAAAAAAAGGGAATTTCTTATTTGTATTTAGGGGACGTTTATCAAAGCCTTTTGTTGATGGCTAATGCTTTAACCACAGTTCTTGCACACATTGAGGTAATACACACAAATGCAGCAACAATTCTTCTTTTTTTTTTAGAAATCAGGCAACTAGCTTTCTATTATGGATTGATATGTAACACAAGATCCAAGATCAGTTGGTGAATGATGAAGGCATGAGATAGTGTGTGCAGAATATAAATGTACTACTTTAAATAATTAATCCTCTGCCACATTCATGGAAATAAGATGACTTTTACTGTCTCTACAGTCTTTGCCATCAGAAAACTTAGGTTTAGCTTACATTCATTTTTTTCTCTATCCTCTGTAAAATACAGATCTCACACTGAGATAAATATTTCCCTTTTATTATTTTGTCTGTGATCTCTGCATACATAATGCCAGATCTGCACCCAAACCCAGCGGAAATAGAGCAAACCAGTAGGAAAAAAGCTTCTTTGCCTCTTACTGTACATCTGTGTGTGATACAACAGGGGCTCACAGGCCGCTATGAAAAATGCCTCAGATCTTTTATGTGCATGTGCTGTGCCTAACTAGATTTCATGGTGATTTGTGCGCTGCCCATTTCCACACGTTATTCTATTTTCTTGCATTTCCGCTGAACGACCGGTCTTTTTTTGTCCTTTTCTTTTTACGATGTGGAGCTGGAGGGAAAACAGAGCTGACCAGTAGTCTGGCTTTAACAGCAGGTCTGCATAAGATGTATTCATCTATGCCATTGTTCCGTTACAGAGAACTGTGAGCAAAAATTGCACAGCTCAGCACACTCCCATATCCCCTCTGCCTCCACCCTCCACAGCTCCACTCTACCCCCCCCTCCAGGTTGCACTATTTGATAGTGTAGCCAACTCTATTGGCATGGCAACCAGTTCATTAGTGGAGGCAGGCATCCGTTGCCGTAGCAATGTCTTGGTGGTCCCTGGGAGGTAAACCACAGGATGAGGAAATGTGTGTGTGTTGATGCGGTTGGGTATAAGCGAGTTGTTAAGTATGTGTGTGCGTCTGTGTGTTCTTACAGGAGAGCAACATTGCAGTATAGTGTGTGTGTGTGTGTGTGTGTGTGTTTGTGTGTATGCGTGTGCGCATGTGTGTAAAAAGGGAGAGATTGAGTTGCTAATCCCTGTGAGGGAAGTCTAATGTAATGTATACTACATATAACAGTGACACTCCTCTCCCCACTGCTCTGTTTTACTCAATCTAGGGTTTCTCAGATCTTTCTAACAGCCTCCAACCCCACTAAAGAAGTGTTTGTTTAGATCTCTACTTCAAAATTTAGTTTCTGAATGCATATATCTCCCTCTTTGCATATTCATTCCCCTCCTCCTTTTCCATAGCATTAACTGTGTCCCTGACTCCCTTTCCTTGACTCCTAATATTCACTCCTGTTCTTCATCTCTCTTTAATTTGGCTCAATAACATTTCAGCTGTGAGGTTTGGGGGTGCGGAGTATTTGTCGACAGTGTGCAGAGCTGAATATGATGCCTGTAGCTGAGACCTAAGCACAGCGCAGATGTCTTCAACCTATTCCTTCCGTCCTGGAGTCACTCACTTCCCCAGATCTCCCCAAACTCATTAAAAACGTATTAGATAATTAGCAATTACTGTTATATTGAGGGCAGATTAGCTGACATGTAGAACAATCGGCAAGTTCAGGGAGTTGGAAAGTGGAAGGAGGAAGATGGGGGAGGGGTAAGAGTGTGGCCCCCATTCCTACCTGGATATGGTAAGTGTGGGCTGGCCAATTCTCACCTAGTGCCACTGTACAGATGAGTGATACCAAGTGTGAATTGAAACTACCTTCAGTTTAAAAACTAATTATGACCAAACCTGACCCAAGATGGATGTTGACATCAAATAACAGTGTTGTTGGTTGAATGTATCTGCCCTTACAAGCTGCTAAACACAAGTCAGGCCCTACATTTATTCCAGCTTTCTTTTGGGACCTCTTATTCTGCTTTTGGGATGACTGCACTGAAAATACTTTGAAATAAAAGATATAACACCGAGTTAGACTACCCCGCCGAGAGATTAATGTTGCCAACCACTTGCTTCTCTAGTGAAACCAACTTTAGTAACGACCAGAGGTAATAATCATAAATGTTCTTCCTTGAGCTGCATCCCCCTGCTGCAGTCAATGGACTCGCCCGGAGGTCTCCGTACAAACAAGCGGCTGCTGGAAGAGAGTAGGTGAGTTGTGTTTCGTCTCTTTGCTAAAGAAATTAAGGCAAAGCTAAAAAGATGTTAAGTGGCTAGTGCAGTGGCTAGGACCCTATATGTACTGTTGATGAAGTTAGGTGCTGTTCTGAGCATTATTTGTGGCTATAGAGTGGCGTTTTGGTTGAGCCCATGGCTCTGTTTATTGCTATCCTTACTTAAGTTGGTATAACTAGAGAAGCAAGCGGTTGGTAATTTGAATTATACAGTCAGCAAAAATACTCATAATCAAGGAAACCAAACACCTGAATTAAAAAGGGAACATATCAGCACAATTCAGGTTAAAAAAAAGTCTTTTTTTGACAACTCCAATGTCCACCTTACCCACCATGTCACTGTAGTAAATCAGAAACTCCACTGTAAATTCTATAAGAAATGAAAGAAATGTTCACTGGCTTTAAAGAGATACTTGTTTAGCCAGTTTTTAACTTTTATGATATTTCATTCCAAAAAATTAAGACCAATTTCAGCCCTCTATTAGGATCAGGTAACTTTTTTTGTTTGTTTGTTTATTTCAAAGTTATCCAGAACTTACTCAAAACAACAAAAACTAAGATCAAGATACATTTACTTGATCTTTTCTCAATTTGTAATATTGCTTCCCCTTTAAACTGACACAATTTGTATAATTAACTCCCTTATAGATTTAACTTTGAACAATTGGGCTCATGGTGTCAACATGAAAGTGGTGCAGTGTCATGAGGAGCTGTTTTTGGTGTACTTAATGTTGAGTCTAGCTGTGGTGATTTTACTGAGAACATGCACCTACTGTTTGTTTGATGTCTGGGATACCAATCCGAAACACCATCATGGTCAGGAAAGTCTCCTCCAGCGGGGCCACAGTAGTCATGCTGCGCTCCATGAGTGCTCGTCTCTTCTGCAGCGCGTTCAAGCCTCGGTCGTGAGGCTGCTGATTGGCTAAGATGAGATTATTCTGTTGCTTATTGGCTGGTTGATGATGTAGCAGGACTTGATTTGGCATGTATGTGAAACCCCGGTTGCCCAGGTTCCCCGGCCTTATTGGGCGTTCTACTCTCTGTCTGCCAACCACTATGGCTGCCGGTTTCATCACCTCGCCACCTTTCCCTTCCCAAGATTGGCGTCCTCCCGTCATATCCTTCTCCTCCAGACCCTCTAACCCTCCATTCTCTGTGTCGGGTCCACCTTCCTCTTGTCTGATTTCTCCTCCCAGCTCCTCTTCCTCCTCCTCATCCTCCCCATCTTTGTCATCCTGACCGGGATAAAAGTGCTCATTATTTCCCAGCATCCTTTGCTGTGCAGGGGGTCACTGCAGAGAGGGCTGAGTGACATAGCTGTCATGGAGACAAAACATGGCTATCCCATGAGTCTGGCTTCACCCTAAGAAACATGCTGTGGGAAACAGGCAGAGAGGGGGGTAAACTTTGGTCATTTAACTCTTACTTTACAGTAAAATTTAAAGATGGGTAAAAAAACACATGGATAGTGACAGAAAAAACAGCTAACAGCAATGCTAATAAGTCCACATGTGAATGAGCACAGAGCTGGTCCACATTTTCCATTTAGCCACTGGGAATGCATGAGGGACTAGCAGACTGATGAAAGACAGGCTATATATAAACTGTGTGAATTTGCATTACACGTTTTGTGCAGAGGAGTGAGTTGGATGTGCAGTTTAGTTTCACATGAGGTCAAGATCATCACTACTTTATGGTAATAGAGGCAACCTAGGATTATCTTAAGCACCACTCAGGGTTAACGGCTAAATATGAGCTCTTCAAAGAAAAGTTGCATCATAAAAACACATTTTAATACATCAATCATTTAAACCTTTGTTGTGTTGTGGGATTTATCAGTTCGGTATTGAATTTGAACTCTTCGAAGACTCACTGTCCCTCCACCATCCCTGACATCACAGCTTGGTTAAGTTGTGTTTTACTACTTTCCTCAAGATACTGTGATGACTTTTAGAAGTATACCTGACCTTGTTACAATAACTTCTGTTCAGCTGTAACACCATTAATAGGAACAATATGGCTGACAGAGAATTAAAGCAAAACTGCACAATCAAGGTTTGGATCTGCAAAACAAGGAGGTCAGACTGGGGTGTGGGGGTGGGGGTGGGGTGGTGTCAAAGTACCCAGGGCCCTAAAATATGCCAAATTAATCTCAATTGTGGAAGGGGACCAATGGGAATGCCCCTGTATGGGGCTTGTGATTTGCTGCAACATCAATTAAATTACAACTCCCACTCACCTGCATTACGTGAAATCTGTTTGGTCTTTGGACTATGTTTTCAGTTCACCCAGATAACTCCTGTATGAACATGTTTTTTTTATGGCACCATTTTTTTGTAAATACAATCAAGTAACCTCTGTCAAATTTGGCCTTTCCTTGGACTAAAGTTGTTTGACCTGTTTAGAAATCAAATTCTGTTTAATTTGATGTGTCTTGAAAAGTTGTAAGAGTTTTTTCAATAAATAAAAGCAATAGTCATTCTCAGTCCTGTTAAATAAACCCAAGAAGTACAGTGGCTTAAGTTTTGACTCTTTCAATGGAAACTGAATTAATGTCTTGCATGAAGGAGAACTTTGATACATGCTTGGCATGAAAAAGTGAAAATAACTTGATGGTTGTCCAAAGCTGAAATACTTTCAGCTACAAATTTCAATTAATATGAGTCAACTTGCATTGACTGCAGCCATACTTGAACCATCTTTCCTTGGAGGTTAACTCTCGGGTTGAGGGTTGATTCACTGCTTAATGTGTTTAAAATTTGGCACTGTGGTGCTTCCATATGTTCTGTCCTGGTTATTCTGTGGTGAAGTGCAGCCAGAGGGGCTTTGCCATCATGCATATCTGGACCATTGCCGGCAGCCACCTTAATAGCGGTGGAGGGCGCCAGGAATTCACCCACTGTCTGACTGAGGCTCTGAATGTCATTCAAAAAAGATGGGAACACTCAGATGAAAGTCAGCTAAATATTAGATGAAACTATGGGGACATAACTGAAATCAGGACAGTAATGGGTGGCTTAGGACATCAACGAAGAACTGGAGCAGTGACCAGTGGCCTTACTTGATATAAATAGTCGAAGATGGAGATGATGCAGCTAGCCAATGGCTTAACAGCCAACAGAAACATTAGCGAGAAAGGTCATATGAGTTTACTTATAAATGCTTTCTCCTCCTCACACTTCCTGTCTTTTATCAGCTGAATTATAAAATAAAGGCAAAACAGCCAAGAAAGTAACTTAAAAAACATGGGTGGCGGCTGATTGGTTGAGATCAGACTTATCACAAATAAGTAAAAGGCATCAGAATCTGGCATAAATGTTTTATTATGGCCTAAAGCAGTTTTTGAAGTTTGTTGCCTTATTTAAAACAACACTGTCTTGGAAGCCTCATCTTAATTTTAAATATGTCTGAGATAAAGACTGATTACAATGATGGAAAATGCAAAGATTAAAAAGTGTCTGATTGGTTAGACTCATCAATTATAATCAGACACTTTTTCAGTTTCCCTGTACTTTAATTTTCCTAAGAAGGTCTCTGATTTAATGCATGACTCATCATGAGGGTCCTGATCCAGGGGTTGTAAAGCACAGGATCGAACCACCATTATAGTTTCATACATTCAAACACTGGAAATGACAATTAGACAGCAACTTTTGGGTCAACATGAAGCTCAGCTACTTTTATTAAAAAGAAGTTTGTGTTTTTCATCTCTATGCCTGTATGCCCCCCCCCCCCCCAAGGAAAAAATAAATAAATAATTAAATAGATAAAAAAAATCTGCTGCTTAGGCACTTCTGGGTAAAAGAGGAAAAAAGAGTGAAAATGAGAGTGAGAATGAAAATGTAATGTAGGGCTGGACGATAAACCAAAAAATTTACCGATACTGAAATTTACAACAATAACTGAGGTAATTTTGCCCATGTCAATATATTTGGTGTAAAAAAAATAAATAAATAAAAGTTGGTTTTGGATGTGTGTAGGTAGGCTATGGTCTCATGTACCTTTAAGACTAAATCTAATTTGGACCCAAATCAGAGACATGACTCCACCCCATCCAGTCCGTAACAAAGAGGGAAAGACAGGTGAGGAGATGGAGGACGGATCAAAAGTTGGAGCGGCTGGAGCGGCGGCTGAAGCAGACAAAGTAAATGTGGGATAGGGTGAGCAGCTTGTGGAGTAGTTATCATCCATTATTGTTATCGAGGTGAACTGCTCAGTATATCGTGATATTATATCTGCTGTTGACTTCCCCTTCTAAGCTAATAATCCCGTCAAACAAATAATCAAAAATCAACCTAGCTCTGGATTAATGTTTACCACATCTGGTGACCCAAACAGTGGTCAGTGTCAGTCTTGAACCACAGTCAAGAAAAGGCTACTTCAACACAAACACTTTAAAGCAAGAAAACCATAAAAGCCATAAAAACTGGGATTCGAAAAAACATGAGACAGGAAGAGCACTGATTGGCCTGGCATTTGGAGCCCATGCCTCATATCCAGAGGCTACAGCAACCCTTCACTGCCTGTCTTCTTCCTTTCTCTACTCCCCGCAATTCTCGTCTGTCTTCTACTACCCTGTCAATAAATGCAAATGGAAAAGAAATAACCTAAAAAGAAATGAGAACAAGCATTGATCCGTGCATTTTCTAATGCTTATCTAGGCCAGGGTTGCAGTGGGATCAAACCACCGTGGACGCGTTTGGGAAAAGTATGCAGAGACAATATGAGGTTGGCTCAACACAGCTGCTTTACTGCATAGATAAAACTCTTTTTCATTAAGGTTCTCTACCACTGGCAGTAAATATGAACCCCTTAATGCCTCTAAATAGCCGTAACAGAGAGAAACCTACATGCAGGTTTCCAACCAGTGCTTCTATGGATCATCCCACCACTTGACCTACTAACGTCCAGAGCTGTTAGTTTGATCTTTATATTCAAAACGTATCTGTCTTATTTAGGCCAAATGCCTTTCTTATCACATGCTGACAAAGACAAGTGTGTTAACAGTGTGTTTTGGAGATTAACACTATCATTCAAGTACACCAGGAGACAACAGAGGAGGCTGATTTATGAACAAAGTCTCATCAAATATTGAACAACATTGAGTCTGCACAAGGCAAGATAAGAAACTCAAAGGGCAGGCTGAGAGAAGACAGGAGTCTTATAATTGGGATGTAAAAGCGAAAGGGAAATACACGGGAGAGAGAAGATGGAGAGAGTCATAGTTTGCATAAAGCAGAGTAATCAGAATGAGAAAAGGCGTGGGGCGGTGAGAGGAAAGCAGGGATAAGAGCGAGTGGAAAACTGAGCCAAAATCAACCGGAAAGTTGAGATGAAGACAAGTTGAAAGGAGGTCCAGAGTTTTTGTGTGGTAAATAATGCTTCATGTTCTAACTATGGCACATCCAATCAAAGCTCTTCAATCTTTCTCCTCTAGCATGATGGATGTCTCAACTTATTTCATCCCAGCCTTCCCCGTCATGTCACTCATCTCCTACGCTCTGCCATAACAATAACTCAGACACTGTCAGCGTCCCTTTCCTAGCTGTTTGGCCTTACTGTGCATGTACTAGCCATTCAACTCGCCTGGGTCTTACTCTGTCTGCAGATAGAAAAGGGAGGAAGGAGGGAACACCTTTCAGTGTCTTGGCAAAACAGACTGTCTGCAATTTCTGTCAGGGAAGAAAACTAATTTTTCACACAATCTCTCTATTTCAACATGACTCACAAGCTTATTTTATTGTTGTCCAGGGTTATATTTTCACATCAGAAAAATTCGGTAAGAAATGGGGTATAGGGGCCTTCACTTCCACTGGTCAATAACCCATCATCCATCAGTGAGATGTGTACATGGTATATACACTTATTTTTACAATATTATCACTCTAATTAATCGTTGTCATTAACTACTCGTCTCCCTCCATTACTGGCTTTACCTTTGTCTTTAGCTGGAAGCCGTTGTAATGAATTAACTCCCCCAATGATAAGGTCAAATAAGGTATATTTAACCCTATCTTGTGTTATTTTACTCTGTCCTTACAAAATGATGCATCTAGAGATCTTAACACAACTCATCTCATGCAATTTCACTTTTTTTTTGTGTAAAAACTGGATGTGTCCTGAAAACATTCATCTATGTCCAACAAGAAAAATTACACAAGAAAAATGTCTTTCAGTTTCCATCTGCCTCTAACTCAGAACTTGGATTAAAAAATTCAGAATTCATGCAACACAAGGGCAGAAAGAAGGACATCTGTTGAGTTCAGAAGTATACGTGCCGATCCGCCCATGGGAAGCCAGTACAGCAGCTTTAACGCTCATGATTAGAGGCCCTGTTAAGTCTCAAAGAGAAGATTTTTATAGATCTACATCCACGACCGGTAAGAAAATGGAGTAAAAGTAAGATGAAGAATCAGCAACAGATTATTCATGATAACGAGGACAGAGATAGATCCCGTCCTTGGGCACCTGGGGAGCAAAATGATGGATGGAAAAGCATCATCATGGTTTCTTCTTCTTTTTCTGAGATTATACAGGGATCTTGGTTTTTGCAAAGCAGACCTGCAATAATGAATTAGATTGCTTTAGTCCTTTGGGCACTTGTAAACAAACATTATGCATTGGGTTAATACTAAATCAAGCTCAACATTTCTAAAATGCAAATATGCAATTTAGATCTGTGAGATTATTTAAGTGTTTCTGTCCTGTGTTATAATATTTCAACAACTCAAAAGGATTATTTTTTCTAAACATCTTACCAACTCTACATTTCATCTAAGAATAGGATTCCCTGCGACAGAGCATCTGTGTTCTCGTCAGGGGTATTTTCTCTCTTGGCCGGTCCCAAATGAATCGTAACGGTCACAGAAAATGTGTAGAGAAGACCCCATGGTTCAACAGATACATATATTTTCTCTTTTTCTCTCTTCACCTCCTTCTCTCTGTCACTCACACTCCCTCTATGTAGGACAGAGCATGTGTATAGATATATTTTCAGTGTATTGGTCCCCAGAAAGTAGAATTGGAGATCATCCAAGGAACAGATTGTCCCACTTTTACGTCCTGAAAAAGTGGAGCGGCCAAGTTCTGTCCTCTACATCCCTCTCTTTTCACTGGGTCTCCACCCTTCAGCCTCCTTCACACAGGCCAGTGACAGGGAACATTTGAGAGCACTCTAAACCTGCTCCAACGCAGCATGGATGGGATGAGTCACTGCATCAGGGAGAAAAGAAGAACTTGGTTTTTATATGAATGGTGCATCTCTAGCTTAGTCTGGGGGTGGTGCTCTGACGTAGGGTTTCGGGGGGAAGTGCTTTGATAAGTGTGTACCCTATGTCATCAGCAATCAATAAAGTTAGCTTTAAAGGACAAATCCGTCAAGTTTCATTGTCTCTGTTCCCTTAAAAACCACTGAAATAAGGATCAAGGATGTTTAATTTAATTAATCTGTGTCCTTTCTGTTGCAATGACAAGGCTTGGCATTTTCAAGCAGCTATTAAATCTCAGCATGGAGAATCGTTCGATTCAAGAGCTTAATTAAAAATCATGGGACCTTCAATCTTCCACCAATGTATGTGAAGATTCTGGCTTTTCATCTACAGTGGGAGGAGAATCTTCCATCCATCATGAACAGACGCCTCTCACTCAACTGCGTATCTCGTGCTAATCAAACAAACAATCACAACCGTGCAAATCAGTGATAAAGCAGATGATTAAAATAATTACTGTCAGCTCTCAGTTAAACAATAAACAGCCTCCTCTTTTGATTTATTTTCCAGCTTCGTGCTCCATCTTTCCAGCAGCAAACTTTGAAAGGATAAAAGGGCCAAAACGTAATTTATTTAACTTTATTTTAACAGGTTACACACTGCTCGTCTGATGTTTCACAGATGTTTGACTGCAGACAGCTCTGAAACACATCTGTCCTGGAAAAGGTCTAGAAAAAAATAGCACTGAGTGGCAGACCACTCAGCGCGAGCTTGGCTGCTGGTCTCCTGTAAATCAAAGTGGGCTATCTTTCCCCTCAGACTGGATATAATTGGGTCAGGTGGAGCATGCGCTGTGAGCTTCGCTTGGGCTAAACTTGGCCGGATGGGCTGGGAGACCTCAATGCAGCACAGATATAGGAGTGAAGAGCCTTTGTGCTATTTTTAAGACCTTCTTTTCGCAGTAAACATTCTTTGGCACGTTTACTCAAACTTTGTTTTCAACTGGTTTTGATATGCATCCTGAGTTGTGATCACAAGTATATGGTTATATTCAGGGGGAAGTGCACCAAGATGCATTGAGGTTGTGTTGAGATGTGGTAAGTCAGGCCATATGTTGAGCTGTTCTGGGACCGCAAGTCCCAATTCATCTGCATGCAAATGGATCTGACCACATTAATGGACCACCTGCTCTATGTATCAAGAGCAACAGTTAGCCATGATTTAATATTCACTGTTATCTGATTTAATACGTCTCTACTGTGTCTTTTAAAAATCTTCCAGCTTTATAATTTTTCATGTCATTACTAACATATGCAAGCACACTGAATGCATAAGAAATGGATTTGCATGAAATCTGCCCTGCTTCAATAAGGGACATTATTTTTTAATTTTCAATATGGGAAGATCCCACACAGACAATACACACAGGGAAATAGTGATGTAGAGATAAGACCTGTTAACAATTCTTCATATAAAATGATAATGACACCTTGGGAGCAAACAAATGTGTCATGGACGAGAGGAGGAGGCATAGCGGTTACCAGTTTATCCGATTTTTTATGAGTAAACAAAATTAAATACTACATAATTACAGTGTTATATTTCCAATCTCTCAATAAGTGATTCACAAGTGCATCTAAATTATAAGAATACTGTCAAAAATGAATTTTTTGTCCTTAATTTTATTCAAAATGTAAATGTTTCATATATTCTCTATTCATCTTCTGTACTGCTAAATATTTACATCTGTTTTGATTTTGATTAATTAAGGCTTATAGCTCATAAAAACCAGAAATTCAGCATCTCAAATTATTAGACTATTTCTTGAGATCAATCAAAAATGTGATCAAAAAGTCGAGAAAAAAAAGTATGCTTGTTTGTACTTTCAGTAATTAGTTGGGGCTCCATGAATGCTGAGGTGTTATTGAAGCATTTGATAGCAGCCTTCATCTCATCTGTGTTTTTGGGTTGGGTGTTTCTTATCTTCCTTTTTGACAAATACCCCACAGACTCTCTCTGGGGTTCCGATCAGGCCAGATTGCTGGCTGATCAAGCAAAGTCAAGGTCAGCAAACCATTTAGTTGTAGTTTTGGCACTGTGGACAGGTGCTGGGTACAGCTGGAACAGGTCTGTCAGAAATGACATCATCATAAAGCTTGTCAGCAGATGGACAGATGAAGTGCTCTAAAATTTCTTTGTAGACCATTGTGTTAACTTTAAACCCAGTAAAACACAGTAAACCAGCATCAGCAGATGACATGGCTCTCCAATCCTTACAGACTCACAAACATCATCCCTGACTTCAAACACCTCTTTGCCTTTCCACCTTCCTACACACCCAAGAACCTTAATATCCAGATAAAATGAAAAATATCCTTTTGTGTGAAAAGAGGACTTTGGACCACTGCGCAAAAACCTAGTTTTTGTTTTCCTTGCTTCTGACGTTGTCTCTGGTTCAGGGATGGCTTGACACTACGAATGTCACTGTTTTAGCCCCTTCTCTTAAGGTGTCCCCTAAACCAGCATTTTTTAACAGTCCTTTCAAGGCTGCGGTTATCCCTTTTCCCGCCACACTTTTTTCCTTCCAGTCCACTCTCAATCAATATGCTCTAGTAGAGCCTCTGTGGACAGCCAGCCTTTTCAGCAATGACCTTCTGTGGTTTACCCTCCTCGTGCAGGGCGTCGATGCTCGCCTTTTAGACAAACTGTTGAGTCAGCAGTTTTCCCTATGACTGATGTTAAGTGTACTGACCTTGACCATGAGTTTTTTATACTTTGTGAATGGTACTTCACTCAGACTTGATTTTCCAATACTTTAAGATATGTTTTTTTACGTTTTTTGATTTGCAGGCTCTAATTGTTTAAATCAAAACAGAAAACACTTGAAAGTTTTCTGTTTACAGGAGGCGAGAATATATTAAAATTTTACTTTTTTAAAAGACAGATGGAAAATACTGAACTCCCTGATATTGTTTTTTTAGATGCACTTGTTGAAAACTAACTACGGCCCAAACCAAAGCAAAAAAAAACACAAAAAAACGCACATATTAATGTCATGCAATCATGACCTTATATGGAATACATAACCTATGATAGCCAATACCTCTAGGATGTAAGATTTCAAACTACACTCACATAAATTGCCTGCACTTTTAGCCCTGGTACAATGTTAATGAAATGCACTTTATTCCTTACAACTTAATATTTCACCTAAACTATGAGGGGTTATTATGGTAGAATAATGAGACCACCCATGTGAGCCAATATATCAGACATAATGTTCTTATTGCCCGTTTAATTATTAGCTCATCCTTTTAGTAATGAATTAAATAAAACTAAATCCCCAGCCCATGGTCATGTCTGTAGCAGCACTGAAACCTCACTCCAGTGTGTTACATTGTGTGGGTGCTGTTGTCGCAATCCTGTGGGTTTAAAAGTAATATCTGGGATTCTTAGTCAGTTTCATGTAACACAAACTTCCTTCTCACTCTGTACAGATGATATGACGGAGAGTGCATTAAAAATGTCATGAAAACAGAGACTTCAAAAGCAACTGCACAGCAGGTTACCTTCTGTTGCACAACAACAGAGGACGTGAAGAAACACAGATGCAGTTTCAAAACACTTCTAATGAAACAACATTTTCTGAGCTCCTGGTATCAAAACTTTTTTCCACACACACTTCTCTTTTAATACTTTTCCTAGAGCTCTCGACCAAAAACCACAGGCCTCAAATACAATGAAAGCAGGCCACAGACAAAGTAATCAGACACACGGATATGAGCGCAGGTTTAAGGCTTCAAGGTGGATTTTATGGCAGATAAAGAGCCACAAATAGACTATGCACTCATGACAGCTTCACTTACCTTGCACGTCCATCAACACAAAGGTAACACTAAGAGACAAAAGTCAACAAGACACTAATAAATGCTGTTAGGCATGGCTGACAAAGTGAGGACCATGTCGATGCCTGTCAGACCCCATTACAGTTCGCCCACCTACCATGTAACAGGGTGTAATAAGTTACAGCCTTTATCCCTAGCTATATCCTTAAAACTTATAATTGACTTTTATTATAACTTTACACTACATACAGGGCCTTAACAGCTTTTCACTTCAAACACAGGATTCAATACAAAACTTAGGACTAAATTAACAAGCAACAACACTGAAAGTAAGTCACAGTGGATACCAAACTGGACCACCATCTAGGTTTGGGGAGCAACTCGACCAAGGTTAGTTGTGGATGGGAAAAGCAATGAGAGTGTTAAATGTTCACTTTCTATCAATATGGTATACTGCTATATTCTGTCCACTACCTCCATTATATCAATACAACTGTAAATCACAGACTGTATATTAAAGTGGACACAGTTACTGAGACGTCATTGGATTAAGGGTCAAATAGGACCATCAAGAAAACACATACTATACTATACTATACATACTATCGGCTCATATTTGAACCACACGGTAGCCAACTGAAGCTGATGATTGTTGATAGTGTGGATCTGTAAATTCATGTAAGCCATGATATTGATTAGGATTTTAATATTGGTTAGAAAATAAAGCCTTTTAGTCACTGTTATAGCCAATGGCATTGCCCTCTGCTATGTCCACTTCTTATATACAATCTATGTTTTAAACTGAGTGTAAATCACCAACTGAGGAGCCTTCTGACTCTGCGGGCTTTAAAAGGAAGCCAAGAAGCTGTTGCTTTTGTTAGATAGTGATTCAGTTAGTGCCACCACTGCAAACAGTGAAGATGATGAGGTGGGAACATTAATATACACCTGAAGGTGCATAATTTCCAATTTACCTGATAGCACTGTGAGATATTACACTTTTTTTCACATCATGAAGTAGTCTTACATACTCCAACTGGTGGCTGATTTAAAGCTGCCAGACACCCATTTGTGTCTTGAAGTCTCTGTAATCAGTGCATCCCAGTTGTTGCTTTGAGTCATCTGTGCAAAAAGTATGACTTCATTTTTCAGCCATTGACTCCAAGTGGTGTTCATAAATTGTGGAGCTGGAGCTAAACTTTGGATTCCTCAGCACGGTGGATGCGTTACAGTTTGCTGGCTTCTGTTTTTCTTGGCTTACGGCAATCCTCCAGATCTTTCCCCAGGGGGAAATCTCCCTCTATGTAATAATGAAAAGCCTGCAGAGTCAGGGGAAACTGCTCTTCTCTGGTGTTCCATCTTAATGAGCACAACAAGGAGGCTCTCTCAGTTCCACAAATAACCGTTCATTAAAAACCATATAAGATTATAACCTTCATTTAAACATGGAATTATATATCAAGTTTATTTATTAATGTCACTTTAAATGTCATGTCTGTGGCATTTACAGCATTTACCCAGATTGTGCAACATTAAGTTAAAAGATAAATGATTGTGTCTTTCCATGTTGTGGCATAAATATGAGTTTTTGTGCGTATATATATATTGTGTTTTTCTGCCTCTTACAGCTTTAGCCTACTTTAATACTCCCCAAGGACTTATTAAAGGAGCATTTTGCTATGGATTTTGCATTTTTGCCTTATGAATACAGCAGTGGCTTGTAACTAATAGAGCCTGGCTGGTTTGCTCCACAGCAGCAGGCTGGAAATATTCACACAGGATACTTGTCCTTTGTTCTACACTCTCTCCATACCAACCCCTGGGGAATAACTGGACCATATAGCATTGTCACATCTGCTTTACACATGGCCAGCCTCTTTATATTGACTGCTGCTCTTTCTACTGAGCCAGGAGAAGATAGAACAGGACCAGGCAGGCAAGAACAGCAGTAGACAAGACGGGATGGAGCGGAAATAAGTAGGCAGTGCTGTTGGAGATTTCCTCAATCTAACGGACACATCCAATCCAGTGTATTCCCCTATAGTCTTTCATCATTCCCTCAATTGTTTCATAATCACATTCTCTTCTGGCATTAGTAACAGATTTGGTATAATCACCCAGTCCCCTCTCTGCTGATAACGTCACAGGTCTTTGTCCCATTATGACTAATTGTTCTCTGTTGTTTGGGAAGCCATTAATCTTAGTGTTCCCCCTCTACTCTAAATTGCCTGTTTTTTTTTCCCTCTTCCTTCTCCAAATGAATCCCCCTGGTGCACTTCTAGAGCAAAATACACTTTAAAAGCCGGTGTGCTTATTGTGCATTACACTGTGTCTGTGAGAGGCTGGTCTTTGGAGGCTGTGCAAAGTCAATTATGTTGTATCTATAGGATGAGAGCGCACAAGGCTGGAACACACTGCACTGTATGTGTGTGTATGTGGTGTGTGGATGTGTGTCTTCAGGTATGTGTGAGTCAGTTCTCTTGGGTCCTTCGAGAGTTTCGAACCTTTCCACCGGCTGACACCATAAATACTGCAAACAGGTAACGATTTTGACAGGTTGTAGCTGAAGAAGTGTGTGAAATGTGGGTGTTGATGAGCTCTCGTTTCTCTCTGTGGGAATTTTAAACAACACCGGGAGTGTCTGGAAAGTATTTAAATCGGTATTACATAAAAGAAAGGTTTTACATAAGCATACTTTTTCATCCTGACTCCCAGAATGATTCCTAGCTTATTTTATCTCCATCAGTGATTCCCCATTTTTCTTCTGTGCATGTATAACTAAATTACAACAGGTCATAACCTATTTGTAATGTTGGGGGAGCAATTTTGATATGCTGCGATGTACAGATCATAATGAACATGAGGTTATCTACATGGAACAGAGTCTTAACTAGTCCCAAAGGATTTAATTATGGCCATAAAGTTGGATGTAGCAGAGAAATGAACTCTTCCACCATCGCTGACTACTGTGTCTGATAGGAAAAGTCTGGATGCAGTCTTTTAGTAGAGGATGTCCCCTTTAATGTGTCTTTTTGTAATCTTAATTTCGGAACTAAAAGCAAATAAATCTGCAAACCCTCTTTAAGCAGACGCCTCATGTTGCAAACCGTGGCTAATAAAGCATGCATGCACTAAAATGGAGCATGCAGCTCTGTGCCGTTCAGACACAAAGCTGTTCTTGAGTGATACGCGCAATTATTCTTGACTTGTCTTTGAAGGCTCTGTAGTCTTTTTAATTCTTTCTCTGTCCCACTTTGCTCTCTCTCCCCTCCCACAGAAAACACTGGACCCAAGAGGACAAGCCCCCCTCCCCTCTCTCTCGCTCTGTCACCACTAAAGCAGCACCCATTTCTATTCTTTTTAAAAAAACAGTAACTTTCATCCTTTTCGCACCTTGATGCTCAATGTTATTTCTTTCTCTTTGGTTTGCACAGTTTTTTTCTTATGCCATGTCTTTTGTATTAAGTTTAACATCACTTGTTTAAATAGTCCATATCCTCTGCATCTTTTTTTCAGTTATCAACACTTTCCATTGCTATAAATGTGAGATAAACAATGCAATTGATCTCATTCATATCAATCCTTATACTTAACATCACAGTATTAATGTGCATAAAAAGTAAATACCTTTTAATCTGCAGTTCAGGCTGTGTTGCTCCTCGTTTTATCCGCAGTGACCTCCTTTATAAGCCACAAAAAGAGTAAAAAAAAAAAAAAAAGGAACCCGGATTAGAAAACGTGAGGAAAGATCCAAGTCATGAAATATAGATAAGGAAAAATAAGAAAAAGTGATTTTCTTTTTTCTTTTTAAAAATCACATTTTCATGCCTTCTAACCGCTGTGAGGTAGCCTGAGCCCCTCTATTGTGCAGCCTCTCTTTTTCTCTTTCATTCACACATGCACACACACTTTCACCTACTCTGTGCCCCGATTGAGCCGTCTCCCTTTCCCTCCCTCCCTCCCTCTCTATCACACACATTCATGCACTCTTGCTTCAGCGTGGCACACTCTCTCTCTCTCTCTCTCTCGCCTGCCTCAATTGTTAGATTGATCTCTCTCCTTCCCTCTACGTCCTCTCTTTGTACTTCCACAGAGCTCTGACTCTTCACCCTCTATGTGACGGCTCCTTTCTCCTCACCCAAGTGCTCTTCTCCTCAATTATCCCCAATTTTTCCTAATTTCTCTATTCCACTCTGTCCCTCTGCCTCTCACTGTTCCACCACATCCCTTTTCTCTCTCCCTCATTATTTCCACCACTCTATCAATCACACATACACACTCTTGTCCCATGATATGATTCACTCTCTTTTATCTTCCCCTCTCTAATGCATACAGTGAATGGATTCAGGCCATTCCACTTTCCCCCTTGTGTCTTCATAAAGTCAAGAGAAACTGTGCAGACTTTCTCCATTCATAAAGTATGTCTTTATCACCTCTGCAGTACAAATAAAAGATGGTGACAGATATTGCAGGTAAGTGTTGTGCACTGTTCACAAATCTGTCAAAAAAAAGTGGCCGACCACTGCTCTGACTTTGAACAAACTTGGAGAAATGATGCACTGTCATTTAAAGAGCCCATACACATAAATCACTGTCACCCCTGGTGGTATCTCTTCAGAACAAGTGGAGCTGAATGGCATTGGGTTGGTTATGTTCACAACATTTATGCTGCGTTCGAGTTACCTCTGAAGTCAGATGTCGGAGCTGAGAATGATGTCACATCAGAGTTGCCAGCGTTTCAGTTACCAAGTTGGAAAAACGCAAAATTCGAAGCAGAAACAAGATGGCTACATCTACAAAAGTTATTTTAGCGCTTGGCTTGTGTGAATATAAACAACTTCTGGACAAATATGCGGTCCTTCTGCAACATCTTGTTTCTGCCTCTGATTTTGCTTTTTTCCTGCTTGGTAACTAGCACACCCTGATCCAGCATGCAGAGCCCACGTGATCACAATGACAGTGTGTACTAAGGTACTAACTAAGTACCAAGGAGTAAGAGTGATGTTGGCCTTGTGGCAGCATTTTTTGCTTAAGTCTGAAAAAGACATTGCAGCTGAGTGAAAAACTTGTCATGCATAATTTTGTGTCAATATCAGATCAATATCGGTATCGGTCGATATTGAAGGCTACGATATTGGTATCGTATCGGAAGTCAAAAATTGTATCGGGACATCCCCTAGTTAAAAATATATGTTATAAAGATGGTTACCCATGACAACCCAGGAGCTTTATTTGACCATTTTTAACTGTGCATAAACTTCACCACTTAAAGGATACAACGCACTACACACACATTACAGGATCAGATATGGTAGTTAGAGGGAGTGGTGTGATGTGTTTGCTCTCAAATCTTAATGTCTCCGAGATTACAACAGGAAACGCTGGTGTCTTTATGGCTCATACAATAAATGGTGACAACAACAGTTCAACTCAAAGAAGTCTATTTTAACATCATTACCCCTTCCCATATTTCCTACCAATGATTCTCATGGTTTCTGCTGTTTAATAAAGCAAAAAAAAACAAAAAAAAACAACACAAACCTCTCCAAAACTCAATTCATATTTACAACATCAAAAACCTCCTCAGGAAATGATATATGCAGCATACATGATGTATGACGAATATGTGTGTCCGTACCCAGCAAGGTTGTGTAATATTTTGGTTTCAGTGAACTACGTTAATGCAGTTTGAGTATCTGAGTGAAAACCGCCCTTGTGTTCACTTTATATTTGCTTTTAGAGCCTGTTGAAGAGAGGGCTGGAGGAAAGAGGAAGGAAAGCTTACTTAAAATACATTAATGCACACAGTAGTGCTCTCTTGAAGTAGGGCTGCACACTAATCCTGCCGGTCCAAACCTTTAAGAACGACATGACACCTGCATTTAAGCCCTTGATAAAAACCTGTAGTGGGTGCTCTCCTTTAATGATGCATCGCTGAATGGTGTACATTTACCACACTCTCACAGCCCAACATCCTTATTCTGAGAAACCAGCTTTCCTGTCGCTTTCTACGTTAGCAGCTCTCTTATGCCAAAGGCAAGGAGAGGAAAGTGGGTCACGGGCAGATGGAGCAAACAGTTGTAAGATTATGCTGGCTATGGTTCTGTGTGTTTGCGCGAGTGCACCGTCTTTGCTTTGGGTGATGTAAAGTCTGGTAAAGAAGGAAGAGGAAAAGCGGTAGAGGAGGGCAGAATGAGAGAGCAGTTATTGATTTATGAAAGCACAAAAAGTTTTGACTTTGAATCTCTGGCCCTGAAACATAGAATAATGTCTTTACAATTTCTCTACAATTACTTTTAAAAATCCATAAACTGTAAACAAAACTTCAGTTTAAACTCCTGTGAGAAACTTTAAGTCAGTGTTAGTTTTGGCATGCCTTGAGAACAAAGAGGTCCTTTTTTAGCATGCATGCCAACAGGAGAATTTTTTTCATCTTTAAATAATTTTCTTTTACATACAGTTATACTTACAGCTGATAGTGGAGCTGGATTATCAAAAAGACGCATGCTTTCTGTCGAGGTTTTGTTTTAGACAAAGAAACTCCAAAACCAGGGCTTCTAGGTGAAAGAGCCAAACGGCTTTAAAGAGGATTAAGTGACAATGCTTCATTGCTCTTTGAGGACTAGACAGTTAGACCGTATGTATATTTACTTAACTCAAATGTTTACTGGGACACTGGAACACACGTCAAGACACCAGGGTGGTAATGGGAAATGCTAAGCCAGTAAGTCTGGTCACACTTTGTACACAAACCTAAATAAATTAAAGTTGAGTCATTATTATTCATTTTTTTCACGTCATATTTTTGTACTTCTGGGTGTCTTTGCCTCTATTGGACAGGATGTTTAAAGACAGACAGGAAACATGGGGAGTCGAGAGCAGAGGAAGACATGCAGTAAAGGGTCAAACCGAGAGTCAACCAGTAACGAGGACTATAACCTCCATACAGTGTGTGTGTGTGGGTGGGGGAGTGCTTTAAGTGCTAGACTTTCAGCAGCCCAAGTTTAGTTATTAATGTGTTTCAGTTGATTACTTTGAGTTGTCAACACAATCAACAGAATCAACACAACATTAAATTCCTCACAATCAGTTAAACCTGTTGCTCATGGTTTTGTGGTTTTGTACACTGTATGAGGTCACACAGATGCATAACTGCTATCTGTCATGTAATCAATAAAATATATCCTCAGTCAAAAACATCGTTTTTCCTAAGCTCTAAACACGGTTTGATCAAGTCACTGCACAATCACAAGCACAGTGCATGAAATATGGGCTCAGACCTGCTGCAAGGCCTCATTCATGTCTTTTCTTAACTAGTGCACTAGTGGACTCTGGTGGAAGCTTTATGCAACTGAACCAGACCGGAGACAACTTTCATACAATAAAATACAAGTCTCTATGTGTTGCTTTTTTAATTCCATTTTTCCCCCACTGCAGAAATGTTTGCTGACATGACTGTTTTACTTCCCTGTTAATCTGTCCAAATACTGTTCTTAGAAAATAGTTGCATGGGCTGTTTTTACCTCTTAAAATTCACCAAAAGTGTTGCTTAATGTGGTCTAAAATTTCCACTCTGCACAAAGTGAAACTTGCCTCTTGTGGTTCTGAGAAACAGGCCAAGTAAACAGAAGAAGCAAATGATTTCATGTGGCTTGTTCATGTTTCACACCATCTCTTTTTGCCTTTTCATCACACAGGCCTCGTGACTAATACATTTACTCACAGGTTTTCAGGCACACCCTCCCTGAGATGCTTTAAGATGTTTCAAGTATATTTTGAGAGGGTGACAGTGAGTCAGACTGAGCATAAACCCTTCACTCAGACATCATAAGGAAGCAGAAGTTGCTGACCAGAATAACACTTTGATGCAGTTTCTATCTGAAATCAGCAGTATTGTGTTCCACACTTTAAACCACCTCTGTCCTTAAATGACCTGCACAGGACTACATGAGGGCAAAATGCCTTACCAGTAGGTTGAACAGCGGTACTTCATCTGTTGTTTTCAAAGTGCTGCTGTTTCTCAGCATGCATTAGTAACATCACATCTCATTGAAAACTACTGATTGAAATGTGTTGGTCAATGATTTTCAAGCAAGATCAAAACTAAAATTTGTCTGCTGCTGTTGGTCTTTGAGGTCCTCTATCTTTGTGATGCAGACTGCCATTAGCATCTGAACACATCAGCTCATTACTGCTCTCAGTTTAGTTAGGGGTTAGACGTTTCGTGAGGAAGCGCTGCCACCGCAGTTTCTTCTTCATTTCTCAGAAAACAAACAGAAAGCAGAAAGTCCATCCCAACTAGTCATCTCAATACGTGCAATACTGGAACTTACAGTCGCAATAAAAAGTATTAAGACACAATTTCCACAGTCTGAACAAAGAGACTAAAGAAGCTAAATCAAATGCTATCTTCAAAAAAAGTGTCAAAGCCAGTATGTTGAGTAAATACAGGGAAATGTGTTAATCTAAGTCTTGGTATGTTTGTTTTGTGGAAAAATGTGAATTAACATGTTGTCTTTTCTGTTTGTTTTATGTGTTATTTTTGAAAATAAGAAATAATGAAATGTAATAAGGCATGTTGGCCTGCAGCTCTTGTTCATTTTATTATGTGTTTAGTTGATTAATATGTTATGAAGGATGGCAGACTCTATAAGATTCTTCTTCATTCTTTTCTTTTCATTCACATGTTTGAGATTTTTCCTTGTTTGTATCGAATATTTCATATATGAACAGAATGAAATAAAGTATCAACAACAACAATTTCCATTGCTTTTCAGGTGAAATGTACTTAAAACCACACAGGCTGCACACAATAACTGTTGCTGATTACTGGAATATAATCCAGAGTGAGCTGTAAATAACTATTCACACTAAAATGTGAATTTTGTGGCATGTTGTGAGTGTTCCGCAAATAAAATGTTACAATAAAATTTTTTTTAAAAAGTATGATAAACGACTTTTTTTCTCCTGATACATTAAGTTTTACTTTGTTGAATTTGCACTTAACAAGTTGAGGAACTGTACACACAAATTATAGACAATGACTAAACTGCTGTTTCTTTAAAATAAGAGGTCAGTGTAACAATTGCATACTAAAATGAACATACTAGGGCTGTGCAACTAATTGGAAACTATTCAGAACTTTTGATAGATGAAATCTTGCCATTGTCAGCTATTTCCTGTTTTAATTTTTTTGGTCAGAGAGCTTTCTGTTTTGATGCATCTACACTCTCCACCTCTGGAAGTTATAGCAGCGAGTGTTTATTTCAAAGTGAACTAAAAACTTTTATGAATCTGGCTTTCAATTTCTTCCTCCTTATAGCTTCAAACTGCATAATTACCATTGTCTTACAATCATAGATTGTATAGCATTTTATTTTATCTTGTAATGATGTATCTTTCTATTAATCTATTCCAGTATTTTTGTCATCTTTTTAACTCTCATTCTTTAATGAAGCACTTTGGGTTGCATTATCATATGTATGACAGGTGCTTTTACAAATAAAGTTGAGTTGAGTTGAGATCTGATTTTCTGACCTGAAAAGGGGACCCACATGAATCCTGGGTATCCTTAAGTGTATCAAAAGAATGAGGGTTGTAAGCTGCAACAGGTAAGATTTGGGTTTTTGAATTCAAATGCATTTCCGACTGTTGTGATGAAATGTTCAACAAATCATGATGATGATTTGAGGCCGAACAACCCTGTACTAATGCATACTAATAAAGAAGTAGTTCTATGATTCAAGATACAAGATTTGAGATAACTTAACTTTGTATAAAACTGTGACAGAAAATGAGATTGACAAAATTACAAAAAGATAAAAATCATTCATGCCCATTAAATTCATGAAATCACCCTAAAAGTTCTATAAATTATTCAAGTCATGTTTTCAAAGCACAACAAAAGGCAGTGTCTATCAAGCTTTGTTCAAGATGATTTTGGTTAAAGGTATTCCGGACAGCTGCATGAGGAGAGCTGAAACAAGTCAAGGTGGGTCATGAAGGGTCAGGCTGCTTCCCTTCCTGCTGCATGACTGAAGAGTCCTGACAGTTGCACGTTTGATTGTTTTTTCTTGCTTTTGTAAGTGAGAACTTGGAATAAATATGAGGACTGATTCAATAAGTGACCTGTATACTGTTGCTAGAAAGCCCAATCAGGCATAGACAGACAGATCAGACATGAGATCTCATGCTCCAGTTCTGGCAGTGGCTTTACTGTAACTCTGAGAAACCCATGCGGCTGCCATTGCACTGTCAGGACTAGAGAACCACAGTCAACTGTGTAAACTTGACTGGTCAGCACAGTCATAATTATTGTCATAATGATTGCCCATCTGTAATTCTGAGCCATACAGGGCCCGTCCCAGTTGATTCCCCTGTTTTCCTCATCATAGCTTATTAATTTAACTCCGGATGAACTCACAGTACCGTCCTCAAACTACCATGTTGTAGTGAAAAAAATCATGCTTGAGTTAGGGTTGTCTGAGTCACTGTAAAACCTCAATTTTACTTTTTTTTTTTTTTTTTTAAAGCAACAGGTTTCCGGTTTTGTTTGGAAAATAAGCTGAACTTATCAGATCGTTCAAAGATCGTCCAAATGGCAAGTCATGCTTAAATGATGAGAAGAAGAAATTTCGAAGCAACTCTCCGTCCTGTTGTTCAATGATATTTGTTTCAAGCAGGAAACACTAATCACTTCCTCTCAGAATTCTGGCTCCATGTAACGTCAGTCAGGCTCTTGGCTGGCCACTTGGTCCGATCTAACCAGTATACCTTAAAGAGTATTTTACCCTAAAATAACCTACAAGGTCATAACTTCAAACTGAATTCATCATCATGATCACAAATGTTGGTTGAGAGACTTAGTCCTTAAGTTGGATAGCTTCATCACATCCTTTCAAAGCCTTTCACAAAAGGCTCTTCAGCCTCAGCTGCCCTGGCCTGATTAACTCAGTGCAAAGTGTTTCACATATAGCAGCAGTTTATTTTTTTGTCTACCCTGTATTCACCCTCTATGTCCTGCTTACTGGCAGTTTTTGGTTTGTCTTTTCTTTCGTGAGTAGCCCCTTTGGCCAGTTGAGTCTTGAGAGTCTGTTTGCTTTAGAGTAATTTAAGTGTCATTATTAACACCCTTCTTTCACACAGCAAACATTCAACTGCCCTTTGTACTGGTTATACATGTGTCAGAAACAAGTTATCTCTGGAGATTTGAATCTCATTTTCTTTGAATTCACACTTTATTTGCCGCCTTTTGCTTGCCGTATAACTCAGCTCAGTGGAGATGACTCAGTTTTCGGCTCTGAACAGCACAGAGAAAAAGTTCTGCAGAGGGGAAGTATTTTCAAGCAGTTGAGCACACAGAGAAACTTTCTCATGATTGGCTCAATACTCCAAATAGCCTGTTACTCTGTGGTCATTTCTCAGCCTGAGTCAATGTGTTTCTGTTCCTGCTCTGTGTATGCAGCTCTGGCACGATGATGAGGCGAAGAAATCTGCTGCTGCTGCTCCTGGCAGGTAAGAAAGAATCAAAAATTAAAGACATGACTTATTCCTTCCAGCTGAAATATGGTGACACTTTTACATAGTATTTAAATGTCATTTTCTAACACTGTCTTTTTACATAGCTCTTCAATGTGGTATTCAAAATTAAACCTGGAGCATTTGAATCGATGCACTTTGCCAAAATATTTTTTCATTAATCTTAAAAGGTGTAATAAGGTGTAAGAAATTAAACTTTTATACTTAATTACCCCCCCATTTCACCCTTTTTTATCTTGTTTTATAAACATTTTTTAATATATAGATATAGATATAGATATATAGAGATATATATATATATAGATATAGATATATAGAGATATATATATCTCTCTATATATCTATATCTATAGATATAGATATAGATATATATAGATATAGATATAGATATATAATATAAAAGAGACCTCTCCACACATGCTATTTTATATGTGTGCCTGCTAAGTCAGTTTTATTGCTGTCCGCAAGTGCAAGGTTAAAAAGATCACTGCCGAACACGTTCAAAATCTGCCAATCACAAGCACCACCTAATCAATTTAAAATTGTACAATGCAGTGTATATTAACACACTGTAATAAATAAATATAATATAATATAAAAATGTATCAATTACATCGTATTGATGTCTAAAATGTCTTTGCAGTAATATGTTTAAACTTTGACAAGAAAACAAACATATAGGCTAAATACAAACGGACAGGCAGAGCTATGATAAAAAAATGTAATTGCTCCAAACAGACAAGATCACAATTTTGTACTAAAGATTTGTTTTAATTAAAAAAACTGGTCAGGTTTAAAGGATGAATACTGTGTATCTTCTAATAACAATAATAGAGAAAAGCAGAGGGGGGAAAATGTGTCACATACAAATTCTGAATTAACTCAAATCTAGATCGAGATTATGGCACCTTTAAAAGTCAAGATAAATGTTTATATTTATCAATGTTGCCAAAATTAGTTTAAAATTTTGTTTTTGATTTTCGTTCTGTCTTGAATGCTCTTTATAGTAGCAACTGATGTATTTGCCATGTTTTTTTATTTTTTTTTATTTAAGTTTTGTATTTTGTTTTTTCTTGATTTTGTTTCAGTGTTCATGCTCCAGGCTAAATGTCAGCAAAGCCTTAAAGGTAAAGTAGACTTCTGCAACATCTGTGACACATTTCAGGCTTCTATCTTTCCCCTACTATTGTCTATCTGTTGTGATCTGTCAGTAGGTTGCAGCAATAACCACACTGAACAGCTGTCTGTCATTTCTTGTAAAGACTTGAATCATGTGGGAGCACCAACAGTAGTGCGCTCCGTAATTTATTCTTTTCTTGTGTGTCCCGTCTTTTTAGTTTCTGTAACCCCGAACCTACCTGATGACCAGATATTCTCCGGGGACTTGTTTTATGTGAACTGTGACGGGAGTGCAAGTGGGGGAGAAGTCAAATGGTACTTCAATGGTGATGAACTTCTAGAAACAAACAAAGTCATGAAGATAGCGGTTGCTACCTCGAAGCACTCAGGCTCTTATCACTGTGAAAGAAACGGACAAAAGAGTGACACTGTCTCCATTAACATCAAAGGTGAATATTTCACATTGACAAAAAGTTTTACAGCTCATTATCAATGTGGCTTCCAAGAGTCATGATATTACACTGTGTTTAATTACCATTTAGAATACCTCCCCAGTGCCTCACTCATCATCAAGACAGGCCAGCCAGTGATGCGGGTTGGGGGGTCCGTCACGCTGGAGCTTAACCATGACGATGGTCTAAATGGATGGAACTGCTGGGTCTACAGGGGAGACGAGACAAAGAAGATAAAGTTGAAGTTGGAAGAGAAAAGTACCAGTCTGGATTTTCAACCCAAGCAACTCCTTGTCCCTGAAACCATTTTCTGGTGTAGTAATACTGCTAAACAACAAAGGAGTAACCAGGTCATAGTCAGGACCTCAGGTAGGCAAACCTTTCTTTAGTGCTTTGACAGTCTGTTACAATTCTGCAACTGAAGAAACCATTCAATACCGCTTTGAAGCAATTTTTTGAATTGAAGTTTCACTTTAGTCTCATTAAATCAAAACAAATTATTCCGGTAATCAACCCTTTTTTTCAGAGTTTATGGTAAAAGCTTGTGTTTGACAGCTATGAACCTAAAATAATTTATGTAAAGCAGAGCCGCCTTATGGGAGAGGAAAGCTAAGCTGATTCTAGGGTCCCAGGAGCTTTCGAGGCTGTTGTAACAGTATTTATTTTTCCATATGAATTTTTTAACTTAACATCACAGGAGAAACTTTTCCCTCTGGCATCCCTTTACTGTTTGGTGCAAAAAGGTTATCCTAATTAATAAAAACTGTTACATGAAAGTTCCTACCCTGAAGCTGGGGCAGTGAGTGTAGAGTGAAAGTGCACAATATCACATCAGAATGAGGAACAGCTTTATCAGCCCCATATGTTACACACACTGACTTCAGTAGATTTTTACTCATGAACATTCCAATGTGAAATATTACATTGTGATGTACAAGCTTAGGCATTTCATTTCTATATTTATGAGTCTCTCACAACAATTTCCATACAGGGAGTTGAACCCAGGCCGCCTGGGTGAAAACCAGGAATCCTTACCGCTAGACCATATGGGAACATGTCAAACGAGAATAGGATATGAACAAGATGAGGCAGAGAAAGGGTTAAAGACGGCCATTTACTATTTGTCTTAGAAATACTGGACAGGTCTTTAAGGATTGGACATGAACCTGATAATTAAAAAAACGTATGTTCCCATAATGTGAGTTAGCTGCACACATTAAAACTTATGCAAGGGTGCAAAACATTATACATTCATACAATTGCTCTTTTGCATGTTATTAGGCAGAATACTAAAATATTTAAAACAGGGTTGTTTCCATATTAACAAAATTAATCTATGCATTGGCCGTAGAAGTTGTGCTTTTATTGTGCTCTTGAAGTGAAGAAGTCAAACTAATCCAACCCTCATCTTTTTCTGTCAGACAAAAACGTGTCACTGGAAATGTACCCTTTCCCGGCTACAGCTGGGGAGAGTCTGACTCTGAGTTGCCTTGTCTGGGGCACAGATAAGATTGTTGACACCGTTTTCTACAAAGACGGCAAAATCTTATCAAAGCATAGTCCAATGCATAAAATCTCTGAAGTGACAGAAGTGACCAAGGGAATCTATAAGTGCCGGTCCAAATACATCGCTGGGTCCTCATATGAAATGTCTGATGATCAGGATATGCTCCTCCAAGGTTAGTGAGATACTATGTCCTGAACATGTCTGTGCTTTTCTCACCAGTGGATCTCTCGGACATCTTATAAGTCTGTCTTCTCATTTGTTTATTTCAGAGCCTCCACTGAAAGCTTTACTCTCTGTGAACATGGGTATGTCCTGCTCTTGTCCACGATGCCCCGGAGACAGCTCCTATCGCTGGTACTCCAAGAGTGATGATGATAAGCCATGGGCACTTTCTGAATCTAACACAGGATTCTTGATGCCATCAGAGAGTACTACATATGCATGTAGAGCTGTGTGGCTCAATGGGAGGTCTTCTCTCAGCCAAAGTTATGCTCGTAAGTTGCTGCTAATGGACTTGAACTATGTTTCCCTTGATATATCAATACACATAATGATTATTTACCTTGCTTTTAAGTACAGCTGTGCCTGTGGGAAGGGTGGGATGATGCAGTTCAGGACTCTGGAGGGAGCTTTTAAAGTCTGATATAAAAAAAAAAACTTTTATTATTGTTGTTGCCTGGACTCGGCTTTCACTAAAAGACTCTAAGTACTCAACAGAGGCCGGACATGCTGTCACAGCTCCTTAAAAGCAGGGGATTAGTGCTAGGGCTACACAATTTATCTATTTTTAATCACAATCACAATATTGGCCAACCCACAACAAAAGAATCATGAGCGACAGCCATTCTAAGCATTTAAACTGTATTAAATTCAGTTTCAAAATATTTTAGGATAAACAGTAAAGGCTATACATCATGTGTGCTTTATTTACCTCCACTGATGTTGGTTCATACATGTCATCAATATGCTTTAGTTCTCCTCTTTCACACGTACTTCCTCACACTCGGTCTGCACCTCTCATATGTGGTATTATGGTACATACACCGCACGGAAGTGGTTTCTCTCTCCTCTTTTTTTTTTTTTCGCTTTGCGTGCATGTGTCTGCTCTGTTATCACTGATCACCAGCTGTACATTTAGGATGTTATCCGAATGACACAACTCGCTTTTTGTGACAACAGGTGATGTTGATGAGGCCTGTTATTGACAACATAATGGTCCAAAATAAGAGTGCAGAAACACATCTGAAAGTGGAGCAGGCTGGAGGATTAAATGAGTTATAGAAAAGCAGAGGGATGGAGTGAGCACAGACAGAGAGAGGCTGCACCATTAATAATTAAATAATATAGGTATAGAGTTATCTAGAAAACTAAATTTAAAAAAAATCAAGACATAACTGTGATTAAGATTCAAGATCTCAAAACGTATTGGAATAATCATCATTACAATTTGTGCTCAAAATTGTTAAAAGGCCTCAAGTGTTAAACGGCAGAGCTTGAGTATCCAACAGTGTGTTTGTTTCTTATCTGTGACTAAATTACGAATATATATACACATATATGTTGATGCTGTCTCTGGATATATGCTGATATCAAGATTTTCATATGAGAAAAAATGTTGGAGATGATTTAAAAATGTTGCTTTCATAATAGCTCGACAGATCATGCTCCAACTCAATAGATGCACATTACTTTTGGCTCTGTCTGCAGCACATTTTACAGAGTGAGGTCTGCACTAATATTGGTGGACAATTCATAATAATGCTGGTTTTTAATGTTGCTTTTGGTACCTGTGCACTGTCATGCAGGTGCTAAATCCATGTAGAAAGTATTTCAGTATTACTGTTACATTAACTTAGATTTCAATAATCTGATCTGATTTTGGTCAATTAAATGTCCAACTCCTTTTACATGGAAAACATTTACATTTACACTCAACTAGTAAGTAACAACAGGGAGCTATCCACAAAAATCATTTAATGCATTATGTTCATCTGCGTTTTAGATCCACCTACCATCAACTCCATTTTCCTGACTGTCATCATTGTGGTGATTCTTCTTGGTTTAGTAGCCATGGCCATTGCTCTCTTTATGTGGTATAAGAAGAGAACTGCCACAGGTATGAAACAACTACCAGTTTACACTTTTACAAAGTACCCTGAAGGCATCATGTAACCCTCCTTTTTCATTTCTAGGACCAATCTATGAGGATGTTGGGCAAATGTCCCGGGGCAAGAATGAATATGAGATGTTGCAAAAGTCACGCAGAGAGGGTGAGTACGACACCCTGCACACTGAGGCGCCGGACAAACAAAGAAAAGATGGTGGAGCGGGAGGGTATGAAGCACTGAAGAAAGAGGGGATGAAGGAGGACGTGTACCACACTGTGAAAATGCCAGGGGCAGCTGGAGGAGAGGGAGGGTATGAAGCGCTGAAGAAGGAGGGGATGAAGGAAGACGTGTACCACACTGTGGAAATGCACGGAGCAGCTGGAGGAGAGGGAGGGTATGAAGCGCTAAAAAAAGAGGGGATGAAGGAAGGGGTGTACCACACACTGAGCACTGAGGGTGCAGGTGGAGTAGAGGAAGGAAATGAGGCATCAGATAAAGCACAGAAAGTGTGAGGAAGTAAGTAATGAGATAATGGGGAAGGAAGCAAAATTGAAAATAACTGAGCAATGACAAAAAAACAGGTTGGGTCTTGGGAGGTTTGATAATGTGAAAAAAATTCTTGCAAACCTGACAAGTCAGCTAAATTCTTACTTGATTCATAGTGTAGAAACATACGTTTGTTAGTATTTCATCACATCAGTGTGGAAATGATCTGTAAAATGAACATTCCCACCACTGCAGAAAAAGCAGAGCGAAAGCATCAAGAAACAAAAAATACTTCAACCAATTATTTAAAGTAAGTAAAGTCAAGTCAGTAAAACAAGTCAAGCTGAGAGACAAACTTATTCTGTCGACTTATTTCCCAAACTACCACCAACTGTCCGACACGTCTATTCATTTCACTTCCTCAAATAAAATAGACACGAGACGTCGAAAGAAAAAGCCTTTTTTTTCCAAGACTTTTTTTTTGTACAGGGTCAACAGCTGAACACAACATTCTTTTTTTTAACTAAAAGTGTTATATTATGATTAAATGATAAGTGCAATAAGTCAGAATTATCAAAATCTCTTTCAGTGATGGAAAAAAAGGCAGTAAGTTAAAAATTTAAATCATTTTCCTTGTCAAAGCTGTATGGCCTACCACAGTTTCATTTGTTAAGCGTAGAAACACGTGTTTTGTAAATTGTGTCACTGTAAATAACTTCTTACACTCTCTGCAATAAGCTGTTATCTTTTATTTTTGCACATTTGAAGTACTTAATATATTATCATTTTACTGCTTTTAAGATGAAGGATTAAAGCATTAAGTTGTTTGTTTGTTTGTTTTTGATGAAAACATATCAATTAAAGTTACCATCAATGTATTGATATCAATATCATATATATCAAATGTTTCACTCAGTATGGCTTTTGGGGGGTTTCTATAAGTACAATAATATCACAGTATGCTTTGCCTCATGAATTTGTAGTGTAATTTCTGTATATATATATATATATATATATATATATATATATATATATATATATATATATATATACAAATGAAGATTATCCTAAACTGTTTTTGAAACATATTTTTTCATAATTATCTTAAGTGTTTAAGATTATGTAGAATGGTTTCTTTATGTAAATAGTTCAGCAGATCATGATCCAACTCATTACTCATCACTCTGTCTGCAGCATATGTATCAGACTGTTATTGATCAGTGGTTAACAGATATATCAATATCAATATCAATGCTGGTTTTTATTGCCTATTTCTCAAATAAAGGTATTTTTTTTACAAAAGCAGCTTTTGGTTTCTTTTTATATTGGGGGAAAATCCACAGACAAAGGTTCTTCTTTTTCAACCACCATTTAAGTAATGGCTGGTTTTTCCTGTAAATGAGTCATATATGTAAATTTGTGACATTTTATAACCAACAAACAATCTTGTATGTGAAACACTGAAACAAAGTGTAAATGCAAAAAGTGTAAATAAATCAAAGCCATAGTTCAAGCCAAGCTGTAAGACAAGGTCGTCTTTTGTGCTTTTGAATCAGCATTACAAGAGATATACCTGAACAAAGAAATGTACAGCAGCACCCAAGTGGTAAGCGCTGATGGGGGGGGGGTCTTTGTGAGGCAAGTTCTGTCTTCTGTCAACCTGTAGAGTGGTGGTTAAGGCTGCTGCTCAAAGGGTCCCAGGTCCAAATCCAGGATGGTGGCACTTTATGCTAGCCTGGAGAAAATGGAACTGCAGTTCCACAGTCAAAAAGTACAGGTAATAGGGATCTACAAATGCAAACACTTGTATTTTATTGATGGAGGCATTCTGGGTTCGAATCAAGGACAGCAGTACTCCACAGAGAAAATTTCTGTTCAAGCATTGCATTTTATAGTGTGCTCAATGAAAGATGCAATCACAAGGCCTTAAACAACAAACAGGAATAGGTTTACCTGTGGTGTAGTGGTTAGGATCCCTGCCTATCACTCTAAGTTCCTGTATGAAAATCCAGGTCTGGCATTGCAGAATCACTGCTACAACATGTTGAGGATAAGATAAGCAAAGACTGATTTGACCACAGAGGGTGCCACAATGGACACAAACAACAATTTCATCACAGGAGCTTTAATGATTGAATTAAAATAATTCTGTTGTGTTAAAGTCAGTACTCAAGTTGGGGGGGTCTCTTAAACTTCTGAATTTTTTTTTTTTTATTTCACTTTTGTAAATATTTTTGCACTGCACCTTGAAAGACTGGCTGTTAATAAATATCACCATCACCGTGTTTTCCATTTCGCCTGTGTTTTTCCACTATATTTTGACAGGGGGGCTTTGCGCATATTAAATAAAATACTTTGGGTGGCGCGGCTTGGTGAAATTACACTTTTTTTCCTCTTTTAAAAAAATGACATCAGTGAGAGCACTAGTGACGCTGTTGCGATTTTAGTATCATGGCCAAGCAACATGGACAGCGCGGTCCAAGGAATAATGTAACTTACTATAACCCCTAACGCCACTGGAGAGGTGAATAAGTTGAGCATCTAAATTTAAGAGACTTTTTATTGACGAGGCCATTAACACTTTAGTCAATTAGCACAATTAGGTCTTAGTTTGCATCACTTGCTGTATTTAACCACATGACTTTTGAAGGTAGGACATGACTTTTTAAAAGCAGCATACTTGTTATAAAGGTTAACCCCCTCCTCTGAAAGAAGAGAGAAAAACTGAGTATCCAGAGTTTTTGATGTTATTCTGTACTTGAATGGTTTATAAAAGCTTGTCTGTCAGTTTAAAATGTTTAAAGACTCAACTGATTAATATCACATGAAAGTTAGATTCTGTTTTTGTGCTTTCCGTGTTTAGTTAGGGCTTATTTAACTGTTTACAGATCATCATATCAGGGGGAATATTTGCCGAGACATGCCCCGGTCTTCCACACTTGTTTAATCACAGGAAGGACTGACTCTATCACACTGGATTCTTGGTGCAACGTCTGTGCAGGCACCAATAGACTGTGACTGATGCATATCAGTCTTTTCGATTTCAAGATCAGAGAGTGGAATTAGGTAACGGGGGGTGACTGCTAAGATTTTTCTCAGGGTGCTACAGCAAAGTTTCAATGGGGCAAACCAACAGCAAAGCCCCTTAAAATTCTACCAATGTCCTCACAGAGCTGGAGTCACTTCCAGGTAACCACCGTTTCTCTCACTGACAGATGGTTAAAGGATAATCCCATTGATTCCAGAGACCAAAGATGGACGCCAAGGGTGAGTGCCTGAGCCTCTGTGCCTTCCTGGTGAGTCCCCTCTGTGCTTCTTTTTTTCTTCTTCATTTCAACACTGTTATCATCAGCTCAGTGATCAATAAGCTGTCTGGACAGGGTACAGCATTATGGGTAACATGAAACCACTGTATCCAAGGGTTTAAAGACCCACAACGTAAGTGCCTGGATCTCACATGAAGCAGAAAAAGGTCAGTCAGGACATAACATGCACTGTCTAATAAAAAAGGCTTGATAAACATATAACTCCAAGCTGTGATGTATTTTAGCAAGTATGTATAAGGACTATCTGCTAGGAAGAATATTTAGAATTGTACAAGAATAATTACCTCTAGATTTTATTATACAATATTTTCCACATGTACATGATTTTTACATACACTGTTTTGGTTTACAATCAGAACAAAACATTTAACAAGAAATGAATGAAAAAAGTCAAAAAACAGTAAAAATCCTAACATTTAATATTTAATCTTTCAGTGAAACTGTACCAGTGAGAGATAGTGTTCCATGAAACTTTAACACTAAACTTTACTAAGTCTTAAACCATCATTTTGGGCTAACCAGATACACTTTTAAATCTACTAAAACAATTGAAATAATTCGCTCATGTACAGTGAGGTGTTGTTGCTTTCTTATCCAGGTTTCTGATCACTTAAGATATCTTAAACTTTCTGCTTTATTGCATTAACCAGAGCTAACTTATAGATCGATTAGTTTGATGTGATAGGTCTACCAATCTGATATTTTTATTTCCATTTTTTAATCCCGACATAAACTGTGTAACTTGCACCACCCATCAGGCTTAACTTCGTGTTTCCTGTACATATGTGTGAGAGAGCCGACTCCGGCATGTGTGAAGGTTCCAAGGTTTTAGGGTGACACCAAAGTGCATTTGCAGATGTTAACACTAAATACATGAATTCCCCGGACACAATAGAAACATGATAGTACATGATCAAAGTATGATAAATATGGCTCCAAAATCAGATAAAGGAAGCTGAGGGATAAAGTACTCTCATTACGCTGCATGGTGACACTTCTCAAAGTCCAGTTCCAGGCATTTTAAATCCTCAGGTAGTTAGCAAGCAGGCAGGTTGAAAGCCTTGTTTATGAATCATTTTTGCATAAAGAAATAATATCAGTGTGGGCTATTTAGACTTTCTAGACAGTTGTGCAAAGTTATACAACCTTGACTCAAATATGTTGGTGTGCCGTGTAAAATATTAATAAAACAAGATAATAATGAAAATTATATAAATCTTGTGTTTGATTGAAATTTGTGCAAAGACAAAATATCATGTTAAAACTTTAACCCTCTAAAAACTATATGCTCCTTTTAAATTTACTTTTAGCAGTACATTTTTATATTCTTCTTTTTTGGTTATGGACCAAATGTTTTCAACTGGTGACAATTCGGAACTATAGGTAGACCGGTTTGCACCTAGACTTGACTTGGTGCTTAACTGACTCTAAAGAGCCATGCTGTTATAATACAAGCAGAATGTGCTTTGACATTAACTTGCTGAAATATGCGATATGTGACGTCTGCCCATTAAAAGGTGTTGTCTAAATCACAGCATGTATCACTCCAGATATGTAGTTCAGCACTAATGGCGCCTTTACAGATGTGTAATCTAGCCATGCCAGGCCATCGGCACTTATGCATACCCATACCATCACCAGTGCTGGTTTTTGAGCTGTGTGGTGAGAACAAGCTGGGTGGTCCCCTTTTCTGTTAAAACACCCATGATCACCAAAAGAAAAAGTCAAATCTTGATTCGGCCCACAGAACAGTTTTCCACTTCGCCACAGTCCACCTGATACAACCTTGTTGGAGGTCTCAACTGTCTCTGGGTCATGTTTATCAAAGGTTTCCTCTTAGCCTGGTATAATTTGGAACAATTTGAGAGCGTTTTTTGGTTCCAAGTAGTGATTTCTACTTCAGAGTCATATCTGCCTGAGGCCATGAAAACACTGCCAACCAATATTGTTTTTGTGGTCTTTTCTTTTTTGTACAGAAACTTTTCTTGATTCTCTGAATCGTTTCATGATATTTCAGACCGTGGATGATGGATTCACTGAGGAGCATTATTCTAAAATTACTGAACTATTTGCTCCCAGAGAGGCAGACCTCTTCCCAGCTTTGCTCATAAGAGACTCAACCTAGAAGGAATACCCTTTCTACAGTCAGTCGTGTTACTAACTTGTTACATATAGACCTTTTTCCATGTATTTTTTATGCATCACACAACTTTTGCCCTGCTTTGTTGTCCCCGAATGATAATTTAAAACATGTTGCTAAAACAAAACTTAAACTGAGCACATGTTTTTTTCATAAAACAAAAACATTCTCAGTCTCAACCTTTTTTAAGTTGTCTTTTCACTATTTTAAATTGAATAGAAAGTGTGACACTATACAAAACATCTCTTTTTATGAGTGTGTTAAATGGTAACCAAACTACTTTTGGGGTTGGGGTTGTATTGGCAGGTGTCCAAATACCTTCTTAGTGAAAGAGTAAACCAATACTACAGAGCAATGTATTTTCTTGTATTGGCACAAGTCACTTGCTTCTTCTTGAAGGTGTGCACATAAGGACAAGGCTTATGTTTGTCATCTGGAAAATAGATATAGATTATACAGTGTGATAACTTGCTGCTTCATTTTTAGTGAAACTGATGATAATTTATGAAACCACTTGAATAAACTTAACAGGCTTTTATCCAACAATAGAAATGGGTTTGTGACATATCTGTGCCTAATTATTCATATCCATGGATGATTCAAATATAAATGAGAGGCATGTATGATTAAAAGCCAAATCCTGTCAGATAAAATGGAATTTTTCTACTTTTGATACAGTGAATTAACATCAAAAAGGCCAACCCAGGCCTAAAACCCAACCCTGCTCCAGGTGAGATAACAGAGAGGCTGAGTGGTCCTACAACACTCTGACTTGGATTGTCTGTCACACACAGTACACAATTTCAATCACATACAAACACATATCTTAAAACTAGTGTCTTCACTTTGACTGTGGAGTCTCTTTGAATTCAGTTCATCTGTGATATGAAAGTCAAGCTCTCTCAAAATTGTCCCCTTTGATGTTGCATGTGAAATTCACACTTTCATAGTTGTTCCTGCCATCATGGTGAAACTTCACATTGTTGACATTCTTGTTCTGCATCACTAAAGGCTATGTGCAGACGATCTCCGGGTCTTTAATGTGAACTCCTGGTCCCCTCTCCTCCATAGAGGTAATTATTGGTCCCCAGCTGGTTGGACATACTCCTCAGTTTTGTCCCAGTCTGAGACCCAGCCACCACCTCCTCCACCCACGCCTCCACCTCCGTTGGGATCCGCTCCCTGGTTCATGGCTCCATAGCCTGCACCGCCGCTTGTGCGATATAGTTCCTCCGTCTCGTTCGCCAGTTCGTCCTCGTCTAGAATGCCACACTTCTCATCGCTTGTCTGCTCTGGTTCTGCCCAGGCTTGCTTCTCTCCTGATGCAAAGAGTCCTAAAGCACAGAGAATAGAGGAGGAGTTTAGACCTGGTGAGCCCTGGGTGGTCTTATTCACGAGTAGACAACTGTGGGTACGATGTTCAAGCATTCACTCTATGTATTATCATATGTCCCCAATGCATCTCCATTGATGGGATCACTGACCTTTGATAGACCTGGAATTAAAATCAGGAACAGCTATGTGAGCTAGGAGCATGAATGGGGGAAAGCTACACTTGTGTGAGACATGCATAGAAGCAAGTTATAATGTACTGACGTAAATATGTGATAAAAGCTTTGATTATGGCATCTGATGCTCTTTTACACTTCTGTGGTTTATCAGTGAAATATAAAAACTACAGTGTGGACTGGACTATCTCTTTACAGTGGAGCAATGATGATAATATCTGCCCAATTACAGCAGTCAACATACAAATTTGAGATATAAGGAGCAACTGCCTGTTTTGTCAATGCGCTGTAGTTCCATCTCTAATCCCCAGTTATTCCCCTTGTTGGTTAAAGGGATATTCCCGCATAAAATTAATTTAGGGTCAAACACAACGTAACACAGAGTTAGACACCCCCTCAAGAGATGAATGTTGCCGACCGCTTGCTTCTCTAGTTATACCAACTTTAGTAATGATCGCAGGATAGCAATACACAGCGGTCTAAGGAGCCATAAACCAACCTTAACCAAAACACCACTCTACAGCCACGAATAATGCTCAGAACAGCACCTAACTTCATCAACAGTACATACAGGGTCCCAGCCACAGCAATAGCCCTCAAACATCTTTTTAGCTTTCTCTAATTTATTTAGCAAAGAGACTAAACACAACACACCTACTCTCTTCCAACAGCCGCTTGTTTGTAGCGAGACCTCAGGCCAGTCCACTACGGATTGCTGCAGGGTGACGCAGCTCAAGGAAGAACATTTATGATCATTTCTTCATGGAAATGCAATCAGACCGAGACGCTAAGGCAGAAGAACTACCACGTCTGCAGTGCAAAATGATTAATATGGTGATTTTTACTTCAGGGAAATGATAAAGTAATAATCATAAATGTTCCTCCTTGAGCTGCGTCAGCAGTAGTCCGTAATAGACTGGCCTGAGGTCTTGCTACAAACAAGCGGCTGCTGGAAGAGAGTAGGTGAGTTGTGTTTGGTCTCTTTGCTAAAGAAATTAGGCAAAGTTAAAAAAAGTGTGGTGCCTAGCACTATGGCTGGGACCCTGTATGTACTGTTGATGAAGTTAGGTGCTGTTCTGAACATTATTTGTGGCTATAGAGTGACATTTTGGTTGAGGTTTGTTTATGGCTCCTCAGACCACTGTGTATTGCTATTGTGCGGTCTTTACTAAAGTTGGTATAACTAGAGAAGCAAGCGGTCGGCAACATTCATCTCTCAAGGGGGTGTCTAACTCTGTGTTACGTTGTGTTTGACCCTAAATTAATTTTACACCGAAATATCCCTTTAATCTGAAAATGAGACTTAAGTTAAGAAAAGTTATACTCACCATAAAATATTACACCGCCATAATGAACCAGAGAGGCAATGAGAAACACACCTTGCCACTCTTCTCGTGTCTGTTAAAAGGTAAGTAGGAAAGCTTATGAGCAAGAGAAAAGCAAGTCAAAAAGAGGTTGTAAACATTAATTCTATGAAATAAAAACACAGCTTCAGACAACAGAAAATGAGTTGAATTCAGAAGAATATTTTCACACCTTGTGTTTCGTCATGGCACCTACTATAAGTGGGCAAACCATCCCCGACAGAGTGCCCACTCCATTGGAAATACCCATGAGAATACTAGCATAGCGTGGAGCAATGTCCAGGTGGTTGACATTAAAACCTTTTGGGAGAGGAAAAATACATTTAGTTAAAGAACACAAACTATTATAGGATATTCAAAAGACCTAAATAGTCCGTTTTAGTATTTGATGTCATTTGCAAAAACTACAACAAAAAAGAAATATGCAGTCGTTTTTGCAGAAGATGATAACAAAAGGGTGTTTCACCTGAAATTGCAAATCCAGAAAATCCCACAGCCAGCACCAGGAATGTTATGGCAACACCTTTAGTGTGGGAGAAGCCAACCACAAGCAGCAGTGTTGCCTCCATCCCAAACCCTGAAATACACAAGTGAAAAAGAAAAGAAACAATGAATGACTTAGATGGGATAAAACATTAAGTCCTAGTAAATGTACAAGATGTTCATTAAAACCGACTGAAAACCTTATTTGTTCCTATTTTATTAACACTGTTGACAGTGCAGTTGTTACACCAGCACTGACAGCTTCTCTCAGAGTGATATGTACACTGTATGCTTCTCCATTTCAATGCTATCGATCTCGCCCTGTAGGTCAAAAATAGCCAACAGAGGCAGCGTTTCTGATGTACAGTGACTCATCATTTCCTCTTATGCAGCAAATGTTTTCTCACCACAGCTAACAAAACACCTGTGTTCGCCCTAGAATCAGCCAGTGAGCCACTGTGCAGTTTCTCTGGTTCATATGATCAAACCAGCTTTTAAACTAAAAATAGGCGGCTAAGAAAAGCTCTTATTGATGTGCAGGAAAAGCAAGAAAAAAAAACAATTTCTGAGAGGTTGTCTTACCTCCACAGTTCATGAGTTTCCTGACGTTTGTGGTGGTCATGATTTGGTTGGAGCGTAAGTAGTCGGCAAGCTGGCCTCCGATGGGCACAATAATGGTCATGACAAGGTGGGGAAGAGCAGAGACTATGCCCACCTACATAACAAGGAAAGAAAGTCCTTTACATGACAGATTTGAGACTGGAGGGTGTGGTTTCAAGGACACAGATTTTCTAACGTATTCCTTTCCTTTTGTTCTCGTGTATTAGATTACACACTACTCACGGAAACACCTAGTTTTGATTACCTTGCTAATTTCGAATCCAAACACCTCCTCAAAGTAAGCAGGCTGGCTAATGAGAAGCAAGTAGAAGGTCCAGCTTCTGCAGAAGTTGGCCACGATGATGGCGTACACAGGCATGGATGTAAAGAAGGCCCTCCATGGTGTGTTGAATTTCTGAAACACACAAAAATGCACCATGTCATTGACATTCTTGCGAGTCTGTCTTGTGTGTTTCAGAGAAAGAACCCCATCACATCTGATGAAACATCTATGTACTGACCGTTACTGTGTGTTGAGCTGATTCACCGATGCTTTCCTCAATATATGTTCTCTCCTCCTCAGTGATGGTGGGGTGGGCTGCTGGACTTTCATATGACACCAGGAACCAGAAGCAGTACCACATGACCCCAAAACTTCCTGGGAAGGGGAAGAAAGACAGACAGAGAGCAGAGGAGATGTGATATGTGTTTGGAAAAACAAAAGTGTGACTTAAAGCTTACATAAGGACAGACTATAAAGTAAACAGATTATGATTAAACTGAGATTTGAGGTTTCACTTGTGCACAATGGGGGACAAGTTTTTAGGGGATAACCTTTTGACTTTTTCATATTTCTGATGTGTAATTATATTAGGTGTTATATTCTGGCCTGACAAAAATTCTGTTTTAATTGCTTCCATCCTACAGAATGGGAGTATCTTACCGTAAACATAAAAGACTGATGACCACCCTGAGTACTGGACCAGGATTCCAGCTAAAGGCATAGCAATCACAGCACCAGCATAAGAACCTAAAAAAGGAGACACATTGTGTTGAGGGTGGCAACTCACAGTTATTTATTAAATTATCCACCATTTTTTTTTGTCTCTCAACTGTTAAGTCTATAGCATGTCAGAAAATAGCAGGAAAACGGCATCTTTTATGTTCCTGTCTTGATTGACAGCCCAGTACAAAAGATATTTTAATCACTGTCAACAGCAGAAAAGCAGCAACTCCTCATTTCTGAGAAGCTGGAACTAACAATGGTTCAACAAATATGAAATAGATTCAACGTTTAATCGATAATAGAACAGATGTGGATTAATTATCTATACAACATTTAACTAGTGAATTGATCACTTCAGTTCTAGTTAGGCACGACACGTCACTTGAAATGATAATTTAAAAAAAAACTCTTTTGTTTGAAGACAGAAAAAGCTTCTGTCATGATGACTCACCACAAAAGGCTGTCGTAGCCAGGCGACTTCTCTCAAGTGGTGGAGCCCATTTTGCCCAAATACCATGACAGGCAGGATAAGAAACTCCCTGAGGGATAGGGAAGAGATCACACTGTATGGGTGACAATGCTCAGAATAACATATTGAAATCCTTTTTGTGTTTTTTGCAATCAGGAGCAAAGCACCTCCACAAGTCCTTGAAACACTCTGACAATGATAACACAGCCAAAATGCATTCTTGCTGCTGTGGGGATGAGCATGTTCAGGCAAGACGTGGCCACTATAGCAAAGCCAAACACTCTGGAAAAAGAAACAGCAGAAAGTCAGTATGTATGGAAAGTGAGCAACTGTGATCTACAAACTCTAAATAGTCACTTTACAAACCTGTTGGCTGCAAACTTTTGACATATAAACCCTCCAGGTATTTGAGTTACTATGTATCCCCAGAAGAAGGACCCGTGGATCATTCCCACTGTTTCTGGATCCCAGTCAAACTGAGCTTTCTGTTGAGACACAAGGGGGACAACAAAAGGGAAACATTTTCAATCTGCCACTGAGTATAAAGAAGAATTTGATCCTAATGATGCACTGGGGTGGTTAGATTAACAATGGTATAATGTGACTTCTGATTGTACTAATAAAAGCTAAGAAATTATATCACTCTATGACCCATAAAAGCAGGTAGGACCTTTAGAGAGGATACTGATTATAACTGAAAAGTTCTCTGAAATGATGTTCACTTGAGATGAAGTGTACAGATCAAACAGAGCATTCAACACTGAAGTTAGAACAGCCAATTGAACTAATCCAATGCTAAGACTTATCAAGAGCTACGCTAGAAGGCAGATAAGATCCATTGTCATGTACGGGACAAGTTCATCAAAGAGGTCTGCTGGGGCCCCCAAAATCAACACGAACCAAAACTTCTTTATGGTAGCTTTAAAGCTACTATAAAGAAGTTTTGTAAGAGTTGTGCCAACAATCATTTTTATGACTGTTTTCTTGCAAATCTGAAGTGAAAGGAAAAGTGTACAGAAATAAAAAATGATAAGTTATATTTCACACTCATATGGTGGTCTGAATCACTCCATAATACACCATCTGCTTTTTGTCAGTAAAGCGATGGTGACACTAAAGGACTAGGAAACCCTGTGATGCGTAAGTATGATCTTTGTGTCCATTTTTATATCAATACAAATAATATCAATACAAATTGAGTAGAATGGATGTCCTCTGCCTCCTCGCTGGGTGAACAGCACCCCCTGGTGATAGGCTGCAGAATGGTTCATAAACCCCCTCTACAACAAACTTAATGGAGCTGTGGACAAACACTGTTTGAACAGAGCGTCATCACAGCGACCCCTTCTGCGCAAATGCCGGTTTCAGGAAGTGGAGAAACTCCCAGGAATACAGAGAGCAATTTGGCTTCAAATTTGTACAATGACGGGAGACTACTCACAGTCTATAGTTTCAACACCTCCAGGGAAATCGACAAATCTTCCTTTGACACATGACAAAGGTATTATGAAATTCATGTATACCTTAGCATATATGGAAACTGAAGAGCCAAACTCAAGCTATCAAAGATTAACTAAATATGTAAAGTTAAAGTGTGTGGTTACAGGCTTCTCATACTTACTCATAATAAGCAGTGGGACTTATGATAGTCTTGTTCATAAATACTTTTCTCTTACATAAATACTATATATAAAGGAGCATTTTTTTTTATTACTTTTTTTGACCTTTAAACTTTAGAGGTCAAAGTGAAACCTGCTCCCACAGCCCCAGCCACCACTCACCACTATGACCTCCTTGTTGTCTCTGAAGATAGTGTGGCTGTTCACCATACTGACGATGGCCACACCCAAGTTACATCTGATACCGAAAGAGATGCAGAAGCCAATGCCAGAAAGAATAGCGATGATATAGCGCCTGGGCAGGCCGAAACATGTGCAGTCCACCACAGGCAGCTCCTTCTCCTCCACCAGCTCCGGCCGGCCCTCTGCAGACAGCTCGATGGTTTCACCATTTTCCTGCTTCTTTTCAATAGCACTGTGACAAAGAGATTGAGAGGGAAGGGTCAATATGTAAACTGTTTCTCACTGAACTCAGTCAGGTGCAAATCCCTCAGACTTGAAGGAGTGATGGAGTCTTCAAGATAAAACGTCTGTTTTTTACAGTTCTATTCTTTGTATCTTCCTAAAGGACAATTGGTTGATTATTAAGAAAACCTGTCCCAGCGACAGCAGATCCTGTTTTGCGAGGTAACAAACATATTGGCCTGGAAACATTGACTGTATAGAAGAAGTAGACATAGCCTCTGTTTTCAAAAGTGAAGCCAATAAAATGATTGCCAATTTTAACACATAATGTTCTGCATGGGCTAGACCTGCTCTATATTTTACTTTCTATGACTTCAAGTCCTGATGTCCTGCCTATTTAAGAAATTTACATTAAATTCATTGAGGTCTGTAGTCACCAGTGAAACATATGTAATACGGTCATTTCATTTTCTCTTGGCAGTCCTCCTATTCTTTGCTCATTTGTGAATACAGGAGCCTCATTTGTAAACAGAGCTGCCAATCACTATATCAACCTCTTTATTGCATCAAATAACTGATTTGTAAGTTAAATTTTTTGAAGAAAAATATCTGTGCATAAATCAGCATGATAGGAGCTGGTTAAAATGACAGAAACTATGTTTGTGAAAAAAATATGTAACATGCCTTTTTGATTTTAAATTTTGACCAATCAATCGAGTAGGCGGGCTTTAAGACCCACATCTCAGCAAACCAGTAATAGAACGCATCAAATGTTTTGGCCTCACTTTCAGGGAGCTGTTGTGTCATTTACCATCTAACACAGTCTAAGTTTTAAGCCCCCTTTTCAAGTCATTTATTATCTCAGTTGTATAATTCCTTAGTGACATCATTGTCTTGGTTTCTAGCTTAAAGTTTTCTTAAAGATATAATATGTTCATCCGGTAAATTATGGTCCTGCTGAGAGAAAAACAGGAAAATCATATCATGCCAACACGTTGGCAACCTTTGATTGACAAGCTACCATGGTGATCTGTCAACCACGATTGAGATTTACTAATGCGTATCCATCCTGTTTCTTCCAAATATAGTCACTTCTGGTTCCAAATACAAACACGATTTCTGCAGTAAAGTGCACAATTCTTGGCTTCAAAAGCGGGGTTTGCATAATAATTGGTGCTGTCATGGTGGCGAGATCCACTTTTGTATACAGTCTTTGTTTGATAAGCATCCTAACAAAAGACTGTCAACATAATCGTCTGTCATCCTACACCAATTGGAGCTCACTGACAAAACTTGGTCTTAGTCTGTCTTCCCAAGGTGTTAATATATTTGGTGTTTTTCCGTTGCAGACGCTCATCATCTGCCAGAGTCACCCAGCAGTGAATAAAACAGCATGAGTAAAAGAGAAGCAGTGTTTACAGATGCACATGAGGCTTGCTCTTCTTTTTTGCTGTTGTATTTTATCCTGCTGAGAAACCCTGAGAAACTATGACCTCGTCCTGCCTCTAGTCTAACACACATCAAATATGAATCTAAATGCGGCATTTCATCTATTAAACATGACATGTGCAATGCTGAGTGCTCAGATCAGACTCCAGCACTGCAGGTGCTGCAGATGAAACACACAACTACTGCTACATTTGCTTACTTTATTGGACAATTCAAGGGCTTTCTATTAAAATGCAGAGTAAGTGCATGTGTATGTAAATTTAATTCACAGCCACAGTCAAGCGATACTGGAGTACGTTTTTTTAACAAAATCATCACCCAACAGATCCGAGCATAAATAAAGCTCGGAGTGTGGGAAGGGGGTGTGTTTGACAGACTAACTTGTTCGACAGATTGTCGTACAAAAAAGGAGGAGATTGAAATAAAATGACACAAACTCTAGTCCAGAAACAAACCACGTTAAAATATGTTGTGAGCCATCACTGACCAAAGCTTGATCCCTTTTCATTTGACTTGAACAGCATTTTTGACAGGATACTGTGTATCACACTTGTGGGCTTAGATCAATGGAAACTGACAAATATTGAACAGCTCCCCTGTGAACACTTAAGCAATGTTATCTGGACAGGATTCAGGGTTTTGCGGTGAATCAAGCCACCAATTACAATGCAATGCTTGGACATTTGATGCAGTTTCCCCATTACAACAGAAATAAATAGATATGAGAGAATTGCTGTGACACCATGAAGAAGTTTGTTCAGTGAACTAGTATGAAAGACTTGCTTAGTCTGGGGCAGAACTACCTGGCTGCAGACATGCACCTGAGCAGTTGCACAAGCACATGGGCAGATGGATCTCAATCTTTATCAATGACCCCAGATAGGAAAAAAGTGGATAGTGTCTATGATCTCACCAACATGAATCCTGTTGGCACACTTAAATAGTTAGTAAACTCAGTTTTATATTGTATATGGCAAAGTTTAGGGTCAATCTGAATATTAGAATCTGAGATTTCTGTTAGGGCATGCTCAGTCAGCTAGCTAACCAGCCAGCAACCTTGCCTTTACTGCAGTGTGTAACCTCTGCAGCACAAATCAATCTGCAGGCGGTAAAAGCTAGGTACGCCAACCACACCCAAAAAAGTAAGTGATGTTTCATACACACCAAGGAAGAATCTGTGTATACCCATCTGCTCACAAGATTCATAGGATGGATTTGTCATCTAAGATGGAGACAAACGTATAAAGCAACCAAAAAGACTCTGACTGGACTTCTTCAGAGCAGTGAGCAAACTGTCAAATGAAGGCCACACAAGGATAAAACATGCACGCTCTATTAGTTACAGTAAGCAGAGATTCAAACAGCCTCCGACAACGATCAAGTATTAATGATTCCCTCTTGTGAATTATTAATATCTCTGGCTCTCTTGGACTATTTTTGTCTGAGGTGGCCTCTCTCTTCATTCTTCCTGTCTCCTCCTCATCTTTTAAACCTGCCTTGTATCCTCAACTCACATCAACCTCTGACTTACACATCATCCAACACTATATCACTCCTTTTTTTCTTATAAACTGCAACGTATTCACAACAACCAAGAGGAGGTGCATTTTTTTGTCACAATAAAATTTATGGTTCAGGAAAGTAAAGAAACACTTGAACATTTTTCTTACAAAAATCTGCCTGTTGTGGTGACTTTTCATGACTGACCCTGAGACAAGAAAATCCGTCGTAATCCTCACAAGCTACCTAACCTTCGCTCTGTCGCACTAAACAGACCATGAGGAAACGGCCTAATGTGTCTGCAAACTAGTGTCGCTCAATAAGAAAAGCAAAGTTATGAATCCTGATGACACTAAGAATAGAACATGCATTCACACATCCTGTTCTCTTTTGGCTACTTTGGGATTTTCTGTTGAAGTTAAGTTAATCTCTTAATGTATACATCAAGGGCAAATGTCAGGACAGTTCAGCAGCTTGGGTCTGAGTTAACGCCTGGGGATCACTGATTTTTATACAACAGAGCAAGCATGGACACAAGTTGTTGAAGCAGAGGCCTGAGCTCAAAGAGGACTTGCATGGTATGTATTTGTAGATATCTGTTTAGATAAGACCTGTGATGATCAGCTGATTAATCAATGAGTCAATTACTTACCTGAGTATGCCTCTATGTTGCATGTTTAATAGCTTTCGTAATTTTGAAACATAGTATGAAAACATACCTGAAGATTAAGTCTCTCTTGCTGCTCACAATTGAATATTTTTAGGATTTTATCATAAATATAATCAAAGTTTCATATCAGTTCTGGATATGTGGATATTTTGATAGGCAATGGAGAAAGTTATTAGCAGATAAACTGACTTTGACAATGACAAGTATTTACACTCTTGACATAGCTGCGTTTGGGTTCTTCTTCAAGGATGATGCTTCTGTTTTGTTACAAAAGCTACATGAATAAAATAAATTGACAAATTAATCAGTGTTGAAAACAATCTGGCTCTTAGTTGTAGATATGATTGAATGAGAGTGTCCTGTTTAGTTCTACTGCCAGACAATAATGCTTCTGTTTTGTCTCAAAGGAAACAATAAATGTAGCGAGGTCAACATAGATTAATCTATTTTGAATAAATAACGTTTCTCTCCTGTCAAAAAGGCAACATTTAAAGGTACAGTGTGTAGAAATGGAAATATTTAGCTGTATGTAGTGATCAGATTGTAGGTTAAAACACTCCCCTGCTCACCCCTCTGATTGGTGGAGAGATGGTGGCCTTAAAGGACAAAAAGCTTCTGTGACACATGACAAGTGTGATTCTGCATTTACCAAGTTTTCACCATCAAATCAGTACAACATTTTTTTCCACACAACAACCACTCTCATTTTCTTCCATCTTCAATGACATTTAGTATGCTAGTTTGTCCATTAAGTGCCAATGTGGTGGACCACTCAAGGACGGCCCACTACTACAAACTGCATCTGTAAATTCTCTGAAATGTGGGCAGCTTAAAATCAGAGGACTGAATTTGGGTTCTACTATTGTAAAATAATGCTCATGTTTTGCCTCAAAGGGAATGTAATCATTGTGAACATGAATGTTAGTTTTTGCCCTCATTCGGCCAGTTCAATAGTGTGTTTAGGTTGTATCTTGGTGAAGTGTCTTATTTTTTCTGACAAAAACTGGAGAGTAACATAGATCTTATACCAAAATGAGGGGAATTTTATAAGAACGTGACATCAAGTTTAAAAAAAAAAACATTTGCGAATCACACAAAAATAAAATAAAATGACTGATGCTTTTCATAAAAGTTTCAAACCTGGAGGAATTACTGTAGTTATCAGTAAAATCAGAGCTTTTAGCATTAAGCTTTCAGCCACTTTATGGGCATGTTGCGTGCAGAGACCAGGACTGAGGAACGGACTGCTGCGCGTTACGCACGGCAGCAAGGTACCAAGGGAGCACCTGGGGGCACGTGCGCTCTGCGGAAATGAGAGCTTATAGGCTGCTGTGGGCTCTGTCGTAGGTCGAGTGGCCTAATCCCGGCTGGCTGTGAGATGAGGAAGGAGGGGGCGTCCGATGACGAGCTACTTAAGGGGGTGGGGGAGAAAGAGAGGGAGAGGTGGCCAAGGTGTACGGCCTGCAGGGATTTACGTGGGCCGACAGCTTGGACCAAGAGAAGCTATTTGTGGAGAGGATTTAAGTGTTTAGACGCTTCATCAAATCCCGAGAGAAGAAAGAAAGGGGAGTCCGTCAATACCAGACTCCTGGCTGCCTTCACACACCTGCTCTCAGCGGGGAGGGTGTGTCACGCAGTTTTATGCAGCAAACGAAGGATATGGTACAGGGCTGGGGGGGTTTCTGATGACTGTGAACACTTCTGAACCGTTTACGCACGACCCTCCTATCTTTACGCACGTTTTTATTGAATCCAAAAGTCCACGTGATTGATCTGTCGTTCTGCTAACGTCTCATGGAGACATTTCTCGTTTTGGAAAGTTGGAGCCTTTCCTAGAATCAGGGTTAATCAAAGTCTTCTTAAGCTCACTGCCTCACGGTGACAGGCGTGGCAGAGAGCGCCCTCAGAGGCCTTTTTTTTTTTTAACATAAAACACACTCACTCCTGGTGGGTTTGTAGATCAAATCTGAAACTTTACCAAACATGCCTTGAGTATGGTTGAAACTGAAACAAACAACTTTATTGTTGGTCATAGAAAGAAACGCCAAAGACAGTGACAGGGCCTCAGTAATCTGACAATATCACAGCACTGCAGAAAAGCCTGAAATAACTGAATGCAGCTATCGATCCAACGCTTCATCTTACACTGATAAAACAGTTTGAGCCTGAAATGAAACAAAAATCTGTTTCGTTGTTCATCTGATGCGCCTATCATTGAAATGGATTCAGGTTTCAGTATATTTTCAGCTCAGATAAAGACAATATGATCTTGTTGATATCTGCAGCTGCTCGTTAAGTGATAAATAATGTATAGCCTATGCCTTTTATGTGGCATTTCAGCAGCCTATGGAAGGACAGATGTGGTGCCAGGTGATCCAAGCCCACACTAATCCAGGCCTCTGGACTGCTTGATCTTTAAATGAGAAGTTTAAAACAAATACTCGAATCAGAATCGTTTTTCAGCAACCATACTGCCCTCTTGTCGTCTTGTTTAAGTGTAAAAGGTGGAGTTTTGCGTCTTAGTGCGTCTTAGCATTTTCTGGTTTGTAATTTTTTTCCCATTGAGTTCTTACATACCCGTATATTTTCCCAAGAGTCTTGGCTGCCACGGCCTTAAACCTGTCCGGCCGGATATCCATCCTCACGAGTCCAGGATCCGACCAATGTGCAGTCTTTGCGCGCTCCCGATTGAGCGCACAGTCGTCTCCTGTACTCCCTCCGCCTCGTGTTTCTCACTCACACATATAAAAAGAAAAACTTGATTTCAGTTGATCATCAAACTCCTAAAGGCGCAGTTACCTGTGCGGAGGATTCAGCGACACTGCTTGTCCGGAGATTAATAATCTTCATTGAATGAAACCAACCAAACTAACATTTTTAGATCCACTTCACCAGAGTCCTGAACGTCCTAATGAACTTGTTTTCTCTCTTTGGTGTCCTCAAACGTTCACACCGCGCAGGAGGCAACTTTCGTCAGGATTCGTGGCCAAACGGTGTCTCTGGCCGTGGTCCTGAAACCAGATTACTGCTGCCCGCGCGCTAATCTCCCCAAGTGTGTGTAGTGAGTGGAAGGTAGCATGTCACTTCCTTCCCCGCAGCCCGGCGTTTTAAGCGCTGACGGCTATTCTTGGAGCGCACAAGCCTTGAATGGAGAGAGTAAACACTGTCCGATCGAAGCATATTAACAGAGATCACAGGTATTCGCAGAATGGGAGGGGCAGGCTGGTCCCAGGACCCTGCATTAACCCGTGCTGTTATTTGCCATTTTACGGCCATTTTTATTCTTTTAAAAAAATTCTTTATTTATTTTTGTTTTAAAGAAAAGTCCCTGCAGCTGCCCTTTAATTCTGTAGGAGTAAAAAAGAAATTATTTGAACAGTCTCGTGGATAAAAGAAGTTCCAGATTCTTTTGTTTCATGCTGTGCTGAGCCATGCGCCCTGTGCGTCAAACCAACAGTGGGGAAGCTGTCATAGCGCATCATCACTGCACCCCCTCGCATGTGGGTGCAGATCTTGAGCAATAGCTGAAATGATTGACTTCTTTTACACATGCGAGCTCTTAAATATGAAAGTCGAGTGTGTGCTTTTTTTTAAACCACTTTGTCGACCTTGTGCGCGTTTTGAAAGACATTCAGGAGTTGAGTCTGCAGGTAAAGCCCATTAAAACAACAGAACCAGGTTTGTGTGGTTGATCTTCAAGGCCACTGTAGGTCAAACAACACCATGTCAAGTTAAGGCGTCTGTGGTGAAAAGGATCATGAATGACTTTTGATTAAAAAATATATAAAACATGTTTATATTTCTGTCCCCTCACAACAGCAAGAATGAATGTTCCCAAACGACAACATGGACCTCTACTAAGAAAAAGTTAAAACACCAAGCATGTAAACCAGGTGAAATAATCAGATATAACTGGAGGAAAGAGTCTGAAGTCACTTTTAGATTGTAGGGGAGACCGGGGCTTGTTGGCACATGTGTATCACGTTGCAATTATCTTTGCCACCAGAGGGCAGAACTAAAAAGTGGAATACTAGTTTTCTTCCTTTACATGGTCAAGGGTCATGTCCTGTCTGAGAAGAGAAGAGCACATTGTGAGCTGAGATCAGCGTCAATTTTGCACAACCCAAAGTAAAAAAAAATTAAACCTTATATATTTTGAAATAAGCTTCAACTACATAAAAATCCTAGCAGTGAAACACGTGGACTTGTTAAAGGAGAGATTAAGACATCCTGTCATACCTCAGTCATTGTTCTGTTTTCAGTTAACTTTCATCTAGAGCTAGAATTAGCAAACATGATAGTTTGGTCATTTTGGGGTAAATTGTCACACGTTTAAAAGGGATTCAAATTAACATAGAGAGTCTGAACATGATAGAGCTGCTGTGTGGGATGAGTGATGGTATGGATGTGATGTTGGTGTCTTGACTGTCTATGTAGATGTATGTTAGAAGGATAAAAATGTTGTTCAGAAGTGCAGATGGACCCAAGGAAGAATAGTTGTGGCTCTTTGCTGTAACTAATAGTGGATCCAAATAAATTGAAACTGAAACTGAAGCTTATCAGCAGTTGTCATATTGAAATTTTGACTTTATTTTTACAGAGAAAAGAGTGGTTAAAAAGAGAGGAGAAAGCAAGAAGACATGGTCAAGAATTTCAAAAGAAAAGCAGAACATGGCAGTGCAGTACCTGATGTGATGCTGAGACCAGTCAGACAGGTGACCCTAGCTAATAAATCGATCTGGAGTACAATAAAGGACTTTCATGTCAGCTACCAAACCTTAGCTCAGTACTGCAAAACATTCATCCCAAAAAAATACAAAATACAGAGTCAGACAGCTCTCCAAACTCCAGAGCATGTTGGATATCTTATGTTAACTTTGTTCAACGACTTTTTCCAGCTCAATGATAAACATTTTCTGTGCCTGACTTCAATGTTCACTTTTATGTAAAAAAAATGAGAACAACAGTAATTTTGTCCTTGTTTTATTAGCTGCAAAATCCACTGTGACATCTTAACCCATGTAGTGAGACAACTTAACCGATGGTGGGGCAACATGTCACATGTTCACACTCTCTGTTTGATTGCTTATAACTCTGCACTGACACAAGATATGAAAATGACATGAATACAAAATATATACCTGAGACTTTGGTCTTTCATCTGGTTCACATTTTGTTTATATATGATGTATTGATTCCAAGAAATATGTAAGAGTGTAAAAAGTGTGACAAGAAGCCCCGGTCTCCCCTACTTGTCAACAAATAACACTAGAAAAGAGCAAGACGACTTTTTTTTCCCCATTTGAACAGTTTATTTTCTCTAGTACCATGTTGGCTGACTGACTGCTAAGAAAATGAGTTGAATCAGATAAAAAGCTGCTGAATACAACACACAAGATACTGTTCATACATATGGTTGTAATGCACTGACTACATTAGATGATGATTAAGTGATAGTGAGCTGCAGTGAAAGGAAAACAGACAAAGGAGTTCATGAATATAAATGTCCCATAGTCACAACATAAGCCGTGTACAGTATATGAAGTGGGTGTTGCTGCTTGTTTCAATAAAAGCCAATGCAGAGGCGCTTTACGCCTGCATTACTTCTAATGACTAGTAGGAGGGGTCTTCAACTAGTTGACAGAGAAGTCTGATTGTATGAAACAGATGGCAGTTCATTTTTTTAACTCTTTATTTTGCAAGTTAATGTGGTATTAAATGTAAAATGAATACTAAACAGTGTGTGCTTAAAGGTGAGGCTGTGGTGTGATTGCACACAACTCATTAATCAGGACTGAGACCCAGTTTATCCACCTTGTCCAATCCTGATATGGTTACTTCTGAAATGAATAAAGAGGAAACAGCCAAAATGCCAAACTTAAGTCTCTCAAATTTTAATCATCAAAGCAACCTATATTGCCATTATTGTAGCTACATCCACTTTAAGACTCTTTGATTGACATGACAGCATTGTGCTTGTTTATCACACAGCTAGAAAGCTGCTGTAATTTTTGTATTGTTGGGTTTCAGGTTTGAAATCATATCATATTCTAACAGTAAACCTCAAACTCTGACTTTAATGTAAGAAAAATGGCTGCCTTGTGGTTATGATATATGGACTTATTTTAAAGTTGCAGTATTTCCATTTGGTACTTCAGCCCCAGCACAAGGCACAAGGCTTCAGTTCCATTTTACGACTTTCCAATATTTTTCCAGGTTACTATGTACAGAACTATGTCGGTAAAATCTGTGTCCAAAAATTAAAACCATGTTGTGTGCATTCATAAAGCAGCTAAAACGTTCTGTTTCAGATGCAGCTCCTCTCCAGATCCTTCGCTGATATTGTTCTCAGAGACTGAGAGGAGAGGAAGAGGGGAGGGAAGGGCATGGCTGCAGGAGGAGGAGAGAGGCTGGGTGGCACAGAGATGACAGAGGGAGTGTCAGAGAGAGAGCCGTAACCAGCTCGCCGCACATCTGCTGCACTGGAGGCAGCAGAGGCGTGGAAAAGTACAGACGGAGGATCCATGGAGTCTGTAGTCAAATCTGCATGTAGAGATAGGAGCATTTTAGGAATAAAGTTTAAGAATTACCTGTATGCAAGTTAAAATATTATGACAATAAATATCATTTCTGTGTCTTGATTTTATATAAAGCTCTCGCTGATTAATCTTTAATATTTAAGCAGCACCATGCAACATCATCTACGTATTATTGCCTCTAAAGGGCTAAGAGCAGGAAGTGCAAGGACACAAAACTCAACATAGCATACTCATGTTAAACAAACAAGCCGGCATGTAACGCTCTTGAACAAATGATACCAAAATGAAATCAGCAGTAGTGTTTCCCTGTGGATAAAAATCTATTTCGGGCCTGCTGATGTGGGTTTCTATTTTTGTCCAAAGACCCACTCTGTCTGTTGGACTTTCAAAGCTTTAAAGTGACACTTTTCTCTGTTCTGGTTCCACTTTGTAGTTTTGTGCATTAGATAAAATGCATAAATAGTCAAAAATAGGAAAGCCCATGTTGGTTTCTGGTGCAGTTTAACATCATATGTCCTTCTGGAAAGCTGCATTTCCCTGAGGTGTAAACTCAAATTCAATCCTAGGGGCTCAATTTCATGTAATTAAAGTCAGTGGATCTACCTGAGTCATCGTTGAGCTGGGTGTGCAGGTACTGCTGTTTGGTGTAGAACTTGTTGTAGATACAGTATACTGCAGCCATCAAAATGAAGGTGCCCATGGCTGCAGCGATGAACAGACCCACTTTGGCATTATCTTTGTCTACATGAGCGTCTGTGGTGGCACACACAACGCAGACACACAAAATCCATACATGAGAGGGTTACAATCAGGATGAGAAGGAATATTTGACATTAAAATGCAGCATTTCTTAGATCACGACTCACATGTCCGCTTTGTGTTCAAATGAGGGGTTTCCTCTTTTCTCAGCAGGTCCCGTATTTGTGGTGGAGGAGGTACAGGAGGAGCTGCCGGGGCCTGAGGTCTGTTGATGACCCGCTCAGACTGCAGGGTGCTCTGGGAGCTGCTCAGTGGAAACACTAACAGCAGGCAGAGAGCTGCAAGGCCCACCATGCTGATCATTCACTGGTTCACCTGCACGTTTAAATCAAAATTACAATTATTTCATTTTTTTAAAATTGGGGATCATTTAGGACAGCTTGAAAAATAGAACATTTACTATAACCAGCTATGTAATCCAGAAATAGTCAAAACATTACAGCATTTATTGTATTTTAACTTCACAACTTGTATTATCTAACTAATATGTAGCAAATCTTGCTCTAAAATCTCTTTAAAGTCTGTGCCCTTTTTACAAACAAGTTTAAAACCATACAAAGACATGTCAGAGCCTTTTTAACCAATTTTAGTCAGTTCTATTTACCTGCGGTGGAAATAAGGATGTCGTGTTTCTCTCTGCCGGGTGTGCGTCCTGTCCTCTCTGACTCTCTGCTGACTGAAGTAAGACTGCATCCAAGACAACTGAAGTCCCCTGACACCTTTTGTTTCCAAGGGGACACCTGTGGGTACTCTTCCACATCCACTTCAACACAAGAACTGTTCACACAAGAGCTACAAGGATCCAGACAAATGTGACCGAAATTTCTTTGTCATGTTTGAGGCTTTTTCTTTAAAACTCTGATGTAAGACTTTAAAACTTTGTGTTTCAAACTATGTGTATTTTTTTTAACAGGAGTACCGCTAAGTTACAGGTTGGGGTAGAAAAACCAAATTCAGATCTTTTAATGAAAAACTTAAGATGTGATATTAGAGAAAAGGTCATGTCTGAAAAGAGGCTCAACCCACCATGGGAAATTTTAAGTTTTGCTGTGCTGGAGAGACAGTCCGTTATTAGAGAAACAGAGCTCCCTGCTGACACAAAGATGAACTGCTCATATCTCACACAACTTTTTTTAATCAAGTGTTAAGGATTTCATGTGAAGAACAATTATTGTGCAATAAAATGACTTTAGTAGTAAACCCTATTTTCTTGTGAATTTGATTTAATCACTTAATAACTGGCTCAAACAGAAGCATCTCTTCCTGAAAAAATGGTTTATGTGTAAAACAATAATTGTTTATCATTGTGTGCTGATTTTGTTCTTCACTTGTAGACTGTCTTTTTATGACCCACCAAACCAAACTGATGATCTCTTTATATCACTACTTATTGCCTAGGACTACAGACCTACTAGACCTGTTAATAGCTAGCACACTGATGAAAAAACTGCCTTTTTAAAAATAAAAAGTAATCACAGTAAAGGGTACATTTGATTGTTGAGACACAGAATGATTTTTTGTTTCAAATAATACTTGTACCTGTGCAGGACAAAAGCAGAAGTATCACTTTGTTCACATGAGTGCCAAAATAGACACAAATAGAAAACTCCTCACAGCTGTTCTAAGTCAGCTGGGTCTCCACAGAGAGGTTAAAGGTCAAAAAGGAAAGAATAGCTTGCTGTCTGACTGGCAGGAGTCTAGATATGATTCATTTTTCCCAGGCAGACTATTTTCCTGATAGAGAGTGATGTATACTGTCAAAGATGCCTGAAAAATACTCCACTTTCATGAAATCTCTGAATATCTCTGACCATTTAAGACCCAAATTCTGCAATAAGGACATCTGTAAGAAATGTGAGAAAACTGTATTCCTGTAAGATTCCTTTTCCTTTTCCTCTCATGAGAGCAGTGAAGACGTGCAGAGGAGAGGAAGCATGGATCACGTGAAGAGGGCAAAAAAATGACCAAAAATATTAAACAGAAAAAGAATTTCAAGGTTCATGTGCCAGACCTCATCAGGTTTAGGTCTGTTTATTCAGGAAACTAATTAGACATCATTTCAAAGTACTGAGTGCTTCAAGAAAACTTTATTAAAATAGCAGAAATATATTACATTACGATGCCATTATCTTACAGTTTCTCACATATTACTATAAACAGCCTTCAAGACAACACACTCTACTGAAAAGTGAATCTGGAACAAGAAAGTTGATCTTTACATTTACATTTTTGATCAGCCTAATTTAGTCTGAAGGCACTTTGTTACATACACATACAGAATTCACGTTTAGCTCGTTTTGATAGAAACCCTCTGAAACTGTAAAAAGTACATCTCTCGTTCAGGATAAAGAGCAATAAAATAGACGAGTCAATTCAGTCTAAAAATATTTAACAATATCAACATTATTTTACACTGAAACCTGGAGAAAAGGAGTACTTCCTTTAAAAACACAAAACAAAACAAAACAAAAAAAAAAACACAGGAAATGTGTCATGCAAAAATCCAGGAATAATACCAAAGTGAGAGTCCTGCATATGTCAAACATATTTGTTCTGACAGTTTTTATGGTATTAAATACATATTTACAATTTAAACAGTGGTGGAGTGGATGGAAGTTAAAAACATCCCACAAGAATAAAACATGTTTGGGGTTATTTTATATAAAACTTGAAGTAGATGTGAGGGAGAGGTGACCACCCTCCTGGCCCCCTCATCTGAAGTTAGTCCCAGTAAGGCCACCTCAGTCAGAAAAGGTCCGGCTCCACCACTGTTTCAAATAAAACCTGACACTGATAATTATACCAGGATGTCAACAACAGTGTTGGGTTGGGGACCCAACTTTCAGAGACCTGATTCTTTTTTTTTTTCATTATTAAAAGAAAACAGTAACGCTACATCAACATTCACAAAGCCAACAGCTGAATCTTCAAGTACTGCTCTGTGCACTGGCAGTGTTAACATGCATACATAGTATGACTGAAGCTACACAATACATCTGTAAACATTACAGTTACAGTATATGTATATGTACGATAAAACCACACTGAAGACCCAAAACAGAGACTCAGGGTTTCAGAGCTGTAAACATGATTAATGGCTTCTGTGTAGTGAATAACATTAATACTGTTCTCAATGGCTGCACTAAAGGTCGAAATAACTCATGATGCTTTCTGTCCTTATGTAACAGTCACCCAACATGATATTTCAGTTTCTCTGCTGTAACTCATCTCATCCAAACTCAACGTACAGCTCAGCCTAAATCGATTCATACGACTATCTTCAGCTGGAAAATTTAAGAGTGGGTGGACGGCTGTAACTGGCTGCCCTGTGTTTGATGTATGGATAATGCTAACTGCTGGCTAATCAATCAGCAGTTGTCTAGAGTGGTCCTGGTTACATTTGCTCTCAAAGTGAACCAAAGTACCCAATCAAACTGTAAATGAAATGCAAGAATAAAACTGTCCTCTCACACAGTACAAATCTTTACCTAAATGAGAACTCAGTCACATTTTCGGACTCTTTGAATTTGGATTTGTTTGGAGCAGTTTTAATCAATTTTTGTAGTCTGAGTTCTTCATGTTATGCTTTTTGTTCTGCTTTGCTCTGTGCAGGAATTTTGTGTGCAAATAACTTTGTTCTAATGGAATACATGTATGTTAATTTGGGTTACTCGCGCAATGCTAAATAGTATACAACTAACCAATCTTCTGCCACAAATGCACACATACTGTATGAGCATGCTGTAGTGCTTTGAGGTGTATGAAGTGGTGGTAGTTTAATATTAAGTGGTTTTGCTGTTTATTCTCCTGGTTTTATGAGTGCAGGCACAGCCTCACTCAAACTTCGCATCAGTCCAAGAAGAAACAAATACACCCAAGAGCTTTGAGGGACTTTGCAGGAGGAATTCAAAAGTCAATCTGTGAAAACTGTGATTTTGAAAAGTGACAAAACTTGGGAAGATACCGTACAGTAATGTACTGTAAAACATGGACGGAGTTGAGCACATTAATTTAAAAAATAAATCAAGAAAAAAGGATTTACCACAGAGAAAAAAAAAAAAGGTTTTGCTCATTTAGAAAACAGCAGCTGTTAAGAAATGTGCCCCGATGTTTAACAACAGCAATAAATTAGTTATGTTTCCATTATTTTCTGTAACAAGTTTTACAACATGTAGTTGCCAGAAGAGTCATATTTCTCAAGGATATAGTTGGACATAATTTAATCAAAAGCAGGAAAAGCTTTTGAGTTTCAAAATGAGGATCTTTTGTCACACATTGCATGGCTCTTTGTCCTAAAGCTGCTCTGGAAGCTGTGGGACGTTTGTGTTGTTCTCAAAAAAAGAGGTCCTGACTGCCTACTGCTCGTCTTTCTCCTCAAGTGAAATCAAGTCATCTGTGTGTTTTAAGAGGAAGCAGCGGTGTCTTTCAATTGGTCCAGCACTGACATGTCCGTCATCGGGGTGTCACACTTCTCATCAGTGCTGACAATGCTGTACTGACCGATCTCTGTGTCCCTGGCTGCTTTCTTTGTTCTGTCCTGCAGAACGGCGTGGATCAGGCCCAGTGGGACGGGTGCCACTGCGAATATGATCAGGACGGCCAGAACTGCCAAGGCCCAGCCAGGGTACTCCAGGGTTTCCTCAGAAGCCTGAAAAACAAGGAACGAATCAATTATTCAAGAACCTAAACAAGGTAAACTTGAAATATTGATGAAGCAGATATTATAAATATGAACTGAAAGAGAAGCAAGAGTGGGTGGACTAACAGTGCCTTTTTATTTATCATTAAATCATTTTTAAGGTGCTGACTACACAGCTGTTTTTCTCACTCATGCAGCAACATGTCCGATGACTACAACTCCCAAAGCTTTTGGAGTGTGATGGAGATATTGCTTCGGACTCCACAAACAAACAGGTATACCAATTATAACCATCCCTACAGCTCTTTTCCTCCATGTTAAGGGTTTTTTGCCTGAGTAGCTGTATTCACAAATGCTCCAAACTCCGGAAAATTTCACAAATTTTTCAGGATGGGTTGCAGGTAGGGATGCACTGAACCTTACATTTTGATCGGACATCGGCTCCAATATTGACAAATTAACTGGATTGGATTTCTGATGAATGACATTGATCCAGTCTTTTTTTCCCCTTTTAATTCACTTTTTTTTATTGGATGGAAGTCTTACTTCTTTTTGCTATGTGCTAATGTGCAATTTGTTCATAAATAATTTTAAGTAAATTTATATCTGTGTTAATTTGTTACAGTTTTTTTTAACGGGGCTAATGACAAGCCTGATGCCTTCACTCACAGGGCGAGGTATACAGTTCACTCATTCAACAGTAGTAATTGATTGGAACCGGATATAGGCCGATACGCTCAGCCCAGGTATCAGTAGTGGATTGGATCGGAAAAAAATGGATCGGTGCATCTCTAGTTGCATGAGTGTAAACCCATCCTCTGGTAAAATTTCAGCAAACAGTGAGCTCATGAGCAGCAGAGTATGAGAGGCACCGGGGAGAATTTTTCAGCCAAGCAGCATCGTTTTCAGCAGGCACACCGTTACTGTGGCATCCACTGCATACTTTTGGTGCACTGTACTGCTTCCCAGTATCTAACCACCCCCCAAACAAGAAACTCCCTTTGGACTGTCAAGCAAAACTTAATGCTTTGAGAGATGTGTGTGAATGAGTTACTTTGAAAAATTTCAGGGTGCATATGTGAAAGAGGCTTGTGTTTCTCCTACCAGGTCTTCGTTCCAGGCCACATAAGTGGGACGTTTGATGAACATGCGGATGGTTGTGGCTCCCAGCAGACCCACCATAGCAAGGAGGCAGATATATTTCCACAAGTATTTGTAAACCACACTGGGACGCCAGCCCAGCATTCCCTCAATGTCGTCAAGGAACCTTTAGATTTAGGGAGAGAGTATGTAAACCGCAGGGAAGATCCTTAAAAAACCCTAATGAGCTGACATTTACACGACAGTGAAGGCTTTTAGGATTAAGGCAGGAACACAGACATGAAATAAAGCTCACCTGTCAGCTCCATAGAGCCAAGACACACTGAAAGTCTCAAAAACCACCACGATGATGAGAGGAAGAGTGGCTGAGTAATCATCAAACATCATTACAAAGTAGTTCCCACAGCGCTGGGTGAAGAGCAGGCCGATTATGAAGCCGATGATGCAGCTGAAAACTGCAGCAGACAGACAAAACAGACATGTCATGACAAATACACTACTTTCAAGACAGCAGACACAACCAAGGACTGGAGAGAGGAGACTTCTCCTGTTTAAACTCAAAAACAGAGCAATTGTTTGTCTATGTTTCTATTTTTTTGTATGTGTGTGTAAAGCACTTCGTGTCGTATGACCGTGTATGAAAAGTGCTCTATAAATAAAGTTTGATTGATTGAAATAAGGCAGAAAACTTTCCATGAAGTTAGGCTGACTAGGGCTGCACAATATTGGAAAAAAAATTACATTGCAATTTTTTTCAACCCTGCGATATACTGTATACTGCAATATAAAAAAATACAGGAAATTTTCACCAGATAACCTGAATAGTACTTTATGCCATGCTGCACTGCTGAAATCATTTAACATTTAACCTGCACTAATCTTACCTCTCTTTGTGAATGTTAGTAGAATGGCTTCTGTCTGTCTTAGAGATATTTTTAGCTTTTAGAATTGCATGCACCTCGTGGAAACGCACACCGCTTATAGTAGAGTGGTCCACGGAAATATACAATTTAAAACCCATACAATTCTTATTTATGGGGCTAAACAGTGATGAGTAATGTTCCGAAAGTTATTCTCGGCAGGCACACGTTTTTCGGCACAACACCGGAAGCACCAGCGACTAACTTCATGCGCAGGGGCGTGGTTTCCTCCACTCAGATTTTGATTGACAGCTGGCAGGGTAGCAACTGAGTAAAGAATGAATGTGGTTGATGGATCGCTGCAGAGCACATGCACAGTAACATGCAGAGTCAAATGCAGTGTATGTCAGTCAGCTACCCCTGAAATTAGGAGTTCATTCGCCTCCGACATCGCAGGCTCTACAATGTGACTATTGCGTACACGTACATCGCGATGACGATGCTCAAACGATATATCGTGCAGCCCTAGCTGAGACTCGAGTAAAAGCTTATCAAGTACAGAAAGGTATTTACTTGTCAGTTTGGTCTTGTTGTTGGCCAGAGTTTTGAAGCGGTCAGTGAGGGGTGCGAGGATACCCTCCATGGTGCCGAACATGGTGCTGAGTCCTAAGTTGAGCAACATGAGGAAGAAGAGCGCTGACCAGAAAGGGCTGCCAGGCAGGAGTGACATGGCCTCTGTAAAGGCAATAAAAGCCAAGCCTGTGCCCTCCACACCCTGAACACAAACAAGAACAAGCTTTAGCTTCTGCAAACAACACACCTGAACAGGAATCCACTAACGTCAACTTAAGACAGTCCAAAATTTCTGTGACAAATATTTACCTTCTGCATCTCTTTTTCCAGGTTACATTCGGTCATATTTCCAGGGACCATGAGTCCGTGCTGTTTAAACCAGGTGTTGTAGTCCTCCAGGACCACAGAACTGGGATCAGAATAGTCAAATGTTGGCATCAGGGTTTGGTCCACAAAACCTTGGCGAAACTGCTCCGACAGTTCCTTCATATTACTGTGAAAGAAAAACACTCAAAGTTAAAAGGTGTATGTGATTGTGAGCACGGTTTATATAGTTAGAAGCATTTCATTGTCATTCACTTTGGCTCCTTTTATTTTTTACACTTTCTGTGGCACATAAATCAAATATGTGGAGATTGAAAGCCTGCTAAGCCTGCTGAGCTAAAAGCTTTACAGGAGTGTTTGTTCCAGTTGATGTGCAAATGTTATGAAGAAAAATGCCAAAAAATGTCACAACTTTTGAGAAAAGCTTCCAGAGGCTGCAACAATCACAGAAAGAGCACAAAAAACCTCCAAATAGACATACCTGACCACACACGCTGTAACCTTCTCTTTGGCACGAAAGCCGAGCACAGCGAACACCACCAGAGTGGCCAGCACAGACGTGAGGAAGTTTATAGAGGAGACAGTGAAGGCATCACGGTGGCAGTTGTTGTTCTTAGGATTGTAGGAGGAATACGCAATAATGGACCCGAAGCCAAGGCCTAAAGCAAAGAAGACCTGAGTGGCTGCCTGCCTCCACACCTGCACATCTGCCCAGATCTCCAGCTGGAATATAAAGCAGGAATAACAGGCGAGTCAGGGGAGTTTTCCAATCTGTACCACTTCTTGACAACCTACCAGATGTTCTCAGGGAAAATACCTTGGGGTAGAACATGTAGGCGATCCCCTCTGAGGCACCATCAAGCAGGAGTCCTCGGACCAGAAAGCAGAAGAGCACCACGTAGGGGAAGATGGAGGAGAAATACATTACCTACAGAGAGAGAGAGAGAGAGAGAGAGAGAGAGAGAGAGAGAGAGAGAGAGTAATTTGTTTAAAGCAGGAAATGTAGACACTTCCTGTTATAGCCTGAGCAGAACAAACCTCTCTGGAGCATTAACAGTAGCGCTCCCCTCACACACTTATTTTTTGTGTCTTCTTCAACAGGGATAAATTCCTGTTAAGAAAACACAAACCAATGACAGACATTTTTTGTCAATCTAACAACCTCCTGAGAGAACTCGGAGGAAATCTTTTGATTGAGAAGCTAAAATTGGTTGATTTTAACAGTAAAAGCAAGAACAACACAAATCAACAACATTTCTACTGTTGTTTGAACTCATAATGTGGATACCTGTAGTAGGTCAATAACTAAGCCAGACATTCCAGCCGTGTCAAACAATGAAATCTAAGCCCAAACACATGACCAGGATTTGACCAAACTGAGATTGCCCAAAGCGCCACGATTTTCTCAATGAGTTGGCGTTTCCCTGTAGCACAGGGGCTTCTCTTATTCTTCGTATTTTTGTTATGTAAGGTTAAGTCTTCAGCTGAACTCACCCCAAATTACACTCGGCCTGTTTACGACTCTTTATTGTAACACCAACTGTTTCCAGGATCATAGCTACCTTGACGGAGCTCTTGATCCCCTTGAACATTCCCAGGCACACGATGGTCCAGGCGGCCAGCAGACAGCAGACAATGTACGTGTTGAAAGAACCAGTCTCATCAATGGAGTCTGTGATATCCAAAGCTTTGCGGTACCAGAAATAGGACGTTGGAGAGCTCTTTTCACATTCTGTCACTGATGTAAGAAAGAAAAGAGATGATGCTTTAGCAGATTTGACTTTTAAAAACAAATAACCGCATCTCATGTCTTTTGATGCCTCACGTTTACCTGTAATATTCCCTTCTTTTGGACACTCTTCCCAAGGTAAAGGGTTCTGAAACGAGTTCCCGAGATAGAAAAGACTCCACGCCAGGATCACATTGTAGTAAAGGGCCACAAAGAAACACACCTGAGAAGATTAGGAAACAATAATATTGATGTCAAAAGACAATGATGTGTGGCTTTGCCAAAACGAGTTCCCACTCATCTCTCTGATGAAAACAGACACAACATTTTAACTGACGGCCTTGAGAGATGAGAGTTTACAGAAAATCATGGCTTGCTCTCTCTGCAGATTCTGCTTTTTTTTTTTTTTTTCTTGAAAACCAAGAGCACCTCACTGCATTTCAGCTCTGGATACAAACAAGTGACGACAAACACTAAACAGTCTAAAAGTTTCAATTCTTGGGCCAGTCATTAACACTTAGTTTCTCACCACACAGCTGGAGTATCCAATCCCTGCAAGCCTCGGGGAGATGTACTTCCACACGCCAATGCTGCCTTGACGGATGGCCTGACCGGCTGCCAGCTCCAGGAAGAAAAGAGGGATGCCCACCACCAGCATCAGCAGCACATACAGCAACAGGAAAGCCCCTGAGGTAAAAATGTGACAAGCACTCAGTTAGCAGATAAACTCCACAATTTGTGTTGCAACAATATAAATTCATTTAAAGGAAAGGAAGAAGATATTCTGTGTTGTAGACTGATCTTTCTCTCAACAATTCCTGCTCTTTCCACTGTCCTAAGCTGTCAAATTAAGGACCCCCAAAAAAACTTTAAAATACACTTCCAACTAGTTTGAGTGTAGCTGACGGCTTGTGATTTATCCGACAGCGTAAAAATTGCTGTAAAGGAATGGCGGTAGACCCTGGTAACAATCTAGCAGGGAAATAAGGTAAAAGTTAAGAATTTATAGGGGCACATCTTGTAAGATTTTACCTCCTCCATTTTGATGACACAAATACGGAAACCTCCAGACGTTGCCGAGCCCAACGCTGAATCCCACTTGTGCTAAAAAATACTCTATTTTACTGTTCCATCCTGCTCGGGCGGCTGGCTCAGGCGGGCCCTGCTGGCTCTCAGCACCAGTGTAGAGCTCAACCTCGGCCTCTGTGGTTTCTGTTTTGTCATCGTCTGTTGGTAAAGGCTGCTTTTCCATCTAACACAACAGGAGACAAAGATACAGATAAAACATGTCAGAAAGGACATTATCACTACACTACACTCTCAAAGACGGTCAGGAATGCTGCCTTGTTTTGTTTAGACTCAAGGAGTGTCTGCAAAAGCTGTTTCAAGGATCTTGCAAAGTTATTTGTGGCCTTGCAGCACAGAGATTAGCTTTCTATGCTTTCTTCAGTAGGTAAACTGTGTGTGTGTAGTCTTGGTTCCCAGTGCATAGAGTCCAAATAACTGATAACTCTTAAATGTAAATGCCTTCATCGAATGTTTTGTTTCTGTTTCAATGAAACTACTTTGTTGAAGTGAGAACTCTACCCTGAAGTAGTTTATTTAACTATAGTTGTGACGCAGTCAAAGATACACACTGTCATACAAAGGTTTTACAGTCTTATATCAACAGCCAATTAATTACAGTATTTGTTAAAGCTAAGATCTGCCCATTTTCTATTTTATGCAGCTTTACACCCTAATATACCACATTACAGAGGGACATATCATGCCTTTACTTTCCAACTTTTATCAGATGACTTAGGTTAATGATTATGATGTATTACTATATCTTAGTAAAAGATAAGGATTTATTGATCAGTTAAGGAAATACACACCAACCCAGGAGCAATAACAGTAGGCTATCTACACGTGTAAAAGCTGCAACAAGTAAGGCGGTGGTGTACTCACTGTGAAGACAACAGCTATAATTCAGTTGGGCAGTAGTTTCTGGCGCTTTTTCTACTCAGTGTTAAATGACTAAGTTTCTGCAGAGTGTAAAATCGTTTGTTTTCATCACTGTGTCTGTGCTGTTAAATGTACACGTACAAGCAGACAGCTGACGTTGTCCCAACAGATGGTTAATTACGTTAAGGGTATTCGCCGTGTAACCCAGGCGCAAAATAATCCCTGATTAGACTAAAAAGACATCGCAGACATATCTCGTACTTTTCTTCACATTTCTAAAAGCAGTAATTGTGCAACAAATAGTCGTGCCAGATTCAGTTTAAAGACACAAACTCAGCGGTTGACTGTTAAAGTGGATGGCGAAATTAAATCAAACGAGCACGCGAGGACTGGCAGTGTGGTCAGGTACACGACCCCTATCGTTTGTCTTTGTCTAAACTTACAGTGACCCCACAGAGGAAAAATGACATTTAAGACACATTACACCGACCTGCTCAACGACGAATATCAACGAAGAGTGAGAAGTGACTCTGGAGGTAGTGGAGAGAGAAGAATGTGGGTAATTATCGTCTATTCTTCGGTCACTTCAAAGGATGGCACGAGCACGTGTGAGTGTCACTGCGGTGTGAACCACGGCGCGAGCCCAGATATGCCTCTGTTTCTTGAGTCAAATTAAATTTCACGCGAAGTCAAAAACAAGAGACGTAATGGTGAGATTAACTGAGAAGAAGGACGCAAAAACAAACACAATAGCGGGAATAATCTTCTCATCCGCTCTTTCTCGCGGCTCATTGGCGTAGAGACGTGGGTTTGTTTCTTCCGCGTGATGCAATACAATGAACCCCACCCCATCTACTACTGTGCTGCTTTCAAGGACTGTGCGGAATCTGTACAACGCGGCGGATAAGCGCATAAATACAAAAATATTGACATGTCAAGTGGTAGGAGTGCAGGGGCGGATCTAGAGGGTGGCCACAGCCCCATTTAAATTTTATTGACTACCCCAAAAACTGTCAAAGCTGTTCATCAGGCTGCTTGTGGTTTCTTTTGTATCCAACTGTGGCATTTTTTCTTGTCAACTTGAAGTGCAGCTCAGAGAAAGAAAAAAAAACTTCTTCCAAAATGTTCATTTTCCCCAAAAATTTAATTTAAAAAATTAAACGTCCATATCATAGTGATATATGTCAAGACTTTGTTTGATTCTCAAAAATAATGGCTCACAGCTCACAAGCCCACCTTCTAAAACACTGGAATATATGAAACTCCACTAAATAAGAAAAGAAATATGATACAGAAATAAACTTTTTTGTCGAACCTTTTGTGGTTTTAAACTTTTTCCTGCAGTGCTACAGAGAACTCCTACCTGAAACACTTAAACTTTGCATTTATTTAAAAGTAGCTTGGTCTCTTAGGGCGCGTTCACACCACCGTCATTTAGTCCGGTTGAACCAAACCCTGGAGCGTTTACCCCCTTGGTGCGGTTTGTTTGGGTCGGTGTGAACGCAGACCTCGAACTCTGGTGTGGACCAAATAAACAAACTCTGATCCGCCTGAGGAGGTGATCTCGGACCGCTTTCAAGTCAACTCTGGAGCGGTTCATTTCTGGTGTGAACCTCATCCACACCAATCACAGGAAACGCACCACACACGAACGAGAAAACGCATCGTGGTAGGCTCTCATTAATGCCTGTCGCCATCTCGTCTTAATCCGTCTATTGTTTGCAGCTCGTCTACTCTGGAATGTATTAATTAATGCCGCAGTTTGCGCTTGCTGGCTAACACGCAGTCCATACACGCGATTGACTAGCGTCTTTTGATATGCACCCCAGATGAGTAGCAAAAGCAAAATCACCCTACGATGCTCCATGACACGCAAAGACAGCAGAGCAGGGTTTGTATTCCTGCATAAACTAATGACCAATAACCGAACGATATTCGCGGTCACATGACTTCTGGTTCCGTTTTCTGGAGCGTTTGAGTTTGTCCTTTGTGAACGCAAACCGGACCAGTTAAACAATCAAAACAAATGTATCGTATCGTCTTGCCTTGGATTCGAATCAGGAAACAGACCTTCAGGTGTGAACACAACATTAGTTGAACAATTAGTAATAAAAAGTGGTACACCTGCAATACTCCCATTTTAGAATAAAGACGAGCACATAAAAGTAGCTAGGTTGCAAAAAAAGAACAAATAAAGCCTGCTGTTTGTGGTAAGCTATCAAGATAGGGAACCATCGAGCTTCCTCAATTGCTGCAGTTAAATTATGAAAGACTAATAGGTGCTGGACCAAAATGACAGTAGCTACACTGGCATAATTTTGTACCCTAAACAAGATTTGCACGATAGAGTCCCACTGGCTCTCACATAGGCTTCAAATCTAAGGCCCTGAACGCATCATAAGTCAATCCTCTTAAGAATTGATTACCTAACACGTGTGACCACATAAAACAGGTTTAAGCATGAAGTTCATACTCCTCTTTAAGGAATTTGCATAACCGTTTGTCGAAATCTGTTGTCATCTTGAATTTGACAACCTCATTCACAGTAAAAGTGACAAACAAATATCATTATTATCGCTCTTTTTTAACTACCTGTAGCCTACTTCTATAATGTCAACATAACACGTGGCAAATACGTACTCTCTCCACAGCACTTAGATTCATCACCATCCCGGTCTAAGTTCATTTTAGGATACAGGGAGAAAAAAATAAAAGCTTAGCTGATGCAACAGCGTGGTCCCGTTGGTCTGCATGGGTTTCATGGTCAACCATGCCTTCAGAGGATCACAGTACTATGAGATTATTTCATGTCGCTGAACTGTACCTGCGCCAGAACACAATGTTCACAACTCTGCGACATTATTATAACAAACGATTTTCTTTTTGATTAGAAGTTTCCTCATTATCGGGCTTCATGCAAGATCTCAGCAGTCGCACTGACCCGGCACAGTGACATTACTCTGGACCTCGCTGCATCGTCAAACACAGACGCGCACCAACACACTGCACGCTGCATGCCACGTATGCCTGTCTAGTAAGCAAATAAAGCAGAGGAGTCTACAGCAACATTCAAACCTCAAGTTAAAGTTCAATTCACGCCACAGGAAATGATAGTAATTGTATACAAATAGATCATAAATACCTTTTTGGAGCGTTTTAATAAAAAAGATCCTTCAGAATTTTTTTCCCAAATGTCCTCAAACCAAAGTCAAGTGGGAGCCTTGCTTGCTGCCACTCTACCGGACTCCGCCTATCTCCTCTATTGGTGGATAAAAGGGTGACTTTTCCACCCTCAGACGACTGTGTTGTGAAATGTGACACCCCATATTCCCACTGGTTTAACCCCATGAGAACTCCAACCCTTACCTAAGCTACTTGTTTCAGATGTAAATCTAGAACTTACCAGTTAGTTACCTCTAGTCTCCTCATGTGAACCTGTAGGGAAAAATGGTCAATATGAAGAAATTAATTCTCAATACGAAGGTGGGAATTCTCCTAAAACTTTCAGAAAGTAACTCTGTGGTGTGCTGGTCATTTTATTTGCTTAAAAAAGTAATGCGATTTAAAGCTCCTGTGAAGAACTTTCCTTTAGTGCGGCCTTTGGCGCCCCCTGCAGACAAAGTAAGAAGTCTTATCTGTTTGCTAAATTCAGTGCTGTCCTGTATGAAAAGGAAAAGTTATGTTGCTTTTTTTGTAAACTGTTGACTTCTGCATCATGTTGTAATCAAACATACTAAACAGAGCCGGCCCAAGGCATAAGCGAACCAAGCGCCTGTTTAAGGCCCCATGGCCAGTAGGGGCCCCCCAAAAGCAATAAAAAAAAACAAAAAAAAAAAAAATTAACTATTTTTTTTATTTTTTTGCATGTATTAGTGATGCTTTCTGTATGATCAAATATATTTTATTATAAAAATAAAAAGAAGTGAAAATATTTTAGTGCTGCTGCTGATGTAGGCCTTTGATTCTTACTGCCAATGACACTTTTACAGTAAACACAATATTTTATCACTTGGAATGTTGTGAAAATCAACCTCAGGCCACTCTTGTAGCTGAATGTGTTACATTTTGAGAATTAAAACCATATGTGGCACCCTGAACATCATTCATCAGTCATTCGTTGGTATTATTTGTATGGTTGCATTGGTGTTATTTGTGTTATTACCTAGGCCACCCCTTTAAATGTGTAAAGAAATGTCAGGCACATTAAATTTGTACTGTAGTAGGTGTGTGAATGATCAACAATCAATATATTGGCAGAAATAGAGGATCACAAAATCAAATTTTGCTTAGGGCCCCATTGAGGCTTGGGCCGGCTCTGATACTGATGCTGTGACACCAGTCACAAGTGCAAATTCTTCCTCTATTTCCTCTGGCTCAGACACAAGCTAACCCTCCATGGAAATATGACAGCCCACTTCAGCTCCTACACAAAAAAAATATAGTAGCTTGTAAATTAGCATGATATAAATTAGTTCATGCTAACCTTTGACATTTTGGTATTTTATATGACCAGACAATATTGCCTCAGTCCAACATAAACAGGCTCAGCCCAGAGACCTCATCTACATTTCTGGATCATGGTTTCCTCTGCGTGGTAGTCAATAAAGAACTTTTTCTCAGATTCAACATTTTATAAGTTGTGATTGTATGATTTATGGCTGTATATTGGGTTTTTAGGATTGCAAACCATCAAAATCCTTTTTTTAAACCTACATTTCACACTGCATCCTATAATGTAATAATGTTGGACATTTAAAGCATAGACACAACCTACTCCAAAATGGAACAGTACAAAAAGGGAGAGGGAAGGGGGCAAAACAAACACAAAGAAACAACCACAGAGGAAGAAATGCACAGAAAGGAGAGGCTGCAAATTGCAACCACACAAACATACTGTATATTAAAGCCCTGGCAGTTACACTTAGACAAACAGGTGTGGAAAATAGTACATTCACTTATGTGACCCAGTTACATTTAAACAGTCAAACATGTCCCTGACTGTGAACAGTTGTTGTGAAAAAGGTCAACAAAAGCTGTTTCTTCACTGCGCTGTCAACAGCCTTTTCTGAAGCCTACCCCCAGAAGTGGCTACAGGCATTCAATGGTGAATAAAAATTCAAAGCAAATAATGATTTGGAATAACATTCTGGTCAATATTTACTTTGTTTAAAGTTGTAAAATGTTTTGTGTCTCACAATGACACAGTGCATTTATTAAACCTAAGTTAACTGTTGTCTCTGTAGCACCTTTAATACAAACATGCAGCCCAAGCTTAGTTTAGATAATAACAAACCAGTTAAAAGTAAGAGCAGAAATTGACAACAGTAGATTAAAAAGAAGAAAGTTTTGCAGTGTAAACCTCTTAGCTGTTTCTAAAAGTCCCAAATTCCAATGGAAATTTTATGGAGCATTATCCCACTTTTTTTTTTTTGACAATTTCACTTTGTTCATAGTAGTGTGTGGGTGCACAGGTGAGAGAGTGAGTCAATGTTTTTATCTCTAAGGAGGGTCTGTCGTCTGGGCGGGACTTCACTAAGAGACACACCTCTGCTCTGCGGGAGCTTTCAATACCACAGCAGAGAGAGTGAGATAACCGCAGGTACGCACAGGACAGGTTTCACTACCACTTTAAACACATACACAGCTGTTAACATCAGGATTAAATATAGGAAGATTATCAACTTTGGTGAGTTAATCTAAAGTTAACTTTAAATCTTGGCCCTTAAGTTGTACAACTGAAGCCTGTTTGAGTTTTCATTGTATTTTCAGAAATCAATACAACAGAAACTGCACTGAAAGGCATGGCGAGAACTGCTGTCACATGTTTGGCGTTCTTCAATGTGACTAATGATGTGTAGTAATCGGTCGGGCTACTTGAAAAACACGTAGCCACTTCTTATTTAAAGCATTTCATGTCTGTTTTTTAGGAAACTTCAAACTTCTAATGTGGATTTACTGAAATCAAACAGTCCTGTGCAATTAAGTTAGCTGAAGCTTGTGTAACTTTTGCTGCAAGCTTTTGAAAGTTTTGGGCAAAAAGAAGAGATAAACACACCTTTCTCTCATAGTCTGCCATTTTGCATACTTTTTTTTCCATTATTGTAACTGATATTTTGTGATTTTAACAGTTTAATGTAGGTGACATAGGCCTATGAGACATTAACTCTTTGTATTGCTGTTTTAACCAATTTATCTTTAGTTTACAACCTAAGACTATACTGTGCAGAGATTTGCCATACTTTTGTCTCCAAACTGTCATAGACTTTCTTTTAAAATAATTAAGTATATCACATATGGACATGACTTTTCAGACCAAGTTTATGTCTGTCTGAGCAAAAAAGAATCAACAAAGATAATGTATTTTCAATGAAACCAGACTTAAGAAAGCATGAGCGATACTGCTTGTGTGCTGTCTTGATACCACTCCTCCCAGTATTGATGGTCACTTAGAAGCAGAGAGATTGGTGGTGAGATAGACTGTACTGTGGTCAGACTGGTTTGGCAGCTGCCTCTGTCAGACTGTGTAATCCCAGGTTGGTAAAGCAGAGAGAGGATGACGTAGTCTCAAGCAGAAATTGAGTGAGGGTTTTGCTTGAGCAGGTACCAGCTCAGACTTGTTGGTTTAGGAAGAAGACTGGGAATAGACTGCTGCTTTTCTTAAAACAACTCTTATGAAATCCCAGGAAGAATCAACACTTGTGAGTGGAGGAAAGGCCAATTGTAGCCCCACCTTAAATACTTTATCATCCTATCTCTCCAGCTGTGTATTCATAGAAAGCTGCAAAGGCATTTCCTGGACGAGAGATGACAAACATCACACGATACCTTGTCAACGTAAGTCTCACGTAAGTCTGATGCTGTTATATGCATCGTCCTTCAATTTCTCACTTCGCTCTTTTCCCCCTCTTTTTGCAGCACCTGTTGACGTTCTCACTCCAGAATGGAGAAGTGCAAAGTGTGGAGGAAGCACAGGCCCGTCTGTCTTTCCTGGCCCAGAACAAGAAACTGTGGAGTCAACAGATGTTCCTGGATGTTGGAGCAGAGGCCATTCAACTACGGGACATCCAGAGCCAGGTGAGGCCAGATGCATCATGGGCTTTAAAATTTCAATTTATTGCAACCAACTTATTTTTTATGTCAGCTAGCTTAAAACAGCTTCTACAGAAATTATTCACAAGAGCCTAAACATGGTATGGGTGTGAAATGAATGATAATAAGCAGACTGATGGATAAATAACAAAATAAACAAAACAGTAAAAGAAGAATTTTCAATACAGGAATAAAAGGAAAGAAAAACAAATTTAGTCATGTAGGGAACAAAGAAAACTTTAAAGCTCCTGTGTCGAGAATCGCATGTGTGACTTACAAGAGAAATCAAGACTATGGGCTCTATTTTCATGTACGCCGGTGAGGCGACGGAGGGCGGCGAGCCCCGCGCAGTTGTATTTTCGTCTGGCGCAACCCGGCGTACATTTTCGTCGACGGAGGCGAACCGAGATCCGCCAAGCTGGGCGTGGTGGCATGGCAGGGGGAGGTGTCGACAGAATCAGCGGGCGCAGTGACATTTTCATGCTCGCCACCGGCGTGTAAAGTGTGCTGAAAGCTCGCCGATTCAAACCTGGTCAGTTTTCAGCGCAGGTGGAGCGCAGCTGGTCTAGTAGTATTTTGGCAGACCGGCGGCGTATCTGCATACGTCACTGATGCCTCACCGGCAGGTTTCCGCAGTGTCAGGCACATTTCAGTGCAATAAATAATCATCAACAACTATTAATCTGAGTCAGACCATACATTTAGATCTGTATCGATAAATTCTGATCTATATATCTTATCTGATGAGCGCGTTTGGCACGTGTTTGGACACACAACCTGACCGAATCAACACAGCTGAAATAGCTTTAAATTAAATTAAATATCTAGTAAATAGACACACATGATGAAGTTTACTAGATATGTAATTCGTCTCCCTCCTTTTCTTTTTTCCTCTTCCTCTTATTTCTTGCACAGCTCAACCTGGACACGTCTCCGTGTCCTCTCTCCGTTCTGCTGCAGCGGCGGCTGAACAGATGATTTGTTTCAGTGCTCAGATGCGTTATCTACTTTAAGCCGACATACAGATATTATAATATTCAGTTTTGTGAATCAAATTTATTTTATATGCCAACATCTATGAAAGAAAGAGCCAGGCCACAGAGCGTGATGCGTCATTTACGCACAGATGGTTCCAATTTTAATGCCATTATTGGGATTTATGTTGTGATCTGTGCGCTCAACCCACCTTTGTCACGTGAGGTTTAAATATATGCAACTTTATGTGAGTGTCTTTATTTGTGGAAAAGGGTGTTTTTCTTACCAGTGGGTCCAACTTTACACACACCAAATCCATCTGTGCTCATATGAGAGAGTGTGGAGGACGCCCAATGCGGCGCTTACAGTGACACTTGTTGAGGAGCTGCCCTTTGTCGCCATCGTGTGGCAGAACTGTCTTCAGACATCTCTTGATCTCTTTGACTACTTCACGAAAATACTAACATGCCTCGCCGGTGGCGGATTTAAAGGCAAGGAGAGGAGCTTATGTGATAGGTGAAAACTGGTCTCGGCTGTGTTAAATCCACTCCACGCCCTCCCTCCTCCCTCGCAATGATTTACGCCACTGGGAGGAGCTGAGTTAGGGAGGGGGGATACTTACGCCGGGCTGCGCTGCTCACCAAAATACCAAATTGTGCTTGGGAATGCCTTGTCGGCGCGGCGGATCTGACTTACGCCGCGCTTGCGGCACGTCTCCGGCGAGGCACGAAAATAGAGCCCTATCAGTGACAAGATCAATTATACCCAATTAGTATTTTCCAGGGCAGTAACTCATGATGAATGAATGGTTTAAACATTACAAGACAGCGCGATGTCACAAAACACATGAATTGCATTTTTAGATGGGCCTGAAATATAAAGATATGAAACCAGTGCTCGCACTGTGTCGCACAAGGACCATTGGAAAACCTGATACAAAGGGACACTTTGGTCGCTAAGTTCATTCATCCCTGAGCTCAGTAAAGTTTTCACACATTCAACCTGCTAAAGGCCAATAACTCATCAGATAAATGTTGCTTTTACTAAATCAGGCAGCTCATTTTCATCAATATGAGCTGTCCTGCAAGCTGACCAACCAATGTTTGTTACTGTGCACAAGAGCGCAGAGGTCTTCATAAATTCCTCAGGATTAAGCTGAATTTCAAAGTTATGTTTTTGAACATTTATTGCCTTTATTCAGAGAGGGTAGGCCACAAAACAAGGAGAGAGAGCTGGGAGTGACAGGCCAACAGCTTGAAGAATAACCTCTGTATATAGGGCATAGACAGCCAGGCCAGCAGGGCCCCAACCTTGAGGAAGCTCGAGGAGAAAAGGGGGTTTCACATGAGTAGGATTGAAACAGGGGAGAGAAAGACTACTTTGTCCATAGGGGGCACCAAAGTCAACAAATACCAGAAATGACTTGCAGGAGCTTTTAGCACACTTGACAATGAGTAACTGAAAAGACAGATTTGGTTTTGTTAAAGGAATAAAAGGATCATTCATGTGAAGATGATAAAAAGTCTGTTAAAATAAAAAAAAATGAAGAAGTAATCTAAGAGGATGAAGTATATAAAGGAGTGTGAGTGTAAGAGCAGGTAAAGCGTATCAAAGTCCTGATGATAATAGAGAAAATTCACTTTTATGTCCAAAAGGAATGATTTCTTCTTGTTTCACGCTCATTATCCAAAGGCAGACTATGTTTGTGAGGCTGCTTCTGTCTTTAACTGTAAAACCATGAAAAACAAAACAGACTCTTAAAAAAGATTGACAAACTGTGATGGAGACATGCATACTTATATAATTCCTCATTTACTAAGCCTGTTTTTTCTCCTTGTGCAGGATGAGCTGGAGAGCTACTCTTTCAAATCCATCTACCGCTGTAGTGCCATAAACACAGAGAAACACTTCTCATCCCTGCTGCTCTTAGTGTGCCAGAGTGCAGACCAGAAGAAGCCGGACATTCAATTCTTTAACTGCGAGACAGTTAAGGTGAGTAAAGGCCTGACACTTATGCTGCTTCCTCACTGTCGGATCTGACTCAGCCTGAAATTGTCAGCCTGTTTCAGGTTTGACAAGAGATGCCACTTCCAGATTCTTTTTTTTTTTTTCCTTTTTACAGGCAGAGCAGATTTGTGACGAAATTGCACACGCAGTATCGGATTCCTCCAACCGCAGGAGTAAAACGGTCCTGGATCCACTGAGGTACAGGGAATGTTATGATCAAATTCTTTGAAACATATGATCAAAAAAGCTCACATAGAAACTTTGATTTGATGTGAGCTGTGAAATTTAAGCGTGGAAGAAAGTATGTTTCAGTCTGAAGGTGTGTATGTTTACCCTCACTGTACAAGAGGAACTGAATGGACAGTGAAAAAATACAAAACCCTCAGCCGAGCAAGAGACAAGCCCATATATTACGTAACAGTTTGATCTATCTCCCATTAAATCTCTTTGTTTTCCTCTTTTTTACTCCTATTATGATTTATTTCCCTCTGAGTCGAAGCAGCCCATCAGCATGCACCTGTCTGAGTGAGAGAGAGAGAGGGGAAGGGAGGGGGGGACAGGGAGGACAGTGTAAACAGCTGAGAGAAAGAGAGACTTGTTTTACCGGTTTGTACATAACTTAACAAGGTGTGACGAAGAGAGCAAGGCCACTGAGACAGAGAGAGAGCAGAGACACCGCAGGAGGGATGACAGTAGGGCTGTGCAGGATTGGGGCCTGAGAGGAATATTTGCTTTAAAAGAAAAGGACAAGGACATACACTGGTGGTAAGATGGATTAATGTTTTTTTGTTTTGGGCTTTTGGATGCGAAATGAAGAAAAACAAAAGTAAAGTTCGGGTCAGAATTTGAAGAGATTTTCATATGTGTGCACAAGGAGAGGCAAACAAGGAGACATTTTCATCAAGAGCGACCTTTTCGTTTGCTTTAAAAATACTTTGTTGCTTTCATAATTTGTTTAAAAGGAGGCTCTAGACTGAGGAGTGCAGATCAGTGTATTCTATAGTCATGACTAAGCACAGTCACATTGTTTACACTACTTTCATGGTGGAATAAGGGCTGCTGGATTGAATTTCAGAGGCTTCACATTGTGTCTGTTGTGTCATCTGGGTGGAAATCCTCCATGGCTGCAACTATTTGACTCTGTCAGAATGAAGATGAGCCTCTCTCTCTCTCTCTCTCTCTCTCTCTCTCTCTCTCTCTCTCGCTCTCTCTCCAATCAAGCGTGTTGTCATGAGCACAGGTTTGACTTCTTCAAGGGTGTTACCTGCTGAGTGAGCAGACTCAGCACTCATCCAGAGCACAACCTGTGGGAAAACATTGTGTACGCAGGTTTTAAACTCCGCTTTTGTTTGCTGTAGGATTCCTCACAGTGGTGGAGAGATGATTGACCCATATGAGATCCCAAGCCCCCCCATTGCACATGCTCCAAACCCCCCGCCAATTAACCCCCCACCTTACCCAGGACTCAGAGGTAAGATAAGAAAATTCCCATGTCAATAACAGTAAAGCTCTCTGATGTGACAGTTTTTCAGTGATAACAGGGTAAAAAGAGGAAAAGAGAGATGGAAGAAGTATTTGAGGTGTGAGGCTTGCAGAGGAACAGAGATAGCTTTGTGTATTTGTGTGTTTAAGGGAGGGGGAGTGGGTTTCAGGGGTAAAAGGGGGGCAGGGACTCCAAATGCAGCAATGAACATGGATGAACCGAATCCTTTCCTCTCTTCCAAAATAGCAAACGGAGTAAATGGCGGGCCTGATATCTCCTTCCTGCGAGCAGAGAGAGAAGTGGTAAACGTCATTTTCACTCTTTTTGATATTTCTTTATCATGTCTTTAATCTAAAGAGTGGAATTGAAGCAGTTCTCTTTCTTCAGGGCATCCTCAATCACTGCTTTGATGACATTGAGAGCTTCATGGGAAAGCTGCAGCAGACCGCAGAGGCTGTGACGGTGCTGAACCAGAGGAAGAAGAAGAAGAAGAAAAGTAAAAAGCAAACCGCAGACGGTGAGAAGAGATAAATGAATTTGTACGTTTTGAAATGTCTCCTGTTACTGCTACTGACTGATCAGTGTGTGGCTTTTTTATTTTCGACCAAACAGAGGATCTACTCACTGCAAAGGCTCGACCCCCACCCGAGGAAGAGTTCATCGATGTCTTCCAGAAGTTCAAATACTGCTTCAGCCTGCTGGTGTGTATTTCTTCATATCAGATCTCTTCTTACTCATTTAAGTATGCTATAAAATTAACTCCTGTCTACATTTCTCTTAAGGCTCGTCTAAAATCAACGATTGCCAACCCTTCATCAGAGGAGCTGGTGCACCATGTGTTCAAACCTTTGGATATGGTAAGTGATCATATAAAAATGAGAGGAAGTTTTCTTTATTTAAGCTTTTTTTTTTTTTTTACAGAGAGCAAAAGTACAAAATGTGATTTGTGGAGTTAAAAGAGATAAGCAAGATAACTGAATACAAAACATTCTAAGATAGTAGATAGTAAATAAATGCAATTGATAAGGACTTGCTACTCGTGAAGAGATTAAAGGCTCATTCTAGGTTAATAAAATAATTGTAAAGTCAAGTGATTTTGCACTAATTGAAACTCTCAATGAATGTTATATTTCATTTCTACCAAGCCTAAATGCTGCTACATGCTACACACTGTACTTTTTACTTGTAAAGCTCAGATGCATCTACAGCAACACATACTTTTGTGTTAAAGTGTCCACATCACTCTGCACAACTGCCTGATCTCTATGCAAGTCATATTGCCTGTTTCTGGCTTGGTGACATTCTCGGCCTGACGATGCACAGGAAACTGCGGTGACTGAACGTGAGCTGGTTTAAGGCTGAGTGATGTGCAGAGGCATTCTGGCTGGTAGAGCAACAAGATTGACCTTTTCGTTCAGTGTAATAATGAAACATGGATAGCATGAAAAGAGGGACAGGATGACAGCTTCCCAAAAGTGAAACCAACACTTTTGGCTCCCTCTTGTAACTGGCCACAGGAAGTGATAGAGCCAGCTTCCTGCTTGAAAATACACCTATCTTTATGATAAAATGCATCAGATCCCTAATGTTGGTACAGTCCACAGCAAAACTGATCTCTGTGTCAGTTTGAAGCAGACACAGTTATTTAAAGTTTAGTGTTTGTTATATTTTCTCTCTCTCTCTACTTTTGCTCAGGTTAGAAGTTGTATAATTTGATTTTAAAGTTTGACCCATGTGTCATCTGTTTACATGGACTTTATAATCTATTCTGCAGCCAGTCGCCTAGGGGGCCTTCAAATTTGGCTTCACTTTTAGGGAACTGTTGCCTTGTCCGTCTTTTACAACATAGAGAAATAGTTGGTACACAGGGCAAATAAACAGGAGCAGACAGTTTGGTTTATAAGCAGATGAGTAGATAATGTGGTATTTAGGTCTAAGTTTGGCGGTAATGGTTCAAAGAAGGATTGTATGTTGTTCTCTGAGCTGTTATCAGGTTTGCATGTGGAAAAAAAAAACGTTAGCATGTGTCATGTGAAAACAAAAGAAAGGCGTCACTGTACTCAAGCCATGTTGCCAGAAACCGCATGTTCCACTCAGTGTTGACACAAGGCAGGCAGCTCCATGATTGCAATGCTAAACACCTGAAGCTTCAGTGGACGTCTTTTCTCTTTTGGTTCAGCTTCTTTTGTCGTTTTAAACATTTAATTGATCGAAGCTGAACCACCTTTTTTGGGGATTGATGCCACGATGCTGCTGATTGCTGCTTTGAGTTAAATCCAGGTGTATTACAGCTGTCAAAAACTCTTTCACCATCACAATGAAGCCTGTATTTCTCTTTTACTTTATATTCCTTTAACATATCAATTAAAATCTCGTAGTTGCTTCTTATACAATTTAACCAATTATCAGATTTAGTCTTTACTCTTGAGACCATGAGTTTGCAGAGACTATTAGAAGTATATCTCGAATACATGTAACTGATTCACATTAAAATGTCAGGAATTTCAAGTGTGTCATGTTTAGCCTGAATCAGTCATCCAATAAAAGAATCAAAGGGTGTAACGGGCGTGTTTGCTTTGTGTACACTGGCACTCCTGAGGGGAAACAGTCACATATTTCTGACGTTGTACATGTTAATTGTTCTTTTGGGATTGAATGTGTGGATGCACTTATCCGTCTGCACAGCACAGTCATGTTGTTGCAGAGTGGGAGCATTAAAGCTGCTTTTGTCCCATCATGATGTTCACAGATGGTGAAAACTACAGGGGGACCAGGTCTGGGGGCCTCAGTGTCCAGCCCTGCCATGACCACCTCTGCTGTCTCTCTGCTTCAAGACACCCTGAATGAGGGAGAGAGGCAGCTGTGGACCTCTTTGGGTCCCAATTGGACACTCCCACGGTCAGTAAAATAATCACTGTGTCAGCACGCTTACCCACGGTAAACCCAGATACATTTTGTGTGGAGAGATAACCCAGCTTCTGTCTGATGAACAAGCAAATTTTTGGGGCTTATAAGACTAAAACTAGCTGTTATAAAGCTGTAAGGTTCCAGGAGGAGCAGCGTCGTGACTCTCCTCTCTTGTGCTGTCTCTCAGCTCTCAGCTCAGAGGCCCTGTAGCTCCGTACACCCCAGTGTTTCTGGACGGTTGGAAGCCGGAAGCCTTGAGGGCAGACGGGCAGGTTTGGGAGGATCCGGTTGAGTCACAGCATAGACACGAAGACCTCCAAGCAAAACAAGAGGTATGAAATACCTACGTGAGTGTGAAATATGGGTTACACACATGCTCAGTAGAGTCAGAGAAGAGCAAAATAGGCAAAGCTATGGCATAGAAGTACAATAATACCTAAATATCAGGTGTAACAAACACAGTCGTGTCACAAAAGCTGAATCCTCCAGTAGATCCAGGATATTCTTTCAATGAGCAGCTGCTTGCTCTTAAAGGACCTTGCATTCCTATGGGGTTAACCACAATGAAAACATGGATCATTTCACTTTCTGTGGTCCAGAGTTTAATGCTCCAAGCAATTGCAAGTAATCAAGTAACGACATATTTGTGTTGTGAGCTTTAGTACTCTGAACTCAGCTTTCAGGCTTCGAAATGCAGCCAAAAATGTGGATACAAAACTCCTGATTTATCTCATCTTTCACAATCCCTGCAATTTGGATTTGTAACAAGTTTCATGTTTGCACTGATTATTTGGGTTTTTCTATCTATCTGACTTCTCTGTAGTATCCAAGGTGGTACAGTGAGATCTTCTGGAGAAAGAAAACAAATCTTTTCTAGAAACTAAACTCTATTTTTAGGAATTTTATCCCCCCTGATTGTCTACACTAGATTGATATCCAATGTCCTTTAATACTGATGATTTAATGATTGGGCTAATGTAAAGCACTGTTGAACTTGAATTATAAAAGTGCACTTCAAATGCAGATTTGTATTATCAGAATTATTCCTTTGAAAATATTTATGTATTGCTGGTGGTCATTTTGAGGCTTTGGATCTATATATTCATATCAGATGGTAATGGAATTTTATGTATAGAGCACTTTCTGGTCTTTTAAAGCACTTTTACACTTTACTTGTCACATTCACACCAATTCATACACCAATTTCAGAGGATACCACAGCAAAAGACTATCAGTGTTAATCCGCAAATCCCACTCTACCAATGAGCCTCAGCCTTCCTTAAAATCATATCAATCCCTGTGGATGAAGTCTTAACTTTTGTACTTAAGGATGTTCTAAAGCGACCAATTTTTTATCTTTAGATGGACATTGAAATTCTGACAAACTAATCTTAAACTTTGAGAAAACAGTCCAAGCACTTTTTAAAAATACAGCTAAACATATGAATGCCAAGTCTGTGGGTAAATAATGCCCAATTAGTTTGCAAAGAGTGGCTAATGATAGCAGAGCTAGCACCACCAGCCTTTCACCTACAAATTACTTCATCCCCATTTTCTTGATCAAACTACAGCTAAATCTTCCTCCACTATGAGATGCAATCTGTCACCAGTGTAGAAGAGCATTACAGTATTATGAATGTCATCTTTAACTGGGTTGCAGCCCATGTAGTCTAAATTTCAAAGGTTCTTCAAAACAATTAGTTGTATGTTACCTGTGGCGACTTCAGAGATGATGACTTTGAACCGTTTCGTTGACTAAACACACACATCCCTATCTGTAATGTCAACAGTGCTTTCTATTCTACATAAAACAAATTTTAAAGAGGTTATTTACCAAAAGTGACAAAGTATACAAATTAAAGGTCCTATAGGGGGTTTTTCATGGTCGTAAAACAGACTGAGATTAATATTAAAGCTTCCATATGGCCTGCAAAAGTAAACAAGATCATTAGTGACAAAACTGAGTATTCCTTGATTATTTCTGGTGCCTGAAACCTTTGCTAGGAAGTAGGAGTCAGACAAAGCGATCAGCAGCATGCTACAAAAACATCTCATTCACATTTGCCAAAAATATCTATGAATTTGGGGGTTAAATGACAACGAACTTGAATAGTACAAAATCAGCAAATATATCAAAGGTACCACTTTGTCCACAGGGGGCGCCAAAATCAGTACAACCAGAAGTTTTGAAGTTTGACTTTCTTTCCCGTCTATGTCTCTGTGTTCCTGTGTGTATGTTAGCATTGTACTCACGAACCTTTCTCTTATTTTCACCCACAGTCAGCACCAGACACCCACATCGGTAGTGAAACGTAGGTGACCTTTAACAATAAAAATCACTTATCTGTTGTGGTTCATCCCTGACTGCATGATAACAGTGTCTGCGACCTTCCCTCTCAGAGACAGCAGTGGACCAACAGATCCTGAGAGGCTCTACAGCTGCACGTATGACTTCATCGCCAGGAACAGCAGTGAGCTGTCAGTGCAGCAGGGGGAAGCACTGGAGGTGAGGGGCCCAAATAATATATGTTAACTCAAACTGCTCATGGTGCATTCAGGAGCTTGTTATGAAGCTAGTTGATCAGAAATTGTTATCAAATATCTAATTTTTGATCAAATGGTATCTCAAAATACTGACAAACATCATCCTACAGGTGATCGAATCATCCAAGCGTTGGTGGAAAGTTCGTAATCGCTTTGATCAGGTTGGATTTGTCCCCTTCAACATCCTGGAACCCATGGCCCACATAGACAGCCCCCCACCTGTCAATAAACCCCCCAGTGTAAGAAATGTAAAATCAAACATACACATGCACGCAAACATGAACCACGCAGCCTCAAAGGTACACTGCCACCTGCACATACCTGGCTGAATTCCAGTCTTGTTTCCTCTCCACATTCCTGCAGGCTCCAGCTCCGCCTCCTCTAACCAAGACTTACACCCCAGTCCCACCCAGCCCCCCTGCTCTACAACAGGCCCCCACACACTCCCCTCAGCGCCCACGCAGCCTGCCTCCGTACAACCATCATGTACCAGCTGCTGCAGAGGACCCAGAAAACAAAGGTAGAGAAACAGAGTGTGTTTCTGTGGTAGACGTGACTGTGTCAGAGAGCTGTAACGAGACAGACTGTCTCTGTCCCAGTTACTCTGTGTGCGTGCGTGCATGTGTGTGTGTCTGTGTGTGTGCGTCAGAGATATAAGCACAAAGATAAACAAAGAGTGGGCTGAAGCAATCGAACATCTTAGTTAAATAATGTTTTTATCTTACCCGTGTGCTCTTTGAAAGAAAGTCTCATTGTACATATAACCCTGATTCAATATGATTTGGTTAAAGTATTATCAGCTTCAAAGTTTCAGAAACAAATTTGCAAAAGCCTCATTTCACAAAGGATTACATACAAATTCAAAAACACAACCTGTAATCTGAGCTGTACTCCAACACTTAAAGTATATATAGTGTTTAGTAATTAGCTGCTTTAGCAGAATCGACTTTGAAAAACAGAATATGAACTCCACTAGAATGTTTAATAAGGGCGTCACCATCTGGATACATGAACTAAGAATGAACCTTTTCAGATCCACATAGGAGCAGGTCCTTTTTAAGGGGTCAGCGAGTGGGACCCATCATACGTCATGGTTTAGCCAATATTTGCATGGAAAGTCCAGTCTAAAAGTTCCTAAAAGTGATCAGCCAAGCAGGAAAATTCAAGTTGTCTTGCACACTGTTGACCCAAACAGCTGATCAGTGCCGTTTATCTCAAATTATCGAGTATCTCTACACCAGTGTTAAAACAAAGATAAAGCAGGCTGTGTCTGTTTGACTAAAAGGAGCCTCTGGCCTAGAGAGCAGCATAGGCAGTGTGACTGGACCAAACCCAAGGAAGATTAATGTTCCTATGAGATACCAAAAAGGGCTGCTTGAGGATTTGTAATTATTGATCACATGAGCATCTCTCACAGACCCAGGAAGTATGTGTTGCCAGAGTTGCAAGAATCATCAATCTGTGGACACATTTTTCAGATTCTGACTTGACACGGATGAACTCTGTGTCTTCAGTTTGACATGTCATTGTAATTAATCAAAAAAAAAAACAACAAAAAAAAAAAAAAAAATGTGGCAAAAAATCTCAGCACAAGGTTGCACAGGTACACAGATACAGGTATCTTGATAAACAGTTAATTTCAGGTTGAAGTACAAATTAAAGTCCATGTTTTTCAATATTTTTTTTTGCACCAAAGATTTAAATATCTTTTTTTTTTGATCATCTACAATGTTTCAGTCATGTTGGTGAATGACGAGCTGCTCCAGAGGCTGACAAATGGGAAGACCACTCTGAACAGACCTCTGAACATCCCTCGCTCCTCAGAGACGTCTGTGCCCCTGGACTACCACTCTCCTCCAGAGGAGGTGGGCGAGTGGCTGCGAGGAAAAGGCTTCAGTGAACCGTGAGTGGCCTCAGATCTGTTTACACACTCGGAGTGCTGCCAGTACACTCATACAATGCTATTCTTTCCTTTGGAGGGGCTACAATAATAACCTCATTCCTTAAATAATAACAAATAAAAGATGAAGATCTCCTGGAAGAATATTACCTAATGTTAAACATAACAGAGACGGAAATGCTGCCAGTCCAGCAGCTCTAGGTGTTTTACTTTTCTGGCTTTTGGCTCTGAAGTTGTTTGTGTCTTTTGCCCTCCAGAACAGTGACATGTTTAGGAGTGCTGACAGGCGCACAGCTCTTCTCCCTCAATAAGGAGGAGCTACGGGCTGTGATACCAGAAGAGGGCGCCAGAGTGTACAGCCAGCTCACAGTGCAGAAAGCGCTGCTGGAGGTGAGTTGAAGAACAATTATTAAGACCCAAAGCCTGGATTTCTATTCTCCGTTTCATTAAGCACATTAAACACAGAACTACTGAGTGATCACAGAATCATTAGACAATCATAATTAAAAAGAGCAAAGAATTTAAAGGGAATCCTTGATTTGGAGGAACAGTCACAGGAATATGTGTCTTCTTCGCTTGGCAAAAAATCATGTCTTGACTGAAACTGTGAGAAGCTGAAGTTGTTGACTAAGAACCCAGAGCTTTCTGAAAAAGTTCTAAGTTGTTTAACGTAAGATCTGTGTCTGCAGGATGCCAGGAGAGCCACTGAGCTGGAGGCTGTGATGGAGAAACAGAAAATGAAGGTGGATCTGAAACTGGAGAGCAGCACATTGTAAATCCAGACTTGAAGAATCATGTTCTCCTGGGAGTCACTTCACCGTGAACTCCTGAATCATTGAATAAAGATCACTAGCAAACATGTTACAGTGACTTAACTTGCTCTATGTCAAAACTCTGATTTTGAAACCAAGCCTTTTGGGCAGGACAACAGTGATGTCACATTTGAATACTGACAGGCGCTAACCAAGTGAGATGTTTTATCATTTATCTGTAATGTTGTTGAGTTTAATGTAAATAATATTCTTTGGTCTTATTTTGACCCTTTGGGTAAAGACTAACTTACAATGTATTTATCTTCATTATGTCCTTGATAAAAAAAACATGATTACCATGATGTGATTAAAAGAAAAAAAGACAGAGACAACAGAATTAAAATGGTGGGATTTTTTAATAGAGACTTGAAAGAAAGATTTTTCGGGCAAACATAGACAGAATGACTGCACACATGAGGCAAAGCGATGCATCCATTAAAATCTGATTGCAATAACAGATTTATTCACAGAGGAATCTGTCCAAACGGGGCAAATATTTAACTGATGAACTTGACTAATAAAAAACATATATACAATTTTAACTTTGAATTTCAGATGTTTTATTTTTGTACCTTCATCTTTTCATGCTGACACTCGAAGTCATTATTGTCATTCTGTTTGAATCCAAAAAAAAAAAAACATTATGCGAGTGAAAACTTCAAAACCAAACATTAACTCCACTGGCCAAACTCTTTATGTGACACATTCCCTTGACTACCAACAGTATATAATCAAACTCAAAGGAAAAAATAAAACAACTGAAAACATACTAATGATCACAACTTTAAACCGTTTGGTTTTGAATTGGGTTCCTATGACTTCAACTTGGCTTCATCAAACTAAAAGTAAATGGACAGACATTCAAAAACTTTTAGAGCTGGTGATTTAAAATTAAAAAAAATCTTCAGAAGGAGGTAACAATACAAACTTCTTGACAGGACGAGGGTTTTCAGACTGTAACAATCAGTACGCCCAAATCATATTTACATATAGGTTCTGCCTATATGAGAACCTGCCATCATGAGAAACAAAAGATAGTGGATCGGTTTTATTTTGGTCCAGCAGATCTTTAGTTTGTTTACCTCTTCCGCTGGGATCATTTTCAGGATGATGTATTGGATACAACCTGCCACCAAATTACAGATTTGGATTTTACAAAACACTCCACTACAAATCAATAACTAACCAACTTCCCATATCAACTTCAATTTGGTTAACTGGATGCTAAGAATTGTAATCCATAGAATATTTCAGATTTGTGTACACTCTCACGCAAAAAAGGAGGCAGGCTGGAGAACAGAGGAGTCAAGCCGAGGAGTGTGTGACATCAGGGTCATTAGAAATGGACAGACAGGTGAGAGTGAGAGACAGGAGGGGGTGTGTGTGTAGTGACTTATGGAAGTTTGGTCTTCAGAGGTCCCCCATGTCCCTGTCCTCTGCCCGGCGGGAGTCCGACCTGCCGTTCATGCCATCCCGTCTGTCTCGCTCCCTTGACCTGTCTCTGGAGGAGCGCTCTCGGTCCCTGGACGACCTGAGTGACAAAAGTGTACAAAATGTCAAGGGCAAAGAAGATATAAGGAGAAATGGTGGTGGTATGTGTAAACTGCTCGCTTCTATCAAATCTTATTTTTAAACGATTTTAAAACAGTGGAAGGACAACTTCACAAGAGTGGCAACAGAAATATATATATAAAAAAACATGCTCATTTTATGTTGGCTACAGGGTAATTTTTTTTCCATTACTCCATAGGACATCTGAAGAGAGACAGGAAAAAAAGTGAAAGTTGAAAAATTCTCTGACACTTTCCAAACTGAAGTTTGTTCTCTCCATTTTGAACAGTTTTATTACTGCATTCACAAACAACTTCTGCTGTGTGTTGATACCAAACTACATTCTGCATGAATTCTAACAGTAATGCTCTACAGTAGAAGAGTTCAGGTGCTAAAGTGGCCTACAGTCCCAAATCTAAAGTCTCAACAGCCTCAGCTCATGTTTTCAAACTCATCACATTTGAAAACATTTAGCACATCATGAAATAAAAAAATACAAAAATTACAAAGGAGACTCTGGACTGTTGAGTAGCCGAATCTGCTGAAACATGAGAGTGTTTCACTTTCAAAACTACAAACACTGAGATTGAACAACAAAAAGGTTTTAACTGTCCCAAAGGAAGAGAAGCTTCCGGTTGAAGGTGCGAGCTTAGTTGTGTTTTGTTTACTTGTGTTTGGAGCTCCGCTCATGGCTGTGACGGTGTCCTCGACTGCGGGAGCGGGAGCGGCTGCGGTGCCTCCTCCTCCTCTCCCTGGAACGTGAGCGTGAGCGGCGCTTGTCGCGCGATGTGGAGCGAGAGCGCCTCCTTCTGCGGTCACGAGAACGGGACCTGATAAAAATATGACAACAAGCGAGATATATTTAACTCAAAGGGGATCTTTCCACCACAGAAAGTAACTGATTGTGAAGCAGATGGATAGAACTGCTTTCCTACCTTCTATGCTCTCTACTGCGTGATCTGGTCCTATGAAGCAAATGGAAACCAAAAAGTTAGACTGATCAGTGGAAACAAAACTACCCTCAAGAAATGAGCATGGACAGTTAATGTGTGCATTTACCTCTTCTTCATCCTCTCTTCTTTTTCCCTCTCTTCTCGTCTCTTCAGGCGCTCCTGGTTTCTTTTCTCCTGCTTGTCAACCATCGTTTTCTGATCACAATAAAACCAAAGTGAGCTTTTAGGGGTAAAGCCATTGTAAAGCCATGTTTTTGCAAACTTTGAAGAAACAAAAAAGGTTATTTCTCACATTATATATTCTGTGTCTTGATCTATTTATGGTGGGCTTAAGCAGCAGTAGCCCTGTTAGTTTACATGGGGAATAAAGCCGACATGCACCTTGAGTTGGTCCAGTTTCTCCCTGATCTGGATGAAGCCCAGGTGAAGCTTTCCACCAAAGTGATCAGCCAGCCGACGGTCGTTGTCATGCAGACCCAGGTAAGCAGAGCACACCTCACACACCCGAAGCTTCTGCTGCTGAAAGCTGGAGGCCGGCATGGAGTTTCTGTATTCTTCCTGAGGGTGAGAAGATCAGCACATGGACCTTGATTATTCATAGAAGGAAAAGCATCACCACACCCTTATGTGAAATACATGCCCAGCTCCCCTTTCTTACCTCGGCATCCTTCTTCCTCGTGCGCACTTTCTCCACTTCCTGCAGAACCTTCTGGGCTTCATCAACGTTGCCCTCGGCTCCAAGCTGCTCAGCCTTTGCCAGAAGCTTTCCTATTTCTTCATTCAGCTCATGAACTTTCTCTGCCTGCAACACACCACATAGAAGACTAATTGTATTATATTGTATAGCTATGGTATGACACTGACTGAGTACAGCATGAAGAGATTTAAACGCCCCGCAGGAAACCTGGTAGACAGAGCGTGAATGTGATTACTTCGAATCATAATGTGTTGTTTAAGGGGTTTACGTCACTCACCTTTGCTGCCACCTCAGCGCTGATCTCTTCTTGGGTCTCAGCCAAACGCTTCTTTGCCAGCTCTGTTCTTCGGTCACAATCAGCAATGAATGACTCCAGGTGATCCACCGCCTGAAGGACAGAAAACATTCGTTGACAGAGGAAGGCTCAAATATTTACTCTGTGAATTTGCATGCATTTGGACACATGTAAACTCCTTGTTACATTGACATCATCTACATATGCATTTGTACATTTGTAAATATTCTTAACAACTACAATGAGACAGTTTGCCATATGGAGGAACAAGAGTTTGGATTTGGAAAGGTAAGTGTAAATGCCAAATGAAACAGAAATCACTGACTGTTTGAACTCTTGACTTCAGATATGAAATCAACAGCAAGTATAAAACTGTGTATAACAAAGTCAGCCACTCTTGCACAGTGCCACCACTTAATCTGTGTTATTTAACAGTGAATACGGATGTCACTTACATCAAGCTCAAAGAACAGATCTCTCTCTTTGGACGCAATTTCATAATCTGCCCGAAGAGCCAGGTCATGGATCTTTGTGCACTCCCCAAGGTCCATGCGCTAGAAAACAAAAATGGATTCAAAATCTTAATGTATATAAACAAGAGACAAGTTCTTATTTACATGTTTTGTTCTTCTGCTACTCAGAATTGCTCTGAAGTCCTTTGAAATACATGGCAATAATACTTCTTGGGTGCTTTAAGATAACACTTACAGTCCCAGATAGGATGTCATGTGGACAGCAGTTAAGGAGATGACTTTTGCAGACTCGCTCGTCGGTGAACTTGACCCTCTGTCGCGTCTCATCACCTGAAACAGTCCAAAAAAACAACCAGTGAGAAAGACCTTACATATTTGTAAGCAAGGGCGAAATATCCAGTGTATTATAACATATTTCTACAACAGCTACATTTAATGGGCAGATTCTTATCACTTAAATTGCCTAAAGCAATTTGTGCCCACTTATATGAGCAGATCCTCATATTCTGCTTGTCCGAGTTAAACATCTTTATCTTCACTTCACTCAGTCACTTCTGTTGGAGGATGTTCATTATGTGTAAATACATAAAGAGGTAAAATTTACATGTGAATGCATGTATACAGTATACTGTATATTGTGGTGGGTGCTTACCTTTCCCAAGTCTCAATAAAAAGTGTGTAAATTTAGAGCCTCATCTCAGCTTAACTCATGGTGAGGCTAACTGTCCACTGTTATGCAGACTTAAGATTTCAAACAAGAGGACAAAACTGGCAAAGAAATAACTTCCTAAATGACCACAAGCTGATTTTTATTTTTTATTCCAACAAGATTTACAATGGAGCAAATATTACTGTTACAAATGTGAAAGAACATTTCGGGCATTTTTTCCAGTCAAGCCTTTTAAAAATGCATAAAACACTGACAAGAAAAAAAAGAAAAAAAAAAAAAAAAGAAAAAAGAAATCCAAGGAGAAAATATAGTTTATACACACTGCGATCTGCACCACATACTGTACCCTTCTGAATCTTCAAGACCTCAGCTGCAGAATTTTAAACCCGCTGTAGAAAAGTATAAATGGGAACAGTTTTCTTGCCCATACCTGTAGTAAGAAGTTGGGAGTCATACACAAGTCAGATTGTAAATGATGTGTGCAAAGTTTTTTTTTTCTTTCGATGACTATAAAAATTGCCTTCTGAAAACAGCCACTAATGGAAAAATTTGCTCGATGGATTCAGCGCGACCAGACGTCTAACTCAAGCTGCTTAAAACTACTCCAAATTTTAATGCTAGTGCCTTAATGTTTACCCATTTGTGTGTTAAAAAAGGCTACAGTAACTTCCGGAAGGCAAACAAATTGTTTGGATATTCATCATAACAGCTTTAAAAATTATGTGTGACTCACGGCTCGATGAACATGAGGCTTTTCTGCAACTCCTTTGCAGATTGTTGTGGGCTGGCAAAGATACACTGAACCTTAATGAATAAAATAAAGGGGCCACAATTGTTCAGTTTGTATGCAACACATGTATGGGAAGAATTTGATAACAGTCTCATCACACTTACACCCACAAACTCACACACAAATTCACTCTCGCTGCACAAGTCGAATTATCAACTTAGTACGGATGATCAACAGGGCTGCTGATATTATCATGGTCAAGTTGAAACTGTGATTTAATTATTAATGGCAGGGCAGCAGTTAGTTGCATTTTACTACCCATGAATGTCAGACTAAACAGCTATTTTCACCTCTAATGTCTGTATCCAAAGGGCATTAGAAAGTCATTTAAACTGATGGCTCCCTTCTGCAAACAATAAAAACAATTAGGGCTGGGCGATATGGGAAAAAGTTTATCACGATTCATATCAGTCAGTACTGATATATATCACGATATAAAAATTCCCTGACTTTGTGAAAACATGTACTCCACATAATTTGCAGTGCACATTACTTTGCTTCATGTCCGACCTCAAAAAACCAAAATATCTCCACACCACTAATGTTTACGTGTCAGTGTTGTCGACAATGTCATCATCTGTTGAGCCTTCATCTGCATCTCTGAGGGGGTTAGCGTCGGCTTCACATGTTAAAGTGCTATGGTTGCATGTAGCTGTGGCCTTCTACTACGCAGTTGTTTGCTACTTGGTTCTAATTGAGCACATGATTGGTTTAGCATAAGCGGACCTGGAGCAACTCCCCTTTTCATTGGCTATTCATTAGGGGCGCGCCAAAAAAAATCGATTCACACAAGAATCACCATTTTAATTTACTACGATTCAAAATCTAATTAAAACGTCCCAAAATCAATTTTAAAAGATTAAATATCCGCTGCCTGTCCACCTCCATTTTGGAACTACGCTGGACGTCCTGACGTCATCCCACAGCCGGTTCTGGAACGCACACATGCACAGAAGGCACCAAAACAAAGGAAAATACAATGATGGAGGAAAAGGAGATCCAGCTGGCCCTGTCTTCACTAAAAGCTAAAGTTTAGCGTCATTTCGGATTTTACCAAATGCCCGGACACACTGAGCTGGACATGACGCACACAGTGTGCCGACATTGTAAAACTAGAATCAAGCATTTCGGCAACAGGACAAATGTGCGGGCTCACGTTACGAGGCATCGACTGGAGATAAGAGACATGGAGCAGACTCAGCCGCCAGCTGCAGAGCTTCACGAAGCAATTTTTTATATAAACTATATAATACTAAGCTATATATACTTGTTATATAAACTATTCATTATATAAAGAGGTACTTTTAGTTTTGTTACTGAAGCAGTATGTAGTATTGCTTTTAAAAATTCCATCTAAGCATAGATAAATGCTTAGAGCTAAATAAATGTGAAAAAGACACTTTAATGTCTTCATTTGTCTTTCTGTTTTGCACAGCAGATGGAAGTAGATCACGATTAGAAATCAGGTCAGAAATCATTATGAATAAAATCCTTTTGAATCGAAGATCGACTTTAAATCGAATCGTGAGACAGTAAAAGATTCCCACCCTTACTATTCATATAGTCTACAAAAACATGGCAGAATGCAGGCTATCGAAAAAGGACATTGACCATGTGTTAGATCAATATTGAAGGAAATTAATTTTTGATATATATTGTTATTGTATTATCGCCCAACCCTAGTAACAACACAAATGAGGAGATTTCAACTATCTACACTTACATCAGAGTGATAACTTAGATTAGGGTAAATCATTCAGCTAAGTTATATCAATAAAAGTTGTTTTTACTCCCTTATTTACTGTCCTCTCAGTTGATGCTGACATCCTGTGTCATTTAAAGTAATTTACAACATTATCTTGATACTTCAAAACGTGTGGATATGTCTGCGAAGTATTACTTGAGTGATATTTTAACATCTTAAATATTAAAGGTTTGTTTTTTTTGGGGGGTGGGGGGTGGGGGTAATGATCATGCACTATTAGGCCTGATGTTACGTCAGGCCCTGGTGAGCTCTAAAAATGCACCAATACTAACAACTACAAATGTCTCCAACAAGTGTTGTCATTATCTCTAGAGTTGCGTTACTTTGGATTATACCAAAAATGTGTATTACCAGATGCTGGGTCCGCTGCTTCATAGCAAACATTAGCTCACTTAGCTGATTGTTAGAAAGACTGCGCTAAATTTCTTGAAGCCGAAACAAACAAGTCGCCCTTTTTCATGTTCAGTTTGCCCTGAATGGATACAAACATTAATATTGAACGTGTACTCGTAAACTCTACATGTAACTAACAATGTAACAGCCCTCTGCAGTCCATCCATCCATGCAGCTCTGTCCATCACACACCATCACAGCCAGCTTCAGCAGAGGCGCCATCTTGGCTCACTAGCTAGCACAGCTAGCCTGTTACAGTAACTCACCGTCCCTCGCTGTTCCCATCAGCTGGTCGAGCAAAGCTCTCATTTGAGCTTGGGCGGACATTTCTGGAGACCTTCCGTCGACTGCACCGTTTTTAAAAATGCAACCCAACGCCGTTTCGTACAGTTCTTGTTATATTATCTGGTTTTTAGTTCCTCCGAGCATCACCTCTCGCTGCCTTTTTCTGTTTCGTGGACTAGCCAGTTTCCGTTTTATTTCAGGGAAATTACGTCAGGGCTTGTTGTTTTAAATTTCCGTCCGGCTAGCGCCAAAGGGAGGGCTTTTGTATAAAAGTGACCAATCAGATAGTTTCATTGCAGGTTGGTTAGCCAATCACAGGGGCTTTGACTCATTAGGAGCTTCTACTGTTTATTTTGCCCTGAGTCCTGATCTTAGGCAGCGGCTCCACACTTCCTACTCACCAGCTGTCGTCCTCTGGTAGCCTTGTCGGAAACAGTTCTACTTGTCATTGTGAGTGCTGAAATTAGGCCCTTCGGCATAGATTGGCAGCTTTCTTTTATAAGTATAGACACTAAGAAAAGCTCGCCTTACCTCTACAGAAAAGCTGCTGCCTGTGAGACAATCGAAGGGCAATGACGCCCTGCTAATTTTACAGCAGTGGGCTTGTCAGTGATTTGTTTTTTGCAACTGAGGTTGTCAGGCAGCTCTGTGACTGTGTGTCAGCCAGGCCTCCTGCTACCTGAAGCACCCGTGAACACCAAAGACAACAGTGGAGCGAAAAAGTAAGAACACATTTTTATATAAGTGATAATTCTTCATCAAGCTTCATTAAGAGACAGGCGATCTTCCTTATCAGTGAGTCCCTGTTTCGTTAAAGTTCGCAAACTAACAAGGTGTTGACTGTAAACTTCAAAAACCGAATCAAGCTAACAATGGTAGCAATACGACATTGAGTCACACGAATTAGGCCAAAACTCGTCGTTAAAATGACATACCTTGTGTACTTTATCTAACTGTACGGCTCGTTTGATCACGAAATGAGCTTCTCTTCAGACATAAAATCCTCGTCTATCGAAAAAATAACACTGTGTGCCAACCCGGGTGATGTTTGGTCATTCAGGGTCTGTTGTTTTTGTGCTGAGAAATCTCTGGAGTCAGAGCTGGCACTGCTGAATAGGCTCAGATCCACAAAGGTTGATGCAGCAGAAATAGCTGGACTCACAGACTCTGCAGTTCCCAGTATTTTTTCACCTCACTAAATTTGTGATTGCAAGCCAGTTGTGTCTGGTTACTCTGACTAATGCAGGTTTTTGTTTACTCCATGCAGCAGCAAACTGTATACAAAGAAGGGAGGATTCTTGACTTGTATAAAAGTTAAGTGAAAAACCTGCATTAGTTAGAGTTGAGGTTTAGATGTCATTTCTTCTCCTGTCAAGCAGATCTGTGGTGCCTGTAATGCATTGAAGCAACAATGGAGACCGCAGGCACTGCCACCGAAGGCGATCCTCTGAAGCGAGGTGAAGATGGGGTGGAGCCCGTAACAGTTCCTCCAACAACAGAGTTGAAGAAGAAGAGTTGCAAAGAAGCCTTTGGTTTGTCCAAACTAACCCACTGGAGAACTGCAGTCTTCTTCTTCTCCCTGTTCCTCTGCCTCACCATCGTGTTTGCCTTCTCCTTCATCATCCCCTGTCCCGTCAGACCACAGTATGTCCTCACCTGGAACAGGACATTCTCTGAAGCAGGTGTGTTTTTTTTTGTCGGCTGTTTTTTCTCGCTGTGTGTTGGTGTTTTGAATGAGGAACTTACTGCTCTCCTCTACCACAGCTACATATGACTTCCTCGCTATTGAGGATACAAGCAAGGACAAGGTGATGGATGTGCTGTTTGTCCTCAAAAACACAGAGGGCAGCCAGAACAACACCTGTGCTGATGCAGGTATGCATCACGAGGAAACTTGGGTTCAATTGCTGTTTGTGTGGTAACTCCTAGTGCAGTGCGTCCACTCTTTTTGTGCTTTATTTCAGGTCTGCCCTCGCCTTGTGTGTATTTGTTATCAGTGGATGGGACACACGGAGAGAGCCTTTGGGAGCGTCCACTAGATCCTGATTATCACTGGGCTCAGTGTGGTCTGGAGAAAGAAAAAAGCAGAAACTGGGACTGTCTGCTGTCCCATTCAGACAAAGTTACAGCCATTGACAAATACAGTGGTAAATTGCTTAACACTTTGTCTTCTCATAAATTACACTTTAATTTTCATAATGTCGATATAATGACTCCAGTGATGGATTATTGAAATACAACTTCAATAATCGCAATCTCAACGGTTACTCCATCAGAAATGAAACTTTTATATAATTAAAAAGTCGTAAAACTTAAAAAAAACACTCAAACAAGATTCTAAAACATCATTAAAGTAATAACAAGGTTATAAATGCACCTTGTGATTCCTGAAATGAAGTTAAAGTTTGAAAGATTATTTGTAAAAGTAGTATTCCTGATTCCTGAGGTCAAGAGTAAACCCCCATGCGTTTGCAGCTCAGTCAGATTCAGTCAGTAATGTTGGTCTGTGCTGATGTTTGTGTGTGTGCTAACAGGTGAAGTCAGGTGGCAGCAGCCTCACCCTCCTGGTCTGCCCAGCACTGTCCCTGTCCTAAGTGTCCCAGATCTGGATGGGGACCAAGCCAGTGATGTAGCTCTGGTAGCACCTGACAGCTCACAGGTAGACATTTACAATATTGTATTTATTTTTCTGAGCTTAAACCAGAGGTATGGGGATTGAATGCTCTGTTTTTGTTGCTGTTGTTTAAAAATTTCTGAGATAATCACAGATCCAACAAGTGTTTTGATAGAAGAAGCTCTGGCTCTGAAATTGTTCCCACACTGCAGTGAAACAGAATGTACCCATTTTTTATGTAATTTCTGCAGACTCAGCTGGTGTTCCTCTCAGGGAAGACGGGTGTCCAAATTGGCTCTACAGTGACGTTGGACTCCATAGAGACAGCCAGTCACCTTCTGCATCGCACTCCAGACGGTGCTCATTATGTACTACTACAAAAAGGTCAGCATCTTATACAAGCACAGATAATATAATGCATATAGATGCACAGTCTGTACCCAGTTGGAATTTAAAGTACTTATACAGTGCCTAGAAAAAGTATTCATACCCCTTGAAATTTTTCACATTTTGTCACTCTACAACCACAAACTTAAAAGTATTTTATTGAGATTTTTGTCGTAGACCAACACAAACTAGCACATAATTGTGAAGTTGAATGAAAATGATACATGGTTTTCAAAAATGTAAACAAATAAAAATCTGAAAAGTGTGGTGTGAATTTGTATTCGGCCCCCCCCTGTGTTAATACTTTGTAGATCCACCTTTTTGGGGTATGTCTTTACAAGCTTTGCACATCTAAAGATTGAAAGTTTGGCCCATTCTTTTTTGCAAAATAGCTCAAGCTCAGCCAGATTGGATGGCGAGCGGCTTCCGCCACACATAGCGCTTTGCATTCAGGCTGCTTCTCCTTGCCCGATCTGTCAGTTTAGGTGGACGGCCATGTCTTGGTAGGTTAACAGTTGTGGCATACTTCTTCCATTTTTGGATGATGGATTGAACAGTACACTTTGAAATGTTCAAAGCTTTGGATATTTTTTTTTTAGCCTAACCCTGCTTTAAACTTCTCCACAACTTTTTCCCTGACCTGTCTGGTGAGTTCCTTGGTCTTCATGATGCTCTTTGTTGACTAGTGTTCTCTAACAAAGCACTGAGGCCTTCACACAACAGTTGTAATTATGCTGATACTAAATTACACACAGGTGGACTCTATTAACTAATTAGGTGACTTCTGAAGGCAATTGATTGCACTGCATTTTATTTAGGGGTATCAGAGTACAGGGGGCTGAATACATGAACACCACACTTTTCAGATTTTTATTTGTTTAAATTTTTGTTCCACTTCACAGTTATGTGCTACTTTGTGTTGGTCTATGACAAAAAATCTCAATAAAATACTTTTAAGTTTGTGACAAGCGGTATGGATACTTTTTCAAGGCACTGTACTGTAGGGCTGGTGAATGCAGAAGAACTGATTCATCACATTTACTTCTATTACATTGCCCTTTAAAGGACTTTTGTACTGGTTGTTTCTGTGCAAAGCAAATTGTACTGCATGTCAGTTTCAGGAGCCTTGTACTGTAATTTATACAAACTTAGAATACAAATAAAAATATAACACAAAAAACTCCAATGTGTATTAACTCAGAATTTTACTTTCTATGTTCCATTTTAGTTAAAATCAATTTTTGAAGGTGGTAAGGAGACACATGATAATGCACAAGAAACAATGAATGCAAACTATTTAAGTTTAAGTTACAAGTCAGTTTTGTAGTGTTGTTTTATTTCATGCACCTGATGGCAGCAGTGAGTAATATCGTGCTTGTGCATTCACAGACACTGGTGTGTACGGACTGGCTCTGTGGAGGATTGCTGCCCAAGCTAAAGAAGGGATGGATGCAGATCTAAAGAAGGACAAACACTGGGAGAAAAACTCAAGTCCTACATCTGGTCTTGTGCCTGTATATGAGTAAGGAGTAGCTTACGTTATTAGCCTATCCATTATTGGACGTCACTGCAAGGCTTATACTGATTTTTCTCTCTACTTTCTAGGTCTAACTCCGTGAAACAATTTCTCAGAGTTGGAGAAACAGGCGACCCTCCAAATCTGCTGGTAGTGACTGAGAATGAGGTGGTTTTGATTGACGGCAAAAACTTAAAGATATTGTGGAGATTTAATGCCAGCTCAGTCATAAGGTAAACCTCTGTTTTTTCTCTTCTCTTCAGCTCTTAATGTTCCAAAAAAGCCTTGTAATATATCCACTGTGGTGGATGGGTCTGGAACCAGTCAATTTATTCCATATTTGCAGGGAAGGTATGAGTAATGGTCACATGTGGAAGTGCTTCTGGAAGCGGTTGCTCAGACCTACATTTATGCAGCAATAGAAAATGTTAAAAGACAGCAGCATGCAGGATAAAGGTCTTGTTTTATGTCAACCTTATAGTTTAAAACAGCTGCAATAGCGGATTCAACTGACCTCCCAGCAGCAAAACCTGCCGCCATGGTTGTTTAGGAATATGGAGAAGCGCTGTCCCGTGTTGTCATCTGATAGTACCTGTCCCATTATTTAATGAAGGACTGACTGGTTTTTGATATCTAACACTGAAGGGAAATCCTTCAGAATGACGGTGGTTCCAGATCTACCTTCAAGCTAAAAAAAATATTTGCTTGCCTTCTGTGATTGAACAAAAGGAGCCATCTGAAAACTATTGAACATCCAAATGACTGAATGATTCTGTAAGCAGATTAAAGGGTCGTTTGCTAAAGCCTTTTTAGACATGGATAATTAGTTAAGATGTCATTTGTTCACTTCCATTTAGTGAGCCCTCCTTTGGTCACTATAACAAAGATGATGTCCTCGATGTTGTGCTGGAGGAGGATATTGGCAATAACACAAAGAAGGTGAGGCCACTGTACTGATGTGTTTTTTTTTTGTTGTTGTATGCATCATCTCCTCTGTTGAATATCTGACTCACACATCAACTTCAATACTGCTCATATTGTGCATAGGTTGCAATACTCGATGGGAAATCTGGAGGTGTGCTGTGGGAAGTTGACCTCTTGGCCACTCCAAACTCACCAAGACCCGCCTCCATTCATACCACCAACTCCTTTTCTATCTTCGTGTTCTGGGGCCGGATGCCCTCACAGACGAACGCATCTGTAAGTTAACTGGTGATGCATGTCAACAGGTTTCTTTAAAACTGCTAATCTGGCTCTGTTGTTTTCTCCCAGGTACCACTAAGCAGTGAGCGTTGTTCTTACATGCTCCATCCTCTCTATTCGAATGTGCTGCTGGAGTCAACCAGTTCCATGGACCATATTGTAACATTTAAAGGTACTGTTAGCTCTTTAACTGTGTTGAAAGCTATCAGCTATCCACTGATGACACTAAAAGCCTGAGCATGAGGAAAGTAGATTAGCTTGGTAATGTCTGGGTTGTATTTTCAAGCTCCAAAATTTGTGCTTTATTGTGACTTGTGTGTCTTAGCCACACTGTTGGAACGCGGCCGTCATGCTGCCTACATCCTCCTCACGGGTCCTGTGACTGATGGCACTGAAGGCATCGTCGTCCTCAGCAAGCGAAAGCTGAAGCAGGACGTCCCTAACAGCAAAGTTCTCCGCATCAGCACGGGTGGAAGCTCAGAAACCAACGAGGACATCAAGGAGGCCTTCAACCGTCTGCGCTTCAGTGACTGGTGAAACTGCAACATGTACTGTATGTTCTCAATGTGAGTATTATTTTGGTACAGCTGACTTTTTGTGACTTAACTCAACTCTAAAAACCAAAGTAAACCCTAGCTATGACTTTCTTACTGCTGAAAACCAAGAAAAAAAAGCTGTATACTTCATTTGACAGGTTTCATCCTCTTAATTTGCTGTATTACAGACTGCAAACATACTATCAAGAGTTTGATATGACATTGGGTCCAAACTACTCCTGTCCCCTTGACAATCACGTAGCACAGAATGTTATTCTCCTGCTGATGAATTCATATAGAGGGCTCTCCTTGCCGTATTATTTCTCGCACTTTTTATGCATTGATTTAATGCCTACTTTTGATGCACATATGCTGGATTATCATTTAGATCTATGCAACTTTGTATCACACTTAGTTTAATATGGTAGCACCTGCACACTCTTAAATGGAGGGAGTTTATGTATGATTGAAATTTCTTAATTGCCTTAATAATTACATGATTCAAGGGCTTCTTTCCTTTGGTATTTTTCCCAGACTGTACACTAAATTAGATAAGATGTAAAAAGTACTTTGAATGGTTAAGGGTTGACACTATGTGGTTACAGTTTTTGTTACTTTGTCTATTTTGAGGGTACTGCCAGGACTCTATTTTAGCCACTAGCACTGTTTATCAAGAGATGTGTCTTTCTTATCTACTCAATCCAAGATGCTGTAAGTGGTGATGTTGTTATATGCACACTGTGTAAATCTTATTGAGGGTTATGCAGAATAGTGATACTTACTGCTGTGGTTTACAGCTCCAGATATAAAGCTGTTTTCATTTCTCAGTGATTTTATATGAGATAAATGATAAAAATGGAGGTTATGGTTCTTGCTGTACATGAAAAAGAGCTGATTTTTCTTTTAAAATTTTATGTTTGAACTTGAGAAATAAACAGTTTTAAAGTAGCTGTCTTGGGTTGTCACTCTTTTTTTTGTACATTTCCTATTCAACCATTTGAAATTCAGAGTATTAAATTTCATTGTATTCTTTCTTCCACATATAAGGGGGAGCCAACAGTGATTTATGTCATTTTCATACAATTGTGTTCAATGACAAGATCTGCTTCAGCTTTAAACAAGCCATTACCCATTCAAGATTAAATGCTCTAAATAAGCAAAACAGGAAAGTGAGGGGGAGGATGTCCTGAACACCTGCAATGCTGTCATCAGTTGTACTACCATCTACAGCCACAAGTTGGATGTTGGTTTTGAACAACAGCAGTTTATGTCATTAAAAAAAAATTTGAAAGACCACATATACAGTGAGGGGTACATTAACCACGTGACCGCTCTGGCGGCGAGATCTGAAGTTGTCGCCACTCTGTTTAATCCACTGCTCTGCTCTTCTAATGTTGACTGCGGAAATCTCATAGACTTATATAAAGTCTATGGGAAATCTGTATTATTACTTCCTGGCAAAATACTAACGCTTCCTGTTGAGCATTTCAAAGGAAAAGTTTTCAGTCTCAGGTAAACTCGACTCCCCCAACCCACAAACAAATATGTATTTCTGATTTAACCATTTCAATTCAATTTATTCATCTCTTTATCTCGAGATAACGCTGTTTAATAAAATAAAGGAATAAATAAAATTTCCCCTTAGGATGCATTAAATTTTCAGCAACTGAAATAAAACTATGAAAGCTCTGCTGACTTGTTAATTACATTGTCTCAACCATAGACTGTATATACTATGGACAATATACTATGGATGAGTATCAGGTCACAAACGTGTCTTTGGAAATATCTTGACAATGTCACTACTTCTATTTACAGTTGTTGTTTTCATCTGGCAAATACAATATTGAGCATTATTCTTCTGCTGCATCCAAATTAAACTGAACACCCAGCGACACAAAAACTGCACTTTTCAATTTTTATTTTCAAAGCTGGACATGGGGTTGCAACCAAAATAATGCAAAATTGATAGGAGTCAGATTTTATGGAAATCGGGCTTTACTTTACAATGATGAATAATTCGTTTTGCAGATATCAGATTTGATGAATGATTCGTAAAAGTTGGCTCCGTAAATTACCATCCAGAGCTGACATCAGATTAAGAACCACAGCTGTAAAAGTAGTGATACCAAATAACTAACACAGTCCTTTTGCCTGCATTCAAACCCAAAAAAAGAGATGCATTCGTTATTTTTTATCTCTTTTTTTCTTACCTCAGAATCTAAATATGTCGAAGTCATGGGCTGTGTGAAACAAGGCTGTATCTTGTCACCCTCTGGTTCCTGTTGAAGTATTTTTAGATTAGCCTATATTTCACATTCTGTTAAATCTCTTTTTCAGCCAAACATCTTTTTTATTATTTATGCTGATTTAGAAAGATTTTTCAAGTTAATAAAAGCATGTAATGACTTCACTCTATGTGTGAATTAGTATAAAGTACCATCACATGAAAATAGGCTTTTTTTTACTCAAGTGAAAAGGTATTTTGGCTCAGAGCTGATGTGATATTTTTATTTTTTTAAAGTTCAAAATTCGATATCTTTATGGCCTTTTTGATGCCTTATAATGGGCTTTGTCAAATAGCAATGATCAACTTTAGTTTTTTGTTTTTTTAAAACAGGGGGACAAAGTGCTTCACAGATGTAGTTACTGCTCTAAAATATTGATATGATAGGAGTATATATAGACTATTTTTAGTAGCCTTCTAAAGAAAATCGACTGAATTTAATTGAAGTAAAGGCTTCAGTGGAAATTATAATGAGAGACAAAGTTTCCAGTTTTTGTTGGGTTACCTATGAGACATAGGCCTACTCAGCTATAGTTTTCAAAAAGGGGTCGTTTTGTACCGAAATAAGGAAGGTTTTTAAATTAAAATGCGTTTTATACTCTTAAACTAGTTGACGAAAAATAACCTCCACTTTACTTCAAGAGATATTTATATTCCATTGAGATTAAGGAAATCAGATAATATTAAACTTTCAGATATAACCTACCAGTGTAAGGGTTTTCCTAAAGTAAACAGCATTTTAAATCTCCATGGTAACCTGTGACGATGTTAAAAACTTTAAATCATTACAAGCCAAAAAGCGCGGTCATTTCTGAAGATCAAATCTGAAGACAACAGCACGAAAAAGTTGTGGCTCACGAACTTACAACTTTTGACGGCTTCATCATAAATAAAACCTCACCAGACGACTAAGGACTCCGACAAACACCTGAACAGAGAGGACAACATCTACGAAATGGAGACGGTAAGATTTCATGACAATATTATCATACAAACTTGTGTTACTGTCGAGACTTTCGTGATGGATGCATCGACAAGAATTAAATGTGTGCATGGATATTTACAGTGTTTATGACTTTAATGTGACAGGCATTATCAAAATTAACCGAAAATAAGTGAACATAGGCGTTTTTTTGTGTGTGTGTTACTGTCGAAACGTTCGAATGGTTAGCTTAAAAGTGATGCATTGACATCACATGAAAGTCCTGCCCACCATGTCAAAGACTCTGTGCTTAAGAGCAGAAAGCTCATGTTATTGTGCGAAATCTCTCTAAAAGATTTTTTTATGTCTTCTGGGCTATTTAAAGCCGTCAGTCTGAAACTTATTTGACAGTTTCTCTTTATACTAACCAATGCTATCAGGTGAAAACTATAAACACAAGCTATTTTCATTCTTATTACAGTAAAAGAGGCACATTAAAGGAGTGAAATGTGGTGTTAAAATAAGGGACACCTTCATAACTTTAAAGAATGACAGTCATCATAAAATTTAACAAAATAAACTAAAAAGACATAATACTTAGACCTATTTATAAGTGCTCTAATAGGCCTAAGTAACCAAAAAAATCATATAAATTACATTTGAACCTAATTAAAAAGTTACAAAAACAGACGAAATTAAGTTAAAAGTAATGTCTTATGTACAGCTTTTAAAATGAAGAGTTCGATAATGTTCCACTGAAATATGTTTTCATGTTTTCATGGATCAAGTGTGTGTGTGTTTTTTTACCACAATATTTAAAATTTCAATTATGGGAAAAATTCACTAAGTGTAATCGAAACACTGTCCTTTTGTGGACGTCAGTTTTTTATCAAACTGAAAGCAGAGGATTTTCTTATTTAATCTAAAGTCTTTTTCCCAATAAAATAAAATGACTGAAATAGACATACCAAAAAATATAAATTCTTAATGGAGGGTGTTGCATTGATGTTAATCTATTTCTATTGCACAATTAACCTGCTAATTAGAGACTAAATTCAAATTAAAATGTATTGACTGTCTCTTCTTGATGATACTGATGTTACAGATGCTTCCTTCATGACCTTGACCACACAGTCAAATGTTACAGCTTGTTTAATTTAAATGTCTGCGTTGTTTCTGTCTTCAGACCAACCAGACCAATTTCAAAGATGTGAAACCTTCCCCTAAAAAATCATTTCTGCAGATTTCAGATTTTATAATTTGTCGGTTTTTCTTTCTCAGGTCCGAGTGGAGCAGTACAGCCTCATCCAGAACCAGGATAAGTCCACTCCTAGGCTGTTACTGAGGAAGGTCCCACCGATGGACGGCCCTCCAAGTTTCTCCTCCCCCAAGGTCATCCAGGTAAGTAACTCTCACTCCTCTTCTGTCTCTCCCTCTTTCTCTCCCTCTCCTCCTGTCTCTCAAAGAAAAAAAGAAAAAAGAAAGAAAAAAAGAGAGAAAAAAGAAAAAAGAAAGAAAGAAAAAAAGGAAAAAAAGACAAAAAGAAAGAAAGAAAAAAGAAAAGAAAGAAAGAAAAAAAAAGAATTAAAAAAGAAAGAAAGAAAAAATGAAAAAAGAAAAAGAAAGAGAAAAAAAGAAAGAAAAAAGAAAAAGAAAGAAAGAAAAAAAAGAAAGAAAAAGAAAGAAAAAAAGACAGAAAAACGAAAAAAGAAAGAAAGAAAAAAGAAAAAAGAAAAGAAAGAGAGAAAAAAGACAAAAAGAAAAGAAAGAAAAAAAAAGAAAAAAAGAAAAAAAGAAAAAAAGAAAAAAGAAAGAAAAAAAGAAAAGAAAGAAAGAAAAAAAGAAAAAAGAGAAAAAAGAAAGAAAAAAAAGAAAGAAAGGACCCCGGTCCTTGTCCACAGCTTCCACTGTTCCTGTCCCAGGCCGATCATGAAGAGGGTCACGGCAACACCCATGTCCTGTTCCAAGCCTCGCTGTGTAAGTAGGAAACCACACTGACAACATAGATAGGCCATTAATTTCAAAGATGTGAAACCTTCCCCTAAAAAATCATTTCTGCAGACTTCAGATTTTATAATTTGTCGGTTTTTCTTTCTCAGGTCCGATTGGAGCAGTACAGCCTCGTCCAGAACCTGGATAAGTCCACTCCTAGGCTGTTACTGAGGAAGGTCCCACCGATGGGCGGCCCTCCAAGTTTCTCCTCCCCCAAGCTCATCCAGGTAAGTAACTCTCACTCCTCTTCTGTCTCTCCCTCTTTCTCTCCCTCTCCTCCTGTCTCTCAAAGAAAAAAAGAAAAAAGAAAGAAAAAAAAGAGAGAAAAAAGAAAAAAGAAAGAAAGAAAAAAAGGAAAAAAAGACAAAAAGAAAGAAAGAAAAAAGAAAAGAAAGAAAGAAAAAAAAGAAAGAAAAAAGAAAGAAAGAAAAAAGAAAGAAAGAAAAAAGAAAAGAAAGAAAAAAAAAGAAAAAAAAGAAAGAAAAAAAGAAAAGAAAGAAAGAAAAAAAGAAAAAAGAGAGAAAAAAAGAAGAAAGAAAGAAAAGAAAGAAAGAAAGGACCTCGGTCCTTGTCCACAGCTTCCACTGTTCCTGTCCCAGGCCGATCATGAAGAGGGTCACGGCAACACCCATGTCCTGTTCCAAGCCTCGCTGTGTAAGTAGGAAACCACACTCACAACACAGATAGGCCATTAATTTCAAAGATGTGAAACCTTCCCCTGGAAAAATCATTTCTGCAGACTTCAGATTTTATAATTTGTCGGTTTTTCTTTCTCAGGTCCGATTGGAGCAGTACAGCCTCGTCCAGAACCAGGATAAGTCCACTCCTAGGCTGTTACTGAGGAAGGTCCCACCGATGGACGGCCCTCCAAGTTTCTCCTCCCCCAAGCTCATCCAGGTAAGTAACTCTCACTCCTCTTCTGTCTCTCCCTCTTTCTCTCCCTCTCCTCCTGTCTCTCAAAGAAAAAAAAAAAAAAAAAAAAAAAGAGAGAAAAAAGAAAAAAGAAAGAAAGAAAAAAAGGAAAAAAAGACAAAAAGAAAGAAAGAAAAAAGAAAAGAAAGAAAGAAAAAAAAAGAATTAAAAAAGAAAGAAAGAAAAAATGAAAAAAGAAAAAAGAAAGAGAAAAAAAGAAAGAAAAATGAAAAAGAAAGAAAGAAAAAAAAGAAAGAAAAAGAAAGAAAGAAAGAAAAACGAAAAAAGAAAGAAAGAAAAAGAAAAAAGAAAAGAAAGAAAGAAAAAAGAAAAAAAAGAAAAAAAGAAAAGAAAAAAGAAAAGAAAGAAAAAAAGAAAAAAGAAAGAAAAAAGAAAAGAAAGAAAGAAAAAAGAGAAAAAAGAAAGAAAGAAAGAAAAAAAAAGAAAGAAAGGACCTCGGTCCTTGTCCACAGCTTCCACTGTTCCTGTCCCAGGCCGATGATGAAGAGGGTCACGGCAACACCCATGTCCTGTTCCAAGCCTCGCTGTGTAAGTAGGAAACCACACTGACAACACAGATAGGCCATTAATTTCAAAGATGTGAAACCTTCCCCTAAAAAATCATTTCTGCAAACTTCAGATTTTATAATTTGTCGGTTTTTCTTTCTCAGGTCCGATTGGAGCAGTACAGCCTCGTCCAGAACCAGGATAAGTCCACTCCTAGGCTGTTACTGAGGAAGGTCCCACCGATGGGCGGCCCTCCAAGTTTCTCCTCCCCCAAGCTCATCCAGGTAAGTAACTCTCACTCCTCTTCTGTCTCTCCCTCTTTCTCTCCCTCTCCTCCTGTCTCTCAAAGAAAAAAAGAAAAAAGAAAGAAAAAAAAGAGAGAAAAAAGAAAGAAAGAAAAAAAGGAAAAAAAGACAAAAAGAAAGAAAGAAAAAAGAAAAGAAAGAAAGAAAAAAAAGAATTAAAAAAGAAAGAAAGAAAAAAATGAAAAAAGAAAAAAGAAAAAGAAAGAGAAAAAAGAAAGAAAAAAGAAAAAGAAAGAAAGAAAAAAAGAAAGAAAAAGAAAGAAAAAAAGACAGAAAAACGAAAAAAGAAAGAAAGAAAAAAGAAAAGAAAGAGGGAAAAAAGAAAAAAGAAAAGAAAGAAAAAAAAAGAAAAAAAGAAAAAAGAAAGAAAAAAAGAAAAGAAAGAAAGAAAAAAGAGAAAAAAGAAAGAAAAAAAAGAAAGAAAGGACCTCGGTCCTTGTCCACAGCTTCCACTGTTCCTGTCCCAGGCCGATCATGAAGAGGGTCATGGCAACACCCATGTCCTGTTCCAAGCCTCGCTGTGTAAGTAGGAAACCACACTGACAACATAGATAGGCCATTAATTTCAAAGATGTGAAACCTTCCCCTAAAAAATCATTTCTGCAGACTTCAGATTTTATAATTTGTCGGTTTTTCTTTCTCAGGTCCGATTGGAGCAGTACAGCCTCGTCCAGAACCAGGATAAGTCCACTCCTAGGCTGTTACTGAGGAAGGTCCCACCGATGGGCGGCCCTCCAAGTTTCTCCTCCCCCAAGCTCATCCAGGTAAGTAACTCTCACTCCTCTTCTGTCTCTCCCTCTTTCTCTCCCTCTCCTCCTGTCTCTCAAAGAAAAAAAGAAAAAAGAAAGAAAAAAAAGAGAGAAAAAAGAAAAAAGAAAGAAAGAAAAAAAGGAAAAAAAGACAAAAAGAAAGAAAGAAAAAAGAAAAGAAAGAAAGAAAAAAAAGAAAGAAAAAAGAAAGAAAGAAAAAATGAAAAAAGAAAGAGAAAAAAAGAAAGAAAAAAGAAAAAGAAAGAAAGAAAGAAAAAGAAAGAAAAAAAGACAGAAAAACGAAAAAAGAAAGAAAGAAAAAAGAAAGAAAGAAAAAAGAAAAGAAAGAAAGAAAAAAAGAAAGAAAAAAGAAAAGAAAGAAAAAAAAAGAAAAAAAGAAAGAAAAAAAGAAAAGAAAGAAAGAAAAAAAGAAATAAGTGAGAAAAAAAGATGAAAGAAAGAAAAAAAAGAAAGAAAGGACCTCGGTCCTTGTCCACAGCTTCCACTGTTCCTGTCCCAGGCCGATCATGAAGAGGGTCACGGCAACACCCATGTCCTGTTCCAAGCCTCGCTGTGTAAGTAGGAAACCACACTCACAACACAGATAGGCCATTAATTTCAAAGATGTGAAACCTTCCCCTGGAAAAATCATTTCTGCAGACTTCAGATTTTATAATTTGTCGGTTTTTCTTTCTCAGGTCCGATTGGAGCAGTACAGCCTCGTCCAGAACCAGGATAAGTCCACTCCTAGGCTGTTACTGAGGAAGGTCCCACCGATGGACGGCCCTCCAAGTTTCTCCTCCCCCAAGCTCATCCAGGTAAGTAACTCTCACTCCTCTTCTGTCTCTCCCTCTTTCTCTCCCTCTCCTCCTGTCTCTCAAAGAAAAAAAGAAAAAAGAAAGAAAAAAAAGAGAGAAAAAAAAAGAAAGAAAGAAAAAAAGGAAAAAAAGACAAAAAGAAAGAAAGAAAAAAGAAAAGAAAGAAAGAAAAAAAAAATTAAAAAAGAAAGAAAGAAAAAATGAAAAAAGAAAAAAGAAAGAGAAAAAAAGAAAGAAAAATGAAAAAGAAAGAAAGAAAAAAAAGAAAGAAAAAGAAAGAAAGAAAGAAAAACGAAAAAAGAAAGAAAGAAAAAGAAAAAAGAAAAGAAAGAAAGAAAAAAGAAAAAAAGAAAAGAAAAAAGAAAAGAAAGAAAAAAAGAAAAAAGAAAGAAAAAAGAAAAGAAAGAAAGAAAAAAGAGAAAAAAGAAAGAAAGAAAGAAAAAAAAAGAAAGAAAGGACCTCGGTCCTTGTCCACAGCTTCCACTGTTCCTGTCCCAGGCCGATGATGAAGAGGGTCACGGCAACACCCATGTCCTGTTCCAAGCCTCGCTGTGTAAGTAGGAAACCACACTGACAACACAGATAGGCCATTAATTTCAAAGATGTGAAACCTTCCCCTAAAAAATCATTTCTGCAAACTTCAGATTTTATAATTTGTCGGTTTTTCTTTCTCAGGTCCGATTGGAGCAGTACAGCCTCGTCCAGAACCAGGATAAGTCCACTCCTAGGCTGTTACTGAGGAAGGTCCCACCGATGGGCGGCCCTCCAAGTTTCTCCTCCCCCAAGCTCATCCAGGTAAGTAACTCTCACTCCTCTTCTGTCTCTCCCTCTTTCTCTCCCTCTCCTCCTGTCTCTCAAAGAAAAAAAGAAAAAAGAAAGAAAAAAAAGAGAGAAAAAAGAAAGAAAGAAAAAAAGGAAAAAAAGACAAAAAGAAAGAAAGAAAAAAGAAAAGAAAGAAAGAAAAAAAAGAATTAAAAAAGAAAGAAAGAAAAAAATGAAAAAAGAAAAAAGAAAAAGAAAGAGAAAAAAAGAAAGAAAAAAGAAAAAGAAAGAAAGAAAAAAAAGAAAGAAAAAGAAAGAAAAAAAGACAGAAAAACGAAAAAAGAAAGAAAGAAAAAAAGAAAAGAAAGAGGGAAAAAAGAAAAAAGAAAAGAAAGAAAAAAAAAGAAAAAAAGAAAAAAGAAAGAAAAAAAGAAAAGAAAGAAAGAAAAAAGAGAAAAAAGAAAGAAAAAAAAGAAAGAAAGGACCTCGGTCCTTGTCCACAGCTTCCACTGTTCCTGTCCCAGGCCGATCATGAAGAGGGTCATGGCAACACCCATGTCCTGTTCCAAGCCTCGCTGTGTAAGTAGGAAACCACACTGACAACATAGATAGGCCATTAATTTCAAAGATGTGAAACCTTCCCCTAAAAAATCATTTCTGCAGACTTCAGATTTTATAATTTGTCGGTTTTTCTTTCTCAGGTCCGATTGGAGCAGTACAGCCTCGTCCAGAACCAGGATAAGTCCACTCCTAGGCTGTTACTGAGGAAGGTCCCACCGATGGGCGGCCCTCCAAGTTTCTCCTCCCCCAAGCTCATCCAGGTAAGTAACTCTCACTCCTCTTCTGTCTCTCCCTCTTTCTCTCCCTCTCCTCCTGTCTCTCAAAGAAAAAAAGAAAAAAGAAAGAAAAAAAAGAGAGAAAAAAGAAAAAAGAAAGAAAGAAAAAAAGGAAAAAAAGACAAAAAGAAAGAAAGAAAAAAGAAAAGAAAGAAAGAAAAAAAAGAAAGAAAAAAGAAAGAAAGAAAAAATGAAAAAAGAAAGAGAAAAAAAGAAAGAAAAAAGAAAAAGAAAGAAAGAAAGAAAAAGAAAGAAAAAAAGACAGAAAAACGAAAAAAGAAAGAAAGAAAAAAGAAAGAAAGAAAAAAAGAAAAGAAAGAAAGAAAAAAAGAAAGAAAAAAGAAAAGAAAGAAAAAAAAAGAAAAAAAAGAAAGAAAAAAAGAAAAGAAAGAAAGAAAAAAAGAAATAAGTGAGAAAAAAAGATGAAAGAAAGAAAAAAAAGAAAGAAAGGACCTCGGTCCTTGTCCACAGCTTCCACTGTTCCTGTCCCAGGCCGATCATGAAGAGGGTCACGGCAACACCCATGTCCTGTTCCAAGCCTCGCTGTGTAAGTAGGAAACCACACTCACAACACAGATAGGCCATTAATTTCAAAGATGTGAAACCTTCCCCTGGAAAAATCATTTCTGCAGACTTCAGATTTTATAATTTGTCGGTTTTTCTTTCTCAGGTCCGATTGGAGCAGTACAGCCTCGTCCAGAACCAGGATAAGTCCACTCCTAGGCTGTTACTGAGGAAGGTCCCACCGATGGACGGCCCTCCACGCCCCCCCCCCCCCCCCCCCCTTCTCCTTCCTCATTCTCTCTCGCCTTCCCTTATCTTGTTCTCTCTCTCTCTCCCCTCTCCCCTCTTCTCTCCACATTCCTCCCCAACCCAGCAGCGGCATGGTGGCTGTCTAACATGAGGCTGGTCCTGCCCAAGGTTTCTGCCTGTTAAAAGGAAGTTTTTCCTTGCCACTGCTACTCATGTTAGTTGAGATGGGCCAAAACCCATCTTAGGTTGGTTCTTGATCATCAAACAATGAGTGTGGTCTAGACCTGCTCTTGTTCCTTGAAAAGCGTCTTGAGATGACGACTGTTGCGAATTGGTGCTATATAAATAAAATTTGATTTGATTTGATTTTTATCAGAGCTATTTCTGAGTTACATGAATGATCCTGATCCTGTGTCTTCTGCCACTCAGCAAAAACATAAAAAGAAAGAAAAAAAGAAAGAAAGACCTTTTAATCGTGTTTGATTTATTAACAGTATTGTGTGAAGGAAAAAAAAAGTCTTTTTAGGGATGCTGCCGGATTTCATGGTTTTATTCATGTTGATCTGACTGAATGTTGATAAAAGCAGTGATGGATTCTTATATCCGAGCTAAAAAATATCAATCCTGCTTAGTTTTCCTGGTTTTCCCTCAGGCTGTTTTTCACTGGAATTGGTTCACAGCCTGGTCTCTGTACATTTTGTTGCCTATTTTGGTGGCTTGTTATTAGCTGGAATAGGTGTGCTGATACAAAATTGTTTAGTAAATCACTTTCTAAGTAACTGCACAATTATAATTTAGAAAAATAAGAGTAAAGTGGGAAATTTATGTAAAATCTTCATATTACTTGACTGAATTAAATGTTATTTTTATGCAGCTGACATCCTTATTCACATATCTGTATGCAAGTGGAGTTATAAATCAGTTATATGTCATGCCAACATCACTGTAGGATAAGATTCATTCTAATCTTATATCATAAGTCTCAGGCTTATCTTAATGTACCATAAGCAGAGCACCTTTCAGCATTTAGAAAGTTAGAGTGGCACAGAAGAAACCCTCTCACTAAGAAGGCAGAAAACCTGGAGCAGACCATGACCCCTGCGAAAAAGCCATAAGATAGAGACAAAAACAGAGGAGAAATGGTTCAGAGCTCCTCAGCATCCCTGGGTCTACCAGAGAGTTATCTTGAACACATAGAGTTAAGTTAATTGTTTTTCTGATCGGAGCAGCTGGTAAGCTGCTGAGGTTGTTAAAACTACAACCTTTTTCTCCATGTGCACGGTGTATGTAGAAGTTACAACTATAATTGTCTGTATATTTGTTCAGTCAACATTTCGCGAAATGGGTTTCCCAAGTGACTCTACAAACCATCCAAAAAAGTAAAAAATAAACAAACAAAATGAAAAAAACAAAAATAGCTGACTCACCCCTCATTACTGTAGACTCGAGTTGGACTCCTGACCCCTCAAGAGCTATAATAGACCGAGTTGATCTTATTGACTTCATTTCACATATCTGTTGAGTGACGCCATGAAACTATTCAGTGTCATAGTCGGTATCTATTTGACAGTGGCTGCTGGTCAAACACAGCCAGCTATGGAGTCCTCATACATCGCTGCTGTATTTGAGCACAATTTAATCACCAACCCAGACCCTCGTGTCCCAGTGTTGCGGCAGGCTGCCCTTCAACACATGCAGAAAAACTTGGATATCTACGAAGTGCAGGCTGCACGAGCTGCTCAGCAGGTATGATTTTGATTGGAAAGTTATAAATGCTTAGTAGCGACTCATAAAAAGGGTAACTTATTGCTCTACTAAAAATCAATGAGCCACCATGTGCCAGGTTTTTTCTATTGCGTAACCAGTAAGTGTATTATTCAATAAAAGGGTCATACCTTATATGAGAGCAAATGACTATGCATTCAGAATCCTGGCATGTTTTTTCAGTCGTGTCTTCTCTGGTCTTTATCAGGGTGCCCAGATCCTGGTGTTTCCAGAAGATGGTCTACATGGGTTTAACTTCACTCGACATCCATCGTATCTTGAAACAATTCCTGACCCCCAGCAGGAGAGCTGGAACCCCTGCACAGAGCCGGAGAAACACGACAACACTGAGGTGCACAGATATACACTCATGTTTGATGTCTATCTTGATTTAAAGATACCCACGAGCAGCCAACACTGGTCTGTTATTATGAATTACATTTCAGAATGGTTGTTTTACAGGTTCTCCAGCGGTTGAGCTGTATGGCTCGTTGGAATAACATCTACATTGTAGCTAATATGCCTGACCGGCAGCCCTGCCCCCTGTCTACAGATCCCACCTCCTCCTGTCCATCTGTTGGATGCTGGCAGTTCAACACCAAAATTGCCTTTAGGTGAAGTTGAGATCTTAAAATAGAGACATCTAGCTAAACTCCAGCAAATGCATCAACGTATGAATTCTTAATTTCATTATCTTCTAGGTCTGATGGCCTGCTGGTGGCACGCTACCATAAATACAACCTTTTCCATGAGGAGTCCTTTGACACTCCACCACAGCCACTGGCCTGCTGATATGCTTTGACATCCTATTTTACAAGCCCACTATAGCACTGGTGGAAAAGGCAAAACCACTCACAATTGTGTCTTTAGCTCTATGTCCCTGTGTCGGATCTCTTTTTTAAAAGCAGACTCTCTTCCCGCTCCTTTTAGGGTGTTCGTCAGCTGATCTTCCCTACAGCTTGGTTTAACACCCTCCCCCTGCTTGACTCTGTCCAGTAACATCGATAATTAAGCCGAAGCACCAATGTCACCCTGCTAGCAGCCAACCTCCGCCATGATAATAAGAACATGGCTGGGAGTGGTATCTACACACCTTTTTCATCCATCTACCATCACTCAAAGAGGGGAGACCCAGAGGAGGGCAAGCTGCTGGTGGCCAGGGTGCCGGTCTTAGACCCAGAGTGGTCGGGGCAGAGGGTGGCCACAGAGGAGGAGAAATTGGAGTCTGAGTCCACTTCATCCCCTGTTACAGACTCTGGATTCTGTCACAGTGAGAGCTGCTCTGATGCATCTTCAGTCCCTTCATCATCAGCCACATTCACATCATTCATGATTGGTGACCCGTTCACATTTGTCCTCCTAAATGAAAAAGAGGGTAGGGTGAAGGTGTGCAATGGCTCCTTTTGCTGTCACCTGCAGTACAAGCGAATTTCACAGGGTGACAGTGAGGAGCTGTATGCATTTGGTGCGTTTGCTGGGCTGCACACTTTGGATGGAGACCTATCCCTGCAGGTATGAACTAAAGGGTTTATGGATAGACACTGTCCTTTACAACATGTCTCACCTGTATCCTTCCTTCTGCAGGTGTGTGCACTCGTCCGTTGTGCAGGGTCGGACCCAAGCTCCTGTGGACAGGGAGTAGAAGAAGCTGAGACCAAAATGGACTTTGTGATGGAGGGGAAGTTTGGAACCAGATATGTGTACCCATCAGTTTTGGAGAGTCAAATGGTTATAGAGGAAGTAAAGCATTTTGACAAATCTGCAGATGGAAGAGTGACTTTAAAACACTCAGACATGACTGCTGGACTGGTGACCGCCTGTCTGTACGGACAGATGTATCACCTGGATCACGAATAAAATGCTATTGAAAAGGTGTGCTGAAATATTGTATCTTAATAAAAAAAATAATGTACACAGTCTTAAAATAGTTTTATATAGTGTAACAAATCAGCTGTGCTGATCACACACTACAGTGAATTGGAAATGAATTGTTTGATTATTTTTTTTAAAGAACTCAAAATGAATCTTTATGATGATTTGGTTTTCCTCTGTGTTTCAGTGGTATCAATCCTAAATATCTCTTGTTTCTTTGAAGATTTTTTTTTGACATTTTATTTTGTCCCTAGCTATGTTTGCAGTTTTCACCTGAATTTAGACACCCATGTGCTAAAATTTTACATGGTGTGTGCTATATCCAGATCATAAAAACAAAAAAGGCTGCTTTATGTCATTATTTTAGAGAAAAAGGGATATTATTTTTATTCTGAATATTCCTTTAAAGCTAAGACACTAATCTTTGAACACAGAAAAACTGGGAAGAATGTTTTCTTTTACAAATTGAAGTTCATCTTTTAATTCTAACATGATTATTTTTGTTAACTATATAAAAAAAGAACTTTTTTTTCCCCAAAAAATGTTTTAGTTAATTCTGAGATATAATTCTTGTTAATTCAGGAAACAAGAGCAGTTTTATCCTCAAATAAATGCAGTACACCTCTGTGTTGAAGAACTCTACATTTTTGTCAAACATTAATCTCAAGTATACCTCAAGGTAGGTAAAAAAAAAAAGTGTTAAAAATAACTTTGAATGCATTAATCAGGTAAAAAGTTAAGATTTTATGGCGTTTCCGGGTTAAAATTGTGTAATTTCCTGTGGTTTTAGTCAACATCAAAGCAGAGCAGTGGATTAAACATGGAAAAATGTTATGCAGGCCATGCTGCAAGACCAAAACATTGCACAATTGTTGAAACAGCTTGTAACACCTGTTACTTACCACTTTATTGTATTATTTTCTCTTATTAAAAAGTAACACATGTTACCAAACTTGTCTTATTTCACTTTTATTAGTCATCCACTAAATATATGTACGTGACTTTGACGTGTACACAGTAATCCAATAAGAGTTGCAAATGTTGACTTTTTACGGTTAATTTTAATATTTACCTCTTAAAATGCGCGCTCACTGCAGTCTGTCCCGTTGAAGAGCATGGACAGTGCAGACTGCGCTTGGAACTATGGAGAGGTACATGAACCACGTGACCATTCTGGCTGCGCGATCTGAAGCTGCGCGCCACTCTGTTTAATCCACTGCTCTGGACCTCATGTTGTAGCTCATAGATACCACAATTGATGTATAAAACAAATTTAAATGATCTTGTTTGGTCTGAACACAATTCTAATAAAGCTTATGACAGACTAAATTCACTTTCAAGAGTGAAAAATGTTTTGGGGAAATAAATGTCTAACCCCATCACTCATATGCTTCTAACCTTCACAGACTCCATGAATTGATGCCCATCTCCTAAATATTTGGTCGCATGATAAATTTCTTTTACCATTTCCAAGCAACAGGGGGTGGCTCAACTTACCCTTTGGCTTAATTTACTCCACTCTCCTCTATGGACTTGTCTAAAATACAGGCTGTATGTTTTTAGTATAGTTTGTATAGTCTAGTCTAAAAACTACAAGCTCATCAATGTTTGAAGACAAATTAGTCCGTTCATTTATTTAATCAACCGTGTGTGTGTGTGTGTGTGTGTGTGTGTGTGTGTGTGTGTGTGTGTGTGTGTGTGTGTGTGTGTGTGTGTGTGTGTGTTTATTCATTTTTTCTTTCAGTGGATGTACTTAAAAGTCTATCTATGAAATATACCTTTGCCTGCCCTCTTGTGTTGCAACGAGGGCATTGGTTGCAACATACCACCACCGCAACCATGTGCTCTGACGCGCCGGCGGTGTTTGTAGTTAGTCACGCTGTCCATGCATGTAGTCAAGACAGTCACGTATCACACGGAGTAGTTGCTTCCACTTTACAACTGACATAATCGGAGGGCGTCGGTCATTAACCATGACGCACAGCTGTTGACTCCTGGCCTTCTTCCTGACTTTACTTTGGACTCATGAAACATGCAGACATACGAGCCTGACACCTTTTTGGAAACCTGTTCTCAGCTCGAAGTGCTCATGGATGAGACTCTGAAAAGGAGGAGAGGCGCCAAAAGTCTTTCTCCAAGAGCATGATGAGGATGCTGGATGGATATGCCCTCAATCCATCAGAGCGTTTGGATAAATGATAAATAAAGTCACTCTTAATGCAGTATCAAGTGACGGGTTTTCATTCAGGTGGAACCGCGACCGCCGCTGTCAAAAACTCCGTTTACCTAACATATTGTGACCAGTATAATGCGAACTGTGTTTATTACAGTGTTGCTACTGCATTAAATTGATACGACTCGTTAACAGTGTCATACCAGAGCCCCCGCATGACATGGCATCTATGTTTCCTGGACAGAGAGTTCCGGGTTGGTACAGACGATTTATCGGCGCCCCAATTCTTTTTTTTTTTTCAGCTGAAAAGCAACATTTAATCAATGCAGCCCCTTAAAATTGGGGTTGGACTCAAAGTGATTGGAGTCATCTTTTAATGATTAACCATATTGAATGGCAGACTACTTCCGCATCATGAAGAAAATTTGAAGTATGAAACATGTAATTGAACAACATATCACAGCCTCACGCGGCTTTTGTGTTGCCTGAGTTGAACCTGGTCGACTCAGAGCACTCGTACATACCTTTGTAGGTATTTGCGACTCCCGGGACTGAGTGTATATGCGTCCCACTTTTCAATGTGACCTGAGTCCGCCATACCATTGTGATAGCGCTGCACGGCTGCGATATCCTCAGAGCGGAGCGCGCGTGAGGCGCACAGTACTTATCAGAGGAGCGAGACACTCTCCACCGACCGGGATAAAAGTCACTTTGAGCTCGAGCCAGCCAGTGTCACAGAGGTAACGTCTATTCGCATGTTTTTCTCTTTTCTACTTTGACAAATTTTCTTCATATTTGTGTCTGATAATCAATACCAGAATGAATGGTAGATGGTAAAAGCTCATCTACAGCGTCTGAAAATGATATCACTAATCAAACATTTTAATTACCTTGTTTTTCAAATGAACTTTGTCTCATACATTAATGACAAACCTTGTTCATTTTTATGAATAAAAAGAGAAACAGAAAGAGGTTTGTGTTTGACAAGTATGTGTTTAAGGCCTGGTGAATGAGGATATTGATACGCTGCCACATCGTAGCCGAAAACATTATTTCCGTATTTGGTTGCCGCATGTTTTTGCAGTATTGCTGCTTTTATTAAATGCTCTTTTAATAGCCGATAGGCTGAACCTCCAAAAACGTCTCAGTAAAGATCCGCCAGACGAAAGGAGGCTGTGAGGGGTACCCAACATTTCTAGAAACATCTTTGCAGTGATGCAGACAGCACCCCTAATCTCCCCAAAACAGTCGTCTGTCGGCTTAACTGTTGCGCATCTTAAACTGTAACATTTAACATGAAGTCAGTGCCCGTATGTATATGGCTATAGGGTTATCAGTTCACTTGCACTAAAGGGATATTAACTATGATATAGCACTATTTGACTTGAAGCTGGTCTGTATGTAAACTGTGAAATTCATTAGATATCTTCATCCTTCATTGATGATTTTCTTTTCCAGAAGTGAAAATGGCAGAGGAGATTGAGACAAAACTTAAGAACTACCGTACTGCCCCATTTGATGCCAGGTTTCCAAACCAGAACCAGACAAGGAACTGCTGGTCCAACTACCTGGGTAAGACTTTATGTCAAGGTCAAAGCAGTCTGCTGGGGGTCCGGAAATTATCTCCTTTTTTAACAATTACAATTGTTAAAAAGCACCACAGCACATAGAAATCAAAACACATTTTTTAATTATCACAGCCTTAATCATAATATTCATCTAAATGTGAATCAGGTTAAACAATATATGCTATTAAAAACCTAACCCAGTTCACCTGAGGGCTTAAGGCATGTTGATCCCAGACCCCTGCAGGTAATCTTGGTGGGGATTTCTGGACCTGCCCCCTTTAGACCTGGATCAAGGCCTGAAAAGGGGTCTGAAAATATTCATCGCTGTTGTTATTGTTTCTCTATTTACAGACTATCACAGATGCCAGAAAGCTCTGGAAGAAAAAGGAGTGGATACAGCCCCCTGTGACTGGTACAAGAGGGTCTACAAGTCAATCTGCCCAATGTCCTGGGTAAGGAAAAAAGTCTTAAATCATTTTTTGATCAAAAAGTAAACAAGACAGTTAAACAGAAACAGCAGAGTACATGGAACTCTCTCCATATGTGGGCTAAGCTTGCTTGAGCACGGGTCAAACAACTTTGACATCGACCACATTCCTGGAGGTCTCGGCTCTGAATTAAGAATCAAAACAAAAAAGAAAAAAAAAGGAAGAGCTTGAGACCAAAATTACAGATTCCCTTTAAATCATTCTCAGCCCAGTTGTTAATGTTATTTTTGGAGCCTGTTTGAGTTAAATAAGGACTTGTTTTTCTTCATTTTTCTCCCAAATAGGTCCAGAAATGGGATGACCAGAGAGACGAGGGAATCTTTCCCGGGAAAATCTGAGCCTGCCAAGTTCAAAGCTGTGGGTCTGCTGGAATGTAATTTTTTAATGGTGGGAGACAATGTAGCTCCATCCCTACCTTTTAACTACCGACACTCTGCTCTGTCACTGAATGGTCATTCCTTAAACATACCATGAAATGTACAGCAGAGTCTGTATTAAAGTATCTCAGGAGATATTTAAGTTACTAACTTGTCATACTTTTTTTTAAAATTCTTACACACAGTCTTCATTCTTCTAGTTCTGTTTGAATACATTCCAGTCTGGGTTCAATTGAGGTCACGAACAGACCAAGTTAACCAGTGAAGAAAAAACCTGCAAATGTTAATGAATAGATTTTAAATTTTATTCATTCAAATAAACCTACATCAAATATACATATTTAATCAAGATTAGAAAAATAATTAAATATTTCAAAACGCCAAATGTCGCTCATACAAAAACAGCCACTCGCAGGGTAATGACTATAGTTGCTGTGCGACGCACTGAAATTAAATACATAAAACTGCATTTTATTTACATGTAACTCCCATCATTAGTAAGGAGTATGAAATAGTTTATATCAGGGTTAATAGAAGCAGCAGTAAAAACTCCTGTGATAAAACATTAAAGGATGATAACAGCAGCTAATGCTGTGGAGACCTGCATGCAACCAGATAGTACAGGAAATATTGAACAAAAATATGCAACACCAAGGATTATAGTGAAGATAGAATTTGATAAATCCCTTTTTAAAGACCATTTTTCTCATGTTGAGGTAAGTTTATAGTATTTGCATATAAGAAGTTGGTGAATTTACTTTAAACCAAAGCAGGAAAAGGTCCTTTTTTAAAACGTCCAACTAAAAGACTGGAACTACTGCAACTGGTAGATGTGTTATCCTTCACAACTACCTACCTTTAACAGCAAATTCAACAAAGGTCACTTTGATTTCAAATGAGTTTGATTTAACAAAAAAAAAAAAAGCAGAAAAAATTATGCCGACAGGCTTTTATGAAGCCAAGTATACTTATAGGAATTAAGAGTATAGTTTGAACCTTTTCTTTTTTCTTTTGTTCAAGTTGAAATGTACAAAAATGAACACTGTTCTCTTTTTTCACTGAAAGTGTACAACTTAAGTTATTGATACAAATCTCCTTAAGGTGTAAACCTCTCTGGAGTCAAACCATTTGGCTTTAAAATACATCAGCAGATAAATATAAATAATTGATTACTATAAATGAGTGTCTGCATAGCATTGTGACAGGTTGGTGCGCTGGGTCAGTGTGGGTCAGTTCCCATTCCCATCAAGCGGAGAGCTGATCCTATAGTTTCATCAGTGGATTAAATTCATTATATAAATGTAGCTCAGGCCACATCATGGTGTGACAGTGTATTCATGTGGCCCTGTAGCTTTTTTTTTTTTCTTAGTATCTGCACGCCACAAGCAATATTAAATATGCAGCACAAATTCACAATTAGCAGCCACAGATATAGTGTTAATTACTAGGCACAATAATTAGGCCGTTTGAAAGCAGCCTCACAGCTCTATCCTGGCACTGTGGGAGGAGCAATGAAACAGTACATGTTCCAACACGTTGACAAATCTGGGCAGGTGTGTTTTCATCGCAAGAGAAAGAGGAGCGTGTGTGCAAACCCAGTGCCATCTATGTAAGCTCTGTCCTCTGTAGATCACAAGTTGCTGTTATGGATTTATTCTTGAGGGTTTTGAAGTGACAAGCTTATAAAAGGGCTTAAAAGTCAGCCATGGGTCCTTCCTTTAAGTTCCTGTTTGTTAGTACCTCCTTTTTCCGTGTTTCCCTCCATCAGTCATGCAGGTTTTCGGCCGAAGAGCTGCATCGAGGTAAGAACAAAACAGATAAAAACTTGAACATTGTTTGAAGCAGCAAGACAGCTCATTTCTAGGTCCAGTTGTTGAACTCTGTTTACCTGGATCTGCAGTCTGCTTCTTTTTGTTATGGTGGACTATCTGGTTCTCATTGGTCATCTTCACATCCTGATCCTCCACATAGTTACTGCAACACAGCACGAACACAAAATACACAGCAAGAAAAAGTTAATTTGTTGTACCTGAGGGAAACTATAAAAAGGAAGGACACAAAATGGAGGTCTGACTGATGACAAAGTTTGAAGCTGGCAGGTCCAGGCCTTGAGGGACCAGGGATAGGGCTAGAGAGGAGGGAAAAAGAGAGGAGGGTAGGACTGGGACATCACAAGTCAGGCGTGTGGTTAAGGAGGGTGTGAGATGACTGAAAGAGGACATTTGGGGGGCACTGGAGGAATCTTCAGTACAGGGATTGACCACAGGGAGGTGCTGACACGAGGCTTTCAGAGGCTCTGTTACTCACTGTTGATGGAGTCTGCTGCCGCGGGGGCTGAGGTGGAGAAGAGCACATCGCTGTTTAAAACAAGCCACGACTACAGGACACAGAGGCTGATTACAACTACATTACACCAATTGATTTGTGAATATCAGCCATTTTCAAACATGAAATAACAGGGGATCATCCAAAACTCTGAATAACTCTTCTGACTTAAGTCCTATTCTTATGGGACCAGTGTTGTCTGGGTACTCCTGATAATCCCTCATAACTGCCTAGGATGTTAGTGTAGTTGATCCCGATGTCTGTAATTTTTCAAAATCCAAATTTCAGAGAGATAGAGCTCCTCTAATGATGATTATAATGACGATGACATAGAGCTTCTTCTCATATTAATACAGTTTTTATTGGCGTCTCTGTAATTTAGGGTGGTAAATGTCTTTTTTTCTTAAGGTTTAGGTCCTAGATGCAAAAACAATAAGTATAAAAGTACATCCAAATACATACACTATTTATATTTTAGTGTAAGGTATATATTCAAGCGTTTGTCAAAAGGGAAAGAAGAAAGAGGAGAATTAAACAGAAAAGAAAGACATTTGGACTTTGCTCCTCTGTTACATATTTTGTCAGTATTTTCTAACAGCAAACAAATAGTAATATCATACATATAAATTAAGTGCGCACTGAAAATCCAGTTTACCTGATGACAGTGTTTCTCTCCCTGTGTGCAATGTAGGCATTATCTGTAAACAGGATGGTGTGATATGGCACCACTGGGTCACAGGTAGGCAGAATTCCTCTTGTCATATGGCTCACACTGTCCAGGATGCCATTATACACCAGGAGGTCATCTACCAGCAGCTGCACACATACACACACACACACACACACACACACACACACACACACACACACACACACACACACACACACACACACACACACACACACACACACACACACACACACAGATTTTTAGACCAGGTGCATGTTTGTAAAAATATTCAAAACATACAAACTGGTGGACAAATGCTCACCCCGAACTCCTTCACTCCTCTCTGTGGTGTCTTTGAGTAGTTCCACAACTTGATCATGGACACTGTAACAGGCTGATCAAAGATGACGTACACACGGTTCACCTGTGCAGAAACAATCAATGCATTCTCACAGGGGTGTACTGGATCAATCTTTTATGGGGTTGTTAATGGATCGCAGTGGGGCCACTTTGTGTGTTTTTATGTCCTCACCAGTCCTGGAAGCACCGGGGCTAACCACATATGCCTTCCATCGTTGGTGCTGTTGACTCCATCTATTAATTTATCTGGAGTCCTAACGTCACCGCTCACATTGTCCAGCACGTTCACACTGTCTGGAAAAGCAGCAATGTCTGGCGGGTGACAGGTTGAGGAACAGACACTAATTTAAAACTGGCATAATTACTCTTCACTGCTCAGGCCAATTCTGCCACGTAATGTTTGCAGCTTCTCTCTGAATATCAAAATATCTGTAGTTGTGATCTTCAAAATATGGCAGAGATGGAAGAGAGTTTAGGTTTCGTTTTACAGATGTATGTCAGCTTAAAGCTTTCCCTGAGCACAATACAGTAAATGTAGACATTTTTGTTTAATTCTGCACATGGTCCTTTTACAGCATAAATAAATAAATAAATAAATAAAGCAGATGTGAGAGGAAAGGATACTGTTGTCACTGAGACTGATCTTTTCATGGCTGTGATCATAAAACTCAAGACTGTTGAGGCCGATGTAGTATGGATCTCCCCAGGTTGTTAACAGCTGCAGCTGAAAAATGACTAACAGGTGGAGGTCAAGGAACAAATAGCACGTATAAAACATAACAGATCGTGTCCAAAGTTACTACCTACCATGTGGAGCTGTCATTTCATCCTCCATTATTTCATTTTAGTGCCTGAGTTGTGAAGTTGAACTGTAAATTTAAACCCTCAATAATTCAAATAATGAACAGAACAAATACAAGTCTGGTAACCCTCCAAACTTGCAATTCTAAGTCATTTATAAAGTAGAATCAGAACTAGTGTTTTCCATAAACAAAGACTAGTAAATGAGCAAACGAAAGCCAGACTATAGTCTCAGCTCTCATATTTAACATATTTGCAATAAACTCATGACACAGATTCACTAACAAAAATTGTCCAAAGAAGGATACATCCACAAGGCATAATGGGAGCTTCATAGTCCATGCTGGCCTGCTCCTGTTTCTTTGAGCTTCCTCTGAAATAGAAACAACAAAATAATTAATGAATAAATAACCTTTTTAAACTTTCACATAAAGTAACAGCGGGATAATTCAAAATCTTACTTATGGTAGTCCCCTGTGCCCATGTTGTCATTGGGTTTCTGGAGGAAGTCTATAAAGAGGATCTCCTGAGCAAAGTCAAAGTGACAGTTGCCTGGACCCTTCCTGATCAGGAAGCCCTCGGGCGGGGAGATGGCAACATCATCCATGAACATGTGGATCATCTTCACCTGAACCAGAGATGATGTTTTTTTTTTTTGAGATTACTGTTTAACAGAAAATCTTCTTGTGACAGCTTTATCAAAATTTCTGTAACTATTTGAACTTGCACTGCACTCTTCAGAGCACATACTGCCTGGAACAGGGACTGGGTCAGGCATAGGTGGTCTCAAACTACCTGTGTTAATTTTGCACAATCCATTAAGTTGTGAGAAAAGTAAGTGCCTAAGGCAACAATTTTAATAACTGTTTGAAAATTATTTATGAACATTGAGCTGATGTAAGTGACATGTAATTCATGTTTCTTGCTTTTTAGCCTAATCAAGCTTTTGTTAAGGCAGTCTAAGTCTTCTTGCAGTGGGTACCATTCATTAGTTATATAAGAAAATGAATAAATTGTTTTCTGGAACATAAATGAAGACATTACAACCTCAAATTTGCGCATACAAAATCCACCATAAGACTGTCTCACAAATTATCTTTAAAAAGTAACCCCAACTACATGTGTAACTCATACACAAACCTGCCTGACTTTCTTGGCCTAAAATCCATCAATAATAACCAGAACCAGCTCTAACTTGGGGCTGTCAGAGAAGTGTCTCACCCCTCTGTATGAGTCCTCTGGGGACTTATTGTAGTTCCAGATACGGAGTCCTGCAATGGTCTGGGTCTTGTTGAACGTCACGTTCAGGATATGGGGCTCTCCATAGGAGAAAGGGATCAGCCACATGTGCTGGTCATCAGTGGTTATATTGTGGCCGTCTATAAGCCTGGGCAAAGAGAAGATGCACACAAGAATGATCTGATTGAAGTTTGAGCTTTGACGTGAGATTTTTCTACCAGGAAGATAAAGGAGGAAAGTGGATGCAGACATGTTTATGCAAAATAAAAAGAGAGAAAAGGGGGGTGGTTCTAAAACTACAACGTGTCCTATTTTGTAAATAAAAAATAAAACAGTTTTTACTCTTGTCATGGTGCAGACAGTGACAGTGACAGTGACATACTTATCAAGTGTTCGAAGGTCGTGTCCGTACTCAGGCAGGTCGTTGAGGTCTCTGGGTGATGCAACCATCATACTGAGGTCTAAAGGTAAGCTTTCTCCATCCTTACCCACCACCTCCAGCCCTGTCAGGCCCATGTAGTGACAGTCCCCCCAAGTCATCACCAGCTCTAGTTTAAGGCCTGCAGTGAAGGGGGAGAAGTGCTGTAAGTCTCAAAATGACAAAATAAGAAGTGAACAAGTTATGAGGAAGTCCAGATTATCTACTCACACTTGCCAGTGTACATCCCAGGATTATGCTCCATGTTTTCCTCAGACTGACTCAAAGACGGGTTGAAGTGGAGTTCAAGCTGTAAGAAAATATGACCAGATTAACATCAGATCTGTTTTATGTCGTCCTGCTTCCCTTTTTCCAAACTTTACAAGCATTCAACACTATCGCTTTTATGACAACACTACTCATGAGGCCTGAACTTACTTGGAGGTCTTCCTCTCTGAAACCGGCCTGCGTGAAAGGTCTTTCCTCTCCCTCTCCATCAGCAGTGCGTGGTCTCTGCAGCTCCTCCTCATACACCAGGCCCTCAGGACCCTCTCCTTCACTAAGAAAGGTTTCATCATAGCGAGACATGGCCTCCAGGATGTCATCATCGGTGGTGAACAGGATGGTGTCCCCAAACTGGTCTAGTCCTGTGGTGACAGAAAAGTGAGGGACGTTGAATTTAACAAAAAGAAGCCAACAAAGAAGAGTAAAAACTTGTAAGTCTGTTACTCTCTCCTACCTCCAGTTAGGGTCCCGGAGGCTTTGGCGATTTCGCCCCTGAAGATGCACCGTCCATCCAGCACCATTTCCACTTCCTTCACACCCCTGAAAGAGTGAATGCGTGACTTGTTGTAGTTCCACACTCGAATCATGGCCACCTGGTATGGAGCTCCAAAGTCCAGGAAGATGGTGTGGTTTCGACCTGGGGTGAATGGTGCGAGCCAAAGGTGCATGTCATCCTGGGTACGGTTCACACCATTGATTAAGTTGGTGACCACACGTGGGTCTTTGCCGTATGCAGGGAGAATGTTGATGTCTGGAGGCTCAGCGCTGATGTGAGCTGGCTGTAGAGGCTCCCCGCTGGAACTGAACACCTCAAGCCCATTGAGGCCGACATAGTGCCGATCGCCCCATGTGGAGAAGATGTTGATCACCAGCCTTTGGCCCTGGGGCAGCACAGGGATCTCAAACTCATCATCTCGCTCCATGAATGGATCATCATCAGGATTTTCACAAGGTGCTCCCTGATTGGTGAAGGAGGAAAGAGGGCTCTTGGATGCTGTTGAGGCGCTTGCCGGGACTGCAGGTGGACCACGCCCTTGGCGTTGGAGGAACTCGTCAAAGATATCACCCTCAAAGCCCATATTGGAGATGCGTCCACGCTGGCATTGGTTGAATTTAGTAAGAGAGTCCCAGGACTCCATGAGGGAATCGTCTTGTTGGCTGTGCAGTTGTGATCGAGCAGAACTCTGTCTCCTGCTGGTGCTCACCAGAGACACTGGCTCTTCTGGAAAACACAGAGTTTCACTTTTAACTAATTAAACTTCAGGAAATTTCATTTTAATCTGATACCAGAATCAAGGGGAAAATTTGAAAAGAAAATCTGATTGGATAAACAAAAGATAATGCCCAATGAGGTGTACAGCAGAGGAACGTTGATCTGTTGCTCCAGAAAATATAAGTTTTTAACCGTTTCTGATCCAAACTGGAAATCTTTTTAAAAGCTTGAAATACTCCGTTTCTCCTGAAGACACTGAGAGGTTGATTAGTTCCAAGTACAATTTTTACCTTTCCTTTAAGTTAAGATGTAATGAAATGAAACTGGTGAGAAACTTAAAATATGCTTTTAAAACTAAGGGTTGATAATATTATTGTATGTGGTTAATATGTCAATATAATTCAACTTAATTTTTCAAGCCAACCAGCTGTCTCAATTTCCACTGATCAAAACTGAGATTTTAAGCCACTGGCAAGCCACGTTGACTGCAATCATAGATTTGATAATCTCAACAAAAAAAAAAAAAAAAAAAAACAACAAAAAAATAAACATGTTGGAGCCTCTGACTGTTTAAATTTCATAATACATATCTGATGCTGAATTAATGAAGCTGCGTCATTTGTAAATACAGGCTTTGACATCTTTACTTGACTGCCCGGGTGCATTACACTACCTGGAATATTGAACATTGCAGTGTGAGAGTTGTATTTTTCTTTTGTTTTTATTAAATTGATTACACTTTTATGCTGAGCAACATGATGTAGTGATGAAGCCATGGAGTAAAAATAACTAAAACTGAACACAAGAAACATAACAGAGGAGGGATGATTAAATTTAAGGGTTGATCTCTCTGCCGTAACTTGAAGATAGCTGTCTTTGTTACCTGGGTTTGTCAGTGCAGTAGCTCTGAGCTGCTGCTCCTCTGTTGTCCTGGCACCAGACGCTGTGTTTCGAAATGAGCTCCTGCGCCCACTGACTGGCCTGTCAGACTTTTGCTCTCCGAGCTCCTCAAGTGGATCGCAGCCCAAGTCCAGAGAGTTGCCCTTCCACTGACCCCCATTTGTTGTCCTCTCTGTTCCCCTGCACACTCGGCCTGGGTTGCATGGTAGCTCCGGGAGCATTGAAGAAGCTGACGATGACGGAGATTTGGGCTCTGCAGAGTGCTGGGGCACCAGCCAGCGGGGCCTCTCCCTGCTGGCTTCGCAGCCCTCTGGAACCCCTCTGTTCAGGGGCTGCAGCCACTGGGGGGCAACCCGTGATGAGGATGGCTGGGTGGTGACCGTCTGTTCCAGGGGTGCTGGCTGATCCTGCCTGAGAAGAGAGAGGGGCTCGTCTGGCATGCCAAAAGAGTTTCTATGGGTGGAGGAGTGGCGACCAGAGGACAAGGGAGTGATGGGCGGTAGAGGCGTGTGTGGTTTCTCCTGCATGTCTATCATAGCCTGTCCTGCTGCAGCTGATGGCTTCCAATTGGGATTTGGGTGTCTCTGGGTGCTGCTGCCCTCTCCACCCCTCTTGTCCTCATGACGCTGGGGGCTGGCACCCCGTAAACTATGACCTGAAGCCACAGGGCTGGAAAACAAGGAGTCTGAGGGCTGGAAATCCTTCAGGTCAATGGTGGTGCTGTAGTCAAAGACCTGGTTGCCACAGCCCTTCTCCAGCTCGCCTTCAAACACCAGCGTGCTGTTAAGATACAGTTTTATGTGCCGTGCACCAATGTCAAGATCCTGAGAAAGAAACAGAGTTTGCTTACTTAGTAATACAGTCATGCTTTACAGGTCGCACATATTTTGACTCCAATGCTACAAAACTGCAGAAATCTTTCTGACTTCAGTGACTGATATCTACTCTAACTCCAATTTGCACATTTCAGGAAAGATATGGGATGTAAATGAGTAAAAAAAAGGATTTGACTTTAATTAGAATCACATCACAGTATTTGGCATTTCATTAACATTGTTGTACAGTGAAGACTATTCAGAGAACATAAGCACCGATACAATCAGCAGTAAGTCCAAAACCAATTTTTTATAGTTTTATTTATCTATTTATTATACTCAGAGGAAGCGCTCCTAAAGCTAACAGTAATTAGCAATCTCATAGACATGGCTGCCACAAAGAAATGGCTCAAGTCCAGTCCAAATCTGTGTGATCCTCGAGGAAATAAACCCCTTAAACTCAGTTTAAACTAGAACGTTTTTCCATATCAAGAGCTCCTTACCTCCCAGGGTCAAGACATGAAGTCATCCTAAACAGCTGGGGTAACCCAGAAAGAGAGACGAGGGGGTCTTTGTGAGTACAAGCAGCACTAAGGTTAAGAGTTAGAAGCCCACGTTTCCCCCTAGCGCTAATCCTTTGGAGCTAATCTCTTGCTGTTCTACATTTGGACAGTCTGACTGACAGCTCAGCCAGCCAGTGCTAAAACAAACCACGCCCCTGACATAATCACGCCTCTACAGTGGTGTCTACTATGACGAGATCTTGTTTTGTATGCAGCACAGTCAACAGACTCTCTGCCTGAACGGGGATTAATCGAATAATGTGTGGAGTGGACCGTGTTGATCAAATGTAAAATAACACTTTTATAAACGTGTGATAAAACAAAAATACAAAGTACTTACATTCAGGCTTCTGTTGTAGTTCCAGATTTTGATGCGTGATATCCCAAAGTCAAGGCAGCGCTCAGTGTTTCTGATGATGAAGTAGAGCTGGATGGGAGGGTGGAATGGGCACGTCCACATGTGACGCTCTTTGGTGGTCTGTTAATCCAGTAAAGAGTCCAAGTCAGAAAACGCTTTGTCCATGTAAACAGCAAACAACAGATAGGCACAAGAGCATTTGTGTGTTTTGAAACATGATTAATGACTGCATCTGTGTCAGGTTTTTTCAGATTTAGGGCCCTGATAAAAGACTCTCTTGACAGCCCTACCTACTGGGACAATAAAAACTAAACACAGACTACGTGTTCGGATCAAGATAGTACAAATTCCTTTTTTTATCAGTTTTCTTGGAGGCTTTTTTGCCTTTTGGGGATAGGACAGCTGAAGAGACTGAGGATATGTGGGGAGTAGACAGTGGGGAGAGACATGCAATTAACATTCAATCACAGTGATGAAAACCACAGCCTTTGCACATGGATCAAGCACTTAAATTGCAAAGCCAACTGTCCCCCACAGATTCTGAATCTTGGTGTACATCTGTCATTACAGATTCATTTCTAAAGTACATTTTCAGATTAAAATCATGTAGCTGACATCAAACAAACAGGAACTGAAGAGGCAGTCGTGACTGACCTTCATCTTTCCATTGACAAGCGCTCCCAGATTCCCGGGGTAGTCAGCATTCCTGATGTCGAGGTCGTGAGGCGAAACGTACAGCTTTTTGTTTCTGAGACAGAAGAACTGCAATTCTGTCAGTCCGACCTGAAGAGCACTCCCCCAGTTTGACAGGATCTCCATGGTAACATACAATGCAGGGGTGACCTCGGCTGAAGACCGCCGTCTCTGCAACGAAACGCAATCATTATCGAATGCTTCTTAATGCGTATGTCTCGATCACACTCAGATGTGTTGGAGTAATTCATTCTGAAGTGCGAGACGCTGTTACTCACTCACCGGCTGCTTGTTGGAGTCTGTTTTGACACACTGAGCGTTGCTGTTGCTAGATCCTGCTTCAAGTTTCTCCAAGGCTTTCAGCAGCTTCTGTTGTTGTCTGAACAGAAGGATGACACCATGAGCTCGGCTGTGCTTGGTTCATTATCCCTGACCTTCAGCCACTAATAGTGATTGATGGCTGAGCACATCCATGCTGACAAATTACTCTTCACGGTCAGAGGGGTGTAAACACCGTAAATTTCTATACCAGTTCTTACAAAACACTATAATGTTTTATTCTGACATTGCAGGTGTTTCTCTGTCACACAGAAATCAGGATGTGTTTGCATTATCAGTGTGTCAGCATACCTTGGTCCCATAAGTGTTATTCTGTTCATCGCCATAGTGACACTATTCTCATCTCTGTCGTGGCTGTTGCAGCGCACTAAGCCATTCATCATCTGGTGTCCCCTGCCCTAGATAAAAAAAGAGGCAAAATAAAAAGGGTCAGAGATACACAAGCTTTAAAAGGTAGAGCTTATATGTAAGCCAAATCCATAATAATAGCTTTGCATGAGGAAAATAACATGTAGTTTAAAGTGAAAGCCTTAAAAACATACAGGAAGGTCATCTGAAACACTTTAGCAATTAATAAAAAGCAAGCCTGGTTGTATTTTTAGTGTTATGAACAGATTTCAAACCAGATAGACTGATACATCCTTTCCTCGCTTCCTTTCTGGTGACCTCCCTGAGTTTGTGACTTATTCATCCATATCATCAAAATTTCTTGAAACACTTTCCCAACGTGACTGCTTCGAGATGTCTTAATCTCAGCGAGAATTTCTTTAACAGACACACCCAATCTGCCTCGGCTCTGTACGATACTCATTTGAAGTGGCATCAATTAAAATTCTACTCTGGATTCAGGCACCTTGGCTAAATATAGACTAATATCTAACCCTTCAGTTCCTTCAAAGATCTCCTACAAAGCAGAACGCTGTGTGACTGTCTTCAAAAGTTTATTTTTAGGATCTTCAGTCAGGATTAAGAATCTCGAATAGTGCTGATGCGTCACTAAGAGTTGCTAAATATTCCTTAACTGCCTCTATCAAGACACTCTTACTTCTCTTAACTGGGAGAATTCAGAGATTGTGGAGTGGCTACTGAAATATTTGACCATTACACTTAGTCACAGTCACTGAACACTTAGTAGGCATTATGAATTGGATCCAATCCTATTCGTCAGATCACACAGTTCATGCATATTAATGATAAATCCTCAGATTTTTTTTCACAGTGTTCTCCAAGACTTAGCGTTCAACCAAATTATTACACTCCCTCTGGGTAACAGTATCAGGAAACACTCCCTATTTTATTAAGTAGAGAATATCCAGTTTTACTTATCAATGAAGTCAGCAAGAGTCAAACCATTGATTCAAAGCAAACCCTTAAAGACATAAATCGCTGCTATTCAGTCTGACCAGACTTAAGTTAATGTCTTTGGTCTGAACATCTTCAAAACAGAAGAGGCTAAGGTTAAAAAGAGAAAAAGGTTAAGTGTGAGTCAGACAGACCGTGTTGCGGCTGAAGAGCTCAAAACTCTGCACAGGGTCATTCTCTCTCTGGATAGCCTGACGCACCCTGCACACCATCTCGTCTGGGTCCCGCTCCTCCATGGAAGCCTTTTTGGCTGTCGACAGAGGCCTCTCCATCCGACTCCATGACCCTGGAGCAGAAAGCACTTCAGTTGTGAACAACATGCCGCGTGTTATCAATATGATCTTTTCGCAGAGACAATTTTAAAGCTCAAACAAAAATTTTAAGACTTACTCGGACTATCCCAGCTGTCTTTAGAAGGCGGCCTATCTAATGTCTTGCTCTTCACCATCATAGGCTTGATGGGTATAAAACTGTCAATGCTTTCTTTCCTTCTTGCAGACAAAGAACGTTCCAGTTTACGACCTGTGACGCCGAGAATATGATACAAAAGAAGATAACAGGATGATCTTGTGTATTTGCAGGAAATTAGGGCAAAATGCTCTTTTACATTCAAGGAGCTCACAGGTAATAAAAAATAAAGGATGCTGAAGCCTACCTTTGGGTGTAGGCCCAAAGTCCAGGACGATCAGGTTTGCAGAGTCGAGGTGGCCATGGGAGCCGCTGGGACGAGGGCTGGAGGAGGACTTGGAGGTCGACAAAGGCAGTCCCAGTTCATCCAGGCTCTCAGTGCTCTCCCCCCTCTCAATCTGCTCCTCCACCCACTCCTCGTCTGACTCCTCCCCTGCTGACCCGCGGTTGCTGCGCCGCATGCTGACCTCCAGGCTCCTTCGCAGAACCTAGTTTACAAATGTCAGCATTTATGCACACATACATGCACACAGTCATCAGTTTAAGTACTAATAGGGTCTAGCATTCACACATGCGTTCTCACAATTCAAGTATTCCCCTGATATGTGAAAACCACTGAAAAAAGTGACATAACCTCAAAAACAAATGTTTATGATTCATTAGCTTTATCTCAAATAAATCTGCAAAGTGATTAAGAAAATTACGAGTTTCTTCTTCTGTTTACCTTCACTTCCTCAAGGTTGAGTAGCACCTTCTCGCTGTGCTCCTGGTTAGCTTGGCCTCCTTGGCTGTCCTGCTTGGAGCTGAAGGAGCGTGACAATTTGGAGGTGTCCCTTGGGGAGCAAGGACTACGAGGTGAGCGTGGACTAGAGCTCTGTGCGAAACAAGGTGATAGGGCGACGTGGAAATGGCAGAGATAGAGAGATGCTAAGTAGTTCAGACAGCTGCATCTGACACATAGCCCCTCCCCTTGAAAAAACACCCACACACTGGCTTAGTAGGCATTGTTATGTCTTCACTCTACCTCCATATCTATGCTTTCATAGGGCTCAAAATCCTCAGAATAGCACTTTTCTGGGGAGATTTTCAAACTCAGTCCTTCTTCCGTTCGAATCCTGACAGAATCCTTCAAACATAGCAAAAAAGCAAACCTTATGAGATGAATTTTCAAAGGGAAATACTTACATTCATTCACTAAAATCAACAGCTATTAAAAACAAGCAGCTTCTACCTGCACCCATTCTTTCCTCTGAACTTTTCCTGGGGCAGTGTGGCTCCTCTTCCTGTGGTCCTGCTCCAGATAACGGCTGTCTTCAGTTAGCTGGTGGGCCCTTCTACAGACATCTGCAGATGAGTAACAGCACAGAAAAGAACGTGAACAACTTGCAGCGGACTACTGCCTCCGAGGAGATGGAACATACTGGCAAATACGCAGATGGTCCACAGCACACAGAGAGGAAGAACTAAGAACCGGCTGCCAGCTACAACTGTCACTATCATTTATTCACCGAGGACTGGGCATGAGATAGTGCCATGCACGATACAAACTGATGAGTGTTGGCTAGTAGCTGGTCTTTCATATGGTCTGGAGATGACAGAAGCAGTGAGAAAAAAAAAGTATGATGTTGGACCTTCTGTTTATGTGTAAAAATAACCAAATACTCAAGAACAACATTTCCCCCTGCATGTCAGAGAGATAAAAGAATTATGAGGTCTTACATAAGAGTTTTTACTTTAAAGAGTGTAGGTTTATTTTGGTCTTGTAGCAGCATACCTGCTGTACGTGCAGGCCTCCTGGCATGGGAGGAAGAGACAGACTTGTGGTTGGAGCTCTTGGGCTGCTTCCTGGCTTCAGCATTGGCTCCGTTCAGATAAATAGAAAAACCCTGCTCTAGCTGTTCCAACTCAATCTCCCTGGGGTCTTTGACTTTAAGGCGCTTTAGGATCCTAAGGGGGAAAGAAAAACTAGAGATGACTCCAAGAATAATGTCTAAATACACATTTCAGGACTAAAAGAAACATTTTTAATCGCTGCTTTTGCACAATTCACAATCGTATTCTGTGTATCCCTGATATGGAAAAAAAAAACAATCAGTGCCCTTATTGGGCAGCGGAAGAAGTCGTGTGTGTCTCCACTTTGAAATCCTATCTGTCCCTCCCCAGCAGCCAATGCTCACACTTCACCTGTTTTTGTGCTGGAGGGCGATTAAATATTCATCCAGAGTGTCATCTACAGCAGAGGCAAGTTTCTCTCCTTGGCACGCTGGAGTCTGCTTAAAAAACATGGGCAAAAGTACACACACACACACACACACACACACACACACACACATACACACAGTCAGTCAGGAAAGCCTACATCAGCTGTCTGAGGACAACAGACTGTCACGATGCAGCATGTGCAGCAAGAGTACTCACATTCACAGACTGTAAACAATATACAATTTATTATATGAATCACAACCAAATGTTCCACCAGGCTTGGGTACATAAAGCATTACTACAGCACATGCACTGGGGACAACATTAAGTCAGTGAATGATGTGGAAAACATTGTGAAAAAGATGCATCCTTCTATAAACTCGTACATTTTCAAATATTTTTCCTGATTTCATGAATGGTGATTCCAAAGTCACAGTAAAGATTTCTGTGACGGATAAGAAACAAAAAATGAACTTCTGGAAGATTTACCCCAATAAAGTTAAACTACAGACTAAAGTCAGACTGACCCTGTGATATATTTACAATTTTAATGAATCCATCAAACGTGGTCCCACCATGAACTATGATGTGGAGATTTCTAACATGTGGAGTGCAACCCTTTCAAAGAAACTAGCACTTTTAATTAAAGGAAAAATAAGAAGTCACTATTTTTGTCACATCAATTTATTCTAAAAATAAAGTCATCAAACCCAGGCATCAGCAATCAAACCCTCTAAATCAAATCATTCCTATGTAGACTCCTGTTTCTACTTTCCTCCCTGTACGAAATGTTGATTTGACTCACAGCCAGTTTTACATTAAACAAGTGTGTCTTGGAAGGTGCATTGGTTGTCTGCATTACACAGTCACATACAGCTCATGCCAATCCAGTTTTGTAAACCATCATGCAAGACGGAGAGGAAATTCACAAAGCTCTTACTCGGTGTCTACAAATGAACTAGGCTACAGCATCTGTAGTGTCAGTAGCAGGAGGGAAACAAAGAAATTTGAGGAAAGAACACAGAGTACTTGTTAGTGCCAGAGAGTAGAAAATAGGGACAGCTGAGACTCTGCTGTAAAATATATAACATGCATTGTAGCGATGAATGCTTTGAAAATCAGAGCTTCTTCAAAGTGGATCAAGTAAAAGGACAGATGATGTGAACTCTCTGACAGCGCAGATGAGTCATTACATAAAAGCATGTTTGCTCACCTCGTTATCCATTGTGTGCCTGCGGATGATGCTGTTCACATAATCCGATCCGAGATTTCACAGAGGGATAAGGAGTCCTCGGAGTCGTCGCTGAAATCTCTGTTGTGTTTCATTATGACTGCAGAGGAAAAAACACGCGAGAACCCCAAGGTTACCTGTGACATGATACCTAAATTACCTTGTAAGCAGTCCCTTCTTACTGTCGCCCCACCCGCTTGAGAAAGATGAAGACATAGCACAACAACCGCTATTTCCAGGCAAACGCACCGCAGCTTGTTTCAACCAGTTTTTCGCAGGGAAAACCACAAAAACTGCTTTAAAATACATTTACATGGTCATAATGTGAAAGACATGTCTCCATCATCAACAATGAAGGGAGCCTTTTCTGACAGCATTACAGTGAGCTAACTCGTTTTGATAATCCTATTAAAGTACGAGGTTTTCTTACAATTATAAAGAAAAAAATAACATTAGCAGACAACACTGAGGCAGCGAGTCAGCTCAGTTAGCACTGGCGCTAATAACAAACTAAGGGGCATGCTAGTTAGCATTAGCATGTAGGTATTTGGTCAACATTTAACGACACAAAAGCTTTATCCTCGCTCCTATTCTCGCATTTCACTCAGTTTTAAGGATGTAAAACAAAGCGAAGGATTACTTACCCCCACCACACAGAAGGTTATTTGTCGGTTTGAAATGTAATTTACGAGTTTTATGTGTTTTCTCATGTGTCCAGTTGTGTAGTGTTGGTTGGTAACTAGGGTAGATATCCACCAATTGCAAGAGCAGCATCAGTGTTAGCCACGCCCCTCCCAGCCTGTCCTCTCCCTCACTTCTGCTCCTGTATCCGTACAACAAGCCTCCACAAGACAAGCTCTGCAAAGCCACACTCACACACTCACACACACACACACACACATACTTCTGGGGTACAGTGGTATGCAAATGTGTTACTCAGCGGAAAGCAGGCAAAATAGAGAGTACATCACACAGATCTCACTGGTCAACAGCCAAAAGTTCAACACTGTTTTTATTTATTATAAATCAATACATTTTATATAAAAAGGACAAAGGGGTCTGAAATAAAACCATTTTAGATGTAAACCAAAAAGATCAGGATATAGCCAACCTCTTCCCACACTGGACCCATATCGTAGACTCTTGTTGATTAGCCCACGTCTAGTTAATACTCATTCACTCATATCAACACCCAAGGCTGCACTGAAAATCCACCTACAATTTGGAAAAGGTTGAAAATGGAAATTATGTGGTTGACATCAATCTCTTTGCAAAGCATTGCAAGTATATCCATGAAGCATGCCATTGGTTTTGTGCAATCTATTACAACCATCACCAGCTGCGGTCAACAATATTGGTGGAGTATGTAAATTTATTTTTTAAGATGTGAAAAATTACTGGTTCTTGCAGGTAAACAATATTTTGCTTTTACATGTTGCTCAGTGTTAATCCGCCAAGACCTCGCTTTAGCAATTGTGTTGCATTCCAGACCTCCTTAAATGGAATCAATCAGGAACCTCAGATAAAAGCCAGCATATTTGTGTTGTTAGCATTAAATCGACTCTTGAAAACAGGTGGAGAAAATGGTTCATGCTAAAAGGTAAAAAGGGACACAGCCAGCTGCCTAAACAAGCTAAGCTGCTAACTGCAATAGTAACACTCAAAACACTCAACACAGAAGATAGGATGGATCTGTTGCTATGAGTACCAACTTGAACGCAACTTTTCTTTTAAAAGTTGAATGCCCTTGTGATAGAACTGTAAATTATTACTGTTTGCCGTGATATTGCAGGCCAACAGTTGTGAAGGCAATGTATGTGCAGTCGATTAATCCTCACAGCACAGCAAGAGAAAAGCATACAACCCATCTGGATTAGCTTAGTCAAGATGAGTTCAATGACCCTGACTCTTTTAAGTCTCATATTTTGGTGATGAATGACTTTTTGTCCACCACTTGCCCAAATTTCCCTTATTATTTATTCTTAACTACTTCCAGTAGCGTTACCTGTTCAAAATCCACTGTCTATATGATAAATGTGGGAAAAAGATTATGGCTTCCTGGTGCCTGTATTTAAAACAAAGCCTTTATTGAGCTAACTCTGCTGGGTTATGGTAGGTAGGTACATGTTAAAATGGACCACATGTCCACTTACTAAAAACACCCATGGGAAGAGAAAAAAGTAAAACAATAACTTAAATAGAAGTGCTTAAAACACAACAGTTCTTAGAGCCCTTTCAAAAACCAAAAAAAAAGGTTGCAAAGCAGTAATCCCACCCAACAGAAAAGGAGAGCAAAATGAACAGCTGTCATTGTAATACTAATATTCATCCAATGATTCACAGATGCACAGTTCACACGTAGGTCACATCCTTCCCCCCATTACAAATATTTCAGGTTTCCTGGTCAGTGGCCCCCCCACGTCTGTGAACCGCGGCTTCCCTCTGTGTCACGTCTGTCTGTGGTGGGAGAACACTCTGTCTCAGTACACCTCCCCTCTTCCTCCTTTGCCATCAATGCCTGCTCCTCCTCCTTTTTCCTGCGCTCCAGCTCCCACTCAACAAAAGTGTCGAAGAGGCTGGGCCAGGCCTCGTCCTCACTGTAGTTGGTTAGGTCAGGCCCGATGGCCTGGGTGAAGTTAAGGAACATGTTCCATGTGTCCCTTGAGATGCCCCGAATGCCTGAGGGGTTCTCTGACAGAAAGTCCAGCCAGCGCTCCAGGATTGCAGGAGTATCCTGGGTAAAAACCAGGCGCCACAGAGCAATTGCGATTTCCCGCTGCAGAGAGCGTTGGCCCTCCTCAGCGTCCAGGCCGAACTGGAAGGTGAAGCGGTACAGGTCCTTGAAGTTTTCTTCGCCTCGGGCATCCACCAGCATGCAGGGGAAACGTGAGCAAATGCCTTCAAGGCTGTCTGCCTGGATAGCCTTACAGCCCTCGATGAATTCCTTCCTAAAAAGCACAAAGTAAACAACACATATAAGCGAAACTGGAGTAGCAAACTCAGGATGAGACTAAGAATAAAGAGAGATTATTTGCACAGATACTCCACAGGCTGCTCTGGGGAGCAAACAGCATGTGTGCATGCATTTAAAATGAACTGTAATACATTCATTTTGGGCAAAACTTGACTCTTTCTATGCAGATGAGTCTCATTGCAAAAAACTCTTATTTCACTACAACTGGTGCAAAAAGATACAGAGAGATACATGGCAGTTAGAGTCTGCTGAAAGCTGGTGTTTGGGCTGAAGTACTAAAAGTGTTGTAATCCTCAAACTGTTCAACAAATCTACGTCAGAATGACCAAGACGCAATCTGTCTGTACTTGAAGTCTGTTAATATTGCCTGTTAATTATTGACATTATTGCTTTTATAATTATCAGGGATTAAATCTATCTAGAACTGTCTGGGGATAAGTTATTTTACATGATAGCCATGCCATGACACACAGCCAATGAGCTGCCTTCTGCAGTATGGACGCCATGGAACTTCTGTCATGAATCTGGCTCCTAAATTAACGGGTGAGGACTTTGCTTATCATTCAGCTCATCATGTACACGTAGACATCATTTGACACCATCAGGATAAGAGCGCACAGCGCTGATCTGTGCAGAAAAACCTGGAGATGCTTAAAGCTCATCTTAGTGGCCTTAAACTACAGCACTGGAGTCAAGTGCAGAGCTGCAGAATCTGAGCCTTTCTACACTTGAATATCAGAAGCACTATATCTTCAGTAAATTCAACCTTGAGATGGAGTAGACAAGGCCCTGTTTGTACAAACACAATGTTTACATACAGTATGAGACCCTAGCTGTTTTAGTCACATGCTGTTGTAACACACAACTGACATCTCTGATTCAGGAGTGGCTTGTTATTTACCAGTGCTACAGATGTAATAGACACAAGTAACTTATATACACAGTCTATGTTCTATAAATATTCATTATTTATATTTAACATTTTACTTATTGCCTATTTTTAAACTTGTGCAGTACATTGAAGCAACAGAGTCTTTAAATTTGGCCTTTTACTGTCTGTGAAGCAGGCTAGAGAGGCTTTTTAAATACTCAGTGTGTTAAAGAGTAGGAAGTAATCTCTTTAAAACAAATCAAAGTTACATCAAAGTTGTTTTGTAGGTTTGTATCACTGAATTTGTGCTCACTTAAAAGTCATGTAATAAAGGCCTGAATGACTAAAACAACATTGACATAAGTCTTGATAACAGATACATGGCCTAGATAAAGTTGGCATAATGTGTATAAATATATATTTTTAATTATAATTATCACCCATCAGTTTAAGAGCTGTTTTCATTATAAGAACTGGCATCAGTCCTTATGTTCTTTACGTATAAATCCTTAAGACAAACAGCCACAGCATGGATCAGTTGACGTGAAACATGTCAGTAACCAGAATGCAGTGTTGTCCAAAGCCTCTGTGTGGAAAAATGCTGAGCTAAGAATCAGAGGGGAAGCAGTGACAAGCAACCAGCTAGCGGACAGCCCCATTCATCTCCACCACTAGCTGCAGAGTGGGAGTGTACAGCAGGATCCATTTCCTATGTGCCCTCATGCCTGACATTCGGGAAACTGTGTGGGTGCGTGTGTTGATCCGAGGTGCTGAAAACTGTGTTTGGAGTGAAACAGATAGATGGACCACCACACAGTTTGAGGCTGAAGACTAAAAATGGAGGAAGGTATAGCCCTGGCTCGTAACTGTAAAGTTTCAGCTTGTTTCTAGCTGCCGAGTTTTTCCATTACTAGTGTGCAAGGGTGCAGAATTATTATTAGAGTTGTACTTAACTTTTTACTCGAATTTTGTTCCTTTGTATCTGTAGAAGCTTGGGTCGTTTGAACCAAATTCATAGGGTTGCTATGATGTTTCATTGGTGCCTTCATAAGAGGATTTGAGTGAAGATACAGCAAGAAAATGTGAGTGACATTTTACTAATAACATGTAGGCGGTTTCAATTACTGGTCCATCGCCAGCATTAAACAAAGTTAAGCCAATTTGCTTCGGGAATGTGTTATATTTTATGCAGTACTTGCATAATATATTGTTAAATAGTTCCAGTTTGGAGTTAGTATTTCAAGAATTTGGATTGTCTCTTAAAGCCTGGTATAAGCTTTTAAGACAAGGAAAACAGTGCAGAGGTGTGGTGCAGCTTACAAGGCCATTAAAAAGAGACACAAAGTCTGACATTGGAGGATAAAAAGATTCTGTAAAAGGTCAGATCAAGCATGAATAAAACTGTCTGTATGCGTTCCAGAAACGCATTGATTTGTTTTAATAACTCAGATGATAATATTACATTAAAAAAAGACGATTTAAAGATTACAGCAGTGTGAAAGGTTTTGTAAATGTTAATTAAATCTCTCTCCAATTGTTCAAATATATTAAAATGATTAACTTGTTGGCTTTAAATCTGCAAAATGAATAAAGTAGTTTCTTGATCACTGGAACATCTGGATTGTAATATCTTACTCCATCTGGCTCCACCTACAGCCAATGACTGTGATGCAGTTGTTATGCAAGTTCATCCTGATCAACAAATACCACAGACAAAAACACACCCCTTTCTCCACCCCAAAACTCCACCTCACCTTGTAAACTTGCACATGGTAGCTGCTTGAAACTTCCAGGCCAAAACAAGCACACGAAACTCCGCTGGGTCCACACACAGGTCGTTGCAAAAGCTCTCCATGCCTTCCTCCAAGATGGCATCCTCCTTTTCATCCTTGTAGCAACAGAACAGCTCTTCAATACGCATCAAAGACAACCCATCTCCATCTAGAGTCTCATCCTTGCGAGGTTCCCCCATCACTGCAGGGATGACGGGTGTTTCCACCGTGACCTCCAAAGCCTTGGTGCCATTTGACAGCTCACTGGTGGCTTTGCTACATGGGGCGCTGGACTCCTCTTTGTGGCCCCCACCACCGCCGCCAGCACTGCCTCCTTTCTTGTGGTGGGACTTGGAGCCACTCTCCTTGTCTCCACTCTTGCTGCCGAGCGAAGACGTTGGGTTCTTACACTTGGTGACACACTGGCCCATGTCTTCCTCCCTGGTTCCTCGTCTGTCTTTCCTTCTCACCTTCAGTCCCCGTCGGAACCACCTGGACGCCTCTGCTCTGGTCTGGCAGGACGTCTCAACATACCCTCAGGCCTGAAGTGACAGACAATGAAAAATGTGAACTGTCATGCAGGTACAAACCAGAGCTGTCTTACTCACTGTGACAAAGACTGAAATGTTCCCACCTACTGGGAAGAAAATGCTTTTTATAAACTGGCGGTCAAGAAATTACACTACCTGTACCAAATCTGCCACGATTCAGGTCTTACACAGCCAGACTTTAGTCTGAGAAGAAAAAGCATTAAAAAAAACAATTTTCTCCATGCAATGCAGATAACCATAGAAACCACTACATAATGAATAAGAGACAAATATTAATGCCAAAGATGCTGATGAAATTCTAGTGGGTTACAGGGCCATGAGACATCTTGACAGGCCCTTTTCAGGTTTTCTTTAATGCAATTAAATGACAAACTGAACTATACTTTTGTTTCATAATAAACCTTAGAGTTTTAAATCTTACCTGACCAATGATCAATACACAAACATTTATACTTTTCACAGCAGTTTCTTACTACTTTGCTTATGAGAGAATATAGTGCAACAAAATCCTAATTTAGCAGAGAGATTTCACATCCTCTTCCATATGTTTAAGAGCCACGTCCTAGTAGTGAGGTTAACAAACAAAAATACACAGTTACTGGTGATGGGGTGTAAAGTTACAAAGTTACTATGAGTTCAAAGAAAAACAGAAAAATCTTTAAGTGAGATTGCTTGGCAATTCTAATGTGTGAACAGACATGTTTGTGAGTGGGAAGTCAATGTAAAGCAGACACCATTCCCAGGCTCAGGAAAACTCAGATGAAATGTCTACTTGATCTATTGTTAACCGTTCAAGGATTCATAGACTTAGGTAGACTAAAGCCTGTACTACTTTAATATTTTTATCACTTAGTGTTTATAGATATGATATGATTACTGTTATTGTTGTGTGGCAAGGACTGTTGGATAACGTTTTGACAGCTTTAGCAATTGAACATCTTGACTAGCAGTGCAGTGCTTTGGTTTGCTATCATTACATATAAACCTGGATCAGTTAGGGTTAGGGTTAGGCACTAATATTTGATATTACATTTAAGGTGTTTTCTGAGGCTTTTTGGTGATAAAATAGATGTTAAACTTAATGTAATGGTCAAAATTCATACATATTATTTTAACTGAGTAAATAAAAAATCTGGACAGGCAAAATTGCATAAAAACAAATGTTTAAGGTCATCGAATTATTATAACATGTTTAAGCATAAACTAGCTAGTTAGCTAGCTAACTTGCCCATTTTCTCCAGAAGTGGGTTTAATAAATGGTGTACTGTGAATAACACTAATGGATGTATTGCTGTAATATCGCTAACATATCTCAAAAGGTGAAGGTAAACACTGATCAACAGTTTGATCACTAATGAAGCAGCTGGTTGGGATATTACTTACACAGAGTCCCTCAGATGGCATTGGCCATGGATCAGAGTGTCTTTCTATTCAGCTCCATCTCTGTGACCTTCACATCCACAGCGCTGAAAAGACACATTATCTTGTCATCATAAGCAGAAAGTGATAGCTCATCATCCCCAAACCTACAGGACTATTTTTGTCAGCATATGTAGTTTGAGCACAACAAAACTGTTTGTCTTCTCACCAAAAATATAACCATTTCAGCCATTTCGAGTATAAATGTGACAATTTAAAGGTTTGGGATTAAAAATGTATTATGCACTGTGGACTTAAGCTCTTGTGTTAGGGTTGAGCAGGTGAGGTGTCCAGTGACAGGCCTCTCACAGGGCATAGACAGGCTTTGTTCTTACTTACAACCCAAATGTTCAACTTCTACTACTAACTTCTGAACCCAGCTTTGTTTTGATCCTTATCCTTGTCAAGTCAGGACTCTTATTCCAACACGGATGAAGTAAACAGCATTGGAGCAAACCTACTGTGCTGATTGCTCAGGGACATGTTGGGGCAAATGTCTCACTGTCTCACTCTGACAAACTTCACCTGGAAAACATCTGTTGGACATCTGATGGCCTACTTATTAATCCGAATATACAATTATCATCACTAACATGCTCACATGTTAGGTGAGCCAAGCACATACTGTTAGACTGAGCTAAACTCAAAGTCTTAAAAGTTGATCTAAAACACAAAAGCGTTAACTTAACTACACTGCAGTGGATTATGAAAGTTGTGAAAGTTAGATGGGTGATTTTCACTGTAATCAGCGGGTATTTATATTATTTTCGACTGAGTTATATTGGGTGGCAGCGAGCACAAACAGGATCAAGTGAGCTTAACAGCACATGCAAAAACACCCAAAATGTAATGTCACTTCGATTCTGTTGGCGGTTTACATTCTAATATCGACATGTTTTTTTAAACATATGACATTACTTAGTACGAATCTGTTATAAAACCCCAGACATTAAAAGACTTTACAACTGCTTGCCTCCGACGACGTCGCCATAGCTAGCTAGCATCAGCTCGGTTAACTAAAAGTTAGCTCTCGGCTAAGCTAGGTCTTTCGATTTAAACATCGACAACCATTATTGTGTTTGTAAAGAGGCTTACCTTAGGGGGGATTTCTTGTGTGTTAGCCTGGGTGTACATCACTTCAGGTGTGCCGATGGAAAAACTAAGTAGTTATTAAGTTGGCTAAGGTAGCGTATACGACAAGGAGCGAACTGAGGCAAACTCGTCGCGTTAACTCAGATTGCTAGCTAACTAGTTAGCAGGTAGCTGGCAAAAACTTCAACATCAATGTCGATTATTACTTCACTTTTGAAAAAAGGAAGAAAGAAATATCGTCACGGAGGCGTGCTTTTCCGGATCACCCTAAACTGTATTGGATCTGCGGTGAAAATTAAAAGACCATCTCGAGCTTAAGCAGCCAATTTCTTTGTGCTTCCCCCTTTTAGTCATTGAGTGGAGCTACATTGTGGGCATTTTCCTGCATCACTTCCTCCTGCACACAACCCTCAAACAGCTGATCTTCCTCTGCCAGTGCGGACATGCCGCGCGCGAACTGTTCGCTCGAACTCTTTCCGCGCAGCCTCACTACCCACTATTTACTTTAATCTGAGAGATTCTTTCAATCCAAAAAGATTCTCAAATGGGAACTGAGCTTGATAGCAAACCCCAAACTTCTTAAAATGAATAGTTTCGGCATACTAAACGAGACTTAACGAGAAAAAGTGGTACGCGTCGCTCGGTGTTAACGCGTAGTTCGACCAGCGGTTTCACCTGCGCGTCACTTCGCTTTTAGTGTGGTTTATTCATAAGTGACGATGGAACAAACTTCTTGGTCAACATTAAAATACGAATAAAAATTGAATATCTGCATGCCTTTATAATTCACTACTGAAATATAAATGTTCGCAAATTTATTTATTTTTAATCACTGGCGCTCCAAAATGATTGTAAACATATGAAAACGATGTCAAAGCACTGAAACAGATCTTAGAAGCCCAAATCAGGACAGGAACCCAAAACTTAAAAAATCCGATGGAAATACTCAACACTTATAAAACTTAAATCTCTAATATTTTTCCTCTGTAGCGTCCCCGTTTAAAATCCAAGGGAAAACGTCATCATTCAGCGACTTGTGTGTTTCTTCTGTCCTAGTCGCAGCAGCAGCTTCAGTCGAGCTTCTTCATATACGGTCGGTATGTCTTGCGTCTTATGTTGAATTGCTGTACTAATGCAAAGAGCTGAGTGACACTGATGCGTTACGATAATGTGAACGACATTTATCTTCCATTCACGTAATCTTAGTCCGTAATCGCCGGTTCACATTTTCAGGTCGAACCAGCTCTGTGTTGACATGTGATGCTGAAGTGCTGCTTGTGTTTTTTTTTCCATCTGGGAGTTCAAACATGTGTGGTCAGCTAATGGCGTGATTCTTAGTTAAGTCGCGATACATAGCAGAGCATCTCCTTAATGACAAACTGACAGTCATGTAACAGTGACTCGGACTGTTTGGAAAATGGTCATGTTTTGGTAACAGTGACACCCAGTGTTGAAATGTGGGAACCCTCGAGCAAGTGCACTAAACTAAAAAATGATCAGATTTAATGATCAGGTGGACTGGTATGATCAATAGCATTGATGTAAAAAGGCTTTGAAAAAAGTAATATCTATCTATGAATGAATGAATGATTTTATTTCGGTATAATATGATCGAAAGGGTGTAAGCAAAAGCAATTCTTATAAAGGCCTACCCCTTATACCACAAGTCTCAAACTCAACCACAGCAAGGGCCATAATCTGGATTTAGGTCTAACCTGAGGGCCAAACAAGGTCATCGTTTCACCAAAACTGTCAACCTTTTTTCAAAAAATATGTAACAAAAACAGCAATGATTATAAATCATTTGGAAATTCAAAAAAGATAATAAGATAAGTTTAAAGGCAATCTGAGGAAGAAAATTTATTTTGTTTTTATTTTTTTATTCTATTTTAATTTGTTAGTTCAAGAGATCAGAGCATGATTTTAAAAATAGAAAAATTATGCTTTTAAAGAGCAAATACATGAGGAGAACGTTGAAATTAGGTTTACAAGCTCAAAATATGACTTAAAATTTCAAATTGGAATCTAAAGTATAAAAATGGCATTAGTCTAAATACTGAGTTGAGAAAAATCAAAGTATCAAATAAAAAATCCAATTATGTTTGACTCGTAATCTTGAAATGCATAATTGAAAACATGAAATAAAACACCAAATGGTTTTCCCCCCTACATTTTTGACAATTTACCAAATCTTCCTTACTCTTTAATTTCCCAGATTTATGTGGCTTATTAAGAACATTTTAAATAATAGTGCTAAAGTTTACATTATTATACTGGAGGAAATCTGCAGACTTCACACTGGTGGGCCAATAACAATACAAATATGATATGATCTTGTGGGCCAGATAGAATTGTTCCACGGGCCAGATTCGGCCCCCGGGCCTTGAGTTTGACACCTGTGCCTTATACCATACATGAAGTACATTATACAGATACACTCTCTTTATACAAATATCAAAACTTAAATATATATTTACTCTTCAAATCAGATAGAGTAATGAACATGCTTTACACTTAAAAATAATAATAGTACATCATTTTCTCTACAATATTGAGAAGTAACATTATTCTTGAAAAGTCCCTCAAAGCTTACCAGAGTACTACATTTTCTAATTGCTACTGGACAATCGTTCCATGTTTTCACCCCTTTTACAGACACACAAACATTTTTGACATTTGTTCGCGCTTTCGGTTTCTCAAATAATACACAGCCTCTTCAGTTGTAATTAGAGTCCCTCAGTTTAAGCAGATTCTGGACATGTTGCGGTAGGACTAGGTTATTGGCTTTGTACATGATTTGTATTGTGATGTAATCTACTAGGTCTTTAAATCTTAAAAAATTTAAGGAGGTAAATAGGGGATGAGTTGATTCACAGTAATGTTTATTGCAGATGACTCTTGACAGCTCGCTCTTGTAAAAGAAATATTGGATTTGTATTTGTTTTATAAGTGTTTCGACAAACCTCAATTATCAGAGAATAGTTTAGAGTGGCTAACCCTTTTTGTGAAAGTAAATCTTTGGCTTTAAACAGAATGGCGATAGATTTTGACATTTTTGATTTAATATGATTAATGTGTGATTTCCAACTTTGTTATCTACTATGACCCCAAGGAATTTATTCTCAGTTTCTACCTCGATTTCCTTAATGTCTATAGTTAGATTTCTACATTGAATTACTTGCTTATTTCCAAAAAAAATCTATCTATAAAAAGGGAATAGTCTATTATAAACTGTTAAACACTGTATATTTTAATTCCTGTGTGGTGCAGGTATCTGCTGTTCCTTGGCCCAGATGATAGCTTCCACTCGAAGGACAGTGTTATCCCTTTACATGCGGGTCTTTCGCATTGCCCGAACCTGGCAGGCACAGAGTGGGGTCCCAGGTGACACAGAGACAGAGAGAAAATACATCCTTCAGGAGGCCCGGACACTGTTCAGACAGAACCAGCAGGTATAGCAAGAAGCACAATGCTCACAGGGGATTAGAAAGTGGATTCCATACGGCGATTTGTTGAAGTAAACTTTTATCACATGTTCTACTTTTCAGCTCACAGATCAAGATTCAATAAAGAAGTGTTTAGAAGAATGTGAAGCAAGGCTAGAAATAGGTAAGAGGGGAAGGATGCCACAGGCTTACTCACATAAGTGATTAGTTTCTTAGGTGAGCGTCACACTTGCAGTAAAACCTACATTTTATGTTTTGTGGATTTGGTTCATTTAAATATGTAAAATGATATCCATTTGTGATTCAAGCCACTTCCTGATACGATTCAGTGATAGTAAGGCTCAGAGTTACTTTTGGTTAACTTTCTCAACAGTTGTGAGGTCCAGCGAAATGTGATTGTGTTTCCCAAAGAGGAAGTTCAGCTTAAGGTCTTGAGTGTCTCAGAAAAAGTAGCAGAAAGATAACATTTTTCTTCTGAATGAGAAATACAAATTTAGCAGAAAAAAAGCAGAACCATCTACACAAGTGAGAGTTAGTTCTTCACTAGTTTAGAGAAAAACACATACCCAACACAAATTATACCTGTAAAAAGCTATATTTTTATGGTTTTTATGGTATTTTTAAACATGTTAACAGTTGATTTATTGATTTTGCTTCACAGGTCTTCATTACAGGAACCCATATCCAAGAGCTGTAAGTAGGAAGCACATGTTAGAAAAGACAAAGGACATTTTTGCTATTGTGTGTTAATACATTTTGCCCTCTGAATGTTCTCATAGACGTATCTTCCACCACTGGGACTGGCAACTCAGAAAGGCAGGAAGCTGCGAGCACAGCAGCGCCTGAGGAAGCAGGCCAAGCCAATTTACTTACAGTCACATGATGAGACCTGATGCACTCCTCACCAATGAGTTTAAGTTACCAAGGACAGGAAACTAGAGTGCAGCCACAAGCTCTGATCTCATCGGCTGATTTGTTGCAAAACACTCAATGATGCAAGAGCAGGCGACATTCAAGAAAAGACGTTGTTCTTTTATTGTTCTTTCTTCATTGTGTAAACATGTGGTCGTACATGGTCAGCTTCTGTCCAGCCTGGGGAACCTGTCAGTGTGGAGTGACCTGGGATCAAGTTCAACATCAAGTTATATTTATACTTGTTTTTCTTGATGATCATAAAGGCTGAGGTTGGAATGGTGTCAAAAATATGTGTTTCACGAATCCAACTACTTGTCTTTTTATCATACTGAACAGCAAAGAGGATAATAAAGTTATTTTGAGCACCATCTCTTCATATTATTGTGCTCATTTTGTAGACGACAATATGACAGCTGTGGCATGAAGTAACTTGACATGATTTGAAAATAGTCCACAGATTCCTTTGATTTCTGAAAAACTACAGAGGAGCATCATCAAACCAGTGGAAGGACCCACTGAACTGTTACTTATCTCTCATCTCAAGACGAGCACATAAAATATTGACAAGAAGAAAATTTGTAAGAGTGCTTAACAAGACGGTATCACCGCAGGGACAACGATGAGACAAAAGGAAATGAAAGTGTGTCAACTTAATGATATGAGCCTCGTATGAGGCAAGTCTGCTTTGAAATATGACAAACTATAATTTCACTTCATCTACTCACCTGTTTGTTTCTGAAGATAAACATTTTATTGTATCGGATGCACGTGCATCACAGGAAGAGCTAGATGTACTTCCAGATTAAAGTGTAAAGAAAAATAAAGAGGTAGAATTTAATAAATAGGTTTCTAGTGTGTTTATGACTGTAGGTTCAGCCGAATAGGTAATTTCAACAGGCTCTCCATTGTGAAAAAAAATGAGTTTATGGCTTACCAGATTTTGGAAAAAATTGTACTTTTTGCCAGTTGATCCAGATTTCCTAAAGCTGAGGGTGACCATGCTTGTATATTCTCTTATGCATGTTCTGAGACCAAGAGTCTGTCCATCTGGAATGAAATACTGACAGTTTACTCATAGCGGGACTTTTTCAGGGTCTTTCTTAAAATAATCAGATACTCTCACCAATATGTGCAGCATTTCTTATATACTTGTATACAATTTCCTAAAATGCACTTTGGAGTAAAGTTTTAAGGTTTTGGCCATATATCGGACAATCATTAACAATCCTTCAACAAAACAGTAGCCAAGGGTATATTCTCTAGTCAAGTCTTCATGATGCCTTAAGTTAGGGATAGCAGACTTCTGGCCAATACCTTCTGTTCTGCACCTTGTTTACAGTCCGACCAGAAAATAAAGACATGAGAACAGAGTTTGTGTCATAAAGACTTGCCTAAGCATGGATGATCCGACCCACATCTGCACACAGGTGGCAATTAAGTCAGTGAAACAAAAATCAGAACACAAACCAGTCCCAGGTCTTTACGTTTTCTGTATTATGCAGAATCTGTGAATAAACATACAAGTGCAATGTAATATAGATGCTTCTTAAACGTCCTCTCCTGCTCTGTCTAAAAGTCAAAAAGGTTCCTTAAAGTCTAATTGTCTAGTTAATACATTTAACCTGCTTGCATGAATGAAAAGCCTTCACTTTAATAATGTGGTTCGTTTCTCTGGGTTGACCGCAGACCAGGTGTTCTTGAAAAGTCCTCTGTATCTGATACATTCAGTGGGGAATTAAGCCTTTTTTTGTATTCTGCTCCACTTTCCAGTGGGGAGTGCAAAATTTAAAAATGTGGATCAGCAAACACGTCTTCAGATGATCTCAGTGGGGGATGCATTTACAGTTCAGTGTTGTTCCCTGGTGATCGCTGCTGTATATAAGACAGCTGTAACAGCACAATGCTCTTACTGTAGACCTTATCACATCCTTTTCATGTTACACTTTGGGATGAGTCACCTTGACAAACAAAGTCTCCTACTTTTTCTGAGGTCATTGTCTTTGTCCTCCAGCGCCACACTGACCTGCATGCGACCACATGATTAAGCTCTGTGGGCAAAAAGTGGAAGGGGAGTTTGCATGTTTCATTAGATGACAGTCAAGCAGGTGACACATCAGACTCCTGCCTCCGAGGCGTGGGCTGTGGTGTCCTCAAAAGTGGAGGCCTGGTGGAAAAATATCACCTTAGTTCAATCATAGAAGCAACATGTCCTATATAGACGGCAGTGTGTGTGTCTGCACACTTCTGGAGGGCACAGAGAAGTACTGGATATTCATTTAAGATATAATGACTGACACATACAAAGAAATTAAGGTCTGTAAAGAAATACTGAGGAGAGAGTGTCTGTAAAGGATCTCTTGAATCACAAAATGCCAGACATGGATGAAGGAAGCTGAGCCTGCAGGCTGACTACAAAAGCCGGCCCATTAAACAGAATGAAGTCAGATTGTCAGGAGTACTTCAGGACAAAGCCTGAAAAATAAATGAGAGGGAAACCATACACCTGTATCGTGCTCTAAAATAACTCTTGTTCTTTAAGTGAGAGTGGACGAACTAGGATTCACAGCAGTTCCTTGAGAGGTGCACTCTCTTCACTCTTTATCCACCAGGGGTCACACAATACTCAATAGTGAGGGCTTTCATTTTGTAGTTTAGGGGCCATCAAAATCAGGACCAGGCTTCACCAACTGGGTTGACCATGCACTGATAAAAAAAAAAAAATCTTGTTATAAATCACTAATTAACTGAGCTTTTTATGTGGTCCAAACAATAAAAAATATTGATTTCCAACTTTCCTCCAAAATGTGATCCATCTCCTCTGTTTGGTTCTCTGAGGACTCGGCCTCAGGTACATTCATTACAAATTCAAACTTAATTATTCTCCACTGCAGAGAGAAGTGGCTTGATAAAAGTCTGGGGTTGTTGCTGCTTTCTTTACCTGTGTGATCACAACTTTACTTCAGTGATAAATGACTGTCCTCTCTATATCCAACCAGTGACAGGGGAATAGCAACAGCAGACTTCTGCTTAAGCATTAATGCTGAACAATGCCTCACTTTAAATCCATATGCAGTATCTTACTCTCTGTAACTGTGTCTGATACATAAAAACTCTCAACATCAAACACCTCATTGAGTCACACAACTGTTGTTAAAGCCCCTGTGAGGGGCCCATAACTGGTTATGAAATAAACTGAAATTACTTTTAAAAAAAGCAACCTTTTTTCCCCTCCGTTTTATGGCAAATATTTCACACATTTAACTGATGAGGGCAGGATATGTTTCTGTCAAGGTACATGAATCATGCAAAATCAGCAATCAGCTTTGTCCACAGGGGGCGCCAAAGATGACCAAAAACACCTCTTCACAGGAACTTAAATGCTGATGTGTAGTTAAAAAAAAATAGGTTGGTGTTAAAGATGGTGTGTCGTTTGTAAGAGAGAAGAGTTTGCTCTTTATACAAGTGACAATCACTGAGTAGCTGAGAAATCAAACTTAAGAAGCTTTACTTTCTCATCTATAGTCATGTAGCTTGCAGATCACTTCCTAATATTCCATCTTTCAAAAAAAGAGATAATAAAAGTTCAATTTCATTTTAAATGTAAACTTTATGTTGCTGTACATTTTTTCAAGGGCTATGCATGCTGGGGAAAACAGAAATTAAGTTCAAAAGTCTTGTAAAACTCTGGACAATCATCATACTAGGCAGATTTTCTTAACTATAAATACACTTTCAAAATAAAAGTCTCATAGGAAGGGTCTGACCTAATTTTGCTCTTACGTCACACACAAAAAACTGGATCATGGAGAAACCGGGTCCTTTTAAGGGTGTCTGGTATAAATATAGATATTTAGGGATTCACTTGAGAGCAGTGTCATTATGGAGATGATAAATAAGCTTCAGCAGAAGAATACAACAGCTCCAAAAAGAGGATAGTGATCCATCATACAGCCCCTTTAAGCCCTTCACACTGTGTGCATTATTTAGGGGATTCAGAGAGACCCTGGGGGAAATGTGGTGGTGGCAGCAACAGAAGAAGAAGGAAAAAAGAAAAGAACAGGGTAAAGAATATTGCAAGAGTTAGACATGTAATGCTGTACTTACCGAGCAGCGATAAGGTAATTAGATGCTGACAAATGGGGAGATCTATCTCCTCGTCTTACCTGCTCAACTGGCCTTAATGCTCTGCTGCTGTACACAGTTGTCCTGCCTAACCACAGCTGAACCTTTGATAAATTAAACACCCATCTTGTTTTCACTTTACGTAAGAAAAGATAAGGAAAGTTAATGCTACTGCTGTAACAAAACTAATACTACCACTGAGACGGTATACCATCATTAATGAAAGAGCATCAGTTAAACAAGTCTGGATGAACTTGGTGATGACATTACTTCTAAACTATCAAAGAGATATTTTTTTGCATCATCAAATCTGTGACAAAACCACATTTCAAAATAAGAAAAAGAAAAACACAAAGAAACAAATATACGTTGGTGACAGGCCCATACAACAAGAGACAGAAATATCAGTCAGAATCAAATATAAAAAAAAACATAACACTAAAACAGTCTTACATAGTACATGCTGAATTCTGCATGGGAGTTTGAGTTACCTCAGAAAAAACAGTGTTAAAAATAATTGGAAATTATACATATCAGACAATTTTTAAGCTATTTTAAGCGTTAGGTTAAAAAAAAATACGCACTGAAAGAATGAGATGCTCTTCAATGACTCAGCACTTAATTGCCCTTTCCCATCCCTGCAGACATTTATCTCATCTCCAGCTCTCTTCCTCACCCCCGTCCCACTCACTCTTTGTGTTTCTCTCAGCTTTTGTTTGGACTATAGGTTTCACATTGTCTCAGCTACTCTGAGATTGGAGGAGGAGGCCTGATGTGTGTGTGTGTGTGGGTTGATTTTGTGTACACGGTGGAAAGTATTACTAGTTGCCTACAGAGTGGAGAGCGCAAAAGTGTGCTGATTCATGCTCAACTAAACTCTATCCATTGGGACACTACACAGAAAATGTGTGAAGTCTATGTAAGAGTGACACGGTCAAAGAGAGGTCAGGGGCGATGGCTTGATAATGATGTTTAATGATGAAAAAGTCATCAAAGTTTTAGCTCTAAGTGATTTTAAAAAGAACTTTTGTCCTTTTTTAAGAGGATTTTAACCTTCTTTTATTTGTTGCATTGATTTGATGCAGCACACTGAGGACCACTGAGTGTCCAACACAAAGAGCAGATAGAGCACAAAGCCTGAGAGTGCTTAGGATTGTTTGCCAGGCAGAGTCATATGCCCACAAATGTGAGCCAGCGCTCTGGAGAGGTGTTTAACAATGACTGGATAAGCTGAGGTCCAACTCGAGTGTTGGGTCACAGGGTGACTGTTCCTGGGTAACTCGAAGAAGCCATCAAATATTTAGCTGGCCTCCTTTTCATGATCATAGCATGTAAACAAACATATTATCTGTGTGATTGACACGCGATCTCTTGGCCTGGCACGACAGTGAAAGCCTAGACTGCTCTTTAGTGTAAAAGGAAAAGAGACTCACAAGAAGGACCAATTATCAAATTAATTTCTGCACTATTTGATCAGATTACAGGGCAGGTAACTTTTTACAGACATAAATGTCAAAGATATTTATCAAGTGAAACAAGCAGACTAATAATTAAATTATATTTGTTTGAGAGACATGTAAGAGTGAAGAAGACCAATCAGTTTAATGCAACACTTTGTAAACTCACTTATATAAATCTTACCTGCTGAAGATGGACATTTGTTTTCCACATCATAACCATAAGTTAGATCTCCCTCACTCATTTTGTATTTCACACTGAGATATGCTTTCAAACCAGAAATATGCATGTATTTAATACTTTTGTGAAATAAAAATTAACGTGATCAAACCAAGTAACTGTTGTTTTTTTTAAATATGACAGATGCATGAAGGTGGATGGAAAACTCATTAAAGAAGGCAGATGAATAATGGAGGAGGGTGTGTTGGTGTTGAGCTAGCTTAGTTTACATCTTCGCTGGATGGAGCGCCTTTGTTGCTCCTCCAGGGGGGTGTGGTGGTTTGTGTGTCCTGCGCAGGTGAAGCAAAGAGACACAGCAAGACCACAGGAGGAGGAGGAGGAGGAGGAGGAGGCTGGTAGGGCAGAGAGCCAGCGTGTCTCAGCACTGGGCAGTGAAAGTGAGGAGATGGCTCCACTGAAAGGCCCAGCCAGCACCGGGCTCATCAGGTAAAAATGGAAAAAAAGGGTTAGCCAGTGGCGGCCATGACAGAGAAACACAAGCTTCCTCTTTGTATGGGTGGAAAAAAAAACGTGGGTGCAAATTGCCTCATGCAACGTGATAGGCTGTGTGATTATGCATGTTTAATGCACATTTTGATTTCTTTCTGCAACCGACTGTGTTTCAGATTAAGTCAAGTGAAAATGAGCAGCATTTTCCTTTTTTCCTTCGTAGACTGTTTCAGGTGAGGGCCATAATTCTCCCTTTCTCTTTGAAGAGGGTCGTCACGTGGCTCAGGAAGGCAAACCGTGCTTCATACTTTAAAGCTGACGACATTTAGTCAAGTGTACCATGAGACTGCGTGCACAGCCTCGTGGTGAAAGTGACAAATGAGGCACCAGTTGTAGGTGGCTGTAGGTGCTGGGTTTCAGGTGACCACTGTTGCATCGTCAGTGTGGTAACCAGAGCTGGAATCTCCTTTTAGTGAATAAAAGTGTCCGGGCTCCATCATTCTGATATGTACTGGATATGGGAAAATAAAAGGGTTAAAAAACATGTAAAACCAAACAGGTAAATGCTGTGTTCAAATTAGGGGCTGGTGTATATAGTGAGGGGGTTGTTTAAAGGGATTGACACCTGAGGAGGTTTGATTGAATAATAAATAAGAGTCCATCGATAATGTAAATATAAGCAGTTGTACAACTTGAGGACAGTAAACAAGAAAAAGTCTGGCCTCTGAATATGACTTCTTTTCACTCACTATCATCACACAGATCTGAGTTTACAAATTCATTTTTTTTAATGTCATTATCACAATTTTTGGTCATTTAAAGACCCACTCTGATGAAAATCATGTTTTTCTTGTTGTCTCCATGTTCATATGGCATTTTTCTGATGCTACATGACATATCATGAGAAAAGTAAATGTGAAATTGCTTTTCTGGGTATTTCTTCATTTAAATCGCTGTTAATCTCTGGCAGACCCAAACGGCAGGTTTAGAAACAGTGAGATTTCATACGTAACCAATCCAAGCTCCGCCCCATGGCTATGCAGGCCAGACTCTGCATATAGAGAAGAAATAGAGAGGACGATCGCAGGACAAGTGTGTACTTTAGTGGATTGCAATGCTTATAAGAAAGCTAATTATGATATTAACTTTCATCATGTCCCTTAAGACATTAGTGTCTGAGAGCTGAATAGCTCCTATGTTACCTGCCACTTCTACTACAATGTTAGGCAACAAGCTAACGTGAAGACAAGTGTGCAGAGCAGTGCTGTCTCCACCCATGACTCAGAGGCGAACTGCTAATGGTCTACTAGAGCTCTGCTGAAGAAAAGCTCTTGAAAATGACACAGGTGATGTGATTTTTGGTGAAAACTTCATAATCACAATTTAAAGACCACTGAGAACACTTTAAGTAGTAAAAAAAAACATTGGAGTGGGACTTTAACCCCTTAAGTCTCTTGACAATCCTTTGTATGCTGTCATACTTGGGTTACTGAAAAGGGTCTAAAGCCAGGCACATGAACACTAAGACTGGTACACACACA